TTGCGCTCCCTAGCCGACACGCCCCTTCCCATGACAATGCAGGACACCGAAACCTCTACAAGCTGGGGTATATCCACCGGGATATCTCGTACGGTAACGCCGTCATCGACCGCGACGGTGTCGGCGCCCTCATCGATTATCACCTCGCCGTCCCGCATGATCGACTTTGCACCGAGCTGCACCACAGAATACGATCCGTGCGTCCTCCCCTCTGTATGTTCCCCCAAATGAACTTTCTGACCAGCACTAACCTTTGGACTATACGACGTCTGACAGGGCACCTGGCCCTACCTCGCCTGCTCGATCCTCGCCCAACCGAATGAGCGGCTCGGTGTTGTCCACGAACGATGGCACGACATCGAGTCGCTTTTCTACGTCGTGATGGAAGTTTCGTTCCGCGAGCCTTACCAGGGCAACAATGAAGAGCTTGTCATGACGCCAAAGGGTGAAACCATCTGGCGGGACTGGAATCGGCCAGAAGCGCACCTAGTCTATGGTATCAAAGATAGGCTTCGCAAGGACGAACCTTACGAATCTGTACTCGAAGGCTGCGCACATCGATGGACGAACATCAAGCAACTGGTCGATATCTTGCGACACCATTGTGGTCTTGATAACCAGTTCAATAATTTCAAGTTGGCTGCGGAAGAGGCCAAGCTGGGGGAGTTGTGGGGTCCGTCCGGGACGATGTCCCACGAGTCCATCATCTCGGACATTGAGCAGCTGCTTCCCTTGCTCTGAAGTGACCACCTTTGCGCTGGGCCTAAATATGGTTGCTCGTTGTTAGTACCGATCATTGCAATAGATACCCCAGGTCAATTTCCGTCCGTTCCAGTATAATTCCAGGCTGGAAATAGGACTGCGCCAGCGGTGCCTTCATTCGGCTCGACTGCGCAGAGTTTCTGGCCCAAGTCGTAATCTGGGAGGGCCCTTACATCATTCACGTTTTGCTCATAGGAGTGTTGTTTTTGGAAATGTATCAGGTTTGCTGTCCTGTCCCATGTATCAAAACGCGTGGCCTCGAACCAACGAAATGAAACCCATAGCCCCGCTCCAAAATCCTGTCAGTCCAAAACGTCCATGCCGCCCGAGGCTTACGACGGCGCTGTGACGGCGCTGTGGCCCATCTCCTTGCCGTTCTCGACCGCTTTGACCAAATCGGCTGGCTCAAGTCACCAAGTCACCATTCAATCACGAGCGAGATCCCCCGACTTGTCTCATGGTTGCCAGCGATCCGAACCTCACCACTGCTGTTCCCCTGCCGGTGTTGGGCGAGCGTGTCGATGTCATCGTTCGTTTGGCGCTGAGCCTCATGCTTGCAGCCCGACCGCCCCCCGACGGTCTGTTCACTATCGCCGTCCCCATGCTCCTCGATGCGCTCATTCGACAGCGCACCGACCACGACGCTCTTGATTCGTACCTCTATCGAGCGCTGTCGGTTACGATGGGCGTCACGCACAAGGGCACTAAACCAAGCAGCTTCTCGCAAGCGATCGCGCACACCGTCCATGTCCTTTGTACGGCCGAGTACTATCTCTGCCGCTTGGAGTGAGCCGCTTTCCCTTGTGTCCTTACGCCACGCATTCGTTCTCCACAACTCACCTTTCTTTGTGTGGTGCATTGGTTTCCCGATTCAGAACGACGCTCTTTGAAGCGGCCTGCCAAGGACCACTCACTGTTCGCGATTGACTCGTCCTCGCTCGGACTACGCCATCGTCAAACTTTGACGACTTGCGCCAATTGTTCCTGCACGACAAGTCACGTTCGTCGTTCGGGATATTGCTCCTTTTTGCTCGCGTGTGGCAAGGAGTGCCGGGATAGCTATGGCATCCCTCCCATCCAGCTCGATACCAACGAATCTCCTGGCCAACGCTTTCGATTTGACAGCCAGACCATGACGTACGAGGACCTGAAGACCCTAGGTAAGGGCGCGGAGGATCGCGCCGGTCGGGCCTTGGCTTCACTGTTGGAACATGACTCGATCGCCGACCTTCCCGAACTTCCCGCCGACGAACACCTCACCGAGCGCTTTGTCTAGGAATGAACTACACCGGTTCGAGTCCAGCGGCGAACATGCAGACCATCTGGTATGTGCCCAAGATGGCCCTCACGTTTTCTGGATCAACTTGCATGTCGATCTGCCGATGGAACAACTCCTGTCTCAACGTCTTGGTCTCGAATCATACACACCTTACATTTGGCATAAGAACGGCAAAGTTGTCTAGGCGGAGGAGATCTTGTCTGCGTTCAGGGACTTGACTTGATCGATTCTTGGATTCCCCATCAAGCCGTCGACAATTCGCCACCTCGTGGTCTTTGTTCACCGCGGTGCCGGAGTCGAGTTGTTAATCCTGAACATGCCGAGGAGATTGCGGAGGCGTCCATGATGGGTCACAGCGCGGCTCAACATCCAAAGTACGGCGCGGGCAACGGTCATTTTGGCCCGTTGGGCCTGGAGAAGATGGCGGGTAGCAACCGAGTGTGCGCACGTCATCGTCAACTCTTCGGTATCGATCCCGGGCAGCTCTGGCGGTCTCAAGTCCGACGGCCTCCCTCCGCCCCCACCAGCTCCAGATGTGGAACCCTCCGTTTCGGACAACTCTGCTTTTCACCTCGTCATGCCTCCGCTCACCTCCGTGGCCCGCGGACAGGACTTCAACTGGTCGGCCGTTGGTCGCTCGATCGGACCTTGCCTGCGTGTGATTCGGGCGGCGGGAGTCCTCTTCGGGCGTGATCGACTTTTCAGGGGCGACCCCCATCCTGGCGAGCGCGGTCGAACTCGCGTGCAGCTCGGCGGATGACTTGGACTACCTCCCCTTGTTGATCGTTCTCCCCGCTCGCGCCGGCCAGTCCTCTTGTATCGCCACGCCGGCCCTACTGGCCTCGCGGTTGTACGCCAAGACGGTCCTCGTCATCTGTCTGACTCTTGCGTTCAAGCTCAACTTTGTTAGCCGCATGAACGAGCGGCACCCGGTGCTCCAGACCATCGCCTGAGACTTTGATTTATTTGTTTCAAACCCGTCCCCCGTGATGCCCAACATCCTCGTCCTTGGTGTTGAGCAGTTGGCGACCGAGCCTGTACATTGCTTCTTGTCGCGCAAAGCCGCGGACGATTTGATCGATCGCATCATCGCCGACGAGTCGGAGGTGCACATGATCGCCGAGGATTCCAAGTGGCGCGCTGCGCTCCTTCGACTGTCTTTTCTCGGCAAGTTCTTGGCCTTGCCAATCATCTTCTTGAGCGGGTCTTCTGCTCCGCACGTGATTGGCCATCAGGATTTTGTCCATGGGGATCTTTCGAGCTCCTTCGACGCTGCGTGTGGGGCCCCTCATCGACATTCGCTGCGTGTGGCGAATTCCTCAGGTCGCAACGGACTTACCCACCACCGTTCTGGAGGTCATCGCCATCGTCAAGACCGAAGCTCCCAGACTCGGCTCCGCCATGATCATCTTTGTCGACGCCAAGGCCGAGGGCGACCAGATCGTCGCCGAACTGCGGCGCCGGGACTTTTGTGCCAAGGTGAGATTCACACCCGGAGCTCGTGATTTCGTCTCAACAGATCCCTGATTCTTGCTTTCTCTTGATGCTTCTCAGCGCTACTAGGGCACCCGAGCTACGGGCCGAGTTCGATGCCACTTTGAAGGAGTTCCTTGCAAAAAACATGCACATTCTTGTGGCCATCAAGGCAGCCGCTCAGGGGGTCGATTGATCGGACATCTCGACGGTGATCATCGTTGGCGACCCGGGTGGACTCTCCGTTTGTGAACAGATGCGGGGGCGAGCCAGTCGCGACGGACGTCTTTCCAAGGACATCTACGTCCACGATGCATGGGTCCTCAAGAGATGCGCCCGCGACCGATCCGATGTCGACGCCGCGGCGCTTGGCGACTTCGTTGATACCACCAGCTGTCGTCTTGAGCAGCTTAGTACCTATCTCGATGACCTCACGCGTTGTGTCAGCTGTTCGATGCTCAACACCGACTTGTGCAACAACTGAGTCTCTCAGCTCGGGGCGCCTTCTGCTCTTCAAGTCGGCGGGTCGCTCGGGGCGTTGACTCATCCGGGATGGCATCGCGTGACCCCTCCGTGTCCTCAAGCTACCGTTGAATCCCCTTGTCTGGTTCTCAGGTCCAACCCTCCGCCTCTTCCGTCGTGGCCAAGTGTATGCCTCTGGAAGCGACGACACACGCCATCTCGCCCCAGAGGCGCCGAGTCTCCGGGTCACCTTCCTCGATGGATCAGGTCAGTCTTGCATTCGGCTGTTTCGTACCTTCACCCTAAGTGGTGCTTACGTACCTCTGTACCTTTTTGTCATCTTCCAGTTGGGTTCTGGACCCTTGAGCTGTCCGTCTCCCTTGGGTCCCGTCGGGGTCGAGCAAGGCGGTGACCTCTTTTCACCGGTAAGTGCATCTTGCCTATGGCGTTCTAATCTGAAACCTGGATCGTGTATGAGAACTGTCTCGGCGTCTTCTCCGCCGCAGTTGCCACCAGCACTTACGACCAAGGAGATCTTGTGAACGAATCCAATTAACCGCTCCAGGACATGGCCGAGACCGACCTTGTCCTCGCCTTCACCGGGGTGGCCAAGATGGCGGCTCACACCCACATCTTGTGTTTGTGCCTCTAAGACCCTCCACCTCTTAATCATCCGAACCCGATCCGGGCGTTCTGCAGCGCGTGCAAGGCTGCCGACTGGGTCAAGCCGGATCCTCGCTGTCGCTCCTTCAATCTCGTCATCGGTGCTGGCGGGCTGCTCCACGACCTCCATGAACTTGGCTGGTAGAAGACATCAATCTCTTGGATGTTTCTTGCTTCAGCCTCCTCTACATCTCTCAATGCCTCTTTTCTCTTTCTCTCTCGTTGTTCCCTCTCTCAGCCCGTGATTTTGCATGATTCTGTCTCGGTTTTGCCACTCTTGGATTAGAAAATAAAGGTTTGCAATACGCCAAGTTCACCTTCACCTTCAGTATTATTTAGGAGAGTGGCCAACAGATGAAAATCAGCTGAGAGGGTTCTTGAGTCCCGGAGCAGCCTCGGGGGCCGCCTCCCTGAACAAGTCCCGCTTGTCATGGCGATCTACGTTGAGGAGTGGCCCCACCGCACCTCGAGGTTTTCCACCCAATTCAAGCCAAGAGATCACACGACTGGGCGTCCAGAACACTACAGACCCACGTGTTGAATACGTTTCTCCGCACTTTGGCGCGCCGCCGTCCGTCAAGAAAACGTCGAGATGGACGTTCCCATGCGTGACGAGTGCGGAAGGGAAGGCGATGCAGCAGCCGGCGGGTACCTCGACGATGACACCAAGCTCGTACAGCACTAGCCAGGATTGCGTTGAAGAGTCGAACTCGCCTGCAGCCGCAGAAGCGAGGCACTGCTGCGATAAGTCCTCGATTCATGGGTCGCCGAGACGAAGCGAGCTTGATCCACGCACCAAAAGGGAAGACCACGCACACACGCCCTGCGGTGTGATGCCGATCAACGTGCGGTTTCAGCGCCACTCCGGCCGCCGTACCACTGTAGTTGAGCGACATCATCCTGAACAAACCGAAAGGTGCTGGCTCGCCTCGTCGTCCGCAAAGTCCAGGGGCTCGGGCATAGGCTTGCTCGTAGCGCTCTGCAATGCGGGGAAACGCCTCCCTCACCACGCTGGAGCACCACCGCCTGTAGTTTAGGACCTTGAGAAAAGTCAGACCAATCCACGCGCGAGCTCAACGTTCAAGCGCAGGCGCCGACTCACGCAAGACGCTGGACCTCGGCCGAGCCGACCACCGCGGAAGATTGCTCCACCCTTGCTTTGCTTTGGGATCGGAGTGTCAAGTGGCACCAGTCAGGCACCTGGTGCGTAGGGAGATCATTGCGTTCAGTACACTGGGACGGTCAAAAGCCAAGTGGACAATGGAATCCACTTGCATCGTCTGCCTTGTAGGCGAGATTGATTCCCATCAGCGCGGAGTAATGGGCTCCACGATGATCGCCGACCCTCAGCTGAGACCCAGCGTTGAAGGAGGCTTGTAGCTCCTGGCATGTAGCAGGTAAGTATGCTTGCCAAAGATCCAAGAGACTCGAGCCTGCCTTGCTGGACCTGACCGCAAGGACGTAGGATCGTTCTTTGAAGAGCACTCGCCCAGCACCACTGCGCGAGAAGACAAAATGACATCGAGCCATCAGCAAGGGGTCTCTGCACCCAAGACTTCTTCTCGAGCTGTACTCTAATCCGCGGCAACTCACACATTGTAAGACACCTGTTCCAAGTGCCTGAGATCGGCGAAGGTTCCGACATCTGGCAAGCGCGACGGGAAGCGCGGCAATGACGCCATTACCGAGTCGGACCAGGGTTGCGCCAGTGGAAGGGCGTGCCCTTGCCATCCGGAACGAGTCGCTTTGGCCATGGTTGCTTTGAAAGTCCCCCCTGCGGTGTGCACCACGGTTGTTTCCTTGGCGTGTTTGGCGGCGAGGCGGCGCCGCTTTCGCTCCCGCATCGTTTCCTTGGCCGGAACCCTGCCCACAGCAAACGAGCAAGAAGGGTCAACGTCTGGTTCGAGCGACAAGGCGGGATTGAAAAGTCGCCAAAGTGACCCAAAGAAGGTGAGGACGGACAGACTTACTTGTCTGGGGTGGTCGGCATTTGAAAACGCTCCTGCAAGCCCGGACCGCTCATGGGCATCAGGGACGAGCGACACTTGCTCAAGTCGCTTGGAGATATGCTTCTCAACGTCGAACGTGACGTCCACTATGCACTGCAGAGGCGCCGCGTCGGTGGCCCTGGCGTCGGCAGGCGTGCAGTCGGCGTCAACGTTGATCGTGTGTTGGTCGCGGGAGCGGGCCTGCGATGCAAGTCGGGTGGTGGGAGGCACGACGATATGAAGCCGACTGAGATCTGGTTCAGAAGCGCGAGATAACTGATGCTTGCTGCGGTCGCGGAAAGGTTTGGGTCGGGGAAGCGGCGAGTTGTTGATCAGAGGCAGACGCCCGATGGCTCAGCGACGCTGGGCGCCCGTGAGAGCCCGTGAGCGTCACGCGCCTGAGCCCAGCTGAGCACACTTGGCTCCACTTGGGACTTTTTGGGGTTCACCAAATGTTGGCGGAACTACGAATCTCGTTCACGCGACGTGCCCGCGCTCAGGGAGAGAGGCGCGCGGCTTTGTGGGCTGAGCCTGAGCCCAGAGCCCTGAACCGAGATCGGATCCGAAACGAGATTCCCATTCGGCGGCTCACGTCCGTAAGGATTGCCCCGTCGCCCCGGCGTGCAAGTGCTGCGCATGCACCCGGACATAACCGCGCTAATAACTCGTCACTCTGGGCTCACATCGAGGTTCTTCCCCGCTTGGCCTCTACAGGCGTCTACACTATGTGGTACCAAAGTCCCTATGAACGGTACAAGAATGACCTCGGATGTGATCCCAAAGTCCGCTTCAATGTGATCCCAAACGCAACCCAGGATTCTGATGCGGGGCTTTGGTATTCATTTGGTTGGCTCAAGGCTACGCATTTTGTTACATGGGACAGGACAATACACCTGATACATTTCCAAAAAACAACACTCCTATGAACGAAACGTGAATGATGTAAGCGCCCTCCCAGATTACGACTTGGGCCAGAAACTCTGCGCAGTCGAGCCGAATGAAGGCACCGCTGGCGCAGTCCTATTTCCAGCCTGGAATTATACTGGAACGGACGGAATTTGACCTGGGGTATCTATTGCAATGATCGGAACTAACAACGAGCAACTATATTTAGGCCCAGCGCAAAGGTGGTCACTTCAGAGCAAGGGAAGCAGCTGCTCAATGTCCGAGATGATGGACTCGTGCGACATCGCCTTGGACGGACCCCACAACTCCCTCAGTTGAACTTCTTCCATAGCCACCTTGGAACCAAGGAACCGGCTGTCGAGGCCGCAATTCCGTCTCAAGATGTCAAAAAGTAGCTGAATATTGGTCCATCGATGTGCGCAGCCTTCGAGTAGAGATTCGTAAGAATGGTCCATGCGAAGCACAACTTTGGAGTTATAGACTCTGTGCGCAAATCGTTGGTTCCAGTCCTCCCAGATAATCTGACCCTTTGGCGTCATGACAAGCTCTTCATTGTTGCCCTGGTAAGGCTCGCGGAACGAAACTTCCATCACGACGTAGAAAAGCGACTCGATGTCGTGCCATCGTTCGTGGACAACACCGAGCCGCTCATTCGGTTGGGCGAGGATCGAGCAGGCGAGGTAGGGCCAGGTGCCCTGTCAGACGTCGTATAGTCCAAAGGTTAGTGCTGGTCAGAAAGTTCATTTGGGGGAACATACAGAGGGGAGGACGCACGGATCGTATTCTGTGGTGCAGCTCGGTGCAAAGTCGATCATGCGGGACGGCGAGGTGATAATCGATGAGGGCGCCGACACCGTCGCGGTCGATGACGGCGTTACCGTACGAGATATCCCGGTGGATGTACCCCAGCCTGTAGAGGTTTCGGTGTCCTGCAATGTCGTGGGAAGGGGCGTGTCGGCTAGGGAGCGCAAACGCAACGCCGCCCAGTTGATCCCTGTGCTCACCTTTGACGACTCCAAGTACGGCCTGGGCGAGTTCCCTGGTCGTGGTCGCCGTGTTAAGGGGCCGATAACACTGTCGGTGGAAGACCACCTCCAGTGCCCGGGGCCCGATATCATCGAAGCTTTCATCATCACCAAGGAAAGTTGGAAGCGTGCGGAAGTCGTCCCGGTAGATGCCGGCGCTAAGGCTTAAACCCTCGGTGTCGATACGCGACGCAGCGTGCATGTTGCGACGTAGGGCAATCGCATCGTCGAGGCGGGATTGCTCAACCCATGCGACTGTCATGGCGTACTCGGTGGCAGGTGTAGGCAAGGTGATCGACGTGCGGTCGACAGGCGCGTGTCGCGCGGTGACGCGGAAAGCGGAGGTGGCGCGACCCAGGCAGCTTCGGCGACGGAAGAGGAGCTCCTGGATCTCGAGATCTGAGATATCGCCGAGCTCGGACTCGAAGTCGTGGGCGCGGGGTGGGAGAAACTTGTCCGAGACGACAAAACTGCCGAAACCGTCGTCGACCTCGTTCGTCGAGGCCAGCATCCCGAGCTCGTTGTCGTCGAGTTCGATGAGGTGTGACAGCACGCGCCGGAGCAGCACGGCTCCCTGACCGCACTCGCGGGCGCTCGTCGTGAACACCCCACACGCGTTGACGAGGTAGACTTGGAGCACGTCCCCGCAAAGGGTGACCCCGATCGCGTGGGCGCGGAGCGCGGTCGTGCAGATCATGTGTAGCCGCCTGATCACTTGGTTACGCGCTTCTGCGCTCCTCTTGTCGCTCTTCTTCACCTCAATCGCCACTGCAATCTGCGAGTATGCGCGTTGAGGCGACGAGGGTGTGCCTTCCATCGACGTTGGGTGCTCTGACTGCGCCCAAACGAACGGAAGATCGGGGGCAGCGGCCACCGCCGCATGCGTGAGGATGACGGCGTCGGGCGTGTTCTCCTGCTCCCCGCGATCGGGCGCCAGCTTGATGGGGCTACCCGAGTTGCCGCATCCGACCAGACGTCGATCACCAGTCTACACCCAGGTGCATCAATGATCGGGAGACAGTGGTCAGTCATACTCGTGCGGTCGAAGCCAAGCGATAGCACCGGGGCGGGCACTCACCACATCCTTGATCGCTTTAGCGATCTCTGTCATCGCAGCCTCCGTCCCCAGTTTCTTCGTCGGTTTGGGGATCTTGGCTTCGTAGGTGGAAGGCGTGTCAAAAAAATATGTGTCCATCGCCTTTGACTGTCGAGGTTTGCCCATATGGGCGAAGAGCTGGTGCTCCCTCGCTTCCGCCGTGGCCGTCATCGACACTGAGGGGCTCGACTTCATCGGGCTCGATTGTGTCGTAGCAACGCTGATGTCCGACATGCCTGGTAGGCCTACGGCCTCACGTGCACGACCGGTTCGTCCCGGTCGAGTGGCGTTAAAGTTGACTGGCCAGCGCGACGAGCTGGGCAGTTGGGTCGTGGCGGCTTGGGCGGGGGTCGCAAGAGCAGACGTGCCAACCGACGGGCCTGGCGCGCCGTCTCTGCCGTTGACGCGTCGCTGGCTTCTTCGGAGCTCGGGCCCCGACGACGTTTTTTTTTTTTTTGAAGACGCCTCGCCTGAGACGGCTTGGCCCGAGCGCCGGGCGTCCTGATTATAATTAGGCACTGCAATTCACCTCAGGCAGATAAAAAGTAACCAGTCTTAGTAGCGCCGCCGCGCGGCCAGAAAACCTTATGCAAATAGGCGACCTGGGCCCGGTAGCAACACTGCTACCGACGGTAGCAACTCGGCGCCGGGACAGGCCCGTACACCTCTTCCAAGTCCGTTAAGACCACTACATTGATCATGTGACGACATGAGAGATAATAAGAAGCAAAGATTGATTTCGAGTTGAATCAGTAACCACACGTAATTTTTTAAATGTTAAGACTCTAAGCGCCTGAGCGCCTGAGGCCGGGGCTCGTGCTCATGGGCGGGTGTCCAGTCACGTGCTTGACGCGTTGTAAGATGAGGAACACGTCAAATTGGCACGCAAGGAATCTGTCGCGCGTGCATGCAGGCGGCCGCCGCTGCTTCCTGCAGGACGTACTACCTGGATCGTCGCAGACTTAACCCACCCGGAGCTCGTTGCTGCTGAGCTACTACACTTGTGTTCTCGTATTCATTCCGCTCAGTCACCATGGGCCGCCCCTCGCGACTTAAACCACGCTTTCCGCGGATCAAGCCTTCGGACTACCTCGACCATCCCGATTGCCCGAATCAATACGCCACGATGCCGCTGTACCTTGTCACTTTCGGAGGTACGATCGTCGATAAAGGAGGACGTAAGAGGCCGAGGAAGGCCAAGACAGATATGGATGCCACTCCCACCACATCTGCAACGTCAAACGTCGAAACGAGCACGAACCAACGCGTCCCTGTCGCCTCGACCTCAGTCTTCGCCAATGACCTGAACTTCTCCTACGATGATTTCAACGAGGATTATCTCAGGGACTTCCCTCTTGCTCAGCAGGCCGAGTACGAAGACCTAGGGGGAATGGATCTTTCCATGGAGCGCTGGGACCCACCCGACCCCGACTTACAACGCCCAACTCACCAGGAACTCGCACAGGAGGTTTTACCAACTCCCCGCGTCGCCGATCCGCCGGTTGCCGCTAAGCAAGAAGGTTACTTCAAGTTTATCACACTCGAGCACGAGCAGCGCGAGAGTCAGCGCGCTGCCCTTTGGGTCTCTATCTTGATTTACGCATAGGCACCAATGGGTGACCAACTGAGAGGGTTGATCGCTCGACGATGAGCGTTTGTCGCGCGATCACCAGAGCACGGCAGAGGACGGCGGAGCTGCCGAGAGTGACCAAGCAGGACAGAGCAGGACCAAGCTCGATCTTCGGCATCCGAGTCCAACAGTCCGAGCGGCGAGACCCGGAGCACGATCTATTCGTAGAGTGCGCTCGGCTGCCCCACAGCTATGCCTTGATTCGCTGTTAGTACAGATAACCGCTTCGACTCTTCAATTTGGGGAAGGCAGAGATGGCAGACGTGATTTGACTGCGTGGTCCCAATGGAAACAGGGGCTACGCAGCTTGTGCCGATGGAATAGGAATTCAATTGGGGGCAATGAAAACCTATATACTACTGCAGTTTCAGTAACCTGTGATAACGACCCAGAACACCACCATAATCAGGCTGCTGCGCCCCCTCCAGCATGCGTCGCAACTCGGCCTGCACCTGCACCATCTTCTGCTTGACACAGCGGTGGTGCCGCCTGTCACCGGTGGCGAACGGGGGGAGGCTGCCCGGATGAGCGCACGTCATGAATTTGACCAAATCGTGGAGCCCACTATCCACATTTGCCAGATCCTCGAGAAACGCTTGGCGTACTTCGGGACAGTACCCACCCTCCCAGAGCTCCAGGCGGGCGCGAGCGAGGGGTAAGGTCGCTTCGTTCGACAGTGGGCGGAGTTGTAGTCCCTCCCACAACTCGGCCGAGACCGATTCACCGATTCACCAGTCCAGAACGTGGAGGAACCAATAGACGGAGGACTCGAAGTCGTGGCGAAGGGCATGCGGGGGGACCTTGTAGCAACCGTTCACCAAACCCCTCGGGTAATTTAAGACCTCCTGGGAAGCGGTGGCATCGGTGATCCTGAACGAGCCGCCGACGTCGGCAGCGATAGGGACGCGTGTACCCGGTTGCGCAACGATGCCTGTGTCCCAGTCGACCAGAACAAGATGGCCTTGGTAGTGAAGGACGTTGCCGAGGGACAAATCACGATGGTGGATGCCGAGATCCCAGAGCGCGGGCAGAAGCGTGAGGAGCTGGTCAAAGACCTCGCAGGCCTGGGAGAGTTTGTGCTGAGGACCGCGGCCAGTGTCGACGCGGATCGGTAGCGGCGTAGGATTGCGCACGATCAGCAAGTCGAGTGTACTCCGACACGACTCTCGCAGGCGTCGTTCAGGATCGACCGGGTCCATGAGTACGGGCAAGGCGCTGTCGTCCATTTGTGATCGATGTAGACCGAGCGACGTGGCCTTCTCGGGTAACGGGACGTGTCGTTCGATGAGCAGCGACGAAGCCGAGGGGGCGTGGGAAGTGCGACACTGGACGATCTTGTCCAGGACATCGGCTTCGCAGCCTTTAGACTTCTGATTGATGTGCTGGATCTTGAGCACGAACGACGGCGACAGACCTGACGTCGACAATGACCCTTGCACCAAGCTGGGACGCGTCAGCTCGAAGATGACCGTGCAGCGTCCAAAGATGGAGCTGCCCCCTGCGACTCGACAGTCGACGAGCTTGACAGGCTCCTCGGCGACGAACTCGACGGTGCGACCGACCAGGGGAGCATCTGCTTCAAGCTCGGATGGTCGAAGGTATAGTGTACGGAAAGCGACGGGAGCGATGCCGGTCTTGGGGTGATGCGCGTAGCGAAACAGAGGGACAGTCCGGCCGAGTAGACCTCCAGTCCAAGCAGGACGGAGAGCACCGAAGCGAGCTCGCCGAAGCCCTCGCCCCAGCAATCGGGAATGATCGCAATACGGCACCCCTCGTGGTCCAAAACGACGAAGTAAGCTGTGTCGTCACGAATAGCCAAGCCTGGTGCATACATGCGGGCCGGCTGCGTGAGCGCATCTCGTGCCAGGTCGAGTACGACATTGATGAGAGGGGGAACGGTCAGAGTCGAAAGGTCGCTTGGCGGACGGACACCGAAAGCCAATGGGACGAGCATGCTATGCGTGCCAGTTCCATTGTTCCCCGACCCGAGCTCGTCGCAGCACGTTAAAAAGTGATGTCGTTCCACATGTTGGAGGCGGCAGGCGCCGCCTCCGAGGGTCAACCGAGCCTGCCGTTCGGCGTGTGCGACCTTCAAGTTGTTCTGCCGATGGGATCCACCGGATGCCTGTGCCGACGATGCGAGTTGCAAAGCGAGGGATGTGATCATAGTCGTGACATATGGCCTTCGACAAAGTCGTCATTCAGGATATGGCACTCACAAAGTCAGCGAGTGGTAAGACCCAATCTGCCACCCGTTGATCCGGCGAGCGTCGGCAATCCTTGTCGAACAGGACTTGTACTTCTGATCGTCCGGGTCGCGCAAGAGCATCCTGCGCCTGGCGTTTGAATTGTGTTGCGTCGAACCCAAGTGCCGAGTGCACCAAGTCAGACGCGCTACAGATCACTACTCGCGGAACAATCTCGTCTTCGATGAAGCAGAGATCGACATCCTCGTCGAGCTCGGGCAACGTAAGCCTTTCGACCGTGGCATAGTAGGCCTGAGTACGAGATGGCATCGCCCCACTTGGCGACGAGAGAGGATGAGAGCGCTGCGAACTGTCCGATGAATCCGGGCACGAGTCTGACGGCGCGGGTGAAGGAGGGGTCCATGACGTTGGCTTCACAGGCAAGGTGGCCTGTGGCGGGTCAGAAGTGGCGCGTGGAGCCGACGAGCCACCCATCAGCAGGTCAGCAACTCACACCGGGTCTGGCAGCAGAGCATTTACATACAAGCGGTTTTTGCTTGGCCGCATGTTCGTTGAATGGGAATGCGTTTAGTGGATGTGCCGCGACGCTCAAGGGTAGGAAGCGCGCCCGCACGACCGGGCAGCGCTCGGCAGGCGCCCCGCGCGCGCGCCGGCAGCGCCGCCCCCTGCCCGCGCCCGCCCCCCGGGCAGCGCGGATAGTGCCCGCGCGACCCTGATCCTATCCCGGATAGTACGCTGGGGCAGGCGAGCGGGCAGCGCCACTCGAGGCCCAGGCAGCGGATAGTCAGACCGTTCGCGCCACGCCCACCGTTCCTCTGCGCCCCCGGGCTCCTTCCTTTCCTGCCTATCCTTATCACTCCCTATACCTCTCTACCTTTGTTTTAATTTTTATTCGTCTTCCTTTCCTATCACTTCCTATTTCCTATTACTTTTTTATATTATGCTGAAATAAAATAATATCTTTCCCCCCACCGTCCCCCCCCACCGTCCCCCCTCCCAGCCGGCCCAGCCGCCCAGCTTGACGGTCTTCCTTTACTATCACTATCACTTCCTATACCTTGGCTTTTTTATTCTAATAAAATATCTCATCGTTTTAGATTTATCTGGTGTGTACCTGGCGGACGGACTACACGTGCTTTTCTTTTCCTTTTTAGAGAGCTCGTCCGAGTCTTTTCAACCCCTCCGCCCCGCGGCGCGGCCTCGTCGACGGGGACCGTGCGCGCGCAAGGACAGGGCCTGAGCTTGTTTCCTGAGCGAACCTGGCTGCTTCATGCTTCGGCTACGGGATTTCGGCGCATCTGAGACACGGTGATTCAGATTTGATTCAGTTTTGAAATAAGACTAGGTGGATAACGGATAATCTCAAATGTAAAAGTCCTTCAAAAAGTTGTAGGATTTCTAGGCCACGGAGGCCCGGAAAACACGGAGTCAGCGGCTCCTGGGACTGGTAGGAAAAGGGAACAAGGGAGCGCGGCCGAGGGATCGCCGTTCTCACGTGCCGTCCTCGAAACGCAACTTCAACTCCGCTCTCCGCTCTCATCGTCTCAATGTTTGTCAATCCTATCATTTCCTCTTACCGTAAGGTAAGTGTACACCTGTCCTATGCTATGCTTGCTACGTGAGGTCCCCGACAGTCTCAGGAGCCTTAGGACGTCGTGCAATCGATCAGGTCCGATCGCGAGACTCGACTCGACTCGTTCGACCCGACAAAATCCGTTCCCATACTACTGTGGAGAGCGAAAAGCAGCCCGAGATCGCGATCGCATCGAATGAACGCATGAAATAGCAGGTACGTTGAGGATTTTCGACGTTTGGATACATTTGATCACGTCGAGCCAGGTAGCCTGCTAGTGTGATTTTATTCAGACTCGGTCTGCCGTGATCAAAGCGCCGGAGCGAGAATTCCTCTCGAGATATGCGATGGGAAATGCAGATGGAGTAGTCTATGGAATGGAGTAGAATACGGGTTTTTGTTCGTAACGAGGGCTAGTATCTAGGGTACTCCTCAGGAATCAGTGTATTATATGCACCTCCTCAATTTGATACTCGCTCAATTTCGTTCCGGCCAAAATAAAATGAGGTGCCGAATCAGCTCGCGGAGATCGCGAGGTTTTGTAAGGCCGGCTTGATTTTGACTTACTTGAGCAAGCAAAGATTTTTACGAAATGAAAGTGACTGAAAATGCATTCGCAAGGAAGGCTAAAGAAGATAAATTAAAGGGCCGAAGTGGTCGCCTCTGGCAGTGGAACCGGAAGCCACCAAGTGAAGCTGCGGGGAACGAAGCGAACGGGGGGAGGACAGAACCGATCACGAGTCGGCCACAGACAAAAGGGTTCGCACATGTAATAAACAAAAGCGATGGACGGAATGCGACAGAGTGCAGCCAGCTGTAGAGGGTACAGATGAAGAGAGACAGAGAGGGTTCAGAAAAACAGAAACAACGGAGGCCGGGGCGAGATGAGGTCGAACAGATGAACAGATCGGCGAGGGGCCGATGCCCCCCGACGGAAGCGAACCAAGTGCCAGCCTCGATGCATGTTGTGGGGTAAATATGCCCACCTCGACCATACACTATTGGTACTGGACTCGGACCGCCAATTTGAGAGCATCGTAGTTGTTGAGTTGCGCTCCATTGACTTCGCGCGTGTCCTTCTTCTGCATGTGCTCGTAGAACTTTCGGTACCTTGCGAAGTCCGCGGGGGCAAGCGCCGTCTTGATGCTTGCCACAACGAGCTCACTTCGTTGCTGTAAGGTACCATGTCGAGATGGAACTCCTTCCACGGCCTCGTTGATGAACTTCAGGACCCTGTTTATGCGAGTCCATTCGACACCGGGTGCGGTTTGACCTGGCGCACCGCGCCAGCGAGTTCCGAAGCGGCGCTCCATTTCGCGCCAAGGCATCGACGGGTTTCGCCGATCCCCATCCTTTGCCACACCCGTTTCGTAAAGGAGATACACATCCTCCACATTTGTAGCAGGATTGAACTTAACGACGGGAAGCCATCCGGGGGGTGTGATGGTGGTGCTCCATTCTACGAGCGTGCCAGGGAACCGGGCAAGATCATCGAGGCCCAGCGCTTCGAGTCGCGGATCGACATACATAGGGTTTCTCTCCTTGACACGTCGGTATTCGGCGAGCAGGTGGCCAACATCCTCCAACTGGTCGCCTGCTGGAGGTCGCAAGAGTGCGTCCATGGTCGCATGATGAGACGGTAATCGGTACGCCAGCGATTGGCCCACGCGCATGCGATCCGATCGATTGCCCGCGGCGGCTGGTGGGACAGCTGCGCGCATGGCCGTATGAGAGATCGCTGGTTGGGTTGGCGAGGTTCGGAAACTCGTCGATCGGGAAGGCGGGGTTCGGAAACTGACAGATCGGGACGGCGAGGCGGGGGAATGGGCCCCGGGTGCCGGTACTCCTCGAGACGATGAGGGCGAAGCTAAGGCTGGGCTTGACGAAGGCGATTGCGGTGGGTGCGGCCTCCGACTAGCATCTCGATATCCTAATACAAGGGTAATACAAAGGAGAGGCAAGTAAGCATTGGGTAGGAACACCAGTTGATGCACGCAGAAGGTAGCAGATACGTACTTGTAGGCGCGGACATGTGCGCATCCGACAAATCACGACGATCGTCGTCGGAATTGTCATCGTCGTCATCGAAGTCGCGGACAAATTCGTGTCGTCGTCGCTTCCTTACATGACCGTGAAAGTGACCGCCTCGATTATGCTGTTCGATGAGAAGTTCCAAGATTCGACGATTATCGCTGCGAAGGTGAGCAGTTGCAGACTGGCGCTCCGAGGATTGCTGGGCGCCAAGCCTGTCGACGATGGAATCAAGGAGGCCGCCGTACACCACTTTGAGGGCGGCTTCTTCACGGCCATTCCCCTCCACACTGGCCACAAAATGCGGAGCCCACGTTCGAAATCGGTCCGACTGAAACAGGCTCGCTTGGAAAATCGGTGCATCTGGAAAGGCTTGAATCAAAAACGCCGCATCTTGAAGGATGACGAGTCTGAACCATTGGAGCAGCTTCAAGTGACCAACCAACGCCTTGTCTTGACAGAGCTCATCGGCCTCAAAGCGCTCCTCGAATTCGGCCAAAGCGGCTTCGACCCATGGGAAGATAAGTCGTTGAAGATCGTCAGGCACATCTGGGAAAGCGACGAGACGGAGAGGTCAATATTGCCAGACCAAAAAGCTCGATGAAGGAGTAGACATACCAGCCTCGATATCACGAGCCACGTAGTACCTCTCGGGAAACTTTCCATTAAAACCGGCGAGGGCAATGAAGGAGGTGGTTGGATCGCCACGTTGGTAGACGCTGCGGAAGGTGCCATCGCTCCAGCCTCCAAGAGCCTTCGTGTCGGCTTCATTCGCGCCTCTCTCCGCCGACATTTGGGCACCAGCAATGCGACTGAGATGAGTCGTGTGACTAGAACGCCATCTTCTTCGTCTAGGTCACAACGTTGCCGTTTCGACGTTCCTCAAGGAGTGTGATGTGCAAAGTTGAAGATCCCATCCCCATCGCAGGCATAAGCGAAGACGAGCAAAGGTTTCAGTCAGCGACCGACCGATCTAAGCGCCCTCCGATCAGGCACCAAGAGTGCCGACTCACCCGAGTAGGAGATCGGATGCAGCTGTGCGTCGCCGCTAAATGCGCTCGGGAAAAGGGGGACGTTGTACCATTCTCGATACCCGTATTTCGAACTGCCTTTAGAGAAATCTGGCTCGAACGAACCATATGGGAGTCCTCCAGTGTACTCATCGCGGAACCACATGTAGAAGGCGACCGCGCCGACATTGCAAATACGAGGGTCGAAATGACGGGCAACGGGCTTGTAGTCGAGACGACCTTCCTTGTTCGTCTTGCCCGAATCGGCCACGATATAGAGCGTCTTGATCGGCGGGTGATCCGGTCGTTCGAGCGCTCGCATTGACAAATCCGAGAAGGCGAGAGCACGAGTGTTGTCGCCGCGGAATAGCGTGGCGAGCGAGACTGCCCACATGGCGCGGTTGCGAAGCGACCGGGTCACCGAGTGTACGGCAGTCAGCTTACCGGTCGGCCCCTGGCAAAGAAGGTGTTCACTAATTTGTAGTTGTTCTTCTTTGGTGACATTGTCGGATGCCGTTCCTTCGATTTTGTTGGTCTGGGCGGACTTCTTTCGACCGGCCTCGCGTTTCTTCCAGCCGGCCTCGAGATTACCGATCGGGGGAAGATCTCGCAGCTTGCCCCGGGCCGCAACGCTTGTGCGATCAATTGAATCGATTACACGGTACTGGAGGCACGTCAAAAGCAAGCAACATGTGTTATTCAAGGGAGTAGATTCATTGCGGGTACGAAGGGAAAGGCATGCGAGCTTACATGTTCGAGGGCGTTGAGATGCTATGAACGGTGGGGAAGCCGGCATGGCGCGATCAATAGACGCCCAATTCGCTAGGTGCAGAGGCCAGTCAAAAGCCATAGTTGAGATATAATACTCACATTTTTCAGCACCGAAACACCAATGGTCGTGCCTTCAATGTCCTCGCCTTGATCGACACCCGTACCTGATCTGCGCGCGGGTCGCTTGGACTCGGAGCTCAAAAAATTCAAGACCATATCTGGGTCGATCGGTCGAACGCAAGCGCCGGGCCACGTTTCAGCCATGAATTTGGTGTAAGATTTGAGCGATTTTTCGTATGCGCTGACTGTCTTGGGCGCCAAGTTGGATGTGCTAGTGCAACTGGCGATGATCGCGTTATTCGACGCTTGAACTAGAATCTCGGCCAGAGCCAGACGGCGGGTGGCGAGCAGCAACCGTCAGTAAAAATTCGCGCCAAAGTCCCGGGTCTGCCCCGAGTCCGAGGACGGATAGGACAAGAGACTCACGTCGTGCAGCAAGGCTTCCCATGCCCTGCTCATTGCCCTCACCCTCGCTTGCTTCATGCTCACTCTCGGCGTGCTCGCCTTCGTCCTCTCGACATTCGAATTCGTCGCGGCAATCGGCGTTCGAATCGGTGACAGGGACTGAGTGCGCGGTGCTAGCCGAGCCACGAATGGGGGAGGAATTGGGAGTCATTCCTTTCGTCGCGTTGGTCTGAAAATACTGTGAGTCGATTGCGGAATTGGTGGCGTTGGTGGCGAGATCGGTCGAGACGAGAGCTCGTCGGTTCAACCGAGAGCTCGGAATGACGGTCACGTGAGGAAGTTCCAAGCGCACTCAGTGTTGATCAAGAGAGATCGTACAACGGTCGTGCGAGTCGACAGCAAGTAGATAGGCAGTCGAAGTAGGTCAAGGGAGACGTGGCGCCCTCTTCGTTCAGTCGAATACGGGCGAGGAGAGTGGAGATGCGAAACGCAGTGAAGTCAATCAGAGTTCGTTCGCGACCTCATCACGGACAGACGCGTGCACGGTGCCGGCCAAACTCGACAATCAATCCACTCACCAGCGGCAAGGCACTCGGGTTGCGATGGATACACGACTCGAGCAGCTCGAACTGCTGCTTGCAAAGGAGGATGCGAAATCGCCACAAAGGAGTATGCCACCGCCAGCCCAGCCAACGACTCTGAGTGGAATGTGGCCAAAACATTTGAGTAAGGGGCCCGGCCTCGCGCGCTGGGCCTCGCGCGCTGACCCACGCTGACCCACACCGCCCGCATCCGCCTCAGGCACGCCTCAAACAAGGCGGCCCGAGCTCAATATTGGTTTCGAATATTCAGGCTGGCGCTCGCGCGCGTCCCGGGCAGGCCTGCCCAGTGCCTTGCCTCACTGTGTGGGCAGTATATACTGCCCTACCTACGGGTTTGTTGAGTGGAGGGCTGGGCGGAGACCGAGCACGTTGTTTGTTCACCATGCTTGAACGACGAGCGGGGCTGTGCAGGCTGTGCAGGGTCGTGTGGAGGGAGATAACGAGAGAGGAACTGCGCGTGTCGGCGGTGGCACGCCGGCGAGAATGGCCGGTTGCCGACTGCTTCCGACTGTGCGTAGCGGCGAGGTGGCCGAGGCGGGAGAGCAGTGAGAGGAGCGGAGGAGAGGCGTGAACGCGTGAACGCTGGGCGGGGCGGGACACTTCACCACTTCAGGGGCGGTACCGGTGCTGGGGGGTGCGCTTGCGCTAAAGTCGCGCGCGCCACATTGAGTTGGCGCAATTGAGTTAGCGCACATGAATTGGCGCAGTCGAGCGCCCGAGTAAGCGCACTTGAGTTAGCGCACAGCGCGCGTGAGTTGGCGCACCGAGTTGAGTTGGCGCACTTAGTTGGCGCAATCAGGCGCGCCGCACGCGGCCATCCCCTTGTCTTCATGCTGCAACGAGCCATATCCTACGATGCAACTGCTGTCACGCTTCTTTCGGAAACGAAGCGCCGATAACACGGACGACAAAATCGTCGGCACCTCAGCTACGACAGCATCGACAGCGTGCCAGAACGAGATCGGCCCCTGTGTCGACACTACACGGCGCGAACACCGCGAGCCAACTCCAGGCCACGAAGCGCCGCTTTGATGAGCTTTCAATACACAATGATGGACAGAATACAGGATCGACTGCAATTGATCAGTCGAGCGAGAAGCCATCGTGTTACGAGGTCGACCCCGTAGCTTAGTCCCGGCGCCCGCGGCGACCAGGCCTCAGGGTCGTCCGAGGAAGACGGAGGAGGCGGCCATAGCCAAGTCCGAGAGAGCAGCACAGCAAGCTACCGAAAGAGAACTTGATGATGAACGTGCAAGACAACTCAAGGAAGCGGAGCGAGCTAGGCTAGAGGCCGAGCGAGCGCCTCAACGCCAACTCATATTAGACGAGCAGATTCAGCGAATGCAGGTCAGTTGTGAAAGCCCGATTTGCGATAGATCAGTGGGATCTGAGTGTCAAAACCTGTTAGGCATGTGGCATTGACGTCAGAAATGAAACGTGCAGCATCCTTCCATACAGTTTCCCCCTGCAAAAGTGTACACTGTGAGCCGGGCTACACTCCCGTCGCCCGTATCCCTTCTGACTAATGCATGTCCGTGGCTCCTAATCTTAGACTCAAGCAACTCTCAACTTTGCACCGGCAAAAACTTCACCCCAAACTCCGTTTCCAGATGGCTCGTCTGCCATACCTTCCGCATCCGATGCCTCAGTCTCGACCAACTCCACGTCGCGCTCGATTCCGACGTCGGTCGGATCGGCATTGCCCGACAATTCAGACTCTTTCAACAGTCTCGAAGGAGGCATCCACCGGAACCTTCGCCAACGGTTTCCAAAGTCTGGTGTTTCTCCGTGCCATGCCAATGCGTGCTTGGCTGACTACGTGCTAGTGCACAATCTCACGGTCAGTCCAACTCCACCATCGCGATTCGAAGAAGCGGCAACCGTTCTCACCCATTATCCCTTGTGTTCGCAGGTTGGGACGTTCAATCGTACCGGAAAACCATTCGTGGGGCACTACGACCTCTGGCCCACTGTGGAATTACATCGTCTGAGGCGCAAGACCTCGGCATTTCTCCCACGGCACTCAACCACTGTGTCAGATATAGTCAACCCGCTGCTCTACACCACCGAAACATTCGGCATCGTACCTGTTGTTCAGTCGCCAACAGCGCAAATGCGCTTTTTGATCGAGCCCTATCATATCGAGCGCGGGACTCTGCGTTTGGAGCCCGTCAAGTGGTCGCCATGGAACTTGCTGCAAAACAATACGCCGGCGATACAGCATATGCAAAGCCGGCTGCCAACCGATCGCAAGCTTCGCCACGACTGGCTAGCGGAACGTCAGGGTACTCGATTCGCTGTATTGCATGTCCATACACCCAGCGAACGAGCGCTATACAGATATCTCGCAAGCAAGGTACGACTGGGAGCTCCTCAATCTTCGGATATTCGAGATTACCGAGCTTTGGAACAAGTATGCCAACGGAATAGACATTTTTTACAAAGTATGTCCCGTCTGTGTCACACTGAATGGTGATGTTGAGCTGAAGCGCAATTCTCACACAGATGCCAGAGCACATCAATACATGGGCATCGAGATGGTCGTCGCTGGCAAATGTTCAAGCCACAATGAACATGATTGGGAACGACGTCAGAGTGATTCAAGCTTTGCTTACCGACCCCTCCCGCGGTCGTGATGTCAGCGTGCTAACGGCTGAGCCATTACTCGGTCACAAACCGCCAGTCTTGGGGAGGCTTACGGAGGTAGAAGTCGATGCCTCGGATCCTCCAACGTCATCTATCCGCCCCTTATTGCAACTGCCTCGAGCGACGCTGGTTCGAGCGCGGGCTTGGGCACGAGCAGCGCTTTGACGCGCGCGGGTACCACAAAAGGGGCAAGGCACTGTCGATTCTGTGGCCAAACTACTTGTCGACGCAAGGGGTCAAAACTAAGCGATGACGGATCGATGACTGGGTGTGACGGGGCGTGCTTGGACTGCGGGAAGCCTTTCGGGCTGACAGACGAGATGGATTCGAACGACTCACAATCACGAAGGTTCTGTAGAGGACTGACAAGGGCTGAGATGAATGGCCGAGCTCGGCATCAAAAGGCACAACTTTGTAGTTGCACAACACCTGAGTAATATGATGTATGCTGTCAAAATGACATGTTCCGTACCACTTCCTCTATTTCTCCTTTTTCACCTCCCCCTCCCTCTTCTTCTTTCTCCGTCTTTCTCTTCCCCTCCCTCTTCCTTTCCCCCCTTTTTTTTCTTCCCCCCCCTCCCTTTCTTTTTTTCCTTCCTTTCTTTTTTTTCTCTCTTTCTTTTTCTTTTCTTTTTCTTTTCTTTTCTTTTCCTCTCCTCCCACCCACCCCCCGACATGGGTACGGGCCCAGATATCTCAGACTAGGGCTCGGGGGGCGCGGAGCGCCCACCTCCCTGCGTAAATGGAGGTCGTTGCGAGCTCCGCCCGCACCTCCCGGACCGTGGGGGGGGGAAAGAAGATCGGCGCGCGTGCGCGCGCGGCTGAGAACCTTATTTAAGTCGTGCATTCTTTTATGTAGATGTAGACTAGGTTCGGCGGCGCGCTCCGCGCGCCACCTCACACCGTAACTGTTGACTCGCTGAAATGTGATGTACTTTGCTGCAACAGCTGTGCGAATTTTTGGGCGCCAGAATTGCTCGATCTCGGAAGTATTCGACTTTTTCGCCTATCGACGTATTGCCTTTGCCCGTTCCGTTTCGGTCATGCGGTCTGCAGCGGCCAGAAGACGCATGTTTGTCTGCGCTCGCACCGTGGGCTGTTGTTAGTATAGGGTCCAGAAGTCAGCATTCATGATGCAAGCGTCGACGATTTGTGCAGGCGATGACGTGGAATAACGGGAAGGCATTGCTTCGGATTTCCTGTGATGTTACAGTCCAACCGGTCAGTTAGTCATGCTGCCCTGCGTTTTGCTTTTGAAAGATTGGCACACACCTGCCAACACGACGGTCACTCCCCCGAACCGAGTCGTTGAGGATCTGCCACGGGATGGTGAGCCGCAATCCACGGAACCAGAGCCTATTTTTCTGCGTGATTGGTTGATTACAACTGTCAGTATTCTTGCTGTTGTCCATCTGTAGCAATGACAGTGAAGACTCACATCTAGTGTCCCATGGACCCGGATTCTCAACCGTACGAAGTCAATCCTTCCGCTGTATTTTCCCGTGGCCTGCTTCCTTCGCGAGCGTTGTTGTAGAATATGGGGTGCTTGTGGGCATCGATGTCGTTTTCCCAGACAGGCCACGGTGGGTGCCCCCGCTTTTCGGGGATAGGGTCACCTCCTGTCACTGACGATCCAATGTCTGTTGTTCGTATCAGTTTTTCCATCACACCTGCCTGCACAGCCAATGTCACGTGAAACTCACGAATGCAGTCACCAATTGATGGTGGAGGAAAGCAACTCGAGGGTTGACATTCAACGAAGACGTGTTGAAGGGAAATGCTGTTTGGTAGCTTTCCATTAGCTGCTCAATAATCCCACACCTAGAGCACAGTTCATGAAGTTACTTACTCGAAACCGTAGCTACGCTGCATGCTGCAGCCATTCTTGAGAAAATTTGTCCCGTATTCGTTGCAGAGCTTCCACGACGACCCCTTCGGGTGTCGCGAGCTCGAGGCCGGTTTGTCTCGCGCAAAGTTCGGATCGGCCCACCCGTTCGGTATCTGCGGCTAAGGCTGGATGGATGGTTGGTTGACATCATGAACGTATATCAACGGGCTGGTCCCCTAAACGTTTTGCTGTTCGCGTTACTTACTACACGGAGGCTTCCCTGTTGAGGGATCGATCAGTCGACACTCCCCAAGCATTGTGACAACTACCTGAGCCGTGTCCTGGGCCAGGACCGTATTGTGGCAAGTCGATCGAGGTCATCGACTGACAGGGCTGTTCGTTCGCCATCCGCGAGTGGTGTTGGGGCTTCTTTCATGAATGGCGAAGAGATGAGTGGCGATGGGATGAGGTGCGACGGGTAAGGTGTGAAGAGCAGGAGGGAAAAAGATGGAGAAGCCTGCGCCTCAGTTTAAACCGGGCTCATAGAATGTCGCGGAAGGCCGCGGAACGACGTGGAGTGAAGCCCAGTGTCGGCAAGCCGTGACACGCTGGCGGGGCTCCTAACGGCGGAATTGGCGCACTGGCCGACACTACCCGAGGTCTGGAGCTGCTTCAAAGCGTGGACGAACGAATCTCAAGCCCGGAGGTGAGTTGTGCGGAGGAGGGACTCGCGGGCGGCGCGCTCAGCTCGCTCACCTTGCCGACCGTACGTCTCTGCTGCCCCTCTGCTCTCCGTGAAGATGGTCGCACTGGAATCTCCTGTACGTGAATGTTTGCAGATAACTTCGGCAGTGGCAGGAACTGGATGATCGAAGGAACTACGCTACGATGTGGTAGACACGCAAAACAGGTCGTCTCAGTCTGCTTCGGGAAGCGGAGGGTCATGTGTCAGGCTGCTTTGATGGGAAATGGAACCTCGGCGAACGTAGACGAAACGGTCTGTTGCTGGCCGACCCATGATGAAACAGCGCTAGCTAGCTGGGACGCGCTCGACCGAGAGCTGCCTATGACGTCACGCCACGTGGTTTGTCTCGACGACGTTTTTTATTATACAGTTTTAAGGATTAAGGATAAGAATAAGGATAGATCGCACTGGAGTCCGAAGTCTGACTGGTTGCCGCTCAAGCGCATTTGCTCCGTGCGCGATATCAAGTTGTCGATCAAGGTCGACTGTGTTTCTGGTGGTACGGACTTTAACGCGACTGTTAATTCGATCATCAATAACATATATCACCACTGATCATCGAAGCTCGGGGGTCCTGCATTCATTTTCACAAGGTATGACACTTTCTCCCCGAATTAAATGAAGCGGGGCTGTGTATTCAGGTCGTTAGCTTGAAGAAAGAGCCCGCAAAGCTATAGGTTTTGAGCTGAAGAGATTGCGAATGTCATACAAAGTGTTCTATTTATGACGAAGCTGCGTAGTCACTTCGCTTCGGCTATTGTTATCGTTGATTGGCCGCTGGATTAGTTTGAGGCCGCTTTGGTCGAGATGAAGAATCTGCTTCGACATTGTGATACCCACGTCTCTCTGGGGTATTTCAAGGCGTAATACCCAACAGAGCAACCACCCACTGAATGTAATCGTCCGCGATCACTTTCAGGAGAAACTCGAAGCACCCTAGGAACAAGCAAGCTCCGAATCGATCGCATCCGGGAAGACACAGGAGGTAGCGGTCAATGCACCCTCGGTCTCTTGGGGGGGGGGTTGGGGGGGGGGGGGGGGGGGGGGGTTCATTCCATATAGACTTTTCATTTCGTCCTTTGTTCTCTCTCTCCTTCCAGCCTCAACCTCAGTCCAGAAGCACGATTCTCGCCGAACCGGCAGGAGCTGAGGTTGATTCAGCTCGGGGTGCTCTCGAGTCCAACTACGTCGCTGACGAGATGAACGAGATGACGAGCGTTGCGCATTGCAGATGAACCTGAGGGAAAGTGCGTACAAAGTATAAAACAAGCATAGAAGAGAGAAAAAAACAGAGACCTCAGAAGGAGGAGGAGAGAAAAGATTCACACTCGGAGTTTGAGATACGATCGTCCCCAATCAACGAAGCAAACCGGGCCATTGTTGGGTCGAACCAGTACGTTGCCGGCGCTGACATCATTGTGGATGATGCCGAGTTCCCTAAACGCCGCCTCGATCTCCCTGCACCTCCCGTAGAAAAAAGAAGAAAGAATCAGAGGGTCAGGAATCCGCGCGGCCTCTTGACCGGCTTGCACATGGCTGGATCAGTGCGCCGCCCTGCAGGAACTTACCACAATTCGCCCGGTGATCCGTCGAAGTCGAGCTCGTTCATCGTTTTGCCCACATTCTCAAGCACCATGGCGTATCCGTTGCCATTCGTCCTTCGGTAAGTGCCGTAGAATTGCGGGAGATGTTTGCGAAGGTGGTCAGGGAGGTAGGGGAAGACGTGCTGGTAGAATAGCGTCTCTCGGATGACCGAGCCGACGTAACTACACGGCACGAGCTTGAGAAAGTACGTCGTGTTCGGAGCAGGGTGGTCAACTAGAGGCACCTCGGGTTTGGCCGACGAGCACAAAGGTCGGTTGACTCGCACGACGTGCGCAAGCCACCCGCCGGCAGTACTTCCCGTCCCGACCTCCTTCTCCAGACGAAGATCCGCAGCGGGCTCGAACCGATCCAACAGTTGCAGGGGGATTCGATCGTCCTCGAGCTCTTCCCGGGGGTTTTCGGACAGCCACCGCAAAACCACATCGGACAGATGGAGGCCCCGAATAAAATCGCTCGCTGGGGAAGGCTTCGACGGCAGACGGGACACAAGCGGCGAGTCGGAAGGAACCGAAGAGACAATATCAAAGTCGATCTCGACCAGTTCCACGCGGCTCGTGCCCGTGTACGACTGCGCAAGAGCAGGAAGTAAATGATCCTTTCTGTGAGCTGGGCTACAAGGGCTAGGACGGCAGCAGCATGGCAAAGCGCGTGACGCACCATCATAGACCAGTGCGCGTTCGACAAGCTGGCCTTGATCACGAATTCGCGATCTTCAACGATGGTGATCGATTTCGACGGGAGGCGCGAGCCGGAGAGCGGCGAGGTCGCAGGACTCCAATCCGTCGATGCAGGAGGGGACGAGAAGATGCGAGTGACAGGCGTCAACGGGTCGGATAAGGGATCAGATTGCAACCCTACGGAGATCGGCGGGGTGATGGGTTGATTCGAGTCCTTGGTTTGAGCTCGCGGTGGTTGGCCTGCCAGTCGCGCCGAAGAACGAGCACCGGTGGCTTCGGCCGAAGTCTTCTGGGCTTTTTGGACCCGCGAGGAGGGTTCATAGTTGGGGTCCGAGTCCGGATTGGAGCGAGCTCGAGGCCGATTCGGAGGTTGGCGCCGGGCATCGAGCAGTTTATCGATGACGGCTTGGTCCGGCTTGGGGACTTCGATCACGGCTGTGAAAGCCAGGGCGATGAAGGACACGATGAGTGACCGTCGTGGAAGATCGGTGCCAAGTGTTTCGGCCGCCGCTGGGCTCAAGGTCGTCGGAGAGGGCTCTACCCATCGGGCCAGTTCTTGTAGAATCAAGCTGTACCTGGCCTTGAGGGGCGGTGCCGGTGAGTACGCGGTCGCAGCCGAGTTTGAGGCAGACGCCGCCGAGGTCGACGCTACGGGATCGCTTGCCGTTGCAGCATGCGTCGACTGGTGCTGGACTGTGGGTGAGCGGCGAATGGCCAAAGCAAGGCCGCATGGTCGCATGCGTCAGTGGGACCCGGAAAGTTTCGACAGGTGTTGGTGAGTTCAAAGATGTGACGTACCCAGTTCACCAATCTGGAAGAACGGAACCGACAGCAGCAAAAAGAATCGACTATCGCTGGAGACGCATTGGATAATGGCCTACACGAGCATTGAAAAATGAGAAATGGGTAAACACAGAGCCCCAATATTCGAGGCCGGATCGACAAAGTGTATGTCCAAGCCTGCAAGATGCATGCCTCACCTTGGTCGCCACAGCATCTGCACCCTTCGACTTTTCTTCTTCTAGTTTCTGAAGTGGCACTGGGGCCCCGTGGTCGAGGATCGGAATATGCGAGAGGGCGCCCTCCTGGCGTACCTTGGCCAGGCTATGGTGCACGTCGTCCCGCTTGTATTCGATCAAGATACTTGAAACGATGTTGCCAACCCCACGTTGAATGTAGACGACAGCATCGCCCTGCGTGCGGAGAGCACTTTCAGGTTCGCCCAGTCGAACCGAATAGCGGGGTCTCGTCGCGGAGGTCGATGCGGAAGCGGAAGAAGCTCCGACGCCCTCGGTGATCGCGGCATAATGGTTGAGCAGCGCCGCCGTTGCAGATTCTAGACCGCCAAATAACAGGCGATGGAACGAGATTTCGACGTCGTGCTCGCTCTTCCGACCCATCTCGCTGTAAGGAGCATTACTGATGGCGTCTAGCTCCTCGCGGAACAGGTCCAGCAATGAGGGGTGTTGCTCGAGTACATCGAAGAAAGAGCTGAGAACCCTGACGCCAGGAGACGCGGGTGAGCCCCAGTTCAATCCTCCCAGCCGGGCGACGCAATCGTAGGCGGTCGTCCCAGCATCGGCTTGAACGCGCGAGGCAGTTGAGTGACACGCTCTATCGTGGTGCGGTGGCGGGAGAAACCAGCTGGATGGAGCACAATCACCGAGGAGTTGGGTGAGCGTTGGTGGCCGAGAGTTGGTGGAAACAATTGGCGTCGCTTCGTTGGAAGAAGCCATACAGAGCGAGATGCTGGAGGTGATGAGGCCCCACTGCACGTGCACGGCGGGAGGTGAAGATCTGATCGTGTGCGAGTTTGACGACGCGGGCGACGATGAGGTCGAACACGTGAGTCGGCGGGCACCAACTGAGCAATGAGCAAGTGCTAAAGTACCTTAGAGTCGGTATATTCATCGCCGCGGTGGTTCGATGTCTCAGGCGCCTGTAACACCAAAGATCGTATCTACTCGAGCGGGATGAAAGCAAGAGGGACTGAGGGGAGGAAGGGCCGGGGAACGAAACTTGTTGGGTGCCAGGTTCGTGACGCTGAGCTCTCATTCCAAAGTCGAAAGGGTGCAACCAGATCGCACACATGACTTCGCTGTTCCACAGTGGTGTGATACTTCTAAGGGATAGCCTTCGGGATTAGGTACTCGTCTGGCCTCCTAAATGCGGGGTCGAATAATATGGAAGGTATTGCACGTAATGCTTTTCGAGCTCGAACCCCCGGGACATTCGATTCCACCATCATTTCTGCTCATAATGATCTTTTTTTTTTTTTTTGGCAAGCAGAGGCATATGAAGACTATCAGCGACTTGTGCGAACCGGTACACAAAGAACCAGTAATTGAGAAGTCTATCATGCGATCCCGAGGCGGCTCATTGCATTGGCGATGACGTGCTCGGGCGAGTGGCTGTCGTCTTGGGGCAGGACGCTAAGGCCCAACTCGATGTGACGACGCTCGCACAGCTGGCGAAGGGGATCCCAATGCGATTTGAGGAGGAACTGATAGTGTTCCACCGCGCCAAAAGGGATCACGAGTGGAAACACGGACGCGTAGTCGGGGTTCAGAAGCAGGTTGTACAAGACCGCACTGACGACCATTACTTGCTCGATCTTCAACACCTCGAGCCTCGCGAGCGACGGCAACGCGAGCATCTCGACAGCTTCTTTCGCCGACCTTACCGAGACGTACTTTTCCCTCGTCTGAACTCGCACTTGGATCGTGAGCCGACGGAGTGGGATCGAAGCTGGGATGCTGGCGACGATCGATTTGAACGAAGTGTTGCCAAAGGCCAGAACGAGCATGTCCAAGGCTTGGCAATGCGACAATCCACGGCGCAAGATGTGGGCAAGATTCTCGGTTTGGATCGAATTGAGATCCGCGAGGCAGCCCAATGTTAAACGGGTGAGATGAGCGCCGTTGGCCGAGAAGTAGCGCCGGAGAGGTGCATCCAGTGCGTCTCGAGCAAGATCTTTTTCGATAAAGGTGATCCAGACCGATTCGAGCGCCGGAGTGTCGAACCGATTGAACATGAGCTTGAGTATCGCGGCGCTGACGGGCTCGACGAATGACCATTCGAGCAGATTCGGCAAGACGAGCCGCGTCGCGGGCAACGAGCGAGGTCTGCGGCGAAGTGCCGGCCCACCCGTCACCTCAAATTCTACAAGCTCTGGTAGTCAAGAAAACGAGTCCGATCGGAAGAAACGGCTCAAAAGCGAACCTAGAATCAGTTTGGCTTCAGGGTATGTGGAGCGTCGCGCACTCGCCTTTCAGATTGTCGGCCATTTCCTGATCAAACTCGAGGTAGCACGGACCACCCCGAATGGCCTTGAGGCGCTCAACGCTGCAAATGACGGCTTTGCAAGTGCCGCAGATCGTATCGCGATGCGCGTGGGAGTCGAATTGCGAATCGCGCACCTTGATCGCCCAGGTCCTGTCTTGTTTGGGTTTGTACTTAGGATCGAGGGGCTGCAGTTCGAGGACGAGAAGAGTGGCCGAAAAGCGGTTCCTAACCGGCGCCTCATTCGATTCGAGGAACAACATGGCCACTGAATGATTGGGTATGCTCCCGCGGAGAACTATGTGGCGGTAGGAGTGATCTTCCCATGCTCTACAAACACGTGCAAAAGACCCAATGGCAGCGCACTTCTCATCGGGTGTGAGCTCGTAGAGGTGCGCAACGATGCGGTTGAACACGTGGGCAGGTATCGACTGGGCGAGTGAGTACCTTCGGGTCGTCGTACTCGTCGCCATGGTGATTAGACTGGGCAGAAGAGATGGGAGTTTGCAGAATAGCCATAAAAGGGAGAGCAAGTGAAATGAGAGAGGGGAAGGACGTGTCGAGTTTGCGACGGCCGCCCCCGACGACGCGATTCCCCCCCCCCGCCCCCCCCCCCCCCCCCCCCCCGGGGCATTGACCGCCACCTCCTGTGTCTTCCCGGATGCGATCGATTCGGAGCTTGCTTGTTCCTAGGGTGCTTCGAGTTTCTCCTGAAAGTGATCGCGGACGATTACATTCAGTGGGTGGTTGCTCTGTTGGGTATTACGCCTTGAAATACCCCAGAGAGACGTGGGTATCACAATGTCGAAGCAGATTCTTCATCTCGACCAAAGCGGCGGCCTCAAAACTAATCCAGCGGCCAATCAACGATAACAATAGCCGAAGCGAAGTGACTACGCAGCTTCGTCATAAATAGAACACTTTTTATGACATTCGCAACCTCTTCAGCTCAAAACCTATAGCTTTGCTGACTCTTTCTTCAAGCTAACGACCTGAATACACAGCCCCGCTTCATTTAATTCGGGGAGAAAGTGTCGTACCATGTGAAAATGAATGCAGGGCCCCCGAGCTTCGATGATCAGTGGCGATATATGTTATTGATGATCGAATTGACAGTCGCGTTAAAGTCCGTACCACCAGAAACACAGTCGACCTTGATCGACAACTTGATATCGCGCACGGAGCAAATGCGCTTGAGCGGCAACCAGTCAGACTTCGGACTCCAGTGCGATCTGAGCTTGAATAGCCCGCTTCTGGTGTCGCGTCTGGAGCCGCAACTCACCAAGCTCGGTCACAGCGAAAAAGGTAACCGGCCAGAACAGGCCGAACGGCCCGTTCACCGCGCTTTGGATACGCAGCGTCCTCTGAAAAAACGAGTCATCTCACCAGCGTCAGCATCAGCTTCAACTTCTGACTCGGGCCACAGAGTCCCTTACCTTGACCTTCAATGTCAATTCATCGTCCACGTTCACGATTCGACCGAAACCGCGTTTGACGAGTCGAATGCCGAGAGCGTCGAGATGCAAATCCCCACTCCGAGAGCCTTGCTCAATGATCGACTCGAGCGACGCTTGCGTTGATGTTGCGTCCAATGAGTGCCCAACGGATCATCGAATGTAGTGTGGAGGCTCGACGCACTCCTACGATCCCCCCTTTGATCCATTGTCGGGCGCGGCTTTCTGACACTCTACTATAACACTCGGAGGGTTTCCGCAGAGAACCCTGGTGAGGGACGGACGAACGCGCTGAGCTGGAGCATCGACTCGATAGGATAAGCATCGCGGCTTTCCTCGGATACACGTAGTCGTCGAGACAGCCTTGCATACGACCTTGCGTTTTCGGTCGGAGGGGCGTGCTCGATTAGGTGGATACTCGCTCAAGCGCTCGCTGTAGACCTCGACTCGGAGGCTCGCGCCGTGACTCGATCGAGCAGGGTTGGATCCCGAATGGCGGTCTCAAGATGCAGATCCTCTCCTCCGGCCATGCGGCAGAAAGTGAAATTATCCATATCCCACCACGGTTTCATCAGTGGATTCGTTTGATGGAGCGAGCGACTGTGCGCGGATCGGCCGGGTTGGGATGTGGGACAGCACGGAGCTCGAGAATGTCTTGGAGGCTGGAGCGTAGCCAGAGGGGTTGTCGTTCGCGTCACGAAGGGCACTGCATGAGTTGACATCTCTAGGGGTGAGTTGTAATGGGGCAGCTGTTCTGAGCGGGGTCGGTGATGGCCCGACCGCAGACAGTGGCGTGCGATCTGGAGATTCGGGAGGCGTGACCATCCATCCAGACGTGGCGAAGCAAGGGGTCATCTCGTGTCAATTGAGCATTCGTGAGTGCAACTGGCGTTGAACGGCTCGAGAGGAGGCGTTAGACCATCGGGAGGGGGGAAGTCAAGGTCGCTCTTGGCAAGTCCGATCGTAGCATGACATGCATGACAAGCGAAGCGCGCAGGACTTTCTGGCATGGGACTTTTGGTCCGATAGAGTCACTCGATATCCTAGCGCCCAGTGAACCGCGTACGATGAAGCACCTTAGCTAGTACCCACTCTGATGGGTTCTTAATGTCGGCGTCATCAAGTACGTAAGTAGACAAGTGCACTCTCTGAAGATTTGGACTACACCTGCCCCATCCACAGCTGAGAAAACGGCGTTCGCTTTTTCCTTGTCGATCGCGGGACGAGATTTTCCGGTGAAAACCATGCGCCATGAGCTGGTATAAATGTCTGCCTCACCGTTCCTCCCCGCCCTGAAGTCAGTATAAAAATCAAGAAGCAAATGTGCAGATTGAAATTGCAGAATCCACGATTAGCGGCAGTTACTGGGCAGGCGGGTTGAAGCTTCGAGAAACAGTCGGAGAAAAATCGTCGGAATCACATTCAAGTGAAGCTGAGTGAGGTCGACTCCAGCACCTCGGACGTTGATGATTGGAGGGCGATGGACTTGTCTTGAGCTGTGGGTAGGTTTCGGATCGAGCAGTGGTTCGTAGAGGGATGTGCCTGCCGGTGCTTGCTAGAGCGTGTCTGAGCGCCACTAACCCGACGGACGCGAAGTAGCACGAAGAGGCAGGAAGGGGCTGGAAGGGGCTGTGAAGAGGAGTGAAGAGGCGCGAAGTGGCGCGAAGTTCGTCCACCACGGCCTACCACGGCGCCCGGATGCGCACGCTCAGGCTCTTACCAGTCTCTTGCCTCCGCCTCGTCTACAACCTCGTCCTCGTCCTCGTCCTCAGGCGCAACGAACTCGGTCACGTTATCGAGTTAGAGCGCTTGTAGTCTTGACGCAGCTTCTACATCCACGCCCCCCCCCCCCTCAGCTGCCTTCGTACGACCAGGCTTGCGGCGGGAGGCACGCGCTCTCTGCTGCTGGCCAGGACAGCGACTGCAGCAGCCCCAAGCCCGCCAGGAACGCGACCGCAAACTCGGCGTCGAGCCCTCTACCTCGGTATCGCACTCGTCGAGCCACTCGGCCCTGGTACGAGCGCACCGGGAGGCGGCTACGGGAGAGCGAGCAGCAGCCAGCGCCGAGGGGATCTCCAAGGCGATCCAGCCGGAGCTCAACTTACACCTGAGGAGCTTGCAAGATCTGGCCCAAGGAGCACACCATTGCCACCAAGAATCCGTCGGCGAGGTCATAGCAGGTGTCATCAACACTGTGAGTCGACGCCTGGGCTACTCGATCGCTTGGCAGCGTGAGCGTGCGTAGTTTATTTCTTTCGAGAGCTGACTCGCCTTTCCAATGTCGTTTTTCACTGCTGGCATTCTCCTTGCGGTCAGGGGCAACGCTGATGTAATGGGGCGAGTTCCTGCCTGGCGACCGAGCAGTCAGTCGCCGTCGGTCGCCAGGCAAGAACTCGCCCCAGTGCATCAGCGTCGCCCCTGACCGCGGGAAGACGGCCGAGACGGCCGAGACGACGGCCGACGTCGTGCTCCTGACCCGCGCTGGGGTCGCGCACGACCCAATCCTCCCGGATGCATGGACCTTTCCCAGTCACCCCGTTCCCCAAGCCGACGTCGATGCGGACACCGACACCATCGTGATACTTCAACGCAAACGAAAACGGCAATGGCCAGCATCAGAACGATGAGGCCGAGGCCGAGGACGCCGAGGACAACGGGTGCGATCAGCACGACGAGGACGTGGCCAAGGTGGACCTGCTATGGGCCAAACGCTCCTTCACGCACGTGGCTGCTGTGGGCGAGACCAAAGCGGGCAAGGAGTCCAGGGCTACGGACGTGTTGGTCGGACGATTGTCCGGTGGCGGTCGTCGAGCGAGGTCGTGGTCGCAAGAACGCCGTTTAGCCGATCACTGTGTTTGATGAGACGGTATAAAAAGGTCGACAGCTCTCCATTCTCTTTGGTGACCGTTCTGGAGTTGGTAAAGAACACCCCGCAAGCAGCCATGACGTAAAATTTTAGACGGTTGTACTGCAGGGTGAACCCGATCGCATGTTCCCAAATCGGCGTCGCGAGGAGTGCCGACAACCGTCTGAACAAATGGCCCTCGTCCCTGGAGTTGCCTGCTTTGGCTTTGGTCTCGTCGACGGCGGCCACGTGCGTGAAGGAGCGTTTGGCCCGGTTCACTTGGCCTTGTCCTCGTCGTACTTGTCGGGCCAGCCGGTCCTTCACGCACGTGGCTGCCATGGGCGAGATCAAAGCGGGCAAGGAGTCCACGGCTAAGGACGTGTTTTTCGGACGGTTATCGGCACTCCTCGCGACGCCGATCCGAGAGTGTGCGATCGGATTCACGCCGCGCGGCGACCGTCGCAAAGTCTACGTCATGACTGCTTGCGGCGTGTTCGTCACCAACCTCACAACGGTCACCAAAGAAACGGAGAGTTGTCGACCTTTCTGTACCGTCTGATCAAGCACAGTAATCGTCCTAACGGCGGTCTCGCCACCACGACCTCGCTCGACGATCGCCACGGCCCGTTCACGCTCTGACATTGAAGAACAAAATGCCAGGCTGTGTTCAGATAGTCGTCTTGACGAATGAGGTGTGTGAGTAGAAGCTGCATGACAATGCAATTGTTTCGTTTGTCAAAGGTCAAACTCTTGAGCTGCTTGCGTTTCTGAGTCCTTCCATCAGAAACAAATGCCTATAAGTTGGCGGAATTCCATGAATCAGAAAATTGATGAGAAGAAGCTGCGACCAGAATTTCGGACTTTGAAGAAAAAATCTCAGAAGCTAGCAGTGAAGTGGAGGTCAGGTGGTGTGGTCTTTGCGTGGCCAAGGGCGAGCCAGCTGGCGAAGCACCTATCCAGGGGTGCTCTGAGCTCTAGCAAAAGAAAATGCTGATTCTAGGTCTAGTAAAAGCTAATGATTTTACTTGGAGAAACAAATTACTATCGGAATATTTCAATAATCTCAACTCGGCAACATCAGCTCTATGCTCGGTAGAAAAAGACCGCCATCACTCTCGGTGATGAATAGTCCGCGGCCGATCATGTCTACCAGTTCGGGCGGCAACGATTGAGCTCGCGAGGGTAACGACGACGCGGCAATGTGTATTGCAGAAATGTTCTAGAGTGGTAACTGATGATGACCACGACTCAGTCCAATGAACAGGGACGAGAACAGAGTGAGGTAAGATTCCAAAGAGCTGACCTGATGATGACCACGACTCAGTCCAATGAACAGGGACGAGAACAGAGTGGCCAGAGACTAAGGGACAGACTCGCGGAAGGCTAGAAAGTGAAGCGTAAAGCTAATAAGGAGGGAGATTAGAGACTAGTAAGGTAGGGAGATTGAGTGACTAAGGAGATAATGACACGCCGCTAGGCTCAATCCCAAGTACCATAATAGGAACAATAATCAGATGAAGGACGGGACAACCCAAACGACCATATACGAATTACAATGTTCGAAGCAGCGGTCAGTAGCTTTCACGAGGATCCTGAAGCGTTGAGGCGAGGCGATTCAGATACCATCGCTCCGCAGAAGCCAGTCTGGACGCAACTCGGAGGATGGCGACAGAAGGCAAGCGGAAACGAGGAGCCCTGCCGCCCCAAAGACGTTGAAGCCGCGGCGAGGCGCGAACTGCTGTGAAGCGACTCAACCCCGGTCTTCCGAACGGATCGCTGCTCCACTAAGCGGAGTCAACACCTGTTTGGATCCAAAGTTGGGTCCGCTCGTTCAGTTTGTCCGATAAATGCGGATGGTATCAACTGCCATTGCCGACACGCGCGCGCCGATCCAAGTCTTCTCGCCAGGCGAATTTCTCGAGGCAAATTCCTCAAAGCAAATCCAAGATGGACCGGTTAGGTGGTAGATTCACATTCCACAGCAAGAGCCAAATCAACAATTTCCGTATCGCTTCTTGAGTGCTGTCCAACACTCGTTCCCACCCCATTTGACACGCGTAATCGCATCGGTCATTTCACCTCGTGTCAACTCCTCCATCGCTAGTAGCTCGGCGTTTTCAGATTCTCGTCCGGGCACCCACAGACTGCTCACTCGGCCTTTTGTTGAGAGTATCGAGTAGTCCTGCAACCGCATTTCCAGCATTTCCAAGTAATTGCATTGCGCTTCGGTCGGGTCTTCCGATCGCCACTGCGCGTTTCGATTGAGTGAGAAGTCGGGGCGCCAGTCAGGGTCGTTGCAGACGAGTTGGTCCATTTCCTTGATCAGAGATGCCAGATCCTGTGCTTTCCCGAGTGTGACCGACTCAGAGAGAATGTCACCAAACTCGTCTTCATCATCACCGTCCTCGTAACCGGTCGCCTTCCAAAGTGTTCCATTTCCAGACGCATGTCCTTCGACTTTGATCTGACGTTTCTTGCCAACCACGAGAACGTAAGCGTCATTGCCGAGCCCAATCCACGCATTGGGAGTGCTTCGCCACAGGTCAAGGTGACCGGAAGGATCGTCGGGTGAAGAAGCGGCAAGATACTCCGGTGCAGACCCAAAGACGTCATGTCCAAGGTGAGGAATGATGTCATGCGCTTGAATATCACTCATGAGTTCGATTGGCGGTGGTGCCATTTTTTCGCCGCCTCCAGTGGCCGATCGGTCTGTGCGAGCGTGATACGCTGTCAGCCCCATTTTGCGAGTGTCCACAAAGTATGAAGGTGGAGCTTACACTCCGGCATAACTCTGAAACCGACATCAAGTAGGTTGGGGGAACACGCAAGCCCGTCGGTCGCGTTTCCCACGAATTCGAACACATGGCAGTGAGTCTTGTTCGTCTCGGGACTCAGGCGCATTCCTCGGCCGAGCATTTGCAACCACCGTGGCCAGGAGTGGGTCGGGTGAACTGCCATGATCGAGTCGATACATGGGAGGTCAACGCCTTCCATGAAGAGATCTGCAGCATCATGAAAGAATGTGAATGAGTGGAGTGTCCAGCTCGTCAGAATCATGCGCGCAGACTTACTGCAATTGATGAGTACATGCATCTCACCGGCTCGAAAGCGATCAAGGACTTCCTCGATCTCGTCCTTTGACGTGGTACCATCAACCGCGCGCGCAAGAACTCCTTGCGCCCGAAACTCAACCTGCAGTGATTTCGTATGTTGGATGTTGCACGCATACATCACAGTGGAAGTGTAGACTCCTTGAATTTTGTTCTTGTACACCGCGACAACGATCTCATTCACCGTCTTTCGATCAACCACTTCCGCCAACGCCTTGAGGACAAAGTCACCATTCTTCCCTTTCCTCCGGACGGATTTGAGATCCAATCCATTGCCAAGTTTGACGGTGGTGAAACGCATCTTGGACAAGTATCCTGCAGCAATCATGTCCAACCAAGAAGCGTGCCAGACGATCTTCTCGAAAACCTTGCCGACCGAGACCTTGTCCGCTCGCAAGAGTGTGGCGCTCACCCCAATGATCGGCACACACGGTTCGCCGTTCGGTGACATCGTGAAAGGCGTAGGACCGAGGTGGCGGGGGAGTGGTCGTTTACAATCCGTCTTCGAGTGCTCGAATACATAGGGTTCAACATTGTTCTGTTCGAGTGGTCGATCACTCGCTTTGCCGAGTCGTACGAGCCGTGGATCAAAGTGGCGCGTAATCTTGAGGTAGGTCTCGGCAACAGAATGATGAGCCTGAGGACTTGGAGCAATCGTCTTTACTAATCACGTCTTGGGAAATGGATACGGAATGGGTCACTCTCACACCTTGTCAATGATCACAGCCTTGAACGTTGACGGATCATAGCTGTCGAGTCGTTTTTCCAAGCTCTGTGATCACGAAAATTCAGTACGGCCCTTCTTGGTACTCCATTCGCGGCTCCCCCACAGGACACCTGGCAGGATGCAATAGTGACGTCGGCGCAACCACTCGCATGAAATTCCCCTTGCTCAATTTCGACGCTCTGACATTATACCAAAGCCCCTTTCATCAGCGATCGCGACACTTTTCTCAGGGAGCACCCAATTTCTTAGCCGCCGAGGAACGTACAGCATCAGGAAGAAAGCGCTTTACCGTCTGTGCGGTTTGGTGAACGAGGTGTACAGCTCCGACGACGATGAGAACGCGACGAGCAACAACTCGGGGAGACTCGTCGCTGCAAATTCTGGGTGGGACGCGAGGGATGAGTGCGGTGAACATGACCGTCTTACCGCTGCCTGCGAAAAATTGAATCGTGAGAGCGAAGTCATAAGCTAGTCTGGTTCCTGGATTGCGTCCAGTTCGTACGGGTCCGCCGAGTCACCCGTGGGGGAGGAGATTGCCAAACGGGTGAGGTCCGTGTTCTCCAAGATGTCTAGCACGGCATTGATGCAATCGATCTGATACGGTCTCAGTTTGACGATCGGGGAAGAGGAGCCATCGCTGTCGATGCGAGAGGTATTGCGGTCGGTGACGCTGTCGTCGTCGTTAGGAGCGGAAAGGGGCCGTGCCGAGTCGTTTGTGGTCACGTGGCGAACCACTGGCTTCGAAATGGCCGGGAACGACAACCACTTTGCTACTAATTCCGCCGATGATTTGAAAGTCGACCCAAGGGCGTAAGAGGTGGATATGGGGCGACGAGTGTCCAACCGGAAACGGTTGATGAAATAAAGAGGTGGTGGGACACGTTGCCCACTCAACCCGATCCGAGTGGTGGGGCGGATGCGAGGTCCGACGCAGCTTTGTCGCATCCAGGAAGGGAAAATGTTGACCGCCTTCATGCTAGAGACGAGGCGCTACGGGAACGGGTGCTGGAGTCAGGCATATAAGGCCGCATCGAAGAGCGCTACAGCCTCGTGTTGGGAAGGCCGAATTGCTCTCTCGCGCGCTAGTCTCAGGAGGTGATCGCCGAAGGGAGTATCGGTTGCGGTCGTCGGCGTGTCATCATCGCAAGAGGCCGCGCCTGCCTCCAATCCTCGTGAGGGCACTTCGCTAGAGATTTAAAGAATTTCCCACTCGGATTTGCTCGGATCGCTATCGAATACCATTCAAAACATGGTTCATTGATGAGTCACATGGAAGGAGTGAAGGTGAGCCGCTCAAAGTGGCAGTAGTGCCTTGCCTTCGCGAGCTCGAACCGGCGGCCGGATAAGACGAGCGAAGATTAAATCCGAAGCGGTGGTCACGATAAAGGTGATCCTCGGCTGTAAGGTATGCGCCTCTGATATGCATAAAATACAATCTGTCGTTTTTGACCGCTAGGCTGAAAGCAAGTCGTAACTAGAAATCGATAGTTCTAGCTACTCAGAGGCTACTTATGGGGCTGTTCCTGTAAAGCATCCCCCATCCCCTTTCATCGGCAGTCGTTCGGTCGTTGGTCCAGGATCCAGGGGCCCAGCTGATCGTGCCGGCGCAGAGCAGTGTACGAAGCGTGCGAATAGTGAAACATCGGGTGAGCCCAAAGAAGTTGAAGCACCGAGGATGGGGAACCTCCTTGAAAGGTATCCGAGCGAGTCACACCGCCATTCGCCCTGAGCTTCTGACCACTAGGGCGGCTGAGCGGCTTCCTTTAGAGTGCTGCCAAAGCTCCGGTCAATAACCAAGATAACCAAGATGATCTTTTTTCAGCCCTGTCACGTGACTTTGCGCATAACGATATATTTGCCAACCTGAGCTGACGTTACATCCAAGTCTAAGCGTCTTGGAGCAGCTGGTAGCTCGTTGGGCTCATACTTCATACGAATCAAGTGACCCAAAGGTCGTCGGATCGAAACCGACAGACGCTAAGAATATTATTTTTTTGCCTTGGTTCTCTCTGCTCATGAGATGCACTTGCGTTCTTTTTTGCCCTTACTGCACGGTCTCTGCTCCACCTCATCTTTTTTTTGCACACATTTTCACCGTCCCGTCAGGAACGAAGCGAATGCGACGCTAGTCACTTGAGAGGATACCGCTCTCGACCTCGATCGATCGATGAAGCTGGAAAGCCTTCACTATGAGTCCTCTCCTCATACAGCACTCGGTGACCGTTTCGCACACCCCATAAAGATCATATCTACTTCATTCGCACACATCGTCCTACATGACCGTCTCAAGGATGGTCCAGGTCACCTCCCTTCCGCTCAGAACCCAACACCGATCAAGTAGTCCGCCAAATCTGCATCAAGAACATATAGTCATGAGTCGAACTGTTATAGGGTTCAATGGGGAAAGTTGGACGTACCCTCAACGATCTTGGTCGCCTCCCCTGGCAGGGTAGGGTGCGAGTACTCGGCGACGAGCACGGCCTGGTTCGTCTTGACGAGGACGATACCGTCGGCCTGAAGTGGGGAAAAAGATGATGTGGTATGGTCAGCATCGATGGTCAAAAATGATGAGTGGGTTCCTCGTCCTCCTCGATCTTGACCTTCCCTCCGGCCCCGCTCGAGTTGATCGGCCTTTGCATCGTCATGACGTGACGTGGAGGGCCATCAGCTCACCCCCCCCCCCGCCCATCGGTCGTCATGCGCTACTGCTCGCTGCCTCTTTTGCATCCGGTGCTCATCAGATTGGAGTAAAGTGTACCACTGACCGCCTTTTTCCCATAGATACTCCTATCGTTGGCGGCGAGGGTAAAGAACTTGTTACCTGCCGCTCGAATGCCATTCGCCTTTCGGTAAGCCAGCCCAGCCCCATCCGAAACCCCAAAACCCAAAATCAGCTCTTCAAAATTGAAAAAAAAAAAAAAAGCAAAAAAAAAGCGATCTTTTTAGCGAGGGAAGAACGCACCTGCGCACTCGAAGGATCACTGAACGCTTTGACGATGTTGGCTTGTTCGTCCGAGCTGAGCTCGTAAGCGGCTGAAGAGGCCCATACGCCCCCCTGTTGACCGAGGATCGCGCAACGGGTGATCTTGCCCGTGCCGATCAAGTTCGAGTCGCAGTCTGCGTGGCAAGAGGGTGGCAAAGTGTGGTCAGGGGAGGAGGGGAGGAGGCGTGGGAGGCGTGGAAGGGGTGAGCGAATGAGGCGGGGATGACGAGTGGAGAATGTCTGGAGCTGGAGCTGCTTACACACTGCAATGTGTGTGGGCAAATGGTACGAGATCGCGCAAGGGTCAGCGTTGGTCTCGTGCTGAGCTGGGAGCGTTCACGAGCTGTGCTGACCTTGCCACGACATGATGTGCTGTTGCTTGTTGCTTGTTGCTGATGTGGAACGGTTGAAGCAGAGAGTGACAGAGAGTGGCAGAGAGCCGAGAGACGAGCAACCGAGCCGAGTCCGAGCCTAATGCCCGCGCGTGTCTAATGGTGAATTGAATCGCTAAGGACTAAGGACCAATTCGGACCGATTCGGAGCCAGACGGAGCGCCCACGAGCTGCAACGAGCGCGCGCTGGTCACTTTCACTTCCCGCCCCACCTCCCTCCCACTCTTCACCTCCTTTTTTTATCAACATGTGAGTGCCGTCGCATTCCTTCCACTCCATCATTCACGACGCTGCAGCTGGAACGGCATTCCACGACGAACCGAACCGGGAATCTAGCCCAACCCGGGCTCAGCGGCCGAGACCACACACCATTCCCCGTGTCAGACGCCATGTACTGTACCTCATCCCCCATCCCCCCATCCTCCATCTCACATCTCACAGGGCACGCAAATTCCTTGTCGGGGGCAACTTCAAGAGTCAGTTTTTTTCCCCATCGCGACGTAGAAAGGCCGGCGCTTGGTTACTTCCCCTATCGCCGCCCCGACTGCTGACCGACGCCCGTACACGCCGTAATCTCCGCAATGCAGTGAACGGCGACTTGGATACGTTGACGACGCTGCTCACCCAGTTCAACGAAGCCAAGCTCGACCCCAACGTCGGTCAGTCACTCACACCTCTCACTCACTCGCGCTCATGCTAGAACTATTCCCATACACTGACTCCAAGTCGTGTAGAGGTCATCATCTCCCCTCCGGCTTTGTACCTCATCCCCTTGAAGGAGCACGCTCGCAAGGTAAACCGATCAAGCGCCACTTTCCGATCTGATCTCACGCCGACGATGGCAAAAGCGAAGATGCTGATCATCATTACTTTGGGGGTCTGATCCTGATCACCAGGAGATCGCCATCGCCGCTCAGAACGCTCACCAGCTCGGTTCGGGGGCCTACACCGGTGAAATTTCGCAAGTGAAACCCCCCCTCCCCCCCTGAATCGCTCCGACATCGTACTCACCTCATCTCCGATCTCTCAGGATCAAGCAATTGAAGGACGTCGGCCTCAAGTGGGTCATCCTCGGCCACTCGGAGCGACGAACCTTGTTCCACGAGTCCGACGAGCTCATCGCCGAAAAGGTGCGCGTACAAATTCAGCTCAAACCTACCCCAGCGAAATCCCTTGCTAATGTGTAGTTCGATCACATCGTCCACAGACCGCAGCCGCGATCAAGGAAGGCATCTCGGTCATCCTCTGCTGCGGCGAGTCGCTCGAAGAGCGCAAGGCCGAAAAGACGGTCGAGGTCAACATTCGTCAATTGCGCGCCGTAGCCAAGGTGCTTTCCAAGGACGACTGGAAGCACGTCGTCATCGCGTACGAACCCATTTGGGCGATCGGGACCGGCCTCGTCGCGACGCCGCAACAGGCCCAGGACGTACACAAGGAGATCCGAGCCTGGTTGAGCAAAGAGATCTCGCCCGAGGTCGGCGCCGAGACGAGGATCATCTATGGTGGTTCCGTCAATGAGAAGAACGCAAAAGAGCTTGGTCAGTACTTTGATTGTGGACGACTCGATCGAAGTAGATTGAAGAACTGACCTGGAGCACGCACTCCACTCCTCGGTCTCGCTCAGCCGCCTGCCCCGACATTGACGGTTTCCTCGTCGGTGGTGCCTCGCTCAAGCCAAGTTTTGTCCAGATCGTCAACTGCAAGACCGAAGGTGGCAAGCTCTAAATGCTGTAAAGAAGTATGCTTGCTCCGGTGATCTCCACTTTGATTTTGGGTCGTCGAGGCCGGGCTCGTTGCAGCCAGCTAAGGGATGATATATCGCCTTTTCCGAATGAAATCTAAACACCTACTCGATCCTCTATCTACGAAGCAGAGGAAACAAATCGTCGCAAAAGGCTGAGCCAAGTGGAGCCACGAGTCTTCGACGCTCTTCATACTGCATCGCGTCTCGTGCGCCTTTCTCGAGATGTTCATAAAGAGGTTGAATTCACAGGTGAGGACGTTATGAACCGTAATACTGCATAAACACATCAAAAAATTCGAATCCCGTATCCAACATATCCGAAAAGAGTAAAAAAATGCGCAAACATATACCACCGAGGCCTCGTCCCTGGTCACCTTAACGAACTGAGCACCGTCTTCCTCGCTCTGACCCTCGGTCGACTGGTCGATAACCTCGGTGTTTTGGGGAACAAATCGACCTGATTCTGATCGACCAATCCCTGCGCTTCCAAAATGACCTGCTCCTTTTTGACCCTCAACTTTCCAACCTCTTTGATGCCCTCCAACTTTCTCCTCGTCAAATCAAATTGATCCTGCCTAGTCGTGATCGTCGCGTAATCCTCATCATCCTCTTCGCCTTGCCCCACGACCTTGCCACTCTTCTGAGCAAGTTCCTTGAGCTGCCCATTGAGGAACGAGACATCTACAGCTTGACTCAACACGCTCGGACGTCTTTTCCTCAAAGCGAGTCGAGGAGGTAAAGCCGTAAAAGGTGAACGATCCTCAATTTTCTCTTTCCCCGAGTCACGAAGTACGGCAAAGACCGGTACCGGTTTCCTCTTTGTATTCGTCGTCATCGTCGTGACTTTGATCGTCTTGTTCGTTAACGAATTCGTATCGAACCCAACCTCGTCCCTTTGCTGAACGATTTTCTCAACCGGTGAAGAGCTTTCGAAACCTGGCGAAAGGATAGGTGAAGGGTTCTTCGCATCACTTGGTGATAACGAAGGTGAAGGGGTTGAATCGAGCATTGAAGAAGTGCGTGAATATCGATCCGTTCCAGCTCGGTAACGAATTCGAGAGGCGTGTAAGAAATCGAAAATGGCTTGCATCCCGATAGGGAGCTTGAAATCTGTTTTTGAGAGAGGTGAAAAGATCAGAAAAAAAAACCCCCCAAAAGTTAGGAGGGTCGGGTTGGGTTCGAGAAAAGTAGTTGAAAATTTTAGGACTTACTTGTTAAAGCGTCCCTCGAACGATCGGTATCGATCCATCTTGATCTTGATCGACGAAGTTCGTCTTCGGCTTCGTAAATATAATGAACCCATTCCCGACGACGGATGTACGGCTCTTCCTCTTCCTCCTCCTCTTCTTCTTCTTGTTCGTCCGCGAGCACATGGTCCTGCTGCGCCTCACCGAGCACGTTTTCGAAAGTGGGACCGACGTCAACATCAAGCACAGGAATGATGATAGGTGCTCGTCCACTCGATTCTACGACCCCATCAATCAGCGTCCGAGCAATTCCATCCGTCGCCGTCGTCGGCGCCAACGAAAGCCTATACTTCAACTCTTCTTCCAACCTCTTCGCCTCCACCTCAACATCTTTAACCGAATCCTCGATCTTTGATTCGACCGCCTTCTTAACGGGTGAAGTTTCAACCGAAGAGGACCAAGTCTCACGATCATCCTCCACGATCGTTTCTTGAATAAAAGTCGACGCTCGTAAACTTTGTCGATTCGTACTTTGATTGATGGACTTGGCTCGAATGGTGACCATCGGTGGACGGGAATGATAGTCAATTTCGAGCTGAGCTAAATCTAATGATGAAGGTCGAGTTCGTTCATCGTCGAGTTGGAATTGGGTAGTCGAGGCGAAGGAACCGATGCTTGAGCGTGGATCGTGATCCGATTCGGAAGGTTCACTCGATGGTGAAGAAGGAGGGGAAACTTCGTCGGCGATCGACGTGGGAGCTTGTTCTTCGTCGTGTTCGCTCGGTCGCGAACGAAGGTCGCGAATGCAGCGCGGCGACGACGAACGTGATGACACCTGCGCCGCTACTTCTTCATCCTCTTTAGTCGACTCGCCTCGTCGTCGTGCATTGAAGCGCTCGAGCGGGCTGAATTGCTTCGAGAATGGATCGACCTTCTTCACCGGCGACAAGGATCGTGACCGATCACCAAAGTTCGATACCGTCGCACTTGTCGCCAAGTCGCGCTTGCCAACACTCGAAGCTGACACGGACGAAGGGAACTCGAAAGCGGGTGCGAGAGGTGGTGAATGTTTGGTAAGCATCGGGATTCTCCTCGACCTCGGAACGGGACACGGTGAGCTCGTGATGGACGATATACTGAGATTGGTCGATCGACTACTCTGCGCCATCGAATGATTCGTCTGATCGGGACCATTGCTACTCCCCGAATCGCGTTGGCCGAATTCGGACTCTGAAGATTCGTCGACTTCGGCGAAAGCGCTCTCGATCGATCGTCCGCCTAGAACAAGCACCGATCTCGCTCGATCTTGTGAATACCTGACCAGAGATTGACGTAGGTTGTTCAAAGGCTTGCGCCGACTCGCAGGGGAAGGGGAAGCGCTGACGCCTTCGAGGGGTTCACCTTCGTTGGAGCCGTCTTCGGATGGTGCGAGAGAGCCGAGCGTACGGGTCATTGAGCGGCCGACGAGATCGCGCTCGACGGAGGGAGGTGGGGAAGTAGCGGCGATGAGTGAGGTCAGGGACAGTTCGACGTCCAGTGAGTCGAGCATTTTTTCTCCGACCTGTGCAATCGGGGACTCGTCCTCGTCAGTGATCTGATTTCGAACAAGCCCCCCTCGAAATCCGTGAGGTGATTTCTCCGCGACTCACCGTTGGTCTCTCCATCGTCAAATAATCCTCGAGACTCTCGCGAAGCTTGGGAAGTCGATCGACGGGCGAGTCGGGGGATGAAGAGACACTCAGTTTTCCACGAAGTAACATAGCCTGCAACACCGCACCGGCTGTCGTGACTCTGCCGCTGAAGCTCGAGTCGGTCGAGTTCGGAGAAGCGTCGGCGCGCAAGTTCGGCACGTTGCAGAATTTCGCCTCGTCGGAGCGCTCCGAGTCGGTGTTGAGCATGTGGTCCATCGTCCTTGTACCGAGCGCAATAAAAGAAGGCCCTTCGACGACTTCGTCCTCCCCATCGCTACTCGAATGATCGGACTCGGGAACCTCAGCTAATTCAACCGCATCGTCCAACTTGCAAGAACGCAAAGAATTTGAAGCCGAAGCGCGACCCTCGATTTCGTCGAACGGGTTCGGTTGTCCGATCGCCGAATCTCGTGAGCCAGCTTGAGGAGCATAGCGCACGGCATCGAACGTGCCGATGATGCCGAATTCTGGCACATGGATTTGGTTCGGTTCTTCTGCTGGGCCGTAGACTCCTACATCGATCTCGGAAATGTGTTCGGTGACGGACTGGATGAGCGTTTGTAAGTCGTCGGGCACGTCGGCGACGATAGGATCGAGGGACTCGAGGGAACCGAGTGATCCTAGGCCTGGAGCACGAATGACGATGGGAAGGTGGCGACGGAGAGAAGCAGAGAGATCACCGTCATATTTCTCGTCGGGGGAGAGGGTAGGCGCGACTCGAACGGAAACATCTTCGGTGTCGTCGAGGGAGGAAAGAAGCTCGGCGAGATCGGTCGTCGCTCCCCGAGTTTCACGGATGCCTAATGCAGGGAAAAGAGTGGAGTTTCCAAGAGTCAGCTTTTCGCCAATTGGACGAAATGGAAATAGTTCTGTGTATTCGTACCTTCTGTCGCGGGTGCGTGTTCCATGACAATGACTTGCTCGGGTCCCATCGCTCGCTTCTTCGGCGGAGACGCGATGAGAACGTCCAAGCCCCGGTGGGCCGGAAGAGGGAGACCGCGCTCGGACTTGACCGGCGAACTCGACGCCGTCTCGGAGGGAAGCAGATCACGGAATCGAGCTGGCGATGGCGACCGGAACGAACGAGCTGACCGGTTAGAGGCGGACGAGTCGAGCAGAGTGGTCGCGTCAGGATCCGAGTCAGAGACCGTCAAAGTCGCCGACGTGGGACGAGGCTCGGGTGATGGCGCCGAGGGAGGTAGAGAATCCGCCGAATCAGAGACAGCCGACACGTGCTCAACCTCACCCCTGCCTTTCAAATCCACTTCAACGATTTGGGTGACCCCGTCCTGTCTTGAAACGGCGACGATAGGTTGAGGAGCACTCGAGCGACGACCCGAAGGAACGGGAATGAGGCTGCGTCGGCGTCGCGTGATTGAGGAGCGGCGACGCGCGGTCGAGTCTTTGCCAACGAGAACTTGACCACCAAAAGTTGCAGCGTAGGGCTCAATGTCGGGAGTGATGGGTCGTTGGGGTCGTATTGGAATTATGCCACTTGTGCTGTTGGGACGGAGTGTCGCATTCGGAAAGATGGAGGAGATGGGGATGCGCGTCGGCAACGCCGTCGAGTCGACCTGGATCGCCCCTGTCAGGTCCTCGGGTACGCGGACCTTTTCGGCGCGGTGAACGACCGCATTCGCGAAAGCGTCGTTGGCGTCGTCGCGAGGGGTCGAAGTTAGAGCGCCCCGCCTCATCGATCGATTGAACAGCTTGGAGAACGTCCTCTTGACCGAACTCTCTTTCGAAGATGCCGACAGGTGCGACTCGCGCTTCGAGAAAGGGCTCGAGCTACTCTCCGTTGCACTGGACGAGACGGGCGAGCAGAGGCTCGCGGCTTCGGACGAGCGAGCACCATTGAATGCGAACGACTTGAGTCGTGCGGGGATCCGACTACCCTGAAGACGAGAGAAAGAAGCTCGGCTTGCGACGCTCGGCTCGCTGGACTCGGTGTTGTAGAACCCAGCGCTGGCGAGGCTCGGTCGAGTCTTTGCGGAAGCTTGATTGCGACCTTGAGACAGCTTCGCAGACGAGACCGAGCCGTGAGCCTTTTGCGAAGGCGTTGACTCGGTCACCGCGGCGAGCCTGCCCGTCCATTTTGTACCAAACGCAATCGTCGACGAGCGGGTCGGGATCGATGACTTGATGGCGGCTCGGCGCGCCATGATGTTCCTGATCGAGGTCGCTTGACCGAACGAGCGCGCACCTCTAGAGAGCAGTGTTTCACCCACAAGAGGTCGAGCTCGCGATTCGGCCGAAGACGCCGAGAACTTGGACATGGGTTCGTTCGGGACCTCGAGCATTTGGGGAAGTTCATCGAGACGTCGGTGGGGACTGGTGAGGAGATCGCCGTACGACGCGGACTTGCGAGGCCCGAGGCGCTTGGGAGGTGAAATGGAGGCCAAGTTGACGACGGGAGCGTCGAACCTCGAATCGTGAAGACGCTCAGAACCGATTCGAGCCGCATGCGGAGGCGAGGTCATGAGGTTGAGTGGAATCGATCGCGACTTGTGGAGACACCGAGGTCGCTCGTCATTCGAGCCGTCCTCACCGCTTTCGTCGCCGTGGAGGCCCGAGTCGATGGAGTCCATGACCCGATGATGCCCACCCCCCTGGCCCGCACGTCGAGTGAAGGTCGGATCGTTCGCCCACTTGCGAGTCATGGCGAATTGATCATGGTGCAGCGTTGCTTGACTCGGTGCGCGACTCGGCTCAAAGCGATACACCCGTTTTTGCTCGTCGAGTCGAGTGCGACGACTTTCACGAAGAACGTCCTGCGCTCGCTGGATCGACGTACGAAAGGGGGTGTCCGCGTCCATCAAGAGCGATCGGCCAAAGTCGTCGATATCGGCACCGATACTGGGAGAAGGTGCGATCATTTTCTCATCGTTTGACGAGCCTACCGCGCCACCGAGTGAGGTGTCGAAAGGGTGAGTCGACGACTGCACATCGATCTTGGTCGAGTAAGCCCAAGTCGGCGAGTCGGTCATGGTTGAGCTCCGCTGCTGATCGGTCGGTCTTCGCGGCGTCTCGTCAGATTCGAGCTCGTGAACGGGCGTGAGTGCGGTTGCGACTGCGGCGAGGGAAAGTGAAGTTCGAGGCGATGGCGGAGGCGGGGTGAGGACGATCGACGGAGTCGTGAGCACGGTCGTGCCCGTGCCGCTGCAGCTGACGGCCGAGGACGAAGTTCGAGAGGAGGAGGAGTGCGATGGTGTTACAGAGGTCGTTCGTTTGCGTCGTAAGAAAAAGTGTCGAAGCCGCTCGATGACGTGGGAGGTGGTCGACGAGCGGGGCGAACGCGGCGGCGTGGGAGGCTGCAGACGCGAATTCGGTACGGTCGAGTTGAGTGAAGCCACGGTGAGCAACGCGATTCGTGGCCGAAGCGGAAGAAAGGGTCGTTTCAGAGGAAGGAGACAAGTCGTTATAGGTTCGTATAGGAAGCTTCGTCAAGCCCGTGGGTTCATGGGTGTTGTTTTGGGGGATTTGTGGTGGGTGTTGTTTGTTTCGTTACGCGGCGTGCTGCAAATGGGGCGCGTAGGGTCAACGTCAGGTAAGTCGCCCCTGACGCCAGCGCCGATCGCAAGGTGCGTGCCGAGCCACTCACAAGGGATCGTCAACCTGTCGTTATCTCACGCTGGACACACACACACACACACACAAAAGTCGTACAGTCGTGATATGGTAGCCGAGTCGTCAAGGGGTTCGTGGAAGTGAAGACTGAAGAGCCGAAGAGCGGAGGTTGTTTTGAATTCCGCTAAGAGGGCACGCGCGCGTAGCCGTTTCAGACAGGAGGCACTTGGCTGTTTCTCGACCTGGGGGTCTCCTGAGCGCGTCTCGGTTGCGCATCGCCGATCGTGGCTATCACTTTGCGCACATTTTGTCTTCGCTACAAATTTGCGAATTTGGCAGCGAATGCAATCCGAGTGTGCAATTGAATAATTCTAGAAAGTCAGGAAGCGACGGATCCGGAAAGCGGGCACAGGAACGCTACAAGATGCGAAGGTATGAACGAGATGCAATAAATACGACATGGGATCCAACGACTGGGTAACGCGATAGTACTAAGCGACATAAGGAGAGAGAAATAGTGTCTGTGCGGGAGAGGATGGAAGGCGGCGAGGTGCGTGCGGCGCATGGAGAGAAGAGCGGAGTTTCATGATCGCATTCGCATCCAAGGGTGGTCGCAAAGGCGTTCGAGGGTAATGCGCTCATCGACGTTCACGGCGAAGCATTGGTCGAGCAAATCGTTCGCGGCGGCGGAGAGCTTAGAATTGAGCTCGCGGTTGCGCTGAGCACGGCGGATGTGATGGCGAGTAGGGTACGGCGTCGAGCCGGTCAGGAGGATGTGCAGCAACACGCCGAGAGACCACACCTCGGCCGGGAAAGGGTGGTAAGGCACCTTGTCGAGTGTTTCCGGGGATGCAGAAGAGACGGTTCCGAAGAAGCGGTCGCACATCGAGACGGGCTCTGACGTGCGAAAGTGAAGTGCCGAGCCAAAGTCGATGAGTTTAACGCAGCCTGCGGCATCAACGACGACTGATGGGCACCAAGCAGATGGGAGGTCAGTCTTCGGACAAGCATAGAAACTATCTCCTCAGATATAGTACACTGCAGCAACTTACTATTCTCGTCCTTGAGGTCGCGGTGCGTGATGCCTCTCTTCCTCAGATCATAGACTGCGTCGGCGATCTGCGCGAAGAGGAATCGGGCCGTCGGCTCGTTGAAGTGCGAGTGCTGCTCGATGCACTCAAACAGGTCCGACGACGAGCTCCGGCGCATCATCGGCATCGAACGGGCCATGGTGGTCGATTGGGGTTTGGGCTCGAGCGAAGTGAGCGACAAGGAGTTGAGGGCCGAAGACCGTCGGATCGGCGTCGGGCGGGAGATCCGCGGAAATTCATGCGACGAAGAGGCCATCATTTCAGAGGATCGCGGCGAGCTCGCTTGGGCGGCCATGTCGGAGGAAGAAGGCAGCGAGTGGAGGTAGAAGGATGCTGTCGGTGGTGTGAGGGGCGGTGAGGGAGGAGAAGGAATTGGGATGATCGACCCGACGTGGTGGTGGCTCGAGGGCTTGAGCCAGGGCGAGCCGTGATGCTCCATCACCTGCGAGCGGGTGCGGAAAGGTGGGAGTGAGGCATCAGAAAGTCATATTCCCCATTTCGACGCAAGAAATGCAAGGATGATATTGTGCTCACCAAATAAAAATAGTCGTCATCGGCGAAAAGGTCGAGGTACTCGACAACGCCGCGGTGCCGCGCCTGGCGAAGGATGTAGGCCTCAAGCGGTAGCACGATTGTGCCGTCCTCCCACATGTCAAGCCCCTCCGAGGCCTCCCATCGGGCTCGAACAATGGATTCGCGAGCCATGCGATTTTTGAAGATGAGCTTGATCGCAACTTGGCGGCCGTCCGCACGACGAGTAGCCTTGCACACCCATCCGAAGCCGCCACTGCCAATCAGCTCCTCGAGCTGGTAGTGCGTATGGAAGAATGAGCCGGGAGGCGGCGACGAGGAAGGGTCGATGGCGCTCATGTCGTGTTTTGACGGTCGACAGTGAGTAAGAAGGTGAATGCTTCGCAAAGGGATGTAGCAAGGTAAGAGATGCTGGCGGCTCGATGCGACCGGAGCGGATCAAGAGCGGCGACGATGATTCGGGAAAAGCGCCGCGGTTATCTCGCGGTGGACTCGCGCCGGAGCTACGGTTAGATCGCGGACGACTGGCAACGTTCGAAAGCGGTTTTACGAGGAAAATGACGGACGGGATGAAAAAGCTGGCGAGCAATGCAATGAAGAACAAAGTTGTAGTTGGTGATGGAGAAGTGGAATCGTGCAGCGCAAAAAGGGGGGAAAGAGAGAGATAGGTGGGACGGTGGAAGTAATTGGGCGCCAATGAGGGAGGGACGATGTGGGGTGTCACCAATCAGGTCTGCGAAACGGGGCGGGCCACTGGGCGAGTGAGAGCGAGTTCTTGGGAGTCCGCCGCGGGCGACGTCGACGGCGAGTAATTTCAACGATCATCTCTCGCCTTCTCTGTGGCCCATCTAGCGGTAGTTGAAAGCTGATGCAACGTGACTTTACATCTTCGGCCCTGGCACGTGAAGCGAGTACAGATCTCCCGGTCCCCTCGGAAGCATTTCCTCGTACCTCAAACCTTTGCAATGGCGCAAGGGTTGAATGCACAATTCTGAGGTCTCGACACCAGCACCCCCACGCGAGGGCAGGACCGGCGGTCCGGCACCCCCACCCGAGGGCGGGACCGAAAGCTTCACTCTGGCCACACGCGCGTGTGCGGGCGCGACTTACGCTCGGCTCAAGGCACCAAACGGAACCTCTCAGTCGAGGTCGTCGCGAGGCTGTTATTGAACTTTCGGATGCACAAGCATCCTAAATGTACTTGTTCTATTTCCTATTCTAGAAGTGCTGTAATTACCTACTGGGTGCCTAGTACCGACTCCCTCTATCGCAGCCAGATGCCAGATGGCTCGCGTCGTCGCGCACCCGACGAAAATCTCGGGCGCGTCGAGACGACGAACCCCTCAAGGGCGTATCCAAAGGTCTCATTCTGTTCAACATCTCCAGTCTGAGCTCGCTGGACCAAGACGCGTCGGACGTCGGCGGCTACCACGGAGCACTGGTAAAAAGTTGTGCTCGATGCAAACCTGGGTGCAACCGCACTTGGTGGAGTTTTACCAATATACAACATGTGAATTTTATGCCGCAGGCCTAGATATCATCGGTGACCTTGTTGAGCTCAAGCAGCTGTGTCTCGTCAAATCTGAAAATCGTCACCCTGAACGCATTAATTGCTGTGTGTCGGCCTGAGACAACCAAGCTGGAAAACAAACTACGGTACCTGGGCCGCAGCATTCAGCCATCTCAATCTTGTCCACAAGACTACCTACTTAACTGCAAAGGAAGTCGCGACAGAGAGACCAGCTTACTTTTGAGGGTCCTGGAAAGCAAGAAGACACCGGTGTCCTCTTGCATAACGTGAAACGTGAAAGTGAAAACTCACTGCGGCCGAGGCTCGACAGTGGGCTCAGTGAATAGGTAGGTACATAGGTCCTTATGAGCTTGTAGTTTGAGGGTTGGAAGGGATGACTCTTAGGAACATCAGACCTTCTGGAACCATCAGATCAAGCCGGATCTGAGTCCGAGCGAATGTAAGCCAACCGCGCGTAGATGGGTGCCGCTAGGGGCCAGACGTTCAGCTCGCGGCGGTTCCGCTTCATTCATGAAAAATACTAGGCACTTAAGTACCTACTGAGTTCGCGAGAGCCGCGCACTTAGTTTGAGATGAGATCATACCGTCGCAATCCAGAGCCAGCCTGGGTGCGTCAACATGCCCAGGTCGAGTTGGATCACGCGACTGTCGTCTCGTTCAACAGACTTTCTTTTTCAGCTCGGCCGGTGTCTCCACTTGCCGGCGCTTCCGAAGGCAAAAGAATGTTCGACTCCGGTGCTCCAGATACTTAACAGCACTACATGATCGAAACATGGGCCGCTGTACGTGAGGAACCTCTCTTCCGTGATGAGCGGATGAACGGGTACATAATTTGCCGTTCATATCGTCCTCGACTGGCCATGGGCGACGGGAAGGGACTGGATCGTGCTTGGCGCGTCTGTCTCACTCGCGTTGATTGCGCCCCGCTTACGGGCCCGTAGGCGGGTCCAGAGCCAGGTTGGAATGGGCTCCTTGATGTCAACTACGAGTGACATCGGCTATCGCTTGTAGCCCACCAACTTACATAGGTACCGAGGAACCGGGCAAAATAAGCGTTTGCTCGCTACCCCAAAATAAGAGGGGAACTGCCGACTCAAGTCGACCGACGACGTTTCTTCGTGCTAAGCGACCGCTCACGCGAGCATGTGCACGGACGAGGGTCCGCGTCAGCCGAGGGCGAAAGGGGTCTAAACAAATTTGACCAAGGCCTAGCGAACGTCAAAAAGTGTGCAGTGGTCGATCTTGTAGTCCATCTTCCGGTTTAGGTGTCCTGCCGACCTCCCTGCCAACCTCTAGTCGCTTTTGGCTACCCATGTGGGTGTCATCACAGTGCATACATTCAGCTGGTGCATCACGCGTGTCCCGCGCAGCTCCATCATCCCGCGCGCTAGCGGTCAAAGTAGGTGCCGCGGCCCTGTCAGCAGGTAGATAATGCAAGTCGCGGCCGGCGCAAGATAACCACGACAAGTTTGTTTTTTTAACTTATCTGCCTACCCAAATATCGACATTGAGCCCTAGAAGTTGTAGATGCGCTTGGATAGAGGGGGGCCCCGCTTTGACTGACGGACTGACTGGGCCGGGACTAAAAGTGAGACTCGCACGAGACAGCGCAGCCGCCGAGCTCGAGCGTTGCCGCCTGAGGGGCTTGGGATAGCTTTGTATGTAGAGCTGCCTGGTGAGGACCTGTCGGCTCAATGCAACAGAAACATTTGCATCATTACTTATATGACCTCGCAATCAACAAAAGGGGCCTCACTGGTAATTCCAGTTGGTGCTCATACACCAATCTTCAAAATTCGCTTCGAGAAACGAATAGAGACCCTGCCGGCCGCCGCCGACTCGTTCCCGACCGTCGACGAGTTACGTGACGCGACGGGATCGTGCCTTTGGGTAGACGCACACTGGCGCTTTGAGCTGCAACGGATTGCCGTGCTCCTCTCAAGCTCGACTCGAGCCACTGCAGTCCGACTTTGGTCTTTGAACCTCCAAGATGTGGGGATGGGAGAACCTAGAAATTAGAGACCGAGGTAACCCGTATTATGGTGACATCAACGCAAGTTTCCAAGCTAGGTAGGTGGGGTGATGGGGAGGTGACGTTACTAGTAGGGAGCGTACTACTACGAGGTGGGCACCAGGACCCTCGAGCGCCTTGTGCCTACCCAGCCGTCAAAGATTCTCCTTCACCGCAGCATACTCTCTGGAATAGGTCTACCAACTACCATATGGCTTTAGTCTATAATTCGCGCCATCAATGTGCAGCAGCTGCGGGGGTGGGGTGAAATTTTGAATTAGATCGAGAGGAAGTGAAGCTCAAGCCAGATGTATGCGCTGGCGCGGACGGGTAATGCATCACGGCCGCCAGTCAAGGCAGCATCTCTTCAGACTTTAGGCGTCTAGAATTTTTTATACAAGTTACCTATTTCAGGAAGATCGATCAGTGCTCAGAGGGCCAAAGCATTTGGTGCAGAGGTGGAAACTGTACAATCAAAAAAACGTGCCGAGCGCCAGCCAGCCAGCACGATCGGAGTCCGGGCTAAGTCCGTGTGTCACATTCGCATTACTAGCTAGGCGCCAGGTAATCGTAAAGCAGGTGTGTACCTGGACTACTATAACTCCCACCCGCCGTGGTTACAGTTACAACCCGCCTCGATCCAACATCGAGTGAGTCCGATATGCCTTAGGATCCGATACCGGTTCCCAATGTAGATAGATTCCACCAGGGCATAAATCGCGACGTGCCGTCACATTTCTGTCTCACTCTTGCCCGTTGCCACCCGCTGGCATCGCGGAACGCCTACGACTAGGGTGGAAGTGTGCTTCTACCCTGAAGAATCATCTGCTTGATCGGGGAATATGACCAATGGCATTCAAGTCCCAAGCGGAATCAGCACACTGCGGTCGGAACATTTCAAATTGTAGGTCCGTGCCCGCGAGCTCGCGCGACCCGACGATTATCTATTTCGGTCGGCAGAAAATTGCCTTACAAATAGCCGTTCTACACTATGTCTACATGTGAGAATTTTCGTTGAGCTGACTCGGTTTCTTCTTTCGATTGGGCTGGCGTTTGCTCTCAAGGAGCTCGAACTTTCGGCCTTCATATTTCCCAATGCCTGTGGAGGGAGAACATTCGACCCGTCTTATATTTGCCGCAGACTGCCTTCTCAATAAACCACAGTGTCGTGGTGGCAATCTCCAAAAAAAAAAAACTCAGATTCATTGGCACTAATCTGACCGGGCCATGTTTTCTGGGGCGCGTAGATTCTTCCTTGCCTGCGAAATTTCATCCCATCCCGTCTCCCCTCTCTGTGGAGCACCTCCAACGCTTACAGCGAACTAGTGAATGACATTATATCACAAATGGAACATCACGACATGCTGAAGAACCTGGATAGGTAATAGCTGCTACATACAAAAGTGGAAGCCGAAGGAGTGGACTGAGACCGGAAGAGTTTTTACTGTTTGTGGCGCATAGACAAAATCATCCAACGAAATCGAAAGTATGCACAGATGGTTGCTTTCGGAGTCTTTATATTTACTCACAACACACATTCACAACAATCCCCGACTCACCCTCCTCAGCACCTCAAGTCGTAATCCCCATCGGCTCATCCTGCGCTCGCGTCGCCAGCGACCCCTGACGAGCGGGCTCGACCTTGGGCAACGTTTTGGCCCACCCAACGATACTGCTCTTCTTCTGCTCCATCTGCTCGATCTTACCCTCCAATGGCGGGGTAGGCGGCGGTGTATGAAGTGACTGGTTGTTGGTCGCCCATGAATCGGCTTGTGCGGGAAGACTGGTCGACATCAGTCTCGATTCGAGAGGTTGACTTCTGGCCAATCCGCTTGACCTACCGTTCTCCTCAGTGGAGACCCATCCTCCCCCAGCTCCACTCGCAGCACCCATTTCATCCTTACTATTTCCAGCCCTCTGACGCTGCTCGGATCGATACTTTGGCGACGAAGGAGAAGGGCCGACGAGCACGCGTCGCTGAGGCTTGACGTGCGAAGTCGGCGACGGAGGTCGAGCGAGGACAGGGGTGCGTCTCGTTTCCTACTCGATCGATGCAGAGAGATGAGAAAAATCAGCTTGTGGTAACAAAATAGAGGAAGTAGATCGAAAGTACCACATACCTCCGGTGGTAGGTTCTCATCATCAAGAGCCCGAACTTCTTCCTTTTGCTCGACGGTAAACCCCGAGCACTCGACAATCGCGCGTTTCTTCAAAGTGGTCGCAAAGTATGAAGAAGGTAATGTGGTCAGATCACAGACCTCGTAGAGTAAAATATTGTGAGTCGCGTCGCCGAAAACTACTTCACTCACGAGCAATTTGTAAATCGAGGCGAATTTGTCCGGATCGACATGCGCCTTCCTCGCAGCGAGGACGGTGACGTCGTACGCGCAGTCGAATATCGCGTCGCGCTGCTGCTGGGTGTACAGATCAAGCTCGGCCCACGGGAACTGTAGTTCGTCGGTCAATCGCTATCAGATTGCGTCGCCGCTGATAGGTGTGAACCGTGCGAAGCCTACCTTGGCAAGGATTGTGACGACGTTCAAAAACGCCCTTTCTAACGGGCGTTCCCTCGACTCCCTCTCATCCTCGGCATGACGCACCAACTTTTCTACATCCTTCCTCGTCAAGATCGTCTGCGGCAGAATGTAATGCGAAGGAACAGGTGGTAACGCAGAGGCAGCGGGTGAGGAAGCAGGTGTCACGAAGTAACCTTCTTGCGAGAAGAGGTCGCGCATCAGTTCGCCACGACGTTCCCATTTGACACGAACGGTGCGGTCGCCGAGCAACTTGCGATCCATCTGGGTCATGACTTCGTTGGCGATCTGGATGTTTTTCATCTCGACGTAGGCGTGGGGAAGCGTGCGACCAGTTTCACTGAGATAAAATATAGCAGTGATCAGCGATTGAGGATCAGGATAACATCCTATGACTGAGCTTCGACTCACCGATGCAAAATCAAATGCACCGCCAAAAGCAGTTTCGGATCATCCTTCGGCGCGATCGTCCCCTCAGGCAACCAATTTTCGACGTCCCTGACCGTCGTCGCGAAAGGAAGGTTCTCGATTTTGATGATCGGGAAAGCCGGTTTATGGACCCTCCAAGCGCTCCTCGCTTCGACCGAAGTCGAACGCGCGCCCTCCGTCGTCGAGGTCGCTCCGTTCCTCCTCAGCGCCGATTCGTCGATGCTTCGTCGTGAAAAGGCGAGGTGGCCACCGTAGCTCCCGCGAGGCATTGGTCGGATGGATGTCATCAACAAAGGCGAAGGCACCATCTTGTTTTCCCCTTCGAACCCGACTTGATGTCCTCCCGGTGCACCCGAATTTGAACGATCACCCGGGATCGGCGATAGTGAACTCTGAGGCAAGGAAGACGCACGACCGTGACGAAAAAAGCCTTTGCGCGATCCTCCGGAGCGAAAGCGCGAAGTCGGAGCCTCGCCTGCACCTTGGAACGACCGATTGAAGGGCTTTGAGCGGGGACCGTCGCCGCCGGTACTGGCGTAGTGAGCACTCGTTGGGTCGAATGGGATCATCGGCATCATGGTCGGTGGCGGCATCGAGTAAGAAGGTGGGGCTCCGAAAGCTGAGAGTATGTAGGGAGGCGGCATCGGTGGAGAGAAACTCTGCGTGGTTTGCGCACCTGGAAAGACGAGCCCGTGCGGCACGATCGGGAACGGAAAGCCAGGCGGAGGCGGAGGTGGGGTGTTATGTTGCTGCTGCTGTTGTTGGGGTCCAGCTGCTACCTCACCGTATCCACCAGAAATCGTTCCATTGACGCTGTTGCCACTCAAAGTCGCATCGTATCCCTGATTCATCTCGGGTGAAAACGATGGGATCTGAGGCAGCGGGATGGGCAACCACGAGGGGTCGACGGGGAAACCGAAGGGGGGAGGGGGGAACGGCTTGGCCATCGTCATCGGGACCGAGTGCGTCGGAAGCGTGTAGTGGATCGAGAACATTGAACTTGAATCCTCGTGTTGGATCCGCGATTGTTGTTGACCATGTTCGATCTCGTCGCCTTGTTCTCCATTCTGGCCCATCGCACCGATGGTGAACGAGTCGGTCTGACAGGCCAGGCACTTGAAAATCTTGGTACGACGCCCTTGCTCGTCCGTGCCCACGAACCTCGAAGAGCGAATGATGCTCCCCAAGTGCTCACGACAGATCTTGCAACCACAAGGGGCGAGTTCGCAAAAGGTCGGATGAATGCAGTGCTCGACCATGCACGCGCGAGGAGGGTCGACGGTGAAATCGAAGCGGGTCGATTCGGCAGGACGTGATGCCACGAGAGGTGCAGGAGCTGAAATCGTCATCGCCGTGGAAGCACATAATGAATCCGTCTGAGCCAGCTCATGCTCAGGGCAACGATAGTCGATTCCCCCCTGTGCGCACAGTTCCGACGCAGCGACGGCGGTCGGAGTGACGTCAATCAAGCTCGGGATAGGGGGCGTTGGATCAAGGTGCATCGGATAGTTCGCCAACCTCATAGCAGCGCCTGTATCTTGGGGATTGAACATGAGTGGGAAAGGAAAACCAGGAGGTGCACGCAAGGGAAGACGAGTCTCGGGATCGTAGATGAAGCCGTTCATAGAAGGAGGCGGTGGGTCCGAGCCAGTGCCGTGCGAGCAGCGCAGGGTTCCGTTGGGCTGTGAGGGTGGCGGCGGCGGCGGCGGACTTTGGAAACGCTGCGGTCGCTTAGCTTGATGAGGGTGCCGATTACCCGGCGGTACATTCATGATGGCCAATTGGGTCATGATAGTTCGAGGTCGGTCGTGTAGGCAACTGGAGATCCAGAGATGGAGTGATCGCTTTGTTTTCTGTACGCGACGTCAAATAAACAACGAAAAGCGTGGAGAGATTTCGAGCAGCGGGACTTCGAGAGAGCGGGGGAAGTTATTGGAGCTGAGCCGTCGGGACGTGTTCGTACAGAGACCTAAAGAGTTGGATGGTGGACCACGAGCCGATGCGCCGAGAGATCGGATTGTCGACACAGTCCGATGGCAAGGTCGAGCAAAGCGAGCGACGAGCGATGGCAATCTGTGGAAGCACACCAGAAAGTCTATGGTCAGTGCTGATCGCCACTGTCGAATGATGCAAAGGGCTATGGACCCAACGCCCGTCGCACAAGCGCCGTGCACTCATCACCGCGGCGGTCATCGAGGTCCGAGGTCCGAGTCAAGTCACTCACCCTCGCAGTCACTTGTCACTAACAGAACGAAACGAAACCCAAGGTGCGAGCGACCTCGAAGTGACAGCCGGAATGGACACAATGACCAAAGAAGAGATGATCAACCTTTCGCGCGTTCCTCCGAAACCGATAAGGCCGACTCTCGGCAGCTCTCGGCAGCGCTCGCCCTCGAAGGTGCGCGCTCGGAAAGGAGGCAAGTCCGACTCGGAGATCTCTTGGCGCCCGGAGGTTGGCTCGGTTCGAGGTGCGGACGTCGGACAATGCAAGCAAGTCTGCTTTTGATGTGATGCGACACCTAGTCGTACAAAAGTATGAAGGGATGAAGGAAGACAAGCGAATTGGGAACTGTTTATGTTGTGAGTAAGAGGCGAGAGCGAAAGCAATGAGCTCGCGAACTTCGCGCCACTGCACCGATCTCCGCCGCACCGTCCACGCGTCGCACCGATCGAGTTCAGCCGCCAGCAGGGTGAATGCTTGCCTCCTAGAAGGCTTGGCGCTTCCACGTGGGATGTTATCTACTATCAGGGAGTCTTCAAAAGGGGAAGGAAGGCGACTTCAACGCCTAGCAAAGTCGATCTTGCGTCATTGCTAGTCGGAAACCCGGAAACAAGTCCGAGGTAGTCGATGTTCTCGGCTCGACTCGACTGTGGAGAGGGACCGACCTTCGTGTAGTTCAAAGCGCCGCGTGTGAAGGGACGGATTCCTGAACCCCTGACGGAGAACATCCTCTTCCGGAGCTTGATGACGATGTGAAAGTACACAACTCCCACAGCGTAGCTCCGCCAAGTATCGGTACCTATACTCAACAACGCCTCAAAAATCCAAATGAAATTTGCAAATCGGAAACAGTACCGAACCAACCCCCTAACCCTCCCAGGCCCCGATCCAGCCTCCACATTTTTCAATCTTAACATGCAGTTTTGCCCCCCTCCCCCCTCTGCCTTAGTCAGGCTATATTGTCAGAACTTAGTGACCCAGCCCTAGCTAGCCGGAACAGGTGTGATCGGCACTGTGTGTGCGGCTCTTCGCCGCGCACCTATGTAGGGGAGAGGTCACTAGTACCACCGGTCCTTGCTGAAAGTGAACCGGACTCTCCTATTGGTTTTCAACAGCCAAGCGCATCCGGGGGACTTCAGTGATTTCGTCCAATAGATCCTCAGGCCAGCGTCTTTTCCAGACCGGGACTCCCCAATGTTTTCGAAACGAACCCTGTCAGCTCTTTTACAACATCGGATCACAACCGAGCAGAACTAGACCCCCCTCAGAACATGTCGTCACGCTCATCCTCCTGCTCCCCTTCCTCCTCCTCATAATCGAGCATTTTCCTGTATCCGCCGCGAAATCCACCCAAAAACTCAGCACTCAGCACAATCCCTCGTCCTCAATTTCTCAGTAGCACTCACGTCATATAAGGTCCCTCCAACGCATACCCCAACCTCTGATAATAATTCCTAACCCCAATGCCGGAAATCACAGCCAACTTCCTTGATCCATGTTCCTCCCTGGCGATACGCTCAGCTTCTTCCATCAATAGGGTCCCGATGCCTTGGTGTTGGAACAACGTTGGGTCTCGAGCGTGCATCGGGACTGCGGTGCCGTAGACTGTTGGTAGAATATGGTGGGGTCGTCAGTTGGAAGCACGAGGCAATGCAAGAAGGAGGAGGAATCAAACGCACCATGCAACTCCCTAACGATCGAGCTCTGCCCATCCCTGATCAACTCTTCCCTAAACGTCCCCTCCTTACTACACTTTCTCAACCTCAACAACCCGACCAAAATATCCCTCTGCGGATCCTCATAGCTCAAGAACGTCTCCCACCCGCCATTGGCCCAATAATCCCTCCTGATCAACTCCAACTCGTCCGGCCGCACCTTCATATGCAATTCATGTAAACCGACTTCTCGATGACGTACATCCCGACATTTGAGGCCGAAATCCCTCATCCTCTGTAAAGCCAACTCCCTCAAGTTGCCGTTCTCTACGCCCGAAGAAACGAGTGGCATCGGGATGTCCCTTTGAACGCGATAGATCCTCGTCCACGGTGGGATCAACGCCAATATCCTCGCGACGATATCGACCAGAGCATTGGGCGAATAATTCTTGTACCTTCCCGTACGCCACAACTCGTACAAGCCCGTTCCTCGAATCACAAGCGTGGGATAAATCTTCAACCCATCGGACCGAAACTCGGGGTTCTCAAAGTACTCTTGGAATTGTTCCATGTCCCGCTCGACACCGACGTTGGGGAGGTCGGGCATCATATGGGAGACGACTTTGAAACCGGCGTCTTTGGCCATGTGGAACGATTCGCACGTCGCGCGGACGGTGTGCCCTCGGTTCGTGTCGCGCGCTACGTCCTCGTAGACGGACTGTACACCGATCTCGAGACGCGTGCAGCCGTAGCGAAGCATAGAGCTGGATGGAAATAACTGTTCAGGAACAGTTCGGAAGAGAAAGCCGATCTTGCTCGCACTCACGACAAATGAGGCTTGAGGCAATAGTCAGGTCGGGTCTCGATCGTGATCCCAATGCACTTTGTCTGAGCTTGCTCAGCATAGCTGTGAGTCATTAGAGGTGTTGAGTAAGCTAGCTACCGACGTTCTCATCCGAGCCCGTCGACGACACTCACGTCACGGCCTCGTCGATATCGTTGCCCGTATAGCCCGACAACGAGTTGTGCAACGACGTGACGAATCCGGACCGATACGATTCGGGCAAGGACATGAACGTGCCCCCCATAATGATGAACTCGACCTGCAAGCCAAAATTCGACGTGGGTTCAGTCCGAGTCTTTCTCGGTTCGTACCGGAAGATGGCCTACCTTGTCGACACTATGCCCCAACCCTCTCAGCTGCTCGACCCGACCTTTGGATTGCTCGTAAGGGTCGTACCTCGCTCGGATCGCTCGCATCGAGGTGGGCTCGTAGCCCTGTGAGTCGAGCTTTTCGTCATATAAGCACTTGGCGTATGCTCCTTGCTTAATGCGGTGCCGACTCACGGTATAGGACTGGGTCGAGTACTCGAAATCGGAATCGGGTCCCCCGGGGCAGTAGCTGTCTCGGGGAAGGAGACGGGGTCAGTTCCCACCCTTTTATCCAATACTAGCCTCCACCGTATACTCACACGCAAATATTGCCCGTCATCGCAATATGCGGACACCGATGCGGTTTACTCATCACCGCCACGACAGCGATCCCCGACGCCGTTCGGACCGGCTTGGCCCTGAGTTTGGGGAGAAGGATCTCCTTGACTTCATGGGGGACAGCGGCGATGATGTCGACTAGACGGGGTACGATCTTGCTGCCGTGTTTCTTGGAGACGGACGCTTTGAGCGCGTTGAGGTTGATGGATTCACCTGGAGAATCAGAAAGGAGTGTCAGTGGCCGGATTGGGTGCGAAGTGGAGTGAGGTTGTGCATGGCTTACCGGAATGATGAGCTTCGAGCAAGCGGCGCACGATCTCGGAACAACATCGGATTGTGATCTCGGCTTGGGGAGTCTCCGTCTTGGCCATGGTCGCGGGTGAATGGCCGAGTAGGAGCGCAAGAGAGAGAGGGAGGGAGAGAGAGGGAGAGGAGAGCCATCGCGCTCAGTGGTGCGACGTTCAGCGTGGCGTGGGTCCGAGCTCAAATTGCGCCCCGAAGCGAGGACTTTGGCTCAAGCGGGGCTCAAGCGGAGTCGATCACCGCAGCGTGGCTTCGGTCGCACCATCACCCTTCACCACCTCGCTCAGGGGCTCTCCCAAGCCCACGCCCTACTCCTCCAGCCTCGCCTCGCCTCGCCTCGCCTCTTGCATCGACTCGTCCACTCGCTACCCGTTCCCCCCTCCTCTCGCACCTGCATCCCTCTCAAGTTCACCTCCCTTCCACTCTCACGGGAGGTGACCACTACTCTAAACCATGAGCTCCCACTCGTCCTCAACTTCCTTCCTCGTGCTCATCATCAACAAAGCCGGTGGGCTGATCTACCAAAAGAACTATGCCGGTACGTCACCACCACCACCACCACCACCACCATGACCTCTCCCTGTCCAACCCCCACTTGCCCTGCTCCCCTCCGACTCTCATCAACTGAAACCCCCCCTCTCTCCCCCCCTTTCTCTCAAAACAGAGGGACTCACCCCGCTCTCTTCAAACGAATACCTCGTCCTCGCCTCGACGTTCCATTCAATCCACGCCATCGCAACTCGCATCTCCCCCGTCCCTCATTCATCAGGAATCGAGACGATCGAAGCCGAGGCGTTCAAGATGACGTGTTTGCAATCACCCACAGGTAAGTCTTTCTTCTTCCAAAAGATCGCTTTAATCTTCGAACGTACCCGTACTCACACCGACCTTTCGTCCGCGATGGAAAAGGAACCAAATTCGTACTGTTCACCACGCCCTCGCATCCCCACCCGGACCTGGTCCTAAGAAGGATCTACGAGACCTACGCCGACCACCTCAAAGACCCGTTCTACACCGTCGAAATGCCGATACGATCCGAGAGGTTCGATACCAAGATGGCCGCAGTGATCAGGGCGGGTTAAGGGACAGCGCATTGCATCGGAGAGATGGAGTTTCTGGAGGAGCGCAGTTTGAGAAGGTGAATTGTTGTACGAGTACGAGGGGGTCAGATCTTGCATTGCATTCTGTCGATTCAGCACTGGGACATGGCTCGATGTCGAGCCACAATACCGAATGAAGGATACGAGCAACATGGCTCACTCGAGACTGCGTAGGGACATTTTGAGATGGAGATACATACCAAAAGCCGGATGATTTCGTCAAGAGAGTGGCTCGAATGCGTTATACCAAAGATCTCCAAGTCAGAGTCTTGGGCAGTCTGTCACTGCCGAGCTCGACAGTGCATTCCATTGGATGCTGCCTCTCCCTCAAAGGGCCGTAGAAAAGCTTGAACCCCAAAAGCAATGCAGAAAGCAAAAGTGATAATATTACAAAGAAAAAGCGATATTACAAAGAAAAAGCATGAAAGCAAATCAAAGCACTCTACGACCTTTTCCCACCTCCGGCCCGCTTCAACCCCGTCAACCCAATTTTGGGCCCTCCCTTGGCCTTCTTGCCCGCCACCGCCTGCAGCGGTACAAAAGCATACGGCTCCATTCCATTCTTCTTCACATCCCCACCGGCCCTCTTGGCCTTGAACTCGTGCCCAACCCTGACCGTCTCCCTCGACGAAGGTCCACCTTTTTTCTTCCTCTTGGCGCCCACTTCCGTCCCATCGTCCATGTGGACATCGTCATCGTCGAATTCGCCCGATCGAGCGCGTTTGCCTTGCGTCTTGTTGAACTTGGCTTTCCCCTTCGCATCAAGGGTATGTCCATCCTCACCCCTCATCGCCTCGAGATACGCCCCCATCGAAGAAGAAGCCTCTCCTCCCACCTCCGCCTCCTGATCCCTCATTCTCACCTCCCCTCCAACCTCCTTCTCTCCCTCCTCATCGAACCTCATCCTCCCACTCTTCTGATCCGTCTTGAAATGTCTTTCCAAATCCTTCCTCTCCTTCTTCCCCTTGATCCCCTGCCCGGCTGAAATATTCGACATCATTCGATCGTCCAACAAATCAAGCACCTCGTCCGCGTCCTCATGAATGAAGGTCCCTTCATCGCGTTGCTTCTGTTTGCGCATTTGCGATTTTCGGTTCTTGACCCCAGAGGGAGCGGTTTGCGTAGGATCGATGGTGGAGGGGGCTTGCTCGTTGTCCGACGCAGCGGAGGAGGCGTCCGAGTCCGAACCGTAAAGGACTTCGTCGTACGCCGAACGAGGGTTCGCTCGAGGAGCGGCCTGCGCAGAAAAATCGACACAAATCACCTCAAGTCAGTGTCCCCAAGTATACGAACCTCCCGGCCGCTAACTCTAGAGAACGGCCAAAAACTCACCTCAACCTCACTCCCGTCGTCGTCCTCGCCCCTCGCCTGCTGCGCCGCCGCCGCGGCCTTCTTCTTCTTGCTCCTCATCATCTTCTTCCTCAAATTAGCCACCAACTTCCTATCCTCCTCCGGAGCGTACCTCTCGACCTTCTCGTGCCCAAACTTCCTCATCAGCCTTTCCAACAGATGCCTGACTTTGACTTTGAAGTGATTCGAATGCTCGTGCGACCAGTTGATCAGATTCGGTACCAATCGAGGCAGACTCGGTTCCAACAACGATCCCTCGAGCACGACGAGACAAACTTTGATGAAGCCCAAAGCGCTCCTAACGATCTCGCGATTCGGCGACGACAGGAACACGACCAAAGTTTCGACGACTTGCCGTAAGGTCCGATCGGGGATGTGCGCATGGAATTCAAAGATGACCCTCGAGAGGGAGGTGATGGTCGCTGAGATCATGTGCGGACTGAGGCCGGCCAAGCCGGCGCTCAACATGGTCACGAATTCCTCCACGCTCGCGGGAACGTCATCCTCTTCCATCCCTTCGGCACCTTCGTTGCCTTCGACGTGCTCGTCGCGCATCCCTTTGACCTTGTGTCGAGCCAAGGTCCCACCTTGTTGCATCTTGGTCGCCATCCCGACGACGAGCTCGTAAGCGGCTTCGCGGGTACGTTCGTTCGATTCCTTGGTTCCCAGGACGGCTTCGGGGATCAGAGAGGGGATGTGGTGCAACGAGTCCGACGGAAGAAGGGGCACGAGGGTAGAAAGAAGAAGAACGCGATCCTGATCGCATCGGGAAACCAAGTCACCAAGTCACCAAGTCAGTGTCAATCGCACCCCAACACCAAAAGGCAAAGTACTCGTCTCAAACTGACCCTCTTGGCCCCCTGCGCGACTCCACTCTTGTCCTCCACCAAACTCTCCAACACGTGCCCCACCCTGCCCTCGAGTACGTTCCCCCCTCTCTCCTCCGCCAACCTCGCCAAAATCCTATACGCCTTCTTCTGTACCGCCGCGTCCTCAGCCTTCAACAACTCGTCCCCCATCGCCAAGTCAAAGAAGCTCTTCTCGAAAGGTGCGGCATAAGGGATCATAGTGATGAGGATATCCAACAACGCATGAATAGGCGAGATGACACCCGACTCGTCCTTCTGCATCGACGCCTTGTTCGTTGCGGTGAACCTAGGCTGCGCTTCCAAAGCCTGCTTCAACAGACCCTTGACGCGCTCAAAGGTCGCGACCAATTCCCGTTCGGGCAAGATCGCCAACCATTCCCCGACGGTCGAAAGGATGTACCCTCCCTCCCCTCTGGCCATCTTGCCATAGACGTTGAACGAGATGCCCAACACCGTCTCCGCCAACCCCTGTAAATGGCTCAACGCCTTCTTCCCCTCTTGCGGCGTCAACCCGAATTGAGCGTACAAAAGTTCGCTCGGCGAAGTCGATTGAGCCAACGTCTTGGTCGTCCCCACGAGCGTTGACAAAGCCTTAAAAACGGCGGGTCTCAACATGGGTTGAGCATAAACGACATTCGCGACCAAGCCCAAGAATTCAACATCGACCTGTCGGACCAAATCAACCGCGTACTCGCAATAACCCGGTAACAAAGCCCACACCTGCCCGACCAACGTCTCCCACACTTTGGCTTCCATCCCCCTCTGCGCTTCCTTGGCCTTTTCGGCTTTGGCGAACAGTTCGGCCGAGAGGGGTACGAACGTCGTTTTGAAATGCGCGAGACGGGTGTTCGTGATGGCCGGTTTGAGTAAAGGTAACAACCAAGCCTTCGCTTTGGCCGGGTTCGCACCTTCTTCCAACCCCAAAGGTAGAACCGCAAGGACGGATTCGGGCCCGCAGACTTTGATCGCGGCGTCCAAAACGTCCTCGAGCGCGCGCTTCCATTCGAAATGCGAGTCCTCGCGTAATTTGGAGAGGAGGAAGAGCGTTTTCCGAAGAAGGATCGAGGCTGCCGGATCGGCTTGGGCGGAATCGGTAGCCGAAGGGATGCGGACTCGAAGACGAAGGAAGAGGGCTTTCGCAAGGGCCAATACATGAGGTTGAGCCGCAGCAGCGAAGCGAGGGGAGGTAATCGCCTTTTCGAGCACTTGGACGACGGTCAACGTCGCTTGCCCTTCCTTCGTTCCCTGGAGCTCAACGTCCCCATTCGTTCCCTTCTTCCTCACGACCTCCACCGCCGCAAGCACATCACGATCCAACAAACAATGCCTGATGACCATCTCGCACGCCGCCTCCGTCGCGGTCCTCAAAGCCGGTGATTGAGCAGTCGATAAAATCGGCAAGACCTCTTTGAACGTCTTGACGGCTTGAGTCTGTGCTAATTCGGGGTTCGTGCGGGCGAAAGCGACGAGTCCTTCGCCTACGCCTTCGACCCATCCCGCGAGGAGTTTCTCATTCGTCTCCCCCGATCCTCCACGCGGCTTGGCGTCGAGTAAAGCGAGGAGGGTTTCTTGGACCGAGTTGGACGAGAGCGAGTCGGCGGAACGAGATGCCGAGAAGAGGTGCGAGAGAAGGGTCAAGGCGGCGAGGGTGAGGTGCTGCGACGAGAGGGTCAAGGTCGAGAGTAGGATGGGTAGGAGCGAAGGGGTGGCCTGTGTACAAAAAGTGGGGTATGGAAAGTGCTGTAAGTCTCGGGCCAGTCATTCCGCGCAAGAATTTGCACCACTCACCTCATCGCTCCAAGCATTCCCCAAATTACGCACAAACGTCAACAGTGCGATCGCCCTACTTTCATCCCCCGCACCCCCACTCGCCTCGTGCTCGATCCCTCCCACCTCCTTGGCAATCATCTGCGCCTTCTTCTGACCCTGTCCGACCTGAACGGCGGGAGCATTCGCCTCCTTCTTTCCCCCTCTCTTGGCGCCCTTGACGGCGTCTTGCAACTTGTTCAAGATCCAATTCGCCGATTCGGTCATGTACGGATGTACGGTCGAAGGAGGGGGTGGTTTCTTCAACAACTCTTGTACGGCTTCTTGTGCTCTTCGACGTACTTTCGGTCTTGCGTCCTCGCATAAACTCAAGATCGCCGCATAGGTCGTTCTAACGTGCAAATCCTTCTCCAAGACGGAAAGGGAGAGGATCGATAATGCCGCTTGACCGATCGCCAACAATGACTTGACCGCCGGTGCATGCCCCATAAAAGATGTAAAGAGTGGAGGAAGCGTAGGAACGATGGTCATCACCTGAGGTCGGAGGGTCGTAGCTTCGAGGTGGGGTGAAAGGATCGATAGGAGGTACAGCGTAGCTTCGAGCAATTGACGCTTCTCGCCCGTCTCCTTCGCCGCTTCTGGATCGCCCGCGAGTTGGATCAAAGTCGACACGAGAGCGGCCAAATAAGCCGCAGGGGGAACGACGCCCGTCGTCGGTGTCGTCGTAGCTGAACCTTGCGAGGAAGGTGCCAGCGTGGCTTCGATCGCGACGAGCAAAGTGGCCGGTCTACGAACGGCAGCTACCCCGGCGGTGGTTTGCGTTCGCACCTTGTTGAAGGCGACTTGCCATGGTTGGGGATCCGAGTCGCTCATCGTTGTGTGTAATTCAGCTCTTTTCCGTTGGTGAGGCGGAGGGAGCGTAGGTGTGTGTAGAAAGAAAGAGGAGCGGAGCCGCGACGGTGATCCAAGTCGACGCTGCCAGTTCGCTGACACTTCGCTGCGGAGGCAGGCGGAGGCTTGCGGAGGCTGCGAAGCTCGAGCTGGCCGAGGCGTGGCAGGGCGGCGTCGCCGGCGTGGCCGCTGTCTCCGCCGGCGCCTGGGCCAGGAGCACACTGAGCCCGACGCCCGACTTGGCCCACACTGCAGACTGCAGTGGGTGACACCCTTGTGGCACGTCACAAAACAATCAACCTCGTCAGCAAAGCCAGTCCCTGTAAAAAATCGAGATTAAACCCACTGACGCCGATGTGAAGAAAGGGATCCAACCCTATCGAGTCGAATAACTCGTCCCCGGATTAGTAATCGGTCAACTGCAGTGGCGCGTGATTAGGTTCCCCTTCCGACCATCTCCACTCGGCCGAACGACCCGCACACTTGGACCACGCTCTGCCCCCCCCCCCCCCCACCCCCTTACTCCTTCCCCCCCACCCTCCTCCCTACTCGGACCAAAGCCATGTCTGCCCATCCGCGCACGCTCCACACCCGTCCCACCACACCCCTGCAACACGACCCTTCTGTTGAGCGACCGGAGGTAACCGGCGCGGAGAGTGGACCCGAGTCGCCGTTCCCGGTCTATCTCGAAGGATGGGTGACGAGGGGTTTCGGGAGGGGGAGTAAGGACTTGGGCTGTCCGACGGGTGAGTACTAGTCAGATTTAGTGAGCGGTGGCCGATTCTTGGAGAGCTAGCCCCGTGGAGACCGAGGACGCCGAGCGATCTTTGATCGAAACCGCTCCTTTTAACCCCCGTCCTCATCTCTCACCCCACACCCACCCCACCCCACTTGACCCCTCAGCGAACCTACCCGATTCCTCGATCGATCCCTACGCCACTACGCTCCAAACAGGTGTCTACTACGGTTACGCGCGCGTACTCGACCCCCCCGACCACCCTCAAAACTCGCTCGAATTTTCCACCTCCGCCTCCTCCTCCTCCTCGAGTACACCTTGTCCGCACGATCAAGTATGGCCCATGGTCATGTCGATAGGGTGGAACCCGTTCTACAAGAACCGATCCCGAACGGCCGTCAGTCCACTCACTCGAACGAACCTTCCCATCTAGCGATCCGAACAGATCTCTGATCCAATCCATGTGGGGGGCGGGCTTCACTCATCTCGACCCGTTTCAGGAGGTACACATCCTACATGATTACCCGCACGATTTTTACGGCAAGGAATTGCGCGTCGTGATGCTCGGTTTCATCAGACCAGAATACAACTATTCTTCCATGGGTACGTTCTCGAACGCTCACCCCCCCCCACCCTTCTCTCCACCCGAAACCGAAACCTTTTTCTCGAAATTGACCCCCCTCCCCCACCCAACTACTATGCTCGATCCTCAGACGCCCTAATCAAAGACATCAACACCGACAAAGAAGTCTCTCTACGTTCCGTCTCCCGGCCCGCCTACACCCCCTTCGCTCAAGATCCTTTCTTCACTCGCGAGAGTCGGCTCGAAGAACCAAAGGAGGATCCGAATAAGGTGAGGGAGAAACCGACGATGGAGGAGCGTGAAAAACTTTAGAGCGGGTGTGGGTGTGTGTGAGGTATAGAGTATAGAAGGGGGGGGGCCGTAAAAACAAAGTAGATTGCACTAAAGATCTTGATAGTAATTATGGGGAACGAGATGAATTGGAATGAAGGAAGAGGAGCAATGAAAACAATCGAGCAACTGAAACCTATTCCACCTGGACTCCGACTAAGCCTTCGCGTCCGCGGCACTAGCTTCCATCATGTCCATGATCATATCCGCCGCCTTGCCCAAATTGGCTGTTCACGGACCCAACGTAAAGATCAGCACGCAGAAGAACCAGCAACGCTTCTCCACCACCCGCCCTCTCGCATGACCCCATGAAAATAACGTACCAATGAATTCCCTCCCCTTCATGTGCCTCTCACAAGTGACCGAGAACTGCAAATGCTCCTTATGCACCATATAAGGAATCCCATACCCATCGGGGTCGACCCTCCCCCACCCATAAGCCGGACTATGTTCGATAAAGATTTGACTCGTCGACATCGTCCACGTCGAAGAACGTTTCAAGAGCCGGTCTTGGAATAATTCCGCAGAAGGGGAAGAGGCTTCTTCGGCGTTGAGGAAGAGGTGTTTGAGGCCAAAGAGGTGACGATCGATTCCTAGTCCGAAGGAAGCGGCTTTCATATCCTTTCCATGTTGCGCGACGGCTTGCGCGAAGAGGGAACGTTTTTCGGATAGGGTCGTGGAGGGGGAGGTCATGGCTTGGGCAAAAGCGAGAGCCGCGGAGGTGCAGATGCGCACGGTTTCTATGAGGATCGTAAGGGGGTTAAGCGTCAGTGAGGGATGCTCGTAGAGCATGACGTGGAGGTTGGGCTGACCCGTTCGACCCAATTGGAATCGACGGACTTGGGCCGCTTCGTACGTCCCACAAGGTTTGCCGTGCTGCGGATCATCCAATACGAGTCGTCGTGTGATCAGCATTCCACCCCTCTCATCGCCCTACAACCCGAACTGACCGTCATATAATACGCCAACTGGAACGCCATCTGCACCCACCCATCCGGTGAGGTCTTGTTCCTCTTGATCCCTTCCTTCCCGTACCTTCCATAATGCAAATAAAACACCTCATGACCTCCGACATGTTTCTCAAACTCCTTCTTGCCCTCTTCGATGGCATTCTTCGTTTGGGCATCGACGTGGAAGTCCAGAGCTTCGATGGTAGGTGAGGATTTCGGAGCGGGATCGGAAGAACCGACTTCCACGGGTTGGCGTGTGATGAGTCGCTTGGAGACAAAGTCGGACAGACGGGCCGTGGGCGTACCGTCCATGCAGGAATGTTCGCCGATGAAGCCCGATTCGCCGTTCGCAAAGACGACCCATTGTTGGGGTTTGTCCCTGTCGCGTACGGAGAGAGGCTGTCAGCTCCACAACTCGATCACAAGAATAAATATTCAATCTCGCCCCGGACTCACCACCACCGATTTGCGCCTTCGCCGATCCCCTTGCCCTGTCCCCCCGCCTTCCACAACCTCTCCGAGAAATCCCTGATTCCCTCCCCCGCCATATTCTTCCCCCCCTTCCCTTCAACTTTCTCCATCTCCGGTTCAGGACGATGTTGATCAAAAGCAACGACGAAAGCCGATTTGGAAATCTCGTCGATGATTTGCTTGTTGCCGGCGTCCTGGATGAGATGTTCGTACGCGTCCGTCCAAGTATCCCTGTTCAACCCAGTGAGGATCCCAACTCCTTCGCCCTCCCCTTTCCCCTCCTTCTCCACCTTGTCCAACAGACCCTGCAAACCCCTCCTCATCTCCTCGACCGTGAATTCCCTCCCTTCGCGATCGACGAGCGGCACTTTGTAAAACCTTTCCTTCAAAACGACGACGACATGTTGACCCTCTTTCGAGTCCTCCCTGACCTTGACCGCATAATCGGCCGGTTTGGCCGGGATTCGATTCGCGTTGAAGGCCCATTTGAAACTCTCCATGCACAACTCGCCTTCCTTTCCGGCCGGTTCGGGTTCCAAAAGCCCTTTGATGAGGAGACGACGGAATTCGAGCGCGGTGATGATGATCGACGCCGCGACGTAGGCTGGGTCCGAAGTGGGGGGGTTCGAGACGGAGGAAGGGGCTTGGGGAACTTTCTTGAAACCATAGTAGTATGAAACCTGGGAGATCGTTCAGAAATGACCGTAAGTCGCGGGTTGAACCCCCCCGCCGAGCAGATCTGCCGAGCTCAGCCGATGAAAGGTGGGGGCTCGGATTCCCCGCGGGGAAAAATCTCTTTCCTCTGCTGCCGAGCCGAGCCCCTTTCCCCGCGCTAACTCACATTGACGACGACCGAATCGCGATAAGCCATGTAGGCATCATTATCCCACCATTCGGCTATCCAGTTCCTCATCCCCTCGGACCTTATTTACCAAAACACGAATGCATCAGCTTCTACTCTCCCCCCTTCCGTCTCCCCCCCACATGCCCCCCTCCCTCCCTCTCCACCACATAACTCACTCTCGTCTCTGCACCAACCTCTGCTGCAACTTGCGCCCCAAACCGTGCCTAAAGACGCTCACTTTCCTCTTCAACTCTTGCAACTCGTTCTCATCCTTCGCCAAAGGTCGACAACTCTCGACCAACTTGTCCAAGGTGAGGTCCAACTCGGGGATGGGTAATCGCGGAAGTTTCGCTTGGTTACGAAAGGTGGTCGAATCTGATGGGGTCGCCGAGGGTGGGCAGAGACGCCATTCTGACCATCTAGGAGCGCGGCTCATCTGGGGTCGGTTCGAATGGAAGGGACGTGCGGCGTTGGGGAGGAGGAGGAGGAACGACGGTGTACTAGGTCGGGCCGAGTTGGCGACGACGAAGAAACGGAATGAGCTGCTGTAGTTTAGGGCACGAGCGAAATGGGTCGAGGGAGTCGCAATTCGTCTAGGTACGAGCATCGCCCTTTTGCGGATGATGTGCGTGCGTGAAAGGACGGGCGAAGGGAGGAGGAAGAGGCGGTTGCCAAGCGCGGCTGCGTTCAATCCCGTCCGGACTCGCCCGGCTCACAAGTTAGCCGGCCCAGCCGAGGCGCACAGTCACCGATCGGCCTCGAGACGCGTGGAAACGATCGGGGCTAGGTACAATCGTCGAGCAGTTTAGAGAGTCGCATATTGCAATGCTACTAATGCAAAAAAAACAAAAACAGACAGTCCCACACGAATGAACGAAATGATCAAGCTTCAGAGGAAGAATCGTTCCATCTATGGCAAAGACGGTGACCCCGGCATTCCCTCCGGCCCATCCGTCTCCACAGCCGTCACGACCTGTTCCCTCACCACAATCATAGTCCCGTCCCCACTGTCCCCATCCCCCTCTCCTTCCCCCCTACTAATCTCGACAACCTCATTCCCCAAAGGTTGAATCGAGAACGCCGGCTCCCTACTCCCTTCCCCTTCTCTTTCCTCTTCCCCCTCCCCATCATCGGGCTTATAAATCTGTCTATAGACCCTTCGCTTGGCTGCCCCCGGTTCTCCCTTTCTCCGATCCTTGATCTGCGCTTCTTCTTCGGCTTCATGGTCGGCAACGACGAGATCGTACGCACCAGAAGCGATCCGATCAGGTCGCGGTGGTGCCGACGACGATTTCTTCGACTGCGATCCTTCGCCTCCATCCTCGTCGTGAGGCGAATGGTACAATCCTCCAGAAACAGCATGCAGAACGTGCTTGGCGCCATGGATCAACAACTCCCCTTCGGGTTTGGGATGATCGGCCGAGTTGGGCGGTTCTCGGCGATGTCGTGATGATTCTCTCCGCTTGCTCGATGATGAACGCTTGTCCACTTCGGCGTCCGTACTTGTCTCCGTCTCGGGTTCGACCAAAGCGCCGTACGAGAAGCCCCGACTCCCTCGCCCCAAGTGTTCCTTCCCCTTTCCCTTCCCCTTCCCTTTCCCCCTCGTTCTCCTCCCCTCCTCCCCCTCCCGACCGAACGAAACAAACTGGCCCGCCTCCAACCTCGCCTCTTCCTGCATCCTCATCCTCCTCCTCGCCTCTTCCTTCGACGCATCCACAACAGGATAGCTCCAATCCCCGAACTCCAACCCTTTCGCATCCTTATACAACCTCTCGTCCTCATCTTCCTCTTCTTCTCCCACCTCCCCAAACCCAAGGGATTCCCCATCCCCATCCCCATCCCCATCCCCATCCCCATCCCCATCCTGAACCTCACCATCACCCCCCTCCGCACCCCTCGAAGCGAACCACCTCTTCCAATCCTCCTCCTCATAACCAAGTTCCCTAACCCAAGTCCGCCGATCATCGCCCACGACCTTTCTCGCGTTCTCCTGCCCAAGCGGTGCGTACCCCTGACCGGCATCGAACCTTTGCTCCAACGCGTTCCTGATCGCATGCAGAGGTCTCGCGACCAAAGCGGTCTTACCTTTCCTCCCATGCGCATCCGTTTCCTGTCCCGGTAACTCGACCCAATACTTGAGCCGACCCTGTTGGGCGTACCTCAACCCGGCCGCGACTCGACGATCCCTTCCCACACCTTGGTGAAGCCCGCCCGCGGCCGGTTCGAACGTTCGATAACTGAAGCCGGTGCCTTTGACGGTCGTGATCGAATCGGTGAAGATGTCCTTGTAACCGAACGCGTCGCGGAGCGCGTACCGGATCGGTAACCGACCGCTGAAGAGGTGGTGCGCGTCGACGTAGTCGGTGTAGGAGAACGCGTAGAGGTGCAGGAAGGCGAAGAGCGGCATCTCGAGGCAGACGAGCGTGTCCTGGATAGCGAGCGAGAGCGCTTCGGTTTCGTAGCGGTCTGTAACAAGCGAAGCGGTCAAGGTTGAGTCCACGATCCTGAATAAGGGTTAAACGCGTGCCAGGGATGGGACTCACGAGACCGTAGCCAACCGAGCTTGACGAGCACACTGACGGCGAAACCTTGCCAGAACGAGAAAAAGATGATACCCTTGACGCAAAGGAACTGATGGGATGTTTTGAAAAAATCGGATCATCAAAAAAAATCAGTGCACTACTCGCGGACGAAGATCGGGCACCCCCGAATTGGTGCTGACTGACCTTGGGCATAGGTCGATACGGTTTCAGATCGGCGTTGGTCGCGATCCAGAACAGAGCGAGGCAGTAAAGCGACAGGCCGACCGAGACATTATAGATGATGGAAATGTAGGTATCTGGTTCCGGTCACCGGAATGATATTAGTTTCGGAGCGCGGGGCTTTGATATCAAGAGCACCAACGCCGAACTCACATCCCGAGCTCTTGGAAAGATTGCCATCGCCGTACGAGCCGAGCGCCTTCAGCAGGATCGTCGCCGCGGCCAAGAAAGGCTTGATCTGCACGTATTGCAAGATCCCCCTTTTGATCGCGAGGAACGTGAACGGGTCCGAGACGTCCAAAGGGGGGAGGATGCTGGACAGGGGGAAAGGGTGTCGTATCGGTGGCCTTCCGTGGAGAAGTATGATGAGTGAACGTTCGCCGCCGAGGTATTCGACGAGTAGGTTGAAGAAGCAGTAAATGACAAATGCCTGGAGGGGTGAACAATGATTCGTGGTGAGCTCTGCGGTCTGTGGCCGAACGGGATCGGTTGTCGGTCGCTGCTGACCTCGTAGATATCCCTGACCGCATCGAGGAAGAAGGCCAGATCGAGCGAGTAGAGCGATATCAGCGACGAGAGTGAATAGATGGGAACCCTGTCATGCATCGGATGTGAACGGGGTCAGCTCATCGATTCGTAGCCCCTGAATCACGCCTGCACAGCTTCCCCCCCGCCCCCCCCCCCCACACAGACTCTCGTGCTCTCTAGTCCGTCCGCAAACTCACATGACCAAGATTCGGACGACCAAGCGCTGCAAAGCAATCTTGCGATAGTTCTTGAGCTGCAACCAAATCGTGAGCAACGACAAGACCGTCGCCAGTGCGGACGAAGCGGTGGCGACGATCAAGACCGCGCGAGGCAAGTTGGTGCCACTGCCTCCCGGTTCGGTGCCGGGTGAATCACCGGCTCGTCCTGTCACGGTCGCGCTCACACCGGTCGCGATCAGCGTCGCCAACATGGTCGTGATGGTCAGGACCGACGAACGGCGGCGGCGGCGGCGGCGGCTGTGAGGGTTGCGACTGCGTACGCGACCAGTGCACGGGCGAAGGCTGACTCTGAGTCGACCCCACCGATGACGCGATGACGCGTTGCCAGCGGCGGCGCTTTCTCTACCTTCAAGGAAGATTTATTTATACAGGCAACTTGCAGCGCTGTACTATTCGCGCTCTCACCCGTACTACCGGCTGGACCGTCAAGCTGAACAGCTCAAAAAGTCGCACGGCTTCAATCTCGACCTGGTCGAAATTATGAAGGTACTCACGAGTCACGGGCCACCATGTCAGCGCCGTCGATGCCGAACCAGGTCGATTTTTACGCCGTCGGAGACGGCGAGATCGCGGCAATCCCCTCACATGCCTTGACGAGGTTCTGGTCCAGGGGACCATTTTGACCCACTGTGAACGGAGCTTTGGGGAATGCCGAGGCATAGTAGATGAACTCTGCGTGGCGGGAAGGAAAACGACGGCTGCCGGTTATACGTTCGCGAGATTCAAGGGGGTCAATACATGGGATTTGGGATTGGATGCCTGGACACACGCGACACCAACCGAATCGACACGCGCCTTCGATGACTTTCGAGCGACTTTCAGAGCACGTAAAACACCTTTTGATAATGTCTCGAGGCACATGTGAAAATTTGATAGTTTGGGGCCAAAAGAGGGTGTAAAATCTGGACAAAAGATCCAGAAAATGGCCTTATTCCACATGGCCCTCTGACATGGGCTTCCTGTCCCGACTCTGCCGACTCAGGCTAATCTCGGGAGGACCCCCGAAAGCCCAGCCAGAGGCGGCCCGCAAATTTGGACATTTTTGGCTCAAAATGGGTCGAGGCTCACCTTATTTTTGGACATTTTCCTCCCTTCGGTCGAACTCTGAAGCGCAGACCAGGCTAGCGGGAGGCGCAGGGCGCAGGGCATAATAGCCGGCCCAGCTTCGCGGCGCGGGTAACAGTCGCGCTGTTTTCGTTTGGAGCGCGTTATATTAGTACTAAGTTACTAAGTGTCTGCATATGCGATCATTTATCATTTTTTGGTCGTCTCTCGCTCGGGACGCCGACTTGTCGAGCTACGTCTCCTCTCCTTCCTTTCGATCTGGAAGCTCTCTCGCCGCCGCCGATTGTCGTCGGATGCTTTGGAAGCGATCACCGAAACGGCACTCGAGGAGCTCCGGGCGTCAATTTAGGAGTCCAAGGTCGCCTTGCGTCTCTGTAAATCACCCAAGGGGGTTTTAGTGGGTATGATTCTGATTCAGCGTCAATGAGTCCTACACTACTTGCCTAGCCAGTGTGCTTAATTGCATTTCCTCCGACTTTTCCAAAGACCATCACATGAATACAAAGATGAGATCCTATTGAAGTCCATTTCATTTTGAAAAGGCTCGTTGGCGGTCGCGCGGGCGGCGCTCTTGGTGCGCGCGCGCGACGTTTCCGGCCCGCGCGCGGCGGGAACGCAGTCTGCGCGCAGCGCAGAAACAATTCTGAGCATTGTACAGCTTGTAGAGTAGTTTTGAGAAATTATGCAACACTAGGCGGCCCTCATATTTGGACATTTTCAGTCAGAATCTGGAAAAAATTTGGACATTTTGCCTCGAAAAAGGCCGTTTTTAGACGGCCGCCTATGGCTGGGCTTTCGGGGGTCCTATCTCGGGCCCTTATCGGGGGGTGTTCTCAGCTTGCTCCGACTCAAGCGTGCTCCCTGCGTTCGGTCGCTCTTCCCCATGGCACATGTCCACACCGCTTGCCCCGACGCATAGGAACAGAATAAGACGCCATACTTTGAAACGGTCAGTGTTTGATTCGTTGATCGACCGGTACAGGTTAATGTGGTTGCCTGGATGCAGCAGGGACTGATTCCCGCCGGTGCATTCGTACAGAGTTCCACATTCCATTCACGGATCTCCCGTTCGACCCATTATCGGATACGAATGCCAATACTGTGCGTCTCGAAACGCATGCGCAGAAGCCATGCATTCAAGCAGGCCGCTTCGGCCAGACATCGTGCGAGAGTTCCCGCCGCCCGGGCTGGGGGTGACGTGCGCACTGTAAAGTCCGCTGTGCCGCATCGCCCGTGTATCGTTTCACGGGGCGCAAGTATTCGCAGGTTCACAGCGCCGTCGCGAATACCCTCGCGCCTCGAGCGGCCCAACATCACGACTTAAAAAGGGTTTTGGCCCCGACGAGGTTTGACTTCACTACGTACGTACACGGTACACCAGTCCGCTGCCTCGCATACTCGCGACAGCCACGAGTAGTGTGGCGCCGACTGATCAGGCAGCCTTGCTTGGATAGGTCTCTACCCCGCACGTTCGTTAGGCTGTTCTACCCGGACGGCCAGCCGCCCAAGAGGATGCTAGCAAGAGTGTCAACTACGGACTCGCCGTTTCCAGGCCACTTTCGCACCTCCGTTGTTGAGACGTACCTGCCCTCCGCCGACTTCCAACGTCTTGTTTTCGTGAGTACCCACCCGTTCTTTCCGGCATCCTCATCGCTTTCGCCTCGTCGCTGACAATGGTCGCGTTCCCTTCCCTTGCACACCCTCTGGACATTGACAGGGTGTGTACTCACGATCACGAGATTTCGGAAAGTCGGCGGAGGGCTGGGTATGTCCCAAGGACGGATGGATGGCTTGCGTCATCTTGGGGTGCTGGTTGTCCTGGTAGTACAGCCTAACGACGGTGCGGGGTGATGATGAACCTTTTTCAAACAAGTCTTGCCTGATTAGTCGGCGCCGAGCTCGTTGCTGTCGAGTGGGTATGACACAGAAGAGAATTTCTGACCCGGTCTCCGGAGGGGTGATATTCCATAGGCTCGATTGTTACGACGCGGGAGATGGGAGGCGTCACGGCTATCGCCAGGTACCGATCGACTTGGAGTAAAAAAGCGTGCTTGCACGTCGTCGTGCGCCAAAAGGGACGTTATCGTGGCTAGAAAGTGTGACATGGCGCGCGGTCTGACTGTGCCGAGAGGTGGTTTGAGCCCGCGACCGCGTCGGCGTCGGCGTCGGCGTCGGCGGTAGTCGTCCTTCACGTCCCTGCCTGTCGCGTCAAAGCCCTTGATTGTTGATCGGATCACGAAATGCTGGTGCTGGCCGGTGGTCTGGCACGACATCAATTCCGGACCATACGCACCTTCATTCGTGGACCTATCAACATGAACCTGCGCGTCACAGCTCGCGACAGACAGGCAGGATGTAAAGTCGCAGTTGTTCGATGACTTCGCCAACCCCCGTCGCGGCCCTCCACCCAGATTTCAGCACAATCAGACCGTACCATGTCACACGCGACGCTTCCTATCTCCCGCGTCGTGTCGCGACGGCGAATCGAGCCAACCGAACGCACGCAACCAGGTCATGAACCTTCACCTCCGCGTCCTCCTACCTGTTGTATCCCGAGCTACGTTTCGGCAGTCGCGCTGGGCTCGCCCAAAGGTCCTCGTACCTCGCGGGCTAGGGGGACCTTCTATTCTTAGTAAGGCGCAGCGTCCCCAGACGGCTTGAACGAGGGATAGACGAGGAGTATGAGGGACTCAGTCTCGAGTCTCTCGAGTGGGCAGATCAGTCGATCAGGTTAGGACCGGCGTGAAGTCGTTTCAACGCGATGGTCGTTTTTTCTCAAGCCGGAATTGGGAACACAAGGGGACTAAAGTAATGGGGATGGATACAAGGACGATGATATTTTGTTTGCGTCTATACCATAACGAATGGGGCCAGCTTTGATAGTGAAAACCCATGGAATTATCTCAAAAGAACGGAAAAGAATTCGTAGAAGGGAATAGGAAGCGAATTGAATGAAAGCAAGAGAATGAGATTCGTCATCGTTGAGAGGCCGTCCGAGTCGAGGAGTGGAAAGGTCGAATCATCGGCACCCGGCGGCCGAAAAAATCACACCCCGGGCCGCGTGCCCAAATGACGGCCTGAGGCATCTGCCCAAAAGCCGCAAGAGCTCCTCACGCGCCACCGTTGATTCAAAGCTTTCAAGCTGTCCCACAAAGCGTAGGACCTTCGACCTATCGTGGAATGGAAAACAGGTGCGAAGCATCGAAAAGCGAATACCAGACTCTTGATGACGTATTTCCCGGTCCGCGCCGTTGTAATCGATTTCCTGAATTACCCAGCTAAGAGTGCAGAGTGCACAACGCAGACCTCATGACGAGTCGGCGGTGTCTTCGGGACGCACGCCTTGATGAGAAAGAGGAACAGCGGGATGAATTACAAAATGGGGGGGGGGGGGGGGGGGGGGGGGGTTGGGAAAGGCGTAGTAGACCGAGAGCGAGTGTGAAGAGGAGAGAGGGGGGTGGAATTATTTTTTGGAAAGAGCTCTTTAAAAAAGGGCAAGCAGGGGTCGATTCGAAAGTAGGCCAAGGTAGGAAGGCGAATAAAAGATTGCCGCGGGCACCAATCCTATACACCAAGCTTCTCGGCGGGGTGATTTTCCGAGGATGCGAGGTAGATGTTGATGGTCCTCGAATGTCGATGCGCCTCCTGATCCAGTTCCGTTTTCGGTGCGAGCCTTCCTATTCTCCCCAGCTCCCCGGACTCGCCGCAAAAGGTGATGCATCTAGATGTCGTCCTGTAAGAGAGCCAAGCGGAACCCCAAAACCCATCAGCCGAACCATAAAAAAAGATCTACCTCTCCCTTACCCTCCCATCCATCACCAGCCAATCGACGTACGATATCCACATCATCGACCTCGTCGAATTCGACCATATCGTCCTCTTCGCCCGCTCCAAAGGTATCGGTCTCGTTGATCTTGGCCGTCTCGGGCAACTCGCCATAGCTTTTCAAATTCCGCGCTTCGTCGGAGGTGTATTTTTGAATGACGTCGGCCTTGTCGTCTTGAAAGTCTCGGAGCGAGAGGAGGATGATATCACCTTGATTGATCCAGACCTGGAGCCCCCGACAAACCCCAAAACCCAAAACTTTGAGGGGTCAGCTTTTTACGGGCCTCGGGGCGTAACTCTTTTGCACGTCGTGGTGGGGGGGGGGGGGGGGGGGGGGGGTCTGACCTTTTTCCTCATCTTGCCACGGATATGAGCCAACCGTTTCTCGCCGTCAAAGCACATCGCCTCGATGCGGCCATTGCCGAGCATCTTGGTCACCTGCGCGTACTCTGCGCGTTAACAACACCACGGAGGGAGGGAGGGAGGGATGATGAGAAAATTGAGCAAAGATATAAAAAAAAAGCAAAAATCGTCGATGGGACGTTGATATGGTATCGCAAAGGCCGTAAACTGACCCTGCCCATCCTCCTTGAAGACCAATTCGCGCTTATCGGCCTCGTTCTCGTTCTTGCCTCGTCGACGATTCTTGCCTCCCTATTAGTGGTGCCAACGCAATAGGTAGTGTGTGATGATGATACGAGTATGTAAGGGTAAGGAAAGGAACAGAGTAAGTCGATGGTGCGAGCCAAGCCGTCGAAACGCTGCTCAGGAACGTACCTTTCCCTTGTTCTACTCGGACGAACGACACACCGCACCGACACGACGCCCAGCAAAGAGAGAGAGAAAGGATCAGTGTCTCTCCAATCACCCAGACTTGACGGGAAGCTCCGAGGGCTGGGGATGGAATGAGCCGAACCGACGAAAGGAACGAACGAACGAACGACGCGCTCTCGTGCGAACACCGACCGCCGACTGCGAGTCGAGCACGCGTAGTGACAGCGACTACATCGTCGCCCTATAAGCTACACACGTCCCTTTCCCCCCCCCCCCACCCGTCTAGCCCCCCTGCAGTGGTCGGCGTCGTGAAGGGAGGGCGAGCACTGACCTTGGGCATTTTTCGATTACGAGCAACGTGTGGGTTGAGGTGGGAAACGAACGCGGCGCTAATGACGAAAAAAAATCCCCGAAGCGGGGGCTGAGGTCGAGTCAGGCTTGCGCTTTGAGCTCGGACCCCCTCGAGCGATTCGGCAAGCGAGCCAACAACGACGATGAGATGAAATGAACTACTATTATTACTTCGAACGCTTTCTCTAACCCACACGAGCCTCATTCAAGCATCCTGCCAATCGATCGAACCCAGAATCAACGTCTTTCTCGGTAATCGGCCCGGTAAGGGACTCAAGAGCGTAATCTTCTTCTTGACTTGATCGATCGCCGACCTAAAAGAAAGATGAACCCAACACCTCTCGTCAGTTCAAAACTTTTTGAACCCCCTTTCTGAAACGCTCAAAGGGAATCCCATATTTAAAAAAAAAGACTCACACATAAACCCAACCCAACACCGGTCTACCCACGACCTCCGCGTCCTCACTCCCCTCCAAAGCCTGAGGGATCCCCAATAACCTGAACAACAAACTCGACGGTGCGTTCGACGCTTCCAAATCCAACGGTACGAGATCGAGGTCCCCGACTGTGCGGCCGAATCCGATCGGTAAAGCCGAGTCGGGGGCTTGGGCCGAGAGCGCTAGAGGAGAAAGGAGCGTAAAATAAAAAATGGGTGTTGGATCAGGTTTTCCCTTTCAACAAAAAACCCTAACCCCCCAACCCCACTCACCTTCGCCGATCTGCACGATTCGTAAATCTTCGAATTTGACAATGATCGAAAAGGGGGACAAGACCCCCGTCGTCAGGGCCGGTCCACCATAAAAGTAGGAACGAATTTGAGCGTCCTTGATGCGACGTTGCAGTGCTTCGTCCGGTGCGGAAGCCTGCAAGGGATAGCAGGGGAGGTGTGAGCGGACTGAGGAAAGATGAAGGGCAAGCTCGGCTAACTGACCCCATTCGCTGCCGGTACGCGCACTACGGTGACGGTCTTGTTCGTATCCAGCAGTTTTTTGACTTGGTCTTCGAGACGTTGATTCCCCACAACGAGGACGATGTTGACTGTGTGCGCGTCCAAGACCCCGCCCCCCCCCCCCCCAAAAAGGAGAGAGAGAGAGAGAAGCGCTCAGCAAACAAAATTAAAATTCCTTCCCCTACCGCCATCCCGACCGCTCGGTGATCCACAGCGCCGAAAGCTGAGGAACATACCTTCCAACGCCCTTACGGCCTTTACGATCATCGGCAACGCTTTCTTCTCGGCCCATTCGCCCGGCGTATCGACCAAACAGCCCGCCTTCCAACCCATCAAACCACCTTGCGCGAATTTATCGCCCAAGGTTTTACCCAACTTTTTGAGTAAATGTTCGTACAAACTCAACGCGTCGGAAGGGTCTTGGTGACCGAACCAATAGACCAAAGGGTTGACCGTCGGAGCATAGGCTTCGATCGAAGGTGGGGGTAACCAATTCGTTGCCGGGTTGGAATTTTGTGGGAAAGGAACGGGCGGTCCGGACGTACCGGACGTACCGAAAGGGTTGATCGGAGTGGTGGTGGGCAGTAAGGCGTTGATGGGGGTGATGGAGAGTGTACCGGGTACGGTTGAAGCGCCTTCGCTCGTATCCAAATTGACGTACAAAGCTCCACCGCCATCCTTGATCGTCGCACCTTTGCCACCGCGTAAAGCCCAAGCTTCCCTGACCCTCCAATTCAACAACGACTTGATCAACGATGATTTCCCCGCACCTCGTTCACCGACGACCAACACGCGCGGAGGCAAGATCTCATCATCTTGTACGCTCGTCCAATCGAGCTTGTTCCGACTCGTACTCGTCGAACTCGGCCTCGCCTCTGCCCTGATCCTACTCAAACCCAAATGCAGAGCCTGATAAACGCTCATCCCGCCTTCATCACCGACATAACTACTCTCTACCGAACCCTCGACTCGGATCGTACAGCCCGTAGGAGTCCATACGCAAGCTCGAACTTGATCCGAGAAAGGGTGAGGTGTGTGAGGTACTAATTCAACGCCAAAGGTTTCGGCTAGACCGGAGAGGAGCGTGATGGAGAGCGCTTCGCCACCTTCGAGCTCGAAGGAGAATTCGTGGTTGGGGGGTAGGTCGATGATCCTTGTTGGGATCGACGAGGAGCTGCCAGAGGTGGAGGCCATTGAAAGAGGGGGGGGGGGGGCAAGTGGGGGAGGGAAGGATGGGTTGTGGAGAAGACAAGAGGAGGAGGGGCGTGTTGCGGGTAGAGAGGAGCTACGGAGGCTGTACAGGTGCTGAAGTGGTGTCGTTGTGGAGGGAATGAACGACGAAGGACGCCGACTCGATCGAGCGCGACTCGCGAGCGGAACCAAAGGGAGCCAAACGCCCATAAAGTCTCTGGAAGTCACGCACAGCTCAGCCTACGTCACTCGGACCACGGGAGAATCCCACTAGAACTCCAAAAAAAAAAAAGAGTATACGGAATGGCTTTGATTGAAACGGAGTAGTAGAACGCGAGTGGTACACGAATACAAGCTTGAACTGAACCCGCCCTGGTCTCCACGTCATTCCCGCTGCTCCTCCTCGCCGCCTGATTAGAACGACCGCCGTTCCCTGCACACCCCATCTCCACCTTGGCCCTGGCAAGATCGATCTAGGTACTGCATCTTATCCCCCCCGTCGTCGTCGATCACGCCTTCAAATCGGCGGAGCCTGCCTTGAGCGCCACGATCTTACATCTGCCCCTTCCGACCACGGTCTCGGCGTTATTCTCCAACTTGAACGTCGGTCTGTCCAACGTAAACGTCCACACGTCCTCGACGTGATTGTACACCTTCAAGGGACTCCGTACGGTCGCTTTCGTTTTGAGGTGCGAACTGAAAGCGAGCGTCGCCGATTTATCGAATTGGGCCAACAGTTTGAGAGCGAGTTGAGGGGACAGGTGGCCGGATTGGATCAGTTCGTCGAGCGATTCCATCAACGCGAGACCGAGTCTGTAGATTCAAAGGAAGTGTGATCAGCGACTTGAACCGCAGGGAAGGGAGCGAGAAAAGGGGGGGAGGGAGTGACCACCCTTGAGCACCCACAGAACAACTCACGAACTACGACGATAGGCTTGGTAGAATGGGTTCTGCGCCGTCGTACCAACCGTACTCGAGCCGGCTTTCGAGCTCGACATGGTGGCGATCGAATGGGGTGGCGTGCGGTCGAACCAACACAACACGCGAGACCGGAAGTGAGAGAGAGAGCACGCGAGCGTGAGCGCTTCATGACCAGCGTTCGTCATCCTCATCATTCGCCGGAAATGCAGTGACACCCCTGGCCCAGGAATTCGAATCAGTCGTAGTGAACAACGGTGCGAGTTTCCGATCTTGGAGTTATGACACCGCATCAAAAAAATTAGATTCTGGCAAGAGTCGTACTTGCCATTACATCGAAAGGGCGCCCGGTTCGAGTAGACGGAGTTGGCGTGCCAACTCACGCGCGACGAGCAATTTCGAATAACCGAATAACCGAATATGACTAGCGAAGACGACTTTTACTCGTTGGGGGTCCTGATTGGCGTTGTTCTACTCTCACATTACTGTCTTGTTCGCACCTCCTAACTGACTCGTCGAGTATCCAGTATGCAAGCGCTGCACCCACCCAACCCCCGGCCCGGCCTGGCACTGTCCGTCACCTTTTTCTCTTCTTCCCTTATCTTCTTTATCCTCCCCTTTCCATCGCAGTCAGCGATTCCGCGACCAACCCCTTTGTCACCTCCAACTGAGCCGATTCCGTGAACAGGCAAACCTTCATCACTCCCGATGGGGTCCGGATGACGGTTGCGTTCAAAGTTTCCAAAAGAACGCTTCATATTCCGCCGACCCCTATTTTGCCCTTGCTTTATTTCATCAAGGTGCCCTCGCACAGGAACAAAAAGCGGTGCAGGGGGAAGGGCTCTGAAGACTAACCTAATCTCAGATTATCGAGCTCGTTCTCATATCGCTCTTGCTGTGTCTGCTGTGTCGGGACGAGCGAAACATCCAGCCCCACTTGCACCGCCAAGCTGCTAGGAAGGGGGCGGGCTTTCGCGCCGGCATTATTGGGCGACGGGCGCGTAGCGCCGCGCGCACCGCTGCCCGGGCCCGTATTTTCGGTGCCGAGGCCCAACCCGCGAGGCGCATGAGACAGGTCGTCATGCAGCAGCTCCGCAAGCGATTGCCGTCGACGCTGAAACGTCCCGGGCACGAGTGGTGCCACATCCACCTCTGGGATCCGTCCTCTCTTTCCTTCTTTCTCATATTCTACCCATCCTCGGACGTTACAGACACGTTCAAGCCTTACTACAACCGTCATAGCCTCTACTACTGCCCTCTCCCCCGGCACCCCCTCGACTAATCAAAATGTTTTTCGCTCGCTCCGGTGTCGTCGCTGCTACCTTGCTCGTCTTGCAGTCGACCCTCTCGATTGCTGCTCCTGCATTGGAGCTCGAGAAGCGCATCACTTGCAACGCCAATGAAATTGCCAAGAGTGAGTCCTATTCCTCCTCGGCATCTTCAACCCCATTCGCAGGGGCCTTCGCAACTTTTTTCTGGGGACCCTCCACGCGCTCGGCCTCGACGATTGCTCTTCGACTCCTCATCTGAATTGGGTCATTCAGATAGTAGGTGTTAAGTATCGGATCCCCTTTTCCTTTCAGACAACGCTTGCGTGTCGTGCGCTTCGATCTACACGAATGCGACGACGTGCAGTCGCTCGGAGCCTTTGACGTGCTCGTACGGTGTTCCGAATTCGGCTCGCAAGTAAGTCAATTACGGTATCAACACCTTGAATGACTCATTCATCTCGTCCCTGAACCCATACCATGACTGACTTGGGACCCTGTTCATCACCTCCTGTCGTCTGCTTTGATCGTTCAGGTGCGCAGCCGTTGACTGCAGCAAAACTCCGGCAACGTATCTCAGCACCGATGGTGAGTTCTCTTTCAATACCTCCCTCGTGAGACTCGTACCTCATCTTCTCGACTAGCAGACTGACGCAATTTCATCCTTGGCTGCGTCACCTATCTAGCCAAGCAATGTATCGCCTGCTCGGACGCGAACGCACTGACCTGCAACAGCACGACGACGTTGAGCTGCCAAGCGAACTACACGCTCAGCACTGTCTTCTCCTCCGTTCCTACTTGCGTCTACGGAACTTTCTACGCTTTCTTCGGAGGTTACGGCTTGCCCAAGCCCCTCGACGGCAAACAACAACCTTTCAAACCCGTCCCCCTCACGAGCGGTAACCCCGGAGTGTGTGTGGCCCAGCACGCCAAGGCTCGTGGTGAGTGATCATATATTCCTTGTCTACTTTATCTCATTATATTTCGTCAAGACTAACTCCAAATTTGCTGGATCAACGTCTTCTAAATTCAACAGTCGTCGCCCTCACCGCCAACCGCAATAACAGCGAGTTCCTAACCTGCTTCGGACAAAACGGCGCACTCGACCAGGCCCTTGCCAAGAGTTCGAGTTCGTTCTTATTCCTCAAGGGTACTTGCAAGGACTACGCCAAGAACCCTTTCATCACCGTCACCGGCGCCCAAAAATCAATGCCAGGATATCGCCATCGGACCCGATGGGTCGTTCCCGTTCTAAGCGGAGCGAAGCGAGGCGCGAGAGCCGACCGACCTCCTCTTTTTAGTACTGTCGCGGCGGATCATTGCCTGAGAGCTTTTGACACCCATTAAAGCGCCAATTCCAACATCTTTGTCAAGATATACGTGAAGTGTTTTGGTGCTCAGGGCACCTTGTTCAGAGAGTCTGGGACCAGATTTGTTAATACCACGATCATTCACGTGCCCAATTCGCCCCCACCGCGCCCGCCCGCGAGAGGTATCCTGAGAGCTTTTCGCGTAAGCTGTCGGATTTGACATCAAGACGCCGGGCGTGGGCCTTTCCTGTTGACTTACTCCCTAGCTACGGTAGCTCGGTATCGGGGTGTCTGCTAGTCCCAGACCTCCGCCGCCCCTCGACGGCTACCGGACGTGTCGTACAACCGACACGGTTGCCGGCAAATTCGGGATGCGAATCCGAGTCGCTGCCGCAATTCGATGAGTCCGCGGCGCGGTGCCTGGACGCTGAGACATTGGCCTCCCGGCTCCTCACAGTGCGGGACCCGCCTCGATCATCTCCCCGCAAGTGATGCAAACACGCGCAAGCACAACCACATACTTTCTCTCTCTCTCTCTCTTTGACAACATACCATCTCCATCTCGCCAGCAATTTCCGCAAGTCCCCAAACTCCATATCCTCCCATCACCTCACCGAGACCGTCCCCCATCGCCACACCCCGTCGAGTGGAAATGTTCTTCCCTCGCTCCGGTGTCGTCGCCGCGACTTTGCTCGTCCTTCAATCGACGCTTTCGATCGCCGCTCCCTGGGCGAAGAATGCGGTTCATGATCTGGAGAAGCGTATCACTTGTCACACCAACGAGGTTTCCATCAGTGAGTATGGTTATTCGCTCCTCGATGCTCCGACTCGGGCCGTCACGGTGAAGGTCAGGCTCCGTGACTGCAGTGTGATGCTGCCCTTCCTCTTGAGACCCTCCTCTTTCCGTCTCCTCTCCTGTTATCGAATTTGAAATGGATCTAACGACGCCATATATTGAAAAATCATCTCTGACCCTCGGTTGCCTCCTTCGTCACAGACAATGCTTGCGTGTCGTGCGCCTCGCTCTACAAGAACGCCACGACTTGCACTCGCTCGGTTCCCTTGACGTGCTCGTACGGCGTGGTCGATTCGGCCCGCAAGTGAGTAGATTGTGCCTTCTTCGATCTTGATTTGGGGCTCGGTCGACGTATCCGCTTTGCATAAATGCCTGACATTGAACCCCTATCCACGAACGTCTGGTTGCTCGTCCTCCGTGCAGGTGCGCAGCCGTCGACTGCAGCAAGACTTCAGGAACCTATCTCAGTACCGATGGTGAGATTTTTTACGAATTGCCTCACTTTCACGCTTTCTTCTGTATGGTACAGTGGCTTAAGTTTCCCTTCTCCGTTTTTTCGCTATCGCACCTCTACTAGCCAAGCAATGCCTGCCCTGCACCGATCCCAACGCTTTGACCTGCAACAGCACTACGCCCTTCACCTGCCAGGCGAACTACACGCTCAGTTCCGAGCGAACCGGGTCTCCGGTCTGCTATAAAGGCAATCCCTACGTTGCCTTCTTCGGTTGGGGCCTAGCCAAACCCTTCCAGTCCAACCAACAGCCTTTCAAGCCGACCATCGTCGCGAACGGCGACGGTACCACCTGTATTGCCGATCATTACAACGCTCGCGGTGAGTTATGATGGCATAGGAGCCGCTTGATTCATCATTCTCATCGACCATGGCCTAATTGTCCTTTGCTTTGGCCCTACAAAACAGTCGTCGTCGCCACGCCCTCGCCCGACCGATTGGACTCAGCAGTGACGTGCACTGGGCAGAATGGGGCCCTGGACCAAAACCTCGTCAAGACCGTCAACGGAAACGCTGTTGTCTTCCTCAAGGGATACTGCTCGGATTACGTCAAGAGCTCGTTCGTCACCGCCAACAAAGCTCAGGGCGCTTGCGAGGAAGGCTTCGTCACCCCCGATGGGCAGGTATCGTAGGCAACCGGAAGCTCATATTGGTGACCGCTGCACGTACCCTATTACGTTGCCTTCCTTTTTATTTTGGTATTTCTTGCACCCTGATAACTCGATATTGACTACTGTAAGCCCGTGCTCCGTCCGTGCCCTGTTCCGGGTGCGTAGCCCCCTATCTATTCACGCTCGCTGGCCACCAACTCACCGACAACTGATCACTGGCTTGCCCCAACATTCGATGCATCCACGAGCTTGTTCTTGTGCTGAAGACACGGCTGACGCTGTAACACGAGCCACTGCAGTGCAGTGGCAAAGGAGACCGTGACGGGCCCTCGTAGACGGTGGCGATGAAATTAGATTCAGCGGCAATGGCTCGCTACGCGGTGATTAGATGCTCGGGTAGGCACCGTGGGTGATAGTCAGCTTGCCTACTTCTCCGCCAATAGGAGAACGGCAAAACCAAGCTCCGATCACCAATGAAAGAAACGGAAGTCTTCGGAGTTTCGGACCCCCAAGATCGGCTTCGCTCAGAGCCGTGCCTTGGTGGAACGTGCGCTTTGGGCGCGTGTCAGCAAGCGCCTCGAACTCGACTTTCGTCAGAACGTGCGGCTACTATATATAGCGAGTCGTGACTTCCGTGATTCCGTGCGATCCGTGAGCAGTGGGGTGGTCTGCGATGTGCACTGTACGACCAAGCAGATTGGTGGTCTCCCACTTCCCTTTATGTCTGCCACTTGGAAACCCGAGTGTTGAACGTTCTTCGATCCCCGCTCGAGCCCATACGGAGTCCGGACTTCAGCGCGCGTGAGCCTTCGCTTTCAGCAGAGCCTCCTGTCCGACTCGACGCAAGCGACAAGGCTGTTTCGAATAAGTGACGTACAGGTTACGACTTCCCACGGTGAGAACGCAACGACCCCCTATCCCCTTGAACTTGAAGCCCAAAAAATTAATAGGCCCAGTCATATCTCATCCCGCTCGACATTTCAGACCGAGTCGCGTCATCATGCACGCCGCTCTCCTTCAACACACGTGCGCCGCCCTGCTCTTGGCCCTCACCCTCACGGCCCCCCTCACCTTCGCTCAGCCGAGTTTGACCGTCACTTCGTCGACCAAGGATCTCGGTAATGGCGTACATGTCCCCGGTGCGATCCCGAGCAATTTGTTCGAACCGTTGCAGCACCATTTGGCGTTCGGCAAGGATTACCGCACTTTGTACATCAGTTGGGCCTCTTTGTGAGTGTTCACCTTTCCCATAACTACGCCTCTCTTTGCATACCCCTGACGTCTCACCCTGAAGCACTACACACTGATACCCAACTCTTCTTCCCTTGATCGTGAACAGCTCGTTCATCCGCACACCGGAAGTGCACTTCGGCACCGATCCCAATAACCTCAATCTGACGGGCACGTCGCGCGACTCGTCGACTTATCCAACCTCGCGCACGTACAATAACCACGTCAAGTTGATGGACTTGAAACCGAACACCAAGTATTGGTACACGGTCAGTACTTTTGTTTTGGAAGCTTGGCAGAGAGAGGGAGATGCTTAAAAGTTCTCGCGTCAAAAAGGTCTCTTACACGAACGCGGCCTACGCGGCCTACCGGCCCAAGTACACGTTCAAAACCGCTCTTCAAGCAGGTGACATGACTCCGTTCTCCGTCGCCGCCTTTGGCGATCTTGGCCTAATGGGTCCCGATGGTCTTTCGACCCGTATCGGCCCTTTGGACACGGCGACAAACACAGTTCTCGGCGCGAACGAGACGAACACGATCCAGTCGCTGTTGCAGAGCGCAGATTCGTACGATTTCATTGCCCATTTCGGAGATATTGGGTATGCAGATTATTACGTGAGTCGTAATGTTCTTTCCAGGTCGAGAACCAGTGCTTCGCATCCTCGACTGAGTCCCTGAACGATATTATTCCATCCTAGCTCCGAGCCGCCACGGAAGGATATTTCGACAACACCCCATTCTTGCCTACGACGGAGATGATCGGCGTCGGTTACGAGAGTCTCAAAGAACAATTTTTTGATCAGATGCAACCTGTGACGGCGAGCCGGCCATGGATGGTCTCCCCCGGTGCGTCGGATTTCATTGGCCTGTGACCTCTTGAGACGTGTTGGTCGACTGAATTAGACCGGAGGGTACTGTTCGTGTGTTGTAGGGAACCATGAAGCCAACTGCGACAATGGTAAGTCCTACAATCAACAGGCCCTACTCTCAACTATATTGCAACCCTAATCTCTCTCTACTTATTTCTTCCGCGTTTGATAGGGGGTTTCTCACCCAAGACGGGCGCCGGTGTAAACAACTACACAGACGGAAACTGCCCCGTCGGTCAAACCAACTTCACCTTCTACATCAACCAGTTCCGAATGCCCGGACCTGACAGTGGTGGAGTTGGCAACTTTTGTGAGTCCGGGCTGAATTCATGGCAGCCTCTTGTCGACGCCGGCTTGGAACTGAAGCCCATCTCGATTTGACCCAGGGTATTCCTACAACTACGGCATGGCGCACTTCATTTCGCTCGATACCGAAACCGATCTCGGCCACGGTCTCGCCGGTCCGATCCAGAACAAAACCAATAACCACAACGGTCCCTTCGGCGTGACTATGGATGCTCAGTTCGATTGGCTCGTCAGCGATTTGAAGCACGTCGATAGATCGAGAACGCCCTGGGTCGTCGTATTTTTGCATCGTCCTTGGTGTAAGCTATATCTTGGGGATATGATAGGCACGGAAAGGATTTGGATCTAAACGACTGATCTGTCAACGCTTTCCCCGGGGTTGAAAACAGACACGGCCGTGAGCCCGCCGACGACGCCTCCAGCGTGGCAAACGGCGTTCGAAGGTATCTTCCAACAATACGGCGTCGACATCTACATGACAGGACACGTGCACACCTACGAGCGATGGTCCCCTCGTTTCAACGGTACCATCGATCCCAAGGGTTACGACAACCCTTCGTCCCCTTGGCCCATCACCGTCGGTGCAGCGGGCCACTTCGATGGACTCGACAGCTTCACCGACGCGAGCACGAGTAAAGGGTGGTTTGGGATTGACTCGATTTATGGATGGAGTCGATTGAGCTTCTTGGACCGTCAGCATGTGAGGTTGGACTACTTTGCCAGTGGAAATTCGTCGATTGTCGATTCGCAGACGCTGTTCAAGATGCACTAGAAAACGAACGGGCAGACAGGGGGTGGTTCGAGGGGTTAGAATCCATGATACCGTAAAGAGATAGGTTTCGGGTAACGAGCCACTACATGGATTCAATAACGAAATGGAAACGAAAGGTCATGAGTAAAGACTGGCTTGGGACTCCGGGGACTGCTGCTGCGGAGAGGGCTTGCCGGACTTCCGACCGCGGAGCCGACGCTCAGAGCTTCCTCCCGGGTCGGACGGAAACAGGGGAGGAGGGACGCTGAGCACAGCTCGTCGTTCATTTGTTCGATCAGAGTGATCCTTTCCTAGTACTCAGTACTAAGGTATAGGTTGGTAAATCGAAGATGGCTGACGCGCGACTGGCGGTCGACGAGTTGAAGGTGTTTTCCGAGTGGGGGGATGGGGCCGAGAACCTCTTATGCACGGTCTTTCAATTTGGAGCTGTGGCGGTGTAGGTCTCACCCAAGCAGGAGTTGCGATGTTTACCTTCTCCGCCGATTTGGTGGTCTCGGTTGGGATGTACGATGACGTTGTCATTGACTCTTCATGCATGCGAAGCTCCGAGGGACTTTGAAAAGCCCTTGAAAAATCGGAGGAGGCCGAAGCGAGGGGGAAAAGGGGTCGTTGCAACTCTGCGCAGAACAAAAAGCGGTGCAAGAGAAAGCTTTAATCAGTTACCCAACCGTAACCCTCGATCTGAATGAAGCCGACTCATAAGTAATCAACCAAAAACCACTGGTGATCTCTGCGAAGCTTGAACCGTTGAAGAACTCGGGTTCTGTACGTCGGTCCTCTGTCCGATCAATATTTCCGTGTCGCACGGAGCACGCGTCATCTGGAGGACTGGTTGAAGGAATTTGAAGACACAGACAAGAGCCGAGCCCTTGGGTGTGAGCGCTGAACCTTTTCGCCTCGGCCTGTGAAACTAACTTATATAAACCGTTGGATGTGAGCCGCGCATCAGCCTGCATCGGCCGCCGAGGGAGCGATCCCGATTATGAGATTGTTATCAGATCGTCCTACGCGCGCGACGTGCGACTCGGTTCTCAAAGCAGGGCTGCTTCAGTGGGCTTCAGTGGATGAGATTGGAGATTAGGGAGGTTATACACGATAAGGGGTCTTCGAAAGGACTGAAACGAGCTAGAAAAACCCCTTCGTAAGACAAAGACTGAACCGAACGCGTGACCGCAAGGACGGAAGACGATGAGGCTGCCTGCACGGATGCTGCGGCCCTGATTAGGCGCGCCCTGCTTGTCTCTTTTTTTGTCCATAGTTATTCGTAGACTTTTTAAGGACCCCCCACCCGGGGCACGCTTGGCCCCCGAGCAGTGGCCCTCACGGGTTTGTTTACCCCCCTGATCAGATTGCATCGCCCGTTGGCCGGACCTCCGTCGAGGCACACCTGGCTGCCTGCTCGGAGTCTCGAGGCTGAGGAATCGAGGATCTCAAGCAGCCGTCTCAAGACACTTGACCCCGGGGTGATGCGAGGCAGCTGTTACGTTACATGACGGGCAGAATGTGTTTCCTGTGAGAAAGCGGAGTTGAATATTTGGGCATAACATAGTTATGCTTTAGGTTAGCTGTGTTGGAAGTCGTGCAACGTGATTTCCTGCTGAATAGTCGAAAGAAAGCTCGCCCGTCTACAGCGAAATCTCCGTAGCCTGTAGGGTCGGCTTCGGGCCAGCTGAGATTTTACTGCTGAAGTGAAGGCAATTGCCCTTTGCACGACCCACTAGAGAGCATCATGGGCACGATTTGAGAATGTAGAATTGAAGAGCACCGAAACCGTCCAGGCATTTGGATGTTTCTTCTGGGTGATGCGCCGCGACGGCAGCGGTGGCCCACGATTGCCCTCGAACTTAAGCGCGTGTGGAGGTGGGAGAAGGTGGGAGACGTGTGGGTTTCTGTCGGTCAGCGCTCCCTGAAAACCTCGCCTTTCTCCTCCTTCCGCCCTACGTTGGGATCCCTCGACCGCCCGTCGCCTGCCTGTGACGCGTTCCTTGCCGCTGCGCAACCTGCCACCGTGATCGCACTTTCATGTCCTTGTTGTCGTCCTTCGACCGCGTGTATCCTCCCTCCTCGTGTCTGCCATTGACGGAGCTGCAGCTGCCATCGGAGGCGCCGGATCTCGACCACCACCTGACGCGCCTGCCCTTTTCCCCGCTGAGCGCCGCCGCGGCCACCTTTGGATCACACGACTACCACTCGCTGCAGCACTCGACCCAGACCGATCCCCATCAGGCCAGCAACGCTTCGTCGCCCCCCTTCTCTGATTCCTGCTCGGGATACTCGTCGTCGTCGGCATCGGACGCGTCATCGTACGCGGATTCGCCTCCTCGCTTCAGCTTTGACGACGCCGGCGCTGCTATCGGGCCTGTTGGTGCCTTCTCGGCGTCCGCTCCGTCCGCCGCGGCCGTCCACGTCACCGCCAGCACCGCCCGCGCGCGCGGCCAAATCCAAACCGCCCACGCTCACGCTCAGGCCCACCCCGGTCTCAGCTCGGCCGCCGGTAAAGCCGCTTCCGTGACGACGCCCATCACCACCACCACCGACGGATCGTCCTACTACTCGACCTACGACTCGGACTACTGCCCTTCGACGAGATCGACCTCGCCCGCGTCGTCGTTCGTTCACGCCTCGCCCAAGCTGGAGCAACAAGCCTTCGCCGCCGCGAACGGGTTTGATTCGCCGCAAGCCCGCCACGCGCAAAACGCTCAAGCCGAGTCGGAATCGAGCTTTGCCTCCATGAACCAGGTATGTCTCTCTTTCTCTGCTCTTTCGATCCCTTGTTGCATTCACCCTGTCGTGTCCGAGGTGTATTCGATCGACGGCACGCTGGACGCACCATCTACGGTCGAGATAGGGGCGACAGAGGGGCTCCCGTGCCGATCGCCGCGTCATTTGGAGGGTTTGGCATCAAGACGACATCCCTCGAGACTGACCGCTTTTATTTCTCCTTATTTTTTCCCGTTCATCCCGTTCAATAGTCTGCCCCGATGCCCTATTATACCGACGCTCAGCAGCAGCAGCTGCAACAAGGCGCGCCGATGTACCAACAAGCCTCGGCTTCGCCCTTTGCCTACGCCAACTCGTCATCCCCCGTATACCTGCAGCAAACCCCCGCTCTTCAGCAACATCAGCAGTACTACTACAACCAGACCATTCAGCGTCAGCAGCAACAGCAGCAGCAAGCGCAACGCCATATGTACGCCCAGCAGCAACAAGCCCAGATGTCGCACATGCAACACCAGCACCAGCAACAACAACACCTGGTCCCGCAGCAGACCCCCGTTGCCGTTGCGCCCGCGTTCGAAACCGCTTCGGGCACCTACTACTTCGTCCCCTCCACAGCGATCATCCCCTCGGTCGCCCAGGCAGCCGAGCCTTGGTCCGCGATGCCGGAGCAGATCCAGCCTCGTCAGATGATGTCGCAAGCGCAGCAGCAACAACAGCAACACGAGGCCATGCGACAAGCTCACCAGTTGCCTGCCCGTCAAATCTCGCCTGTCGTATCGGCCCCTGTCGCCTCGCTGGGTCGCGCCGACTCGCCATTGGTCGCTCCCCTCGCTCGCGTTCCTGTCCACGACTACACGATCTCGGGTTTGACCAAGGCCGCTTCGACTCTCTCGGCCTCAAGAAGTCAGTCCAACAGCCCTGTCGTGCACTCTGAAGTGGACGAGCTCTTGCCTACCCAATCGGACGCCCCGCCTTCGCCCAAGGCCAAGACTGCCAAGGCGACGACGACGAAAGCATCTTCCAAGACGCGCACTGCCAAGCGTGGTGGTCGCCGCGGCGCTTTCTACGGCGAAAGCACGGGCAAGTCGGAGACCAAGCGTTTCGTGTGCCCTTACGAGGACTGCGGCCGTGCGTTCTCGCGCAACTTCAACATGCAGTCGCACCTCAAGTCGCACCTCAACATCCGCGACTTCAATTGCCCTTGCTGCCCAAAGAAGTTCTCGCGCCGCCACGACCGTGCTCGCCATTGCGCCGCCGTTCACGATATGCACAACCTCGCCGACAATATCGATCACCAGTCAACGAGCAAGAGCAGCCAACGTCGCTCATCGCTCGCCAGCTCCGGCGACGACGAGTCCGATGAGTTCGAGGACGACAAGGCCGACTCGACCTACCGTGGTTGAAGCCGACCTCCGCACTCCCCTGCTTTTGAAAACCGAACTTGCTTCCGCGAGGGCAGCCTTGGTCCTGCGCTTGTTCAAGCGATGTCCTCCCAGAGTCACTAAGCGGTGAGTTCATTATCGGCTGGGATCCCCGCATTGCTTAGGTGCTGACCTAGCGTACTTGGGTGCTTCTCCTCTCAGACTCGGACATCTTGTTCACCCTCGACCTCAATCACACCACCTTACATCACACCAACTGCTACCAATGCCTGGCCTCGGTCTCGCGCCCTTTCGATCGCACCCTCCCACCTCCTCTATCCCTGGGAGTGGTGCCTTCGACAGTGTCGCCGGCCGGCCCCTCAACCCCCCACTTTGCTAGCGAATCGATCCCAGGATCGGCGAACATCTTTGGATTCCAATTATCGACCCCGCATCGAACCCGTCCACACCCTTGGTACCTTGCCACCCACCCGCTCGACCTCGCTTTTCCCTTTCTCCCGCACTCATTCACTTGACTCGCCGGGTGAAGCCTTCGCCTCCAAGACAGCCCCAGCCCCCCTTCTCATCACGAGTTTGGGGCTCTCGCGAAGTGGGAGAAGCGTGCGACCTTACCAAGTCCGTCGTCGGGGCGTGACCCTGCAGTTCACGTTATACATCGTATCAACCCATGGGCCGCTCTTTGTTTCCGCGGTCCGGAATCCCAATTCCTGCCCAACCCTTGTTCGCCACATATCCTCTGCTCCCCCATACTTGATTCGCTCTCTTTCGGGGCGCCGTTCTCTTCGTCGTTTGCCTGTTTCTTCCTCCGCCTTCCGGATCAAGATAACAACAAACGAGGGTCGTCAGAACCGCGTGGATTGTAGGCTTTTCCCTCTTCTTCTTCCCTTCCTCTCTTGTCTCGTCCCTTGACCACACCGGTCAGATTCGGACGGAGAACTTGAAAGAAGTGGGGATCCTCACGCCTCTCCTGTTGAACAGCCAGATACCGCTTGGCTCATCGTCGACCGTACTCGGTCGTCTTTTGAAGCAAGCGGTCCCCTTTCTCGATTTCCATCGATCACGTAAAAAAAAACATGGTTCCGCTCATCTTGTTCTGCGTTCCTGTACCCTCGCTCCGTCCCGCCATCTGTTTGTTCGTATTGCGCCGCTCTTGTGCCATTTTTTGTCGGCCGACGGTCGCGTGCACCAAGCTTTGATTCTTTTGTCTGTTTCTTTTGAAATTCATCCGTGTCTTGTCTTCTATAATCCATCCGTTGCGAACGATGAGAAGTCATTAGGCTCGATTCTGGTCGACTCGGAGTCGTAACCACGAAGTCGCCAAAGCGGTCCGAGCTTTTTTCTTGCGCACCCGATGGTCTCGCGACTACGTGTGCGCGCTGTGCCAGCTCTCCCTTTCTTCTCACCCAAGCCGCCGCTTAATTTCTGATCGATCCGGCCGCCGGGGATTTCTCCTGCGTGGCACTTTCATCGACCCAGACCAGACACGGACGTACGCTGGACTGCTCCATTTCTCCTTCTTCCACGCTCTTTGATTAGGGCAGGGAGTGAGGCGGGATGGAGTGCGCTCCTTCGCACACTTACGGCAGAGTGGAAAAGCCCCACGCCGCGCACGCAACGGATGGGAGCGGTGCAGAGAAGGCGTAATACCTTACTCCTGTCCCTTCCTGAAGTTGCATGCGTGGTTGGGGCTTGTTTACCTCACGATCCAAAACCATTAGCATGTAGTTGCCCCATGGGTCTAGCCGTAGGAAGCGCCATGGGTTGAAGTCTGCTGTTCGATGACCTGATTCGTGGCACATTCCCTCCTCCACATCTCTCTTCTCTTCCTTGTAATGACCCTGTTCAACACTCGAGCGCTTTCCGTCTCCATTCCTGTGTGTTTTTGCGTCGTGCGACGTGCCAAATCGTGAGTCGCCCCTCTTTTTTTTTTCCTCTCACGCCCTCCTCTTCCTTCGCTCCCGGCTCGACCACTTCCCGACCCCCTCGACCTCTTCATGATGATCTATTCAAGTAATCCACATTGTGACGCAACCCCTTTCGAAACTCGTTTTCGATTCGCCTCCCCAGGCGCATTCCCTCACCCCGTCTCGGGACCCTCTCTTCGAAGCGAAGCTTTCCCCTGAACCTCGAGCTTTCGGGAAAGGTCTTTGTTTCGAGGATGGGTTTCAAACTGGGGTCATGGGAATGGGTGTGTTGAAAAGGGACCATTCTTCGGCGTGGTTCTTTGTTCGGATGAGGACGTAAAGGCGATGCTGATAACCTACCCCAATTCGAGCCTTTTTTTCATTATTGGCTGCTGACCATTGACCATCATCCAAGGGTCTCTGAGCTGATCTTTCGTTGGTCTCTGTTGTGTGTTTTAGGTGAAAGTCGTGTAGCGCTTTCCTTTCGGATGCTGCAATTTGGCGTTCATGCACCATCTCACAAGACTCTTCGCAAAGTGAAAATCAGCTCTCGATCTCACTCGAGGATTGCACAAAGACGAGTAGGATACAGAAAGAGGCGAAGCCTAAGATATAGTGTCTAATGCAAGACAAAGTGGGGGTACTCGAAAGAATTACGAACGACGCAGCCAAGCAAAGGTAGGATACACAACGAGGAAAGGAATAGCCAATCTTGCTCCGTCTAGAGGTAAAACGCGATCACGGTAGCCAAGGCCACCATAACGGCGAGCACACATCTCATAACCAATGCACCCTCTCCTATGTCCCTCGTCGCGGCTGCAACCAACTTTGCTGCGGACGTCAAGGTCGAGTTGTTGACCGTGCTCGAGCTGCCTCCGAATTTGCTGATCCCTGAATTGGGCGACGAAGTCCCGTTCGTCATTGTACCCGTCATCGTACCCGTCGTTGACGATCCCGAATCGCCTTGACCTGTCATCATCGTGGTGTTGCTCGAAACTGAAGTATCACCATCATCGTCATCGCCGTCATCATTACCGTCAAAAGCGTCGTTCCCATCGCCACCATCCCTATCGCCACCGTCCCCATTTATTTCAGAGAAATCATCCCCATTTGACGAACCCGAAGAGCCATCGGAAGTATCGTCATGGCTCGCTCCCTGCACCGGCGTCTCCGTCCCCGTCAGCGCACTACCGTTCCCTCCCCCGATCCCACCCCCAACCCCACCCCCATTCGCACTCGCACTCCCAATCCCATTCCCTCCCGATCCCGATCCACCACCATTCGAGAATGCCCAAGAGATCCCATCGTCGGCCGAAGTCGCGGGCGAAGCGGCAGGGATCGTCGCTTCCCTCACCCCTTTCTGCCACTGGTCGTACGAAGGGAACGTCGCCGAGGTTTCGAGGTAAGGTTGTGCGTTACCTTGGCAGACGGTGATCTATACGGCGTCATGGGTATTCGTTCAGTTTAGTTTCAAAGGGCTTTTGGTGAGGCCATAGGGACTTACAGGCATCACTCCGCCTGTGTAAGCCTTTTGCAAAGCCGGCAACCAAGTCTGGGAGAGGTTCATTGTTGCCGTATTGCTTTGAACAGCGAGAACACAGAGAAATCGAATCAGCACGTTTTTAAAACTTTGTGCGAACTCTCAAAAACGATCGATAACGCTCCGCACTCACAGCTCATGGGCGAGGTTGATCTGCCCTTGTTGATCGGTCGCCTTTGAGATCAAGGTTTGATAGTTGTGATCGACCTCGGCATTACCCGATTGATCGACTTGCCAATCCACCGTATCATAACTCCACCTGAACGTTCAAAACGCACTCCTCCATCAATACTGATCAAATCACAAAAGAACACTCTTTATAGTATTCGACGTACAAGATCGTTCGCATCCCTAACGCGTGCGTGATCGAACGAATTCGATCATCGGTGTCACCGAAAGGAGGTCGGAAACACTGCACGGTGATCCCCAATACGTCCTTGATGATCTTCTTCGAATAGTAAATCTCGGCGAAGGCCTGTTCGTTCGATAAGGAGGTCATGTAACGATGACTCCACGAATGGGCACAGATCCTTTAGGACACGGAAAGGAAGTCGTCAGGGATGCGATCTTGATCGGGTTCCGATCTGAGGGGGGGAAGGGAGATAGAGCAGCCGATTGGGGGACTTACTCATGACCATCGGCCAAGCCTCGTTGTGCTTGCAGTGGCCAATTCATAACGTTCGAGCCGACATAGAACAAGGTTGCCTTTTGCTTCTGATCATTCAGGTAGTCGTAGTACTGTAGGACGACGACGGACCACAACTCGGATGGGTCTCAGTCTCGGGTCGTACGACGCCCGCGCGAGGATGCAGCTGGAGCTTCGCTCCGTCGAGTCATACTGACAGCGTTATGACTACAATTAGGTCCTGCGAGATATGTTAAAAATCAAAGTAAGCATCCCAACCAAGACCTCTGTCAAGCTCTGCTTCCCTTTGACTCACCATCATCGAGCGTATAGCCTAACGCAGCAGGCTGCTCGCAATGCGTGACGTCGGGTGGGAGGCTCAACAGTTTGGGTGTCGTACATAGCGTACTCGTCCACTAATCCAGGAAACCGGACGAGAAACCAAAGCAAGCTTCAGCTCCTTGAACTGCAATGTCTTGAAGCTTGAACAGTCCAGTGAGAACGTCGTTGTCGATCTCATAGGGTTCTAAAGGAGAGGTGTCGTTCGCCCGATGGCGTTCGGAGAACCGACTCCTTTAATCCGAACCCCACAGCTCCGAGACCACCGCGATTGATCATCGTGATCGCTCAACACAAAATTCCACCACATCTCAAAAGAATGATCAAACCCGGACTCACCCAACAATCAGGATCGTCCGTCGTCGAATACTTGACGTTGCTCCAATCGCCGTCGGTGGTGCCTCGAGGCGCGATCGAGGGTAAGCCCGCCGAAACGGTCGCGAATAAGTTTTTGGCCGAATCCGTCACACCCCTACGATAAGTGAGATATACGTGTTAGTTGATGCGGTTTCTGTGGTCATTGTTCGGTCCCGAGGAACTGACGCATGTTGTAGATCGGCGATCTTCCATATGGTTGGGTAAGAGCTTTGGAACGCGGCCAGGGGCGCATAGGTGTCTTGAAAGGGGCGCATAAGTCGGGGCGGGCGGGAGGAAAGGAAACATTCGCTGTTCAGTTTGCGTTCATGACAGTACTACTATTCGGAGCGTCGTAGCTACATCCTCCATGATGGCGGATCTCCAAGGAGTCCGGTCGAGGTTGAACGTTGAACTCCGAAGCCGTGGGCCGTACTCGGCTGAGGCGGCGGCGCATGAGCCCGGGTCTGGACCACGATAGGAAGCCGCTCACGCTCTTCTAACATTGAGAGAAAGAAGATTTGAAAATTATAAATCTTCCTAGGTCACTCACATGCCGTGCACTCCTTCGCCGGGTCCTTGATCGCGGCTTGGGAGAGTTGGTCGAGTTGAGCATGCGACGCGCCGACGAGCAGAGCCGCCACCGCGAAGTGTGAGCTCCGAGTGAGCATCGGGGAAAGTCGAATGGTCCAAACGTGTACACAATACGGTGTGTAGCGGGGAAAATCGAGGAAGACAATTACACGTCTAGTGAATCAGAAAGAGACGAGTGGTACGGGGGAAAGAAAGAACAGCATGAGAGGGGAAAGAAAAAGATCAAACGACGTCAGTCTCACCCAAGGATGTACAGAGTCCAAGCTGCGGTTGCTTGAGACAAGGTTCTTTTGCGGGCCAGGAGAGAAAAAGAAAATGGAGCCAAGATAAGGGGGCGCCATGGCCCGGCCACCGATCCGATCGGCGTCGCCCCAGCTTTCGGCTAACGTTCGTCCGTCGATCCGTCCGTGGGTTTTTGGGGGAGTGAGATCGGCTTGTTGGTTCCTTTAACCTGAGAGTCGGTGAGACAAGCTCACAAAGGGCGTTGTCGTTCCAAGACATGAACACTGTGGTGAATGTGATGTCACACCGACAGCACGCTCCGGTCAAGCTGAATTCTGCCTAGTAGCTCTCTCGTGACGCTCTGCTGGCTCGTGAAGCCAAGAAAACACGGCATCATCCCTGTACGTTCGCTCTCGGTACCAGCTTATCCCCGCCTTTTGCAGTGATCGCTAAATTCGATGCCTTGCAACATCGGCTCGGTCATTCGACCGCGGGTGAAGTGTCGGTCCAATTTTTTCAACTCCCTCGTGATACTACAGTATGCCGCGCTGGCAGATAACCTCCTACAACCTCATTATCGTCATCGTCATCGTCTCGTGTGGTTGTCGATCATACAGGTGACTGCCGTCGTACTCCTGCTATCCGGTCCGTCGCCTGGAACGCACGCACGCACGCACGTCACGGGATTCTCGTCAGTCCTTTGACCACATGCACCGAGCCTCGATGCCGCACATCGAGCAAGTCGCGACGTACCTGCCGCACGACGGGAAGCGAAAAGAAGTTGCCAATGACCGGTACTTGTCTCAGGAAGCTCAACACGACAGGGAAGAAATCACTGTACGAGCGGGGCCAGGAGAGGGTTCAGCCACCGGTTTCGATAGGTCAGGGCGTGCGATGCTTTCACTGACCCGAACAAATTCAGGAAGCCAAAGGTCTCGATAAGCATGCCGATGAAAGGGTACTTGACGAAAACGAGAATGACGCCAGCGACGAAGCAGAATGCTGAGCGACAGAGATGAGATCATCGGTCAGTGAAGCGATAACCCAGCCGAGGCAAGGCGAAACGAGTCGAGTTGATCGCGTCGCGACACCGATTCCTACGCCTCACGATCCAACGAGTCGGGAAGTACAGCGAGGTGTGATCGTAAAGACACGATGTCATCCGAGCGAAGCGAAGCAACTCACTCCCTCTGAGCTTCTGCTTCCGGGCAAAGAAGTAGAACGTCTTCCGCGGCCCGATGATCAACGGCAATCCGGCGATGAAGAGGATCTGCGACGGTGCAAGCGGACCAAATCAGTATTCAGTCGAATCCCCGTCTGTGCGATCCGAGTGGGTTGGCGTAGGGCGCGTCCTAGAAGCGGACGAGAACGCGCCGGATCTGATTCGGGGTCGAGGACAATCGGACCACGCGCGTATTCCGCTGCAAGACTCGTCCCCGGTTGGAGGTGTGCGTGAAATTGTTCCCCACCGATAGCGACGCGATATCGAGGTGGTGACTTTGGGGTGGTCGAGTTGTCGAGGCTAGCAACGGCTGCACGGCGGCACTGGGGCGTGCGACTCACGTTGCCCAGGGCCAACAAGGCCCCATCGAAGAACATGATCACGCCCAAGAGCATGAAGAACGCTCCGAACGAGGTCAGGCCGACCTGTGCGCACCAGAACCAAAGCTTGTCGTCAGTTCTCCTGCGCTGTATCGCGTGGACGTCGGTCGCACCGGGTCGGTCGGCGTCGGCTGAGAATCGACACGTCCGATCGCGCGCAGCTTACGCCGATTTCTGTGCAGCAGCCACGACAAGACGCGTCGTCAGCAGGAGCGAGAGCAACGCACACGTCCTAGAGGACTGACTTTGGGCATCTGTCAACCACATGTTGTCTGATCCGATGGCGGGAAGGGGGCTTGCGAGTCGATTTGCGCGCGGGGAGGGAAACGGCAGCCGGCAGCTGGTGGCACTCGTCACACCCCGCCTCGGTGTCAATATGGCAATTGCGACCCCTTGTAAAGGACGCGATTACAACGCGGGAATTGGGCACGGCCGCGTTCAGGGCGGCTGCCACCAGATCGAGTTCCAGTTGCAGTGGAGAATTGAATGATGTTGATGGCGACGCTCATGATACTTGATGCACCACACACGCAGCACCCCATACTACAACACCTAAAGAGTGAAACCTTCTGCACGAAAGTTCAGCCGTTCGACGTCATGATCGCCGTCGCCGACTCGGATCGGCAAAACTAGGCTCACGTGACTCGGCCAGGTGACCGGAGCCTCGTCCGCAAGGCGCACGCACGCTTCATCGCTTCGCTCCACGCTGACCCTCCATCTCCACTCCAACATTTACAACACACCGCTTTCCCTGTCTCAGACTTCTTTATCCAGACTAAAAGCTCGTCATCCTTCGCTGAGCTCACAGCTCCGAAGATTGCTCGTCGAGTCACCAGCGTGTGTCGGCGAACTTGCCAGGCTCAGCTGAGGTCGCAGGGAAGGACATGTCGTACGACGTTGCTTTGCGCCACTTGTGCGAAGGCGACCTGTTGAAGAGCACTATCCACGACTGAATCTCGGCAACGAGTGTAGTCAATGCAGAGTGCACCCCACTCTTGCGGCGGTCCCTTGACAATGCACCGGCGAAGGCCGTTTAGCGTTACGCTGACTCGCCGAGCCCATCCACTCCCCAAGTTTAGGCGCTGAAAGGAGAGTCTTGGGCACCATCCCACTGTCGTGGCACTGGGACACCTAAATTTCGACACTGTGTCGTGCTGAGCGAAACCTCTACGGAGACACGTGAGCAGGGTTCCTCATTAGATGGAAAGATAGTTATCTTTGCATATCTCCCTTAGATATAGATGTCATCTTATCTAGGGGCCAGATATCTTAGATAGATAGATATGCCCCGGGGGGTTTCCTTAGATATCTTAATTGTCTTTGTGTCTGGTACAGACTCCTGTTGCGCTGGGAGTTGTAGTTTCCACTAAGGAGGTTCGTGCTCCCTAGCGAGGACATCGAATTTCAAATTGTATTCGGCCCAATCCCCATGTTTCTGCGCGCGTACCGAACGAAGTCGACGAAGCTGATCTCGAAGCAGGTCCGTACGATACCCTACAGCCTTCGTCCTTCCCGCAGTCTGAACTTCTCTCCTTCAACGTGGATAGAACTGGATGCACTGGGCCACGGATTCGAAGAAGAGGAAACGATCCCGTCGTACCTCCAACCATCGAACGTGACGGCTGAACTCCCCGACTTAAGCTCATCGACGAACCACCCGTACTCGAATCCGTGAGTCTGCACAAAGGCTGATAAGCACTCCTTTCCATAATAAAAACCAGAAGCTGACGATTTTGCGTTCTTATACGCTTCATACGACGCAGGCACCCAAGGAACGATTAGGCGAGCTTGAAGGCGCAGTGGTCCGTCACGTGAGCCAGCCTGATGAGTGAGCGTGAGGTCGCGCGATTCCTCGAACCCGCAGCCTTGGCGGCATGTTGATGGCAGTTCGGTGTGTGTCATGTCTAAACGGGTCTTGGCTTTTCTCCCAAGGGTAATATCTAGTTCATGAGACACAGTCGACCTTGCACGCAAAATAACGGAGTCTGACATACCCAGACTCGGAGCTTTCTATGCATTTAAAGGGTGGGGCCAGTGAGACTTCACCGCCACTTGCTAGCCCCGGCGTCCCGAGCCGACTGAATACCATGGTTCCCTGAGCTTTTTCATCACACGTCACAAGAACCTGGGCAATCGATATGTTGAGTTCGTTCATTTGCCTTGCACTGCCGGCAATCCACTAAGCGGTACCTACCAAACGCAGAGGAGGCTCTGTCTGGTGCAGTGGGTCGCGGGAGGAGGCTGTCAGCAGGATGACCAACATGAGACCGGACGGACGGTCGTTAGAGCAGTGCTAGCGCGGTTGCGATTGCCGAAACTCGGGCGATGGTGTCCCCCCGGTGCCGAACACAATTGAGGCATGGCATGGTATAGCAAAGCGGAGGATCAAAGGTGATATGAAAAGATAGGGCATGAGAGATGAGTAAGGGCCGCCGAAAGACCCAAAGCGAGAGACGAGAAACAGGGTGAGAGCTGCGGAGCGCAGAGACGAGGGAAGAGCCGTGAATGATGGCGAGAACGAGAATGAGATGCCGAGACTGGAGACTGGAGAACGATACCGAACGAGACTTGAAACACGCAGAAAGTGATCCAGAGAAGAGGCTGTATGATCGTAGATGTGGTCCTAAGAACTTGAAGCAAACTCCTCCAAGACGCCCTACTGGAGTAAACCGGCTTCCGTCCGCCTCATCGCTCCCCTTCACCGCCTCATCGGCTTACTAAGCCGCTTTCCTTATCGACTCATTAAGCCGCCCATCTCTCACTTCCTTCATCCCGTCCGTCCGTTCGGCCCGTCCTTCCGCATGCACTTCTGCCCTTTTCCTCGCCGTTAGCCGAGACACCGAGGCGCAAAGGGAGAGGAGCGCGCTCATGATTTACCTCCACTTCCTCCCTCAGGCTGCCTTCGCCGCTTCCCCGCCCATCCGGCGCGGCGCTTCGTCATGATTTCCGAACTTAGAGGGCCTGCTGTCGTAGTTTTTGAAACACCGAAGCCATGCAGTAGCTATAAGCGCCCCTCGATAGGACGTTGCTGCTGCCACCCTGCGATAAAAACGTTCGCCGCTGCCGCCGTCCTTGACCTTGCCGATCGCTGCCTCGTCGATCCCCTGTCTTCGAACGCTTAAGTAGGTAGGTACGATCACCGATGCTCCCATAACCGCTGTTGACTCTGCCGATATTATGATGACAACGGCGGGATCCCGTGTAGCACAATGGCGCGCGGCAATACATGATAACCCGACACAGCCGACACACACACACCTAGTAAAGAACCCCCCTGAAACAAGATCGTCCCGGGATGATCCTGCGTCCGACGACTCTGAGCTACCCTGAAACCGCCCTGAACGGCAAGGCCCAACGGCAAGGCCAAGCTGACCGGGTTAGCGTACGCAATCCAACTTCTCTCTCCTCTCGTCTTTCCCTATCCTTCTCTCTTCTTCCCCCATCCTTTTTTCATCAACATGAAGACTTCCGTTTTCCACTTATTCTTCTCGACTGCCGTCATCGCCATAGTCCACGTTGCCTGGGCTTCGGCCAGCCCCTTCAGAGGAGACGATGGCCTCGTCGTGTCACGTAGGGGTAAGTTGATCACCGTTATTGACGCTCACGGCTGTCCAGGAGCGTTGCAGTCACCTGACTCTTGAGGTAATTTCCTACCATACACTGCCCCTTATTTGAACCCTTCGATCATCTTGTTTTGACCTGCATGTGAGTTCGCGTCAAAGTTTGTGATGATACTACTGCTCACTTGCGGGAACGCCTTGGATCTGACCTGTCATCGTACATGCGTTGTCGTATAGCCGTATCACTCTCGCAGCGGCGACCCACGACATAGCTCGCCGTGCTAAAGTCCATCCCAGCTGCTTCACTGAATGCCAGACGCCATGGTCTGCCGCTTTTGGGTCAGTCTACGTTAGCAAGCCGTTTTCTTGTGCTTGATCAGGGGCCACACCTGGCCGCAAGCTCATTGACGACCAACCGCTGGAAACGTTCTGCGACTCCTTCCTGCAGGTCAACCGCGGCGGATATATGGTGCAGATCAAAATCCGCATGTCCATCGGGCAGTTCAAGCTATCCACAGGCACACAGCGAACCGACCATGCCTTCAGCTGCGGCCATGGACACTTGGAATAAGGATAAACTCTATCCCCCAGAGGTTAAGGCTATCATTCAGGACGTGGTCAGTTGGCAACCTCAAAGTGACTTTTGTCGGCGCCCCGTCCCGCCGTTCTCCGCTCTGGGTGTCTCATAATTCCTTCGACCCCGCTGCTTGTCCAATGACGACTTTGATCTCGTGTATTGACAATGTTGCTTACGTCACGCTATACTTCTCAGGACTGGGTTTGCGTGTGGCAGTGTTTCGAGGTCTGGAAACCCTGGTTCCACGGCGCCACCAGCCATCCGTGAGTCTAAACAACTTGAACGTCTCGAGCGTGATAGCCTGCTTCTAACGTTCAACCATTGAACGTTCCGATCTGACGCCTCCTGGCACTGGGTCGTTTCAGCCAATCCTCGACAAAAGGCCTTGACTCTGATTTGACGACGCAACTCTTTTGCGCCGATTCCTACTGCAAGCATAACCGCTCAAAGTACTACGGACCAAAGGGCCCGATACATGATGTGAGCTCACGTTCTGTCTTCAGCGCCTCGCCGGCATGAGCACGGAAGATTCTCATGCAACATCTCCGCACTCTGCCCCGCGACCTGAGCCGTCCTACAGGCTTAGTCAGACAAGCTATCCCGGCCCATCGCATGTAGCTCACGTCTTGAACCTTCCGCCCTTTGTGAAGACCAAGACGAGGGGACGGTTGCCTGAACGGCCGTGACGTCGAGGTCTACTCCAACCCCACCGGCAGTTTTTTTGGCGTCACTTGAAACTCCGCATTGTCTAAAAACTTTCTCCGTACCCACCATCTCGTTATATAGCTTCTTAGTTCGCTCATGATACATATCAAATCCCACGCGACGTACCATCCCGCGTCTTTCCGTTCTATCATGTTCGTGCTTGAGCGAAGATGGGTCTAGAGCCCGATGTGCCATATAACGTCCGAGAAAAGGAAGTGTTTCGTCGTAGCGGGATGCCGATGTTGTAGAGGCAGCTTCGGAAAGTAGCCTGAAACGACGCGTGCCACCGTCGCGGCGTCACGTTAAAGTGGAAGCGGAGTCCCAAGGGGACGACAGCGGCTTTGGTTGTCGAAGTGACTCATGAGAGCGAGGGCGAGGGCGAGCGGGATTTTGAACTGGACCATGTTTTAAGGCTTGCTGAAATGGGTGGGATTGAGCGTTTGAGAGGGACCAGGGTTGACTTGGAAGAGAGAAAAAGAGAAAGGAACCATTTGCTGGTCTATAAATCGAATTCTTCAGAACCACCGGCCTCGGTCTCGTTCTCAGCCTCTTGGGCCTGGCCCGCCCCTCGCTCCGACGACCACCGCGATCCCGCGCCTTCCTTCGTGGTCGTCTGATCGATTCGCCGAACCAAAGAGGAGATCCGATCCGCATGAGATCGGCGTTGAAGATCGATAGAGGATTGGGGCGATGGCGATCGGAGAAGCGATAGAAAGATAAGGATCGACCGATTCTGGCTTTGACTAGCTGTCAGTTACATCTCGAGCGAGCGACGGAGTCATAGCTACCCCGGTAGCATACAGCTCAATGTCAGGAATCCGGAAACGCATGGCATTTAAATTACACGTGAGCTGAGGACCAGGTCCAGCAGCTAGGCAGATTTTACAAGTCGCCAAATCGCTCGGAAACGATTCGCAGGGTAGGTAATGTGACCTTAGTCCTCCGGTGTCGGGTTGAGGGTGATGAGCAAGATGAGGCTGAACTCGAGCGAGTTTGACAGCTCGATGATCTCCTTCACCGTCACGGCGGTGTCCTGTCACCACAGCATAGTAGACCAACGATATTCAGCAGAAAGCTTATATGCTTATGATCGAAACAAGTTTTGAAAATATACCTGTAGCAGATTCATGGTGATCTTGCCTCGATTTATAGGCGAGTTCCTTCGTCCGTCGAGTTCGATGAGGTTGCCCTTGTGTTCGACAAAGGTGCGGAAATGCAGATCGACTTGAGTGTCGAGGTCGGGGGTCTGTGGTGGAAGATTCGTTGTGGGGAGAAATAGTAAGATGATGTTGTAGACCAGGATCAGGTTACTGGAAGGACTTGCAGCCGTTTGACCGCTCGAAGCAGTTTCGGTGTGCACCCGCTCGAGCTCGTCGGTCGCGGTCAAGAGCTGGGCTCGTTCAAGTGGGGTCTGAGATTTCGGATGGGATACTAGGGAGAGAATTGATCAGTTTTCCCCTCACCTCGGAAGTAACACGTCAAGCGCTACGAACCTTGTCTTTGCATTGCTCACACAGCTTTGTCAAGTACCCTGGTTCTGTCGGGGATGTCAACGCCAGCCTCGTCGATGTCAGTCATGTGGGGGCGAGATTTGGACACCGAGGGCGGGCAAGAACGAACCAAGTGGCACGCCCGCATTTGCCAAGGCGTGCAGCAAGCCGAATGTCCCACATGCGTTCGCAATCGTCTGCTTGAAGTAGACGATGTCGGCGACATACTCTACGCCGTCTTCCTCGATGCGAGCGTCTTCCTCGAGTCGGGCCTTTTCGTAGGCTTCGGTGATGGGAACAAGAGGATCACGGCCTGGGAGACAGTACAGTGGGTTTTCAGTGCGTAATCCCTACTGTAGATTGAAGGTAGTCTCCACTCCACCTTGACCGGTTGCTTGACCCAGCCCAACACCTCGGCGTCCAGTCCGTAGCAGTCCTGCAGTGGACGAGTACTGGCCGAGTGGGACCACGTGTTGAACGACTCGGGGTTGGATTCGAGAGGGAGCCAGCGTTGTCGTTCTTTGGAGGCCATGGTTTGGTACGGAGCTGTTTCACCGATCGTGGCTGAGCGCGTAGGACGAAGCGCGAGAGAAGCTTCCGACGACGACTCGGACGAGGAGGTCCGCGCGCACAGAGGGGAGACATAATTGCGCATTCAAGCAGCTGGTTTGTATTGGGAAATAACGCCAGCGAGACCGGGCGGCTTCTGAGCCTGCAAAGGAGTCTCACCTTCTTTGATTGGAACCCATGAGTAACAACAACAACAACGGCAACATCAGCTCCACTTCGCTTCCCCAAAGAGGCCGACCTGCGCCAGCTTCAAGTCGCTACAGGTCTTACCGTGGGTAAGACACTAAGTTTCAAGGTCGACCTCCTTTTCCATTCCACGCAGGCTCTTCCGTTGAAAAAGTCTCCGAGTGCCCCAGCTCAGAGATCATTCCTCCCTCCCCAAGCCCTGCTCCGGCCACGCCAAACACGATCATGACCCGGTCAAAGTCGATTGCCGCCCCATCCATCGCCCCGGACACCCCTCTTGTTGCCCTCCAAGATACCGAGCCGACCTCGAAGCCCTCCTCGCCCAAGTCGATGCACTCAGCCGCGCCCAAAGCCCGACCCGATGACACCGACACCGTACCGACGACGATGCCGAAGAAGAAGCCGAAGACCAAGGAGCACCCCTCAAAGACGTGGAAGACGCTATGGATCAAGATGATGAGCACAACTAGGATCCCAAACGTGTCTTTTGTTGCTGCTAACTTGCAGTCAATCAATGAAGGCCGTAAGCGTGCGTCTCTTTTCTCCAGTCTCCGATCCCATAACACCGATGTCTTTCTCCCGAGCAAAACTGGCCGACCTACCCCGGAACGGGTTGGCCAGTGGACTCAGGCGTGCCGAGACTTGAAGCTTTCTGCTGTTTTCACTCCTTTTAACAACACTGCCATACTCTGGAAGAGCGACTCGCCGGTCGTTACTATTGACCCGGAGTCGCCTCCCAACAATCTTCGTGCTTCCTTCCCTTTCCTGGACCGAGTCTCCGACGCCACTTTCTGTGTGGGTGACTCAAAAGTCCGGGCTGTATCAATATACGCGCCCTCTTCCGACAAGCCAAACAAAAAAACACTTCCTCTCTCACCTCAGCACCGCCCTCCGTCGACTGACGACGACCCCTCCCCGGGGCCTGCGCTCCTCGTCGGGGGCGATTGGAACTGTGTTGAGTCCCAACTCCTCGATTCGGAAAACCAAAATGGCACGAATTACGGGGCTCAGGAGATGCGTGATCTTGCCATTCCGAACAACCTCTCCGACGTCTATCGCTTCCACCACCCCAAAGGACGAGCCACAACGAACCGCTCGGCGCCCGGCACTTGCCGATGCCTCGACCGCATCCATGTCTCGCCTGACTGGGTGGACCTCTTTCGCGACCACAAAATCTGGGCTCCTGTCCTTGAATCCACTCATTCGATGGTGGTCACACGATTCCAGATCCCGGGCGCCATCGACATCGGTCCGGGCAAATTCACCTGTTTCAGACTTCTCCATCCAGACTAAAAGCTCGTCATCCTTCGCTGAGCTCACAGCTCCGAAGATTACTCGTCGAGTCACCAGCGTGTGTCGGCGAAATTGCCAGGCTCAGGTCGCAGGGGAGGACATGTCGTACGACGTTGCTTTGAGCCACTTCTGAGAACGCGACTTGTTGGAGAGCAATATTCACCACCAAATACCGGCGACGAGTGTAGTGCAGGCAGAGTGCACCCCCCTCTTGCGGCGCCGGCCCCTCGGCAATGCACCGACAAGTTGAAGGCCGTTTAACATGCTGATTCGCCGAGTCCATCCACTTCCCAAACTTAGGCGCTGAGAGAGTCGTCTGCATGGATAGGGAGAGTCTTGGGCACCACCCCACTGTTGTGGCACTAGTGCGCTCAAATTCCGACACTGTCGTGCTAAGCGATCGGACCTCTACGGAGACACGTGAGCCTGAACATGTCGGCCGCGGAAAGATGCAGACCTGCTTCAAGCGTCTATTGCAGTATGATAGGGTAATAAGTTAGGCACGTCAAATAGGATCGTATTTCGAGCCCCTGTTGCAGACGAAACCGCGACCAAGAAGCCAAGGAGTTGAGCGCAACTACCTCCCTCGGGCGGCAATGCAGTGCGAGTCGAACAGGGAGAGGCTGGCGAGCTGTAACATGCAGCCTTCCGATTATACGGTAGCTCTCTTTGACGAACACCTCGAATGTTGTCGGAGATACGGTTGTCTGTGTCAGTGATCTCTGAGTTGGGCCGCGATCGTTGCCGAAGGCCCCGAGGCTCTCGAACGCGGCGATCCACGGCGCTCCGAGCCTGGACCAACGATTCTCGCGTTAGGACGTTCAGGCCCAGGCCGTTCGGGCCCACTGGCAGGCCGTTCAGGCCGCAAGTCGTCGCGTCGACGCTGAGACATAACCCTCGTCCAAGGTGAGACCAAACCCGACGGACTCAGGCGGCCCGACAGCGAACGCTGGTCACCTGCGGTTGTAGCAACTAGCAAATTTGGGCCTCTCGCAACGTTCCCTCCACTCTATACGCGTTTTGCGAGAGATACATCTGCCATCGCTCAAGTCTAGTCCCAGCCCTAGATTGAAACGTTTCTCAGCACTTTCCTCGGTCACCGACTTCTTATTCAGCCGCGCCGCGCGCGGCAGCGGCATTACGGGAGGCTGGTCACGTGAGGCGGTGTCTTCGAACCACCAAAAAAGGAACTTCAATTAATATCTGCTTGAGCCTCGTTGGTGACAGTTTGCATATCCCGTACGGAGTCGTCTATCGCGCGGAAACCTACCTTCAGCCTGGCTTCCGGCGCTCGGGTCCCGGAACGCCGCCGAATTCGCACTCGGCGAGCTTTGGCGAGAGATTCTTGGCGCGCAAACTGTTGTGCTGACCGCATGACGACCTGTTTCGACAACAGATGCAATTTTCAATTGGGATCGAATGATCATCTTGAAAAAGATCCACTTCAGGTCGCAGCTTACGTAGGTAAAACGAGAGGAAGCAAGGACAGCGTCATAAATAACCAAGCTGTGCGAGGAAGGGTTCCTAACTTGATCCGGGCGCCGAGAGCAATCCTTGTACGCACGTGCACTGCACTGGCGCCGCTGCTTCAACGAATCACCATCGACGATGGGAGGGTCCACGGGTCGGGAGGGGTTTTGATGAGGAGCAGGGGTTAATTGAAAATGGGGGCAGCAGTGGACGGCCGAGCAAAACCGGCGCCAGTGATGGGCTCACCTTCCGCTGGTTGATCGAGCCGCTCTCAGTTCGGATTTGGGGTTTGGGCGATCGGCATTCGGGTCCGAGCTCGTGCCCCGCAAGGTCATGTGAGGAAGCAGAGCCTAATGAAAGGTATTTATATTTACAAAGGTTATCCGCGCAGGATGACCGGGGTAGCCTTCATCCCAATCATTTCGAGCGATTCGAAGCGACCTTGAGGTAGCCGTCAAGGGCGGGGAGATGGGGCAGAATGACTTGGGGGCAAATCTCGATCTCGACCCGGAGCGGCGACAGGGTGAGCAAAAAGGACTAGCTCCTCAAAATGCACGTGTGCCCAGGGGCTGCTTGTGGAAGCCGAATTCTCGTGTGCGGAACAATTGCCTCATTAGTCGCCAAGAGGGAAACCTAATGTCCCTGGCCTGCGCGCCGAATCTTGTAATTGTGACGTCCCAGCTTCCGGCTAGCACTCGCGCGCCTGCCCCATCGGGCGGCCCCTCACCGGGTCGGAAAGGCTCCCAGGAGCTCGAGGCGCGAACGCTGTCGCGGCCCGGTCGGGAGCGGATTCGGCACCAGTGGGACGCTTGTGGAGATGCTGTGGATAGAAATCTACCTTTCAGCTGATCTACAGGCCCAAGGCGGGGCTCCTTGGCTCCTGCCCCGCTTGATAACACCCCTCAATCGATGCACGCCCGAGTTGGAGCAAGTAAGTCCGAGGCTCATCTCAGCGTGCCTACCAACCTCCGCCTCGCTACCAGACGTCAGCCGATTGCGATCGAAACCCGTATGCCCGATCTCAGTATCTCTCGAGTTGGGTACAAAAATCACAAAGGATATTCACATTGTAGTTTCAAACTAGGACGGATCTCTTGTCCCCACTTTGTTGGTAGTGTAGCAGCTTGTGTGAAAAACGCGATCATCTTCATTCAGCCAGAGCAACTCTGATTTCGATCAGTTCGCAAAGCCGGAAAGTTTCGATCAGCGCGCGGTCCTCGAGTCATGCCTACACAATCATCGGAAAGGGCTCTACAAAAGAAACATGGACCGATGGACAGTCATCGGCGTCATCGAATTTCGGTAGGGAGAAAAAGAACTCGGCGCCCATGCATTGACGATGCCAGCGCCCCAGCTCCCTCCCGCACATTTGCTTGGACTTGGAGCGGGAGAAGTGCCCATTCGGGTAGGTCGTGCCTGGCGCGCGCCGCTGCCCGCCCGGCTTCCGGCGTGAGCTGGAGCCACAAAGCTCGCGCCTGTCTTTAATTCCATGACATCAATATTGTCCTCCTGTTTCTCATACTGCGTACACGTAATTCAAAGACATCCGAATGTGAGCATAAAGGGCGAGGTGTTCGCGCTTTCACTCTCTCCTTCCTTCTCATACCATCTCCCATCATCTTTCCAAGACTTCCCAGCTCCCCACCCCCACCTTCACCGACCCCTTTCCCTCGAGTCAGAATGTTCTTCGCTCGCTCCGGTGTCATCGCCGCGACCTTGCTCGTCCTCCAATCGACTCTCTCAATTGCAGCTCCCCTATCGGACAATGCTGTGCATGGGCTCGAGAAGCGCATCACTTGCCACACCAACGAGGTTGCCGTCAGTGAGTCTGGTTCTACCTCCCGAGATCCCCTACTCTCCTCTCCGCTTCCGGCTCCTTTGCCTTGGATGTCCCTCATCTACTGGGCCCTAGATCCGTTACTCCTTTTAACCTATTGTACTAATCGCTGGACCGTTGTTCACTTCCCTCTTCTCTACAGACAATGTTTGCGTTTCTTGCGCTTCTCTTTACACGAACGCCTCGACCTGCTCTCGATCCGTCCCGTTGACGTGCACGTACGGTGTGGTTAACTCTGCTCGCAAGTGAGTGTCACCTGTTCCGTCATTTTGTAAATAGTTTGAGAGGCCCTCTATCTGAGTCTGACCCTCGGTTCGCTGCTTCATCACCCAGGTGCGCGGCCGTAAACTGCACCGCCGAGCCCGGAACCTACCTCAGTGTCGATGGTGCGTATTTGTTGCCTTCCCCAGATGTCTGATTTCTTCAACTCCGGATCTCCAGTGGACTGATACGGAATGTCACTTGCGGCTCCCCTCACAGGCAAGCAATGCACGGACTGCGCCGACCCCAATGCGTTGACCTGCACCAACACGACGACCCTTACCTGCGCCCAAGACTACACGCTCGTCGCCAATGAATGCGTTTACGGCACCCCTTACGGCCAGTTCACCGGTTATGGCTTGGCCAAGCCCTACGTGGCCAAGCAACAGCCCTTCAGGGCCATCACGGCTGAAGGCGGTGACCCGCAAAACTGCGCACGCGCCCAACCCAAGGCCCGCGGTAAGTCGTATTCGATTTTGCATGCGCGATTTCCGCCTCTACGTATCCTTACGGAGATTTTTCTCGGTCCCAGTCATCTTCTTCATTGGTAACTCTTTCAACCCCGCTACCTGCACCGGCCAGAACGGAGCTCTTGACCAGAACATCTTGACGACGTCCGACCCGACCTCGGCGGTTTTGCTCAAGGGCAACTGCACCGAGCTCGCCAGGAGCCCCTTCGTTACGGCGCAGAGGGCCAGTCCCGCCTGCCAACAGGTCTTCATCGGCCCCAACCAAATCCTCTAAACGCTCTCACTCCTCTTCAAAGCCGCTAAGCGAGCGCTTGGAGGTGACTTCCCCCGACCACCGTTTCCCTGTTCCCCATCAACAGAACCCGTCTATACACTTCCTGAAACTAAATGTTAACATGTATCCAGTAGTTTATACACACCTTATAACTTTAGTAATTGATTTTGCAACGGACTTTGCGTCTCTGCCTTCGGGCAGATCGATGCCCATCCATCATCCTACATGTCACAGACATATCTATCTCCCGAGAGACTGTGAGAAGCTAACAGTCAGCCGAGCGCGCATCGGAATGGCTCCGAGACCCACCTTACACACCAATTCAGTATTGCGCCTGCATGGACACTACCTGCCTCAGCAATCCACATGCTTGTGATGTCTTCTCTCCTCATTTGAATCACACGCTCGTCAGGTACGTGCTTTTAGCACTACAGTTACTCTCATCTGAAGTTAATCGAGCGTTGGGTTACGCGCTCCTCAGCGTCTTCTTGGCTAACCTTCGGCCTCCACTCATTGCCTCGTCCCAGGTGTGCAGCTAGTTGGAAGGAGCGGCAAGGGGTCGAGGAGGTCTGTGCGGCATACGCGCGAGTGCAAGAGTGCCTGAATAGAATTTGATAGGCCTGATCCCGCGCGTACCAAACTGGGTCTTTTCCTCACGTTTGGCTCTGCATCGGATCAGTCAACTGTTCAACTATTCTTCTCTTCAGTCATCGTCTTCATCGGCCTCTCCTTCAACCCTGCGACTTGCTCGGGCCAAAATGGTCCGCTCGACCAAAATCTCGCCAGAGTAACGGACACGTCCGGCTACGTCCTGCTGAAAGGACTCTGCTCCGACGTCGTGAAAAGCCCCTTCGTCAGCGCCAACAAGGCCGGGCCCGCTTGCAAACAGGTGTTTATCCCACCCAACGACACCGTTATCTGACACCCGCTCCCCCTAGCTCCCGAGCAGAAGCAATGCAGTGGCCATGGTGCTGTACCTTCGAGCACCTTCCTCGTCTATCAACCCATGGATAGAACCAGCTTCTCTACCGCGTTTGCGTATGTCCAGTCTTATCTGAATGCCCTGTAGTACATCTTGATGAGAGCTCGGATTGATTGGGACATGCCAGACAGTCGCAGTCTCCCTGGCCCTCAGGCTTTCAGGCCTCGGCCCGCGGCGCCTCTGTGGGCGCAACGGAGAGCTCGGAGATCCCCTGTCTCCTCGGCGGCACAACGGCACACGCGTGTCTGTTCCTCCTGAGTTCCATATCTCGTCAGAGCTACGTGGCCAGAGTGTGTATGGGTGTGACTGTAAGGGCTTTGGTTTCCAGGGGCCCAGCAGCACCCGCCAGTTCCCTTCAGAGCCGGTCACATCTAGAGGAGCTCAAGTTAGCTTCGAGCTCTTCACCTCATGGTCACTTGACAGCCTGGGTGATCTGCTCGAGCAGGCTCGCAGGGGAATGTAGACCAGTCAGCATAGGCTAAGGTTCTTTGGACGCCTCACTTGATCCTATGGAGTGGTAGTTTCCGTGCGCAACGCTTGAAACTGCGAGCTTGTGCGAACGGGGGACCCAGAGCAGGTGCGCAGCCGCCACCCCGCCCGCCCTCTTCAACAAGCACTCCTAGGGCCTTTAATGGCCCTCATGCGATCAGCGTTGACCACCGAATCGTCCTTCGACGCGGTAGCAGACTATTTGCCCGACTTCAGGAAAAAAGGAAAGGAATATTGTGATCGATTGCTGAATCATCTTGTCGGACTTGTCGGTCGACCCCCTCAAGCACATGGCGCGGACGTACCAGCGGCGGTGGACGCCCACTGGGACACAGAGTAAATGTCTCGATGTCTGGAGTTGTCTTGTAATAACCAAAAAAAGTACAAGTTGCCAGGTCCGAAAACGTCAGTAGAAGGGTCACTCTTTTCAAATTCCTTGCACGTCCACCTCGACGCGCAAAAAACCCGTTCAGTCGAGTGAAGCGAGGCAGCTGGAGCCAGAGCGGAGCCGGTCCCAGTTCAGCCCGCTCGATGCCCGTCAGTGACCCACAGAACAAGCACAAGAAGGCACTTCAGAAGTTCTTGCCTCTTTCCTTCATCCTGACCATACCATCTCCACCATCGTCCGGTGACTTCTCAGCTCGTTCGCATCCTCCTTCCACCACGCTTCGCCGAGAACAAGCTTGCAACATCTAGCCCCTTTTCCCCTTTCCACTCTCCCATCTCCCCCGATCAGTCAGAATGATGTTCGCTCGATCCGCTCTTGTCCTCGTGAACATGCTCATGCTTCAATCGACGCATTCCTTCTGCCTCGTCGCAGCGCCCAAGACCTTTGACCAGACCGCGTCCGTGCTCCTTCCTGGCAACTGCACCCTCCTCGCAACGAGCCCCATCTTCGTCGCGAACGGAACTGCCGCGGCTCGCCTACAAGTCTTCATCGGCCCTGAGATCCCTTGCTAGACTCCCCTTTTTTCTTAGGCTTAGACGTGACCGACCGAACAGACACTCCGCTTCCCATTATTACCCGATCTTGGATTCTCTGTCTTAGCATGTAGCATCTAGCTGTCACACCCGCGCCTTTACAGCACTACATCTTTACTCCTTGGTTGCGAGTATCACCGCGCCTCTGCTTTATCCCAGATCGATGCCCTTGTTCCACATTACCTACAGGTCGCTTTGCAAAAAGAGAGTCCGAAGAGTCTTCTAATTCGCATGGTCTTCAACAAGATCTTCCTACTTTGGTGTTGCACATATGTTCGCATCCTAATGACGTCCACAAGACCCAATCGAGTTCTTCCTACAACCGCAAATTCCACGACTGTATGCATCCCTTTCCTCCTCCTACTTCTTCCTCGCGACTTGCTCGGCCCGACGTGCCTTGACCCACGCCAAAGCTTGCCGGCTCGGATCGGTCGGGCATACCCGAACCAACTCGGTCAGATCGGCTACGGCTCGATCCCATAGGCCCAACAAGGCGAGTGCGTTCCCACGTCTGTACAAGGCTTTGACGCATCCTGGGTCGAGTGCGAGCGCAAAGGTGCAGTCCGAAACGGCTTCCGAGAAGTGCGCGCGACCGCCGATCTTGAGACGAGCGGCGGCGGCGTTGGTCCAGTACGTCGAATCGGTGGGGTCGATTAGCGACGCTGTGGCAAAGCACGTTAGGGACTCGGTCCATTCCGAAGCAGCAAAGTGTTGATTGCCCTGCATCGACGAGCGATAGCACATTAGCCCCCGCACAGATCATCGTCGAATCCTGCCACCCGGAAAAAGAACTCACCAATTGCTTTTGCTCATCCGCGACTGCAGCGTTTAGATCGGCACCTTTGATCACCTGCTTCACTCCAAGTTTAATCAACCGGTCCCATTCCTTCAGCGAGCGCTTGTCCTCGGGTATGTTGACGACCTCCTGCATCGTCATGCGCGCGTCCGTTTCGGCCCTCGTCGTCCCATCGCGACTCAAGCGCAGGGCCCAGTCGAGCAATCGAACCCCTCCGAGTTGGGCCATCAAGGTGGTCAAGTCATTGGCGAGCGCATAAGGTTGCTGCGAGATCATGCGGTCGATCGCTGTATCGAACGCGTCGCTCCAAGCGAACAAGAAATCGGCCACACGGTACTGTCGTCCGGTGCCATGCCATTCGGGACCGGACAGTTTGCCTTCACGCAATTGAGTGTGACACCACTTGATGAACGTCTGTTGATGCATCGCACCGAGTTCGATCGGTTCGTTGCGATCGGCCTGCTCGCATTCTGTCAAGCGTTGATGCGCCGTCGCGAGCACTTCGGGGTGATTCGATAAACGGCACGCGCAGACTTCACCGAGCTGCGCGCGAAAGACGTCCATCAACTTGCGCAAGGCCACGGCCAAGACGCGCTGGGTGAACGCCTGCACGTCCTCTTGTTGCAAGCTGGACCACATGCTCGCCATGCCGATTTTGGGGTCGGCGAGCTGGGTCATCACGTCGTCCATCTCGAGAGGATCGGCATCCGCGTCCGCCATCTTACCGCCCGAGAGCAAATACTGCTTGGCGAATCGATCGCGCACGGCTTCGAGTGGGACGGCGAGGTTATCGATCAGTTCGTACTTGAACGCGGAGACACACACCTCAACGAGGAGCATGTCGAGTTGGTCCCAGACGATGAAGTTGGGCGTGTCGCCAGTGCATCGATCGAGCGAACAGCACTTGGGGATGAAGCGTTGGGATCCGACAATACGGCTTAGGTTGATGGAGCCGTCGGGGAAAACGGCGGCGGCGCTGGCGTCGACGTAAGGTGGTAAGGTCGAAGCTTGAATGGTATCGGCAGGCTTGGGCATCGGCAGGCCCATACCCTTGTTCATGGCTGCAATCAATCGGTCGGTCTTTGGAAGTATCGAAGCGGACTTTTGAGCCTGCGCAATGTTGGCCACGGATGCTAGAGGCTTAGCGAGAGGCTTAGCGAGGGAAGTCTTGTCCTCGCTGGCGGCCTTCTTCTTCTTCTTCTTCTTCGATCCGGATCCAGTGCTGTTCGCAGGTGTCACAGCAGGCGTGTCTATCGGCGCGGCCGTCCGACGGGTCGGGGTCTGAGTCGGCGGAGGCAAGGGCTCTGCGAGCTTGGGGTTCGGCTTCGACTCGGGTGCATCGGCGATCACGGGAAGCGATTTGACACCAATAGCTGGCTGAGGTCTGGGCGATTTACTTTGTGCCAGATCCGCCGCAACCTTCTTTTGAACAGGTGCAGGGACCGGGATGGATGCCGTAGTCGATGCCGGGGCGGGAGGCGGGTGGGAAGGAGTTGGCCTGACCGGGAGTCCCTCCTCCTTTGGCGACTTCTTTTGGGTCGCAGTAGCGATGGGCTGGGATCGCTCAGGAGGGGGAAGCGGTTCATCGATGGGGTACAACGAAGCGCTCGAGGTGTTGGTCGAAGCCGACAAGGAGCGTTGCGCCAACACGGGCCCCATCGTTCGGTCGATCAACGCAGCCGCGCACGCGGCGCACCCATGTTCGCCGTCGTATTCGTACTCTTCGCCCTCGTCGTCGTAGGTGGGGTCGTAGGGCTGACGTCGGCTTCGGAGGGGCGAACCATGCCGGGGAGGTGAAGGAGGCGGAGTATGCAGCGAAGCCGCAGCGGTCGCGTGCTTTTGCTTGAGTGAAGCCACAGGCGATGCAGCGCGAGAGGTGGATTTGGTCGAAGAAACGGGCGACATCGCTCGCTCAGGTAGACTCGGCACAGCAATTCCACGGGGTCCATAGCGAGCAGGTGATCGACTCGAAGGAAGGGGTGGAACAGCTTTGGCCTTTCCTTTGGCGGACTGAACCGAGGGTGAAACGGCTCGAGGTGCGGTGGCAGCGAACGGATCGTTGACGTTGGAAAAGAGCAAGTCCTTTGACGACCCCTGTCGCATGGTGAGCTCCTCGGATTTCTTCTTCGCCGGCTCCGCGATTTCCGCATTCGTCGACGTCGTTGCACTCGAAGAGACCGATAAGCCAAGGGCCTTGGCAGCGGCTCCGATATTCCCATTCGCCAACCCTTCGGTTGCAGCCGCTCTCGCGATCCTCTCCTGCTCCCTCGCAACTGCGAGCTCAGCCTCCCGGTTTACGAGCGATTGGATCGCCGCCTCGAGCGTCGCTCGTTCCTTTTTGAGATGTTCGTTGCGGCGTTTGGTCTCTGCTCGTTCGTCTTCCTTTCTCAACGTCGAGCTTTCCTCGTTGGCCCACCCGAGCTGCTCCGCGATGATCTCCCCTCGTCGAGCGCGCTTCTTCTCGAGCAAAGTCGCGATCCTTTCTCGCTCTTGCTTTTCCGAAACCCGAGCCTTGACGCGAGCTATCAATTCCGAGGGTCGCTTGGCGGCACAAAAGTCCTATATTTCGGGATCCAGCTCGACGTGAGATCAGCGTTTCTGCCTTTGCTTTGTGTGCCTTGTCTTCCCCTTACGAACCGGACTGACCATGATCTGAATGAGGTTCTGTCCGCCCACGTCACCGACGCCAAGTAGCCCTTTACACGCACCCGGGCCAAAACATTCCTCAAAGTCCTCGGCGACGAGTTGCAGCAATTGGAGGGGCTGTGAGATGGAATCGAGGAAGATGTTGTACTCGGTCGAAAAAGCGGGATCGGAAACGACTTCTTCGGCCTGGGAGAAACACACAATGATCAGTTTTGTGAAAGACCGCAGAGAATGCTGAAGAGTAACTGTGACTGACTAGATCCTTGCACATCGCATGATAGGCAGCCGAAGCCCTCCGGACCTGGGGTCGCCACACGGACGCCTGCTTCCACGCGGGACCACTCAACGCGCCAGCAGCGATCAACGAGCGGATCGAGTTGAGCAGTGGTTGAGGTGACGGTCGTTCACGCGGAGGGCACACGGGAAAGGCGTGCTTGAGCGGTGCCGACTTGAGCATCGCCAGTCCGGTCGGGGTGATGAGCGTGTGGAGGCACGGCATCGGCGACGACTTGTTGTACTTGAGCTGGCAGCGGAAGTGAAAATATTAGAGCTGCTCTGGTCAGATACACCATGCAAAGCCGAGATGTTGACCAACCTGAGATATGATGCCCTCGTAGGCCATGCTCATACCCGAGCTGAAGCCGACCTCTCGCAGGCTGGTCGCCCACGCCTCGTCGTCCTGGTTGAGAGCGGCGACGATGACGCTCTTGATCGCGCCCCTACCGACGAGAAGGTTCAGCTCTTCGACGACCTCGGTCGGTGTCCTGCCTTGCTCGAAGCCGGTCAGGAGCCAGGCGTCGACGGTCGCGTTGACATGAAGCCAGTCGAGGATCTCGGACACGCCGAGGTAGCGCAACGAGGTGGCGAAGAAGGTCGAGAACAAGGTCGACAACGCCTGGGCGACTTGATCGTGCAGCTGGGATCCGGGTGCGGGGAGAGGCACACCTGGTTGCTGGCACGACGACACTGAGCAATGGGCTTCACGCCCGAGCCCAAAAGGTAAAGGCCCTCGAGTCGTCGTCGTGCTCGTCGTCGTCGTCGTCGCCGTCGTCGCGTCGGCGCTCTTGGTCGCCATGCCGTAGCAATTTGGGAACTGAAAGCTTCGTCCCAGTTGGACTCGGGGGGTCGAACGAGGTGAGGTCTCCTTCGAAGCGGCTTGATTGGCCTTGGCAAAGGGACTGGGAATGCGATGGAACGAGTGATCGACCGCGCAAAGACGAACAACTAACGAGCGAGAGAGAGAAGTGGCGAGGGACGACGATGAGGGGTTGTACACCGTCAAGTCGTCCCAGTCCTTCTAGGGGTGGGGGGTTCGAGAAAGGGGGTGACGTGCTGATGGGCAGTGCGACAGGCACGCGGTGCGACAGGAGGTGAGGCTCCCGCTGTTCAGGTGCTGCACAGGTCGCCGGGCGAACACCCGCGGACGGTCTTCGGCGAGACTCGACTTGAAGTCGGCAGGGTAGATCGTGGGGTGAGCCCGTGGCCGTGGCCGTGCGACGTCGTACGAACCCGGTCCAGGCAGCCCCGAGCGAGAAGTCGCGCAAAGAGGAGTGAAGAGCAGAGCCAGAGCCAGAGGCCGGCCGCGCCGTGTCGTGCCGTGCCGCGCGGAGAACAGCCGGTGGAGCGATTTCAAAGTAGTGGTCACACGGTACGACGTATTACTCATACTCCAGCGCGCGCAGTTCTCTTCAAGGTGGGTGACAAATATATCCGACTGCTCTTTCAACCCATAATTACTCCAACCATCCATCACGTCCTCAGCACTTTTTCGGCTCGGGGAACGCCGCTCGGTCCTTGGCCTCAAACTCGGCCTGAAAATCGCGGATGTGGCTCGGCACCTCCTGGCAACTATACGACGAAGGCTGGGGGTCACCGGCAACCATCTTGAAGGGTCTGGAGTCGGTGGGAGACATCAAGTAGCAAATGAGTGTTGCGTTCGGATACATGAGTCACTTGGCGAGTCATTCGTCTGACTCACAAAATACCAGTCCAGGTTTTCGCGACAAGCTCCTCGTTGTTGAGATCCTAGTCTCAGTACCAATTCAAACGGAGGAGAATCATGTTCGTCAGCTCTCGCACCTCTCTGCTCTCGAGACTTGTTTCCGCTCACTAACCTTGGCTTCGTCATTCGGCCCTGTCTCATTAACCTTGGCACTCGCACTCTCGACCCGGAGCCGAATCACGCCCGTGGCCTTCATCTCGGCACTGGTCGGAGGCGAGCGCGTGTTCTCCCATCGTTGCGAGCACATCGCGTTCGTCGTGACGTGCAAGGCATGCACTTTGGCCGCTTCCACGTCCCCGTCGTACGCTTCCGAGAAGGTGAAGGTCGTGCCGTGCAGAACGGCCGAACGATATCGCACCGAGTGGTGAAAACTGTTGAGCCGACGGCGGAAGGGTTCACTAAGGAGATCGGAATCATATTTGATCTACCCCAGTGTGAACTTACGGAGTTAAAGACATGACGAACGCGTCGACCAGAGTCGCGGTGATGCAAAGGGGTTCTGCGGGGCAAGAAAGAAAAAATTCAGTCAGACCTGCATGCACTTCAATATCCCAACAAAGGTTGACCATCTCACCTCCTTCTCCGTTGTTCTTCATAATTCGAGTCACGGATGAACCTGCATTAAATAAAATAAGACATACGCTGATAGCATGGTGAGTGATCGGCAGGTCATGAAGCCCAATGAGCCCTGCTCGGATTCCGAAGAATGTCGCAGGCCGACCGGTCGACCAGCAACTAGCGATAGCCCCAGCCAGTCCTCGCGCCCCACTTGTACAACACTGCCACACGCAGTTATAATTACCATGAAGGTACACAAACACCTCGCCGTCTTCGGTCTCCTCGATCGCTGCGACCATGGGCACGCACTGAGGCAGTCCGTCGGCGCGGTCGACGAAAGCGACGTGCACGACCGGCACCGCGCGTACGATCGCGAAGATCAGGCGCTTGTCATAATGGCCTCGTTTTGCATACCTGTGACGCGAGAGAAATGAGAGGAGGACACATAAGAGGTAGTGGCTTGGGAGGTCAGCTCAGCAGCGGAGGCGCACGAAGCCGAACGCGGAGGATTGTCGTGTGGGGTAATGAGGCAATCACGAGCTGAGGCCGGACCACTCATCAGATACTAGTCGACGAGTCGTACTCACTTGACAGTGTTGAGCTTGGTCTTTTCGAAGTGGGTCTCTTCGTTCGACATGTCGCTCAAGGTAGGTAAGAACCGCGAAAGGTGATGTAGGAAGCAAAGAGGCAACAGCCAATTTCGATCACGAAACTGAACGAGTCGGACTCGCGCTGATTGGACCTCGGGGCGGCGCGCGTCAAGCGGCTGGGTTTTCGCGTCGTCCGCCGACCTTTTTGACTCGAAGCATTACTATCCGCCTCTAGATCTGCACGGACTTATCCGTCAGCCCGGTCGGAGCGCTGTTACCCGAGATATCGAATCAAGTTGTTGACCAATCCGTGGACGAATCAAACACTCGGAAGTGTGGCTGCAACACACCCGCATTCCCGCCGCGAGATTTTCACCGGGCGCGCAAAGAGTCGTCGCCGTCCCCTGACAACGCCGCAATACAGACAGGTTCGAGGATCCAATCATCGAGTATTGCAAAAGAAGAACTACAATCAACTCCAAGGCCCATCAAAAAAGCCAACACAGAACCCTCTTGCCCCAAAAGTCTTTCGTTCTCTCTACAATGCGCTCTGAAACGTTCCACTGCTCTCACACACTACTGACAGGATTCCGATGCGCCAAAAGGGGGGTTTTGGTGGTTTGATAGCGCAGACGAATCGTTTTTGGTACAACGGGTTGATTGATGGGCCTTCCTTTTTTATGTGTGTGTAGGATAGGGAGAGTACGTTTATTCGGCGTCCTCCTCATCGGCACCATCGAAGGCGACGTTGTAAAACTGGATATAGTGGCCAGAAGCGGGATGTCAGCACTCGAATCGAGACGGTCCAGCCGGGAACACTCGCGCGGCTAACCTTGAGCGTGTAGGTGTTCTTGTCGGTAGCGACGACACGGAGCCACTCGCGCATCAAATTCTTCTTCAAGAACTGCAAGAGCCGGCCGATGCAATGGGCTAGTCAGTTATCTGCCGACCTCGTCGTGGCAATGGCAGGGATGGGCAATCAAAAGTCACCTTCTTGGTCAAGTATTTGAGGTACCTCTTGGAGAAAGGAATCTGGCTGGTGATGCTCAATTGTCCCTCCTTCTCCTTGGCGATCTTGACATCGTCGCCCAACTGGCCCGTCTTGCCCTCGACCTTGATCGAGTCGACCAAGAACTTCTCGTACGCGGCGGCGTCAAAGATCTTGTCGTTGGCCGGTCCGGAAAAGTCGACGATGAACTTGTGCGAGTTCGCGGCCGTGGTGGCGGACTTCTTGGACTTGGCCTACCAGAGAGGGGAAAATGAGGGAGAGGGAGGGAGTATACGTGGTCCGTGCGGCACGCGGTGAGGGGGGTTTGGCGCGAAGTGAGCTCGGATGCTTCTCGGGAAAGATCATGCCTACTGAGACGTCGATCACCCGGTCAAGGGTGCGACCATCAGCAAAGCACTACTAACAGAGACGGGGGCCATATTGGACGGTGGAGGTGGTGTTGAGGTGGTGGGGTCGGGTGGAAACACTGCAATGATCGTGTTGAATCGGCTAAAGGGTCAGTCCAGCGGCCCCAGCGGGAGAAAAAAGAGAACGGCTGTCGTAGACCAAGCCGGCACCATCGCCATTGCAATGGGAGCCTGGGGAGAGGAGACTGGGAAAGGTTCTTCGTCGTCTGACGAGGGGAGATGCGACTCACGGAGAGGATAGGCTGGTGGGGATACGGTTGAGGGCGTGCGGGCGTTGCGAAGGAGGGACGTCCACGTGAGGCGATCGATGCCCCGTTTCGCGCTGTTCCGCGCTGTTTCGCGCTGTTCCGCGCTGTTTCGCGCTGTTTCGCGCCTTTGGGCAGCTTTGGGCACGGCAGCGCACGGCTATAGAAAGGGCGCACAGCTCCGCCGCTCCTCGAAGAGTTTCCTGACTTTCTAACACGGGGGGGCTCGACGGGGGCGGCAGATTAGAAACGCGCCTAACGCCGGGTTGCTCCGCCCCGACGACTGCCATCCCCCACACTGGCACATCATCCGAGTCCTTGCGAGGCAAGCAGCTTCACTTCGATCAGATTCTGCCCGTGGACCAAGACTTAATCCGAGTGAGCGGCGGTGCCAAAGCGATCCCGGAATTTCAGCAAATGCTCATCGATCGGTCTGCAGTGGGCACATTAAGTTGGGACCCATTAATAATATGGCAACCGTAGGGGGGTCGACGTTCAGATGAGGCAGGCGCAGTGTAGTGTGACTTGATCTCTCCGAGGTTGCCAGCACTTCGAGTTGGCTCCGAGTGGTGGCACAGAGGTAATGAGCAGCATTTCATAGAATCGAACCTAACTTGCAATCATGAGACATGAAGTCACCTTAGACACTGGGGCGTGTGGATTAAACCCAAGAGATAAGAGATAACACATTTGCGCCTACCACCTGCAGTCAGAAAGTTCCCGACTGATTTGCTTCGTTGGAACGAGTTAGTTGATGAACTTTTTATTGGAGAATCTCCCTTCCAGGAAGCTGCTCAGACTAGCACATCTGCTAATCCCTGCGACTATGAAAATTCTTCAAAGTTCCCAGCTCTGATGACTACTTCAACTCGCCGTCATCTCCGTCAGAGCGCGGTCGCCTTCCGGTGTGGCCCTTGGCTCACCCCACATGCCACCGCGCCGGAGTGGAGCCAGTGCTCGCAGCCACCGAACCCAATCGCCGGAAAGTCGAGTGACCGAGCGAGACCATGGTCGAAGCGACGGCCTCACCAGCCTCATCACTTCTGGCTCTTCTGCTAGTGGTCAAGTCGTCGCGGGGTGCGAACGTGGTGTACCAGTATCCGCCCTCTCCGCGCGCGGTCAAGCGCACGTCCAAGCCGATCTACCACTCGTCCCGCCCGAGTACGACCACGACGGTCAACACCCGTCAATCGGGTTACTCTTCCGATGAGGATGAATCGTCGATCTCGCCGAGCGATACCAGTTCGGGCGACGAGGACGACGAGGACGACAGCGACGACGAGGCGCGCTTCGTCGACGACCTCGACCAGACCGAACGCGCAAAGGGGCAGCAATACCTCGGATTCCCCTCGACCGTACTGGCCTCCTTGTTGAGTCCCAGTCGAGAGCTGTGCGATCAGCCGTTCGAGCTCGTCGTCGATCATCTCGCCTTCGTGGGCCACCCCGTTTGGCTCGGTGACGACGAGCCTTCGGTAGGGCTAAATAGGGGCCCAGCAGGAGGTCGAGCCCAGCACAGAGGTGGTGTACATGGTGACGGGAGTGACTCGGACTCTGAGGAGGACGATGGCGAGAGAAGAGGGCGTACCCGGAGACGACCCCCGCCACCGAACCAAGGTCCCTTTGCCAATCTCTCGGGTGACTTTTCTCGCTTCTCGTCGGAAGAATTGGGCTCAGGTTCCGGCTCTCTCGCTTCAAATCCGGCAACACCTCCTGCGCGCCCCATGCCAATGATGCGCAATTCTTCATCGACATCGACGGTGCATCCCCTGTCTTCATTCGCCTCGTCGGACCAGTCGGCGACAGGAATTCACGGCACCGGTCGATTGCTGGCCTTCAACTTTGTGTGTGTCATCGACACCCCGCCCGACTCGCATCTCAGCTCGCACCTCGAGGGCTACTACAAGGACGTGATCATTCCCGTAACGGCGAACGTCAAGGCTCTGGAGAGACAGGAACAGTGGCTCGGCAAGGAGTCATTCAAATTATTAAAGGCGATCGAAAAGGCGCATGATCAGGGTCAGCTGGCTTACGATCCTACTCGATGATCAATATCGCGGAAGCTGACAATCTTCGTGGGTTTTAGGCATTCGAAATCGCGAGATACCTGCCTCGGTGGCCCCCATTTCGTCTCTGGCCAGGGCTCTGAATCACCTTTTTGAGGCGCTTAAGGCCGATCAGCTCGCCAACATCCAGCTCGGACCCCTCCCCGTTCAGGTCCTGTTCCGTGGCGAAGTTCCCATCGAAGAAGAGTACGACACATTTTACGCCGAGCGCCAGGAAGTGCACCTCAAGGATCTCGGACCGGGGGAAATCGGTGGTGGGCCTGAACGAAGGGATCGGCACGACGACCCCATCGACGCATCCGAGGCGGCTCGAGCCAGGAGCGTCAGTCCGACCCCACCCGCGGAAGCGTTCCGTAATCACCAGCCACCGCCTTTATTTTCCCGCATGAGAAGAAGACCTCTGATCCGCTTCCAGCCTTGGGAAACGTTCCTCCCCCTCGAGGATCCTGACGAGTTGCGTCAAAACGTCCAACCCGACACGCTGCTTTCCAAATTCCTCGAGTTTTGCTCACCGAATCTCTCCTTCGCCGAATACGCGACCTTGTTGGATATTGATGCCGACGCCGACGATGGGGCCTTACGGGACGTTGTACAACATCTCGTTTATTGGCGAAAGGGCAAGATCATCGACATCGTCTCGCTCAAAGGCGTCTATACCGCTTCGTCGACGATCCCTCTCGCCTCTCTAGCCCAGTTAACTTTTGACTTTGGGACCCAGTTCCAGGATTTGCCCAGCCTCCCCGTACTCTTGTCAAAGCTGTCACCCAGCGAACCATTCAGTTCGGTCATCCCACCGGATTCGAGGTCCCTCCGAACCACGTACTACAACGCCCTTCTGTTTCTACTGCGCAACAACCTCGTCGAGAAACAACGTACTTTCGTTCGGCTGATCGCGTCGGAAGCGATCAAGAAAGAAGCGCTGAGGCGATGGGGCGCGACGAACGCTTCTTCGATGGACGGATCGAGTCATCTTAGTGGTGGAGGGGAGAGTGTCGGGATGAGGAGGTTGAGTATGATGGGGTCGTCACCCCTGGGCAGTGGGACGAGGTTATCGGAAATGTCGACGAGTGTCGGAGCGGCTCGATCGAGAGCGATGAGTAGCGTTTCGGTCGGGGACGAGGAGGAGAGATCTCGATTTCTCGCGGATGGAAGTGGGAGTGGTATGTCGATTCCTCATCGAGGATCCTTGTCCAGTGGAAGTCATGCGCCCCAGTCCCCACCAGCGATGATGAACCTCCTTTCGCGCTCCTCGGGAAGTCGCTCGGGGTTCCATCTCGGCATTCAAGGACCGCACAAACGAACGACGACGGGCAAACCTCCTCGTTCTTCGACAGCGTGGTCATCATCGAGCGGGATGCCGGGGGACGTCGATGATGGGTCCGAAGTGTTAAAAGGCCCTAGTGTGATTGTAGAACCGGGGCGTCCGACGATGTTAGAGAGTCGGTGGATAGCGGAGATGACGAGGGACGTCGAGGAGGGGTTGAGGGAGAGGTTTGAAAGGTCAGTCTTACACATATGTCCTTTCAACCCGCCTATGGGGGTTTCGAGCTGAGCATGCCGTTCATCTGCTCGCAGGATGCGCCCCTTCTTGAACGGCTCACACCATCTCGATGAAGTGCGGCATCGCTCCTCGTTGACACGCCGAGACGTGCGCCTGGTCCTGTCAAAGTTCGAACCGTATCTCATCGTCTTTACGCACCCGTGATCCCATCGAGTAACCGATGTACGAGTGAGAACCCGGCATGCTTCTGCGCTTGTCGTGAATTGTAGTAAGACTGTTGTATTGAAGTTGGAATATCCGAGAAAGTTGCATGCCGATATGTGGATGAGCTAGCTCTACCCAACAGCCACGCTTCATGTGAACAGCACAACCTTCACTTCTACCACCCAACCCTTAGAACTGTCCTCCCCACCCCCATCCTCTGTTCGCCTGCCTCCTGCCCAGGCCAAACCGTCTCGACCTTGCCCCCTCTCCCCTCGACCTGAGTCACAAATTCGACCTCCCCACCCCCGACGCCAAAGTAAATCCTCTTGCAAGCAATCAACTGCTCTCCTTTCGAGCGTTGTAGTACGTCGATATGGGAGGGCAAAGAAGCGGGTTGATAGATCGTTTCACTGGCGAGGACGAGGTCGTATTCCAATTCCTCTGCCCTCGACTCCTGATCCGACGTTGATTGGATATTGCTGGTGGATCGGAATCCTTCCCATGCGCCTTCGTAGAACCCTAGTTCGATACCGTAGTCCTCCAATAATGTTGTGAAAGATTCGAGGAAGCCTGGGGACAGTTCGATCTCGCCCGGGTGGAGTCGCCAGTCTGCGGTGGGATCAAAGTCCGTTCCTGCTTCGTCATCTTCACGGATGTCGTTATCGTCATCGTCGTCGCTGTCCTCCTCATCGTCGTCCTCAGAAGACTCGCTATCCTCTTCATTCACCTCATCCTCTTCCTTAATTGTATCTTCCTCGTCGCTCTTCTTCTTCTTCTTCTTCAGCTTTCGCGTCGGCACCAGAACCCCTTGCGCTTCGGTCCCTTCACCCCCATCCGTGAGCGTGAGATGGTGTGCGTAAACGAGGAGAAGATTGGGGAGCGTGATTAGGGAGAGGACTGCATCAACAAAACAAGTGAGCTGATAAGTTAATGAATGGAACGCGGTGATAAATGGATAGACCCTTTGGACCAGATCCGCACCTTGTCGATTATAATCCTGGAGATCCAACCTCGTCTTCTTCCTCTCCCTCTTGGCCTGGGTTCTCCCTTCAGCAGTTTGAGCTTCTTGCGCCTGCTCATTCCGTCTTTCGGCATCTCGTTCCTCTCGAATCTCTTGCAATATTTGCGCAAAGGCGTAGCATGCCGGAAGGGCGGTCCCACATCCCAGCTGTTCAAAGGACGTCTTTCATCAGCTCTCGAGCCCACGAATTCGACTTTTTGCACCTCACTCACCTCCAAAACCCTCTTTCCCATCCATCCCCTATACCTCCCTCCTTCCCTTCCATCCCTCAACAACACCCTAACCAAATCCAAAGAACATTCCCACACCTTCAAACCGCCCTCATAAACCCCCTTGACCAAATCCGAATCCTGATCGATCGACTCGACTTCGACCGAGCGATCCTCCTTCCGACGCTCGACTTTCGCATCTCCATCATCTCGATCTTTTTGGGAATGGTCGGAAAGGATCTGGAAACGCGCGTCGAAAAGGTCCCGTTTGAGCAGGATCGTTTCGGTGAACGAGTCGGAGGAAACGGAGGTGGAGGTGGAGGTGGGAGGGTTTGGCGGGGATAGGGGTATCCTTACGGGCGAGTAGGAGATGATGGGGGGGAGGGTCTCAATCTGTTCTCCGAAAGAAGGAAAGGCTACAAAGATTAGATGGGATATAAACAAGGAAAGGATAATATTCGCTCTGACGTACCAAGTCTTGCAACTCGACTTTGGCCGAGGGGATGAGCGAAGGAGCGACTTGCGATGAGGCTGGTGCAGCCGTTCCCGGAGTCGCGGAGATGCTCAGATCCTGTGTCGAGCTGACGAGTTCTTGTTGTTCCTCATCCTCGAGCTCGAGCTCATCATGTGGGATGTCCTGAGAGATGCGTGGGGAGGGTCAGCTCTGGAGTTCCGGCTAGGATGAGGTCACCGTTGCGAAGGGCGAGCCTGAAGAGAGGGGGGAGAATAGGGGGGCTTGGGGTAGGGAAAGGGAAAGGGGAACTACGGCGAAGGCTTACAAAGTCGAACGAAAACATGTCGAGTGGAAGCTTTTGGGATGTGCTACCCGTGCGATTACGGGATGAGCGGTGCAAGAGCAAGAAGCCCACAAAGCTCAAAGTCCGCCAGGAATCCGAGGTTCGGCGCGTGACCTGCTGAGGCCTGCTGCTGGCACTTGGCTCAGCTCTCTCTGCGCTTCCCTCCGCTCCCGTCCCCGTCCACCTCCCTCGCGCACTACCACACCACAACCATGTCCTCCTCGTCCAATGCAGGCGTCAAGCTACCCCCGGATGTCAACAGGATACTCTGGGTCAAAGTACGGTGTACCCTATCTCAACTCTCCACCACAACACCTCACTGACCGACTCTGTCACCCTTCCCTCCCTCGTCCTCTCCCTCCCCCTCCCTCCTCTAGAACCTCAACTACAAGACCAAAGGCGATGACCTGTACGACCTCTTTGGCAAATACGGTGCGATCCGTCAGATCCGATTGGGCAACGAACAAAAGACGCGCGGCACGGCCTTTGTCGTTTACGAGGACGTGCACGATGTGAGCGTTGCATTCAATCTCGGTTCTCGGTGCGGTCAAGACGAGCAAACGTTGGGGAGCTGATGATGGTCCTTTTTGGGGTACGACAGGCGAAGCAGGCTTTCGATCATTTGAACGGGTTCCATCTGCAGGAACGGTACCTCGTCGGTAAGCGCGACTCCTCCAATCCTAATACTGTGCCCTACATTCCTCAGTCTTCTTCAGACCTGACACGATCTTACCTCCCCCCCTACAGTCCTGTATCACCAAGCCGCGCGCCAAGCGAGCAAGACGGACCTGGCCAGGAGGGAGAAAGAGTTGGCCGAGCTGAAGAAGCTGCATCAGATCGCCGACGAGGACGCGAGTGCATAGGCAGACTGATCTTTCGTATCTCTTTGGTCGCTCGAATCGTTTTCTCCCCTTGTTGTATTCGTAATCAGGAATCACATCACCATCGCTGTTCGCTGCGACGAGGCAACACCCCGAAAGGGTCTCGTTCGCGCCTGTCAATGAATCCTTCACCGCGCTCTGATCGAGTCATCATCAGTGGCAATTTTTCAGCGTTTTAGTACCTTAGACTACACAGTTGAAGGTGAGGTGGCCGAATCGCCCGAGCGGTTCGCGAGGATCTCCAAGCGCAAGTTCTTGCATCGGAGCATAAGGGGTGGCATCGATCTTTACGAGGGCAAAGTCTCAACGCACTTGCAAACCCAAGGAAACTTAGACGTAACGGTACCAAGCGAAGCGCGCTAAAGTCGGAAACTTTGAAAAGGAAACAGATCCGGTCCGGCCAAGTGGTCGACCGGGACGAGGGGACGGATAGGAGGGAAACGAAGAGGGGAGAGAAATCTTCGCTTACCCCGAGCCAGTGGGTGTTGGTTGCGATGGAGGGTTGTAGGCATACGACCTGCGCTCGGTTAACGTTGACAAAAGGTTTATGAGCGAAATCGGAGCAGAATCCTGTCAGGTTGGCCTCCGTGACCTGAGCCTCAGTCGTTTTAACAAGGTTTTGGTCCAGGGGACCCTTCTAGCCCGTGCGTGACACTCCGAGTCGGGATCGTCCGTCGACGGAGACGGATCAATGAGATTGCAGTGACCAGAGATTTGGTGAGAATTGTTTATGATATCCCATTGCATCGACAGAAAAATCAACAAACATAACCGCAAAAAGAGCGAAAAGATCATCCACAGTTCAGAACACCTGTCCCCTCACCACAAGAAAAAGTTCCCCTTCCTTCTAATCACTAAACTGTTCCCTCGCCTCCCTCTCGACCGAAGCTCTGGACCGTGTCCTAGACGAATCCTTTTCATTGTTCTCCCGCTCCTCCGGCTCTTCGTCATCCTCTTCATCATGATACCTTTCCCCCGCCAGATCACCCCTAATGATTCGCTTGCTCTCCTCATGACGACCCTCATCGTCGCCTTCCCTCTCATCCTCGTCTTCCTCATCCGAATCCAGCGCGAACGCATTGAACAACTCCTTCGTTCTCGCGCTTCCACCACCCCCACCCCCACTCCCGACTCTCACCCTCCCTCGCTCCATAGCGGACATGGGCACATCGTCGTCCTCGTCATTCATCGGAGCGAAATCGTATCCCCTCGCGCGGGAGATCAACCCGCCTGTGCGACCCCTTCCTGCCCTCCTCATCCAGAAGAACGCTGTCACACCTGCGACGAAGACGATGATCGTGCCTACGGCGACAAAGAGCCAGGTCGTCGAACCTACGAGGTTCCTCATCCCCGCCAGATAACCCGGCGTCTCGTCGTAGAGCGTGTTCCCACTCGTCCAGCTTCCCTCTTTATCGTCAGAGTTGGCAGGCGGGGACGTCGGTTCGGGAGTGTCGTAGTCGCCAAAGGGCAAATGGGCTTCCCCCGTTGCTTCGGCATGATCTTCGGGGAGGTGGTCGGTCGGTTTAGCGTACGCTTTGGTGGGTTCCAATTCGGCTTCGGTCAACGCCGTCGTAGGAATAGGCGTCGGTTTGGGTGCTACGGCAGCGGTCGTAGCCGCGGCCGTGGTCGTCTGATTCTGTTCTGCCTCATCTCCAGGCTCACTGGGATATCCATCGTAGTGGTGTTCGCCAGGTAATCGATAAGGTTCCGCGATCGAAGCGTCGATCGACGACCCCCACAACCTCATCGACCAAGAATGGAACGTTCCATTCTGGTTCGCCGCATCGTCCTGACGGTCCCGAACCCTGATGGTCCAAGTACCTACCGGGTCCTCGTCCCAATGCTTGACCGACATGAACACCCAACCGGGGTATCCGGTCTGCGCATCATCGAAGCGTCGCGGCCTGGCAAGAACGCTCTTCATCCCCTTGGGGCTCGTCAACTCGATCTCGACGTTGCCTCGTTTGGTGTGCTCGACATGCACGGTCACGGTGACGTGTTCGGTTTTCTCATAATTGTGTTGCTTCAAATCGCCCCGCGTCACATCGATGTTGGAGACGATACCTTGAGGCGTGATGCGTATCGCTCCGACCGAAGCTTCGGGCGACGCCCACCAAGCTTGAGGCTTGGCGAGAGGGATCGTCTTGGCCCTTTCGACGAGCGCGTACGCATCGAGTTTACCGAACCCGTACTTGTGGTTGAAGTAGCGACCCGTAGCCGTCATTTGCCAATCCGGGTCTTGCGGGTTGATCTGCACCGCGGTTTGGACGCAGAGGTGCTGCATGTCGCGCCAGGTCAATTCGGGGCGGACCTCGAGCGCGAGCGCAAAGATGCCGGCGGCGATGGGAGCCGCGGCCGAGGTGCCTCCGTGTCGGTCCGTGCACTTGTTCTTGCCCACGTCGGTGGTGTGCTGTGATGACAATCAAAGTGTCAAAATAAGTCTAGCTACAAGGCACTCGAATCGCTACTCACGATGTTGTCACCACTTCCGGAACTATACGTTACGACCATGACAGCTGCACAAGCCTCAGAGTAGAAAGGGTGCAAGCCCTTCCTGTCGATGGCCCCGACCGTAATCGACATCAACGAGTTGGTGTACCCATCAAAGTTGCACTGATCATCGGATCCACCACCGTTGCCACTGGCAAAGACAAAGATCGAGCCTTTGCCGTTGCGACCGTTCTGCACGCCATTGAGCATGGCTTTGGTAATGAGATTCGAGGGCGCGTCCATGGAACGACCATCATCGGGGGTCCCCACGAGCACGAGTAAATGTCGTTCGATTGGAACCCATAGTTGAGCGAGGCGGCTTCGTCGGCGTCCGAGATGAGCGACGAGAGGATGCGGATCCCGGCGATGCCGGACCCGTACGCGACTCCGACACCACAGACGTCGTTCTTGACGGCCGCGACTTCGCCAGCACATCGTGTCCCGTGCTGGTCGTCGTCGAGTTGAGGCTTGGGAAGCGCCGTGTGGGCATTGTAGTCCCAGGATCCTTCGGCGAACTGGTAGGAGATTGGGGGCACGCCTGTCAGGATCTATCGGCTGTTCTCACCGATGTGGGTGAGGTGCACTCACAAAGTTGCCCGCCAAGTCATCCGATTCAAAGTCGAGCCCATCATCCACGATGGCGACATTGACGCCTTTGCCGGTGATGCCCTGCTCCCATACGCCGGCGACGTTGATGGAGTGTTCCTGGATCTTGTCGTTGAAGAGATGCCACTGTTTGGGCCACAGCGGGTCTAGGATGCCAAACTTGCTCGCGACCTGTGCCATCAATCCCTGGGCCTTGTTCTTGGGGCCGTCCGAGTCGTCGTTGTCGCCATCGTCGTCCTGCCGCGGTACGAGTCGCACGAGCGATCGTTTGGTGCGGGTCAGGAACGGGAACGACGAGGAGGGGGGCAGGACGGGATGATCGCGCTTGACGCGCAGTCGCAACGATTGTCGCTCGAGCGAGACGATGTGGCTCCTCAGAGCTCGGGTGAGTTGCTTCCGTTGTATGGGGTGGAGCCCCCTCTTGATGAGGTCGAAGCGTTCGAGGACCGCGTCCCTTTCGGTCGGATGCCGCTTGGCGAGCATGTGGGACAAGAACGGCGTTCTCGGCGGCCATGTCGCCGTCGTTGTTTCGCTCTGCTCTTGGCTTGGTCGAACGGGTGTCCACTGGGGCTCTCCCTTGTCGACGATGTGGTGGGGTGCGCGTATCAGATAGTGATCGCGCAGTTCGCCGACCTGCTCGACGTGTTCGGCGCCGAGTTCTCGCGCGACGTCGTGGGGCCCCGTCGGCGAGTTCGGGTCGAGTTGCACGACGTAGTAGGCGTGCGAGTCGTACTCGCGCTTCGCCTGGGCTCGTTTGGTGCGCGTGTACGGCCTGTGTTGGTGAGGTCGAGTCGTCGAGGCAGAGACGGTCGCCGAGGTGCACACGAGCGAGAGCACCAGCAGCGCCACGAACAACGACGACCGAGTCCGAGCCATGATGCGAGCCGAGGCGTGGCGATGCGATCGGGTTTATGTTCCGAATACAGTTGATGGACGGTGAGACCAGGCCAGCGTGATACACACTACGGGTGTCACGCGATCCGCAGCAGCAGCAGCGGTGGCGTATACACTAGGCACCACACGCCAGGTATCAAAATGTGCAACGATCGAGTACAAGAGTTGGACTTTTGCTGCACACGACTGGCGACTGGCGACAGAGAACAAGCGAGCGAGCGAGCAGTGGCAACGGACCAGCAGCAGCACAGTCTCAATTAATACGGCACATTACCGGCACAATCTGGCACAATTACGAGGCCAAATCCACACGCGCGCGGTGGCAACAACGCGCCAAGACACGCGAGAGCAACGTGCCAGAACGTGTCATTAGCGACGCTTATAATAGGAAACGCGGCGACGCTAATCCCAAATGCGACCCGAGCCGCGGCCGTCCACGCGTCGGCTTTCGCGGCGACCACGTCAGACCACGTCAGACCACGCCGACTCGGACCGCTTCCCCAGCTCTTTACCGGCACCCTACAGCTGGTCATGTCAATTCCAGTCCGGGTGAGTCAGAATCAGAGCCCAAAGTACTCGCACAGTCGTCCAGCTGAACCCTCATGCCTTACCAACCCCTCTAACCGCCGTCCACGGTGACGTGGTCCGGGCCCTCCACAGTCGACGCCGCTCGTGTGCAGTGGGTCAGTACAGTATCTGATCCAACTTGAAGGACCAAGTCTAACCTGCGTGTTTCCAATAGCCACACCCGACCGATCCCATCTCTCCACTTTTCTTGCCCCTCCGGCTCCAGCTCCGGCTCCAGCTCCAGCTCCAGCTCCAACTCCAGCGCACCGACCCCCTCTTCGTCCGAAGGCCCCACATCCTCCACCTCCACCTCCACCTCTGATCCAGCGTACCTCCTCATTTCCTCTTGCAAGGACGGCAAACCACAATTGCGCAACTGGTCCGTAATAAAACGCCTTAGCTGGTGGATGAACCTCAAGGACGAGGAAACTCATCTCTTCTGTTCGCTCGGCCCTTCTCGTCGGTCCTCCCCAAAAAAACAGGCTAGGAGACTGGGTCGGCACCTTCGTTGAAGGAGGACACAAAGGCGCCGTATGGTCATCTCGGCTGTCCCAAGATGGTGAACGAGCAGTCACCGGCTCAGGCGACTTTACAGCGTATGTCATTTCTACAGCCACTTGGCGCACCCACACTCGGGGTGAAAATCCTGATCCTGTTCTGATCGGAACATCCCTACAGCAAGCTCTGGGACACCACGACCGGATCTTGTCTCTCGACCTTCAACCACAACCACATCGTCCGATCCGTCGACATCAACGCCTCCTCCACTTCGCTCCTCACAGGCGGTGCCGAAAATAAACTTCGGCTCTGGGACCTAACCCGATCCTCAATTTCATCGTCCGAAACGACCGAGGATCTCATCTCCCCTACTCAAGAAGGGGCTTGCGTCGAGTTCAAGGATACAGGTTCGGATACTGCGCACGAGGGGACCATCAAGACGGTTTTGTTCGATGATGAGGCGAGATGGGTCGTCGTTTCCATGGGGGAGGATCAGAAAGTAAAGTCAGTCTAAAAGGGGTTTCAACCCACTGTCCCTTCAACCACCCAAAACGTCGCTCATCCCTTGAATCAAAAACAGATGGTGGGACATCCGCACGCTCTCTTGCATCCATACACTCTCCCTACCCAACCCCATCACGTCCCTCTCCCACGCCACACCTCTCGGTCCCCTCTCCCCTTCCCCCCAACTCGCCCTGACCACGACCCAAGCCCTCCACCTCTACTCCCTCTCTGACCCCCTCGTCCACTCCGAACCACTCACCACCCATTCCCTATCCTACACACCCTCAACAGCCTCCGTGTACCCTTCTCCATCCAAACCCCTCTTCGTCACCGGTTCCACGACCGACAACTGGGTCCACGTGCATGACCTTTCGACGGGGGAAGAGAAAGAACTCGGTAAAGGCCATCACGGGCCCGTTCATGGGGTCAGTTTCAGTCCCGATGGGGAGATGTACGCCAGTGCGGGAGAGGACGGTACGATTAGGTTATGGCAAACCGAACCCAAGGATTGGGGTTTGTGGAGGTATAATCATGAGGAACTTTGAACAAGGTTCGGGATCGGATCCTTTCGTAGAGAGGGCGTGGGGTCGGGTCCGTAAGGTTTCGTGTGGTTCGTCTACAGTTCGCTCGTGTACATAGAGCTGCTTGAATTTCAAGGTTCCCCCTATCAGGGATTCCTCAGATCGCCCATCCGGCGTGAGGAGAGTTCGAGCTGAAAGTCTAGAGTGTTTTCCCCCCTGTGTTAACTATTCCGTTGCCTCGAAGATCCCGGCGGTCCCGGAGCTGTAAAGTCACGGAGAGCGTGAGCTGTTGGGCCGCGTACGGGGAAGGCAGAGATGAGATCCCCAGACATGCCAGCGTATCAAGCGGGTGACGTGTACAAGCTTGCACTTTAGCTTCGTGGTTCGTCAGAGGTGGCGTGTTCCCAAGTTCCCGTCTTTTCTGTCAAAGCCTTCGTGCTTCGAAATGCAACGAAAGCACCGAATCGAGCGTCTGCTCGATCAGAGACATACCACCAAGCAGTTTTGTAGGCATCAAAAATACCCTAAATGACAGCAAAGGAAGCACAGAAAAGAAAAAAGAAGGATTGACACAGAGAGAAGGAAATCGAAACGAGAAACCGGAACTAAAAGCCAAAAAACAGATTGAAGCGTGCGATAGCGGGTAGAGTAGAGAGTAATAATACTAAAGTGTGCACCATGGGACACATAATGAATGAATGGATGGATGGATGGATGGAAACGAGAATTCGTGGCTTGTAGGAAACGATGTCGGCAATCAATAAGATGAGCGAGTGAGCGAGGCGGGCACGAGAAACGACCAGCGCGTCGGGGTCGAGTGACGGGACGTTGGATGTGGCGTAAGTGCATGTGAATAAGTCCAAAAGGTTGTGATGACTGGAGATACAGAGGGAATGAAACCGGTGGTGCGAGGAGGCGAGAGAGATGAACGACAGAGGGACGACAGAGGGACGACAGAGAGGCATGTTGCGAAACGAGAGGTCAGAAACGAACAAAGATCACTCTTGTCCGAACCCTAGAGTGTTCTCGACAGCAAAGGCGAGTTTTTGTTCGAGTACTTCGAAGCTCGGGTACGCCGGTAGATCCAGTCGGTTGAAACAGGTGTGACTCTTGGGCAACTGCGTCACCTCACCACTCTTCTCCAACGTGAACCTCCTCGGGCCGTCCGAGCCTTGCAAATCCTTGAATCCGTTGACGGGGATCCTCGAAGTCCCTGTTGTGAACTGCAACAAGCGCGACTTCTTTTCGGCCGGCCACTCCTTGACGGCCTTCCAGAACCACTGCACGACCTCGTCGGCTTGCGTATACCCGCGGTAGTCGGTGTGCTTCATCCAGTCGTCGACGTCGATCTCGGACATGCCGCCGATGAGGAGCTCCAACTCGCGCTCGTCAAAGACGTTGATCAACTCTTGCGGGATCAACTCGTTGAAGCCGGACAAGAAAGCCTTGAACTGGTCCTCGACACGCTTCTGAATCCTCCACTCCGTCACGAGCTGTACGTACTCCTTCTTGTTCTCGTTCGTCACCGCCACGTCCGATCCTCCCGGCTTCAAGTCGATCGTGACCGTCTCACCGAACCGGTCATCCTCGGCAGAGAAGGTGTTGTCCAACACGTCGGTGATGTCGTTCTCGAGCATCCAGGTCAGCGAGCGGAACATCTCGGCGTCGACGGACTCCATGTCCTGCAGCGTGATCTTCTTCTTGAGCACCATCTTGTACAACGCCGTGATGAAGTAGGCATCGAGGAAACGACGGTGGAAGACGGCCAAGGAGAGTACCCGACCAATGAACTTGAAGTAGTTGAGATGCTCGGGGTTGATCGACGAGTTGGGGTTGATCTGCAGCGTGTAGTTGTCGTGCGCGGAGTACTCGAACAGGCAGTAGAAGGGGTTGAACATCTCGTGCGAGAGCAGGAAGAAGAATTCACGCGACAGTCCACCGTAATCGAGACCGTCCTCGCCGTCGAACTTGATCATCAAGCGCTTCTTGAGGTCGTTGGGCGTCTGACGCATGATCTCGGCGTACGAGTCCTCAAAAATGTGACTACGGCGCACCTTGACGTGGCACTGGCCGGGCGAGGGCCTCAGCGCGGGTTGCGAACGGAAGTAGATCAACTTGCGTCGGAAATCACGCTTGTACTGTGGGACGTTTTGATCCAACGAACTCGGCAAGCGCGGGTCGTCCCATGTCGTCGTCTTGGTGTTGTGGTCGACGAAGTACACCCGGGCCGTACTCGTAAGACGCATCTCCCATCCGGACGGCAACGGGCCGAGTTGTGAGACCGATTGCGGCTGCACGGTGAGGTTGTTGCCGTTCGGGCCCATCACACGAAGCAACTGCTGCCGTCGCGGGTCGACCCAGGTCGTCGTGCGCGTGTTGTGATCGACAAAGTAGGGTCGACCTTCGGGCGTAAATCGTTGTTCCCAACCAGCAGGGAGAGGGCCCTGTCCAGCCGTGGTCGAGGACGAACTCGCACCACCCGCACCGCCCGTCGGGGTCGACGGGGAAACGGCGCTCGTGACCGTGCTCGCCGTCGTACCCGTCGTCATTGTGGGTACGCTCGAGGTCGTGCTGCCGACGTTCGAGGCGCCTTCGGCCGCTCCCAAAAACTCATCCGCCGTCGTACGACTTCGACCCGCGGACCCATCGCCGCCAGCTGACGCCGCAGGACCCGTCACATTGGTGCCCGCGGTAGGGGGCTTGGGTCGAGTCCACGTCGTGGTGCGCGTCGTATGGTCGACGTAGTACGTTCGGCCAAGATGATCGACTCGTCGCTCCCATCCGATCGGCAAGGGGCCGTGCTGATCCTCGCGAGCACTGAAATCACGGTTGTTCGTGGAAGAACCTCCGGCGCCTGAACTCGAGCCCGCTGTGCTCAACGAAGCACCGCCGGAAGGATTAGCCGAAGCCGCGCTCGTCACAGGCTGCGCCGAAGGGGTCGAAATGTTGGGAGGGTCGCTCGAAGGTGTCGCGGCGGCGGAAGCGGTCGCAGTTGGGGTCGTCGAACCAGGCACCGTCGGGGACGACAGCGAAGCCGAAGAGGCGTTGTTGCTTCCGGTGCTGATCGAAGGGCGCGCAGCGGACGTGGCCGGAGTGCGGATTGCGGAGGTGACATTGGTGGTCAAGTGGACAATCAGTTTACCATGGACGGCGAGTTGATCGTTGGATCGTTTCAACTCGCGCGTGAAGGTGTCTGAGAGAGGGCAGTGCACTCGGTCGGGTTAGCTTGGTTTCGTTCGCCGAGACGCCGATCGATTTCTTTGACAAACCTTCGCCGCCGAGGTCCAGATCGATCGCCTGAGATACGGGCAAGTTGATGACGCCGAGGAAGCCCTGATCCTTCTTCTTGAACTTTTTCTGATCAAAGATTTGCACGGTCAAGACGCTGCCATCCTTGACGAGGACGTCGAACGACTCGTTCCAGTCTGTCGGTAATGGGAGAAGTGTAGGGGTGACAGTCAGCCGATGATCGCCTGCCTCCGTGCTCGTCGGCGATCTGAGACATACAAGGATTCAGCGTTTTCTATAAAGGTGCGAATGGTAGAGAGTTGGTCAAAACGTTGAGTATTATGTGTACCATTATCACAGCGAGTGGAACGAACCTTGATCGCCGAAGTGGTGTTCGTCTGTTCGCCATCGACGGTGACTACGGCGAAAGGGTCGGGCAATCTGAACACGTCTCGCTTGGCCAACGAGTCCGCTGCGACGACTACAGGAGATAGAATAACACCCGGGGGCTCAGCAACATGGACTCAGGGTGTGCCTGATTTGTGTCTGAAGTGTCAGAGTCGGCGACGGACGGGATCGACGGAGTGGTGTGCTCGTGGGCGTACGTCGATCGTCGGATCGTCGACCGGCACGGAAAGATCACTTTGGACTGCGCGTCAGGGCGCTCGGTCCGCCATGAGCTAGGGGACCCGAGGCTCCACCGCGGCCCGGAGACGAGACCGACTCGATCATGACGGCAGCAATGCCATCACGGTACAGAGTAAACCGAAGATGCGGTCAATGACGAGATGGTTAGGCCCTCGTGATGAGCCTGGGTCGGGGGTCGAATCGTGGGTCGATGGGCCGCACGCGCTCGCCGACCGACGAATCCTATTGAATGAGTGAAGTGGCTGATGGCCACCACGGGCGCGCTGCCTCGCTGAATTCGCCAACTCGCGCGGGGCGCATCGCCCCATCAGAGCTGTCGACGCCGACTAAGAGCGACCGAGCGACCGAGCGGCCGAGCGGGAGTGCCGAACCCAGACAGTGCAGACACGCCCTGACGACCCACTACCGAACAACGGTCACTTACCCGTCACCCTGATCTTGCGAGTCTGTAGTGCATGAGTAAGATCAGGTCAGGTAGGTTAGCGAACAAGTTACGATTGCAATCGAGCGACGGGTGCACCCAGCACGGGCGAACAGCTCAGCGCGGGCGAGCCAGCGGTCGTGTGCGGGCGGGCGGCATGTCAGTCAGTGCTCGATTGTGGTGGTGGCACGACGACCACAACGAGCAGCACAACCACGCCGTCGCTCGACGCTGATTCGGCGCACGAAGATGAAACAAGAACGCCGGACTGACCCTGTTGGCATCGGGGACTGCGGCACCACTCGACATGGTGCGAGCTGACTCGAGCGCTGGGGTTGGAATGAACGGACCGAACACGAGCTGCACGCCCCGTCAGCGCGAGGAGCAGTCACGGCAGCTCAGGGCAGCTCGAGTGCAGCTCGCCTCAGCTCGCACGGTAAGCGCCTGTAAGCGCCACGCGCGCGCATCGGCTTACAAACCCGGATCTGTCATAATCCCTTGATCGCGCCGTCTTATTAGGGACGGGCGCTATTGGCGAGGTCTGGCTAACGTGTCCCCACCACAAGTGCGTGCCAGAGTCCACATGCCCCTCTCCCGGATGCACTCACGCGTGGTGACGCTTGCTTCCTCCTCCGTGCAAAGGCCACACCGCGCCCTGGTCTCCTCGCAGTACATAATCACGGCTTGCGAGGTGCTGCGTCCCCCCCCCCCCCCCCCTCTTTTTTTGAGGTCTGGCCAGAGCTCCGAGCCTCAGACTGAACGCCTGCTGGTCAACGCTCGCGGCCCGTCGACCGGCAAACAAGCACCGTCGCGTACAACACGCTAGGCCAGCGCATCACACGGATATTATCCCCACGGTGGCATCGATCGTCGAGGTGCAGTTCAGCTGATTCGATTAGGACTTTGTCGCCCGCGTTGTGGTGTGGCCTGGTGTGCCCCGCGGCAGGCGACCGATCCGTCAAGCAGCTAAGCCAGCGAGCCGTAGACCACCCCCACCCAGCGACCCCACCCGTGAGAATTCGTCACGATGTCGCCCTCCCCCAGCGGTCTGCAGCCCTACCCGACGAGCGCCCGTGCTTCCGCTGCTCCACCCCACATCCACGAATACGAACACGACCAAGTGCTCGGCATCGACGCGTGCATCCACTGCGGCGACGTCGCCGAGTCATCCAATTCGACCCAGCTGCACACGCTCGGACGAACGGCCGAGAATGAACTCGTCGAAACCGGGCGACGGTACCTCGCCAAGACCACGGGATACGTTGGGGATAAACCCATGCTGAAAGGCCAGACATTGAAGGGCTTGGGTGCGGACCAGAGTGCCTATCACGAAAAGAAGATGGTAGGACTTCTCCGAACTTTTGCCTTGGCACTTGTGAGACGGTTCTGATCAACCTTTTCGCTGCCGACAGAACGACACCAAGCACTTTATCCGGACCGTCTTGTCACACTTTGAGATGTTTGGTCTTTACCCCCGCGTCAAGAGCCTCTTCACTCAGGCCAAACAGGTCAAAAAATTCCAGTGGGGCCGAAAGGCTAGGCTCATCGCCGTCGCGTGCATCTACATCGCCGCCAGGGAAGTCAAACGCTCGCTGAGAGTCGTCGATTTATGTGTAAGCCTTTTCGAGCACGCTCCTCGTCCTTCTTATTCGACGTGATTGCTGACCTCCCACGCATCTTGTGACGTCAGCACATACTCGACGTCGATTACCACCAGTTGACGCGCTTGCAAAACAACCTCAAAACATTGCTCAACCTCAAAATCTCGACGCACGAGCCCGTCATCTTTCTCGAAGCCCACCTCGTCCACCTCTCCACTCTGGTCGAAGCCTCCAAAACCTCGATCCAACTTCCCCAAAACCTTTCCGGCGGTCGATGGACCCTTTCGACGATCCATCACCTCCGTCAAGTCGATTGGATCAAAGTCCGTTCGCTCGCGACGGGTCTGCTCGATTTTCTCACCGATCTGGAACTGGCCACCGATCGCTCGCCCGAACACGTCGCCTGTGCGATCGTCATCATCGCGATCGAAGCGTCTTTACGTACGAGACTCAAGTGTTCGAAGGAGATCGTCACCGATCTGACGAAACGAGTGGACATCCGGAACAAGGTCGTACTGGCTAGGGTCAGGGAGATCTATCTGGCTTTGACGGATTATGCCAAGAGGTTACCTTGGCAGGTCGATTTGGGGGAGGGGAAAGTGGGTGATGTCGTGCCGTTCGTGGAGGACGTCGTCAAGTATCGCAAGAAGTTGATGGATCAGGAACCCAAGGCCGTGTTGGAGGACTATCAGGGCGATCTCTCTGACGACGACGACGCCAGTGGTGTAGGCTTCGAAGAGCCACCTACGCAAGTCGAGGAAGAGGAAGAAGAATCCGATCTAGACGACCTAGCACCGGACCCACTGGCCTCACCACACCCCAAGGCCTCTCAGAAGCGTCGTCTCTCCTCAATATCGGATCTTCACTCGCGCACCCAAGGTTCAGTCACTCCCACCCCACCGGATCTTGATACGACCAAAACCCACGCGCGTCGATACCTGCCACCACATGCGCAAACCCCTCGCGCACCTTCAAAGAAACAACTGCACACCCTCGAAGCAGCGACGCAATCCCTCGCTCAATCCTTATCGACCACGACGCCAGGTATACCCTCTGAACCATCAACATCGACCCCTTCTCTCGTCCGTACGGCGAACTGTACAACCCAAATCAATCCGCATTCGCGCTCTTACGCCCCTCACCACAGCGCTTCGATTCGACTACGTCACCTCATCCTCTCCTCGTCCGAATCGATGATTCACTCCCCCTCAACCCAAAGGATGATTCAACAGTCCCTCCTCTCCCCAGCCTGGTTCCAAGACCTCCCCCCTTCGCTCGATCAAGATCGTGATACGCACTCTGACTTGTCCGAATCGGATGGAGTAGGGGAGGATGACCGAACGACGAGGTTGGATAAGTTGTTGTGGGAGAAGGAGGAGAGGGATATTACGGACGACGAGTTGTTCGAGCAAGGGGAGTTGGAGGCGTTCTTGAGAGGGAGCGAAGAGGTGCAGAGGATGAGGAATTCAAAATGGTTCAAGGAGATGCCGGAGGGGAAGAAAGAGCGGACTAGTGATGCGGACGGGGAAGGTGACGGTGATGGCGACGGAGAGGATAACGAGGGTCTTGAGTCGATGATGAGAGGAGAAAGACGAAAGACGCCGAGCAAGAGACGGAAACTTCGTTCCGACGCCGAAACGCCTTTCGAATTGCACGAGACGGAGAGTGACTTTTTCACGATGAGGAACAAGAAGAAGAGCAAACTGGACTTGGTCGACCAAACTGTTTTGGAGAGGTTGCTCGATGATGAAGGTGATAGGGAAGGGAGTGAGGATGAGTCGGACGGTGCGGGCGGGGAGGAGGGGTACGACTCGGTCGAACGGGCATTGATGTGGGAGAAAGCGGTGGGGAACGTTCGATAGAGGTATGGACAGACATCGAGGTCGCAATGAGGTCGCACAAAGTCTGACATGTTGTGTATAATAATCCAGAGCATCCGTAGTAATCATCATCATGCATTCCAAATATAGATCGCGTCGTTACTGATTCGTGCACCCAACTCATACTCTAGGGCAGCGCGAGCCGAAGTTGGCGGATCTCTTCCTGCAATTCGGTTAGACTCATTTGCAGGGACGCGGCATCCTCGAATTGACGCTTAGCTTTCGCATCCTCGACGTAGGTCCGTACGAGAGCTTCTTGTCTGTCCAAAGAGAGGGCGGCAGCCTGTTTCGTCAGAAAACAAAGCGCCTAAACGCAACCCCGTGTCTCAAGCAGATAGGTGACTCACTCCAACAAGACCTTCAACTTCTCCGACACTTCCAACTCCCCCACCCCAACTTTCTCATTCATCAACCGATCGGCTCCTTTGACCGCCGCATCACCCAACAAGCCCGCCAAGGTCTTGACCCCCGAGCTCGCAGCTTTGGCTTTGACTTTCCTCGCTTTACTGCCGTCCAGGTCATCCAGATCACCGAGGCTTCGCAAGAGCCCCAGTTTTTCTTGAAGGAAGAGGGTCGCTCGGGACGCGATCGCTTGTTGGAGACGATCTTGGGATCCACCTGGTTGGGCGGCTTCGGTGAATAAAGGGAGGTCACGGATCCGTTTCGCGATCGTGTCGTAGGAAGCCAAGTCGGTGAGCAGCCGTTTGCGCAAATCCAAAGCCGCGGTCGCGGCGTGTACTGAACGGGTTGACAAGTTTCTATTGGTCCGAATAACGCATGAGCATTCGTCGTCAAAGCTCGTCGTAGTGAGCTAGACAAAACTGACTGTAACCCCAGAGCCAACTCCTGGAACTCGGGCAAGACTTTCTCGATCTCTTGCTCGAGCTGAACCAAGACCTCGTAGAGCTTAAGCCATGTCGGCGTACGCACGGGCAATGTCTTCAACTGCTGACGTCTGATAACCTCCCAAACCAATACATGTCAGAAATATGAAACAAGCCTCCGGCGATGCTGACCTCATGGACTCACAGAACCGTATTCAAGCAGTCCCGACAGACACGAACCTTCTTCCTCTCATCCTTCTCCTTGGGAGGGGGTGGTGCCCCACCCGTCAACTCAGGCACGACCGCTTCGAAACTAAGGTCCGTTTCGACAGGCTCGATCTCAACGACGACACCGATAGGTATCTTCTCGCCCGCAACGAGAAAGGGCTGTTGTTCGTAGGTGAAAAAGGTCGAGCAACGCTCGCGCCGGATGGGGTTTGTGGGCGGGGCTGAAGGAATCGCGAGGGTGGGGCCTAAACTGGGGCCCGAGGAGACGAGTATGGGCTTGATCGGGGTAGCCGGTAAGAAGCAAACGACTCGTCCGCAGAGACGACAGTGATGTCGACGAGTTTTGATGCCGAACGCGGCCCTATTGGAACTCGATCGTGGTCAGCTTGAAAGGCACGGACGTGAGCTGGGTCTGGGGCTGGGACCCACATGCAGATCGGGCAGAACTTGGCTTCAGCGTCCTCTTGCCATTTAACGATCGCTTGTTCCGCTGGTGCAACGATCACAATTGAACTGTCAGCACATAAGGAACATCGGGAAGGATCATACCCTTTCAGAGTGCCCACCTCGTTCGATCTCGCCTCGTGCGCCAGCGACACTGGTCCAAATTTCCTTGGCACTCTTGCCTCGGAGCGAAGAGAGTGTAGCAAAGGTCGATGTCGCGCGTGAGAACGGTTTGGGTGCGGCCAAGGAACCATGTTCATCCTCCTTGTCCGTCGAGGTGGGAAAATGGAGCGCCACGAGCTGCAACAAGACCAGATTCGGTTCAGCCGGTCATTCCTGGTTTGCCCCACCTCTCCTCACGCAGCTCACTTTTTCCAACCTCCTGGCCAACCTTCGCTCGTCCAACTTGTTACGTTCACCTCGCTTGTTGCGACTGTTGATGAACTGCTCGGTGCGATCTCGCCTGACGCCTTGGGCCTGGAACGTGGGGTGGTACGCAGGCTGGTACGCCGCTCTGCCGGTCCCATTCGCCGCATGCTGTTGTTGCTGCTGTTGTACGACGACCCTCTGGCGCAATGCACCCCCTCCTGCTGTGGTCGAGGGCGGTTGGGAAGGGGACTGAACGCGAAGAGGGGAGGATGGAGCTCGGGATGGGTTGGCCGAGAGCGGACGTTCGGGCGAGCGATTGCGTGAGGACGGACCGCTCGTGGGCGCCGAAGCGGACGAAGCCGGTCGGGTGTGGAAGATGGAAGGTCCGGACGAGCCGGATGCGCCGGGTAAGCCACTACGACCACGCGCACTGTGATCGGGGCCACTCGCCCAAGCCGCGGAGGAAGACGACACCCCGGACGAGGTTGACGAGCTGAGCGGCGGGGGCGAGCTCGGCCTACGGCGGTGCGGATGCGGGTGATGCTGCTGCGAGCTATCGACGGTCGGTGAAGGTCGAATGGGCCTCGGGCAAGAAAGTAGTTCCGGATTGGCTCGATACGAAGCTGATACCGAGGCCGACGCTGACGTTGAAGGGAAGGCTGAGGCTGAGGCTGAGGCTGAGGCTGCGACAGGGGCGGAGGACGATGACGACGATGACGACGACGACGACGACGACGACGAGGCGGATACACCTCCTCCGCCACCCAACTGACGATGAACTACACCACCACCTCCAGCACCCGACAGGGACCCAATCGAGGCAGTCGAGTTGCGCTTGGACTGGTATGGCACATAGGTCGTGCCTGCACCGCTCGGGCTGCTGCTGCTCATCCTGTGCCCTTTGCCCAGTTCGGCCCAGACGCCGCGAGGCAGCCGGAGCCAGAGAAGAGAGCACAATAGAGCTGCGCCAGTGGAGCGATCGGATCCGCAACCGACCGACCGCGACGCCCCGACATCATCCAACCAGCCACAACAGCTGTTGCTTAATTCTGTTCATCGGCATACAGACCTGGATTCTACCTCGAGACCTGTTGATTCCGCACTGTGATCTGAATGGCAAATGTCAAGTCCAAGTCTGGGACAAATTCTTCGGACTCGGACTTCTCCATCATGGCCCGCGCGGGGGCGCGCGCCTGCGTGTCTCGCCCAACCCAGGTTTTTATTTATTTATTTGATAGACTTCATAGGTCTGCAGTCAAAATCGAAATTCAGCCTTATTCTTATTTGGCTGGGGAAACGCGTAAGCAAAAGCACGTAAGAAAAAGCGCTCTACTGCTTGCGCTGAACTTGGTCCCCTTCCGAATCTCTCCTTCCTGCCACGCTCTTCTCACCTTTCAAACCCCCACCTCACCCTACAAGATGCACACCACGATCAAACGGGTGTGTTTCCTCCGTACAAGAACATCATCTATGACCAAGGCAAGGAGAGCAGCACGGTGAATCTCAGTTCCAGCGGACATCGCCGCCGCGCTCGACCCGATGCGGGGCCCCACCCTTCATCTCCGGCGGCCGGTGACGAGGAGAAACTTCCAAACCCGGCCGCTCGAGCCAGATAGGAGCCAGAACGTCTCATTCGGTGTTACCCCCAACTTCTAGTAGAGTTGCTTCGTGACTGATCCAAGCGTGTGGCCCTCCTACCCCTACCCGCCCTTGGTCCCGTCAGGTGACGTGACTGGTTGGGGAAATTCGTCGTCAACTACACCATCGCGGATATCATCCAGCTTGCCTGCTCAAAGCCAGGGCCATCTTCGAGACTATACGGACTCATTCCGTCGGATTGTTTGACAATGGCGATCCATCCATCCGCTACGGGAACGACCCTGGACAAGTATTGCCTCGAGGCTTGGCTGGTGCGGATCTCGGAATGGCCGTGCGCGACCCTCGGGGCACTCCGTCGATACATCATCAAGCATCCAGAGACAATCTGGTTCCTTCCGATCTGTCATGATTCTCACTGGTTCCTCGCTCGCCTCGACGTCGCCAACAACAAATGGGAACTGTTCAATTCGATGGCCTCGCGACGGAGCGCTCGACGAAAGGGTTCTGGCGGCGCTCGGCGACCTCTTCCGATTGCTCGGCCTGAAGCTCGACGCCAACAAACCGATCACGCCCTCGATCCCACAGCAGCGCGACAACTCATCCTGTGGTCCTGCGATCATCAACATTGTCGAGAAGTCCTGGGTGAGGCGGCCTTCGATCCCGGGCGCCCTAATGTATCCCGAGTTCGGCAGTTCCAGAGGCTTCTCCGTGACTTCCCCCGGCGAACACCAAGCTTGACCGACACACTCACTGCAGACAACACTCCGAACAAGGTCACGGCACCCACCGGAGTGGCGGATGATGGCCCAGTCGAGGGTGAGCCGCTGCCCAGCGAGACGAGTCGTCATCCGCCACTCCAGTGGGTGCCGTAACCTTGTTCGCAGTGTTGTCTACAGTGGGTGTGTTGGTCAAGTTTGTGTTCGACTGGGGAAGTCACGGAGGAGCCTCTGAAACTGCCGCACTCGCGATACATTAGGGCGCCCGGGATCAAAGGCCGCCTCACCCAGGACTTCTCGACAATGTTGATGATCGCAGGACCACAGGATGACTGCTGTGGGGTCAAGGGCGTGTTCGGTTTGTTGGCGTCGAGTTTCAGGCCGAGCAATCGGAAGAGGTCGCCGAGTCCCGCCAAAACTCTTTCGTCGGAGGCCATCGAATTGAACAGTTCCCACTTGTTGTTGGCGAGAATCATCACAAATCGGAAGAAACCAGATTGTCTCTGGATGCCTGATCATGTTTCGACGGAGTGCCCCGAGGGTCGCGCACGGCCATCCCGAGATCCGCACCAGCCAAGCCTCGAGGCAATACTTGTCCAGGGTCGTTCCCGTAGCGGATGGATGGATCGCCATTGTCAAAACAATCCGACGGAATGAGTTTGTATAGTCTCGAAAGCAGCTCTGGTTTTGAGCGGGCAAGCTGGATGATGTCCGCGATGGTGTAGTTGACGTATTTCCCCAACCAGTCGTCACCTGACGGGACGGGACCAAGGGCGGGCAGGGGTAGGAGGGCCACACGCTTGGATCAGTCACGAAGCAAGTCTACTAGAAGTTGGGGATAATACCAGATGAGACGTACTGAGGAAGCTCACAAGCGTCTCGAGCGACGGGCCATCTTCCGGGGCCATGCGGGCGTCCCAGACCGCCGTTCGAAGCACGTCTGTCAGTACCTCCCTCGCATTCCCTTTAAGCTTGTCTAACCAGGCCAAGGACCAACGGAAGCGTTCCTGGATGCGTTCCACGACGTCGAGCTCCGCCCACACGCGCTCGTAGTCGAGCGGGAGACGATGGTCGCCCACGACCAATGAACGATAGCCGTCAGCGACCGCGCCGTGGAGGTGGAGGAGGTTGTCTAGAATCTCGGCGTCTGATTCGAGGTGGTTCAATACGTTAGAACGCTCAAATCAGAAGGAAGCTAAGAGAAAGCCCGCGCGCGCTCGCGCTCATGTAGCCTGCAGAGTGTACTCCTCAAGGCTTCAAGTGTCAACGTGTCAACTCAACACGCGCCGCATCCCAAAACGATGCAGTCGGCACCAGCTCGGTCGGGACTCGGGCGTCTCGGAGCTCGAGCTTCTGCCAGCGTTTCCGACCCGCTGCGGGGTCACGTGCTTGCTTTCGTCTAGAATTGAGACTCGCTCGGCAGACTCCTAGAGCCCTCTTGAATGTTCATGGGTCTGATGACTCCCACAAGCTCATCGGCGTCTCAAACTATGAAGGATGCCCTTAAAAAATCAAGGGAGTAAACAGTCATGCGAAATGTTTCAACTATAGCTACCCTAGTATGATGCAAGTTGACATGTTCCGGCGTCTCAGTGTCATTTTCGGGACGTGAAGACAGAACCCTGTCGCTATCGGAGGCCGACTCGGCTCGACGGCAACTCGCCAATTTTACTCAGACTCTGCTGTTCAAACAGGAAAAAGTCCACTGACTAAAGAGTGGACGGGACGTGAAATTTGAACTCTCTTGAGCAGCAGAAGTCTCTCGACGAACTCAGGGGTAATGACAGTAAGCGAGGTGGGCCTTCATTTGCTCGAGGCAGAGACGCAGTGGGCTTGCATGACCAATACTGATATAGGACGCATAAATTAATAGATACAAGTTACATGTTGAAAGATGCAAACGGTCAATTTGTTGAAAACAGGGTTTTTCGATTGCCAAGCACAGAGAGAGGGTTTTCTCGGGAGGGTTTTAAAGTAATCGTGGGAAGGCGGCGTAGAAGAAAGAGTATAGGTGGATGCGATTAGAGCTGGATCATGGGCGACTGGGGGCCGATGAAGACCTGTTGGCAGTTCGCCTTGTTGGCCTTGACGAACGAGCTCTGGGCGAGCAGGGTGCAGTTGCCCTTGACCAAGACAACGGCGGTAGGGTCATTGGCCGCGACGAGGTTCATGTCGAGCGGTGCGTTTTGACCAGTGCAGGTGGCGGGGTCGAACGATTCTCCGATGAAGAAGATAACTGGGGTTGAGCGGGAAGTGCAATAGAGGTATAGGTAAGACGAAAGCTGACAACCGAGTAAGCAAAGACACAGTGCAGACTCACCCTTGGCCTTGGTGTAAGCGCGGGCGCAGTTCTGGGTATCGCCGTCCGCGGGCGTGTAGGGCTTGAAGGGTTGGTTGCTGGGCGCAAAGTTCTTGATCAAGCCGTAGCCGGTGTTTTGTCCGTAAGGGGTACCGTACACGCAAGTGTTGTTGGGGAGGAGGGTATAGTCGGTGTTGCAGCTGAGAGTCGTGGTGCTGGTGCACGTCAGAGCGTTGGGGTCGTTGCAGGGCAGGCATTGCTTGCCTGAAGGCAGAAAAGCGAACCAAGGGGGATTACAAGACAAATTCAGTTCACGTAGTTACAGAGGAAATACGTCGAGATCATTTTGCACGCGCAGCAGGAAAGACTCTTACCATCGGCACTGAGATAGGTAGCAGGGCTCTTGCTGCAGTCGACGGCGGCGCACCTGAGAAAGGAGGTGAGGTTTAGCCACGGCATTTTCTTTGGCTTTTGTTTTTGAGATAGCCCAAGCTCAGAGAGTAGCTGTAATGACTGTACACTCACTGGCGCTTGGAGTTGACCTCGCCATAGGAGCACGTCAAGGGCGCTGAACGACTGCAAGTCGTTGCGTTCGTATAGAGCGAAGCGCAGGACACGCAGGCGTTGTCTGAGAAGAAGAAGGCGATCAAGATGAGCCGAGTGTCAACACACGAATTCATCGACCCTCGATATGAGCGCCAGCTGACGAGCAGAAGTAGAGGCGAGGTTCGACGAGGAGGCAACGAAGGCAACACGTCGGAATGGGAAGGCCTGGCGGCAGGGGCTGAAGTCGCCGAGGAAGTGCCAGACTCACTCTTGGCAATCTCGTTGGTGTGGCAAGAGATGCGCTTCTCGAGCTCATGGACAGCCTTGTCCGACAAGGGAGCAGCAATCGAGAGGGTCGATTGGAGGACGAGCAAAGTCGCAGCGACGACACCGGAGCGGGCGAAAAACATTTTGATCGACTGATCGAGGGGATGTGGGGGGGCAAAGGGGTCGGTGTGGATGTGGGGCCTGGGCCTGGGTACGGCTGGGTGAACAAAAAGGATGGAGAAGGGATGAGGAGGAGGGAAAGAGGAGAGTTGTACACAAGCCCAACTTTTCTCTGATACCCTCTCGCGGTGAAAAGATAGTTTGACACGACGTGCACCGAGGGACCCAAAAAGACGGGCGAACAAATGTCTCAGGTGGGCTCGGAGTTGGGGACTCGGGACTCGGGAGGCAAACTAAGGGCATTCGCCTAAATCCAGCGCGTCCGACGCCTCTGAGCGGGTCGGGACTCGCGAACCGCCGCGACCTGGCAGACCCCGCTTTTTATTTATTTGATAGACTTCATTAACAGCATAATTATAATAATACCTAGAAATCTTCGGAAAAGTCGGAGGGAATGCTGTTACGCACACTGGCAGAAGCCAGTAGTGTAGGACTCATTGACCCTGAACCAGGATCAACCATACCCACTAAAACCCCCTTTGGTGGCTTACAGAGACACTAGGCGACCCTTGGACTCCTGAATAGAGGCTCGAAGCCCCTCGAAGTCCGTTTCGGTGATCGGTTCCAAAAGATCCGACGAGAATCGGCGACGGCGACAGAGCTTCCAGATCGAGTGAAAGAAGAGGATTCGTAGTTCGACAAGGCGACGTTCCGAGCGAGACACGACCGGACATACAAAGTCCACAAAGACTGGGTGGGGGGTCGGGGACAGAGCAGACCAGAGACGCCGGGCAAATGGGCAGCCGACCGCGAGGTGGGCCAGGCACTCGGGTGCTTCCGAGAGGCACATCACACAGGAGGCCGATCGATTGTTGGGGTGAGGGCTGGTTGGGGAGGCGACTTGGCTGCCCGGATGGAGGGACCCCAGGGAGAGAAGGTGGCCGGTATCCTCGGCGTCCGAGTGAACCCGGCGAACCTTGCGCAAAGCCTTCCACCAAGCGTTCCAACGTTGCTCAGGCAGATCGAATACCTTCTGGTGTCCCTTGGGGAAGATAGGAGGGAAGATGAAGACTTGGTGGCGTTTGGACGCGTTCACAAACGAAGACGGGGTCATCACCTCGCCATCGGGCCCTCGAAAAAGCGTCGGGTTTACCGAGAGTTGTATTCCGTGGCCCGCTGGGAAGTAGAGTACGTGCGTCGCCCATTGCTCGAGGTTCTGGCTCTTGGAGAGTTCCGGGGGATTGAGCGTGGTCACCGACGCCCAGGCTTCGAAGTATCGGACCCAACGTGCAGGAAGAAGTTTTCTCGTCTTTCTCACCGCATGGTCCCACTTCGGGGGAGGATGGCAAAAGTATGCCCACCAGATCCAGATCCAAGGGCGACGATGCTGGTTGGGGGCCGGTCTGGACAAAGTGAAAGGGGTTGGTTCGTTCGGTGCCTGGAGGCGGATGCGGATGTCGAAGAGATGGCGTGTGAAGCAGCCGTCCGGGGCCCGGAGCTGAAAGACCCACTTCGCGTGATCGATCGCTAGACGCCGAGGCAGATCAATCAAGCCAAAACCGCCGTGATCGAGAGGGATGCAGAGGCGCGACCGGAAGACCTTCGGACGTCGCTGAGTACCATCCGAAGCTCGACCGTGAATGACGAGCATGGCCGCATCCTCGATCTCCTTGACAACGCTCTTGGGGGCGGGGAGGAATCGGCTGTAGTACAGGATCTTTGTGTAGCAGTAGATGTTGATGATCGAACACTTGGCTGCATATGGGAGATCGTACATCGGAATTGAGCGTATCCGAGCGATGGTCGAGGCCTTGACATCTTCCCAGCCCGCATCCTCGGCGATCTCCACCCCGACCTGAATACCAAGGTAGCGAAACTGCGAATCGCTGAGACGCCAGGTCCCGAGATCTGGGGCGATCGGCCGATCCCGAAAAACTCCAAGGGGATAGAGGAAAGATTTGGCGTTGCTGAGCTTGCTGGCACTTGCCCGTTCGTAAAGCTCGATCGCCCGATTGAGGTGGTCGAGGTCCGAGAAGTTGTGGAGTGCGCAGCAAGCGTCGTCGGCAAAGAGGAGTTCTCGAATGTTTTGGAGGCCCGCAATCTCGATGCCCTTGACTCTCAATCGAATCTGACAGGCAAAACCTTCGATCGCCAGAACGAAGAGAGACGGGGCCAGGGGATCACCTTGCCGAACGCCCGACAGGATGTCGAAAGCGGCAGAGAGCCAACCGTTGAGGAAGATCGAGGCGGATTGGTTGGTGTAGGTCGCTCGGTACCATTGGCGGGCTTTGGGGCCGAGGCCAACGGCGCAGAGGACTGCATCAAGGTACGTGTGGGAGAGACGATCGTAAGCCTTTTCAAAGTCCATCACCGCTAGCATGCCGGACACGGGTGGTGAGCCCGGAAGTCCAGGGTCCATGAGACACTGGACCTCGGCGATGTTCGTGCCGATCCAACGGTTCGGAACAAAGCCACGTTGGGTTGGGCCGATCAGGGACTCGAGCAAGGGAGCGAGGCGCTGGTTGTGGGCTTGGGAGATGATGCGCTCGTCCGCATTGATGAGCGATATGGGGCGTTTGTTCGAGAGCTGATCCCTCTCGCCGCGTTTGTGGATGAGATGGATGTGGGCGGTGTTGCGGGGAAGAGGTCCAGGCTGACGGGCCTCGGTGGGGATCGAGTTGATGACGTCTCGAAGAATCGGGCCAGTGGCCGGCCACGTAGCGCGATAGAACTCAACCGGGAGGCCGTCAGGCCCTGGCGAAGAGTTCGACTTACACGCCTCTTGAGCCTTTGTCATCTCCTCCAACGGGTACGCTTCCTCGAGCTTGAGTGAGTCCGCGGGGGAGAGGCGAGTTGAAGCGAGGCCGTCGATGATCGCCTTCAGGGCCGCGTCATCGATGGGGCGGTCCTCATAGACCCGCTCGAAGTAGTCGCTGGCCGCTCCAAGCATCGAATGAGGGTCGGAATGAACAACATCGTTGACCGTGAGCGAAGGGATCAGGTCGGATGCTCGCACTTTGCGCAGGCGGATGAAGATGGAAGAGGGACCCGCCAGAGATGGGTCGAGGCGGGAACGCAGCGCCGCGCCGTTGCGCGAGTGGTCAGCCCTCTCTTGCTCCGACCCTCCACGTCGAAACCGAGCGAACGTCCGGGCCAGAGCCTGCAGCTCGGGCAGCAGGCGGTGTTTGGTGGACGTCCAAGCTGCTGGTGGATCGTTGGGCGTCTGGAGGAGGGCTTCGTTGTAAAGGGTGCGGACAATGGAAGTGAGGTACTCGCAGGTCGCGTCGCCCTCGATCACGTGCAAACCCAGCTTGAATTTGCCCGGACCGATGTCGATTGCGCCCGGCACTTGGAACCGTGCCACAACCATTGAGTGCGTCGATTTGAGGACAGGAGCCCAAATTTTGTGATCATGGAAGAGGTCAACCCAATCAGGCGAGACATAGATGCGGTCGAGGCGACGGCACGTGCCGGGCGCTGAGCGATTCGTCGTGGCTCGTCCTTTGGGATGGTGGAGCCGATAGGCGTCGAAAAGATTGTTGGCCGTGGCAAGGTCGCGCATCTCCTGACCCCCATAATTCGTTCCGTTTTGGTTCTCCGAATCGAGGGGTTGGGACTCAACACAATTCCAGTCGCCCCCGACTAGGAGCGCAGGCGGCGAGGGTTCGTCACGTACGACTTGTCGGAGGGCGGTGCTGAGATGTGAGAGGAAGCGCTTTTTGTCTGGCTTGTCGGAGGAAGGCGCGTATACTACTACAACCCGGACCTTTGAATCACCCACACGAAAGGTGGCGTCGGTGACTCGGTCCGGGAAAGAAAAAGAGGCACGAAGAGTGTTGGGAGGCGACTCGGGATCAATAGTAATGACCACGGAGTCGTTCTTCCAGAGTATGGCAGTGTTGTTGAAGGGAGTGAAGAGAGCGGAGAGCTTTAAGTCTTGGCACTCCTGAGTCCACTGGGCCACCCTTTCGGGGGAAGGTCGGCCAGTTTCGCTCAGGAGAAAGACGTCGGCGTTATGGGAGCGGAGATTGGAGAAAAGAGAGGCACGCTTACGGTCTTCATTGATTGACTGCACGTTGGCAGCAACAAAAGACACGTTTGGGATCTTAGTTGTGCTCATCATCTTGGTCCATAGCGTATTCCACGTCCTTGGGAGGTGCTTCTTGGTCTTCGGCTTCTTCGTCGGCCTCGTCGTCGGCGTCGGCGTCATCGGGTCGGGCTTTGGCCGCGGCTGAGGGCAACGGCGTGGGCGTGGGCGAAGAGGGCTCGGGAGTCGGCTCGGAGGCTTCGAGGGCAGGCGCAGTGGGAGGGGCTTCACGAGTGGCGGGCGTGGAGAGGGCGGCAATCGACTTGGATCGAGTTATGATCGACTTTGGCGTGGCCGGAGGAGGGCTTGGGGATGGAGAGGTGGTCTCTGAGCTGGGGGACTCGGAGGATTTTTCAACGAGGGAAGAGGCAGTTCCCTGGTTGGAGGCAGGCTGGGGGGCAGTATTGGAAGGGAAATTGAAGGAGAACTCGGGGCGGGCAGTCTTCGACAGAGATTCGGGCTGAGCCCTGTTGGACAGATCTTCAGTCTGGGCAGCCAGATCCTGTTCCACTCGACGTTTTTTGGTCGTGCGGTCGGGGGCGGAGGCCGCGGGGATCGACTTGGACCCGGCGGGGGCGGCGGTGGTAACGGTGGAGGCATGCGGGGCACGTGACGTGGGGCGACCCTGGGGGCTCGACGCGTGACGGCCCGGGCAGTGCTGGGTGGCGTGCGAGGTGCTCGCGCAGGACTTGCACGCCGGGGCGACGGGGCAATCCTTACGGACGTGAGCTGCGGAACGGCAGAAGACGCAGTGGCGCATGCCACCGGTGATCCTCAGTGGGATTCGCTCAGTGACACCGTCACGAGCAATAGAAAGTGAGGCAGGGGGCAACACATCTGCATCCTTAAGGGCAAGGATAAAGTCGTACACCCCAGAGATGTGTTTCGTCTTTCCAATGTATTGGATGCGACGGCGGAGGACCGTGCCATAGGCAGCGATCTGCTCATCGAATAGGCGGAGGCCCTCGGGGTCGGAGAAAAAGCCCGTAAGGGTGCATTGTACAACACCTCCTTTAGTAGAGCTGTACAGCTTCTCGACTTTGCACAGAGTCTTGCCAACAGTAAGGCCGTTGGCAACCAGGGTGTCGAGATCGGCGGCCTTGGGAAAGCGGAGGCCGCGCTGACCCTTGATGACGCATGGCATTGCGCCGGTAAGGGCAGGGTAGTGTTTGTCGAGCGCGAGGAGGACTTGCTCGACCGAGGTTGAGGGTGGGGTGTTGATGATGACACAGTTCTCGATGTTGTGCATCAGGGGATGGGCGGCGACGGCAGTCGAGGTGTTGGCGGTGGCGTTGCCGTGCTTCGCAGCGGAGCGGGCGCCGACCGCGGCGGAGTATGATTTGGTGGTGGTGGCGGGGGCTTGGCCGGGAGGATCGGGAGGGTCAGGGCGAAGTGGTGGTATAGCAGCAGGGTTGGAGTTGTTGGTGTTGTTGTTGTTGTTGTCTCCCCCGCAGACCCCGATAGGTTTGCCCATCGATCGCAAATGGGCACTCTGCTGACAAGAGCGCGATCGGCGCGACTGCGCGCCGGAGTGGCGCGCTTCCAGTTCCAGGTCCTATGCCTGAGCCCTCTCGGCCTGACCCTTGAGTCACCGCGGATCTACATCTACACAAAGATTGTAAAAGGCTCAAATATTTCGACACGAATCAGAGGAGAAGGTACCTAGATGCCAATGCTCCCGATCCCCCACCGAAAAGTCCCTTGCAATGGCCATGAATTCGCGCTCTTAGCGAGTCGGAAACTCGCGCGTACGTGTGCCAAGTGCTTTACTAACTTAGAGCTCGGAAGCCCTCCGATCAGAGGCTCATGATCTTCGTCACGTGTAAAGGTAAATACGGCCGAGGGCCGATGGGTATCTGGGTAAGTGAAGCTCCTCCATTTGTGTACGCTCTAGCGGATTTGGTGTTAACTATTCACTATGGCTACGCGGTGACAAGTCACAAGATCCGCGGGCGGGGGTAACTTGAAGTCGGCGCAGTCAGGACTCCGCCGAGGAGTTACCGCCGGTCATCGGTCACTGCAGAGGGTGTCCTGGTCACGCCTATTCAGACTCAAAAGTGATTTTGTTCGGCACCGTGGAATACAAGAAGAATTAGACTGTCAGGATTCTTGGAATTTCTACTACGTTCGGGGAGCACCCAGGGCCACCGGGCACCGGGGGCAAACCGAAGTCACGTGCCGTGTGCTCGCCGTGCGGACTCATGGGCTCCCCCCCCCCCACCTGAGTCTCCGTCCGTCCCGATCACCAAAATCGCAGTCACGACACTCAGCGCTGAAGCCGCCGTCAAAGAGTACTCTTCGCTTCCATGGCACCCCCGTCGGTGGCTCAACGCATGCATATCCCGGTCTCAAGTAGCATTGCGGCAAGCCTGCGGACTCAAGCGGAGTGCGACACTGCGATTATGTCCATGGCCAGTTTTCACCAGTAAGCTCTTCCGTAATGTCACGATACCCTGTACCTCTGATCTTACTCCGTTTGATCTGATAGGTCTTCCGATGCGGGCACAACCTGCACTTTGCTTACGACGAGATATTCGATTTAGTCGCCTCCTTAGTACTTGCCCCGGCGACGATAACCCAAAATTCCACACGGTCGACTTCAGGAGCCCGCCGTCCTTCGAATGGGTGATGATACTTGTTCAGCCGAGTACAAGACCTGAAGAATCTCAGCTTTTCGTACCGTCGCTTGTCGGTCATCGTCAACCCTCGCCTGTTTCCGGTCCGTCATGGTTGGTCGATCCGACTGTGTCATATACGGTGTCGAAGGATTGATGGATCAAACCCTGCTTTTACCTCTTCTTCGGCACCTCCGCATAGTTTCGTATTTCCGCCTTTGCCTATGGCGTCAGGGGTGGCGAGGGTTGATACGCCTGAGGAGCATGGGCATCCCCATTTCGAACGGGATGTGGAGGTCGTGGATGATTCGCACCAACAGCATCGGCTCGAGGCTGGAAGGCTCCTCGTCCTGAAGAGTCCGCGGACATTGCGCTCAGGAGTAACAATCCTGTAGAGGACGAGCTATTGGGGAAGGTATTACGTCGAGGGTTTGTCTGAGATACATGAGGATTGCCATTCCATCTCGATCCAGACTATTGTGCATGACTTTTTGATGCTCGTTATCGTAGCTTACGATTCACGCGGATTGGCCCAGTGGGGTTGCCGCTCAACTCAGGGGGCTCAGGGGGTCCGAGCTCTTTGGGGGCTTCGCAGCTGTTTGTAGGCGCGACGGTGATCGGCGTCGACTCGGCTCTCGGCGCTCAGCTGCCGACTCTTTAGCTCAGTGCGTGCTGTTCAGTGGCATTCGACCATGTCAGAGAGTGAGTCTGCCAGCCTGCCTACTTGTAGTGCATGCCCCTCTCCTCTCCCTTCTCCTTCGCCTGGGCTGAGCGTTGCTTCGGAGCTTCGCAGGCTGACTGACACTGACCATGACACCGGAACTGACCTCTTGCCGCAACTGACCTCTTGCCGCTTGCCTTTGGCTTTACCCCCGCCTTCGCACCGCATGGGTGTGTCACCACATCAAACAACAGAGCACCACCACCGAGCTTCACTCAAGCAGTCCAACAAGTCGTTCAAGTCCAAGCACTCGACCAAGTCGGCGCTCAAGGACGCCGCCAAGGGCCGAACCCATCGCCCTTCGAGCTCGTCCTCGTCGCACAAGACGGGCAAGACCAACGCCAACCTGTCAGCGTCGCAACACAAGCTCAACCGGAGGAACCATGCCAAGCAGGTACAGGACAAGAAGCGTCACGCCCTCGATGCGACCGCGCAGCTCTTCGTAGGACCCGACAGGGCTCAGAGGATCGTCGCGGTCGTGCCCATGTCCGAGGACGTCGATCCGTTGGCCATAGTCGAACTCTTGGCTGCCACCATCAACGTCGAGGTCCATGGTCAGGATGGGTACCGTAGCCTGGACGTGGTCAAGTTTCACAATCAATCCCTGCGCTTCCTCTTGCTCCCCGCGGCCTCGGAGGCGAGCTCCCTCTTCCCCATCCTCGACGGCTGTTCCGCCGCTGATTTCGTCATTCTCGGTCTATCCTCCTCGATCGAAGTCAACGAGCAAGGTGAAACCATGTTGCGATGCCTCACCGCCACTGGCGTCGCCTCCGTTCTAGGCGTCACCCCCGATCTGCCTAAGGAATCGCAGCTTATGACCTCGACCACGAGGACCAGTCTGACCTCGTTCCTCAATCATTTCTTCCCGACCATCGAAAAGGTCGCCGATCTGTCGTCCGCTTCGGAAGCAACGACGATCGTTCGAGGGTTGTGTGAAAAGGTACCCAAGGGGGTCAAGTGGAGAGAGGCACGGCCTAGAATTCTCGCCGAGTCGGTCCAATTCGAGAAGGGTAGTTCAGGGTTAAATGGCGATGCCGAGATGGGTGGGATCGAAGCCGACGAACATGTAGGGACGTTGGTCATTGAAGGCACGGTCAGAGGAGCGAGGTTGGATGCGAACCGATTGGTTCACTTGCAAGGCTTTGGGGATTTCCAAGTCGAAAAGGTGTGGAACGGAAGTACGGCTCTCGCAAGTCGGACGGAATGCTGATCGTCTATTTTGATCTCCTGCGTCGCAGATCCTGGCAGCACCTTCGACCCGCCGGCCACGCAAGTCGAACGCCGCCGACTCGATGGATCTATCGGGAGCTGGCCCATCCGAGTTGTCGGTCCCGCAGGACGATGATGCCGATTCTCTCGTCTCGACGAACGTTCCCGACAACGAAGAGCTAGGTCTGGCCGAGCAAACCTGGCCGACCGAGGAGGATTTGGCTTCTGCGCCTGCTGCGATTCACTCGACCTCATCGAGGGTCGGCGAGAGTGACATGCTTCCGCCGGCGCGAAAGGGGACCACCCCGCGCCTGAGAAAAGTACCCAAGGGTACGAGTGCTTACCAGGCCGCGTGGATCATCGAGGAATCTGACGAGGAGGATGAGGGCGCCATGCAAGATGACGAGGACGAGATTGGAGAGGAACAGGAGATCATCGATATGAACGAACCCGAGGGGCAGGAAGAGGATGAGGGGAACCCCGATTTCGTCGATAATTCCGATTTCGACGATACGGCCAGTCAGTCGGTCGCGCCGTACGCCGATCTTTCACCAGAGCAGGAAGAGGCGCAGTTGGCACAATATCTCGCCAATCGAGCGCAGGAGAGGGCCTCGCAGAACAAGGACGACATGGACTTCCCTGACGAGATGGACACGCCCTTGCACATCTCTGCGAGGGAGAGGTTCGCACGATACAGGGGACTCAAGAGTTTCAGGACGAGCAAGTGGGATCCCTACGAGGAGTTGCCGGTCGAGTACTCGAGGTGTTTCATGTTTGAGGACTTTAAGAGGATTGCCAGGAAGATGGAGATGAAGGCCCAGCTTGACGGTGTAGAGGTAGGTGTTCTCGCTCGTCATTGAGTCCTTTCAGGGTACTAACAGGCTACCTCTTGCGCACAGGCCGATACAAGAGTCATCCTGCGGATCAAGAACGTACCCCGTGCCGTGTTTGAATCGTACTCTGCTCTGCGGCCATTCGTCGTGTACGGCCTGCTCAAGCACGAGCACAAGTACTCGGTCATGCACTTTACGGTCCAGCGCAACACAGAGTACCTCGAACCGGTGCGATCCAAGGACTCGCTCGTGCTGCAACTCGGGCCACGACGGTTCGTCATCAACCCCATCTTTTCTGCGCACACGTTGAGCAATGGTGGCAAAGGGACCAACAACGTGCACAAGTTCGAGCGGTTCTTGAGGCATGGGATCGACAGTCACATTGCTACGGCCTACTTGCCCATCACCTTTGGCAACGTTCCGGCACTGTTGCTCCGAGTGCCTTCGCAGACCTCGTCTGGAAGCGACGAACTGTCGTCGAACACACACCTGATTGGCACAGGATCGCTCTTGTCCGCGGATCCCACCCGAATCACGGCCAAGCGCATCATTCTGACGGGACACCCTTTCAAGGTGCACAAGAAGACGGCGACAATCCGATACCTCTTCTTCAACCGCACCGACGTGGAGTACTTTAAGCCGATCCAGTTGCGCACCAAGCGCGGACGGACGGGTTATATTCGTGAACCTCTGGGCACGCATGGGTATTTCAAGGCGAGTCCAGAGACACCAGGATTCTCCTTTCGATTCCAGGTGGCTGATGGTGTGGCTTGACTGTTCTCGCAGGCTGGCTTTGATGGCCCGATCGACCAGATGGACCAAATTTGCTTGACGCTCTACAAGCGCTGCTACCCCAAGTGGACAACACAGTACTACAAGGCGATCGAGTAGGAACTTTTTGTGGTAGTTCTTTTTCCGTACCATCACCATCATTATTTTACCATGTTTCATTGGGTTGAACTCTCCCCCACTTTGAGAGTGCATAGGTCCGAGCTCAACGGCGTCGGCTTTCTCGTTGCAGAATAAGTCGCCGCCCGCTGCCGCCCGAGGCCGCCCGTCTCCGCGCGTCGGCGAGTGAGCGGAACTGATACGTGACGTTAGCCGGGCTCTTGCTCCTGTGCAGCTTTTGCGATCCATCCCACGCACCCAGCATGGACTATCTAGACAGGTGAGCTTGCCCGGGTCACTGCTCTCCATCACTGCCGCAGTCACACTGAATACCCTCCCCCATCTCGGGTCGCACTCAGCAACCTGCACTCGGCGATTCTGTCGTCACTGGCGGCGAACCTGGCCTCGTCCTCGACGCACGACGACGTACACCTCCTAACCGAGTCCTTCGCCGGGATCCACCCCGTCACCAACGGCGTCATCGGCGCGGTACTGAACCGCATCAACGGCGACAGTCACGCCGCCTCGGGTCGTACGCATACCTTGGTTGTCAGTACCCGCTTCCTGTTTGAGCTCCACCACGTCATCGTCGTGATCGCTGGCCGAGTGTCGTCCGCAGTGGTAAACGCATCTATGAGCTGACCACCCCTTCTTCTTCTGCACCTTAGACGCTCTCCCAAGTTGATGGCATCATTGCGTTCTGCGACTATGCAGCCAAAGCACCCGCCAATTCGGACAACCTCAATCGGCTGCTCGTGCTGCTCCAAGGCGCTCCCAGCTGGCAACTCGAAACCGCCGTCGGGGTCCAGGGTATGCCAGCATCCGCCCGAGCAGAAAAGTGCCCAAGGAAGCTGAGAACGGTCGGAACCTTTCTCTTGCACAGTCGCCCAAGACTATGCCCCCGGAGATCGACTCGCGTACAGCCTCGTTTCGGCCGCGCTGATCGTCGCCGGCGCCAGTCCCAACGAGCGCACCGCCGCTCTCGGCGCTCTCTCGCAATTCCACAAAGCCCTCTTGGCTGCAATTGAAACCTCGGAAGGTGTGTTTGTAACCTATATGGCGCTCTATAAATGCCGTACACGAGTGCTCATACTTTCAAGTCAGCATTGCAGGTCACCGCATCATCGGGTATCTTTTGCCAGCGCTCAACGGAGCTCGTCGAGCTGTGGGCAACTCGCCCTTCCCCTGGACCGTCCACGACGAGTTGCCGCTGACGCCCGAACCATCGCGCGAATTGGTCGAGTCCGTCGTCGCCGCCATCGCGTACGAATGGGACCCTTCGACGGAAGGGGGGCGTGTGGCCCTCGCGACCCTGAAGCAGTACGACACCTCGATGAGGGGGCTCTCCCCTGGACTGGTTGCTCTCGTCCAGATCGAGTTCGAGCTCGCATACTGGACCAGTGCGATCGTACCCGCCGTCAAATCTGGCGGCGGGTGGCGAGCTCTCCTTGAAGGTGATCCTGTTTCGATCACCGCGGGTGGACAAGCGGCGTACGCTTCGGCGACGAGGGCTCATGGTACGTTCGAGAACACGTACGCCGTGCTCGAGAGGATGGATGGAGAGTACCCTCCCGACCCGTACGCCTTTGACGTCCTGCTCTCGAGTGTCAAGCTCGCTGTCGTTGCCACGATCGCGACCGGTTCGCCGACGCAGATCTTGGCCAAGCTCTTCGACGACCTCTTGACCCACCCCGCGACCGTCGTGGATGAGCCTTTGCAGACGGGTGCCGTCGAGAGTCTACAGGTCTTTGCCCATGCGTTCCCTTCGACCTTGCCCACGGCGCTTAGCACGATCCGAAACTTTATCAGTTCACCGTCACCCGTGCTCGAGCAAAGTGGCGTATTAGCGCCCTCGTCGACGATGATCGCCGCCTCAGCATGCTACGCGTCGCTCATTGACTTGTCCAAGAATCCCGCCTTGCGCGAGTCGGCGATTCAGTCGCTGCTCAACCACTTCGCCGTACCCGAACGCGAGCCTTTGGTTCGACAGGGTGAAGTCGTTGCCAATGACGCCAAGTCGATCCGATCACTCCAGGGGACCATGTCGGATCCAATCAAGGTTAGTGTGTCGTCGAACGTGGTCCACGCCGTCGCTCGTCTTGCTCTCGCCTTCAAGGACGAGCAGATTACCACGCTGGTCACGTCGATGCTCTTGCAACGACTTGTCGGGACGAACCCGGTCGTCGACGGTGCGATCCTGTTTGAGCTCAGCGAACTCGCGACCATCGTCAATGCCGACACCTTCGCCGACATCCTCGCCGGCATCAGTCGAGTCAGCAAGCATGCCAAGCAGGACGAGGCGATGTCGCAGACGCTGCTGAGCGCTCAGACGAGGCTCGCGATCGCGGCATCCTCGCGCCAAAAGTTTCACGTCAAATACCTTTCGGAGACACTCGCTCTCTTTGTTGAGCAAGGTGGCGTGGGCGACCGCAAGACCACCGCGTCCGAACGAGCGGCCGGTCTGCTCAACCTTGTGCCCATTCTCGACGCCTTCCTTACTGGAGCCAAGTTCGATCCTCGCCAAGATGTCGACACGTCACTCGTATCCTTGTTCCGCAGTGCGTGGTACCTCATCGTCTTGTCGGGCTTTGTGTCGACGCCTTCACGCATCGCCGACTGGCAGCGAGCGGCGCTCGTTCGCATCGCCCAGAGAACGCCCGGTCTCCTTCGCGGTGTCAAGGACGACTTTGTCGCCACCGAGCTCGACTTCAATCCCATCTTACGCAACAAGGAGCACGTCCTTTCACCGGATGCGGCCCGTCAAGAGCTTGCCGCGATCTTGCCCTCGGCTGCTTCGTTCGCTCGATCGCTCCCAGCGTCCCAAGTCGTCTTCTTGTTGACCGTGGTGCGACTCGAGTCCCTGCGAGCCGAAGCGGGCCAACCGTCGATCGTGCTCTCCTACTTCCATGTCGAAGACATCAACGAGAACCCTCAGCTGTACGCATTGATGACCTCGATTGCTGAGCACGTCAACAACACGTTCGTCTCGCGCCTGAGTCAACTCGTCACCGGTCACACCATGGACCCGGCCGTCTACCACGAGGTGCGGGAGATCTTATTACAATGCTGCCACACGCTCGGCAAGGTCCGAACGACCGCGATCCGCTATCTTAACGACCTCTTCACGAGCTTCCCGTCCTTGCTGTGCAGCGGCGAAGTCGTGACGACGATGCTCGAGCTGTTGACGGTCACTCGCCGCGCCTGCTTGGCCGAATTCGTCGACGAATACACCCCTCTGTACACATTCCACTCGAGCCGCGCCAACTTTGACGTCATCCTCCCAGACGACTACTCGATCCGCAACAGCGTCTTGAGCGAGTTGCATCGCTATGCGAGATCGTGGCTCAAGGCCGGCCTCACGCGCGCGCCGTCGGAGATGCGCGGTCTGCTGCAGGATTACATCGACGGCACTGAAGTGGCCCCTCCTTCGACCTCGCTCAAAGCGTTCGCCGATGACGAGATGGGCAAGTCCGTCGCGATCGACTTGATCCGCATGCCTCCTAGCAATGCTCGTGAGGCCAGCTTGCCGGCTTGGGGTGAGTGGCGAGCCGACAATTCGGCCAACTTTGCTCGCACCTTTGGCGCCAAGAGCTTCTTCGGTGGTGAAGCTTCGAGGACGGCGGACACGACGCGTGATGCAATCCTTGACGAGCTGGAGGCCCTGGCCGAACAACTTGATCAGCACAAGATGCACGTCAAGTTGGTCGACATCCGCGCGCTGCTCTACCGCAGCGGTGGGCACCTCGTCAAGGCGCAGAGGCCCGATCTCGACATTCTGCAGCACCTCGTTCATCTCCCTGCCCGTATCTTTACCGATGTTGTGATAGAAATCGCGACCGAGGTCTGGACATGGGTCGTGGACGCTCGACCTGAACTCGAGGCTCGATTGATGGTCGAGGTCGCCGAGGCCTGGCAGTCGACAATTCAACGCCGACAAGGTCTCTTCTCAAGCGAGGCGAATCGCAAAAATCCTCTCGATGTTCCAACCCAGTTCACTCCCACCGACAAGGACTACATGACCAAGGAGTTCATCCACGCCACGCGTCTGTTGCAGCCCCACATGACGCTGCTGCAGTTCCTATCGAGCCGATTCCAAGCCTTCCGATACCGCAATACCGACCTCGTCCACGCGTGCATGAGGATCCTCAAGCGCTCGACCGACGCGGCCAAGTCCTGGTCGACACATCAACTCGCACGCGAGATCCGCATGCGCATGCTCTCGTTCGGCTTTTGCGTCTTGCAAGGCAGCGAGCTCGAATCGGCCGTCGAGTACAACTTCCGCGACAGCTTGTACGAAGCGGCGATGACATGGTTTGAATTGGCGCCCGGGTGAGTAGTGGTCATGCCCATAAAGTCTTTGACCACAACAATTGACCTCTGCCCTGCTCTTCTTTCCAGCTGGACCTACGGAAGCAATCGCATCCAACTCAAGGCTGACCTGCAGGCCATGGAGGAGCTGCACTCTACGATCAAGAGCGACAAACCTGCGTATGACTACATCCTTTCGGCATCTCGTAGTCGTAAGGCCAGTGGTTTGCCCTACAACTCGTCCGCCGCGACCGCCGGCTCCTTGCAAACCCAGCGACAGCAACTTCTCTTGGCCCTGCTCGAAAACGAGCTGGACCGCCTGAAGCTGTGGACCAACCCGCTGCTCGATCCGAAGCGAGGCGCCATCCCCACTCCCCGCTCGACCGCCTCCGATGCAAATTGGGTCCGAATGGCCAACATCGCCTGGTCGCACTGGCCCGGCGTGGCCGTGCAGCTGCCCGAACGCACCAAGCTGCCCGCCGTTGCGGCCGAGGTCACCCGGCTCGTCCGATCAGACCCGCTTCGAGCGCAGCACATCCCTGATGCGTTGCAATACTTCGTCGGGGACACAATCAGTCCCGAGTCCAAGCGCCACCTGCGCGTGCTGCTCTTTTGGGCTCCCGTACCTGTCATCTCGGCGCTTCGATTCCTGTTCCCACTTTTCAAGGGCGATCCGATCCTCTTGCAGTACGCCCTGCGCGTCCTCGAGCATCACCCCGTCGAGATCACCTTCTTCTACATCCCCCAGGTCGTACAAGCGTTGCGCTCCGATGAACTTGGTTACGCCGAGCGTTTCATCTTCGAGACGTCCAAGATCTCGCAGCTCTTCTGCCACCAGATTATCTGGAACATGAAAGCCAACGCTTACCGTGGGGATGACGGTGATGTCGAGGACCCCATGAAGCCGACGCTGGATCGCATGGTTGACATGATCGTTTCCTCGCTGTCCGGTGACGCGAAGGACTTCTTCCAACGCGAGTTCGCCTTCTTCGACGAAGTCACCTCGATCTCGGCGAAGCTCAAACCGTTCATCAAGGCACCCAAGCACGAGAAGAAGGCAAAGATCGACGAAGAGATGGCCAAGATCAAAGTCGACGTTGGGGTTTACCTTCCTTCGAACCCCGATGGTGTCGTGGTCGATGTCGATCGCAAGTCCGGTCGACCGCTTCAATCCCACGCCAAGGCTCCCTTCATGGCGACGTTCAAGGTCCGTCGCGATCACAAGCGCAGCGTCACGGCCGATCTCGATGCCCAAGATGCGCTCATTGAGGATGAGGAATCGAGCGGTCAGGTCCAGACCAAGTCGTTCGACACGTGGCAAGCCGCAATTTTCAAGGTCGGCGACGATTGTCGTCAGGATGTGCTCGCCTTGCAAATCATCGCCATGCACAAGAACATCTTCACCGCCCTCGGTCTAGACTTGCTCGTCACGCCTTATCGTGTCACCGCGACAGGTCCTGGGTGTGGCGTGATCGATGTCATCCCCAACGCGACCTCGCGGGATGAGATGGGTCGCGCCAAGGTCAATGACCTCAAGAGCTTCTTCGTGCTCAAGTACGGTAGCCCCGACGGCATCGATTTCCAACGCGCTCGCAACAACTTCATCCAGTCCATGGCGGCGTATTCGCTATTGTGCTACATTGTGCAGATCAAGGATCGCCACAACGGTAACATCATGATTGACGGAAAGGGGTGCATCACTCACATTGGTCAGTCCCGTGCTGCTGATCCCTTTACAGTTGTCCTTTCCGGTGTCTAACACGTGATATGTTGTACTTGACAGATTTCGGATTCTTGTTCGACATCGGCCCTGGTGGCGTCAAATTTGAGCCGTCGTCTTTCAAATTGTCGCACGAGATGATGGTCCTGATGGGCGGCAAGGATTCGGTCGGGTTCCGCCACTTCTCGGAACTCACCGTCAAGTCGTTCCTCGCGTGCCGACCTTATGCGCAGCAGATCGTCGATACGGCAAGGCTCATGCTCGCGGCCGAATTCCCGTCGTTCAAGGGTGAACCGACGATGCAACGCCTGACAGAACGATTCCGCCTCGAACTGCGCGAGGACGAGGCGGCCGAGTACATGAAGGGCGTGATTGCGAACGCGCATGAGAACCCTCGCTCGATCGTCTACGACATCTTCCAGGAGAAGACGAACGGTATTCCTTATGTCCGGTAGTTCTTGCGTGCGAGCGCGGGTTTGGTATCGTGACTTTGTTGGAATCAGACTTTTCAATCTCGACTGCCGATGTAAGCGGCGCGCACTGGAACCAAGAGATGATGGCTGGGATGGCCAGCCAAGATCGAGTGTTACAACACAAATGAGAGAAACTTCAAATGAAATCTAAAACTGCAAAAACTTCATGTGTACACTGCCACACAGTCCCCTCACTCCATCCTGGTGGGTATGTCCTGGTAGCTCTGCTTTTCGTCCGCGGCCTGCATCTCCTTCATTGCCGCGACAAATCGAGCACCCCCGGGCCTGACGGAGCTGAACCACGAGAGGAGGAAGATGCGGGCGAGCAAAAGCCAGACTATGATGAGCACGATCGACACCCAATCGCTGGGCAAGCGCCCACCGGTTGGGATGGTCAATGTTATCCGTTCGAGCGTGCGGGAAAGCTTGCTCTTGCCGAGCCACGATCGCAGCCCCAGCTTCTGCTTGCGCTGCATGATGTCAAGCAAAGTCGGGGCCATGATTTCGAGCATCGACCAGTCCTGCACGATATCGGGAGCATCCACGGGTCGTCCAAAGTCGGTCCTGGCCCAATCTTGGAACGTCGCTCTGTGTGCGTTGACCACCTCCCGCGCCTCGTCACTGGAGAAGAGGTCCCATTTCTGATCCGCCGACTCGTCGATAAACCGGTTGAGACGCTTGGTCAGGGCGGAATCTTGTCGATAATGCATCAACGCCCCTTGACCATATTGTGCGAGCTCGGATTTGGGCATCCCGTCTGGCAAGGCGCAGTCCATCATGTTTGGTGCCCCCGACCACTTGGGCCAAGCCCCATCTTCGGCGTAGACCTTACCCACAGCCCCGGGTGTTACAACGAGCGATGTTCCGATTCCGAATTGCTGCAAGAGCTCGCGGGCGCACAGCGCGTCATCGGTGCCTCTCCGCTCGTCTTGACCAAATGTCGAGGAGCATACACCGCGCGTTACGGCCCATTCGGTGAAGCCCAGGCCGGGAAGATGGATACCAACAGACCACCATGCCCATGGGTCGATGATCGTTTTCGACCTCAGGCCGGCGATGTGAAACTCGTGCATTCGCACCGGAGAGACGTACGGTAGAGGTATCCCTGCTCCAGGCCGATTAAAGTCAAAGTCGGGGAACTTGCGCTTGAGGTCGAGCAGCGCGGGCGTGTCGTTCGGAGGCTCGTCATACCGGGGAGCGCAGTTGAGGCACGCAAATGCGGAGAGAAACTCAAAAGCCGCGGGGCGAAGGCCCGCCGCCATTTCTTTGAAGTTGAGTCCGAGTTTGTTCGCTTCTTTAGGTTCTATAGTACCAGGCCAGTAGTCGAAGTGGTAGGTAGAGTACATCCACTCGGTGAGAGGGGTGCTGTGGCGCGACGTCGGCGCCGGAGGCCACGCTTTCCCGTGGGCCGGCTTGAGGAAGATGTACTCGTCCCAATCGATAGTGCTCGTCCATCGGTGACCGTCGGCCATGGCGCGGAACACGCAATCTTGAAGTGCCGCCGTTTGACCATTGTACCAAAGCCTGACATCATGCTCGCCGCTGCTGTAATCGCCCATCTCGAACTCTACTTCCGGAGTGAGCTCGTTCACGCCTGGGAGGTCCCACAGACTCGGCTCGACTTGAAATTTCCGAGAGGCATGATGTCCGACGATGTTACTCTTCTTCCACCCCTGAGGTAGACCCCATCGAACCAGCTCGATCCCATCCGGGTTGCGGTCCACGAGCCCGCGCAGGGTCTCGAGAGTTTTTGGCCCGGGATCAAGCAGATAGATGTAGTATTTAGAGAACCCAAGGGCTTGATAGTGAGCCATATGGTCGGCCATTACAGCTGTTGATCAAGAGCATGTCAGAATGCTGATCATTTGCTCGTCTTAAAAGGTGTGATCTTATACTCACGAGCGAAGACATCACCCGTTAGTGGGGCCAAACAGATCGCAGCCGAGCCATTCCCAGAACGATGAGCCTCGGTGTCGAGTCGAGGGATTGCGGTCACTGGCACAAAGACGTCGGCTGGAGGCGGGAGGTCGACCAGTGATAGTGTGGCATAGCTGTGAGCGTAAGCCCAATCCGCCTGTCAGGCACCGTCGTAGAAGAGCGACCGAGATGACACAGCCCACCACTTACATATCGGAATTCTCCCAATCCAGCTGGGCATCCGAGTACGCCTCGAGTGGACAGTGAAACATGACGCTAATCAAGTCCTTCTCTTCTTCATGGGAGTCGGGGAGAGCATTCAGCCTCGTCGGAGTGGTTGTGAACGAGGTTCGTCCGTGAAATCGGTCCCGTAGTACGATGTGGCACTGCAGCAGCAACGGAACTTTGGGAAACGACCCTGATGGGTACGACATGTAGCCCTTCCCTTTCATTTGAGCGATGATGGCGACTTGTGGAGGTTCGGGTCTCGACTGGGTCGCATTCTCGGTCGAACCTTCACGCTTAATCATAAGTGGCCGCGGGTCGACCCAGGCGCTCGTAAGCCACACCTGAGCGGAGTCCGAAAAATAGGAGTAATTCGAATCAGCAGCGATCATGGGTGTATGTGACCCGCGAAAGTCCAACCTACCTCATCGTAGGGTGCAGGTGCCTTGTACTGTTCGAGATGCCGCAGGAGCAATGGAGCAATTACGCCACCCTTCGCGAGCCGAGTCGTGCGGGCCTCGATGCGGTCGAAGTTGTGCCAGGACAGCGCTTTGGAGTCCGCAGTTGCAGCCAGCCCTGACGATGGCAGAGCCCTGTGGATGAGGGTGCGAACGCGAGAGACTGGCCTATTTTGGCCTAAGAATACTCTTGGGTAGAGCACCACCGTCAAGACGACGAAGGCAACGGCCCAAAATAGTCGCACGGGTAACCGAGCTCGTCTCGGCGATGGAATGTTGCACGGTGACAAGGGCGGCAGAGGTGCAGCATCGCTAGCACCATCTGTGACGGGAACGCAGGCGATACTCAACATCGACCGCCGCCCCTTCCTCGTGGGTGTTGGTGGTGCCGACCCAGTGCCGTTCATAGTTGTTGTGGCGGGGCCTCCCAGCCGCAGGAACCTCGGCACCAAGGGCAAGAGCAGCCGAAAGACAGGCGAGAGCACGTAGGCGTACCGGTCGGCTCGGGGGGTGTTCCGGACGAGTGGTGTATTAACTTGGCCTCGTCTCGATGGCCACGAGATGATGGAGCGTTTTCTCACACTCTGCGACGTCGCTGAGAAGTCGCGAGAGGAAGAACGTTGAGCGGCCATGGGTCCCCGTTGTTCTTTGAAGACCAGCTGAAGCCAAGGGCAGATCTTCGGGTTGTCTCTCAGTTGCCACGCGCCCTCTTCCACGGAGGCCGGCGACTCGCGGGAGGGACAACAAAGGCGCAACTCCGCTGAGTCGACGCCGCGCACCTTCCTTTTTTGGCGCGTAATGAGGCATAATGTCTCAGACGGCACTACTAATGGCTGTGCGACGAGGCATACCAGATGTCACTTTGACCGGCATTATGCCGGAGACATCATCGCCTTGTGGTGACCAGAGATATTTTGCGTTTTTTGTTTTGTTTTGGTGACTTTACAGACCGTGTATGTAGTACGAGGCTGAGCAATCTCGCTGAGTCCTTTTTGGCAGAACCACTTTGCCTTCTCAGATGGGCTCGGAGACATTAGCGTCTCGAAGAAACCTACGCCACTGGCCCGGCCCCCTGCCGGTGGCCCCGGGCGGATTTGGCGCCATTTCGATACTGCGAGCAGCACCCGTGTGGCTAGTAATTCCTGGGTTCGTACACGCACATAGTCAGAAATCTCGCAGCGGTTTGGTTTTGAACCACAGGTTTTGCAGAGGCTGAGTTTTGAGATTAGCTGAACGAAGCCACGCCGGGAGGTCCGCGCGCGAATTCGGGAGAGGTCAATTCTTTTGGCTTCGCTAGGTGTTGGACTGGGTGACCAGGCCGTCTGCCATATAATTCCAACTCACAGCGCACTCCGGACACGATCCGGATTTTTTCCTGTACACAAGCAGCAGATGACTCCACCTGCTAGCTGACCCGTGGCGAATACATTGCCAAGATACAGAGCGCGTCACCCAGGCCGAGCGGAATCGGATTCCTTTTCCCCCTCTCAATCTTCCCGTGAAGCCGCCAACTTGATCGCTAGTTCTTCATCCTTTCTCTCACGTTCTTCCTTCTCTTCCTTTTCCCTTTCCTCCCACTGCCTTGCCATCAGCTCGTTCCTCTTCTCTTCCTCGACTTTCATCTTCTCCTCCTCTTCCAACAGCTTCCTCACCACCTCCTCATCCTCCCTCGCCTTCTGGATTCGCACCTGATCTTCCGCAGCTCCAGCTTCTTCAGCGAGTGAAGCGGCGAGCCGAGCGTCTTCCTGTTCCTGTTGGAAGCGGAACAACGATCGAGCTTGATCGGCGAGCATGACGGGATCGACCGAATTCGATTTGGTCGCGGAAGGTTTCGCCGACGAACCAGCTCCCAAGGACGTCGATGCCGATGAAGAGGACGGAAGATACGACGACTGGGTGAGTGTCTTGAGTGATGGTGATAGACTCGGTGACGAAGGCGAGGGTACAGGCTCGGCTCTCTGCTTGCCCTTGTCCTTCGATTTGGGCGTTCCTGCTTCCACGTTCGGGCTCAGCTCCAAGGACGACATCCGCGAGGTTGAAGTCGACGCCGAGCCGAGCGGGAGCGAGCCATGTCGAGGTGGGGGCGCAATGAGCTCTGGAGATACGGCTGGTGATGCTGATACGACAGGAATCGGCGCATTATACGGCGTTTTCGGTGGTCGAGGTGGAGGCTCGGACGAAAAGTCTCCGGGCGAAATGCTGGGGCTTGGAGAGCTGCGCGACTGCGTGGTGTCAATCCGCGGCGACGAGGCAAGGTGTGATGGCGAGTGTCCATCAGAGTTGCGATGAGTAAAGGACTGTTCAGGGACCCGCCGCGGTGGTTGAGGGTCGTATTGAGAACGATTGGGTTGATCGGAAGCGGCGGGATAGGAGGGCTGATACATGTGTTGGTACTGCTGCAAGTCTTCTCGGTGGAATTGTTGATGTTGCTGTTGAATGGCTCGACGATACTCTTGTGGGTCCATTTGCTGCTGCTGTTGTTGTGGTTGCTGATGCGGTTGTGGTTGTGGGAGGATTTGGTGGGATTGATGATGTTGGACTTGGTGGGCATGCTGGTACGGTGGTATCAGCTGCTGCAGACCAGGATTAGGTTGGGGATATTGGAGCAGATGATTGGAAACGACGGTCCCTATGTTCTCCAGTCTTGGCGATGACTGCGGATGTTGGGAAGGAGGAGGCGGCTGCTGGACGCCTACCTCGGTGCATACTGCTCCAGCGCCGTAAGATTGTCGTTGTGGATACGCAACTAGACTTGCGCCCGGCGGACTGGGCAATGGCCGACGACTGGGAGATGATGCCGTTTCTTGTGAAGGAAGCTGTTCAGGTATCGATAGCGCCGACATTTGCCCCACGAGTGTAGGGGGATGCTGCGCATAGGACCCAGATACTGGCCCCGATGGCGAGTGAGACGGAGGCCTCGAGGCAGGCACGAGGCTCGGAGGAAAGTTGTTCCGAGTAGGTAATGGACGGGACTCTGGCGCACTGGAGAAGGTCATGGCCGAAGTCGCATCTTCAGTCGCATTGGAGGGGCGGTTGAAGGTAATGGCTTGTGGAGGGTCCAAATGCTGGACAGCTTCCGGCTGCGCATACTTGGAAGGTCTTGGAACGGGTTCAAAGCGTCCTGCCGGTCGTTGCAGCATTGAGTGGGTAGCCAATTGTCCAGGTTGTAGTCGTGTGCTCGGGTCGAGCCTTGAGGGCCGCCGCTGCAGGAAGGAAAGATTCGTCGGCGCAGGTGACGGAGCAGTGATCGTCGAAGTAGGTCGTGTTGAGGGCCCAGTCATCGACTTGGAGTTCTGTGAAATAGGAGCGAGTTCATCAGTACCCCTCTCGTGATGAAATGTGGGCCCTCATCTGCTCACTGGACGATAAATTGCTGGGTAGAAAGTCTACGGAGGTTAGTCGAGAGTCGGTCAGCGTCAGCATGTTCTCTAGTCTGACGCTTCCAGATGCTATACCTTGGGCGTACCATCTCTAGGAATACCTCTCCCGCAAATTTTCCGTCCCTCTGGAGCTGGACCCAGTCTGCGAAGTATAGGGTTTCGTTTAGTTCAACTTGTGCCCTTACTCGCAGCGGCGCAAATTCTGCAGCTCCGGCCCCCGAGCGCCCGGATCGACAGGGCAGGCACCGAACGTACCATCGAACTCGTAGGTACCCGTATCCTTATTCCGGACCCAAGTTTTACTATCGACAACCTGTCCCTGTCCCTGTCCTACGAGTTGATCGTCGCCGGCTCGACCGGATGTTTCATCACGGATCTTGACCAAGAGAGGCTCGGTCGGTGCCTTTGTCGTCTCGGCGGCATGCACAACGAAGCGAAACTCTTCGTCCCAGACTAGGTAGCCATCGGTAGACTATGAGCTCAAGCGTATAATTTGAGCGCCTAGACTAAGACGCACTGACCTGGATTCTGCGGGTCCCTTGGATCGACTCGGGTCGACTCTACCCCACCCGGCGACTCGGTTAATTCGACCGTACAAAGTGGGGACTGCAGCAGCGTGACGTGGTGGGAATCGTCAGTGAAACGATCATGTGGCACGGACGAGGCACTCGAGACCGCACCTTGACCGTTTCATCGAGGTGTTGTGCTGATGCAAGCCCCAAGATCATCGCCGTCACCGAGAGCGAGCCAGACACGTGAGCTCTCGTATATTCCGATCCACTATCGCAGCAGTTGGTCCTTCCGAATTCAACACATACCTCGCAGCACCACGACGATCAATTGTCCCACCTCGCGCTTCCTGACGGCCGGTGGGGGGGCTGGACCAGCGAGCAGTTCGGGCAGAGGAGGCGGTGCTTCGGGCAACGAGTCGACCACCGGCGTCGGCCGATTCACTAGGTCCAACATGGAGCCAGAAGACACGTGGTGAGTTGGTTGTAGCCATGACATCTGGCCTCAAGAGGTTTGACAGAAATTGTTGGCGCTGAAGCGTAGAATGGACCCGCGCAAGGCGTGTGAAGGTAACAACCGACCAACCGCCGAACGGCGCCAGTCTCCGAGACGGTCCGAGCTTTTCGCTTGGACTTGGCAATTCGCTAGCGGACGCGATCGATCATCGCTCGGGCTGACTCTCGCTCACTCGAATACCAACCATCCGCTGGAAGAGTGTCCAAGCAGAACATAAATAGCTCGTCAGATCGTAATGAGATATGATTTCGTCACCCCTGCTGGGCCATCGCACTGAGCACCTGCAACGTTTTCTCAAAAATCGCATTTGTTTCCTCTTCTGCAGTCCGGTCCTCATCCTCGCCCCTTCGTGCATCGTCATCCGAGTCGGGATACTCCAGATCCGGGTCAAAGCCTTTCTTCAACTCTGTCGAATGAGGCGGGAAAGTCGCTATTGGGAGGCGTGCTGGTGGTGGCTTGAAGTGGACTTCGACCGAGGCCGGAACATCGTCCTGGGCCTCTTCCTCCATGACGTCCACTTCCTCGAAGCCATCCTCGTCGTCCTCGTCGTCGCCGTCGTCATCCCCATCTTCTTCCATCTTGATGCTCTCACCTTCCATCGTCCCCCGGCCTAGGCTACCATTTCCTTCCATTTTGACAGCCTGACTCCCCGGCGAACTCTCCTCCCGATAGCCATCATCCAAATCGCCGAGCCCGACCTGTTCCAAAGCGTTCCTTTCCTCGCCGTCCCATATCCTGGGCTGCACGACCTCCCCTCGTGGGTTGTACGCTTTTCTCCTCTCCGACTCGAACGAAGCGATCCCCAAAGCCATGGCGGTCGATCGACGAATCTCGCCGATCAAACTCGAAAGCCGAGCGCGAACGGTCCAACTCGTGCCCGTACTCGAACTGGCAATCGAGATCTCCTCGAGGTCGAAAGGGACTTGATCTGGATGTGAAGGGCCTGATGGCCGCAATAGTAGTATCCTGATCCATGCTTGGTCAAACGTCTTGACAGTCGCCCACAGGATCGGCAAGCTCGCCTCGGGGACCGGATAGGCTTTGATCGCGGGGGCGAGTAATCCCGTCAAGGTCAGTGCGTATGCGACTCGTAACGAATGGGAAGGTTCAATCGGTGGGATCGTCAGGATCATGTTGGTGAGGAGGGTAGTGAGCTGCGTGTATGCGTGGACAGGGAGGTTGAGAACCTGGATCAGCTGCTCGTCTCATGTGGGGAGCCAGCCGGGGAGCCTACGAAGCGGAGCATTCGAGGTACAGACTTACGGCCCCCAAATAAGACGCCAGTGTGCGATGGGCCGAGTTGGGTGAGGAACGTGATTCGAACGCTTGGGAGAGCAGCAAGAGTTGTTGATCGAGGAAGAGTACCAGTCGCGATTCTTGTCGCTCGGTCAATGCCTGGAGTGGAGAACCAGATGAGGATGAGACCCCTGTGGCCGGCTCGTCTTGGCGGGCTGAGGTCGAGGCAGAAACCTCCATTTTGTTTTCTGACCCAGCGCGATCGAGACAGGGGCCAAGTATGGAAGAGAAGAGCCAGCCATAGCGGTCGCGTGATCGCCGATCAGACCGGCTCTCGGCGCACTCTCGGCCTCTCTCGGCAGCTCTCGGCAGCTCGCCGCTTTTCGTCGCCTCGATCAGCCTCGATCAGCCGAGCGGTCCGAGCGCCTTCGCAGCCCCGTGATGATCGTCACCGCGGGTCTGCGGAACTGCTCCTCCACTTGCTTGCCTTCTGCTTGATCTCCACCTCTGAACAACTACGATGGCGACCAAAGACAAGAAGAGCAAAAGCAAAGCTAAGGATCCCCCGACCTCCCAATCTGCATCATCGTCCTCGGCTTCAAGCAGCAGCAGCGCCAGCAGCGAGAGTGAGAGCGACAGCGACAGCCAGCAGCAGCCACGACCAGCCGCTGCGGCAGCTGTTGTAGGCACTCCTGTCGTTCCTTCGAGGTCATCGTGAGTCCATTCTCTAGCGGAACTACTCCTGCACCTCCCTATTGTGCTGACTTTTGGCTCATTCGCCCTCGCCAGCAAATACACCCCCGCACCCGGCTACAAAGCACTGCGCTCATCCGCTGTATCGACCTCGGCCATCCCACTCGACTATGACAAACTAGCATCCTCCTCTTCGGCAAAAAATCAACAGATCTGGCTGGTGCGACTACCCCGTGGCGTAGGTCCTTTCAGCCTCTTCTTTCCGGAAGGGTCAAGTTCTTCAGCTAAGCAGACCTCACGCGCTCCAGCTGAAACCGTCTGCATTAGATGGACAAACGCTGCAACTCCCATCCGGAAGCGATGCGACATCCGACGATTTTGTCTCGGACGAGCCTCTGGCACGTTTCACCAAGCACTCGGTGCCGTACTCGGTTCACCAAGTCCCATCGTCTTCGTCGGCACCTTCTTCGGTCGGAAGTGAGATGCACCACTTTGTTCCGATTGTGCCCAGGGGCTCCAAGAACGGGAAACTATACCAGGGTGAGCTTCTCTTCCGAGCGTCACACTCGAATCATTCCGCTGACGAATCCTTCACCGTGCGCAGCTCCTCTCCCCGTCTCTCGACAGCTCTACATCACTCGCTCGACCGAACCCACGCACCTCCCCTCCCTCACCCACCCTCACTCCGAAGCAAGCTCACAAGCCTCGTCCCTCATCGCGTCGCAACCCTCCCCCGTCCCCGGTGCACTGCTCACCTCGTCCCAATTGCTCCAACCTCCGACCTCGGACGAGATTCAACGGCTCCTCAGTCGGAAACAACGCATCGAACCCGAAGGGATCGAATTGAAGTACCGTCCCATCCTCAGTGGGACAAGAGGGATCGTAGGTGGGAAAGGAACGTACCATTCGGCTGGGGTGCATCTGAAGAAGCACTTGGTGCATGAAGACGTCGAGATGCAAAACGACGAGGAAGAAGCGGGGCAAGGTCACTTGGAAGCTCATTTGCAGACGGCGACAACTCGATTCGACAAGGACGAAGGTGTCGAGGTCAAGGAAGGGGGGATGCCTGATGTCGTCGATCAAGGTCAGATCGAGAGCAAGAAGAAGAGGAAAGGGGGTGATGACGATAGAAAGAAGAGCAAGAAGAAGAAGGCCTCGTCGGGCTGAACTTCTCACTATAGCTTCCCGGTGGGGGATGCAATGGATGGATTGTAGAGTAAATCGGATTGACGATGCGAGACATCAACAAGGTCAGGGGTCTTTCTTAGGTCCCCGGGGAGTCGACCCGGCCCAGGTGAGATTAAGTTCATACATAGATGTGGGATAATGGCGAACGCCCGAAGCGAAAGACGAGAAAGGAAAAGAGGAAAATGGCTAACGAAGAACCCTGAGGGAGGGGGATGGATGAATGTAGTTGACAACAGGTGATGAAGCAGAGACAAGAGAAAGTCGAAGGATTGAAGCTAAACCGCGCCGAGAGGAAAGATAATAGGCACACGACGGACGAAAATCGACAAGGCCTTCACTGCGGTTTTCCATTCGGATATTTGGCTTGATAGTCTTTTTCGCGTCGGAACAAGAGCTGTACACAACGATGGCGATCAGGATCGAACTTCAGACGGTCAGGACTCGACTGGCAAAAACGACTCGGTTCTAGAACTTACGATGTGCGGTTCCGGTGCGTGGCATTCGAAGTGCGACCATCCCAGTGATTGTTGAATGCCTATTTGTTTCATCCCGTATCGAAGGAAATCAGTTGCAAACCCCACAGGAAGAGGCAGCGAGCCTGGCGTACCGATGCCTCGCCACTCCGAATCGGTCAGCAGTCGCAATACTTGGCCATCAGGTTGAAAGTACTGGCAACAGAAGTCAGCTTGCGTGTCAGCTCCGAGAACAAAAAGATTGCTTGAAGGCGGGCATAACTCACACTTGCAGGGACTAGTGAGGTCGTAGCCGGTGCGCGGTAGCCGAGTGAGAACGCAGAAGTCGTCGGAAGTCGTCGGAAGGTCAGTACATGACCCACTTCGCAGTGAAACATGGCTGCCACGCATGACCCATGACAACTGACTGAGTTTGAGTAGTCCCTGCATCGTCAAGATGGTTCAAGTCAGTGCCAATTCGAACGCAGTGGAGGAATGCCCCGAGTTCCCCGACTGTCGAGTGGTGCAAAGCGACTGACCTTGGGCAGAATCACGTGCCGGTACTCATATGTATCGTCCGAATATCGATCCGAGTAGTGCTGTATGCGTTACCGTGTCGCCATGATGTTTGAAAAGAGGGGCCGATGATGCAGCAACGCAAGGTAAGGCAAGGCGAAGAGAACAGGAACCGATTCAGGTCAGTCTGGCACGCTGAGGTGTTACAGCCACCCATATCAGTTGACCGCTCCAGATATCAAACGTACGATTCGGTCAACGTAGTCCTCGTCTAGAATTGCGATCGGTCATACGTGGCAACAGGGCATGCGCACGGCGTCGGATCGGTGTAGGGATCAGTCGCAATGGCGCACGCGACGGGGGTTGGAATGGCGACGCGATTCGGCGATTCGACGCGACGACGCGTTCGGGTGCGAAGCCCAAGTCGGACCGAGCGAGTGCAGGAAGAGCGGTAGCGAGACAGGGTCAGCAAGCAAGGACATCACAGCGCCATTCACCCACGCAGAACTCACATGTTGCTCCTTCACCGGCAGGCATCTTTGGTCGCTGGTCTCTGGTGTAGTGCGAGGTAGGCGGGCGGCGGGGGACGCAGGCGAACCTGGGTGCACAGTGGAACCGCCTTGACGTCGCCGCCGCAGGCTCCCGCAGTCTCCCGCAGTCCTCCGCAGTCACGCGCTCACGCCCAAAATCGCGTTCAGTCGCAAGGTCAATCTCCCGCGCGGCGCATCGCGCGGCGGAGGGGTGAGGTCGGTAAAGTCGTCCGCGAGGGAGGAGTACAATGCAGCCAAATTCGTCAGTTTACGGCTGATCCATCTTTTGTCAACTCAAGTCGGGTGAGAACGAATTTCAGTAGGAAAAAAAACTAGCATCGCCGGTGGAAGGGGTCAAAAGGCGGACAGGTAAGTTCCAGCAAGACAAGGCGCTGCTGCGCATTTGCCCACCCCGCCCGTGCGATCCACCTGGAAGTGTACATCCGAGTATTCCAAAGCAACTCAGAATAAATCTGTTTTTAAATCCCGAACTAAGAATTTCACGAAGACACAGCCTCTCTCCCCCGTCTTCCCTCAGTAACATCCGAGGCCATTCCCGTTCCAGCTTGCTCAAACAGCCAATCCCTTAGTCAAGAAGGCACACTGCCTGACCACAACGTGCGAGTCCTTCAGGGTCGAGTCCAACCAGGCGATCGCCTGAGGCGAGTACAAAGCCTGGGTTTGGGCGTGCGTTCTTCCACCGTTGCGGGTCGTGAACTCGATCCTAGCACCTTCGTCGCACCACGTCTGTGCCGTCTTGAGGGCGGGCCCGTACGGGACCGTCTCGTCGGTACTCGTGTGGAACTGTGGTACTCGGGATCCCGTCGTGTGCAGGTTGTGGTACTCCCATCTCATTTCCGACAACAGGAGCCTCATTTCCGACTTTGCTGCACACGACGGGATCCCGAGTACCACAGAACATGTAGAGCTGAGGGCGCGTCGGAGTCTCCTTGGGGTTCGTGGCGAGATTGCCCATGTTCATGTACTTGGCGACGATGGGATCCTTCAAGAGGTTGGGCCCGAGGCTCGTGAAGTTGGTGGTGAGCAGTGAAACGCCGGCGAACGATCCAAAGTCGGCGGTCGCGCATTGAGATTGGGCCTTGGCGATCGCGGCTTTGCCCTGAGCGGTCGCAATCTGGTTGAAACGAGTATGTGGGTGGACCTGTCGCGGGCCCGGGTCACGGGTACCACATAAGCGATCACATTTGACTCTGTCGCTGTTGCTTCGGGCTGCTTGATCATCACATCGTTCTCTGCACGTTCTGGAAACGTGATTGGCCTACAGGCCTGAAGCTGCAGGCAGTTCAAATGAAAGTGATGCTATTTTGGGTTTGGCCGCGTGAGCGCGCGGAGCCCATCCATGGCGCTGATCAATGATCCAGCGCTTTTGTGACGCTGAGACAGTGGGCCTCGCTTCCGGCGACGGGCCCGAGGCCGAGTGCTGCGGGCCAGGGGCCGCCGGTCACGAGGCAGCAAACAGCATCGAGGGTGTACTCTTTGGCCTAGAGCGTCTAATGGTACCTATACTACCCTGATGCTAACTACACGGAAACGTAAGTGATCGATACGTTGGTAGTTTTGGCCCCAGCCCGCGCCTTCCATCTCGTCGGTTCGCACCTGCAGACTTTTGCGGCATTTATTAGAGCGTGCCCCGCTGGGGCAAGGCTTTGACGGGCGCCAGTTGACGGTTCAATACATAACCCTGCATTTCACTCGACAACACTTTCCCGCTCCCCCGACCTACCGATATCTGGTCTACTCTACGCAAGACACCGCTGCTTCGACAACTTCTGCGCATGTCTCCTGCCCGATCCCTCCCTCCACTCCTCGCACCAGTAGGTAGCTGTACTCGCACTGTTGTGGTTCTCGGTACATCAAGCCCTCAAGATTTCATTCCCTCACCTCCAGCTGTTGCGACGGTTGATGCCAGGTCTGCGTCTTCCTGCTTGATTCGACGGCCTCTTCGCTAAAAATTCGCTTCGAGATCGCGACTGACCGAGCTCGGAATAGATGGATGCCATGATTCGGGTACTCACGAGCTCCGAACATGCTTTTCGAAATGTTCTAAATCTGTATAACACATCCTGCGTTTTGACGAAGCAAAAACCTGTCTACAATGCTCCGACTCTGCGGGTAATTGAGATCGATCGCAGTATGCCTAGACGGAGCGACGCCACTGGGACGGCACACAGAGCGAATGGCGCCAGGTGTGCGCTTCCTATAAGACTATGGGTATACTTTGTAACATCCGTGTGATGTGACAGAAAACCTCCCATTGTATCGGCAATCGAAGGCGTTGACCAGCTAAGCATCGGAGAAGCGACGCGAGCGCGGAACATAGACTTCCGATAGGAGAGAGGTAACGACGCCGAGAAGTCAGGACCACAATGTAGAGCGAGTGATGAGAAAGCTACCACTGCAGAGTAAACAGCCACGCGGCTAAAAACGCCCACGCGCTTCCTTACTCAAACAGATCAAAAGTACCAAAGTGACTAATTACTAAACGCAACGCGCCCGCGCAGATACCACAGGCACAGACACATATTAAATGACACTCAGATTCAATAAGGCACCGCCACGACTTGAGCCCCTTTCGAATTGGGCTTCGCCCAAAGGTCAGCCGGTACAAAGCCGCATTTCGCAAATTCTTGTGTGCCAGCCTTCGCCAATTTCTCGATGCCGTAAAGAAACCCGTAAGTTTCGCACAAGGTTCCCTTCTCGGACACGTTGTCCTGGAATGGAGAGAAAGTGAGCAGTAATGGGTAGTGGGTTAGCTCGACCTTGATTGGCTCGAATTTCACTGGCCTCATCCACTGACCTGGTCGCAGATGTGGGTGAGGTCCATGGCACGACCATTCACCAACAAGCGCATGAAGTGCACCGGCGTAGAAGTGATCTTGGACTTTAAGTCTCGCCAGAATCCGTTACCAGTGCATGTCAGGCGCTCGACCACCATTTGACCGGCGAAAGGGACTATTTGGATCGCATTGGGCATGGCGCGGTCGTGCTCAGAGGAAGAGTCCTAGCAGCGTCATAACGGCAAGCAGCTGATCGTCGGAGGTGAAGTCGATGTAGACGGACCGGTCCAACGGGAACTTGGATGGATCGGCATCCGCAGTATTGTTGACTTGTGTTTGGTCTCGTTGAGCGTAGAACGCTAGCAATCCTGAAAGCCTCGTAAGGAGCTCGTTCGCATACCCAACGCCTTGGGATCGAGCCAAAGGTGCACCATACGCGTGATTGTAGTACTTGCCAAGATCTCCGTCATACTCGACGTATGACCACTCGGTGTCAAGGAAGAGCCCGCAGAATGGTGAAAGCTCGGTAGTCACGAGTGATTCAAGCGCACACATGTATGCGAAGTTGACAATGTCCTGTCGTTATCCAGTCATCTTCATAGTAGCTTTGGTCAGTACAGAAGTCTTAAGCGTCTTTACCATCTTAGACTCACAGTGCTATTCAAGCCATAGTTCGTGCCACCCTGGAGCCTCTGAAGCACGGCCGGGGTCCACACGTCCCTCCATTGCTGCTGCGCAATCGGGACCGAGCTGGCCAGGTTCGGGCAATTCGCCGCGAGAGTGTTGTTGTCATGAGCGCCTTCCGCAATAATCCGGGGTGACGGCGATGAGGTACCCGTTCCTTGCATGAAACCAGTACTCCAGGCTTTTGCCGAGTCGACCTGTGAGGGCGAGCTCTGTTGGAATTTTGGAGGACAGCGTCAACCCAAAGCGCTGAGTCATAGATACGAGTCATAGGTAGCCGCAAGATTTTGACGAACGGTGGATGCAACCCAGACATTAGTACAGTCCTTCTCGGAAATGGATCCCGTACCACAATATGTTTTTCGGAACTGGACGCCTAAATCCTTCAATCTGAGCGCGATTCAAGCCGGTATGAGTCAGGCTAACATTTACGAAGCAGCGCTGCAGCGGTCCGAGGTAGTCGCGTGCCTGCCCAGCCTGAGGCTCTGGCACTGCAGCTGAGAGACTCACTGAGTTGTGCCGTGAGCGAGCAACGCACCACTCGCGCCCAATTTATAGGTGTAGTTGCTAAGAAATTTCATTTCTGACCGAGAGTATTCGGATTTGCCGACAATCTTGGCAAGCGTGTCTTGTATTGAAGTAGCTAGCTCGGCGCCTGGGCCACTCGCTCCGTTGCGTTGCAGCGCAATCACCTTTCATAACAGGAGAGTGATCACGGTCTTGGTCAGCAGGAAGCTCCATAGTCTACGCAGCATGTGAAAATAGGTCCAAAAACCGACCTGGTTGACTTTGCATCGTGAGGGAGGAGACGGGTATTCGCCCTCTGGTCTGTATAATGAGCTGTGATGGCAATGGCCAGTCCATGGCAAATTCAGTTATTGGTACATCAAATCTCCACACCAACGCCAGGAAGAAAAACCTCCGGTGTGAGCCTTACAATTGCGCCGAGTTTTGTGTGAAAGGCTGTGTCGCGGCGTGCGCATCGCTGAACAGAAGGCCGGCGATTGACGCCAATGTGACGAGCCTCAAGCTGGTCTCAACAAGTCTGCTTGAAGCCGTCGAGGTCATTGATTGGCGACCTCCACATAACGGTGTGCTGATCAGCATGAACGCTATTTATGAATGTCGTAGTGGACCGCAAGAAGCAAAGGGTAAGGAGAAGAGAGCGTAGCTAAGGTGCACACCCACACCTCACAAACCGAGTCGCGACCGCCGAACGCCTTCGGACTTCTGACCAAATTCGAAAAGGCAGTGCCGACGCCACTGTATGGGCGCCCGCGACCCCGTCCCGATTCGGCAGTCTTCCTTCCAAAAAGGGGGTGGGGCCTCGGAGGCCGTCGCGGCGCCACCATCGAACGCGCCTCCGCAAGCATGACCCTTCGGAACGCGCCGCTCAGACGAGAGCTAGAATCTGCTGTATCACGAGGTCAGTATAGGGACTCTATGATCATAACTATCGAATATCTCAGGACTTACAAAAGCTGCGTATTCTAGTCGGCAATTCTCGGACGATCGAGGTTGTGGTCGCACTGCCAACCATGCTGTGGACTTGGGCTGGCCTTGTCAAGACTGGCATTATTCGTTACAAAAGTTCTTCAGAAGAGCGGATGATGGCTCAAAACCTGGTTCTGCACTTCTTCTCGGGGAAGAAATATGCAAGAGCCCACCAGGGAGGCCCATGCGTTAAATCTTTTCCACAAGAGTACATTACACCGCTCAATACGTGTCTAGATCCAACACCCAATACTCCAAACATCTGATTTATATGGTAAAAAATGGCGTGGCAGTGAGAGTCGTTATAAGGTACGCATTCAAGTGTGATTCCTTCGTCAACAATGAGCAGCTCGCTATGAGCGACGTTTTGCTCTTCAGAGCCTAGTCGAGCCATGTGATCGCTCCTATTCCTTATAGCGCTCGCGTTTCGATACGATCCGTCCCGGCAATTCGAGTGGTGAACATGATCTTAGAGCCGAATGGACGACGGAGCTGAGCGACCTTGAAGCTGTCTTGGATTGGTACGTGTAGTGGGTCTGCGGTCGCGTCGGAGTTCCTCTACGATTCCAGCCCAGGTTGCCCATGGCGAGATATCGCGCTGAAGAAGAAGTTACTCGACGGTTCCTCTTCCGAGATGGAGAAGTTCCACTAATCATTAGGATGGCTGAGCTCATTGGAAATATTAAGTGTCAGAGCGAAGAAAGAGGAAGCTCAAGATAGCGGAATGACCTAGACGCACCGTCGACCGGCGAAGTCAACGCGAGTCGACGTGGAGCAATCGAAGTGCTTCGCGGCCTCCATGTTGGGCTCCACATTTCCGGAATGCCACAGGGGCCAGAGCCCTGTAGGGTGCCCATCATGAAAGTCGGTGTATGACTTTCCGTCGGCGCAATAATACGCGCATAAGTTCATATTATTCTGCTTACAACGTCGACTACTCCTTCGCCTCTCGTCGAGGGGATGTGCTGACAGGAGTCGCCCCCGCACGCTGGCCTATTCAAATCCACCCGGCGACTTCTCAGGCTCGAGACTAAAGTATTTTCAGAACTAGATTATTTGTGCCTGATTATGTACGTAGCCCATTTGATATGAAGTAGAAACACGTTCACCGGCAAAGGTCGGTCTATCCACCTCCGGCCGATCTTTGTGCCTCCGAACGGAGCCACAGAGAATCAAAGTCGCTCTGCACCCGATCTGCATCAGGCCGATCAGACAACGTTACCGACAGCCGCCTGTCAAATCTCTTTGCGAGGATATCCGCAATGATCGCGCCGATCGTCTTCTGCCTTTCGCGTTGCAGACTAAGCAGCTCGTCACCCTTCCAGAAGGTCCTGAGGTCGAGCACCCGCAGCGTGGAAGGGAGATGATACAGCACGGGCACCATATCCACGGGATTCAGCACAATCCTAAGGCGGGTGACCGGTATGCGTCGGAGCAAGGGAGTGTCGCCGTCGTCTTGGTTAGGAAGGAAAAGCCCGCTGGGGAAGCAGAGCGTGTGCACCTGGGCAACCGATAACCCGTCCATGTCCAGTGACTCCAGTCTAGGGCAATCGTCTGCGAGGATGGCCAGCAGCTGGGCGAACCGCGTCTCGTTAAGATCCCTTAGGTACGCGAGCTCCAGATGTTGGATCGTCGAGCAACACATGCTGAGCCCGGTAGCGACGTGAGTCGAAGGCTGTGGTAGACCGATGTTGCGCAAGGCTAGGTGTGTGATCGAGGCAAACGTCTGAGCCCAAGATACAGGTGCAGGGAGCGAATTAGCCTTGAACGAAGTTGCCGAGATGACCAAGTTTTGGAGTACTGGAGCAAGCCAGGAAGGGAACAGACGACGTGTGAGCGACGGGAGTACCGTCGTGAGGCTCTCGGTGCTGATTGAGATCCGGACTGACCACCTGAGCCCATAATATGTTTTGGTCGCAAGTCATCGATCCTATGCAGCACCAGCTTTCGCAAGTTGGGTACTAGAGAGAGTAAGCGGGCGATGGCGGGGCCCCAGTGCTTCTCGTTCGTTCGGAGACACACGATGTAGAGCGAGTGGATTGACAATGACCAGTCCACGACGTCGTCACGTTGATCTTGATTGGGCCACAGGTTATTGGCGCCATGCTCAAAGTTGGTGAGGAATTGGTGGTTTCGATAGACCTTCGTACGAGATCGTTCCGAGAGTAGGGTGGTCAACTCGGCCAAGCTCTGCAACGAGGTGACGCATGGCGCGGTGCCATAGAGTGCCGCGAGTGCGGGCCAGGTGAAGGACGAGTGCGATGCAGCGGCTTGGACGAGGTTGGCTTGGACTCGACGCGTCGTCGGCGCACGTAAAGACAAGGACGGCTGGGATGGACCTGGCCCAAGCTTGACAATTGGTCGGTCGGCTGGCACGACGAGCAGCTCGAAGATGCTGAGGAGCACCTCGGGCGGCAAACGTTCCATTCGAGCCGCGAAGCCCTAAGGCCTGGGTCCCATGCTCTGGCTTCCAGGAGGCCGGAGACCCCTGAGGAGTTTTTGCTGGTCAGGGGTCTGGGAGTCTGGAGTGAAGCTAGTGAACGTTGAGACGGTCGTACCGGAGAGCGCCTAGCCGAACGCCGGAAGGTGATCGGTGATCGAGAGCGACTGTCGCAGCCTGTCGCTCGCTCCTTTTGTCTGGCGCGGCTGATCCTGGCTCAACAGAACGGCCGAGCGCGGCCGAGCGCTTCCCTTTCTCCTTTCGAGTTCGCGCTTGTTCCCGATCAACATCACTCGCACGCTGCTTCTCGTGTGGCCCGCGTTGCTCGTCTGTGTGTACTCTTACGCGAATGCTGTCGACTGCAGTAGCTGCCAGAAGACCGCTCTCAGCTCTTGCTTCGTCCCGTTCGCCCTCCTCGCTCGGTCGCCCCTTTGCTGCCCTCGCTTCGTCATCGCGGTCAAGCTCGTCTGGCACCTCCACCTCGAATCGCGCAGTGACTCGCACAGGAACTGGCTCGGACACCCGCTCAGCGTCACTGCTCTCCTATCCCAATTTTTGGTCGCACAAGCCCTTCCTGTTCTCGCGTTCTGCTCCTTGCTCGGTCGCACGTCGACCTGGATCGTGTCCTCTTCTCTTGGTTCGCAACATGGCCACCCAGCTCAACGGCACGACCACCAATGGACTCAGCAATGGCCATGGTACATCCACCTCTCGGTCCCGTCAGCCCAATGCGCCTTCGCCCTTCATCATCACCGACGGCAACCCGCTCGACCACCTCCTCGATGGCTACAAGGTCCGCAACGACCTCGACATTCCTTATGCCGTCTTTGAGCACGAGATCGAGAACAGTCCGAACGACGATCGTCAGCATCGGTCAGTGCTCATCAGCTCGCTCTGTCCGCTGACCGAACGAATCACTGACCTACCTGCCCTCGTTCTCCACTCTTCCAGCCTCGTGATGCTGAAGAATGGCATGGAAGTGTTGCTCATCTCGGACCCCAAGGCGGACAAGGCCGCAGCCGCGATGGACGTCAAGGTTGGCCATCTATCCGATCCCGAGGACCTCCAAGGCCTGGCCCATTTTTGCGAGCATCTCATGTTCATGGGAACCGAAAAAGTGCGGTTTCATTGTCGGCACAATACGTACCGCGCCTTTGCTAACCCGCCTATTTGTCCTTGCGAACAGTACCCGAAGGAAAACGATTACACCGAGTTCCTGACCCAGCACTCGGGCTCATCCAACGCCTTCACTGGGCTCGACCAGACATGCTATTACTTTGATGTCGAACCCGCCTCTCTGTTTCCCGCCCTGGACCGGTTCGCGCAATTCTTCATTGCTCCGCTCTTTGATCCATCCTGCACGGCGAGGGAGGCCAATGCCGTTCACTCGGAAAACTCCAAAAACTTGCAGTCCGACATGTGGAGGTTCTTCCAGCTCGACAAGAGCACCAGCTCAAAATCACATGCTTACTGGCGCTTTGGGACGGGTAACAAGGACAGTCTCGGCTTTGAACCGCCGAGGGAAGGGCTCGATGTGAGGGAGCGGTTGCTCGACTGGCAGGCCAAGCATTACAGTGCCAACATTTGCAAACTCGTCGTTCTCGCCAAAGGTTGGTACTCCTTCCTGTGTCATGATCGTCAACATCTGCTGACTTCCCCTTACCCACGCTGTCCGAAGACCCCTTGGACGTCTTAACTCGCCAAGTCGTCGAAACGTTCTCTCCCGCACCGAACCGCCACCTCTCCGCGCCCGAGTTTCCCGGTTCACCGTACTCTGCCGACGAGGTACAGCGGATTCTCTACGTCAAATCGGTCAAGGATACCCGCCACCTCGAACTGAGCTTCCCCTTCCCCGACGAATCGGCATACTACGCCACCAAACCTGGCAGTTTCTTATCACATCTGATCGGACACGAAGGCGAAGGCTCGATCCTCAGTCTGTTGAAGAAGAAGGGGTGGGCCAACTCCATGTCGGCTGGCGCGGGCAATGGTGCCCGTGGTTTCGAGTTCTTCAAGATCAACGTCGACCTCACTGTCGAAGGACTCCAGCACCACGAAGACGTGTCCGCTATCATCTTCGCCTACTTCGACCTTTTGAGGTCCCACCCGCCTTCCGAATGGGCATTCGATGAAGTAGCGCAGTTGTCGAAACTCGCTTTCCGCTTCAAGGAGAAGGGATCGCCAACGAACACCGCGATGGGTTTGGCCCTGTCCATGTCCAAGCCCTTCCCACGAGAAAAGCTCTTGTCGGCCCCTTGGCTGAGCACCGAATGGAACCCCGAGATTGTCGTCGACTTGATTGGCAAGCTCAAGCCGGAGAACTGCAGGATTCTCGTTGCTGCGAATGAGCCGATCGGGGATCGGGTCTATGATCAAAAGGAAAGGTGGTACGGCACAGAGTACACGATCGAGCCCATGTCGGACAAGTTGCTCAAGGTGAGCGAAACCTATGTACACGGTGCACTCCAAGCTCTGCTGACCAACTCGGATCCTTTTTCCAGCACGCTTCGGCCGAATCTCACCCGGAGTTGCATATGCCCAAACCCAATGCGTTTGTTCCGAAAGATATCGAAATTAAGAACAAGACTGAAGTGGAAAAGGTACGCTCTCTCCAATCCTCAGGCACCATTGACTGTGACTGACCTTCGCCTGACCCTTCTGCAGCCGGCCAAACGACCTCTCAGCCTGCGCAATACGCCGATCGCTCGCTTGTGGTACAAGAAGGACGATCGGTGGTGGGTCCCTCGAGCAGGCGTGTTTGTCCTTATCCGATCCCCGATTGTCGACGACACTCCCCTGCACTCGGTCCAATCCCGACTCGTCACCGAGCTCGTTCGTGATGCTCTCGCGGAGTACTCGTACGACGCCGAATTGGCCGGCCTGAGCTACACTTTCGAAATCCAGGGTGGTGGAATCATCGTCACCTTCGATGGCTACAACGACAAACTTCCGTTATTGGCGCAAGTCGTCATTGACAAGTTAATGAACTTTACGATCGATCCCGAGCGATATGAGCTGATCGTGGATCAGGTGAGCGAGAACAGCTAATCATCGTTGCGTAACTCTTAGCTGACTCTTTTGGTTCCCGATCCATTCAGCTCCGACGCGCCTATACCAACAACCGACTCGACCAACCTTACAACCATGCCATCTTCACAGCGGGTTACCTGACGACCGAGACGATGTGGACGCGTGAAGAGCAACTCGAAGAGCTGGCCAACATCACCGTTGAGAACCTCACCGAGTACAAGACCAACATCTTCAAACGAGGTCACATCGAGATGCTTGTACACGGCAACATGCTGAAGGACGAAGCCATTTCGATGTGCAAGATGGTCGAGACGACCGTCAATCCCCAGCCACTCACCCTGGAGGAGCTTCGATCCCGACGAGCCCTCATCCCTCATCGTGGTGACACTTTGACACGCTCCCCTGTTTACAACCCGTCGAACGATCAATCCGCGATCGAGCAACTGACTTATATCGGTGATATCTACGACGACCTCGAGCGGTGCAAGCTTTCTCTGTTTGCGACGATCGTCTCGGAACCCCTGTTCGACACCTTGCGCACACAACAACAACTGGGCTACATCGTCAGCTCTGGCACACGCCGTTCGATTGGCTTCATAGCGTTCCGCCTCATCGTCCAGTCCGATCGGGACGCGACGTACGTCGAGGAGCGCGTCGATGAGTTCTGGTCCGAATACCTCACCGTCCTCGAGACCATGTCGGACGAAGAGTTTGGCAAATACCGCAGCGCCGTTGTTTCCAAGAAGTTGGAAGACCACAAAAACATGTGGGAGGAGTCGTCCTTCTTTTGGTTGGCGATCCAAGCGGGATGGTACGACTTTGAGCAAAAGGCGAGGGATGCGACGGTCGTCGAAAGCTTGACCAAGGACGATATTATTGATTTCTTCAAGCGCCACTTCTTGGACAAGGAGAACAGGAGGAGGATCTCGGTTCATTTGAACTCGCAGCGGTTGGATACCGATCGCCTGGCGCGCTTGGGCCCGCTGGTGCAACAGATGGGCCTACCCGTTCCGCAGGAGATGCAAAAGCTCGTCGCCTCCCGACCGACGTTGGAGCAGCTCAAGTCCGTCGCTGGAGAGATGCTGAAGCAAGCGGGGCAAGACGAGGCAATGGTCGAGGCCATTTTGGCTCAGGTCGAACAAGTCTTGACGACGAGGACCGCCCCGGACGGTGTCAAAGTCGTCGAGGAGGCCCAACGCACCGAGTTCAAAAATTCGCTCGAGCGTGGTCCTTACGCGACGCCCGTGGCCGAATATTCCGATTTACTCCAAAAGTTCTAGAAAGCGATGCATCTTGTCTTTAACATATGTAGATTTGTGACTATTCCACTTGTGCTTTTATCAATGTGCACCGCTAATCTCATCCGCTCTGTGCAACGACTGCGCCATCTCGCACAAGCTGAACGCTGAGGGAAGCTGGGAACGACTTGATTGCAAACAAACTTGATGCGAACGGGACGAGGTTGAGTACATACACAAACTGTTCAACTCTGGGCTCTGCCTGACTCCAAGCCCCAGCCCGCTTCATCGGCTGTTTCATCCTCGGCAACGGCTTCTGAGGACGTGTTGATTTGTGCATGCGACGCAGGCTCTGAATTGGGCTTGTCATTCCGTATCCATGCCGGTCTTGAGGCCGTGATCGAGGGAGTTGATGTAGCTTCGATTGGAGCGGCAGGAAGAAGACCGCCGCTCTCCTGCGTCGATCCGTCGTCCGTCCCAGGGTCGGGTGCAGATTCTTCCTCGTTCGAGGTTGCTTCGGTCGTATGGGGCCTCGCGGGGATCGGTGGCTTGGGTTTGTCGATGAGCTTCGTCTCCATTTCGGGCGTTGTAACATCCGCCGCGAGTGGTGGCGGTGAGGTGGTCGGTCGTGCTGCTGTGCTGGTTGCTGTCAGCGGCTCGAGTTCAGTGGTGCCTGGCTTCTCGGACCGGTCCGAGATAGATGGCGGTGGCCCAAACGGAACTGCATCACTCGATGTTTCCGATGCGCCAATTACAGCAGCAGTGTTCGGCGATGTGGAAGGCGGCGGCACAACCGCTGCTGCAGCTTCCGGAGCTGGTGCAGGTGCGGCCATGTGATCCGCAGCAATCGCCTTCCTTTTGGCATCGTCTCGGATCCCAGGAATCGCCATCATTGTCGCTGGCTTGTAAACACGAGCTGGTGCGTTCGGGGGAGATGTAGGTGATTTGTGTGTCGTGGTAGGCAGTGGGCGAGGAATCGGTTCTGTTGGGGATCCGGCGGCTAACGTAGCGACAGCAGAGATTTTGGTCGTCGGGGATGAGGCGGCAGGGGTGAAGTGCGTCTTTGAAGGGGAAGAGGTCAATGAATTCTTCTTCGCTCGGCCTCCATCACCGTTCTCGACCGAAATCGAACCGTCTCCCACAATGGCGACAGGTGCTGAACCCGCCGTCGAAACAGGGTGGAAATATTCACCCCCGCGGGCCGCGGTCGACTTACTTGCTCGATAATCTCGGTACGAGCCATCAGCCACCTTGCCCAAAGTCGGATCGCTCGTGGAGGAGGGTAAAGACTGGCCGTCATCTTGTGGAGGCGAGCTGACGTCTTCGTCAATCTTTCGCCGGGCGCTCCAATTTGCTCCCCAGCGCTTCATGGCATCTTTGGCTTGAGCCACTCCAGCGGCAATCGCTTCTTTATCGGACGCCTTCGTGCGCCACGACGAAATGATGGAATTGGCCGTACCAGGCACTGGCGGTACAACATTGCTATCCATTGTTCGTCGAGGCGGAGGGAGTGGGAGTGGAGGCGGTGTCGACGGTTCGGGTCGTGGCTTCGCGAACGAGGGCCGACTGACGGGGGAGCCGTGAATGATGATGGAATCCCGAGACGATGTCGAGGAGACGGAGCGGGTATGTGTGGTCTTGGCAATAGTGCTTGGTTGGGACAAGATGGTGACGGGTGTTGTTTCCTGGGTTATGCCTATAGCCGCCGCTGAAGTGGTCGGCGCTGTTGCGTCACTCGTCGTGCTTTCGGGGAGATCGACGGAGCTCGCGCCAGGTGAGTCCGAAAACTTCCTCTCTGTCAGACTTGAAAGTGACGTTCCCGTCGTTTCCACCGAATCTAACGGTGGAGGACCTTCGCCGGAGGCCGAGTTTGAAGTAGGGGCAGTCAGAGATAGCCCCGAGAGAGCGGGTTTTGGCGCCTTTGCGGGCGGTGAAGGCGCTTCGACCAACACGTCAGGCGATTTGATGGGAGTAGTGCTTGAGGGTAGTCCAACGTCGGCCACAGCTTGCTCGACGATCGTCTTCTCGCGCTCACGGCTACGAGCACGAGCTTGTAGCATTTCGCGCAACCTGGCGGCTGAATCATGACTTGTCGAAGCGACGGAAGGCACCTGCTCCGACGAACCTGACCGTGGCCTCGATGGGAAGTTCATTTTCGAGGTCTTCACGGGTGAGGTTGGAGGGGAAGCCGCGTCGGCCGTGGCAACAGAAGAAGAACGATTGTTCCCAAACCACGTTCTCCGCTTGTCCGAGGCTGTGGTCGTCGATGGACTTGAAGCAGTTGCCTCCTTCGCAGCCGACCTATTCTCGCGCCAAGACGCCAGGCTGAACGATGAGAGACTGGTTGACGATGAGCTGGTCCCATCTTTTTCCAAAGTTCCATCTTTCTCCAAAGCCGACATATCCAGTGGACTCGAGTCGCCCTCGCTTGACCGCCTTCTCCGAGGCCGCATTCGTGTTGTTGATGCTGACTCTTCATCACCCGTCGCAGAAGTGGTCGCGTCGTGGGCGCCCTTCTTCCTGCCGACGGTTGGAACCGTTTCGATCAAGCTCGGATCGGCCTCAGCATTCTCGGATTGTCCAACGACAGGTGCATCAGCCGGGGCTGGCTCGGACAAGTCAGGCTCTTTGCGCAGTGCGTCGCCCCAGATACCTCCTCGAGTGAAAAAAGGCTGCGAGTTGAAGAATGGGATGTCGTCCATATGTGGGACCACGATCGACTCCATGATCTGTTGTATAGTTCAGAAGAATTGGTCAAACTGTGTTCCAGAACAGATTAGCAAAGATGAGCCCACTCACGACCTCTCTCAGCCTCGACTCGATCGGGCTCGTAATCATGCTCCACTTAATCTGACGCGTCGAAACGACGGGTTCGACACTCAACTTCATCTTCGGCATAGAAGTAAATCCGAACCAAAGTCGGTTACTCGGCGGTCGCTTGATCTTGAACAGCATTGTTCCTTCCAACTCTTTGAGGACGACGGCGAGGACGAGTTGCACGGAATACGGCTTGAACCTCGAGCCCAGGTTGATCGTCGCGACGGTCTCGATTGTGATGCGGAGATCGCCGACGTACGAGAGATGCACCTCCATGCTCGCGTCGCCTTCGGCTGTCAGCTCCTTGAGCATCGGCTTTGAGAATAATGGCGCGGCGGATCCGACGTTAACCTCTCGGACTTTGATTTCGGACAGCATCGAAGGGGTTTTAACTCGCTTCAGCTTTCGCACGATACGTGAGACGATGTACTCCTCCAATGAGGACGTGCGATAGACGGCCAAGAAGATTCGGCCGAGCAGCGCATTGAACCACCGCATCGGGATAGAGTCTGGTTGCTGGTCGATACCTTCCACCAGGCGAGCCATGTCATCGGGATCAAACAAAGATTGATCCTTGGCTAGCGCTGCAGCAGATGCCGTCCCTCTGCCCATCTTGCTGGCTTGTTCGAGCGAGTGTAACCAGTCCTCCTTATCCGAGTTGACCTGCGCAAAGAGAAACCACGGAAGCGGCGCCGAGGGCTCCAGATCATGGGTCTTGTCTTCAGCGCCCTCGTAGCACTGCGCAAGAAGATTGTCGTCGTCTTGGATCGGCTTGAGGCAGATGGCATTCCTCTTGACAAAGAGCTCGCCGTCCAAGCCGGTGCCGTCGGGGTAGATGACGAGTTTATGCGCCGACACCTCAATCGCGGCCCAGCAATCGAGCTGTTGCTCGTTCTCAAACAAGAAGAGGATGTTTTGCTTCAGGACGGCGTAGAATCGCTCCTTGGGTTTGGTGCGGCGAGGATCTCTCGATCGATTGTCCATGAAGGACCGATACCCGCTCGCGAGCATGCCGACATACGTGCCGTCATTACTGCCGAGCCACGGTTCGTAGGTTCGACGAACGATGAGCCACCCCGCGCGGTAAAGTGTGACGGGTTCGGTCTCTTCCTCCGATGTTACCTGGACGGCTGGGATACCCGTCTTGGTGGACGAAGTGACGGGTACGAGCTGGGAAGTGTAGAAGAGGAAGCCGAGCAGGGCGGCGAGCAGGATCGGTACAAAGGTGAGACCTCCTAGGATGAAGGCAAACCCGACGACCAAAAAACTGAGCATCTGTGCATCATGTCGTGTGAACGTGTCAGTGCTCTGATCATCAAGACTGCTCCAAGTGAGCCGGCCTCCTCGGCATGTGGAGCGCCAGGAGCAGCGCTGAAGCGAGTAACTGGACCGACTCCGGGCTAGTTTGCAGCTCATTGCAGCTCATCCGCACGTCCAAATGACCCAGAAATTGCATGCTATACTTGAACATCTGCAGCCAGGTTGTACCCCATGGGTGGTGCACCAGAGCACACGGTCGTACGAGTCACCCTGGCGCTCCCCCACCTCTTCGCGAGCAAGTCACACTTCCATCGATGATGGACAGCGACAGAACTCACTTTATCGTTCGTCCCGTCGCGGGTCTATCCTGGGGTAAAGGTACAACGGCGAAGGCGCGAGCCGGAATAACGACACGTGCTCAGCAACACGACGGGCGAGACTCGGGGATGACGTGGATCGTGGTGCCGCCCATGCAACGCTCAAATGCAAGTGTCGAGAGAGGCGACGGACCGAGGGGTGAGTCCACTTTGGACGCTCCCACACGTTGCGAAGGGGTGAAGAGGGAGGCAGCGGTGAGAGGAGGCGAGAGGAGAGGAGGCGAACAGGCGCCCGATGACGACGGCAAGGAGCTCCTCGCTAGTAGTCGCTCTTTGTTAATGTTTAAATCCATATATTCCAGCTAGTCTTGTTTAAAGACAGAATCTAGTCGCTAGTCCCCGCTCGGCGCTGCGCTCCTCTCTCTCATCCGGAAGCGCTTACTTAGGCGTGATCTGGTTTCGGGAATAGAATTACAGACGCCACATCCGGGCGAATCAAAAAATGGGCAGAAAAATGGGAGCAACTCGAAGAAAGAAAGCTCCAACAACACGCACACGCATACACACGAGCAACAACGCCCACCGTTCACTCGGCGGCCTTCTTGTCCTTCTTCTTCTTCTTCTTCTCCTTCGCCTCACCTTCACCCTCGGTCATGACCATCGACTCGTCGCCCGCACCCGAAGCAGCCAACTTGGCCTTCTTGGCCGCCTTCTTCTCCTCTTTCCGCTTCTTGCGCTCCTCCTCCGTCTCCTCCACCGCGACCGCCGCTTCCGACTCGGGCTCGGCTTCGGCCTTGCGCTGCAAAAAGTGGAGGGAATACGAAATATATCAATTTTCATCATTCCCATTCACCGTCAGTTAGCCACGCCACAAGAGTAGCTCACCTTCTTATCCTTTTTGGCCTTCTTCTCGGCCTTGACATCCTCGACCACACTCTCGACGGCGGTAGCGCTCGTCGAGGCCGTGGGAGGCGGCACGATCTCGGTCGCGACCGGTTGAGTAGGGATCGTCGTCGGCGCTGCGGCCGAAGAAGCGTCCAACCCTTCGCCTTGCTTGGAGTAGTCGACGTACTCGGACTTCCACCCAGCAGGGGTCTTCTCGTTCACTCGCCCGTGCTTGTCCAGCTTGCCGTCCTTGACCATCTTCTTCTTCTCCTGCGCCTTGGGGCCCAGTCCCCACTTGCGAGGGTATGTGTCGCGGTCCATAATGCATCGCTTGACCTTGGCGACGACGCCGTGGTCGCAAGTCGAAAGCTCGACGGTCGTCATTTGCGCAATGCCGATCGCAATCGCCTCGCCCTTGGTCGTCATCAACACGACCTCCTCGTTGAGCTCGATGTCAGATTCTGAAAATGAAAGTCCGAAGCGTTAGGTCTGGTTCGACGCCATCCGCGATGAGAGAGACTGACCGTATCGGAGAAGACCAGGGATCATGAGTTTGGCACCGTAGCAGACGGCGTTGACGGCGCTGTCCTTGACGACGATACGCTTGTACCCGACAAGCAGACTCTCCAGGGGTCGAACAACTCGTCGCAGGTACGATTCTGTCCCGAGAAGAGAGGCTAGGTGAGTATGGCTACCTCTGCGCAGATAGTGGGGCAAAGCTAGTTGAACTGACCATCGCGTGTGTTGTCGTACAGCCATTGCGCATCGAGCACATCGTGCATCGTGACAATGTCGTCACCCTCTCCCATCGCTCCTGATCTTACTCGTCGGAGCTCCTGCATGTGGCCACCGCATCCGAGCAGAAGACCCAAGTGCACGCACAAGGTACGAATGTAGGTTCCGGCCTCGCAGGAAACCCAGAAGACACCCAGGTGACGGTCGTTGTCGAACTCGATCAGCTTGGCCTGGTAGATGGTGCGCACTCGCAATTGACGCTTGACGGCCGAGATCAAGGGGGGTCGCTGGAAGAGCGCACCGGTGAGGGTCTCGAGTGCGCGGGCGAGGGCCTTCTCGCCATCGATACCTGCGTGGAGACGAACGACGCAAACGTACTCCTTCCCTGCGCCCTGTTGCGATTTGACGAGACGGGTAGCCCGGTCGATGCAGACCGTCAAGCAGCCAGTGACCTTGGGGTCAAGCGTACCCGAGTGACCGGTTTTCTCGACGCGGAGGATGCGGCGGATCCATGCGACGACTTCGTGCGAGGACGGGTTCGAGGGCTTGTCGAGGTTGATGACACCGGTTTTGATGTATGAGACGAGGTCCCGCTTCAAGGGTGAGCTTCCGGCAGGGATGGGAGTAAAATGAGCGCCTGCAATGGAGGTCGAGTGGGTGTGCAGATTTGTGCATGAGCAAGGCACATCATGAGCCAGCAGTGACCAGAAAATTACTGACTCCGAACCAAGAGTTTGTCATAGTTCTTGAGGAGCAGGGGCCAGTCCTTGGTGTTGAGCGTCGGGGTGACGCTCTCCGGCTTGATCGCAAAGCTGAGGACGATGAGCCGACGATGCAGCGTCAGCAACAAAGTACTACAGCCACAATGACTGTGGTCGTCCCAGGCCTCAGTAGCATGTACTACTTACTCGGAAGTCAGCTGAGTATTGGCGATGGAGGAAGACATGGCTGCGGAGGTACGGCCGGACTGCTCGTTTGCGGGCTGGCGGGCTGGCGGGCTGGGCTGGGCTGGGGCGCTGCGAAGGGCTTTCGAGAACGGGGAGGGGAGGGGCAAACGACTCGGGATGAGATCAAGTGACCGTGGGTAATCTACCCTCTTGCGACAAAATCAAGAGAGGGCTTTGGGGGGTGTAGGGAAGAGACGGGGTGGGGGAAACGAGTCGACTTGTGCTACACAAGCGGTTCGAGTCTTTGTCGCAGCTTGGGGGCGGCGACTACGAGCAAAAGACACGGTGCCGCAAGGGTTCTCACTCGCGCAAACGACTCCCTGCTAATGCCACTTAGCATTTGGCCATTACTAATTCCCAGAGTGAAAAAAGAGCCAATGCAGTACTGGTATACACAACACGGCATTCGCTACATACATTCAAGTCCAATCCAGAAGAGAATATGACACAACAACAGACCTCCATCATATAACCAAGAGGCTTCCATGCTCCCGCCTGACCGCAACTTGAACTCGCGCGACCACATCCCGAAACCTCTGCCACCACACCTTGCCCTTCTCACCCCCGCCTGCGGACAGGACCGTCTTCTCGAGCCCGTACTGCTCTTCCAAGATGATCGACCACCACTTGAGCACATCGACCGCCTTCTTCACGTCGTGCCCCTTCTCCCTCTCGCAACACTTCTCCAAGAACTTGGCCACGCGCTCGACGTCGCCAGAGTCGGGTAATTCAGGCGAGGCGCACCACGCCTCGATCTTTCGAAACACCTCGTCCGTCGAGCTCTGTTTCTGAAACCGGACCTGAGCTCGAAACGCGACGGGCACAATCGCGATCCCCATGGCGTTCGTTTGCGCGTTCGAAGTTGTTGACGAAGAAGCGCCGCCGGCTTTTTTGGACCGGTCCGACAAGACCGTCAGCGCCTTGAGCTTCCTCTTTTCGATCGCACGGTTGCGCAACTGCTCCAATTTGACGTCGTAAGGGAGATTATCCAACCACGCTCGATCGATGCCCAGTAGGTTCAGCTGTTGGTCGGTGACCGTCGTTGGCGACAGTTGCAAGAGCGGGTCAACTTTGGCGGCCGGCGGTGGAACGGGTCGCTCAGGAGGGGTAGGCGACAGCTCGATCACCTCATTCGGTTCCGATTTGGCTCGCAGCTTTGACTTTGTCGGATCAGTCTTGGCAAGCGTCGCCTTGGTCACAAAGGTGCTCACTCCGAAAACGCCCTTCGCTCCCGTTTGGCGTTTGGGGGCGAACTTGGCCTTGCGAGCATCGGCAAGGGCCTCGTCCTGCATCTCCCGAGGCATCGACCGAAAGACCTCAACGTCAAAGCCGTAATGTCGGAGCTCGGCCTCGTCGGTCTGAGACGTCGTGGGTGGCGGCGGCGGTGCCACTTTGCGCCGAGCGTTGAACAAGTTCGGCGTAGGCGCCTTCACTAGCTTGGCGTTGGGCTTCGTGGACTTGAACAGAGGTGCCACGCTCGGAGTTAGAGAGGACCGGGTCGACCGAGTGGGCGCTGGTGGAGGCGCAAAGACCTTGACGTCGTCGGAATCCGAGTCGCTGAGTGTGATCACCGACGGCTCCTTCTTCATGACTTTGCTCCGAGTCTGATGTGCCAGTGGGACAGGCGAAGACGTGGATTCGTTACTCAGCAAGACTTGGGGTCGAGAAGGTCCATCGGAGAGCTCGATGGGTGGTACGGTCAGCGGAGGTGTGATCTGCTTCCCACTCGAACGTGATGTCGACTTGGTCACGGCGCCGAATGAGAGCTTGCCCTGCCCCTTCTCCAGGACGACGTCGACTGACTGGCCGTTCTTTTCAAGCTTGTGTAGCTGTATCGCGATTCCGCGCAGTTCTCTACACGGTATTTGCGTCTTCAAGAGCAGTTCCAAGGCGACCTGGCCGACAATCTGGCCGTCATCCGTCCCTTTCCCACCTGGACCGGCGATAGCGGATGATACCGACGATGTGAGACACCAGCCGTGACCCAGAAACTTGGGTGTCTCGAGTGGTGCGTCCGGGTGGCGCTGCATAATCTTGAGCGTCAGCTTGCGAGCTTGCATGTCGATCTCCTTGAGGCGACGGGCCGTTTCGACCCCGAGCTCGAGCATGAAGCGCTTGACCTGCTCGTTCTGCTCGAATCGAATACCATAGTTAACCTCGGTCGACACGGATTGTCGGACTTTGCCGACATCCAGCTTGCGGCTGTCGATCCCTTTGGCAAATAGGGAGAACTTCTCCCCATTCTGCTTCCCCAGCACACGCGTCAACTCTGACTGTCGAGTCTTGATTAGACCGCCCACGGTTGTGACATTGAGCTCGTCTTTGAGCTTGTCGCGAGTGCTCCAACCAATACCGGGCAAAGCGTCGACATCAAGAGGCTCAAGATGAGAAGCGACCAATTCCGGCGTCAAATGAAAAGCTGAGGCTGGCTTGGCCTTCCTGGAAGCCAAACGAGCGAGCAGGATGTTGTGAGAGATCCCGATCGAGGCCGAGCATCCCGTCGCTTCGAAGATCTCGGCTCGGATGCGATGGGCGTAGTCGAGCAGCGGGTCTTGCGATGAAGTCGGTGCTGACATGGGCTTGACTTCCATCAACACCTCGTCGACCGAAACGGCTTGCAACAGCACCGAGTGCTTGAGCAGGATGCGGTAGAACTTTGACGAGATGCTCTTGTACAGTTCAAAGTCGAATGTGATCGTCTTGATCTCAGGGCATAGCTCGCGTGCACGACCCAGGCTCATCCCGTTCGCAACGCCCCTGGCCCTCGCCTCATAGGAACAGCTCGCGATCTCGCTGGTACTCGTCTCGCTGTCCTGGCCGGCCTGGGCATGGCAGACAGCGACGGGCTTGCCTCGCAGATCCGGTCGCTTGGTCAGACCGGCACTGACGAAGAAGCAGTCGAAGTCGACGTGCATAATCGTGCGGCCATCGCTGGGTAGGCCAGTCAGTTTCGTGGTGCGCTGTGGTGGGCCCGAGCTCGATTGTAGTGGAGCGACCAATGCCTTAAGCTCCTCTTTCCAAGTTGAAATGTGGTGCAGTCGAGATTGTGCGAAGTAGGTCGAGAGAAAATCCTCAGATACAGACGTGTGCTTGGCCATCCAGACGGGGTCATCGAGCAGCGCTGTGGTCCGATTGTTGTTGAGGCGCCGCGGTAGGTAGGGGTGGGTTTCGGCTTCACCAGTGGCCGCGTCGATCTTCGGGGGGTATATTTGACCTCTTGGCTTCGTGGGCGATTTGGGCTTGGTCGACGGCTGGCCTGCTGAGCGAGGTTGGAAAAAGTTGGCTACAGGCGAAGATTTCGAGGACGCCGCGGCCTCGGCGGCCAGGGCATCTTCAGCCAAGCGCCTGCCTCGTTCGGAGAGGCTCTCCATCGTTTCGGTGTTGGCGATGATTGACTGGGGGACTTGCAACTCCTTGTGAGAGCTTGCGTCGGGCTCGTCTTCGATGATGGCGATCGGAATCGTTCGTTTCGAAGGTCTCTCCGGGGCCACGTCACTCGGATCGAGTGCAGAGCTGGATGTCGTCGATGTCGTCGAATCATCGGCTTCGTGAGACCTCTTCTTGCCGCTGAACATCCCGAACAAGCTCGGTTGTGCCCTTTGCGTGCCCAGCCTCGACTCCTCGTGGTCGTAACCGAACCTCGGCGTCGTCTTGGTCTCGGCCGTTGAAACGGCCAGCAAAGCGTAGCGCTTCCAGTCGAGCAGCTTGCCCGCCTCCACGGACTCCAAGATCCAGACTGGGGTTGCGATCTTGTACTGGCGAAACTCGTGGCGCTTCTTGGGTGTCAGCTCCGAGGCGACAATGTGAGTGACCATGCTCTTGCGATCGAGGTACGGCACGTAGACACCCCCGTGCAGGGTGAGTAGACGACTGAGCTCTTGGACGGTCGCTTCTTTGGTGTATCCGTTGATCTGTGGCCAAGATCATCGCTTTGTTCAGGTCTCACCCAGAGAATGCCTTGCGCTTACGGTAGCGAACATAGTCAGACTGACGTAGACGGCCAGCCCTTTGAGGAACTGTGGCTTCTCCTCCCCACCGTGGTCTTCCTTGAACGCGGCTTGTTGCACCATCAACTTTCTTCTCTTGTTGTGCATGTATAGACCCTGCGGTAATGATCATGTCGGACGTCCAAGGTCAGCAGTGTCGCACGGGGTCTCAGCCGGCCGCCCGTGTCGCTCCTGAAGTGACGTACGCCCTGGCCGAATCCTGTCACACCATATTCATTCCCATCCCTGTAGTCGCCCTTTGCTTCGGGCTGTGGTAGCTTGTACCTCACTGCGATCGGCTTGTCGTCGTCGTCCTCGCCGCCGGTTCCATGTTCGCCCCCTGGCTTCGACGACGACGTTGAGTGAAGCAAGACCGGGTCCAGCTGCCGCAACAGGTCCGCTTCAAAGTCCTGGTCAGAGTCGGAGAAGTAGTCGTGTTGGTCTTCGTCAGGTTCTGACTTGGATTTGTGACTGTTGGTCACGTCAGGTCTAACCGAACCCATCAGATGGTGCGAGCGCCGGCTGGGTGTCCCCCCACCCGGAAGCTGGGCCCGGGGTGAATGTCAAGGGAGCAAGGAGTGGTTGAAGGCGCGTCGCGGGCCCGACGTCTGGTCGCGCAATGTCAAATGGCACCACTGCCACAGAGAGGTCCACCTTGAAGATACTCTCCTGACAAGCTTGAGACAACTACACCAAAATTTAATCGCAACACTAGACAAGTACTTCACGCCTGAGCCGCCTCATTGGTCTGTTCCGAGATTTGCCCTCGGGGCTCTTTCGAGCTCGGCCGCGTTCAGCTTTGCACTGACAATGGTTTCGCCGAGGACGACCCATCCATCTTCGATGTCGTCGTGCGCCAAGAAGACAACTCTTGTCATTGGCGAACTAATACTGATACTGGGCCGGGAACAACATGTGTCGAGCGTCGCATCCTTGTGGGACCAGTTCTGGCCGAGCGAAGCGATCGTCTTGATAGCAGCAGCTGGAGTGGATTTCCTGCGAGCGACTCGTCGGATCATTCCGCACCACTTGTACCCCACGTCGTTAGCTCGACGTGATGTCCTCTGAGTGTACTCTGAAGAATGATGGGCGAGACTTGACGCGTAAGAATCTAATGCGAGCGAGCTGTGGCTGCCCCCGCCGGCCTCGAAACTCTTGCCCGCCCATGTGGAGGAACGAGATGCAGGGCGTGTGGGTATCAAGGGGAGCTCCCTGTCTTTGAAACGGGAGAATGTGGAAAGTGTGGTTGTCGAAGCCTTGGGTGATGTGTGCGGGGCTGTGGGATGAAGCAGGGTAAGGTCCCGTGAAGCAGGGTAAGTCGGGACCTCCAGGAGGCTGTGGCAGTGTTCGGCCTCACTAGGTATGTTCGGCAATCCATCAGCCCAGCTAATCCCTTCCACTGCGAGTCAACAAGGTAGTCCACCTGTTAGTTTTCGCATCGGTTGCAAAATTATGAACTTCTTATTCGTGCCGCTCTATTGACGTCGCCTCTGATCCGCTTCTGCCGTCTGTGTCGGACCTGGCTGATGACGATGAACTCACGCAGCAATTGTCTGACCAGCTTGGAAGTGAAACTTGACAGATCGGACGGCTTGCGCATGATTCGTCGACTTTTAGATGTGCTCTCGGGCTGGTCATGACCTCCTGCTTTGGAGGTGCGTACTGTTTCCAGAGGTATCTCGTGTTCGGCCTCGGCCAGGGTGTGCGTGGCGGCTCGTGTCGCAGCCGCCGCAAGTTGGGGCTTGTCTTCGCCATGAGAATGTGAGACGCTCACTGACAGGGTGACGGGCGGGGCTGCCGGTTCAGCCCGCGTGATGGTGGCTCTGGTCGGTTCGAGCGTGAACACGCAATCCAGCGAAGGACGCTGTTGACGGGAGGGACGGGTGCCCACTCTGAAAGGACGTGATATGATGGCCCCTCTCGATTCGGGTGAGGCGGCGGCGGTGGTGGTCGACCGGTGGCGGCGTGTCTCGCGCGTAGGCTGGATCGAGGATCGCCAGGATGACCACCACGACGACTTGGTGCTCATCCTGGCTCGATGGATGGTGTATCGACCTGAAAGGCCACAAGTGACTGCCGACTTACGGCTGGGTGAGCTCAACGTTCCCGATGCGTCTGCGAAGCCCAGACAAGTGATCCGGCAGGTGTCAGAACTCGCCAGCGTGCCCCGCACGCCATGAAGGGTCCGTGCGCACTCGGACATCTTCTGTTCAGGAGCTGGAACTGCACAGTGTTCGGAGTTAACGGCTAAGTTCTGGATTTCGTCTAGCAGACTTACCATTTCCTTGGAAGCTAACTAGTCGCCACCGAGAAGGTGAAATGTCGCCCGTGGCGCCCCGAAGAATGAATTTGAGTGACAAGAGGGCCTCCTGTCCGGGGGAACATCTAGTGCGGGCGCGCTCACAGCTCGGACCTCGCGTAATCGAGCCACGTTATTCCGACCGAAAGAGTTACATCCGAGATGTACTGGTGGTATCACTGGGGCGGGGGTCCAAGATGGTTGGCATAAGCGAAGCTTTGACTAGCTGTAATACCAAAGTCGGCAACTAGGGATCTTCTCGCGCCCAAATCGAGTCGCAAGCGGAAATCACGGGGTTCGGGGGCATCTCCTTTCCGGTCGGCTCGGCACGTCGCAAGTGCTTTCGTCGCCGCGGGCGATGGCTCTACGCAAGGCGGGCTGACGAGGGGTGCTGACCGCGTTTTCTTCTGCTCCCTCGCTCGGTGGCACCAAACTAGTCCCGCTCGCCGCGTTCCAGTGTGAGCGTCCCACGACTCTCCATTCCGCCTCGTCTCGGTCTGCTTTTATCACCTCAACTACGACTACGTCGGCCCCATTTTCGATCAGTCTATCACTCTCAACCCTTGTAACGCTTGTTTTGCTTCCTCTCGTTGATGATGAGTCACCGTGAGTGTGCACCATTCCCGAAGCGAGCGAGCGAACGAACGAGCGAGCGAAGCAACGGTTTCTCGCGTCGTGCAATGACTGGAGTCGGAGGCGCTACTGGCGCGGTTCGACGCTCGTCTCGCTGCTCCGGCGCTGCTCTCGAGGCTGCACCTGCTCGCTCAGTGCTCGTCGTCGGTTCGGAGAGCTCTTCTCGTCATGGCTCTACTCATCCCTGGAGCTCCACTGCTGATGCTCCCTTCTCTCCATCCACACCTATCCGTGCTTGAGCCTGGTCCAGGCCCTACTTCCCCACAGTCATGCAGCACGGCCGAGCAGCACTTACCGGCGGAGGCGACGGAGGCGCTTGTAGCGGCTGAGGATGTCATGGCGTCGGCAGAGGAGACTGATGAGCCTCAGCGAGGTCAGTCCACTCATCTTTCGAGCACTACCTGAGCGTCTCTCTATCCGCGAACATCAACTGACGACATGACGGCACTGTTTCGCATTGTTGTCGGAGCAACGCCGACTGCCCTCCCTCAGCCTCAAGCGCTGGGTCCTCGCCGTCGTCCGAAAAAGAGGGGTGCACCCCAACCGGCCTCGATCGATCGCCGCAGCTCGTCGACGAGTCGGGCAGCGACGACCACAAGCCTCACCCACTCGAAGATGATGACCTCGATCTCAGCCTGGCATCAATCCCTTCCCTCGACTACCTCTCTCTCGACGACGACAACGACGACGGCGACCCACATGGTGATCACCGATCCGGGCATTCCTCCACGTCGTCGTGCCGCTCCAACGTCACCCTCTTCTCCCCCTCGTTCGCGTCGAGCGACGAGTTTGCACACAGCAACGACTCCCCCTTCGGCATCACTCATTCCAGACTCGCTCCAACGGCTCGGCCATTCGTCTTTGCCCCCAAAGCTCACCATAGCGAAGCGGATGGTGCCGGAAAGGAGCAAGCGCTACGAGACCGAGCGGCGCTTGTGCCCACTGCCCCGGCCGCCAGCACCATTCCCGGCGCTTTCGAGCCGAAACAACCGCGCCAATCCCTTGCTCCTCTGAATGTGGAGTTAAGCACCCATCCGTTGACTCTGCAATCGGTCGATTTACGCTCAAAAGCAGACTTAGACGGCGTCGAACAATGGCGAAAGCTCACGGCGGCGGATCCGAAGGCAAGCACCTGGTCGTTCGATGAAGTCGGACATCTGACGAGCGAAGGCGCGCGCTACAACATCGCGGACGAGATCTTGCGACTTCAATCTCAGGCTGATCAGGAGTCATCGACCCTCGAGCGGGCTGCAGACATGACGTGCCACTCTCCCTCGCACAAGCTTCAAAGTGGTCCCTGGCCGAATGAGACGGTTTGGCCAGAGTCATCCAGCTCCAATTCGTTCGATCGACCGGCTGCGTTTCCTACCTTTCCACGAGGACTATCTCCACTTTCTTCGAACAGTGGCGCATCTTCGCGTCGACCTCACAACTCCACACCTGATGACGGCCTTTCCAACCTTCCCCGACCCATCCGCACTCGCAATTCAAGTCTTGAATCTAGTAAATATGCGTACATCAAACCTGGGGTGTTCCGAGAAGCTTCGACGTACGTCGCTCACCCTGATTCAGAGTTTGAACGACTCCGAGGCGAGTCTCATGGGCCCGGTGGCACAACGCAGCCCCTCGCCTCCCCCGAGACCACCCCAGCTCCACCCCCTACTCGTGCCCGAGCTCGATCGATGCTGGCTTCGTCGTCGGAACTGGCGATGCACGATGCCTTGTACCTCGAAACGCGCAACACGTTCATTCGACAGGCGCTCATCAACAAGGGTCTCCCTGCCACGCTTGCGAATCAGGAGGCTATGATCTCGCTGTTTGACCAAGCGATGCGATGCGAATCCCCCTCGTCGCTTTTGTCCGACCTGAAAGAGCCTCCTGGCGTGAGCCCCTTCGAGCCCTTCTCCGAGCACAGGCGCGCGTCGGTGGATGTCGTCGCTTCGCACTCGGCGCGGGCTCCGCTCAACGACGGCCTAGGAGGCCCTCACTCTGGCAACAGAAAACACGGTCTTTACAAGACCGAGCTTTGTCGTGGCTGGGAGGAGAAAGGCTCGTGTCGATACGGTAGCAAGTGCCAGTTCGCGCACGGGGTCGAAGACCTACGCTACCTCAACAGGCACCCCAAGGTGCGTATAGGCACGCCTTTGCTCCTGAAGCTACCTGAAGCTAATTTTTTGGATGTTGATGATCCCCTCAGTTCAAATCAGAGGTGTGCCGAACGTTTTGGCTTCATGGTTCGTGCCCGTACGGTCGTCGGTGAGTGACAAAGTTGCTGCGCACGCTTCGCAGCTCGAGAGCTGATCTATGTCTACACGCCTTAGCTGTTGCTTTATTCACACCACCGTACCTCCCGAGTCTTCCCTTCACAAACAAAGTTCTGTAACTTCGCCTTCCTCTTGCCCATCGCCCTCTGGATCCTTCCACGGCAACGACTCGATCCCTTCGGACCTTCGAGACTCTTCAAAGCAAGAGGCAAGGACTGGCAACTCAGTGCCATCAATCGCAAGTCTCGGATTTGGTCCAGCTTTGTCGAGCTATCTCGCGCCCTCGGTGACGACCTCCGTTCCACTGCCGACGCCGAACATAAAGCGCGTGGACCACGACACTGGGGCGATGTGGTCCGAGCTCGGTCACGATTCGACGGGCGTCTCCTCCCTGGGATCTCGGCTAGGCGGTCATTCGAAGCACTCTTCGGAGCCCATCTCATCGGTCGGCCTTGGTCTCCGCACACCGAATCCTACCGAGGTACCTCCTACCTTTCAATCCCCTCCTCGCTCGCGCCTTCAACGTCTGGCGAGCTTTCCGTCCAGTGCTTTCTCATCCGTCGCACGCACGCAGTCGGACGACATTCCCGGCCGTCCAACCGAGCATCCTGCGCGCTCGAATGGCTACAGTTCTCCCAAAGACCTCTTGCACAGCCGACAGGGCAGTGTCTCTTCTGTGGCATCTTTCAACTCGTCTTGCTCGGGTTCAAGCTCGACGTCTTTCGCCTCGCTCGCCCAGAACCGCTCTCTCCGCAACGCGTCGCTCCCTCGAACCAAAAGCTTCGGTTCCCTGGATCTCTTCCCTCAGGAGGTGAATGGTCTGTCCCTGCAACGCGTCGGTAGTTCTTGGCTCGGTGGAGCAGGTTTGAGCACCAAAGTCCGCACGCTCAGCTCGAACGGCGCAACTGGCGGCGACCGTGTTCAAGCTCGCGCTCTTGATTGGGACGGTTGACTTGCTGCGCGCATGCCCTCTTCCCACACCTCTTTGTTATAAATTCAAGTCGTACTATATGTGAGTTTATCATTGTTTCCGCATCGTCTGCTCGATGCTGTTTGTTTGTATCACTGTCGTTATGACGATCATCTCCGCCTCTTTCTGTTCGCTGCTTTTTCGCATGCTTGCATATTTCTTGTATCTCTTTAAAGCTCTTCCTACCCCTCCTGGTTCTCCGTCTCTACTTCCTTCCTCATAGAGTGCCGGCTTTTTTCCCCATCGAACAACTTCGGGGGACCCATTCCAAAACACCTCAAATGCAAAACAAGTTGGATCTAAAGTGCAGTATAGAACTGTATTTTAGGGTCGGCGGAATTCCTATGCAGTACAACCGCTTGAGCGTCTTAAGTGGTGCTTTCGGGTGCACCACTTCATTGCCACAAGGCCGACACCAACTTTGCAACCCCAACATAACGCGACTTCCCATCTCTTACTGTGGTGTGAGTCAGCTTCACGAGCGAAAGTCTACCTTTCCCCGGTCAGAAGACACGCTAGCAAGACAAATTACCCGCAGTCCGGCGTTGGCGCCTTCTTCACGTGACTTACACGTGACTTCTGGTGAGCCACGGGCCCAGTTTCGCAAAACTCTGCAACTATATCGTTCTCGCATAGCCGCTGTGTGAGGTGAGTCATTCAGAGGGCATGTGTATCGAAGCAATGCTTCCAAAGCAAAGAGCGATGCACAGAAGAAGGGATCCAGCGAACGGGGTAGGCGTCTGGCTTGGAAGACACATCCGAGACAGGGGTATTCAGAGCTGTGGTCTCAGCTCGAAGTCCAGCAAAATTGGTAATGAGATCACAAAGGAGATATAGGGACATAAAAGTGAGGTAAGCTATAATGGGCAAGCCGTAGGTTACGCCTTCATGACTGATCACGAAAGCTTGCAGAATTGAGGAGCGAGCCCCGGCAACTCGCTGGAGCGAGAACGAGCGCGAACCGTTACCAAGGGTCTATTGAATCCACTTGGACTTCGCCCGAAGACTAGGCCCGGCTCGGATCAAGAGGTACAATAAGGGTACCATGATGAAGGTCAGCCCTGCCAGCACCGAACACCCCACCCCGAGCCCGAGCGCGTTGAAATAGTAAGCTCCGAAGAGGGGAAACATACTGGCGAAACTCGAACGGAAGAGATCGTTGCCTGCCAGGATTGACCCCGCCAACGCGGGTGGGTAGGAGCTCGAGATGTATACGAGGATGCATTGAAAAATGAGGAAGATGCCGGGAAGGTATAGACCCGCTCCGATTGTGGGGACGATCCAGTGTGTTTCTTCCTCGCCAGCCCAGCCGAACATGAGGAGTGACACGGGAATGAAGAGGCCGGCGATGACTCCGATTTCGAGGCGTGCTTCGGGGACAAAGCCGGGTCGATCCATTCGCGGATTGAGGTGGTAAACCACGTAGACAACGTAGAGCGCAAAGGTGATGACGCCAGAAACGATAAAGGCCAGGTAAGGTAGACCAGAGATACCGAGGGAGAAGCGATACGTCTCGTTGTAAAGGATCGGGAAGGCTTCGAACCAGAGGTAGAAGCAGGCGTACACCAAGGCGGTGTACGAGTTGGCGAAGAGCACCGCGGGCTCAGCAGTAAGCTGGAACGCACGTTTCAGATTACTCCGGGCCAGTTGAATGAAAGTCTCCCCTGCAATGGCGTCGATCTCTGCCTGGGTCCGGAAACGACTGTCACCCGTGCGGAGGCGGAGGCGCTCAGCCCGGCGGATGAGGATTGTTGACTCGAGCGTCTCGGGGAGTAGGAAGGAGAGTACGAGGAAGGCGAAACCAGAGATCCACATCAGCTCCCAGTTCGGCCAGGTCCATCCTTTGGCTTGCGCTGCGAATGATCCCTTCGAGATGATGAACGCAGAGCTGAAAGTTAGTCGCGGTTGGCCGACTCCTAAGTTGAGCTGATCGTGGCTTACGATTACGGGGCCAAGTACGGGGCCAGATACCGCTCCTATGCTCCAGACGCCGATAGCAATCGGAGCATGTCGGGGACCAAAAAGGTCGAACATGCTAGCCCCTTTTACATTATCAATTCAAAGGGTGTGAGTTTCTGACTTCAAGGACACACACAGGTCGTGCGGAGGCATGGAGGCACGCACCTCCTGTCGCTATTGCGGGTGACCCGACGAAACCAGAGGCAAAGCGGAAGACGAGGATTGTCGCCATATTTGGTGCGAACACAATGGGGAATTGGAAGAGAAAGAAGAAGAGGAGGCCGATGATGTAGACAGGGGTTCGGCCCTGTCGAGGCATCTCTTGAAGGGGGGCGAGGAACATAGGCCCGATGCCGTAAGCGAGCACTGCAAAGACGGAGGGCAAGTCATGAGCCCACTGTAATTGTCGTTATGGGTTGTAACACGACCTAGTTGCCTAACCAGTACAACCACAAAGAAGACATCCCCCCCAGCCGAAATGCATCCTTTCCAGCATATGAAGTACTCACCGAACAACGATAGCCCGAGGGTTGCAACGACTGGAGAGATATCAAAAGTATCCAGCAGACCCGGAATGGAGGGTGTAAAGATTGGTCCACCGATGTATACACTGAATGTGAGGAACGCAATCAAGCTAGCGACAAAGCTCTTCTTTCCTTTCGACCAGTTCATCGGACGATCAGGGTCGTTGTCCTCGAACTCGACGAGGAAAGGGTTCTTCACGAGAGGCGCGGAGGGTCTGACGGCTCTATCGTTCGCATCGCCCTTGTCGATGTCGAGGTCGGAGATGAGTATCCGGGGAACCGGAGGTGCAGGTGGGGATATAGGGTGCTCGACACTGACTCGACCCGTATCAAAGTCCAAGACCACCTGGGGGGGATCGGGGTCTCGCTCGCCGGCAGGATCATCCTCCTCTTCCTCGGGAATGTCATGCAACGAAGAAGCGGCACGGTTGCTTCTGCTCTCATCGATAGAAGCAGCAGCGGCGGTATCATCGAAAGGATCACGGACGGTAGAGGCATCCAAAGCAGCGCGATAGCGTTCCGGAAGAACGTAGTGAGGGCGTTGGTCTGCGAAGGGTAAGAAGTGGCCGTGTGTGAAGCGGTTGAACCACTGGCCGATAGTCGAATCGCGGATGATATCTGGCGCCATGGTCGGAGATGGTTCAAGTCAAAGCGCAGGTGATGCAAAAGGGTATCAAGGAAGCAAGAGAGCGCACGGAGGCTATTTGAAAGCGAAATTTGGTCGCTGAGTCTGTGGCGAGAGTTTCGGCGCGCCGACGGGCTGGGTGCGACGCAGGGGTGAAAGTCCGGAACAGACGGTGCGCTGCGCAGAGATGGTGTCTGACCTTTCTGAGTCAGCCTCGGGGCCGACGGTCTCGCAGAACGGACGCCGGTTTGGGTGTCACAGAATTGCTCCGAACAAAACCTAGCAACTCATAAGAAACAGTGAAAGTCAGGCCCCGTGGAAGAGGCTGTCTCAGTCTCAAGCGTAGGAACTCCTTGCGTATGGCAGCAGAACCACAGGCTGCGGTGGGCCCGCTCTATCTGCGGCTGAGGAGGGCCCAAAGCCGGGCCAAAGGGGGCGGCTAAGTAGTAGCGACGCCGAGCAGGCTGCGAATCTGTGCCATGATGTGTACTGAAGAGTGGAGCCCCAACTGGGAGCAGGTGATACCAAGCGGTGATCAGGTCGTCCCATTTGTTTCCGACACGTTACATCATCTCCGCTTCGGGCCTTGGATACTCCGCATCAGTCCCGGCCGCCCCGCCGGCGGCAGTCGTCGGCTGACGGAGCGTGGCCAGGCGTGGCCGTGCCAAACTGTTCCAAGAGGTTCCAAGTGCCTGAGAGTGCCTCCCAGGTGCCTCCACTGCCCTCGATTGTGGGGCGTCATTAAGTATTGCCGGCGACGCTCTCACTTTCGCCTCCCTCATCATCCAGCCCCACCGCATTCCTCACACCCACTCACCACATTCAAGCATGTCGACCTACCCACCCATCAAGCTCTCGGATGGCAAAGAGATCCCGGGCATCGGCTATGGCGTCGGTACGGCCTGGTTCGGCCGCGGCGGGATCGACAACGAGCTCGTCGAGGCGATCGTCCTCGCGCTCAAGACGGGCTACACCCACATCGACGGTGCACAGGCCTATGGAAACGAGACCAGCGTCGGAGAGGCTCTGAAGCAGGCCGCTATCCCGCGCGAGAAGCTATTCAGTTAGTCGTTCTTTTGGCTTGGTTGGTCCCTCCCCGCCGGCGCCGCGGGAAGAAGTGGGGGAGAGCCGCCGCTCGGAAGTAGCGATAAGCGAGCAGGCGGCTGTTGCCAAGAAGTGATGAGTAACTGACCGGCTCTTCGGGGCGAAACACTGCACAGTCACAACCAAAGTTGGAGGAAAGGGTCTCAAGGATATCGGAGCCTCTTGCCGCAAGTCCTTGCAGGAGATGGGAATCAACTACGCTGATCTGTGAGCCCATAAGTGGCCTCAATGAGATCGATTGTTCCGATTTCAAGAGGCATTGAGCACTGAAATAACTGTTTTGCGCTAATTCATCAGCTACCTCATTCACTGGCCCTACGACTTTGGCAAGGACGGCGTCCCGACGGCCGAAGAATGCTGGAAAGAGATGGAGAAAGTCAAGGCCGAGGGCTTGGTCAAGTCGATCGGTGTATCCAACTACCGCATCCAAGATTTGGAAAAGACTCTCGCTGTGGCCAAGGATCGACCAGTTGTGAACCAGATCGAGTTTCACCCGCGAGTGTTTGAGAAGGCCGAGCCCTTGTTCGAATTCAGTGAGTTCTCGCCGCAATTGGACTCGACTTGCTCGGGAAAAGGCCGGAGCTCCTCTGAACGATCTCAAATTCACATGGTTCTGTTCAAATTTTTCACTCGCGCAGTGAAAAAAGAAGGAATCGCTCTCGAAGCGTACGGCCCCACGACGCCCTTGACAAAGTTGGTTGGCGAGCCGCTCGACTCAGTCTTGAAGCAAGTCGCCACGACGGTCTCTTCTCGCACCGGCTCCAACGCGACCGTCGAGCCTTCTCAGGTGCTGCTCTTGCTTGCGCACCAACTGGGCGCTGTCGTCATCACAACCTCGAGTAAGGAGTGGAGGATGCAGCAGCAGCTTGAATCGGCTGGCCTACCCAAGTTGACCGAGGCCGAAATCGATGAGATTCGAAAGGCCGCCAAGCCGCAGCAGAGGAGGTTCATGCAGCACATGGACAACGATGCACCGGCTTATTAGACTGGGTTAGATGTTCCTTATGAAATGGTGGAAGGTACTTAAGCCCACTGGAACAACTATCGACTTCCCGTTCGATGTGGGAGACACACTCACGAAACTCGGCTATAGTGATTACGGCTTCGAAGAACATGCGCCTAGCATGTATTCATTCAGATGCCGCCGTGGACCCTACCCTCGCTCACCATACTGCGGGAAAGCCAGGGATGGGCTTTCTATTTGCTTTTTGAGCTTCTTCTGTCCTCCCTCGCCTTTCGATCGCACCCCCGGTCACGAACGCGAATCGGCCGGTGATGGAGTCGGTCGTCGCGCAGATCACGATAGCCGTTCGGACCTTCGATTGCAGAACAGCTGAATGAGCAGAACTCTCAGAGCGGGTCAAAGACGGACGAAAAAAAGCATGTGATTGCACTCGTGACAAGTAAACGCTAAAGTCTGATCCTCATTCTGTGGTATATGTACACGACAATACCTCCTTCCTTCCTTAAGGTACATACTTGTCTCCGAGGTCTGTAGTGATGATGATTTCAAGTAAAATGTCAGCGTCAAAAGTGAGAAGCAGTCGTCACAAATCAACTCACATCGCCATGAGACCTTGGTCGTCTCCTTCAATCCGGTAACCTTGACAACCCTCTTGTCGCCGGGGATGAGATCCAAGGCGTTGTCACTCAGCTTGACGTCGTCCGAGAACCAAAGCGTCCACCCCTTGACCGGTCGCTCGGCTTGGACCGTGATCTCTCCCTTGGCCACATCGACCTTGACGTCCAAGTTGACAGCCTTCTCGTCAGGCAGGACCAAGAACTTGTACGGTTCAGGGTAGACTAAGAACCTCGACAAAACCTCCTTGGTCGTGGGATCGACGATCTTGGCCGTGACGACGACCGCAGCCGCGGGGTTTTTGTCGTATTTTGGGACGTCCTTCTTGATCAACTCGCTCGACTGGTTCGCGGCCAAATTGAAGTCCGTCGACTCTTCCAAAATCTTTTCACCCGAAAGCAACTCGAACGCCTCGACGACAAGAGTGACCGGCAGTTCCTTGACGAGACCGTTGACGGCCCAGATCTCGACCCATTCAGAATCGACAAAGACCGATGTCTTAAAATCTTCGGGGTACTCGCGCTTGTTGTAGCGTTTCATACCGCAGGCGATGGGTGCCATCGATTGCTTGATCGCGTAGTAGGCAGGCTTGGGTCGTTGGTAATAGTCGACAATGGACCACGAGCTGGAGTTCGGGAATGGTGGAATGAGTTTCAATGATTGAGTCAGCTAGCTTCGATAAACAAGGTGAAATTTGCTGTAATGCGACTCACATGCAGGGGTAGACATCGTTGAGTTGCCACACCAAGGCACCAGAGCAGTAAGCTCGGCCATGGCCCTTGAACTCGCGGCGGAACAATCGGTATGCCGTCGACAAGGTCTCAGCCTGGATGAACTGCGTCGCAAAGACGTAATCCTCAATTTTGAACGAGTGGCGGATGTTCTCGACGAGGTAGAGCTCGAGACGGCGCTCGTACCCGTCGGCTTTGTTGTGGCTAGCGACGGTTCGGCTCTGGACGTGGCGCTCGGACTCGTCGCCATCGATGAAATCGTCCATAGTTCGGATGTCGGGAAGACCTTGCATACCGAACTCGGAGACGAAGCGACCGCTGTATAAGACAGAACACAGCGAGAGTAAGTTTATGTCTCGCTTCCTCCGCATTCGGGAGCCGAAACGACTCAACGCACCTCAAAAGATCCCAATCCTGGTACCTCTGCTGCGATCCATGCCAGACGTTCCATTGGTGAATATCACCCACGGTCTTGTCCGTGGTATCTTTGCCCCCCCAAGGACTTCCAGGGTGGTAGAAGACATCGGTGAGGGCGTTTACGACCTTAGGCAAGGTGTGCTCGTAGATTTCACGCGCGGGGAAGTTCGTCTTGGTCCAGTCGCTCGTGTGATCCTCTGGGTCGTACTCGAGTTTGCATGATTCGGCGACCTCTGTTCAGGAGTGCACCTGGGTCAGTAGTCTGATTCCAGAGCTTGGAACCGATAAAGAGAAAAAGACCTACGATAGTCCTCGTTGTTACCCGCGTAGAGGGACATGCAAGGGTGCGAACGGATGCGCAGCACCGCAGCCTCGGCCTCTCGTCGGACACTCTCCACAAACTCGGGGAAAGCGGGGTACGCTCCACATCCAAACATGAAATCTTGCCAGACAAGAATTCCCATCTCGTCGCACGCGTCGTAGAAACAGTCGTGCTCGTAGATACCACCAGCCCACACGCGGATCATGTTCTGGTTCGACTCGATGAGCAGTTGCAGCCACGAGCGGTAGCGCTCTTCGGTTCCGTTGGTGATGAAGTTGTCGATGGGAATCCAGTTGGAACCACCGCAGAACTGAGGGACGTTGTTGACCTCAAAGTAAAACGAGGTACCTTCATGGTCCTTGAGAGGCTCCTGGACAAGGCGCAGTCGTCGGAAACCGAATCGCTTCGACACGGTTTGCAGAATCTTGCCATCCTCGGACACGAGATCACATTGGGCGGTGTAGAGAGGTTGAGCACCGAGTCCAACGGACCACCAAAGCTCGATCTCGTCGGCCTTCAAGGACCATTCAGCCTTCTCGCTCGAGTTGCCCCCAGTCGAGACCTTTTTGAAGACCTTGCCAGCAGGGTCGAGCACGGTGAGGTTGGTCGTCAATTGCTTGTTGGTCAGTTGGACCTCGAGCGAAAGAGTCGCATCGAGCTTCTCCGAGACCAGAGCGACAGGGTGCAAGTCGAGGATTCGGTCGGCAAAGATCTCGACGCGTACTTCCTTCCACGGACCAGCGGTCATGAGGGTCGGTCCCCAGTCCCAGCCCCAACCGTAACCAGCCTTTCGGACGAACAATCGAGCGGCATCACCGTTCCACAGAGGCATGTGCTTGCCCTTGCCCATGTGCTGCATGACACAAATGTCAGAGAGAGAGAAGCGCCTGAAGTCTTTAGTCAAGCGTGTCGGCGATCACGACAAGTCCAAACGAAAGGGACGACAACGTACCTTTTGCTCAATCATTCGGCCCTTGATGACTGCCGAGGTGAAGACAAACACAAGGTGATTCTCCCCTTTCTTGACCTGTTCCGAGACGGTGACACTGGGGGGAAAACGGTGGCATGTCCGAGACGGTGATGAGCCACAGCTTCGGGATGTGTGTGGGGCAGCGCCTGCCGCCGGCTGTCTAGGAGTATTCCAACTGACCGCTCGGGAGTGAACATGTTGTCGCTCTCCAGAATCTTCTTGCCATTCACTATAAGCCAGATAGTCCCAAGATCAGTCCTGGCTGCATTCTTCACCTTGACTCGCTGGCACTGTACGACTCACAAAAGACGGTAGCGAACGTGTCGAGGCCCTCAAAGACGAGGTCGACCTTGTCGTTCTTTTGGGGTGCTTGTTCGAGCTTGAAGCTGGTACGATACAGCCAGTCCTCTTCTCCAACCCATTGCACGAGCTGTAGGCCGATCGTCGCAGCGCGAGTGATCAGCACTTGGCCAGTAGGCGTGTGAACTGGGCCGAACATCGCCTCGAATCGTAGGGCCGCACCCCCACTTTTGGGCGGGGGCCGACTCGGAGGTTCCCAGAAACGGCTCTACAACAAAATGAAGGGCATTTGCGGGGCGCTTACCTCGTCGTTGCACTTCTTGTAAGGATCGGGGATCTTTCCGACGGCCAAGAGCTCGACCTGGATCATGGACGGCATCTGCACACACGTGGTCCAGCCCGACTCGAGCGCCTTTTCGCCGACGATCTGCTCGGGCGAACTGAGCGCCTTGACCGGCGACTGGCGCCATTCCCACTTGGAAGCGTCCGAGGAGAGATTCAGCGTCTTCATCGTCGGTGGGATACGATGTTTTGAGATGGGGTCAAAAGCGGCGAGGGTAAGGGAGAGCGGGAAGAGAAAGGGGAGCGGGGAGGAAGATCCCGATCGATCAAAGAGCAGGCAAGGGAGAGCGTCCGAAAATTGTTTAAGCGAAGTTCAACCGCGAACCGTCAGCGAAGAGCTACGAGCGGAGGGCAAATTTGCCAGTGCATTCAACAGCCCGCGCGAGGTTCGCGAAGAGAGCCCATGCTAAAAAAGAGCGGCTAGCTGCAAGAGCACATGTGACCTTGGTACCGGCTGCCAGGCATGTTGAACCGCCAGGCTGGCACCTCTTAAACTCGCGCTGGGCCGAGACCGGTCATTAACCCGGTCGCCCAGAGCCCTCTGCGAGCTGGGGTATATGCGAATGCTGGCTGTGCGCTCGCTCGGTCAACGGCCCCGACGATCCGCCGGCCAATTCTTTCCCAGGCGCTGCCCGAGGCACCCCGCCGTTTCCGCGCGCAAGCTTGTCCGCCTGCGTGTCCGAAGCTCTCTCGCCGGCAACAGTCAACGGCCGACGGTGAAAGTCACACCCTCACAAGGGCCGAGCGCGGGCAAAAAGGAGCGCCACCTTTTGAGCGTGTGAGCATTTTTTTAGGCGTGGATTGGACAAATCCAAGCAATCGAGAGGTCGGTCCCCGGTTTCTAAAAGGGGGAAAAGCAGACCTAGTTGCGGGCGTGGGCAAATTGTGGAGGTCGGTGCCTTCAGATATCCGGGGCTTGGATCGCTTTCCCATCCGACTCCACCACCGGATCTTTCGGCATCGAGCTTTCACTCATCCTTACCTTCGCTTGAATCGCCTCCTCCCCCTCTCCCTCGGCATTTCGCGCCTACAGTCTGTGTATCGTAGATTGCTTCGATGCCGTACTCGTCCGCACCCTTGGCTCTGCCGCGTGGCTTCCGACATGGCTTTGCAACCGCCTCCTATCAGGTACGTTCGGCGTGGACCTTGTTCACCGGCTGGGCCGCTCGCTCTCTCCGCCTCGCGGCCCGGGTTGGGCCTTCCTCCGACGCCCCGGGTGCGAACCCAAGGCAAGGGCGACAGACGAGACCGCGGCGCGCCGCCTGACCATACGCGGTCCTCGAGCTAGAGCTGACATAATGGTTGCTGGGCTCGATAGATCGAAGGTAGCGTCGATGTCGACGGTCGAGGAAGCACCGTCTGGGACGACATGTGCCAACGCAAGAACGAGGACGGCTCGCTCAAGGTCGTCGACGGCACTGACGGCAGCCTCGCGACCGACTCCTACCGTCGCTACAGCGAGGACATTGCCCTCATGAAGAGCTACGGCGCCAACTGCTACGTGAGTTGACAACCACTTTTATCGTGACGATCCATGGTCCCTCACCCGGATCGGCTGGATTACACACAAGTGCACGAACCTCCCAAGCTGCATGACAGAAATAACCGGCTGCTGACACCCCCACCCCCTCTCCCCGCCGGTCAATAGCGATTCAGCATCGCCTGGGCTCGCATCATCCCTCTCGGTGGTGCAAGTGACCCCGTGAACCCCCTTGGAATCAAAGTGGGTTTTCGTCTACAGTCCCGAATGTGCCACCTCATTGCAAGTCACTCACACCTTCCCCCCCCCCCCCCCCCTCCCCAACCCCAACCCCCCGTCCCCCACTTTGGCGAAAACCCTGCAACTCTTCCTCTCCCCCACTAGTTCTATTCGGATCTCATCGACGAGCTGCTTGCCAATGGGATCGAGCCTCTCGTTACCCTCTATCATTGGGATACCCCTTCGGCGTTGCAAGAACGTTACAACGGCTGGCTCGATGGCGAGCAGATCACGCGCGATTTCGTCAACTACGCTCGAGTCTGCTTCGACGCGTTCGGAGATCGCGTCAAGTGCTGGATCACCCTGAACGAGCCTTACTGCGAGTCCATCCTCGGTCACTTGTTGGGGATCCACGCCCCCGGCCGAACATCGAACCGAGCGCAGTCCGCCGTCGGCGATTCGGTCCACGAGCCTTGGATCGCCGGCCACAACCAGATCCTCGCCCATGCCCACGTCTCGGACCTGTACAACAAGCAATATCGACACAGGACCATCGGCGGTCGAGGTCAGATCAGTATCGCCTTGAACGGCGACTGGAACGAGCCCTACGACCAAGAACCGGCGACGATCGCTGCGGCCCAACGAGCGAATGAAGCCTGGGTTGCCTGGTTCGCCGACCCCATCTACCTCGGTCGGGACTACCCCGCCAGTCTTCGTGCCCAACTCGGTTCGCGGTTACCTCAATTCACATCGGCTGAGCTTGACTTGCTCAAGGCCAACATCCCCGAGTTCTACGGCATGAACCACTACACGACGAACCTAGTCAAGCCTTTGCCCGAACCGGCGGACGCGCTCAACTACAACGGCAACGTCTCATTGCACCACACCTGCCCCGACACGGGCAAGTTGATCGGTACGCCTTCGCAATGCTCATGGCACTTCAACGTCCCCTGGGGTTTCCGCAAGCTCCTCGGCTGGATCTGGAACCGCTACCACATCCCGATCGTCGTGACCGAGAACGGGTACCCCGTCACGGACGAGAACAACTTTTCGCTAGAGAAGGCAATCGACGATACCGAGCGCTGCAAGTTCTACGAGTCTTACCTCAACGAGATGGAGAAGGCCATGTTGCTCGACGGCGTCGACGTGAGGGGTTACTGCGCTTGGTCGTTGTTGGACAACTTTGAATGGGCCGAAGGGTACATCCCTCGGTTCGGGTGCACCCACGTCGACTACAAGACGATGAAGCGGACACCCAAGAAGAGTTCCAAGGTCATTAAAGAATGGTTCGCTGTGCGGGAAGCCAAAGGCTCGTCCTCGACTGCGTCCATGATCCCTTCGAGCGTCGTCAACCTCGTGAAGAACTCCAACTTTGAAGTGTCGGCCGAAGCCGTCATCGCTTGAGCGCTCCTCGAGCGATAGAAGAAGGGCCTACAGCCCTATTCTCTGATACCTTTTTCTTTGCGTTCGTGGTTCTGTTTGCATAGATTATCAGACGATATAGTACGTAGGGTACTTGTTCCTGCTCCGTCCTTACTCCATCTATCAATTCTTAAACTTTAGCTCTTTCTATCATTTTGTACAATCAATCGTGTGGCGCATGCAATAGCTGACCCTTTATTTGTCCCCATCGTATCGAAGATGCGTTCGTCGTCCCCTGGAGAAAATGTACACATTCCAAACGCGAAAAGGCTACACTCCTTATAAGATATGCGTTCCCCGTGCCAACTCAATACTCGCCTTCGAGTTCGTTCGCAAAGTACAGAATACACTCCCTGATCCCGGCCACCGTGGTCCACCTCGGCTGCCACCCCAATTCTTGCCTCGCCCTCGATATATCCGGTCTACGTCTCGGCGGATCGTCAACGACAGCGGCCTCGTAAATAATTTCGGACATTTCATCCTCATCCACCTGCGCTCTGCCGATCACCGACGTTTCGGCAAGTTGTCTTCCATCGGTCAAGCTCAACCTCTTCTCGTTCCCTTCCCTCAACGAAGGCGAATAATACGCCTCGTACTCGTCCTCGCGCCTGGACAGATTCGAACGACGAGGGATCTCACCGTCCTTTCGCATCTTGTGAACGGTGTCGCGGATGACGTGCGCCCATTCGGCGACGGTCGCTTCGTCCTCGGAACCGATGTTGACCGGTTCGACAAAGGTCGAGGCCATTAGTGCGATCAAGCCGGAGACCAAATCATGCACGAACTGTATGAGATTAGGACGATAGCACCACGGTTAGATACTGATCTTCCGGAGTAGATGTCGTAGTCACGATCATTGGAGACCTACCATCAACGACCTCGTTGCTGTCCCATCGCCGTAGATCCGAATCGGCTCCCCCTTCAAAGCCGCTACGATAAAGTTGGACACCAACCTCCCATCGTCCATATTCATCCTCGGGCCGTAGCAGTTGAAGATGCGTGCGACGCGGACATCGACCCCGTCTTGACGATGATAGCCGTACGTCAGGGCTTCCGCGACTCGTTTGCCTGAATAGCAGAGAAGTCAGGTGGGACTCAAGTTTGAACGAAGGGCAACACCAAAGCGCACCTTCGTCATAACACGCCCTCGGTCCCACAGGATTGACATGACCCCAATACGTTTCTTGCTGGGGATGTTGTTCGGGACTGCCGTAGATCTCACTCGTCGAGGAGAGGAGGAATCGCGCTTTGACACGCTTGGCCAGACCGAGCATGTTGAAGGTGCCGAGGAAGTTGGTCTTGAGCGTCTTGACCGCGTTGGCTTGGTACGCTCTGCGCGTGAGTACAGAGAAGGACGTTCTGAGTCAGAATTCCCCGGGGAGGATGCTTTGATCGAGGCGAGAGGACTGACTTGGGTGAAGCGGGACAAGCGAGATGATAAATCTGATCGACTTCGACCATGAAGGGTTCGGTCACGTCGGCTCGAACTAGTTCGAAATTCGGATGGCCGACTGGTTCGCAGAGAATGTGGAGTACAAATCAGCCTTTGCGTTCGCTTCGTCTTCATCTGAGCCCCACCACTTACCCCAGTGGGAGATGGACGTTTTGGAACCGGAGAAAAAGTTGTCGAGTACAACGACATCGTGGCCCGAGCACATCAAGCGGTCCTGGAAAGGTGAAGCATAGCCGATTTGAGCACCGCCTCTTGTTCGATCAAGTGAGCACATGATTCACTCACGACCAAATGACTACCGACGAAGCCCGCTCCGCCGGTGACCAGGACCCTCCTCCGATCCTTCTGGGCTAGCCTCCGTACCGGCGGGAACGTCGACCTCTGCGTGAAGCTGACGGAGCGAAACGAGGCGCCCGACGATTGCCTCGAGTGATGGCCGCCGTATGCGGTGGAGGAGCCGCCGCTGCTATGCAGCATCGGGGCGGTCGAGGGATGGTCGTAGTCGAGTTGCAGGACGGGGGTCGAAGGTCCCGGATCGTGCCCATAGTCCGAGTCAGCGCTGGCTTGAATAGCGGATTGCGAGAGGTACAACGATTGCAGCTGATTGAGAGCCAAACGGGACGTCAGAATATTAAAGTAGCGCTCGATCCCGTTCTCAAACACCCACCAAGTCCAAGGGCAGTCCATCGATGGAGGAAATGGTGTTGCCTTCCCGGTCGACGGTCGGCGCAAGCACGAGCGAGCCATTGCTAGCATGGCTACGCAAACTGAGGTCGCTGCACCTCTTGGACAGCCGATGCCGAGCCTGTGCCTGTGCTTGTGCTTGTGCGATCCTCTTGGGGGTGCCTCCTACGGACGACCTCGGTGTGAAGGGCCCCGCCAGTCGGGTCAGCCTGTCGTCGTCGATGTCTTGGTCCGTGTCCTGGTCATTCCCCTGGTCAGGCCCCCTAGGATCGTGTTCGTGGTCGAGCTTGTGGTGGTGGTTCTCGATCAAAGACGATCCCCGCTGAGGGAACGCCTGCTGCTGCTGCTGCTGCTGCTGCTGCTGTCGCTGGTGCTGGTGCTGCAAAAGCGGTTCGTGCGATCGATCGAGCGAGTCCGGGTCCGAGTCGGCCTTGGACGGGGTGTTGGACCGCGACGAGGCTTTGATCGTGTCCGCTCGAGAGAGCGGCATCCATGTTGGTGGAGAGCCAGGTTCGGCCATCGTTTTTTTTTTGGGCAAAGTCGACCGCCGAGAGCACAAGCAGCAGCGCAAACGACGCGACGCGAGGCGAGGCGAGCGACGGTCACGGTTCACGCGTTCACGATTCACATGACAAGGGAGGACAAGGGAGTTGGGCGAACGTTGGCCAATGGCGATCATTTCCCGTATCGGATGCACAGTGGAATTTTTAGGTCTCACTAGTCTTTACCCCTCGCAAAATCAACAGAGGATGAACTTGGGTAGGCAAAAAACGCTTTTTGTAATTGATCATCATATTTCGGTTCGTTTTCTTGGTTCGTGCCAGCCAGAGAAGAAACCAGTAGAGCTTCGTTCCTCACGACCCCGCTCAGAGCGTGTTCTCGGTCAACAAATCCTTGAGCGACTCTTGCACGCGCTTCTTCATCGTCACCTCGCCGCAGCGCACCCACACGCGCGGGTCGTAGTACTTCTTGTTGGGGCCGTCGGGCTTTTCCGGGTTGCCGACCTGCGTCTCGAGGTACGCGGCCTTCTCCTTGAAGTAGTCGCGGAAGCCGATCATGTAGCCCCATTGCGCGTCCGTGTCGACGTTCATCTGTGTCAAAAGCAGACTCGACATCAGTCACGATGCCACATACCACTAGGGACGCAAGTGCACCGACCTTGATCACACCGTTCTGGACAGCGGTCGAGATCTCCTCCTTGGTCGAGCCGGATCCACCGTGGAAGACAAGGTAGCTGTTGGACCATGCTCTCGATCAGCAACGCCGCGAAAGAGAAAGCAAAAAAAAAAAAAAAAAACCTCTCATCGATTTTTCAACTTACATGGGAAGAGGGTTCTTGGACTTGAGCTGCTCGTGGCAGTACTTTTGGTGCTTGGCCAACAACTCGGGCTGCAACTTGACGTTTCCGGGCTTGTACACGCCGTGGACGTTACCGAACGCGGCCGCGATCGAGAACATGGGCGAGATGGGCGACAGCGCGTTGTGGATGTCGAGGATGTCCTCGGGCTGGGTGTAGAGCGACGCGTTGTCGACGCCGGTGTTGTCGACGCCGTCCTCCTCACCACCGGTGATGCCGATCTCCATCTCGAGCCATTGGTCGATCTTGGCCATGCGCTTGAAGTACTTGACGCACACCTCAATGTTCTCCTCCTTGGACTCTTCCGAGAGGTCGAGCATGTGCGACGAGAACAAGGGCTCGCCGTGGGCCTTGTAGTACGCCTCGTCGGCCTCGAGCATCCCTGTGGTGAATCGGGTCAGCTCCGTCCTGACTGCTTTCAACTTTGGTGTGAGCATGTCCGCACCGACTGACCATCGAACCAAGGCAAAAGCTTCTTGGCGCAGTGGTCAGAGTGGATAACGACGGGGCTGAAAAAGACAAGCAGTGCACAACATCAGACCCCGACACTTGCTGGTGACGGGCTCGCTGCTCGCTGCTCGCTGCTCGCTGGTCACTCACATGCCGTAAGCGGGGGCAATAGCGCGGATGTAGTGAGCGGCCGCGACGGCGCCGGCGATCGAACCCTGTTGCTGGTCGTTCTTCAAGCCCTTGCCACCGAAGAAGGCGGCACCACCTTGCGAGACCTGGAGGATCACGGGCGCGTTGGAGTCGCGGGCGCCTTCAAGCGCGGCCACGGCGGTCGAGGACGAGGTGACGTTCTACAGTTGATCGGAAACATTGCCAAGCGAGAGTCAGCCAACAGCGAGAGGGGGATCAAGCACCCGTTCGAACATGAGGTGCGGCTCGCCCCGGGAAGTGCGGTCCGTGCTGGTGCAGTTGAGCGCGCCGAAGCGAGTCGGAACTCGACGGAAGCCGGCCGTTCGGCGCGGGACAGGTCGGAGGGGCAGCCGAGCCCAAAGGAAGGACAGAGACTTGGGGGTCAGGGGGGGAAGGAGCGAGATGCGCAAAGAACTTACGAAAGCCTACGCATGACAATGCGCACAGCAAGATGACGGTCATCAGGGAAGGGTCAAACGGGGTCAGCTCGGGGACGCAGATCTGGATCGTCTTCGCTCTGTCGGTTCATCGATGAGGACGCCCATCGATGGGGACCACAGCCGTAATCGGATCAGCCCGCCGCGCCGACGTCCCCGTCGAGTTGGGAACGTCGTCGTCGAGGGCCGTGGTGGATACTTACGGGGATGGCGAACTGTGATGGGGAGGAATCGTTGGTCTCGAATCAGTGACCGTAGTCATAGCGACCTCCGCCGAGGTTGCCTGTCCGACGGAGCGCAACTCGCCGAGAGAGCCCCACGACAGAGCAGGAACGTACATGCTTCTCTCGGGCATAGTCAAAGAGCTTGACCAAGTTCTGGCCCGTAATGACGCCGCTGTGGGGATCCATCGCAATCATTGTCACAAGCACCGGTCAGCTGGGTGTATCCGGTGTGTGGGCCCAAGTGGGGCACGACGGGGTCGCCAACCGGAACACGCACGCCTGGCAGCGCAGGAACGCCAGACACACAAGCAGTACGACACCGACACAGGGTCAGCAACCTGAAAAAGTCAAAGCGCGGATTGAACAAGCGCATCATTTACTCACAGGTACGATATCGAGGACTCCCATAGTGATAGAATAGACTGCGGTTGAGGAGGTAGGAAAGTCGTGGAGAACTTGAATGCGCGTGGTGCGGCGGAAGCCAGGCCACGAGCGCTCCCACCGTCTCACGTCACTCGGATTCCAACGAGCTCGCCGATAAGCGGCAATTCACGTTGTTCGGCCGGCCTAGGTAGTCCTTCTCGGACACAGCAGTTCATCTCAAATCATTTCTTGTGTAGGATCATAATCGATGTCATGGTGGGTGTGATGGTCGTACCTGCAACCCAGGAAGGCATGACCAAGCCTCGGCGAACTCTTTCCTTTCTCTCTCGCAAATCATCCCGGCTAAGCACAAACGCCATTCGTCGCGCAAAATTTACTCAGATGAAAGCCTTTATATTCCACTCCCCAACGACCGCCGACTGCAACTCGATCCCCACCATGCTGCTCTTTTTAGGTGGATGCGAAACAAGAAAACAAGGGACCAAATCCACACCGGGCGACCTCTCGGGACCGGAACTTTATGCGGCCTTTCGACGGAACGAGCAACCTACGACAAAGCGACAAACGTATCCCCGGTCAGTAAACCGCTCTCGAACATGAATGGCCGCGGTGGAGATTGACGCACCTTCGGTAAGACGGCACTTTCCACCGGTCGGTTGGCACAAGACTTGAGAGCACGATCCGCAGGTGACGACAGTGTTGGCGTGGCTGAAGACGGTGTTGATGTTGAAGCAGCCTAACGGAACAGAGTAGTAGTGATACGTGGTCAGCCATCGATCCGACTTGACGAGCTCTCCAAAGGGTCAGCTTACCAGGGCACTTGACGTCCATGAAGTAGCTGTGAATGGAAATTTGGTGTTGAGCGACAAGATCGTTAAACTTGTGGCGGGCCCGACTCACGAGTTAGGAGCCTGTACCAGCCTCTTGAGCTTGTGGGTTCGCTCAGTGGTGGCGGCGGAAGGGTTCAAGAGGTCGACGGCGAGAGACTGTTGGATCAAGGGGGGTATCCCGAGGTCAGTATTCCACGGTATTGGATGGGTTCCATCGATGGAGACGAGGATTATGCGGTGCATCGAGAGGAGGTGGGTGGCGAAGAGCGAGCGAGCAAGCGAGTGCAACGTCAGGTGATGGATGAGCGTAGAGAGTAGGGCGTGGGCGTGGGCGTGGGCGTGGGCGTGGGCGTGGGCCAAACGCGTGCAGGCTCATTCCGACGGTGACGCAAGCCGGTCATTGCCGCACGAGCCGTCGATCTCCCCGTGCTGTGGATCCGATTTGTGCCACTTGGTAGACTGATCGAGTCGCTGCAGCTGTTCCGTCGTCGTCGTCGCTAGCGATGCGCCGACGCCAGCCCGCATCCCGCCTCAGCGACTGCTGGCTCTCACGATCTCACGCGATCGCACCGTCGTCGCAGCTCGCACCCGCGCCCAGCAGTGGCCCAAGCCCAGGCCCGGCTCGCGAGCCAGCACGCTACGGGCATCTCCACGATCCTACGCGCCCGTCCCAGGCCTCCCTGACCGCATCGGTTGTTGCAAACGTACCATATTGGGCTGCAGGTCCGGTCGAACGCGGTCGAGGACGGAGAGATGTGGCAGGTGAGGGTGACAAGGCGGGTGCGACGAAGAGGGCGACGACGACGACATCGACAACGCAGGCGGGTGGCAATTTTCAGAGACGACGACCAGCAACGACGACCGGGTAAGAACGAACAAGACGGGTGGGCATGGGAAGGTGTCAGTACGGGGACGCAATGTTCAAACTTGTTCAGCGCAGGGTGGACTGACCTTGTGTAGACGACGAGTAGTGGCAGAGGCGGGTCCAAGAGGTGAGTCGCTGCTGCATCCACCCGCTAGGCCTTTTTTCGGCCCGCGCGAATCCGGCGCGCCCAACCAGCCAACACCGGCCCGCAAGCGAGAGCGCGAGCGCGCGCCGGCCCAGCAGTAGCGAAGCGAGCCCATCTGCCTAAATACAACATTAGCCCCAATTCCCGCGCTGAGACCGCCGGCGACCATGCACAAGGCGATCAATTGAGCGAGTCGGTGGCTATCGCCGAGATCTTCCCCACCTTTTTTTAATGCAAAGCCCCACCCACCGAAATCAACGCATGGACTGCAACGAAAATAACCCGTAGATCGCTCCCACAGTATCACCTGATTGCGCACGGCACGGCTTGCCGAAGCAGGATGATTTTTCGGACTCAGACTTTCGACGGTGGCGCCGATCAAGACTTTGCCACTCTAGATCGCCACATGATCCGAAACCTACATCCCCGTAAATTGCATCTAAGAAACGTGAAATCTAAATTGCAATAGAAATATACCCCAACCCAGTGACAGATGTTGAATGGCCGTCTCGAGCCACTCGGGAACCGATCCCCAGATGGCGACAGACGAACCAAGTCACGCGACCACGACCTGGACCATCCGATTAATCTTTGTGATACCTCGACAGACAAAGATCGACCTTGGGTAGTCGCTCGGATTACGTCGGTCCCGAATTTACATCTGAAAGTGACAGTGAAGCGAGTGTAAGAGTGGCTTCGAGGTCAGTCAATCGCATTACGCCGAGTCGTCATAGCCGCGTCCAGCGGCCACGTCAGTCCGGAGTCCCGAGACTCGGCTGTAGGTCATGTGACCTTTCTAGCCGCAGCAAAGCAAAGGCAACGAAACGAAACGAAAGCACTCACGAAATCGTCGTAATCCCCCGAATCGTCCAACACCTCGTCATACGCTCCCGTATCGGCCCTACCCATACCCAACGTCTTGCTCGCACCCAGCATGGGCTTGGCCGCTCCCTTCTTCTTCTTTCCACCTCCCTGCGCCTCCTTCTGAGCCTTTTGCTTCTCGTTCGCCAGTGTGGTCAGTTTTGATCCGACGGCCTTGACGTCGAAGTCGTTCAAGGGCCCGCAGATCGATCGCACGAAGCTCTCGAGAAAGGCGGTGTAGACGGGCGATCCCGAGTAAGCGTTGACGAGTTGCTGGGCGAGCGAGGTGGCGACCGTTTCGGCGTCGACCTTGGTCACCAGCGGTTGCGAGAAGGGGTCGCTGTCTAGATACCCATGCAAGCTTCCTTGATTAGTTCGTGTGCTTTCGAGGCTGCAACCTTTTCAGAGATCAAGACCGACCGTTGACCGAACTAGCGCCAAAGAGAGCGGTCGCATTCTCCATATCGGCCTTGAGCATGGCCGCTCGTTCCCTTGCCCTTCGTGCAGCGGGATCACCTTCTTCTCGGGCCTGGAGTTACGGAGAGCTCAGTTAGCGTCTGCAAAGCTCATCCATCTTCGGTACATGTCCTACAATCCCGTCTCTACGCACCTTGGCAGCCAAAGCGGCCTTCTTGGCCTGTTCTGCGGCCTCCTTCTCTGCGATCTTTTGCTTCGTGATACCCTTGGCTCGAACAGGTGGTGCAGGTCCGGCCGGTTTCTTGGGCTTGTCGTCTTCCTCGTCATCCGAAGCATCCCAGTCATCCTACGAGCGCGTGGGGACCCCGAGACAGGAGCGTGTGCCGGATCCGACAAGCGTCAGTTTCGCGAGCACTCGCTACTTCGGCCTCCTCACTTGGGACACGACTGACCTTTACATCATCATCTGAAGCGTCCTCGTCGGCGAACTTGGACTTGATCGGTGCCTTGGGGGCAACAATGGACGCGGCACTCTTGGTCGTCTCGTCGTCGCTCGCGTCTGAGGACCGGCGGTGGAATGGCGTAGCAACACAGTGAAGGATCGCATCAGCTACCCTGGGTCCGTAGCTCAGTGTGACGATTATACCCAACCCAACTTACCCCAGTCACTCATGTTGTGCGTAGTGCGGCGTACGGGGTCGTGTGTTAGATGGCTGACCGGACCCGACAGCCGAGTGTTCGCAACAACGTTATCAAATTTTGAGCTCGGACCCTCTTCGGACCTTGCCGCTCATCATGTCGATCGCTCACGTCCTCAGAGTCGCTCCCAACTAGGACAAACTAGAACTCTATGGCCGCGGATAGGGTTCCGACACGCCATGACCCTTCAATCTATCACAAGACTGAAACTGACCAACATCATCTTCTCATTGCAGGCGTGGGTTGTAGGTAAGAATGACCCTGGGTGTGACAGCGACTCTTTAACGCAATACGCCTAGTTGGGACTTCGAGTAACAGAACAAAGGAGGAGAGCTGGAGCTTTACTTAGTGTAGGTTTCCCGTATTCGCGTCGTCATCTAGTCGAGATTTGGAGCTTTGAATGGTCGACCTTTGGGGGCTATCGGACGTCCGTCGCCGGCGCCCCCGAATTCGTCGTTCGATCAAGGCGAGCTGATCCGAGAGAAGCTTGATATCAATATCACAGTGTTTACACATGTCTAGTGCTGAACTTTTCGCTGTCCCCCAAAGCCGGATCTGCGAACAGATTTGGGCCCTAGCGATTCCGTGCTGACTGTGCTCGAGAAAGTAACTTCAACTTGTGTACTACAACCCGAACGAGCATGCTTTGGTCAGCCAGCCGTATTTCAAGACATACGAAAGGCTGTATTATGGAGAGCTTCGGTCTCAAACGTCGGCTTGGGCGAAAAGGTCGGGGCACGGTAGTACAAATCCGGTGCTTCGACTTGCCTGCGACTGGTGCTTGCGAGATCAACTTGGGGGTTGCAGAGGCCGGGACTAAAGTGGTTTAAGTCTGCAAGACCTCTTGCATCACTCTTTAACTAAAAACGAGCTTTTACCACAATATTTGAAGAGGACGCGCTATTCGAGGACTCGAATCAATCTAGTGTAGGCACTTGAAAAGACAAAATCAGTACGACGTCTCAGAGCTTCGCTTAACCGCACGTGACCTTGCCCCTGGTGACCGGTCACCCCTTAACCAATGACCCCCGCGGAGAGTGGTTTCTGGAAGAGTTGCAGTCGCTGTGTCTTCTCCTTGCAATGATGGCTCCGTGACCTAAGGCATATAAGACGGGGCAGTACACAAATGGAAAAATCATCGGGAGCTAGTGGGGCTGATGAGTCGAACATCGCTTCCAATCCGAGGCCCAAAAACTCGGGCCTCGTGCTTCACCAGTCCCGACAACCTGACAACGAGTCGACTAGGGCCGCTCAAGTTGGAGCGAGGGAAATTCGAGTCGCACTGCTTGGTTGCATGCATACGTGCGCGGGCGTGCTTCCGGAGCTCCCGTGGCTTTGAAAGGCGATCGGAGCCCAATGTGCAGCGCCTAACTTTGGGCCCGAGGCCTCGCGAGCTCCTACGATCGCACGTTGCACCCATCTGAGACACTCATTTGCCATTTGCTCGTGCTTCCTGCAAGGGGTGCTCATCAGGCATGAGCGCCATCCGTGTGAGATAGGTGGGGATGCAAGAGCTTTCACTGTCTCTTTTCCCTCTTTACCCAACTTCTCGCTACCCATAACATTTCCATCTCAGCTCCCGCCTCATCCGTCCCGTCCTTACCCCCTCCCCACACGGAGTCAGAATGATTTTCGCTCGCTCCGGTATCGTCGCCGCGACCTTACTCATCGTCCAATCGACCTTCTCGATCGCTGCTCCCTTGTCGGATAATACCGTCCATGGGCTCGAGAAGCGCATCTCTTGCCACACCAACGAGATTGCCGAGAGTGAGTTTTCGCGGTCAACCCTCGTCAACGTCAGTGCGGGGCAGCCGCGGCGATGGCGGCGTCGCATTCCCACTTGTTCTCATGTGCTTTCGAGCTTCCTCTCACCTCTTGCGCTTCGGACGGTGCAACTAATCAGATTAGAGTTGTCACGAAGCCGCGTTACTAACTTACTTCCTATGAACTCCGCAGACAACGCCTGCGTGTCTTGCGCCTCGCTTTATCCGAACGCCACGACTTGCAGTCGTTCGGAGCCTTTGACGTGCTCGTACGGTGTACCTAACTCCAAGCGCAAGTGAGTGCACTTTTCATCCTCACTCGTGTCCGAAAGGCCACCGAGGCTGACTTTCGACCCCTATTCACCGCCCTCGCCGTCTGGCAGGTGCGCAGCTGTAGACTGCACCAAGACCCCTGGAACCTACCTCAGCACCGATGGTGAGGATTCTCCTACCAAGCTCTCCCCCATCTGACATTCACTGTACTAACCGACTATACTCCTTTCTCTCTGTACATAGCCAAGCAGTGCCTGGCCTGCAACGACACCCATGCCCTGACGTGCAACAGCACTACTACCCTTAGTTGCCAAGCCAACTATACCCTCTACCCTTTCGACAATGTATGCTACTTTGGAAAACCATACTCCCAGTACATAGCCTATGGCTTGGCCAAGCCCTTCTCGTCAAGCCAGCAGCCGTTCTCCGAGGCTGTAAACGGCGATCCGGTACAATGTTTGATCGATCATCCCAAGGCACGCGGTGAGTGAGCCCGCCGATGAATTTTCCAAGTTGCTTGAGGTGACATTGCCTGTCGTCCTGATCCCCAACTGCTCCCTACTCGCCGACAGTCCTCGCCTTTTCGGGCAACCCCTATAAGTGCTATGGGCAGAATGGCGCCCTTGACCAGACCGTTCTCAAGAAGTCCGACGGGAACGCGTTCTTGATCCTCGCAAGTTATTGCGTAGACCTCGCGAAGAACCCATTCGTCACCGCCAACAAAGCACAGGGCGATTGCGAGCAATTTTTCGTTGGCCCTGACGGGACGGTGACAGGGGTGGCGAGGGGCCCGTAAGGGGTGTAATGTATCGGAAAGCACTCATATCTACTGCGCTCTCTCTCCTCTCTCTTGCGCTTCAGCCAGAAGCAGGCGTTAATTCATCGTGTGATTCTGTAGTCGGGAGTCGTCGTATCCTATACTAGTAGGGTTTCGTATTTCATTGTTCTTTGCTTTTGCTGCCAGCTCCTCTGGGTTCCTACCCCTACCAATCGATGCCCACATAACACACAGCGCTTGGCTTCGAGTAGTCCGCCGCCGCTGAGCCTCCCTAGCCAGTTGAAAATATTGAAGCGTGCCACCAGCTCAAGAGGGCGTGCAAGGCTCGATTTCCATAAGTGTTCACGCTCTTTAAGCATAGAAAGACGCTACTTTGGTACCAATTGCAAAGAATGGTGCGACCGAATCATTTCCGCATTCCACTAGACTGAGGCCCGAGCTCCAGACTCAGTTCGCGCTCGACCGTGTGGGAGAACGGGTCTTCGTCGCCTGCAGTGGCAAGTGCGGCGAGTGCGACGCGATGACATCAGGCACCTCATCCGGCAACGATAGGAGATATGAAGGGGACAAATGTAGCTTGAGATCCACTGGGGAAGGCTATATGATGCCGTCTACTCACATTGGATGGCTGACGGAGGCCTAAGCCTTCCCGCGTGATTGGCACCCGAGCCCTGCCGCGGCGTCGCTCCGAGGAGTCCGAGGTCCGAGGTTAAAGCAGAGGTCAACGCTGCAGAAGATCTCGTTATGGCGATTATGCACGGCAATGAGCCCCTAATCAGCAATGAGTAGGAGTGAGTGCAAGCAGGTATTGCGAGACGTGCGGGCCGCAAGGCTACGCTTAAGCTTAGTTAGTAATAACTAACTACGCCACCGCAAATAGTTAACTAACTATCCCAACTATTGAGGCATAGTTGATAGTTAGTTAGTTCTGGCTCGGAGGATATCATAGTTAACTATTGTAACTATGGCAACTATAGGCCCCAGTCGAAGTGCTGGAAGTGCAACACCAAATTTCCTAGGCACCTCAGCTAGTGTTCGATCAAACAGCTCCAGTGCAGCTCCGATACCCGAGCCTGATGAGCCAGGAAGTATCCGCCAGGTACCAAATTATAATTAGTAAAAACTGCTGCAGCGCTCATGCCACCCTTAGTTACTACTAAGTACTACTCCGCCCGCGGGCGAGGCCTGGTCCCCAGAGTCTTTCGCGCCCGCGCGCCAACTCGCGACTCGCCGCGGCCTTCGCGCTCAGCGCGAGACACGGGAAGTACAGGCGACGCGTGACGCGAGACGACGACGCGTTGTGTGACCTTGCTGCGTTCTTAATCTCCCGCCCAACACACGATCGGTTGCACCCAGCCTAATCAACCCAACTCTCCGACCCTCACGATTCAGTCTACAACAAAATGAATGGGACCCCACAACAACGCGCAAACCTTCCTTCCCCAGAGGAGGATTTGACTCCGACCCCCTTTACGGACGCCGTCGCCGAGACCGCCTTCCTGCAAGAACTCCGCCAGTCTAGTGATGAAGTACAATGGTAAGCTCGGTGTGTCGATCTCTCGAAGGCGTTCATGATCACACGGACTTGCGCCAAGTGGGACCACTGGAACATATCGGTCGTTCGCGACTTCCATCACACGAGCGGGTCCCCGACTTTGATGCTCTTGGGGACGTGCAAGACTCGTCCGCAACATCACCAAGTATCAAAGATGACGTTTGCCAGAGCGTCCAAGACCGGAGTATCGAACTGGTCTGAGGTTAAGAAAAATTGTGAAGCTGGAGCCGAGAAGAATGGTTCTGTGAGTTGGATCTGCAATGTGCGAACGGTACTTTTCAAGCATCACAGCTGACGCGTCGGCGCTGCAGTCACAGGAGAATCAGCCGAGCATAATCGCCGCATTTGTCAACAAAGCTAGATTGGCGACCAACGCGGTTCTGCACATTGCTACCTCAAAAGACCCTCTACTCCGTCTCGACCGGAAAGCAAGCGCTTATCTCAACGAGATGCTCCAGACGGCCAACCCTGCGGCTCAGCTTAGCAGCCACGACACGGTCAACAAGCATCTCAGGATCGTGCACGAAGCATAGAGGGTCTTTTGAGGTAGCAATGTGCAGAACCGCGTTGGTCGCCAATCTAGCTTTGTTGACAAATGCGGCGATTATGCTCGGCTGATTCTCCTGTGACTGCAGCGCCGACGCGTCAGCTGTGATGCTTGAAAAGTACCGTTCGCACATTGCAGATCCAACTCACAGAACCATTCTTCTCGGCTCCAGCTTCACAATTTTTCTTAACCTCAGACCAGTTCGATACTCCGGTCTTGGACGCTCTGGCAAACGTCATCTTTGATACTTGGTGATGTTGCGGACGAGTCTTGCACGTCCCCAAGAGCATCAAAGTCGGGGACCCGCTCGTGTGATGGAAGTCGCGAACGACCGATATGTTCCAGTGGTCCCACTTGGCGCAAGTCCGTGTGATCATGAACGCCTTCGAGAGATCGACACACCGAGCTTACCATTGTACTTCATCACTAGACTGGCGGAGTTCTTGCAGGAAGGCGGTCTCGGCGACGGCGTCCGTAAAGGGGGTCGGAGTCAAATCCTCCTCTGGGGAAGGAAGGTTTGCGCGTTGTTGTGGGGTCCCATTCATTTTGTTGTAGACTGAATCGTGAGGGTCGGAGAGTTGGGTTGATTAGGCTGGGTGCAACCGATCGTGTGTTGGGCGGGAGATTAAGAACGCAGCAAGGTCACACAACGCGTCGTCGTCTCGCGTCACGCGTCGCCTGTACTTCCCGTGTCTCGCGCTGAGCGCGAAGGCCGCGGCGAGTCGCGAGTTGGCGCGCGGGCGCGAAAGACTCTGGGGACCAGGCCTCGCCCGCGGGCGGAGTAGTACTTAGTAGTAACTAAGGGTGGCATGAGCGCTGCAGCAGTTTTTACTAATTATAATTTGGTACCTGGCGGATACTTCCTGGCTCATCAGGCTCGGGTATCGGAGCTGCACTGGAGCTGTTTGATCGAACACTAGCTGAGGTGCCTAGGAAATTTGGTGTTGCACTTCCAGCACTTCGACTGGGCCTATAGTTGCCATAGTTACAATAGTTAACTATGATATCCTCCGAGCCAGAACTAACTAACTATCAACTATGCCTCAATAGTTGGGATAGTTAGTTAACTATTTGCGGTGGCGTAGTTAGTTATTACTAACTAAGCTTAAGCGTAGCCTTGCGTGCTGCCGCCGGCTGGCATGTTCAAGTTGGCGCAACAACCTGGTACATAGCGGACTTCGGGGGGTTCACCCCACAGGTCACGTGACTAGTTTAACCTTTGCCGCGTGGTCATTACGAGCGTGCCGGCGGACATGCCGAGGATAGCCATCATCAACCTCATGGATCTTTGGCGGCGAGCTGCTAGCTATAGGAAGTGGGGGTGCGAACTTCCACGAACACGTGTCACGATGGGTGCGACCTTTCTTCCTTGTGCTCATCCACCTTACTACCTGCCTGTGCATCTAGAGTGACTTCACCTCCTAATTCACTACTCCGAGTCGGCGCTCGTCAGACGGTCAGAGTCAGACCGCTTGGAGATGTCTGTCAATTCGTTTGGTCTTCTACCGACACATGGCCGAGCACCGGGCAGTTGCGATCAGGCCGCATACGAGCCCGCGCTGAGGACTGATCACGATGCCGAAACGATCCAAGCGTTCCAAGCCCAGCAAGAGCAAGAGTGGATCAAGATCGATTACGCCCGACTCTACTCGCAGCTCAAGCTGGTACGCTCCGTCAAGGCGATTCGTTACGTCGCGATTATGGTCGTCATCCTACTCGGTGCTGGGGTCGTGGTCGCCGCGACCCTCGCCGCACAGTTTTATCTCGGAATCGTCGGACGAGTCCCCACGTTTTCAGCCAGGTTGGCATCCCGTACGACTCCGACCGACCAGCGAGTCGTCACCATGTTCGGACCCAAGTCGAGCGGAGGACTCGACCACTTTGACTTGGGCGTCATGATTTGGCATCGCAAAGGGGTCAAACCACTCAAGGACCCAAATTACCAGGATGCGGGCGAAGCTCCTGGTTTGTCAATTTGGATGTTCGAAGACAAGGGGCGGGTTTATGGCGAATTGGGATATGCCCTCAAAGCAAACTCAAACGGCTCCGTCAACGCGTGGGAGCCCGTCTTTCAGGGCCGTGTCCTCAAGCACGCCAGCATCTCCACGCCCCACTCGACCGTAGTCCCGATCACCATTCCTGGCCCTTTCATGTACGTCCGAGTATCTACATCCCCATCTTGACTTTTGACCCGAGAATTTGCCATCCACTGCAGCACCGATCTCGCCCAGAATCCTTGGTCGGAACTCGTCGCCACTTTCACGATGCTCCCCACCTCGAATGACGAGAAATCTGTCATGAGCACGCAAGATGCGGTGTTCAAGTCATCCCGTCCTCTGGACAGCTACGGATCCAATCACTCGTGGCCTCTGGCCTGGATCGATCCATTCGATTCGGTCGGCGAGTCCACGCCGCTCGACTCCTTCCTGGCACACACGGGTGCGGGCTACAGTCTCAAGCGATACGAGATGAATTTCACCGACATTGATTCGACAAAGGGTCCCATCTTCGATCTTCATTTGATCACCAGCACCACCCTGACTGCCGCTAAGGACTACCCCACTTACGAGCTTGGAGACTTCGAGAAAGTGATGCGGCGGCTCGAAGAGTCTAAAGTGAGTGGTCCCCGTGGTCCAGTCGCAAGCTCGAGCAGGAACGCGTAAACCAACGCATGATCGTGTCCTTACAGATCCAGTGCCGTCGTTTGGGATGGTGGAATCCAGAGTGCACACGGTCCTTTCGACGCGATGGGCACTTTGAGAACGTGATCAAGCTCGACTCGTCGAAAGACACGCCTTGGCGGTACGGCCCGTTCATGACCACCGGCTTAAGTGCCATCTCGAAGACCCACCAGGTGGCACTGCCTCGTATAGAGCTCAATTCGACAACTATAGCGGAAGGTGAGCTTCTTCGGTTCAAAGTCTCTGCATCGGGGCATCGCTGAACACGTCCACCATCCGTCCCAGACTTCAGATTCGACTGGCGGCTAGGATGGTCGCCACTGTCACCTGCAAAAATGGCGATTGCTGCGCGCCTACTGCCCGAGTGGAGTACGCACTCCGTTGACCCCTTCGGATACAAGCCACACGAGCGAGATTATCTAGAAGTTTTCCGTGGGTCTCGCTTCCTCCTTCGGTCGCAATAGCATGTTCCTCGGCGGACTAACCCCGAACGAGTGTGCAATCCCGCAGACAGCTTCGTGGGACAGAACTTCAATCCCCGCGCGCACCCGATCACCCGTACGGCCGTGGGCTTCCTAGCAATCATCTTGCATTATCTGAGTGTACCGTAAGTGTCTACGAATGCGTGGTAGTCGTGCAATCGCGCTTATCTTCGTTTTCGAATCGTGATGCTCAGATTACTCCTGCACTACTGGTTCGTACGATCTCATGCGGGCGGCACCTCGACAGCAATGTTCATCCTCTCCTACGGAAATATGGGATGGATGATGATTCAGTCTCTCTACGAATGGTGGGAGGTGGTGATGGTCTGGTTCATCCTCAAGATCGTGGTCCACGCGCTGTTGCTGCTAAGGCAGCTTACCTTGATCGCGCGTCTCGAGGTTCGCTTCGAGAACTTTGTGCCAGCTGCCATCAGGTTTCGACCCTCATCCAAACTCGAGCAGGAGACGAGAGAGGTTGATGGGCAGATTTCTTGGGTTTGTCAGGTCGCGGTAAGCCGATCATAACTTCGTACGTGAACTCGGCGGGCAAAGTTTGATCACGAAGTCTGAAATCTCGCAGTTCGTCGCCACATGTTTCATTTGCATACACTTCGGGGGAAGCGCCGTTCCACGAATTGTCCATTCCCCGATGTACCAAGGCTCGACGGACGATGTGCCGTTATGGTTCGGACGCAGCAAAGGGATCACTCGAGCCTTCTTGATCGGCGGATCGTTGGAGTCCAGCCTCTGGCTACTCGCCGCGCTGAGTCAAGTGAGTTCGGAGTGTGATGGCTTCTCCCGCAATTGATTAATCACGTCTTCACGACCAGATTCGCCTCAACTACAAGCTCCGATCCTACGGCGCCGAATATCGCACGACGGCCTATCTTTCTGCAGCTGCGTTGGTCTTGTCGCGCATCTCGTCCCTCTTCATTGGATGGTTCGGTCCTGCAGCCGCGACGTCACATTTCACGCTGTGGGACTTGATCTCTATGACGGTCGTTCTCAGTCTGGCGGTGCAAGCTTCGTCGTACCCCGGTATTCCGGGTAAACTGATGGATTGACATTCGAAGTCGCGGCTCGCACATTGCACTACGCCTAGTCTTTTCGTCTTGCACATCCTAGGAATACAACAAAAAACAACCCTCCCTACTCTACTCTATACTCAGGTCATAACGGAAGGCTTTTCCTTCCCCTGCAATGCGATCTCACATCTCTCACAGACGTGTCCGACCTCTTTCTCCTTAGGTACCGAGTGACTCCTGCATCGAGGACATTTGTAGTTCGTTGAAGGGGTGACGACGAGCTTCATACCTGATGGGAGAGTCATGTCGAATGATCGACTTGTCCCTTCGAGCGAAGTTCGTGACTCGTTCGCCGGGGAGAATACGACGTCGGACACGACGAAGAGTGCCGAGAGGGAGTCATCTGCGCAGGAGACTAGCATCAGTGATGGCGCACCGTGAACCTCCTTCGACGACAGCCCGTGAATGCTCACGATGCTTCTGCACGAGTGGAGACGTATTCTCAATCTCAACGAGTGCCTCCGTCGAGCTTCCGATCAATCTGCAGTAAAGAGGAACTGTAACTTGTTAAGCATGATGTCATCGCAGACATGCTCATTCTTTCGCCGACTGACCTCTCAGCGCGGGCTTGTTCGAGCAATCCCATGACCTGTTCCCGAACGATCAATAACTCGTCCATCTCATTTTTGGCCTCCGAGGACATCCATCGCTCATTCTGGAGTGTAGAAATCGAGTCTTTCGCTCAGTTCCGCTTCGTCATCTTCTTCGATGCGACAACTGACCGGCTCTTTCCAAAGCTTCTCAAACACGCTTGAAGCGGATTCCCCCTCCCCAGCAACCGGATCTCTCATCGCCCCTGTTGAGAAATGGTGAATCTCCTCCGCCAATAATGGAGCAATCGGAGCCAACACCATCGTATACGAGTCCAAGACGCGGTTCAAGATGTAGACGATGTGCTGACGTCGAGTCGAATCGATGGGATCGGAGTAGAGGGGGTCTTTTATGATGTCGAAGTAGAAGGAGGAGAGGGTCGTGTTGGAGAAGGAGGCGAGGGATTGATAGACTGGGGAGGAGTGAGGCAAGAATCAGCAGTGATGGCGTGAGTCAAGGGCTTGTAGGGTGAAGCACAACTCACCTCGACTAAAGTTAAAGATCTCGTACGCCTCTCGAGTTGTCTTTTCCAAGACGTAGAGTTCATGTAGGATATACCGATCAATCTAAGTGCGACCCAGTACATCCGATCAGCCTCTTCATTCCTACCCTCTCATCCCGAGGACTCACCAATCCCAATTGCTCGACCTCAATGTCGATCTCTGTATTCTTGGACCCTTCCGTGGCCGTCAAATTGCCCAAGATGAATCTCGCCGTGTTCCGAATCTTGCGGAAGGTCTCGAACGTTTGCGCGAGGATCGAAGGCCCGATCAAGACGTCCTTGGTCGAGTCGACCGAAGCGACCCACATCCGCAAGAGATCGACACCGTACGCTGGTTGAGTTTTGGGGTTCTACAGGTATGTGCCGACGACGAATTAGTCCCGGTAGTTCAAGGGCGAGAGCGAGAGGATGTAAAAGCTCACCTTTCCACCTTGAATGATCGTCGCGGGACTCAGCACGTTGCCCAAGCTCTTACTCATCTTCCTCCCCTTCTCATCCAACACCATGCCATGCGTCAACACATTCGCATAGGGTGCCTTCCCACTCCCATCTGCCGCCACAGCAGTCAACAAAGAGCTCTGAAACCAACCGCGATGTTGATCTGATCCTTCGAGGTATAGATCGGCCCAAGGTTTGCCTTCCTCTCCCTTGGAGGACCTGACTCCGAGTTCACGTAGGAGCGTCCAAGAGGTCCCGGAATCGAACCAGACATCCATGGTGTCGAACCCTTTGCGCCAGGCCCGACCTTCCTTCTGCGAACGTTCCAGTTCTTTGGGTTCGACGAACTCTTCGGCTTCCCCTATCCACCAATAATCTGTTCCTTGCAGGTGGGAGTCGAGGACGCTTATGATGTGGTCGACATTGGAAGGGGTGAGAAGGGGTATAGATGAGGCGATGGGGTCGGTCGCATCCGCAGGGTAGGAATAGACGATGGGTAGAGGGACGCCCCAGGCTCGTTGGCGCGAGATGCACCATTCGGATCGACCTCGGACGTAGGTCGCGAGCGTTTTATGACCTGGGGTCGGATCAAACTCCTTGGTCAGTACAGGTGTTTGCATGCAAGGGAGATCCAACCTACCTCGGGGAGGGTGGAACGAGACGTTTTCCAACGCTTTGACGGCATCATCCTTGACCTTTTCAAGATTCGCGAACCACTGACTCGAGGCCCTGTAACGAAGGTTCGGTAGGAACGATTCGGCACGATAAACATGTAGTGCATCCCCCTGAGATCTCATAGGACCGACCTGAAGATAACAGGCTTCTTGGTCCTCCAATCGTAAGGAAACTTGTGCACCGTCTCCACCTCCTTCAACAACACCCCAACCTCCTCCAGCACCTTAATCATCGCGCCCGTACCGTCTCCCAAGACACTCTTGCCCTCCAACCTCTTAGAGATCACCTCATCAACGGCCATCTCCTTGAGAACAGATCCGATCAATTTCCCATCCGCATCAACCGCACAAAGAATCGGCGAAGGCGTTTGCGAGGATTGAGAGGTCTGATGAGAGCGGTAAGCGTCGTAGTCATCTACGCCGTGAGCTGGGGCCGTGTGGACGAGTCCGGTACCGGTGATGGAGGTGACGTAGGAAGCGGGGAAGATGGGACGAGGTGGGGAGGGAGAGTTGGAGGAGGCCAGAGGATTGAGGTAGGTCGTTCTGAGAAGTGATGAGCCTGTAATAGATGTGGACGCGCCGTTTCTCATTAGTCATGGCGTCGAGCGGTTGTAGAACGTATCCCCTGCACTCACCTGAAAACTGCGCCACACTCTTCAGTTTAGTCCCAAAGATTTCCGACAACGCTTCTATCCGATCCGTTGCGACGACGAGCAACCTGCCCGGTTCCATGCCTTCGACGAGGGAATAGTCCATCGTCTCGGAAATAGCCACGGCCTGGACAGCAATCCATCAAGTCAACGGTTCGTAAAAAAAGTCTTGGCCAAGGAAGTTGTTGAGCTTACCACATTACTAGGCAAAGTCCAAGCCGTAGTTGTCCACACCGCTAGTTCGATGTTCCCCATCTTGCTCTCCTCCACCCCTTGATCTCTCAGAACCTCGACCAGCTCAGAGCCGAGTGAAGCAATTTTGAATCCGACATATACCGATCGGGATACGTGGTCCTCCTTGTATTCCAACTCGGCTTCAGCCAATGCGGTCCTCGATGAGGGTGAGTAGAGGGTCGGTCTTTGGTGGTTCACGATCAGATCTAAATTTTCCGTCCCGAGCGGGGTCAGCAAGAAACTTCGCTTTGTAAAAAAAGTATAATCCCAATCTCACCTTTCCTGACCATCTCCCTCACGACGCCCAACTGTCTCTTTTCATATTCCCACCGCAGCGTCTCGTACCTCCCCTCCCAATCGGCCATTACGCCAAACGTCTTGAACTCGTTCGTCTGCAACTCGACGCCCGCCAAAGCTTCCTTTCTCGCTGCCGATCGGATTTGTTGAGGTGTCAGAGAGGAGGCGGATTTGCCTAGTGTTGAGAGGGCTTTGAGTTCGAGGGGTAGTCCATGGGTGTCGTAGCCTGGGATGTAGCTGGGGAGAAGAGAAAGTAAGACTTCACCTATAGGTTGGCTTGCGCGCGGCTCCCCGAAAGCTAAGCGTACTTTATCCGGTATCCCGAGATGAGTTTGAAGCGATTGATCATGTCCTTGATGATCTTGTTCAACGCATGGCCTGTTAAAAGGTGTTCATGCTTGGCTAAGCCAGATCTAGTTTCTGCGAGGCGCTATAAAATTCCTGGCTTGCTGTGGGAAGGATCTACGAACCAGTGTGTAGGCTCCCATTCGCATAGGGCGGTCCATCATGCAGGACCCACAACGGTCGATCCTGATCCTGACAGCGCCGATAGAACCATACCAATACCCATCAGCATATACGCCCCACAGACCGTCTCCACTCCGCCTCGTTCAGCTCACCCCCACTTTCGCCGCTTCCCACCTCCAAACTCACCTTCTGCCACTCGTACAATCCCTTCGTACATCTCTCAAAGAACAAACCGTCCCTGTTCTTCGCGTCCGCACGAAGAGGGAATGCGGTCCGGGGTAGGTGGAGGCTGTTGGAGTAGAACTGCGCGAGGGGATCTTTGGACTGGGGTTTCGACTTGGGGTTGGTTGCGGAGGTGGAGCTGGTGCTGGAGGTGAAGGATGGGAGGGTCGTGTGTAGGCCTCGATGGCGGATAAAGAGAGGTCCTGTTCTGGATGGGACGGCTTTGAATCGTAGCATGGCTTCGGCCTGTCGCGGTTTGCGGGATCGCAGCGTTTGCCCCACCCAACGCTCACCGCGAAAGAAGAGAGAAGCGATTGCGAACAACGAAAGCGACCTCCGCAACGTGATCGAACCCCCGACGGCGGAATATTCAAGTCGACGAAATTGAACTCCTTACAGTCCATCTCTGAAAACGAATGCAATGCAAACATAAAACGAAAAATGGGCACCCCACACCTAAAAAGAGCAACTGCGTATAAGTAAGATCAACCCCCTCTGCCCTCATCCCACCCACCACCTCCTGAAAACCCTCTCCCCCCACTCCGCAATCGTCGTCACCTCTTCTGTCGTCGCGATCGTGCCCACAACACCTTCCACCGCCTCCCCAGATACTACTTTAGATCCCATCCCACCAGCGACCGTAAAAGCCGCCACAAGGGCGAGTTGACCCGTCACGTCAAGGAACGAAGAAAGGAGAGGCAAGGCGTACACGTCCGGATCGTAGTCGAGTTTCCATAACGTTGTCGCGGTGTAGTACGCCAAAGCGAGCGAGACGACCATCTGCGCACATGAATACAGTTGCATCAGCGCTTTCTCCACTTCGAGAGCCGCGCGATGAATTCAGGTGTGTGTCTCGTACCTGTACAACGGTCGCGACCAAGAACGCGCCAATAAAAGTCCAACTCATCTTGACGCCCGTGATCCAAGCGAACGGTAACAAGATCCACATCACCGGCGTCGTCAGAGCGAATAAGGCGAACGCGACCAGACCGTACGGTTCCCGGTGCGACGAATGTAGCGCCGTCGAGATGCGTGAGACGAAGATCGCGCCGGCGGATCCAGAGAGCGCGGTGAAAACGGGGGCAAACAGAGCGAAGCCTTCGAATCGATTGACGTAGGCTTCGAGCACCAAACCAGAGCCACTACGTTCAGAAGAGACAAGAGTCGAGTCAGAAAGAGGCGGTGATGCAGCAATAAAGGATGCAACGCACGATGAGATGGCCATGGCGATGAAGAGCGGTGCCCATCCGACCGTCAGCAACTCTTGGACGTAGGTGTTTCGGAATGTCAGCACCACGTTGACCGCGATCGCGACCAGCAGCAGCAGAAAGACCGCGGTCGAGACGAGCGTGCCTGCGCAGGAAGTGAGACATTCGTCAACCTATGCTGAGATCTGAGTTGTCCTGTGCGTCTGCCTAGCTCACCCATGAACAAGGCGAATAAAGAGGAGAGGCCACCGAGGAGAACAAGTGTGACCATGTCCCCAAGAGCCGAAGCGAGTGGGGTCGCCAGATTATCTGTGGGCTCCGAGTACGGTGAGGACATGCAAATCCCGATGAGATGCGTACCTTGGACTGACCAGGATTTATCTTGAGCCTCCTACAGAGCACGACGAGCGCGCACATGAAGCCGCCTAGAATAGCCGAGCTCAGCCCCGCGGCAAGCATGCTCACGCACAACACCAACAAGGCCTCGAAATAGCCCCCTCTCAGATGCTCAGCTTGACCAAGCTTATGGACCGGATGTTGGAGATGGTGTTGGACCCCACTACGTGACATGACGCCGAGGATAAAGGCGAGCAGACCAGATATGAGGGATACGATGAGTGCTTGGACTTGGATGAGTGCGAGGTTGCCGAGGACCAAGGCTCGGCGCGTGGGCCGGAGATCGAGTTCTCCGATGTTGGCCGAGGTCGAGAAACGAGCAGCTAAGTTCATCTCTGTGGGCGGGTCGGGCATGGTTGAGAAGAGCTTAGCGGCAGGCAGTTTACCTTGCAGCCAGACGAGAGAACAAACTTGCCGAGATTGCCTTTCAGGTTGAGGAGGATGGGGATGAGGATGAAGAGTTCCTCGATGCGAACAAAGACCCTCCACTGTTGCATGTGCTCGAGCAGTTCTCCGACCACGAGCGCCGTGACCATGCACAGCAACAGAACGGGGAAAGTCTGCCTCGTAAATCGGATCCGAGTCAGGAAAGAAAAACTTGGGCCGAAGCATGGATGATGCTGGCTCACCTGAAGCAACATTTCCCGCATCAGCGTCGCTTTTTGACGTTCCGAATTCCAACTATCCATGCTCGAGCTGGTACTCTTGCGATGCCGACCTGGTATTGTGTCTGTACTTGTCATCGCCTGCTTGCGCTCGGACGAATCACGACCCGAGAGCGCCTTGAAGCCAGGCAGACTCGAGTGCGCGTCGGTCATGGCCAGTTGATCGGCCTCGTCGTCGTCGGAGTTGGTGTCCTCGTCATCATGGTCAGCGTGCTTCTCCAACAGGGACTGTATCTCTGGTTCGTCATCGGGGTGTATCGGCGGTGGTTTGAGAGCGGTCGAGGCAGGCTCAGATGAGCTGTGTCGACCGAGTGTCGCAGCGGGTGCTGATATCGGAGGAGGTGGAGGTGGGGCTGCGAATGCAGGTGAAGATTCATCGCTACTGCCTCTTGTTGAGGACAGCGAAGGCACCATCGATCTCCGACGGTTCTGAGCTGAGCAAGATCCACTTTTCGCGTGTTCCTTCCTTGGTGCGTGCGAGAGCAAGTTGACGTGTTTGACGCGCTGCACGTCACGAGGCGCCGGAGCCGGAATTGGGGTTGAAACGTTGAAATGCCGGCCTACGACGCGAGGCTCGCGATGGCTTGGTCACGCGAGTGGAGCAATGGGCTGCGACCGCTCAAAAGGGGGAGAGTGGTCGGTTACCAGATCAGATTCCCTCCGAGATGATCGGTGCGACGTGGAAAGGAGAGAGGACAGTGACGTAGCTGCGCACGGAGCAAGAGCAGCGAAGGGCGAAGGGCTCCTTCGATCGGGCTTGCGCTCATAACCAGCTCCTCTCCGCTCGCATTCGACTCCTTTCGGCGGATTGGGTCGTACCGTCGCCCACTAGGTCGCACCGAAACTCACCTCGGGATTCGGGCTTGGTACTCCGACGGCTGGCCTCGTCGTTGTGCTCTCTCTCCGCGTCGGCATCGGCTCAACTCACCAAGTTGCTGCCTGGCTCACCCATACCACCACGGCTCATCCCGTACTGCAAGTTTGAGTGGCTTACAAAGGCGCCAAGACTCTCAATAGCTACGCTTTGTGTAAGTGATCACAAATCGCGTAGAACTGAGTGCGATCTCGCGCACGCAAGGCACATCCTAACCCCTCACGGCGTTCTGGAGTCGTACGAGACGATCTACCTTCGGCTACAATATGCGAAGCCCACGCGATACCCAATATACCGTCCTCCGGGCTCGCATGGCGTCTTGGAGTCCTACTGTGGCTCTCGACATGAGCACTCGAACCTCGGATTTGATCGCTCACGTGCATGTGTGTTGACCCCCCACAGCCACAACCCACCCACACCAACACCCTCACCAGGACCTCAGGACTTGCAAACATCAGACGAATGAATCGCACCGTCAGGACCTTGGCCTGAACCCGGAACAACATCCACTACCATGGTCCCCGCACCCGTGGCGGGCAAGACCCCCGCGCCTACCTCTACCTCCACCGCGACCTCCAACTCGGCGTCCAAGACGACCTCGACTCCGATGACACCATCAACGAGTACGCCCGCAACGAGCAACACGTCCTCCCTCTCCAACTCGCTCAGCTCCAATGCCTCGCCCTCACACTTGCGCAAGTTCTCCCTCCACCCGCCTTCGCTTCTGACACCTTCGTCGATCCTCATGACCATCGCCAATGGTTCCAGTCCATTGAACGCGACTCAGTTGGCCGACTTGCGAACGGTCTTGACTTCCGCTCGATTACAGGCGAACGAACGACTCGTCATTCGCGATTCCAACAAGAAGAATCTCGTGGATCGCCAACTGCACGAGAAGAAGGTGGCCGAAGAATCCGCACGATTGAAGGACCTCGAACGGAAGAAGAAGCGCGAGGAGGAAGAGAGGAAAGAGAAGGAGAAGGCACAAAAGATTGAAAAGGAACGGTTGCAGAGGGAGCACGAGGCGCAGGAGAGGCGCAGGAAGGAGGAGGAGGAGTTCAGGCAAATCAAGAAGAAGGAAGAAGAGTTGAAGATCAAGGAGGACGAGGAGAAGAGGTTGGAGGCGATCAGGTTGGCGAGGGAGGCCAAGGAACGGATGGAAAAGGAAAAGGAGAAGGAGAAGAAACGGTTAGAGGAAGAGGCTGAAGCGGCGGCACAAGCCATTGCGGCAGCGGCAACTGCAGCAGCCGAGGCGAAAGCGGCTGCAGAGGCCAAGGAGGCGAAGGAGAACGCGCATGAAGAAGCAGGGAAGGAGGATGTCGAGATGGAGCAAGCCGATGCTGTCGATTCCAAAGTGCTTGATTCAACAACGAGTGCGACTGCTCAAGGTGAGTTGGTCGAGCTTGGTAGGAGTCTGCCTCCCGCAAACGCTCAGCTTTTTTTTTTTCACCCCCCTCAGTCCCGACCATCAACATCGCCGGTTCTGTGGAGCCCGAAGATGAGGAAGAAGGTGGTGATCAACCTCGACCACCTGTACGGGACAGCAAAAAGAAGAAGCGCAAGCGTGATCAAGTCGTCGACTCGGATGACGAAGACGGCAAAGAGTCTTCCCACGACTCCGATAGCGATACCCAGCCGTCGGCGCAGAAGATCCGCAAACTTGACGCTCCTTCATCGGCGAGTGGTACATTGGGGGTCAAGAAAGAGTCGCCTACACCGAGCCCGATCATTCCCGTCACACCTTTGCGGGATGGACCGTCGACATCCGAAAGCATTGTCAACCCCTATGAAGGCCTGACGCCGATAGAAAGAAAACTGAAGGAGGACAAGTTTGTCAAGGTGAGCACCCAAACCTCCTTCCGGGCTAAGGAGGTGTGTGCTGATTATTTGATCCTTTTGATGTCGTCAACAGCATTCAATCCCTATCCGGCCACCCGCACCAGGGACTGCCACTGCATTTTACCTCCCGACCCAGTCGCTCGTCCCTCCCAAGCCCATCTCCATCACTCCGACACCCACACCAAAACGCCAAGCCGACGTCTCTGGCGACTTCTCCACCGCCAAACCCGGTACCCAAATCGCTCATCACACATTCCACACCTGGGCCGACGCCTACCTCCGCCCTTTTGGGGAAGACGACCTCGCGTTCCTCGCTCCCAAACCGGACGATTGGGCACCTTATTTCATCCCACCTTTGGGGAAACATTACACCGAACAATGGGAAGAAGAGGATCATGATCTACCACCCTCGAATACAAGTCATTATGCAAGTCCATTGGAACCGCCTCCTTTACCGAGGATCAAATTGGATGCGTTGAATGAGGACGCGTTGGGCAGTGAGGTCGTGACGTTGGGTCCGTTGAGTGAACGGTTGGTCGCTGCTCTGGCGTTCACGGGGGGTGGGAGAGGGGAGAATGAGGATGATGAACCGAGTGGGACGAACGGGATGACGCACCCGAATGGGACGGGGTTGGACCTCGCGGCTCAACTTGTGGATCCGGGCGCCCAGACTCGACCCCTCGACGCCGTCGAATTGGAAGAGCGTATCAAGCGCGAACTTCGCTTCATCGGTCTCTTACCCGAAGATGAAGTCGATTGGTGCTCCCGAGAAGACGACGAGATCTCCTCGGCTTTACGATCCTGTCAAAGGCAACTACATCGTCAGACGATGGTGAATGAAGCGAGGAAAGTCGTGCTCAGCGGGATCGTCAAGGATCGGATGGCGTATCAGGATTATGAGACGACTCGGGATGCTCAGGAAAGGGTCATAGAGAACGGCTGGTTGAAGCGACAGAAAACTCAAGTCAAGAAAAAGGGCAAAGCTGCACGTGATCGCAATCGGAACAAGAAGGATAAAGAAGTTGAAGAAGATGCCGAAGGGTTGGAGGGTACGGGTAAACAACCGTTGAGTTTGAGTTTGTTGCAGGCTGTGGATCGGCGACATGTCTTGGTCGAGAGCTTTAGGCCTTTCTTTGAGGAGGAGAAGGCGGGCAGGTTTTGGGGCATCCCGACGACGAGCGTCTACGAAGGACTCGTGGAGGAGACGGAGGAGGGGGGATTGAAGGGCGAGTTGGTTGAATGAATGATGGAATACATACACTTTGTTGATCTCAGCTCTTTTTGAAAATTGAGCGGTTTGCGCTTATACAACTTGGCATTACAATTCTACGCTGGGCAACAACCACGGTCACTGAAACCCAACAGGCGGCGGGGGCGGAGGTTGTTGTGCGAACCCTTGCTGCTGGTAATGTTGTGGCGGCGGGTATTGACCTCCGAAGCCAGGAGGGGGAGGAGGAGGTTGGAACATCCCCGCTTGACCAGTTTGAAGTGGTGGGCCGCCGGCCATGCCATTCGGTGGTGGTGGAGGAGGCGGGACGAACCCCGGGTACCCTTGACCTGGTGGTTGACCGTAGGCGTTGGCTCCGGAAGGTGCGAATCCAGGTGGTGGAGGTGGAGGAGGGGCGCCCATCCCGCCCGTTTGTGCGTACATCCCCGGTGGAGGAGGGGGCATCCCCGGCATCCCTCCGAACGGTGGGGGAGGAGCTTGAAACATGGCCATCGCGTTCGCTCCCGTCAAACCTCCAGGCCCGCCCGGAGGTCCACCAAACATCCCCGGTGGCGGAGGGGGATGCATCATCATGCCCATCGGCCCTCCCGGCCCTCCAGCAGAAGGTAAAGCATTATTCTTCCTCGCTTGAGCAGCCAATAACCTTTCCGCGGGTGTTCCATGGCGTTCGCCTTTGGAGTCCTTTTTGAATGCGTAGGCGACGGTGATGGGTTTATTCATGAGGAATTGATTGTTCATGGATTCGATCGCCGCGTCCGAGGCTTCGAACGAGTCGTACGAGATGAAACCATAGCCTTTTGAGGCGCCTGTCGCGGGATCTCGGGCGATCTGTGGCGGGGAATGAGTGGGGTCAGAAACTGCTTACTGGGTGACGGATGAGGGACGTTGGGATTTGCACTCACGGAGGCGGGTTTGACAAGCATGCCAAAAGCCATAAAGGTGTCGTACAACATGCGTTCGTCGACGTTGGGGTCCAAATTGCCGATAAAGAGGTTCGCGCCAATGTCGATTTGTTTGCGATCCGACGAGGCCTGCACGAGGGGCGAAAGGGAAGAGTTTAACGCCAAACGCCAACCCGTGACACAAAAGTGCATTCTTGTTATCGGCTTACCTTGTTTACACGTATCGGTTTGCCATACAACTTGATCTGGTTCATGATCTTGCACGCGTAGTCGGCGTCCTGCTCGGTGAGGAACTCGCAGAAGCCATAGCCCTGGTGGGTCATTGAAATGCGATCCTTGGGCAGGTGGACGTTCACTGAGGAGAAACGATCGTTGTGAGTTGTCGGAAGGTAGGATCAAGAGTACGGGCGCTGTGGCTTACCGACGGGGCCGGCCTGCAACATGAGTTCCCACACGAGCGCATCCGTCGCGCGTTCGTCGAGGTTGCCCTATGTACGAGATGGGTTATTATAGGGGTCGATGACGAGCTAGAAAGTTGAGGATGGAGAGGAAGTACTTACCATGTATACGGTCGCCTCTTGGTTGCGGTCATCCTGAGGTTTGCCCGACATGATTGCACACGACCAGACTCACGCGCGGGGCAAGGGGCAGGAGGGGAGGAAGCGGGGGACGAGAGGGACCCGTAGAGCCGGGACCAACCGATCCGATGGCTTGCTGTGGTACGCAAGTAGGCGGAGGAGACGGAGAGGGCGAGGAGAGCGTGTGGGGTGCGACAAGAATGAGAGAGGCGCACACGCTCGCACACGCTCGCACACGCTCGCACACGCGCAGGGCCTCGCCAGGGGTCGTTCCAGTTCTTTCCAGTTCTGGCTTTGCTCTGCCCTGCTTCTTTACATTCGCGCGCCGCCGTATCCACATCAAAAATACGCATTCGGTTCCGTCCTCGCACCTTTGGCTCATATTTGTGCTCAGACCGTAACGCGCTCAAACACCTCTCCGCTCAGCTGGACTGTCTCGCAGCCGCTGCCTCGAGCCTACCTCCGCATACTCTCCCGTATAACCCTCCCCCCCTCCCCCGCTGCAATCCCAACTCGCGCCGACCATGCCCAGGGAAGTCGAACCCTCCATCAATGAATCCCAATTCCTGCACCACGCCCTCTCCCAAGGCCTGCGCCTCGATTCGCGCCAGCCGTACGAGCTGCGAACGATCGAGCTCGACTTTCTGCGAGGCTCGTTGGGTGCGGTCGAGTGTCGGTTGGGGCAGACGAGGTAGGCATTCGTTGCACCGGATTGCAAGAGATCCTTTTAGTGATTCAGAAGCAGCTCATATTGCCCCTCGTTCATGTAGAGTCCTGGCCCAAGTCTCGGCCGAGATCGTCAGGCCGCTACCCGATCGACCGTACGAAGGCTTTCTCAACGTCTCGACCGAGCTCTCTCCCATGGCATCCACAAATTACGAAGCCGGGAGGTGAGCCACAGCTGGATATGGACCCGTTGCCGATTCCCATAAGACAGACTGGCTGATGCAAGTTCTCTCCGACGTGCATCCCTGACTTCACAGAACATCGGATGAGCAAACCCTCCTTACGAGGCTACTGGAAAAGACTTTACGGAGAAGCGAATGCGTAGATCGAGAAGCATTATGCATCGTCGCTGGGCAAAGGGTAGGTTCGATCGTATCGACAGAGAGCAGGGTGAGATGAAAATCTGATCCTTTGCGCCCGTGCGCACAGGTGTGGTCTATTCGAGTCGATGTACACTTCTTGGACGATCAAGGCAATCTGTTGGATTGTGCATCCATTGCTGCTATCACGGCTTTGAGGCATTTCAGAAAACCGGATGTCCAGGTCGTCGGGGAGGAAGTCATTGTGGTGAGTCGTGACACTCAGGGGTTCACTCGAAGACGCCCTAAATTTAAGTGTGATGTGTTGCAGTACTCTATGACGGAGCGAGTACCGGTACTCTTGGCGATCCACCATACTCCGATATGCTTGACGTTTGCTTTCTTCGGTGACGAGTGAGTTCCGGAATCCACCACCCGCAATCTCAGGCTTCTCATTTCGTTCTGTGAGCGTACACACTCATCTGACCCCCTCCCGGACCCCTCTCAGTTCCACCCCCCTCCTCGACCCCTCCCTGCTCGAGTCTCAACTCTGTTCCGGCACCTTGACTCTAACCCTCAACGCCCAACAAGAGATCTGCGTACTTTCCAAGGCCGGTGGTGCACCCTTACCCGCGGATGATATCATGAAGGTCGTAATGATCGGAACACAGAGAGTCAAGGAGGTGGATGCGTTTATTAAGAAAGAGTTGGAGAGGGATGAGAAGAGACGAAGGGTCGAGGTGCGGTAGTGGAGAGAGGAAGGGGGCCGGTGAGGCCGGGGGAAGGAGAGAATTGTGTGATCATGCGATTTGAAAGAGGGATCGTCTCCGTTTTGCGTATGAACCTCGCACCCAGTCGATGCATCTCAAGAGGGGTATGCTCTGCCGAAATCTCCCCGAGAGCAACTGTCGCCGAGTTCACCATGGACATGAATCACGCCGGAGCTCCCAAGCCTGGGCTCGGCCGAGATGGTCACTCTGATCACCATCCTTTCAGGTCAGGAGGAAGTGGATCCTCGGGTCAGATAAGATGGACCGCATTTACCTACTCGATCAGGATCAGCTGACTCCAAGCAAGAGCGAGCAGGTACCTCGGCCCGTCGAAGCACTCGGTAGAAATTCACCAGCTTCGAACACCGCCGACGAGTCGCAGGAGCCTCTCAAGCGCGTCCGTGGCTGTGTCGACATTCGAGCGGCGAGCCGGCGGCGCATCGATGTCAACTTCTACCGTGTACCTAGGTATTCCAGCCGAGGTGTGAACAGAACTGTGCAAGGATGACTTGTAGGTTGATATACTCAGGGACCTACATGTACTGAGAAAGAGACTCGCGACCCCTGTGAAGACCGAACTTCCACAGCAGCGAAATTCACCGCTTCCGGCGCTCGTCGATGACTGCAAGCTGGCGTGCGCCAAGCCTACCCCGCCTCTGGCCTGCAATGAGTTTTCGATAAGACAAGAAACGCTGGGCGAAAAAGGAGCTGGTCGCAGCTGATAACGAAAGGTGACACGTAGACTTACCACGCTGGTTCGAAAAGACGTTTGTTTGTATTCTCGCGTTGCTTCGTATAAAAGTTAGTTGTTGTGGGATTGCATAAAGCTTTTCCCGACTTTCCCGAGCTCCCAGCCCTCTCGATCACTTTTTTGTGGTTATGATCGGCCGCCGATCAATCCTTTTTCCTCGCGGATGGAGAGGGGGACCGTGCCCACCGCTTCTTGAAGAAAGGTCCCCGGCTGTAGAACACCTTCGTCTTGTCTCAGCGATCGATGTCTAAGACTTGCAGGAGCAGTGCTAGGCTATGAAGGACCAACTCAGACCAGTGCAGGACCTGATCCGAAAGCGCGCTTAGGCCTGAGACTCATCGCCTCGAGCCGAGCCATGGGCTCGTAGGCGCGGAAGCTAGCCTCGGGGCGATTTTAAGCGGCGGCCGGTGCATGGCGGTGTCCCCTGTTGTAAGGTCAGAGGTCACGGGTAGCCGAATGTGAAATGGGAATGCACTTCCGAATCTCTGCCTCTCTTGCTTTCCGTTTACTCCTTCATCCAACCGAATTATCATCATTCTTGTGATTCGAGGTCGAAGAAAGCCCAGCTATTCACGTCGACTATAAATTACGGTCTAGTTTCATCGGGATTCTGGAGCTCAGCGCGACGCGCCCGCCTTTCAAGTCCGTGTCTGAGCACTGTCTGAGCCAGATGCACGCGCAACTGGTAGGCGACCACCTCGATCAAGCGCTGTTCCTCCTCCGACGTTCGAGCTTGCCAGGTTCGTCGTCATCGTCGCTCCTCAAGTCCAAGCACCTGCTCCACCCTCAACACCACGACGATTTCCGCCGTCCCAGGATGGCAGCCGTGATGATGCGTGCGATCGGTGTCAAGTCCCCGTCGTCGTCGTCGTCTTCGAACGGCGCGGCGGAAGGTGGTTCATCGACCTCGACGGCCACGGGCGAACAGTGGGACGGTCAGTCGCTCGCTCGCCAGACCTCGCGACTGTCGCCCCCGAACCCGGCGCTCGTACCGGGACAGAAGATGGGCATCTTAATCAAGTCAGTACTTTGCATCATGTGATCTTCCTGTGGCCAGCTGCTCCTTGGGTCGCGATGTGGTGGTGTGATGGGGGCACGTGCGACGGGTGACTGGGCGACTGACGAGGCGACTAGCAGCTGGCACGGGCTGGGCTAGGCTGGCCCCGAGTGGCCTGGGCCAAGTCACACTCCGCTCCGAGGTTCGCGTTTGCGAGTCGCCGTCGGGTCTTCGATTGGCCTAGAGCGGCAGAGCGGGGTACAAGTCGGACTCCACGGCTGTCAATCACCGATTACGGCGCCGTACACGACGACTCAGGATCACCCTTCCAGTGTCGCGTCGTGGACCCAAGTACAGACCCAAGTACAGGGTACATCGTCCATACGGGTACCGTCTTTGGGTCAATGTAGGGCCTGTATCTTGTGACGCTGCCCCAAGACTGCCTTAAACATGACTCGATGGTTCGGATTTAGACGAGCAGATCGCTGACCTCACCCATTGCCTTTGCCCCACCTTCCTCCTCTGATTGGGTTTGCATCGAAAAACCCCTCGCCTGACGCACTGCCCCACGTCATTCCTCCTATCGCGCTGCTATAATCGCACCTCATTCTTGCTGCAACGGAATGGTCTTGCCCGGAACACCCTCCAACAGCGCCCTGAGACCGACTTCATCCGAGACGGTCTACACCCTCAACGGCGCGGCCGGCTCCGCCTCGACTTCCTCTTTGTCCGACGGCGCTGCCGCTCTAGCTCCGGCCCCACTAGATTCCACGCTCGCCTCCTCCGCCGTCGGTTCCGAGCTGCGTTCGTCCGTCTCCTTACCTGCATCGGCCATGAATGATGCCCAAGATCGGGGTCGCTCGACGTCGCGCGACGCTGCAACGACCGTCACCCGGCCTTCACCCGGCGCCCGCGGCAAGTCCGACGTCACCGGCCGCGGCAACGCGACCGGCGGTGGTCCCAAAATTCGTTTCGCCCCTTTGCCCGAGATTCGACAGCGAAGCTATAGCACCGGGCGCAACATTTGGCTCGCCGACGGCGGGTCCGATCCCGGGGAAGCGTCGAAGAGGGGCATCGTCATTCGTCGAGATGGCGATACGGGACCGCTCGACGACAGCGCGCTCGACGACGACGATGAGGACTACAGCTCTTCCGACGACGAGAAGCCGATCAAGACGATGTTTGGCAGCTGGAAGACGGATCTCACCTTCGGCGTCATTCCTTCGTCCTCTTCTTCGGCCTCGAGGTCGGGCCAGGGCGACGAATCGTCCTACTCCAAGCTGTTGCGCCCGCTTTCGTTCGGCATGGTCGGTAAAAAGGAGAAGAAGAAGCGTTCCAAGCGACCGAATTCTGTCGACGGTCGATCGAGTTCCTTGTCGCGCACGTCCTCGAACGATTCCGACGTCTCGAGGGGGACCTCGGTCGGCTCGTACGATGGACGAGGCACAGGGATCCCGATGCGCAAAACGGCGACGTGGGAGTCCAGTGATTCGATCGGCGCCAGTCCAGCGAGGGAACCGAGAAGGGCCAACTACCCTCCCGTGGCGCAACGATCGAGGAATCGCGCTAGTCAGGCTTTACCGTTGTCGATTTCGGCGCCCGATTTCAACGAGTGGGGTACGGCGGGGAGCGTCGGATCGTTCACGTCCAAGTTGGGCACGAGCGCTGCCGACGACGATGATGGTGGAGGCATGGCTTGGATCAAAAAGCGCCGAGCGCAACGAGAGGCCGAAGCCAAGCGGAAAGCCGAAGAGGAAGAAGCTGGGCGCAGGCGACTCGAGGACCAAGAGGTCGAGGAGGCGATGAATGGCTTGGAGGACGAGGGCGTAGATGGACCTGATTTGGCCGACACAATGGAACTTGATGATGGCAGAGAGGACGGTTCGATGGGCGTGGACACACCGACGGCTTCGACTCCGAGAAAGGCCTTGCAGCTGGGCAACATCACAAGCCATATCGCCGCTTCCCAGAGGAGGGACGGTTCGTCGAGTGCGCTGTCGTCCGCGACCACTCCCGGGGTGTCGCAGATGCCCAAGATGGAGAACGGAACGTTTGAACCAGTTGTCGAGATTTCCCCTTCCAGTGTCGAACGTTCCGGATCCCCCGAGCCACTCGGTACTGCGACGATCGTCCAACCTACCCCCGTGTCACCGACCACAGCCAAGATGGCCGCCCTCTCGCTCCAAAACTCGGATTCCGAGACTGATGATGAGGACGAGGACGACGAGGACGGCGATTCTCAACGCGGCGACGACACCGATTCGGATTTGGACGAGGAAGAGTTGGCCAAGGAAGAGGCGTTGGTCGAAAAAGCTCGAGTGACGGCCAAGTCGGCCGGTGCGGAACGCTATCATTCGGCATCGCATCAATCCGCCGTTCTGACGCCCCATGCGCGATCGGGAAGCATCTCGAGCCACGTCTCGAGCGTCCCTGGTTCGAGAATTCCAACGCCGAGTCGGCAATCGACCTTGACCCAAGCTGAGGCGGGTGCGCTCTCCGGTGGGGGTGTCGTGACTGGCGGATCTCGTGGGCTTGCGCCAAGTCGTCAAGCGACCATTACCCAGGCCCACTTTGACGAGCTCGTTCAGCAATGATAGTAATCTCGTTTTGGCTGCACACCCCTACACATCATGTATCACTACATTGTCCTTGTCGACCATCCAACTCGTTTTATCTCTCTTGCTTTCTCAGGGGGTTTGTCTTCTTCTGTTTTTGGAGCGACTGCTTCTCATTTTATATTCACTTCGTATAGCGCTTTTAGTTAGGTTCACAGGGTCTTTTATGAGTTGATTCTATGCGTCGTTCAACTGCTTGTCTTTTGGTTCTGGGATGTACGTTCGTTGTCCTAGTCTTGTGCAACTATGTATTTTTGTCTGTAATTTTGTCGCCACTTCTTCTGTCTTCTCATCCAGAATGGGCAGACAATCTTCGAGAGTCATCATGAGTGGATATCATGTTATTTCAACTTTCATGTACAAAGGAGTCATTTTTGGTTTGAATGTGAACTAGGGACATGATGAGAGCAAGGAGAGAGAAGCAACAAGACTGTATACTATTTCTAAGAGAACACCCCTGGGCCTGGTGACGCTATCGATCCTAATTAAAATCTCCTAGGCTTCTGAAAGAGAATGAGATACACTGGAGGTGCGCGAGTGTGGCGGAGTCCTATTTTGAGGAGAGAACTTCCTCCTCGCTTTGGTACAAGATCGGTAATGCCGATCTTTCAGCAGAAGATGCCACCCCCACCGAGACCCAAAAGCAGTTCCGCGCATTCGCGTTCCTGATCGACCATGTCGTTCGAGCAATCCTTCTTGACCATCGACGCGGCTCCCTTCCCACCGAGGGCGAAGTAACTCTCCGCCTCGAGCTTGGGTGTCCCGAGTCCGGACGTGGTCGAGGTCGTGCAGGTCGAAGAGTAGCTCAAATCGCCCATCGAAGACGAGCCGTCTTCATGGTCGTTCTCGTCTACACTTTCCTGAGGCGACGAAAGCGCTTCACGAGGGGACACGAAGCTCTTGGCATCGTGGGCCGACGAAGAGCCGGTATCGATGCGCAACATCTTGCGTGCTGCAGTGTGTGTCTTTTCTGACGAGTTGGCGCGTCGGGGTCCGTTGTGGCTGTTCGATCGGCAAGGTGCGCCTGCCGAGGACGAACGACTCGTCGTTGAGCGACCACCGGATGATCCACGTCGCGAGGGTTTAGTGGCTGCTGGGGCGGTAGGCACGGCCGAGTACGAGGTCTCGAGCACGCGTTGACGCTTCCTCTCGAGAGCCGAGACGGCGCAGGCTTCTTCGCCTCCTGCTCGCGAAGTTTGCGAGGTGGACGTGCCGCCCAAGGAGATGGCTCGAATGGGGTTGGGTCGACGACTCGAACGAGCGTTGATCGACGCGGCTGTAGCGAGCGCAGGTTGATCGTCGTACATCGCATCGATGTCGAAGGAAGGGGCGTCCTCGGAAGAGAGCATCATGTGGCGAGAGGACTCGGTCTCATTCTCGGCCGACTGCGCTTGCGCCTGAGCATGGGCGAGCATCATCTTCCTCGTCAACGGCGCGGGGGATTGGTTCGGCGACGAAGGCGCATCGGACTGCATCAATCGCCATACCTCCTTGTCGTGCGACTTGAACCCTCTCAGGACGCTGGGTGTGGCCGTCGGAGCACTCGAAGCGGGGAACGTCGACGATGTCGGTGACTCGACTCGCTGGGTCTGTTGGGATTCGAGCCAGACTGCGCTCGCTCGACCACACTCGCTCGTCTGCAAAGAGAAGGATTCGCTCGTGTTGCTGTTGATGCTAACGTTGGACACGGTGCGTCGAAGTGTGGGCGCCTTGAGTCGACCATCCTTGCTCATCGCAGCAGAGGAGGAAGCAGTCGTCGCGGTATCGGGGGAGGATGGGAAGTTGAACGAGTGGGGCAAAGAAGGTTTGCGCGCAGTCGGGGCGTGGGAGCCGAGCGGCCTTCGCTTGACGTGCTTCTTGGCCGCGATGACGCTCGTTGTCGAGGACCGATGCTGGAACTGGTCGCGCGACTCGTTCGTCGTGGGCTTGACGACGTAGACAGGGAGGGGAGGGGTAACACCCGATGATACGGCGGCCGGGATCGTGAAGGTGTGGCGGATCGGGGCCGTGCTGGCGGCGGAGATGTGCCATGTGTGGAAAGAGGATCCACTAGCGTTGTTGAGGACACTCGGGAGACCTCGAGTGGCCGTGGTGGCCAGAGAAATGGACGCAGAGTCGGAGGAGGAAGAGGTTGCGGTTGGCACGGCTTGGTTCTCCTTGTCGGCGTCGGGGCGTCGGTAGATCTGCTCCGACGATGGCAGCGATTCGAGGGCCTTGGCATCGAGGTAGGACCCGCCTCGTGCGTGGCCTCTGACTTGGGTGTGGTGACGATGAGGCTCTGTCGGTGATGGTCGGGGTGGGGACGAGGACATGGCAAACGACAGGCCTTCGAGGTCGGCGGCATCACGGTCCTGGTCAGTCGCGCTGCCTTCGGAGGAGTCGCCCGAGGTGCCAAGGTATGCACCGGCATCCTTCTTTTCTTTTTGTCTGTGGTGGGGATCCGAACAAGATGTTAGTTATGCCACTCGTCGTGAAGAAAAACTTGATGTGAATGTGGGTGGGTGTGTGTGATGGGTGACGGGCAAGGGGGAGAAGCCATCTCGCAGGTTGAGCGAGCGAGCGCCGGGGGCAACAAACGCGCTGAGCCGCGTCGGGCGGCCGCTGGGAATTTCGGGGCGCGCGCGCGACGACGACGCGGAGACCAGAGAGGCGACCGAGCAGCACCCGAGCACCGTCCGAACGGCGAACGAAGCAAACAACCCAAACACCCCAAACACCCGGACCCCTTCTTGCTCGAGAAGAAGCGCAACACTCACCTCCTGTTTTGGAACCACACTTGTAAAGCCCTGCCCGTCATGCCCAGTCGAGCGGACAGCGCGGCTCGTTGCGCCTGGGAAGGCAGCGGGTTGGCCTGGAACTCGGCTTCGAGGATGCGCAGCTCGTCCGGTGAAGTACGCCGACGCCGCTTGGGGATCAACGGGTTGTCCATCGTGCCCGCCTGCGACTGCGACTGCGACTGCGACTGTTGAGATTGCGACTGGGAGGCAGGATGGGCGTAGACCGGTGGCCATTCCTGTTTGCTCGCAGTCGTCGAATCGGCGGTGGTCGAGCCAGGCGACGATGGCGAGTGCGAGGGCGAGGGTGCGACCACGGCGGCGAACGCGGCTCGGTCGGCGGGGAGCAGTACAGAAGGGTAGTTACCCGTCGACGTCGACATGATAGCAAGGAGCGTCGAAGTAGAAGAAAAGAAACACAAGGGAGCGAGACGGAGTGGGAGGATTGAAGAAGCAAGACGCGGTGTGTGGTGTGTGGGTGGGTGGATGGATGTGACAAGTCAAAAGAGACGGGCTTGCGCCTGCAAACACGTCCCTCGTCCTCGAGGCGCGTTATAAGCAATCCGACGAGTTGAATGAGCTCCCTCCTTCTGTGCGCGCGCCTGCCTGCCTGCGCTCGGACCCATCCTTCACGTCCTCTCCCCCACAAGGGTCTCAGTTCACACCCCAACAACGGAACAGGGGCCTTTTAAATTTTCCCTCGCACAACTGACACGTTTGAGCGAGGTGACGACTCGCCAGTAGCAGTAAGTAGCACACCGCACAATACTGAAAGAATGTGGTCTCACTATTTTCGGCGTCGAGGTTTTCCGAGAGTCGAGATGAACGTAAGGATGAGTTCACGTAAAAGAGGTTGGTGAGACGGTTGCTGGGGCGGGCTGCACTTGAAGCGTGTAGAAAATAAGCACCTCTTTCGCATCGATGGACCTGAGCAACGGAGTTGATTGATGCTTGCAGGGCTTTCGCAGACGCGCTCACCACTATTATGTGGGTGGGGCGGGGGTGTGGCGCGTGGCGCGACGCACCCAGAATGAGAAGCGCGTTCGTGTGGGTGGATGTGTGGAGGAGAGAGCCCGCTCGCGGGCATTCCTCAAATTACGGGCGCGTTGTGGTGGGCCGTAGAATGTCAAAAAATGCACCCCGCCCACCCACGGCCCTAGACTACGGGACCGGAAGAAACGGGCTGTAGACCGTCGATCGAATCGTAGGCCTTGTTTTTTCTTCCCCCACGCTGGTTGGCATGTCTCAGCTTTCTCCGGTTTCTTGCGAGCATTCTGGTCTAGCGGATGTTTGTCTCTTGGCGAGAAGAGGTAAAAAGCCTTCATATCGTCTTTGCTTTGAGAATCGGCCGGGGCCGCCTGACGCCTGATCCCCGCTCGAGCCTCCGGCGCGTCGAAGTGTTGGCCTGCTTTTGATGTCTCACCCTGGCGTGCCCAGTTCAATTATAATTTTTAGAAGCGGCTCGAGTGAGCTCGCGAGTCCGGTGTCCCGGCTGAGGCCTCATCCCATCCAGATCTTCATCGAACTCGTTCACCCTACCCTGCAAGACCTTTTCGAACCGGAAACCACGCGAATATGGGGGTTGTGGATCTTTTCGGTGGAGCGATCACGACGACTTACCCGTCCAACTTGACCGATGCGAGGTAAAGTCGCCCCCTGTCGAGTGCATATACGGAGCCTCGTCCCCAGTCCTGACACGACTTCTACGACGACCCCTTTAGTGATCTCCGACAAGTTCCCGACACGCAAGAGGTGTACCTGTCCAACGATTCGGACCTGTCGTTGATCTTGGAAGTGTTGCAGCTCGTAGAGGAGGAAGGGAGTGGAGAGTCGCTCGAGGCAGGAATACGGTACGCCCACAGTGTCTTTGTTCAATGCTACGAACTGATTACATCACGCTCTAGTATAGAACTGATCTCTCTACCCGTATAGGTATCACTTTGCCTCCCTGGCGCACGACAACGAAGCGCTTTCGCACTCGATCGACTCCACCTCCCATCCAACCACCACCTCCCCTGATCCCCTCTTACAAGGCCCGATCACCCTCCTCGGTACCCAGTCCATCTCTAAATTTAACAAACCCGCCTCCCAAGCCGACCAAGTGATCGTCTTCTTAGCACTATGGAGGATCCCGGAGAAGAAGACGGATTTGGTCCTGACGGTCAATTGGCCAAAGATTGTGTTTGATGAGGAGGGCAAGGCGAGGGATCAGAATGAGGGAGTGGGGAGAGCGAAGAAGGCTTTCGAAGAAGCTGTGAGGGATCTCAAGGTTGTGGATTGGGGATTGTTCGCTGGTTGACCGTAGCCGACAAAAAGCGCGGGTTGAGTCGTCGCCTTTCGCAAGGGGAAGCGGTACTCGATCGAAAGAGCATCAGCAAGCCGGGGTAGAGTGTAACAACATTGTGAATATTACATCGCAAAGAAACGCATCCAACCAAGATTAACAACGCAGCGCGGTAAGACTACTGCTCATCACTTTCGGAGCTTGACTCGTCGTCCAGCGTCTCCTGCTCATTATCGTCTTCGGCACCGTAGCGACTCCTCCTGAATGCCCCGAAGGCTTCGGTCCCTTCTCTGAGTGAGACCTGTGGGGATTCCGTCCAGGAATTGTCTCGATCAGTGGCCTTTCCCATCTGACTAAGACCACAATCGAAAGGTCTGTGGAGAAGGGGCCGAGAAAAACCACATCGAACCCACCCCATTCACCTTTCAAGTTCTCACGACGAACAACGCTTCAGGCCACCAAGGCGAATCCCACCTCTCCAAACTCACCTTGATCCTATGATCCTCCGTGGTCGGTTCATTCCCGGAAGCTTTGGTCTCGTTCGATACAGCTTTGATCCGTTTTCTTCGGACGTGCCATACGCGATTCCGGAACCCAACTTGTTCGAGCGAGGGACTGGACCTGCAGCGAGATGAGTACTTTATAAGGCATTGGCTTTGTGCCTTCGGAACCGGGGCCTTGAAAAACTGGCTCACACAGCGATCGCTTCGATCTGCTCCATCGTAATCTCTGGAGTTTGAGCGAGGATGTGCAAGGTCTTGAGTCGGGGAAGATGCGAGATGGCGTTCGTCACACGCGACTGTCGGCGAAGAAGCCAAAACAAAGTCAGTCGATATACTCGCCAGAGAGCCTATCGAACCCAAACTGACCAAATGTAATTCCCACTCCAAATGAATCACCAGATCCTTCAGACCCTGTACCATACACAACCTCTCCACCTCTTCCACCTGCACCAACACCCCGGAACACTCGAACTTTTCCAACCTCTTCTTCTCCACAATCGCATCCATCAAACTCGGCTCCACAATGGGCCATTTCCATCCACCCAAAGCGGAAGTACCGGAATGATAGAGCGTGAAGGAGCGGAGGTCAGGGAGATATTGGAGGAGGTGGCATAGAGAGGGAGAGAATTGGGTCGAGGTCGGGTGCTTGGGGCCGGGGTGGGTTAGCTTGAGCGATTTTAGGTGGGTGAGTAGGGGTGCCGCTTCGATGTAGAAGGATGGTGGGATCGACGTCGCTTCGAGAGCCAAGTGCTCGAGGAAGGGAAGGGTCGCGAGTAGTGGGAGAAGTGTCGCTCCCGTAAGCCGCGAACACCCTGCCAAAGCGAGGGACTTGAGAGCCGAGCCTTGTAGGAAAGGAGAACAAGACGAAACGACCGAGTCGTTGATATTGGGCGACTCGCGACAGAGGATCGACAATTCTTGCAATTCAAGCCAGCCTTCAGAGTTGGAGTCAACTTTTTTGGAAAGGGTTCGTTGTGTTTGTAAAAAGGCGGGTAGTATGTGAGCGATCGATCGATCGGGGAGGATGAGAGACAGTGTGCGCAGTTTCGGCAGTCGGAGCAGGTGGTCGGCATCCCATGATCCGGGCGAGAGGTTTGTGTGCGCGTTAAGTTCGAACGAGCGAAGAGTGCTGATCGAGGTGATGGCTTCAAATACTCTGTTGGAGGAGATCAAAGAGGCCAGGTCGAACGGAGTCCCAGGTGCCGAGCTGAGTGGGGGGAGAAGTAAGAACTGACCGATCCGTCAAAGCCCCTTTTCGGGTCCAGATGAGATGCTCGAGCCTAATCGCTTGCCGCAGCACTTTGACGGCCAAATGTTCCATCTCGAGTCGTTCCGAGAGGATGAGCGACAAGGAAAAGACTCGGACCTCGAACTTGCGGATCATGTGGCACAAGTGGGGGTTATCGGCTAGCGTGCGGAACACGAGTGGGACGATCGCCTGCGGGGTGACGCAAAGTGTTAGAGAAGCACTTGAAGAGGAGAGCATTTGAACTTGTAGTTCTGACCAGATCTCTTCCCCATAACCTGATCCACGAGTACTGCAGCCGCTCGGCCGGTGCTCGCCATTGCCGACAAACGAGCGTCGCATGGCGCAAATCCGAGCGGCGACCGACCAAACGCTCGAGAACCAGAGGCAAAACTTCGATCGGTAAATCTTGAAAGCCAATCGTTGGGGACATGGTCGACTCCAGCTGACTGACACCCGCCACCGATCAGGGAAAGCAGGGAAAGCGGAGTCGAGAGGCGAAAGGTCGTCAAGTGGAGGCCGTGTGGAGGCCGTGTGGAGCGATCTCAACCGTTGTAATGGCGAAATGAAATTAACCATTACCGATCATCGACGTTCGCGCGCGCGCGTGCGAAGCGCCGAGTGCGGAGGTGAGCAGCTCACCCACAGTCAGCTACCCCGCTCTCTGACCCACTGAAATCTTTGAATCAACCAAGAATACAACATGTCGGCGACCACTTCAGCGATCCCCATCATCGCACCCGCCAAGCCCAAGAATGCGCGATCCAAGCGAGCGCAGCAGGCGAGGGAACCGCAGATGGTCAGTCACGGGCAACCTTCGCAGCCTCTCGCATGGCCGCTCATCCTCCACCGTGATCGGCGAGACGAGCCGCGCGGACCACACGGCGACTAGGTTAGGTCCAAAGTGCCTTTGACTGAGCTCGGTCCTTGTCACGTACGATCAGATTGAGAAGGGCGCCAAGACGGCCATGATTGTGCGAGGATCGTCCATCAGCGAAAAGGTCAAGGTAGCCTTGTCCGAACTGGTGAGTCGAGCGGGGTCGTGGGACCTTTGGCCTATGATCTTACAGCCACTCACACGTACCACATGACTCCTCTACAGAACCAACTCAAAAAACCTCACTCCATCTCCTTCTCCAAGCCAAACCAAATTCGACCGTTCGAGGACTCGAGCTCCTTGTCGTTCTGGTCGACCAAGAACGATGCCTCGCTGTTCCTCGTCGGGACCCACACCAAGAAGCGACCCCACGGATTGATCTGGGTCAGATGTTTTGCCAACGAGGTCATGGAGATGCTTGAGGTTGGGATTGAGGAGGTTATGCCCATGTCCGCTTTCAAGGTGGGCCCTACTCTCAAGTCTCGGTAGGCAAGGATTCTTCCCTCTGACCTCGCCTTCCTCTCTACCAGGGTATCAAATCCACACCCGGTTCGACCCCCTTGTTCCACTTTGCCTCGACCTCGTCCCATGCGAACCTCTGGGAGTCCCACCCGACCTTTACGCAGTACAAATCGCTCATGCTCGACTTCTTCCGCGGCGTCGAAATGGACGGTGTCGCTCTCAAAGGTCTCGAACGCGTCATCTCCATCACCATCGGCCACAACACCCTCGACGCCAATACCGAATCCCTCCAAGACGCGCTCAACAGAGAATCGACGCAAAACAAGGGCCAAGCGGCCTTGTCGTCCCTTTTGACGTCGTCCTCCCAAACCAAGTCAGGTACCCACGATTCGGAAGAAGATCCTACCCTCCCCTTGATCCATTTCCGTACCTACACCGTCAAATTCCTTCGTTCGGGCGTCTCGACCCCTCTCGTCGCTTTGGAACCCCACGGACCCCACTTTACATTCCGTTTGCGTCGTTCGCAACTGCCTTCTTCCGAGATGTGGAAGTTGGCCCTGAAGAAGACCGAACCCAAGTCCAAGACGAGCAAACCCAAGAACAAGAATATCGATATCGATGAGATGGGCGACAAGGTCGGGAGGGTCTATGTTGATAAGCAGGATATGGGCACGTTGCAGGCGAGGAAGTTCAAGGGTCTCAAGGTCGAGAAGAAGGGGAAACGAGCAGCCGAGGACGAGGGGGAGGCACACGGGGAGGAGCCAGAAGAAGATGTAAAAAGCTCGAATAAGAGAAGTCGACGATCGGCGGCGGAGGAGTAAGGTCCTAGAGGGAGGCGGCATTGTAATACCACCGTGTTCTGTATTCCTCGGTGAGCGAAAATGACCTGGCCGCCGTATGGGAGAGATGGCGAACGAGCGTGCTTCTTCCTTCGCAGCTGGCTTTACAGATGACACAGGCCGACGAAGGTGGGACGTCTACAAAACTATACTGATATGATCCAAAGGCCTGCGGCTTGATATATCTCGGTATGAGTACACTTCTATGAGCGAGCATCAAACACTCGTTCAGCTGCGCTTCCCCGGAACCCCAGGAAATGCCGACGCTTGTACCGCCAAGAAACAAATGACAAAAATTGAAATGATGTCCCACAAGGTGAAATGCGACGTTGCGGCTGCGGGCCCGAACCATCCTATGAAGAGGGATGATAGACGAGACAAGATCATTGCGGCTGCGGACAGGAAAGCTGTGGTGCGATATTCGGCGCCGTAGGTGCGGAGTTTGTGGTTGAGCCGGATCTAGAGCGAGTTTTGGTGAATGCATGCAGGTTCATCAGTGACGGGACGCCCGGGTGGGTTTTGTTGGCAGGAAGCGCGAACCCACCTGGCAGATGCAAGCGAGGAACCAAAGACTAGACTGCACCGACCCTCCAATCAAGAGGGCTTGGGTGATCCCTTTCTCACGCCTGCTCCATGCAGGTAGGTCCTTGATCATCTCGTACAAAGGCGACTCGACGACTCGTGGAAGCCTATCGCCAAAGTGCAGGAAGGAGAAGCATACTGCGAAAAGCTGTGCGCACATTGATTGGATCAGGAGAGGATCAGTCAGGTTGGACACACGGACAGCAGATTTCGTCGGATTACTCACCATGACTTTCAGAATCCACGACAGTTCATTGTCCACTCTGGTCGTTTCTCGTTCCAGATGAGTTGGTTTCCGAATCCGGACTGCGGTAGGGATGAATTTTTCGAACCGGACCTCGATGTGCGCGACTAAAGTGAGCTGCTTAAAGAGCAACAAAGCATGGACGACAATTTTGACAATGAACCAAACGAGACTACTCTCCCACCATTCGTAGACCGTTTGGATGATCATCCAGGCGAGATTGCCGTATGAAAGGACGAACATCGCCATGGACGTGCCGCCCGCGTGGGAGCGCACAAACCAGTAGTGCAGGATTAGCCTGAACAGGAGAAAGGCAGATTGAGGTCAGTGACGAGAGACAATGCAATGATCAAATTGACTCGTTAACAGCCTACGGTATAGTTAGGTACTGCAGGAGTACTGCCAGAAAACCGACAGCGGTGCGAGCGATGGGATGTGCTCGAGGGTTAAAGTTATGCCCCACAAAGTTATCTGGGCACCGAATACCCTCTTCAGCGACCCAGCGAAGAGCGTGCACAAACTTGAAACCTGATAACAGCTTACGGAAAACTTCGAGGTAGTCTTGCTCGTGGGGTTTGTATCCGAAGGGATCCGTAGCCTTCGTGCTCCATTCGGGCAGCGCGAGCGCAGCGATCGCCATCTTTGAAGGTGACAACGGCGACCATCCCACACGCCAGTCGAATTTGAAGTCTACTCCAGACCGAGGGACGGGAGTCAATTTAGTCAAATAATCTAATTCAATCTGAGTGCTGAGTGCTGAACAGTGGCTGACCTTGAGCTACGTCTTTGGACTTGGCATCTAAAAGCGGTAGCGTGACCTTGTGGTCCTTTGGTGACATGGCGCTAAAACGGGTGGTCATGAAAGGACCGTAGCGCCAGGGTGTGTCTTTCGAGGAGTCGAGCTTGATCATGTTCTCAAAGTGACCATCACGTTTGAACGCTCGAGCACAATCTGGCCTCCACCACTCTTGCGCGAGGCATTCTTGCTGCAAAAGGGAGGGCAGAAAGAAATGTTAGTGTCGGCAGCCTGGTCCATGATCTCGGGGAAAAGATGACCTGCTTTGAACTCTGTGAGTTGCCGCATCGCTTTCCGGAATCCTTCCAGCTCGTAGGTGGTGAAGTCGTTGGCCATCGTCAACATCGTGCTAGTAGAAAGCTCAAGCTTGACCGGGGGCGGTCCACTGTGCTCTGCCGAAGGATTTTGGCTCCACATGTCCCAATTGAGCTGCTTGAGGCTGTACCCAGCGCCAGTGTGCGCATAGAAGAGATCCAAAGGCCTCATCTCGGGGTCGTCAGGGTTAATCCAAGACAAGGGCCATGAGTGGTTGGACCCGTAGTTCTCTTCCGGACGAGACGTTTGGAACATACTGTCGGCGGTGGCCTTGAGAGACGCGGCGTTTGCCGAGGGTGAAAGCATGACAAATGTAGCCACCAGCTCCGAGTAGAGGTTCTTGGCGAGGTCGGTGGCCACAGATGCCGGGATCGTGATGGGGACGGTAGTTGCGTGGGTCATAGCGATACTGGCGTCCTTCATGACACGCCGCTGAAAAATTGGCTTCCACACATTGAGAGGAACGGTCGAGTTTGCCTGGCGAGCGTAGCCCAACTCGCCGAATGCTCGCGACATGTCGTCGAAGAGCCACAGAGGCGGTCTCTCGTCTTCATCGAGTCGCCCTATGTATCCCATTATTCGACGCGGCTGTGGTTCCCGGACCCCTTTGCGATGCCATAGCATGACACCTAAGTCAAAACGGTCGAGCCCGCCGGTCGATGCAGGTCCGAACATGCTGACCACACGCTGATCGATCGGAGTCGATTTGCCGGCCGCCTTGGCCGAGTAGGTCGGCACCCGCGCGACGATCGAGCGGTAGTATACTGTCCCGGCGATGGCGCCGACCAGAGCCCCTAATCCGAAGCACAGAGCGATGAATACTACGAAGCAACCAAATACATTGGCCGGACGAAAGCGGTTGAGCGAGTACACTCGTTTGAGTTGGGCCGAGAGCCGAGCATAATCGATTTTGGTCCACTCGGTCTCGTCCGACTCCTCTCCCAGTGGGACAGGCAGACGGTCACGGTGTGTAACGTCGTCAGCGAGGTCGGCTTCGTAATCACTGCGATGCGCCGCCTGGTACGGCGTGTCATGACCATGCCTGGGTAGCAGGTTGAACGCGTCGACTGCCATGGCTCAGTGCGGAGGTCACGCTGTAGACTAAGCGTACGTCGCACCGCCCCTGCGTGTTTAAGGTTACGAAGAGGTGGGGCGGCAACCGGCGTGATGTTCAACTAAGTGAGCGATGACGGATGTGGAGAGCTGCCGGTCGTAGGGAGGGAAGTGGGGTGGTAGGTGGGCCTGTGATGTAGATAGGTAGTAGGTAGGACGATGTGGCTTCTCTACCACAAAGACGTCGACGGGGACGAGGCCGAGCTTGGCCCCGACGGTATGCCAGTGCAGTGTGGTCGTCTCAAAATAGCCCCCTACCTCGAGCTACCTCGAGCTGGCCGCGGGTGGGCAAGAACGTCGTGCCGCTGCCCACGGCGAGCGGCGATCATCACGTGATACGCTGGCCTCGGTGAGCCAGCGAGTCGCTTTTTTCAGTCTCGTAACGACGCCCAGCGCTCAGCCTCAAACGTTGCCGAGGCACTGCAGCAGTCACCGGCGCTCGACACACCTCATATGATCACGCCGAGTCTAGCTAGCCACACTCACTCCAGTCTACTCAGAATTGTCATCTGGTGTAACGGTCTTGGTTAGCGGAAAAGTCCAACCCCGGTCCGGCTCAAAAATCGAGCGCGATTAATTCCGATCCTCTCCTCGCCTTCTCTTCGAGACAGCAAGCCGAAATCTCACGGTCTTGCTCCATGACTTTCCCGTCTCCTTCTCTGCCGTTCCTTCGTATAACTATCCTCGCGGCGAGAGCGCCCACTTTACGTACTACCGTTGAACAAGAAGGGGTCCATCTAAACGAAGTCCCAAGTTCCAGTGAATGTAATAAATAAGCATCCAATCAACCAGCAAGTCAAAGAGAGGAAACATAATAAATACTAAGCGGAGGTTATATGTATATGAGGTGATACACAGGGAAGAAAAGTAAAACAATTCCCCGAACAAAAAACAGCGGGCATAATGGATCAAGGGGATGGAACGGTTCGAGGTACGGCAATACGATACAGGAGATGATAGGTTTTGACGACAAAAAAAAAAAGACGAGCAGCGGAAAGTAGAGCGAGAGAATTGATGAGTGATGAACCTCAGGAGCTCCATCAGGCCAACCGACCCCCGGGAGGAGGCGGCGGTCCGGGGTACCCCCCATTCACCCTCGGTTGGAACTCGTTGGGATCGACCAAGCCGTCCACCCCAGTCGATGATACTGCTGTCGAGTACGATGTCGCCGACAGTGGATCATGCATCGACCCCCCTGTCGAGGTCACGTACGCTTCTTGATGACTCATCGCTCCCCGAGTTGAGGAGGACGGCGCGGGCCAGTTGAATGCTCGCCCGTGCCCCGATCGATTGCTCTCCGCCCCCGTCGAATTGTACGAAACGGGTGTGATCGGCGAAACGGGGGATCCACTGCCCGTTCGCAGGGGCACTTGCAGAGGTGGCGGAGAAAAGCCGTATGCTTTGTGCGGTGGTGAGTGCGGGTTCATTGGCTGCAAGTAAGGGTGATCGTACTCGGCGCCAGCTTGGGTCGGTCTTGATGGCGAGGTTTTGCGAGTCGACGCGTCCCACTCCATTTCGTCCAATTTGCCTTCGCGCGGCGAAACAATAAAAGGACTGACGGCGGGTTTGCTGCCGTCAACATTCGTGTATTCCGACACGTGCTGTTGAGTCTGGAACTGCTCCTCGACCTTGTTCGATCTCTGTCGCATCCACCACCACGCTAGCAGAGCAATGAGGGCTGCGCCGATAATGCCCCCCACAACCCCTCCGACGATGGCTCCGATCGGTGGCGAGTCGCCGCCACCACCGGTGGTCCCGCTATTGTCTGAGATCGTCTGACAGGAGTAAAAGTACAGTCCCGATGTTATGTTGGGAGAGGCCAGCGAAAAGGCGCCCGCACCATCGAACACATAAACTGCGCTCCCACAGGCGAACAAGACGGATCAGTGTCACGTCAGGTCAGATTGGCGCGGACTATGAGAATTGACTGACGGTTGAATATCTGCCCCGCAGGCACGACGTTTTGTAAATAGATGTCGGTCGAGTTGACATTGAGCGCTGCCGCGAGCATCCCCGATTGCCTGATGTAATCGCGAACGTCGAGCGATCAGTCACGTTCGTTGGGCACATGCGATGCCCAAGTAAGAGGACTGACCCTGCAATGATACCGACAGTATACGGGGCCACCCCGTTCTTGATCGAGACCTTGAACTCTTGACAGGGATTGTTGGGAGGATTGACAGTGAAACTGAGCACGGGGTTGTCTTTGGTCCGTAGCGTGCAGTTTGAGAATCCAGGAACAATGGTGTCTACACGAACGAGAATCCAACAGTTGACGTTAGTCCGGGCATAGAAACAGTGGTTCGGCACGAACACCCGAGGGACGCGGAATGAAGTAACCCAATCAAGTTCGCAAACGTGTCTGGCCCTGGGACGCGTGCTCTCGGCGCCCTGCTGTCGATGTCTCCAGCTCCGCGCATGCTCCGGAACGCCGAAAGAAGGGACTCACACAGCGGGTAGACGGCGCCGCCGCTCGTACCATTGGAGTCGAGCATCCCGAACGAGAATGTTGTGCCCTGCAACATGCCATGGCGAGCAACAGTAGAGTTTGTGTATAGGTAGTTGTACCCAGGGATCAAAGAGGTGAGAGAAATTGTATGGTCAGGGGCTGTGGCGTTTGACCTTTTACGCAAATGGAGGCATCTGGATGCTCCATTTAAGGAAAGTGCATAGTCCCAAGGGCTCGGAGAAGAAAGAAGTGCGGGGAGAGACTCACGACTGGCAGATTGGCAGTATATGTAAAGTTGCCCCCAACATTAGAGACCCCATACTTCACCATCGGCTGCGGTCGTTGAGCAGCATCACACGCGGAGTCGAAGAGATTGTTATCAGAGGATGAATGGGACAACGTGTCAGCTCGCCGTTCCCTCTATTGCCCCTGCGCTACGCGCGCCGCGACCGCCAGCCGCGGAGGCCGGGGTGATGCGCACCAGGCACGCGCGGCTGGAGCGGACAGGCCCAGCTTTGTAGGGTGCAAGCAAGCGTCCACTGACCAGAAATCCCGAGTCAATGGGCGTGACGGCGTAGTAGAGCGGAGGAACGGTCACGGCCGGCGAGCCTGGGTTGTCCATTGTGCCCACCCTGACGACGGCGCACTGCGGAATTGCGCGCACCGAGTCGTTGATCGAGAGCGTCGTCCAGAAGAAGGATATCGGCGGAACTTCCACCTGGGTAAGCGTTGTCTGTTTGATGGACCTCAACACGTCAGCCGGTGCTTTCCATCACCCTCATTGCCATCTGGCTTTGCGCCATAAGAGGGCGAATCGGCGGGTGGGACGACCCGGTCTCCGCGGTTGGCGTCTGGACGGCGCCACGGTTCTACAGCGCCCCGGCCGATGTGCACACGAAAATAGGGCAAGAGTACGTAAGATATGGACTGACACTGACGTCCCTGCGTACTTCTGCCCTCTTGCTGTTGTTGAGAAAGTGTTGCTCCGGGTCGAGAGGCGCCAGCGGATTGAATTGATCGCCGACCGAGCCCAGGGCCGAGAATGCCGACCGTGCGCGTTGGTGCATGGGGTAATCCACGCCGTGGGCGGGGGCGTAGGCATGGGTGGGCTGCAGGAAGAGGGTGGTGGTGGCCAGGGCGACGAGAAAGCCCAATCGAGGGGGCCGCATTTTAGGTGTCGGTGTCGAAGAAGCGCCGCGGTGTGACATGCACAGGTGAGAAAGTGACAGAGCGATAAAAGTGGTGGGCCGGCTGCAACCGACCGATTGAAGCTGAGTCCCTGATCAGAGATCAGCTTGAGCCAATGAGCCCAGTATGAGCATTGAGCGCGCCCTTAGCGCGCCCCGAGCTGGCCAATCCTGGCAGATGCGCGCGCCTGCCCGCATGCGCTGCCCCGCGTACTTTAATACTTAGTGTCGATCAGATATCAGATGCCACGGGGTTTACTAGCGCTGTGATTACCTTCCCCAGTGTATCATTCATGTTGTTCCCGGGGACCGCAGTTTGCAAGTCTTCTCTTTGAGCTAGGTCTGCATCTGGCCGGGTGCACAATATTTTTGCGAGCTTGGCCGTTTGAGCGAAACGAATTTACTAAAGTGCAGAGCGTAGGCATTTATTTCCTCTGGCCTAGTCTATTTAGCGCATGCGCGCCACGCTCAGGGGGGCGGCCCACCGGTCTCTGAGATAGTCTGAGATCGGCACTTGGTTAAGTTGTAGACCGCTAGTCGCGGGTTCGGGCATCATTGGTGCTCGATCATCACTCGGACAGAGGTCGACGTCTAGGTGCATACACTCGTTGCTGCCCCACTTTCCGAGAAACGCACGACCACCAGCCGCTCACTCGTGTCCCCGTAGGTCATGGCCTCCCTGTTGTGAGTTGCCAGCGTCGCGTCGCGAGCGGCGATCATGCATCATGAACCGACCTCGAGGACCGCGAAGGCTAATGTCCATCGTGCACGTCCGCACGCGATCGGTCACGTCCAGTGCGGTGCGCAAAGCGGAGCAACAGAAGAATGCTGGTTAGTGCACTCAATGGCACATGTCGTCCTCCCAGACGGTATCGTGGCTCATGATCGCCTGCCAACTTCCCATCACAGCCGCGTTGAAGGCGCTCGACTTTACCCCACCCGCGGTGTCGAAACCGTCCTCGACCGCATCCACGGCCACGGCCACGACCAAGACGACCAAGTCGACCGTACCGAGGAAGAGACCTGCTCCCAAACGCGAACTACCGCCGAGAGAGCCGACAAGGGCTCGGTCGACGAGGATGGCCGCCGCGGCTGGACAGCAAAGGACAGACGAGGAAATTCAGGCGATCGCTGAGGTCAGTTTACTCGAAAGACACGTCGCGTCGCGTGAAGTGCGGACATGAACTTTGGCAAATGATCCTCTGCGGGGGAGAAGCAACACTAACAGTTCTATACAATACGTTTCGGTGCGCTCGTTCGCCCTCGCAGGCCAATGCTAAGGAGGAGGAGGAAGAGAAGGAACGCCTTCGAATAGCCAAGCACGGATCGAGGTCACTGGATGCCATGACCGGTGTCACCGGCTCACTCGAGACGGAGCAGCTGCAAGAAGAGTTCAGGCGACTGGCCAGCTATGTTGCTGAGACGACCAAGCGACCCGCCTCTTCCGCCAAGTCTAGTCCGAGCAAAACGAGAGCCGCGTCGAGCTCGCCGCAGAAGAGCGGCGGTGCGATCGAACTTGGGCCTGCGAATGTCGACACCAAGGCACTGCAAAAGATTGTCAAGTCGGTCGAACATCGAGCCACCGTCAAGGTGGGCTACAGCGCGTCTGGAATATGTGTTCCTGCCGCAGGGTTTGCTGATCCGAGTTTGCATGCCTCCAATTGCAGATTATTCCCGATCGAATCTACTCAATGGTGGTTCATCCTGATCAGACACGTGATCTGGTGAGCGCTCTATAATGGTCCTACGGCCATAAACAACTCAACTGACGCTCTCGGTTCTGCTCCCCATCAGGTCTTTGCCGGCGACAAGAAAGGTCACATTGGGCTGTGGGACGCCACGAACGCGGGAAACTTGATTCCGGCAGCCTCGAATGGGTCCATCCGCGACGGCGCCAAGAACGACAGTGAGGATGAAGAAGACGAAGAAGAGGTGTTCACACCCGATCGAGGCAACCATTACCACTGGCAAGGCCATCTACAAAACACTGTCTCCCAACTTAAGCTCGCTCCCAATGATCCCCACAAAGTGAGCAATACCAGATGCGTCGAAGGGACGTTGAGCTTTCTAAGCTCACGCCGTTCTCTCTGTACAATGGTCAGCTCTACTCGAGCTCTTACGATTGTACGTTACGGTGTCGGGACTTTACCAAGGATGTCGATTATGAGATCGTGGATCTCGACCGCTTCGACGAATCAGAGGCGCTCGTCCATTCGTTTGACTTTACCCCATCTGGGCATGTGCTCTACGGTATGTGGCAGCATCGAGGTGTAACACGCTTCGACTGAAGCTGACCTCGGATTGTCATGGAACTGACCAGCTGTCGACAACAATGGAGGCATGGTGCGACGCGATCTAAGGCAGAAGATGGACAAGGCCGAGCGTTGGTACATTGATCGAGCCAAAGGTAGGTCCATGGCCGTGGATGCTTGAGCAGATCATCGGACCGCTGCTTATCCAAACTGTCCTTCCTCACAAAGTTGGATGCATCAGCATCAACCCTGCGAATGAAAACATGGCCGTCACGGCCCACCTCAAGAAGGAAATGAAGTCGGTCCTTGTCTTCCAAAGCCCGGCACATTTGAGTTGACATGCTGACTGCAGGTACTTGCAAACAACTTTGCTCGCTCAGGCTTTGGGACCTGCGTAAATTCACGACGTCGGCTCAAGAGACTTCCGCCGAAGATCAAATGGAAGACGCCTTGCTGGCTTCATATTCGTATCGCAACGCGTGCTCGTCTGCGTACTTCGACTGGACGGGGACTAAGATCTTATCAACCTGCTACGATGATTATCTCAGGAGTAGGTCCCGGCGCATCTTCAGTACAACGTGCGTGGGCCCGGTCGGCTGATGGCGTTGTTGGCGCTTACAGTCTGGGACATTGACCCGAAGAAAACCGAGCCGGTGGTCAAGACGTTCGAACCTTCAACCAAGATCAGAGTGAGTGCGATTGAGGCTCTTTCTTTTCGACTTCCAGAGCTAAAATGTGCTACTTCATACAAACACAGCATGACTGCCAAGGTGTGTAGCTCCCTCTGTGCTTCTGCACGCCCGTCTCGTATCGTACTGACATGTCCAGCCGCTCGTATATCCCATAGTCGGACGCTACGTATCCGTCTTCCGCGCGCAATGGATCCACTCCCCCCTCCTCCCCTCCTCATTCACCATTGGCAACATGAAGCGTTACCTTGACGTTTACTCAGCCGACGGAACCAACGTCGCTCATCTAGCTGACGAGATGATCACGGCCGTACCGGCTGTGACGGCGGCTCATCCTACGCTTGGGGAAGCGAGGTTGTATGGGGGTTCAGCGAGTGGCAAGATTAGCTTCTTCAAAGGGGTTGATTGAGAGGGCGTTTCGTAGTAGGGATGTGCAATGCCAAGAGAAACGATTTCTCGGGGTCGTGCTCGTCGCCCGAAGCTAGAGGAAGCATCTATACTTTCTCGCCTCACTCGATAAGAATCTGATTAGGGTACAGACATCAATAGCTTTCGTCTTCCTCCGTTTCGAAAATCAACAAATTGAAAAAGTGGTCTACCATAAACATACATGCACGCGAGGGTTGGAGGTGGAGGGGTAATGCGACACGTGACGTGTCAGGGAAGGAATGCGATGAGGGGGCGGAAACACAATGAATCCGACAGCTCCTTTGATGCGTTCATTCCTTCGGCCCTTCGTCGAGTCCCCGCGCTCCATGTCGTTTCCAATTCACGGTCCCTAATTGGTCTCGGAGACGGCGATCGTATGTGTTATATCGCCTCCGCTCCCATTGATCTTCTCCTTTGTCGAGCCGACCCAGTTCTGAACGCCTTCACCCATCGTAACGTCCTCTTCCTTACTCGCTTGCAAATCGGCGAAACGAATCTCGGCCAGCAGGGCCAACCCATCCAATGCCGATAAGCCCGAACTGCTTCGTGGACCGTGCGAGGGGTGCCGTCGATCGAGCGCATCATCTTCAGATTCATCCGACGATACGTCCATATCCGGTGAGCTTTGTCGGTTCGTCGCAAGTTCCGCTGAAGATTTGTCCAATGCTTTGAGTGCTAACGACGCTTTAAGACTAGCTTGCAAGGCCCCGGCTTTCCCCCAAAAGTCGAGGATGATCGTCTCCTCTGGCACCTGATACCGCACTCGGTTGACCGTGATCTCTTCGTATCGATCGTCGTCGAGGAGGCGAGGTTCGCGTTTCGGGATGACGAGGATGTCGCCGTTATTCGTCGAGTCGCGCGGTTGGACAGGAATGGTGGTCGTACTTCGAGGAATGCGTTTCTTCGGCTGATAGATCCAGATATAATGTATGAGTGCGTCAGTGACACCCTCAACTAGATGAAGAAAGGCACTCGACTCACCAGGACATGCTGTGTATGTGCGGGGCACATCCACTTGCGAGTCGGCGGAGGCATGCCGACGAGTGGTGGATCGAGGCAGTCGAGATGCCAGTGCTGGTCACAAAAGTCGCAGGATATGATACGCCGTTGCTTCGCGATCGAAGCTGTTTCGTTGCAGTGGTAGCAGATGAGCGTCTTGCCCGTCTTGTCGCGCAGCTTATACCCATCGCGCTCTTCTTGACCGACCGCTCGACCTCTGCAAAGTGCGAACATGCGGTCATCAGGTCAGCCCGGTGCTTCACCCTATCACCAAGACCGACCCTCCAGATTATGCTTACGTAATTTTTGACGGTGGTCGATGTTCAGTCGTATCGATATATTCTCCTACCGCGCCCGTCGCAACTGCGCAGGTGAACAAGTGTGGCGCGGACCAATGCGGCGCTTGGTCAGTCAAAAGAGCTTTGCACCAACAACGTATATCCACCCGCATCGAAAACCCACTGTTCTTGTACAAGCTCTTGATATCGGGTCCCAGTGAGAAGACCTTGGGGTTCTCGCAGTCGATCTTGTGTATGAGCTCGCGGAAGAAACCTCGAGGTGGTTGCGGAGGCGGTCTCTGTAGGTTCGCAAGAGCGGGGCGTCGAACAGGGCGAGTCAGCATTCGAACGCACGTGTGGAACTCTCTTTCCACACATCCCCATCCCTCGACTCCTTGGTGTGGGTCGCTCGTGAGGGGCCGCATCGTCGCTGGGAGAGCGAAAGAGGGGAGACAGGGGTGCCCAACTGACCTTTGCCGCACGGCAAGCCTTGCAGTACCATGCCTCGTCCGGTACTTGATCAACATCGAGGGGAGGATCGAGACAAGTGAAGTGGAATGACCTCAAGCATCCTCCATCGCAGCATAGGAAGTGGCCCTTGCCGAGACACGCATCACAGTAATCGTTATTGGGCTGAGCTCCGCCGCGCGAGGAGAGGTGAGCGCCCGTGGTGGTGGTGGAGGCGGTCGTGGTCCAGGTGTGAGCCGATGCAGGCGCGGGCGAGCACCGGGTCGAGCGAGTCATGTTGTGCAACGGGTGTAGCGACGAGATTAAGAGTGAATAAAGGAGGAAGCCTAGAGTAAGCACACCAAGAGCGACGGCAACGAGAGGAGGGAACCGGCGTCCCCAAGGCAGGCACGACCACGCACGGAGCGCGCAGGGGGTATGCGGGAGCGGGTGGGTGGAAGGAGGGCAAAAGGCGAAGCTCGGCGGCGCGCGCGCGCCCCAATCTCGACGGCGCTCGGGGCAAGTCGAGCCTGCCTGCACGACTCGCCACTCACCAGCTGGGCCTCCTCGCCGCTGAAAGCCTTGTGTGCCGACACCGCTGCACGACGAGCGAGGATCTTGGGTCCCTTGACCGAGGTAGCGGATCCAGCACTGTTAAAGCAAAGGGCAAGACAAATTGCGATGTTCAGCTTCCAATCACAGAGAACAATTCAGTGTCGATGTAGTGGTTGCTGATGCCCGATGAACAGAAAGTAGGTTCATCTTTGGTGAGCCGAAGAGAAGAAAGTCCGACGGTACGAGATCGTCGCTTTTCCTCGGGGGTGCAAGCTTCAACTCGTCCCGAGCAGCATCGTCGACTTGAGGGTTGATGTTCATGGTCGGACCCCTCGTTGCCCATCTCTCGGCGCGGACGACCGGGCCGAGTCCGAAAAAGAGACCAGAAGTGATGCTCACCTAATCTTGATCGACTTTTGAGCTCGCTTCGAGCCAGGCTTGATGATACCGTCCCCTAATGCTAGCCCTGCAGACGCTCCATTACTTCCCCATCCACCGACCTTGCCTTTGCCCGCGATTTCCCTCGGTGGTGGCGGCAGCGAGTCCTCGACCGAAGCAGCACCAAACAACGCAATCTCTTGCTCTTCTAGCTCTCGGGTCGGGTTCAGAACAGGTGTCGCAGTTCCGGAAGATGAGACTACAGCGTCGTCGCCCGTCGCGTCGCCCGAGGCCGTCTCCGTTTGGCCGGCGAGCAAAGGCGTAGGGGGTGCTGAGGACGATGCATCATCATCGACTTCCATGTCGCCGTTGTGATGCAGCAACATCGACGACGACGAGGTGCTTGCAACGAGACGACTACGAACGCGCTCTTGGGCCATTGGGACCCCGGAATGATGATCGGATGATGGCGGCAAATGGGCACTGGCTACACTGCTGCTGCCACCATCTCCGTCGGTCGAGGTCGAGTTCGAGTTGGACGTGGATGAGCTCGCCGCGCTTCGATCCATGCTCGACGCGCGGGCTGTGGAGCTGTCGTAGTGCGCGATCGAGGCGACGGCTGCTCTTGATGCTCCATCTCCTCTTGGTGTTCGACCAGCATCCTCCGCTTCGGCGTGGCTTTCGCCCTGCCCGAGGCCGAGGCCCGTTAGCGGTCGCGCGCCGTTCGAGGTGACATGCGCGGCGCCCGTCTGCGCTGACGGTGGTGCTGCTGATGGTTGTGGTGCCAGTGCGCTGCCGCCGCCGTCGCTGGAGGGGGCAGCGCGGTGCGGTCCCGGCGGCAGGACGTCATGGTAAGCAAGCCCATTGTCTGCAAAGCCTTCCATGGTCGTTCTCGACTCCGCAAACGTCAACTTGGGTAGAGAACAGAGCAGTGGGAGCGAAGAGGCAGAGGGGGATGCGTGGAGAAGGAGAGAGAGAGCCACCGAGGGCGGCGCCGTTTGGGCCCTCTGGTGTTGTAAGGGGGCCAATTCCTAGGCGGGTTTTGGTGGCCTGCAAGCTCGGGTTTGGTTTGGAGCGAGCGCCGCAGGTCAAGTTTGCGCGCGCGCAGGTGGCGCTGTCTCGGGAGGGGATCACTCGCCTGCTGCCGCTTTGACCTTGCGGGACTCAAGACAGGGGGTGCTAAGAGTGGCTCGCGAAGGCGTAGTGCCGCAGTACGACCAAGGCGAAGGCTGACCTTCGACTCCGGCGCTCTGCTGGGCACGCCACGGCCCGAGGGTTGCGCTACAGAAAGCGCAGCTTTGGTCACCGCTTCTATCTCTATCGAACTATGATTATTTACGATTGGACTGCTACTAGGTGCCTACTGATTGCAGTGGGAGCATCACGCTCGCTGACACTGCACCTCCGGCGCGCGGAGTTAAAAAGAGTCACGTCTATCCAGATTAGACTTTGGCTGCGCTGATACTTTGGGTAGAGCTAAACATTGCCTTGGACCCAATTGGTCTCTACCAAACAGTTCTGGCTTTTATCTGCACCGCTTGTTTGCTCGCCAAGGCAAGAAGTCGCCAAGAGAGCGTTCTTTGATTGGAGGAACACCTGTTCCGTCGGAGCAGCCCGTCCGGCCCGTCACACCTCACCGTCCGGCGTCCACATGTGCACTCTACAGCTGTAATTGGGCTATGAACTAGATTGGATGATGGCTCCAGACTCGATCAACCTCATTCACCTATGATCTGAGGCGTTATGAATTATGCATGGCGACGGTTGACCCTGATGTCCGTCGAGAAATTCTCGCTCCGAGATGTCAGGCGTGACCGCGTGACCCCCCTCCGACCGTGTCGACGCCGTCCGCGCACGAAAGGGGCCTCTTGGCTCGGCAGTTGCTGAAACAATTGAGATTCATATTCTGGGTTGATATTTTCACTCTGTGGCCACTAAGAATAGAAATCGCTGACGTCATGGCCTTTGTTCCGACCAAGCCCACTGGTGCTTGAAATGAAGGGTCTGTCCGGCGCACTCCGAAGCTTGGGACACAAGACACAAATCGGCGTGCTTCGTGTCACTGTCGTTTGGGCGCCTCGCCTCGCCTGAGCTTGACCTAACCCCACCCGTTCCCCACTCGAGTGCGGCGCGCTACGGGGCGCATTGACGATGACGACACCGACCACTCGTACGAGAGGGACGTCGAACGCGTCACTGCAGTCTCTGTCGTCTGCTGCACCGCTCAACAACACGGCGCCGGTCGCGAGCACGAGCGGATCCCCGCCGCGTCGAGGACCGCCGCCTGCGCTGTCCCGAACCGGTTCCAGCCTCGCCGATTCACCGATCAGTCGGACAGGATCCAAGTATGGTGGTGCGTCGTCGATCCAAGCCCTCTCGCCGAGGTACTTGACCTTCTCGTCCGCGGCCAGCAACGTCGGATCGGTCGCAACCTCGGCTGCCCCGGGAGGACCAGGGGGAGCGACACGCTTCAAGCGCGGCCATGTGCGCAAGAAGGCACCCGCCATCATCGGCATCAGGAGCGCGAACCCGGATGAGATTGATCTGATGGCACTCGAAGACCCAGACGAGGTGTTTCGGCGCTTTGGCGTGCGCGACGTCCGTGGACTCGAGAAGCGAGCTAGGTCAGTTTCACCCCAGCCGGCTTCGGGCCCAGCGAAGGCCCGGGAGGCGTCCCGTTCCACTTGTTCACTAATGATCGTTACTCTGTCCACACTGTGCCTTGAACAGTGATGCAGCCGCGGGGAAAGTTGCCGAGCTACGGACGATGGTCGGCGAGCGATATCGTGACCTGCTCTCGGCCGCGGACTCGATCATTCGCATGAGGGCTGCCGCCGAGAAGCTCGTCGACCGGTTCGACAAGGTCGAGACGGGCATATCAGTGGGAGAACAAGACAATGGGCCCGACAGTACGTTGGCAGCAGATTCCCTCACTGTTCCTCCGATCCCCTAGCTGACGGTGTCTTGTCGCGTCACAATGAATGATCATTAGACACTCCGACGAAGCGAGTCAAGCATCCTAAGCTCGCCCATCGGGCCTCACTTTCCTCGACAAAACCAGACCGAACCTTCGCATCACCCCCAACACTCTCGCTCTCGATACAGCTGCTGCTCACACTGCCGTCGACGGTGCACAGTCTGCTCGAATCGGGCGACTTTCTACCTGCGGCACGGATCGAGGGCTTGGGTCGATTGGTCTACCGCGCGCTGTCAAACTTTACCAGCGACGGTGACGATGCAGATGGGGGTATCATAGCCGCTTTTCCCATCATCGAGAAACAGTCGGAAGCGATCAACGGGCTAGGCCCGGCAATAACTCGAAGGGCGATCGCTGAACTGCGGACGTGGGATACTCCGACTCTGGTGAGTTACGACGGCTCCATCACTGGTTATGTTTGGCCCCATGCTGACGTGTACTGGTGCATTTAGGCGACCGCAAACACGCTGGCTGCCATTGTCATGCTCGAGAACGCCTCCCTGCCCTCCTCTCTCGCAACTCTACTCGAGGCTCGGTCCAAGACCCTTTCCGCCATCCTCTATGCCACGGGCTCGAGCAAGTCACCGGACGTCGATACAATACTAAAACGTCTGAACGAGGCCCTTGGCGTCGTTCTGCGGACCGTTGATGCCGCGAGCTCCATATTTGGCGCGACTTCAAGTCCCTCGACGTCGAAAAGCCTGCTCGCCCAGCTACTTCAAGAGATCGAGCAGCCGACAGGGCTCACCAACCCCACAGACCCAACCAAAAGCGACGACGATCAGTCGCCTCGCCTGGTTCCCATCATTCACACCCTGCCGAATCATGCCCTTCTCGCTCGACACTTGCCTCTCTCAATCCTCGAATATACCCCATCCCTGCCCATGTCGCCGTCCAACCACCCCTTCAATCCCTCAGCGGCGCATTCGCAGGTTCAATCCTGGCTCGCCCTCGAAACAGATCGAGTCGTGCAGGGTGTAACTTCCTGGATAGCTCATCTACGCGGAGGAGCACGAACGCTCGCTCAGATCCGTAGTACGCTCCGCTCGAGTCTCGCGGCCTTTTCGGGGCTTCGCGATGCCCAGGCCGACGTCGCGGCTCTCGAGGTCAGCCTCAACGCGGCATTGGAAGCTCGCTTCGAGAAATTCTATCGCCAGCATATGCGCAGTCTCGTCGACCGCGTCGAACCCGCCCTATCTTCCGCACTCGAGAAGCTCCCCACGTCTTTGCCTGACCTCGACACCGCCGAGTTCTTGCTCGAAACGCCCCTGCCTTTCCCCAAGACCTCGCATTACGGCGTCTTGCCTCACATGAGTACAAGAGCCAACAACAATGTCGCCGGTCTCTCAGCGCAGTCGTTCAGCGACACGCCGTTTGAGGCGTTCCTGGACCAGGTGAACAAAAGGGTCATTGGTCGGAGCCCACTTATCGATCATGCGCTCAGTGAACTGGAAGCGCATGCTCGGGACCTGCGCAAGGATTTGCAGGACTGGCTGGAGAGCGAGGATCATGGTCTCGATGTACAGTAAGTCCTTGGCCGTAGTAGGTTGAGATCGTGTCGCGACGGTACGTTGACCTGGCTTATGCTGTTTTCAGGACACGGTTGAGGATCGCCTACGTAGGCTCGGCTCGGGACATGCTGCACAGCGTTTACGAAGCCTTGGCGGCTCTTCTGGGCAAGCATGCTTCATCGGTCACATCGTCTCTCTTTCTTGGCAACGTTTTCCACCAGATATCACTCAGCACCACGTTCACCGCCGACCTCCTCCACGGCACACTACCCGTCGCCAAGTCACAAGGTAAGTCTCGCTGCTCGCTACCATCCTCGAACATTGGGCAGAGGGATCTCAACGGGTGCGAAATCTCGCCCTATTACAGAGTCGAGTATCATCGCCGAATGGCAATCGCAACTCGCAGAGCTGCAACAGCGATCACTCGGGACATGGCGCATTCAAGCTGTCGAGCGAGCTGCGGACAAGCTGCGCGACGCCACCAGCTCCGATGCGCTGCGTACGGCAACTTTGAAGTCCCGCGAGATGGTGCAGGGGCAACAGAATGGGCAACAGGCCACTGCAGCACACATGGCTTTGCCGATGCAGCCTTCACCTGCCGTCCTTTCGGCGCTGCGTAACCTCGTGTCGCTGATTCGGAAAGTGGGACTTCATCGAACCCAAACGGACCCGACGATCGTACGAGATCTTCTCGACCAAGTTGCCGAAGCTGCGCTGCAGTCGTACCAGGCTTTCGTGGCGAAAATGGCTCAAGGTGACGAGAGCCCATCGGAGAAGCGCGAGTTTGCGAATCAGGTCTTGTGGGATGTTAGCTTCCTGGGAAGGATATGGAACGCTTCGCAGCCCGGATGGATCGCTGTGAATGAAGAGCTACGGCAGTTGGTGAGTTTGAGGTTTGTCCGAGTTGGGTGAGAGTGACGTTGCTTCCTAATTGACCACTTCCGACTGCACAGGCCGATCCTTCTCTCGTTTCGTCGGTCGAGGCCAGCACGTTGAAATATCTCCAACGAACGCAAACCATCTTTTCCTCGCTGTTGCTGGTTGGAAGCACACCCTCGTCCTCGTTGTCCTCGACGACAGCTGCAGCAAGTGCGGCCGGATGGCTCGCGCTCGGTACGGTCTCGGCGCCGAGTCTGGCACTGACGGGGTTGGGCAAGCCGGGACCGCGTTTGGGACAATTGCCGACGAGGAATTGAGGTGGAGTGTGGACGTGTTATTTGGTCGATGGTTGTGTCTGTCTGTGTGTGCAACCTGGATTTATGTGTTTATCATCATGTGCGCCTCTCGGGGCACGATTGCGATTCGCTGTGTCGCTGCGGGGGGCGGAAAAGTGATTTTGATCGCCGAACCTGCGCGATCGGGGTGCTTCGATTGGCGCGTGCTGGAGCGTGCGATCGCAAGGCTGCCCGCGGGCGCACGGACTGCAAGACGCGTCGACGTGGACGCGCCTCGACGCGTGCGCGCGGGCCACACCCCAATTTGCGCCAATTTGCGCGGTGTGCGCGCTCGAGCAAGCAGGGATGCCGTGCAGTGGTGTGTGGTCTTGCCCCTCTTTTCGTGTGTTGCTCCTCCGCCTATCACCACGCAACTACTTCATCGCTGCTACTCCAGCACCAGTATCACCCCGTCATCAACTCGGTGGCCGACCAATCCCCTTTTGGACATTTACGCGTCACACCTCTGCCCAGCCCGCGTCGCGTCCGTCTGTGCGCCTGACTGCACTCTGACTGCCTATACCCCGTCGCGCGTGTGTAGCGTGTGTGGGCTATGAGCGCCTCGTCTTCTTTACTGGGTCAGTCCGGGCTCAGAACGCGTCTGCTGAGTCGAGTCACCCACACTCATCTGTTCCGACCATACACCCCATCAGACACCCCGAAAGCCTTGACTACCAAGTCGATCCCGACCACCACCGAGCGATTCCGATTCCCATCCTCGTGCTCGCCTCGCTGCGCCTCCTCCCCTTCGTCGCGCGACGGGTGCTCCTCCTCTTCCCCCTCTTCCGCCGCATCGAGCCTCGCGTCCTCGGTCATCCAGTCGGGTAAACACCGCCGCCTGGATATGGACATCATCTCTCTACACGACTCGTCCTCTTCCCCGCCTCCCCGTTCCCCTTCAGGGGAGGACGTCGAGATGGAGGTGGACGTTCAAGTCCTCGAAGATACCAGCAACAACGAACCCTCGAGCTTGTCCAAGAGGAAGCCAGCACACCAACCTCAACAACAGGGTAAGCATCATCCTGGCGCAGCAGATGACAGGTCGATCTCGACTTGCTTTCTCATCTCGCGATTGGCAGGTCGTACAGACTCGATCACCAAGAAACCAAAGTTGCTGGCCGAGCACGTCACACCGATGTCAACTCCGTCCAAGACCGCTTCTTCAGAGAACGTTCACCTCGCGTCGGCAACTTCTGTGGTCAAGTCGACTACGACGACCCCCAAACTCAACACCACCGGCCCCGCCGCCTCCCCTGCCCCTCTCGAACCTTCCCTCGTCGATTGGGTCAAGGGCAAGTTCGTCGTCAAGCAAAAACCATTCGAAGCGACCAAGATCCCGAGTGCGATCGAACGTCAGTCCAATCCAATCCCATTCCGCTTCGATACGCGAGACTGACGCGACCCTACCGACGCGTTTTGGGACATCTTTGACATTCAGGCTGGACGGCGTTCACGGCCGAATTTGCGCAAAAGTTCCACTCGGACCCCGAGTTTGAATTGGCCGAGTACCCGCAGCAACATCATGCGGTATTTGCGGCGATGATCAATGAATCGTGAGTAAAACCGTCTGACGAACACAAACCCCCGTGAGGTCGCTCATCCTCCTGCACGCCTCGAACCCCTAGAACCAAGACCCTCATCGCCTTATCCAAATCCATCCGCGACGAGCTCGTCAAAGCCCTCGACGGCGCGATCCTCGGTCTAGCGATTCAAGCCGACCTCGACGACGAAGATGACGACGTCGATGGTCGTGAAGTGGAGAGCAAGTCCGTTCTCGAAAGGGTTCCGTTGGGCCCCATCAAGAACCTTGTTGCCGAGTTGGCGAAAAGGGTTAATCATGGCTTGGACGTCGGCAGTCTCCTTGTTAGTGGCGGTGGGCAAAAGGACGAGCACAAGTTGGACCAAGATAAAACCCCATCCGACCTCACTGGATCCTCCAACCCCCTCGTCGTTCCTCAAGGCTTACAACTCTGGTTTTGGGAACTCAACAGTATGAGTTTACTACCGACCGAGTTGCAGGCGAGGTTGACGAAGAGGAGGAATCAGAGGTTCGAGATGGGCAAGGCCTGTTTGAGAATTTGGCAAGGGTTGGGGGAGGAAGAGAGGAAGGCTTTGCTGGTCGAGGGGAATGGGGCGGCAGGCAAGAATGGGGAGGGCGGGACGAGTACGGTCAAGGAACCCAAGGGGAAGGTCGCCAAGACTGTAGCGGTGGCTTCCTCATCGACGGCGAACTCGGAAGCGAGTGGGAGTGGTAGCGCAATCAAGAAGAAGAAGGTCAAGACGGACGAGCAACTGAGGGAGATTGAGGACAAGAGAAGGAAGAAGGAGGAGGAGGAGAATGAGAAGGCGGAGAAGAAGGCTGCGAGGGAGAAGGTCGTGAGTCTTTTGTTGCCCCAACAGGATGTGGGGTGGGTCGTGGATCGGTGGATGCTGATCTGTCCTGTGGTTGTACGGTTCAGGCCGCGGAGAAGGCAGCGGAGAAAGCCGCCAAGGAGGCCAAGAAGGCTGAAAAGCTGGCCGCGGAGGAGAAGAAGCGCAAGGTAAGGCGGTCGATTGCAGTTAGCCCTAGGTCCGGGTGAATACTGAACCTGAGCCCGGTGGCTGCCTTGCAGAGTTTGTCCAAATCCGCGGGGTTCATGAGCGCTTTCGTTGTCAAGAAGACGCCTTCGCCTGCTGCGTCGAATGATGTGACGGCCAACAGTGAGCAAGCGCGATTGTGTTCTTGCCTTTCGAAACGGGCGCTGACGAGTGTGCTCGTGTGAACAGGCGCGGGTCAACGCGTCAAAGAGTCGGATTTCAACCTCGTCTTCAAAGACTTCAACGACGCTCGAGCAGGTGTCGAAGTCGCCCCCATCAACCGCTTCAAGAAGTACCGTCTCGCTACCAAGGGCAAACTTCCCGAAGTCCGCATCGACTCTGAGCCGACTTTGTCCAAACAGACGGCTTTAGCGGATCTGACCAAGGGGGTTCCTGCGCGACGCATCCCGACCTACCATTCCGCTCTGCCCAAGACGACTGTATCGGTCCGCTCGATCGCGGAAGAAGTCACGCAATGCGCAGTGACAGGTGGCGATCCCGCACCCCTCTTAAAGATCCTTCAAGATCGTCGTAAAGTCCCCGTCAAGCTCTTGAAGTTCCATGACGACGTTCGTCCAGGCTACGTCGGGACGTGGACCAAATGGAGTCGCACGATCCGTCCTCGTGCGCCTCTCGAAGTCGATCGAGCGTTGATCAATTACGAGTATGATTCCGAGGCCGATTGGGAGGAAGAGGACGAGGATGCAGAGGACCTTCGATCGGGGGACGAACTTTCGGGAGAGGATAATTCGGACGACGACCTTTCAGACGATTGGTTGGCCGGGGATGATGATGTGGAGTATTTGGAGGGGGCGGGGAGTGAGGATGAATTGAGGATGGATGTGGATGGGGGAGCGGAGGATCTGGAGTTGTTGGCTACGAGGAGGAGGTTGGAGAGGAGGGAGAAGAAGGGCAAGGCGAGGAACAAGAAGGAGATCAAGACGTTGATTCCGATCGTCAAGGGGCCTTGTTGGGAGACGAGGCTTGGCGTGCCGAAGGAGAAGATGTTCGAGTCGATGAGGATTCAGTTCTTGAATGGTCAGTTGCGACGACTTTTCATGGCTACGCGCAACCTGCTTCTGACCGTATCTGACGTTTCCTTGGCAGACGCGCATGTCGGCATTGATCCCTTCCGTTGGGAATCCAAACCTCTGCCACCTCCGACGAACGGGATGGCCGCCAAAGGCAAAGGCAAGGCCGTCGCCGACCCGACCAACACGGACATGACGGCGCCCGGTCAAACAGGAGGCAAGAAGAAGGCCGGCGGCGTCTCGACGATCATGTCCGACGGCGACGTCGCTCGTATGATCTCGTTGATCCATGGATCGGAAATGATGTCCAAGATCAAGTTGCTGGAAGGCGTGGTGGAGAAATTGAATCGGTCGTCGGTGTTCAAGGTGCCTAAATTGACGGTGCAAACCAAGTGGGGGGAATTGGATCCAAAGAAGGTCGAGAGTGCGACGATCAAGGGGAAAAAAGTGTGGGACGTGGATCAGGTCATCAGGGTGAGTGAAATTTTTCGGCATAGGTTGGCTCAGGATTGTGGCTGACTTGTGGCTGGGATGACCGCCTCACAGGCCAAGTACGGTGTCGCTTGATGGGGGACTTTATGACGCCTATAAAAGTGATTTTGAGTAGTCCATCCAGTGTTTCTTTCTTTCGGGGGGTTGTTCATGCCATTATTCGAATCTTTTGTTTGCCGCCGCTCTCACGTGTACTAATAACAGTAGCGAAACCCCCACATTGCCCTTGTGACGAGACGCGCCAAAGCCCGTGTCGGTGGGTGCGTGCACTGCATGTGCAGGCGTGCTCAGCAGGCACTGCTCAGGCCGCTCACTCGTGTGCTTGGCGCGCTTTTGGCCGAGCCCAGCCTAGGGCCACACGTCACACACACACACTCTCTCTCTCTGCCCTACCCGACGCGCCTGTGTTGTACATCCGTCGCACACGATGCCTCCCGTTGGACGGCGGCGGAGTAGGGACGGTAGAACTGGTCTCAGTGCATCGCACCTAGCCTCAACACACCTCCCCTCTTCCACTCGATCTTGGCTCCTCACGACGACGCTCCTCCTGGTGCTCATGGTCCTGTCGGCGTCGGCCTCTGCCTCCTCCTCCCCACCCCGCCCACGACCCTTCTCCGTCCTCAAACGCAATCCCACCTATGCGCCTCTCTCCGCCTCTCACCTCTCCGCCTTCTCGACCCTGACGGACCTGAACGAGATCCTCGATTTCACCAACCCTTCCTCGGCGTTGAGCAAGCTCCTCGTTCCGCGAGCCGCCGGATCGGCGAACTTGACGACCTTACAGACCTACCTCGTCGACTTCTTCACCGACTTGGGTTGGCACGTCGAACAGGATCGTTTCACTGCCAGGACACCGATCGGGGAGAAGAGCTTCCACAACCTCATCATGACCCACGACCCCGAAGCGACGAGGCGCTTCGTCTTTGCTGCTCATCTGGACTCGAAATACTTCCCCACCCATCCAGAGGATCAATTCATTGGAGCAACGGATTCGGCTGCGCCTTGCGCGATGTTGATGGACCTCGCCAAGTCGTTGACACCTTGGTTGGAGCTACGCAAGAAACGTATCCTCGCCCAAGGTGGGGAAGATGGTCGGTCAACCCAAGCCGAGACGTTGCAGATCATCTTCTTCGATGGCGAAGAAGCCTTCGTCGATTGGACGGATGAGGATTCGATTTATGGCGCGAAGCATCTGGCGAAGCAATGGTCCCAACCGAGCACACGACCTTCGGCGATCGAGAACGTTCCTCGCACGGAGATGCAGAGAATATCCCATTTCGTCCTCTTGGACCTGCTAGGCGCTCTCAATCCATACTGTCGATCCTTTTATGGTCCGACAGGGTGGTTGTACGACGAGTTTGCGAACGTCGAGACCAAGTTGGGACAAGCGGGGATCTTGTGGCCGGGACATAAGGGGAAAGCATATACCAAGGTCGCGATGGCGCAGGAGGAAGGGAATCCGATGAAGAGCTTCTTCATGCCAAGATCGACGTTCGGGTTCATGGGCAAAGGTTAGTCACCCCTTGGCCCGAGCCTACAAAATCTCAATACAACACTCACCGTTTGGTCCTTTCCAACAGTCGAAGACGACCACATCCCCTTCCTCGAAGCCGGTGTGCCCGTAGTCCACATGATCTCCGTCCCTTTCCCCACCGTATGGCACACCATGCTCGACAACGCCGACGCCCTTCATCTACCCACGATCAAAGCATGGGCGTTGATTATTCGTCTAGTCACCGTGGAGTATTTGGGTTTGGACCCCGAGGGGGGTACGACGACTGTGAAGGGGAGAAAGGGGGAGGTCAATGTGGAGGATAAGGCGAAACGGAGGAATGAGTTGGTGAGTTGCGTCCGAAGTGATTTGGGTGTTCGAGGCGGGCGCATACTGATTGACATGGTCTCTTTCCCTCGGATGCCGTTGACACCTGGTCCTGCAAGTACAGTAGACATGATCAATGAAGCGGTGTAATGCAACCCAATTTCACTTTGTCCCCGGGGTACTCTTCACAAGGCCAAGAGCCACAAGGCTTCGTCATCGTTTCAAACATACCAAATAAGAGATGAAAAAACGACCATATGCAACTGATCCAACAAAACAAATAGGAAGACGGAGAATGACAAGAAATATATGAATACATGATGTGATGAAGATGATGATAACCCAATATGCGCGAGTCTACCCAGCAGACCGACTTTTATCGTGTGGGGGCGGGTGTGAAAACTGTGGATCGGAGGACAAAAGACAGAAGGTACACGTGTCCGTGAGGTAGAAATACAAAGAGAGCGTTATGCATGGAAGAGGGTAGGGCAGTGGAGATCATGCTTGAGTGAGAAGGAGGACGGCGAGTTGCGAAGGAGACGTGGAGAAAGGAAGCGCCGCGCTGTATTACGCATATCGGGACTCGCCCAGGAGGCCGGAGAAGAAATCGCGTTCCTCATGCGAAGCCAAAACCTTGGAAGCTGACTTAGGTGCCGTTGCCTCCTCCGCGGGAGACGAGACGACCGGGGCGGGCGTCCGAACAGGGGTATGGGTCGAGATGAGGGGGGACCCGATCGGCGTCGAGGAGACCACAACTTTGACGGGGTGCCTGGCGTTGTTGGTCCCCGCGACTCGGTTCATCGTCGGATGTAGAGTGATGGGGGTACCGATCATACCGGGGAAGTGTTCGATCGTCGGTGTGCCTGCCGCCAAGGCCTCGGCCGTGAGCTTGTCGATCATCGCGCGAGAAGTGGGGTGCATCGTCGACATTTGGTGGAACATGGGCGCCCCCGCCATTATGGGAGCGCCGTTGAGATGGCCTTGAACGGACGTCGAGAGATGGTCGTCGTGCTCGCCGAAAAAAGGCATGCCCGCGCCTTGCTCGGCCGAGTACGGGTCCGCGAACGCCGGCGATGTGCAGTCCCACGGCGAGATGGAAGACTGCGAATAGCTGCGCTGGGCTCGGGCATGGGGAGGAGGCGGTGGGCCACTGATGAAGGGAGGAGGGTCCATCGGGGTGTGGACGATTTGCGTCAGAGGTGTGTGCAAGCCACCCATGGCCGCCGTAGTTCCCCCTTGGCCCTGGGCTTGCTGAAACGAAAAGTTCGGCAGAGGGGGGATTTGCAGGGAGAGGTTCGGCTTATTGACAGAGTTGCCGCGGCGATGTCCGAAACTTGAAGAAGAAGGTCCCGTGCGAGTAGGCTGTCGAGGCAGGTTCTGGATCATGCCGAGTGGCATTCGTTCGGCCGGACTGGGAACCGGCATCGGCATCGACATGGGCATCTGCATCGGCATCGGCATTGGCATTGACACCGCTGCGGGCATGCCAGGCAGCGGAGCGGGCTGGTTCCGGATCAACGTCGAGAGCACAGAGAAGGCTCGGCCGGGCCAGGCGGGATCGTGGAGGTGAACGGTGTGCGCCACGACGAGAACGACCTCGCTTTGGACCTCGCCATTCGAAGAAGCCATTGCTGCGTCGTGCACCGAGAACTCTTGCACCACCAGTACCGCCTCCGCGATGTTCGCGAACGGCTCCAGCTCCTTTTTGTTCTTGGTAAAGATGAGCGTGGGGACGATTTGATGCGAGTCATCATAGATCTCGGCCTCCTTGGCAAAGAGCCAGGACCAGAACTTGTCACCGAAAGGCACGTTGTACTCGATCTTGCCATTTGCGTTCCTCTGCGACGACCGCGACGCATCGCGGTCCTCGGGTGAAGCAGCTGAAGCGGGGGAAGAAACGTCGGAGCCCGAAGCGGGGCTGCCCACCGAGACGCGCTCGATCAAGCTCGTCTTTTCGACACGCTGAAGCTCGCCGGCAATGTACATCGAAGTGACAACGGATATGTCGAGCTCCTGCGTTGATGACAGCACATAGCTCGAGTGAAAGTTCGTTGGCAAGGGGCGACCCGAGTAGTCCTCGTCCGGGATAGTCACGTTGAGCTTAGCGTGTATGAAAGGGCATTGGTATTTGTCGTACATGCTTATGAGGCGGTCGTAGCTGATTGTCGCGGGAGGTAAACTCTCGATGAAGGAAACGCGTTGCGAACTGGTTGCAGCGTCTGCCGTGTCGAGTTTCGCCATCACCTCGGTGCCATTGGGTTTGCCGTTGGACACCCAGAAGCACAGCGACTCGAGCATCACTGTGCCGGCGTACCGACTCGCGGGGGAAGGCTCCGAGAGTAATCCGAGGTTGCTTATAGCATGTGTGAGGGTCGTGGTGGGGGTAAGTGGCATCGGGCCATACGACGACGGGGCAGAAGGGTAGTAAGGCGCGTGGTGTCCGGCTATGTGGGTCATCGGATAGGCGGTTTGCGGCATCATCGGCGTCATGGCCATAGGTCGCATTGTCTTTGGCGGTACAGAAACGGGGAAGTTCGGGTAGAGTGCAACTCGGGGTTGATAGTCAACGCCAGGCATCGGCTCCGGGGATGCTCCATCTAAGCATTGGATCTGGTGCGTCGGAAACCAATAACGTGCCTCGGCGTCGGTCAGCATTTTCCGCTGAGGTTCGAAGGTCTGGGTCTGTCCTTGGGCTGTTGAGCAGGATGGATGTCAGAACCTTGTTCTCAATTCTGTTTAAATCCCAAGGCGACTTTGGCGGGCTTACCGATGATCGCGTTCTTGATGACTTGAATGTGGCTCGAGATCTGCTTGCGCGTGCGCTCTTGATGGCACCGATCCAGGATGTAGAGGGCGATGAGCTCGTTGCGACCCGCAGGCTTGCCGTCGACGAGCACCTTGCGGCGTCCCAACTCGGGCAAGTTGAAGTAGGCTGTTGGCTCACGAGAAACAAGGTCAGCTCGCGATTTCCTGAATAACGCGCCGCTCTCAAAGCGCTTGACAACCCACCATTCCTGAATGCTTCGTCGATTTCTTTTGGCCAAATACTGGCATCATCGCTCTGCTTCGCCACACCTCGCTTGACCTCGGTCGCTGGGTCGAAACGCAGTTTGGGGATCGGGGGACGGCGCACCACTCCGGCGGGACTGCCGCTACGAGATGGCGAGTCGGACGCGCAGTTGGCGGCCGGAGCCGTGAGTCGACGTTGCAGCTCGGGCCGAGTATGTTGTTGGTCCTCCAACATCATGTCATAGCTCGGCGAGCTCGACATTGAACTTCCGTGCATCTCCGCCGATAATTGTAGAGAGGAGGACTTTGTCATGGGAGAGGACGCGACGGTGGAGTACGAGCTGGCGTAAGGCGAAGAAGATCCGGCGTCGCATCGGAATAACGAAGCGGGCGATGAGGACGAGGTCGTGGAGCCATGGACGCCCATCGCCCACGTAGATCGCGAAGGCGGTATGGGTGACCTGAATGCGTCGTGGGAAGGTGAGGTGAGGTTCGCCGGGGAAGAATGCGAAGCTTGCATCGGCACGCTCGAGGGGTTGCGCGACCCAGGGGCCAGCTTGCCAAAGATGGGCGAGCCCCTGTACGCTACGTGCACACCCTCACGCGACATGTTGAGCAAGATCGATGTGAGTTACGCTAGGTACCAATGAGAATTTATGATGGTCAGAAAAACTTTTCTTTGTTTCGTACATCGCCTACTGAAGACGCGTCACGCGTTGCACTGTGCCCTCGTCGCCTCGTGTGCGCACGGCGCGACGACACCCGTCACGCCGGCGCGGGCGAGGGTTAATTTGAGGTGACGGATCGCGACGTACCAGCACCCGATCGGAAGTAGGTCAGAGGCGCGATCACGGGTTCCTCAGAGCACGGATCAACCGATGTTCTGACGTTCGGTGCTCTTCAGTGGATGCGTCGTCTGTTGCAGGGACCTGCGGAGTGCCGAGGGTGGGCGCCTGCTGGCACGCGCTGATGCTCGAGGCCGTGACGCGACAACCGGTCGTCGGGTCGAGGTGTAGAAGGCGCGGGCGCCGTAAGGAGAAGAGAAGGGGCAGAGGAGCCGAATGAGCGCCAACGAGTGAACAGGAGCTCTGAACCGATTGTTTCGAGGTCGAGGAGAGTCCTGGGCGATCAGCCGACGGACACTGGGCTGCACGAGGAGGTCGAGAGGGAAAGCCAAGGCCGCGACTGAGGCGCGTGCAAGGAGCTGGTGCCGGACCCCGACGCCGTCGGTCTGCCAGGTCCTTCAATTCGGCAACGAAACCTTTCCACCGGAGAAAGCTCCTACAACGTCTTGAGCAGCTCCGTTCATGACTAACAGTGCCATTATGAAGAAAACAAAAACAAAAACACCTGACTCTGAGTACTCTGCTGCGTTATGTTACAAGGTGCAGAAGGCTGTGCAAATCCCGTCGGAGATTCGCTCCGTAAATTCCGGTCGGGATGCCAGTGCTTGACTTGGCCACCCTCAAAATCGGACAGAAACAATTCCTACGTTCCCAATGGCCGAATCCCGACGAGATCATCTGTTACTGTTCTTGCTGCAACGCCTGAAGAATGTCCCCGATCTCTATAGAAGATGAAGGACCAAAGCTCAGTGCCCTGTGCTGACGCCGCCGGACGCTCACTCGATGGTGACGACGGCAGTATCGACGATCGGCTAAACTTCAGGGTCGCCAGGCTTCCAGAACTCGTGACATCGTACTCAGGTACATCGACGTAGATCACTCTGATCCTCCCTCAAAGTTGGTTTCGCATTGGGTGTTGGGCCCGACCTTGTCTCGCATAATGTAACGGGTCATAATTCTGACGTCTTTTCAAAAGGAGCAACGGGCGTCGCGACGCGTTCCACCTTCGCAGCCTCGACGCGATGACTAGAATCTCGATCAACTACGAAACACCGAGGGGCACACCGAGGGGCACCGCCGCGAACTCTGTGAAGGGGATGAGGCCTCGAGAGAATGTACATATGGGCAGGAGGTAGTACACAAGGACTACCAAGGCTCAGCAGGATGACATCACTGGCAGGCGTGCCGACGGTGACGTAATGCGGTCCGTGAGATAAGGCACACACGCACGCACGGATCAAGCGCAATCTTCGTACTTTCCCTGCGCTCGTAGTCGTAGGCCGTGCGCATGAACTAAAATGTTGTTCAACCGAAATCGTCGATTTCCCTCCTTTCATACACTTGCATGTCCTATACCAACTTCACCACTCCAACACCATGACGCCAACCCCCTCTTCGAACCTTCAATGTCGTACACGGCCCAACTGGCTGACGAGCCACCGTGCGACCATCAATTGGCAACGCCACAAGAGCAAGAGCTACAAGAGCCAGGCTTTCATCGCAGGCCCACCCAATCAACCGTTCGAATAGGTCTCCACCACTCCCGCAAACCTCATGGCAGCCAGACAGCGCGTTGTACTCTATGCCTATGCTGACTGGTTTCTTGACTGTTCTTCTACCGCAGCTCCTGTCCACACAGATCCCGACAATCGTCTCAAAGGTCAACATCGCAATTTTTTGTTCGAACCGTACTGCAACTGGGCCGAAAGCAAGCTCAAGACGGGTATCAGAATCAATGCGAAAGCGAATATGGGAGTCGTCGATCAAATGCGGCTGCAAGGCGGCGATAACCGTCTCTTATACCACGATAACCCCAGAGTCTACCATGTCATGGTTAGACTCCACAAAATCATGACCCTTACTTATCCGAGTGCCTCCTTCGATCTCGACTCTCAACTACGGTTCAGCTTTGTCTGGCTTTCCGAGTTTCTTTCCAAGGGGCTTGAATGGAGCCAAGAGTGGAGATCGATGGAGGTGCTCGGATGAGTAGGGATCATGGTCGTTGTGGAGCGTAAATTTGAAGTGGTAGATCATGGGGTTGTCGTGGTAGTAAGACACGGTCATGGCCGCCCTCGCAATTGATGGGGGATCTCGATTCGTGTCACATTGTTTCTGATACCAGTCTTGGGCTTTCGGCTCAGTTGCAGATGTATCGTTCGAACAAGCCTTTGCGGTTTTGAGCTTTGAGGCGATTGTCGGGATCTCGTCTCAGTGGGAACCGCGGCGGAAGGAGTACAACGCGCTGATTTGGCCGCCGTGAAGAATGCGAACGTGGCGGAGACCTACTCGACGGCTCTCGACGGTTGATTGGGCGGGCCTGCGATGAAACTTTGCGCTCGTAGCTCTTATTCTTGTGGCGTTTCCAATTGATGGTCGCACATTGGCTCGCCAGCCGGTTGGGAATCCGGTGACGGGAACCACTGTTGTTTGTATCGACTTGGTGACTTGGCGACTTGGCGTCAGGCAGCGCACCGAGAGGATGCTGGCCTTGTATGACATTGAGGTTCGAAGAGGGGTTTGCGTGATGGTGTTGGAGTGGTTGCTATGGGTCATGCAAGTGTATGGAGGAGGAAAAGAGACAATATGGGTTGAACAGCCTTTTTATACATGCGCGCGGCCAACATTTACGAGTGCAGGAAGCTTCACCCTGCTTCACCAGTGCAGGCGTCATCTGCTGACAGAGCTGCGAACGCGTGAAACAAGTTGCGGCGTGTTCAAAATTCGTACGGGCCCCGTACGGCCGCGGCCGCACGGCAACCGTGAAAATAAGGCAGAGATGCCCTAGATGATTTCATTGGTGCCTTCACGCCCGCCACCTAGTACGGATGCCGCACGCGCCTGGCCGTACGGCGTCCACATCATCCGAGTCGAGCCTAGCTCGAGACGGCATACGAAAACTGGCAGAAGGACCGCGTACAGCAGCCGTCACGGGGGCTCTATAAGAACTGCTTTACACAAAGCACACGAGTTTCTCAAGGAAGACATATGACGAGTTCTGTCCTTGGGGTCCATTGTAGTAAGTGTTGCGCGTGCAGTGTAGTCCGCCGGACCGCCGCCCTCGGCGCCCTGAAGATGTGCCACCTTGGCCATGTCCCCGGTCCAATACGGAGACAAGGGTGGTGGTCCGTATTCACGGTTGTGCACTGCGAGATCCGTCACGAATGTTTCATATTCTGCATCCCCCTCGCTTCGAAGCCTTCCGTTTCCTCGGTGTCTAAATTGACGGCACCAAGTTTTTGAGTGTCGGGGACCGACCAATGATGCGATGCAGACTGGGTAACTCGAGACTTGAAGAAGAGACTGGCACGCGTACATGGCGGACAAGCGGCAACAGCTGAAACTGCTTCAATAGAGCAAGAATGTCCGATCTAACCCATCGCTCACGACGCTCTGCAGCACGGTAATCCGCCGGTGTGAAAAGCTGCCAGATTCCCAACAAGAAAAGTACAGTCAATAGCAGATGATATATAAGGACGGGGTAAAGTTCCAGTAGTCCGTGTTGACACCGCGTTTTATTCGACTCGTCCTCGGACGCGATTGATGATGGGGATCACCTTTTGGTAGCGCATCTGTTCAAAGTGATGCGGTGGTCAGTAACGCACAAATGTACAATGCACAGTCCGCGGCACCACTCAGACTCACCAACAACCACAGTAAAATTTCGTTCCTGATTCTCTTGTACCCGAACTTGCGAAACAAGGCGATGAGCGCGAACAAGGTGAACCATTTCGCGATCTTCTTCTGCGCATGACGAGCGGCGACACGAACCGTTCCACCGGTTTGGGTGAAGTTTTCGAACTTGGGCTTGCGCGTGCGCCAAACGAACTCGGACGTCGGACCGGGGAAGGTCGCAACAACTTTCTCGCCCAACTTGTAGTAGGACGTGCAGCCTCCGTTCCAGACCGTTCCCTCTACGATGAAAAAGAGTGCGCGTCAGCAAAGCTCCCCGTCATGAGCCACGAGAAGTACGGTCAACTTACTGAGTCGGTTTTGGATGTACTCGTTGTACTGTTGCTCAACCTCGACCTTGCACTCGAACGACTTGACACCATACTTGACCATGGGTTCGATCATCTTGACGATGTAGTTGACCTGCGCCTCGGTCGAGTAGACGACCGAAGCCGTTCCGGACGCAACGTTCGGGCCAAGGACCGAGTAGAACTTAGGCAGGCCCAAAGATCCCGATTAGCCTCAAACATCACGTCACTTTATAGGATGAGTTCGACTAACGTTGGGGTAATTGGCAATGGTGGTTCCAAGGTAAGCCTGAGGACCATTCTGCTCCTTCCACTGCTCGGTCACGGTCTTTTCATTACGACCAACAATATTGATGCCCAAGCCGACTTCAGAGACATCGAAGCCCGTCGCAAGGATAAGCACGTCAAACTCGTACTCCTTGCCCGACTTGCCGAGCAAACCTTTCTCCGTGATGGTCGAGATGCCATCGGTGACGAGCTCGACGTTGCTGCGGAAGAGGCACTGGAGGTAGCCTGGGTCCATGATGACGCGCTTGCAGCCGAAGGGGTACTTGGGAACCAAGAAGCTGGGCAGTCAAGGTTGATCAGTTTCGACCGTCTGGGCTGATGAAATAATGCGACTCACTCGTGGTACTTCTCGGGCGAGTTCTGACGAATGTAGTTGGCCATGTGCTCCTCGACGTAGTGCCTTAAGGTGGAGAATTGCAACCACCAAACGACGAAGCGCGAGTCGGACGTGATCGCGATGAAGTTGCGGTACGAGCGCATCAAGCCGGGGACATAGCGGAACGCAGCCTTGGTTACACGGGAGTAGTCCTTCTGATCCCGCGGTGCGAACCAACCTGTGAAACGTCATAGCGTCAGAATTTTGGTCCCAGAGCAACGCGTGATCGAGGAACGTACTGGGGGTACGACTGAAGTTAATGACTTGGGTCGACTTTTCCTCGGCAAGAATCGGGATGAATCTGCATGAGGTCCAGTGGATTAGCCTCATTCATCGGGTTTTTTCAGGGCATTTGAAAAGTGCTCACTGAGCAGCGGAGCAGCCGTTGCCAATGACGGCTACCCGTTTTCCCTTGAGGTCGACGTCTTTGCGCCAACGAGCCGAGTGGAAGACGGGGCCCTTGAATGAGTCAATCCCTTTCATACCATGGGGTTTGTCAAGCGGGGTCGAGAATCCACCGATGCACGAGATGAGTACGTCGCACTTGATGGAGAAGGTCGAACCGTCCTTGCGCTTGAATTCGACATTGTAGCCTTGCGCGACGGCGTCCCATTCACCCTTGATGAAGGTGCTGTCAAACTTTGTCTGCTTGGCCAGGTTGTGCTTCTTGTAGATACCTTGCCAGTCTGTTAGGAATCGTGGATGATCAATCACTTGCCATCCCGTTTATCGCCTGGAAAAGCACGGAAAATCGGGATAAAAATTTGAAAACCCACACTTTTGGATCTCAGCCTGTCCAGAGTACTTGCTCGTCCAGTCAGGGTTCAGTTCGGTCGAAAGTGAGTACCCTGGATGATTGTGTGCCAGTAAAAGAATGGTCCGTAATCAGTCAGGTAACGGTGAAGTTGGTGACCGGTGGCCCCGAGGGTAACGTACAATGAGATGGCACATCGCAGGCACATCCAGGGCTGGGAAGTAGACATGGAGAACAGTTAGAGATCTTCCATGTGACATTGCTAGAGATACACAACCGCCATGCTCTTCCGACTTAGAGGCTAGCAGGGTAACGGGATAAAGCGCCGTGTGAAGAAGGCAATGCACTCACTAGTAGTTATCGCGCCAGGTACCTCCGACATCATGAGGATGTTTCTCGTAGCTGCGACAGTTGCGACAGTTGAAACCGATGGCGTGAGTGTCCTGTCTCGCTCTGGAGCACCAAGACACCAGCGCGTCGACTGAATGCCGGCGTCGTCAAGACACTGGGGACTCAAAAAACGGCGGCCAGATCGGCGCGCCTTCGAGGGAACTGCCTTCCGAACCCGTTAAGCTTACATCGTGACGGTCTTTTCCAAGCCGAGGTTTTTCTTGAGCTCGAGAGCAAGGGTGAGACCCGAAAGGCTGCGGAAAAGATGTGAGCAACTCCGGATGTCAGCGAGCGACGAGTGGGGCAAAAGATCGCTGCTTTTCCGAGCCCGGCGACCTTTCAACCCCGAGTGGGGCTCAAGATGGCGCATGGCACGCGCGGGGAAGAAGGAAGGCAAGGTGAAAGTGGCTGATGCACTGACCCTCCACCAATGATGGCGATCGTAGGTTGGTTCTTGGGCTTGGGTGACATGGCTGTGTACGGTGTCTTTGTGTGTATGGGGAGCGTTAGGAAAGAGAGATCGGTGCGAGCCAAATTAACCCGGCCAACAGCGGAACGACGCCCGGCCTCGTCTGGCCTCGTCTGGCCTCGTCTGGCCTCGTCTGGCCTCGTCTGGCCTCGTCTGGCCTCGTCGTGGTCAAGCTCGCGATCACGCTCGACTGTGCGTCAGATTTGGCAGTGCCGCTGCCCCGTTGCAAGCCCGGCACCGCGGCCGCCGCCGGTGATGGGTTGCACATATAAGCGCCCCGAGACCAAATCGACGGCCGAGAGCCCGTAACTCAGGAAACAAGTTCTTGTCTCGACATCCACCAAGCTAGTCTCAGTTCTACGAAACATTTGAGGGCCAGAGAATGAGAAATGAGAACAATCATCCACTGCAAAAATCCCGTAGCCGCCAGACTCCACTCGCTGCTGGGCCGATACTTCTGGAGTGATGCACTGAGAAGATCAGCATGCCCAAGTCTAGGTTCCTACCTGCTGACTCGTTGAAATCATATCACTGAACGTATTGGGGGTGCTACGGCGGAACCGGAACACCTTGGGGGAACTGTGGGCCAGATTTTGGCGAAATGACGGACAGGGGCTTTGGCAACAAAGGGAGCTAACGGCATGGGCCCTTCACTGGCTGCAAAGAGTGTTCAGGAACGTGGTGGTAAGAACAGAGATCCACTAACTGCGACTTTGCCCGGCAATATTTTCGTGGGATGATAATGCTAGTCGTTCGCGCTTGGACCGCACGCCGGTTCAAGCCAGCCGGGCATCGGAGGACTATGACCTGCGCCGTTGATGGTGAGAATGAAATGAGCACACAAAGTAGATGGTACCGACCAGCATAGCATTCGGGTCGCTCATGAGTAGAATGGGAGCGCATTCGATCTAAGAGACCGCGATGCACCTCGATCTCGCTAATTAAAAGTCACGAACGAGTGTTTCGGCGATCTCAGCTGGCGATCGGGTACAGTGGCAGGACGAAAGCGACGTCCCTCCACACCGGGCCCAAATTTCAGGTTGATTTATGCTTTTTGGTCACATTTCTACTAGACTTTCAATGCTCTCCTGATGAGTACCTTGAAGGTTGCGGGAACACAAGAGGAGCCCGGGCCGGTGTCTCAGGCGCGCTCGGGAATTTGCCCGTTCGTCCGACTTACAATCGCTATCGGGCGCCACTTGGAGCTCTTTGACTCTGACTCGGTCTGACCTTGTACACATCTCGTGTCTCGACGCTCGTGCTCGCCTCAGACTCGCATCCCCATCGCCATCGTATCGTTACCGGGTAGATGGGAACCAGAGTCTGATGACGATGACAAGATCGACACTACCATCGCCTACAGATTGAGGCCACGCGACGGTAAGCTGCACGCTGAGCTCGGGGCCGTTCCGGATCGCCTGACTCGGTCATGATTGGACGAATCGCGGCGCATGCGCTTAGGACGGTGGCAGCTGCGACGGGGCGGCTCTGAGGGCCGATCCATGGGGCTGGTGGGATGGCTCGCAGTATGATTGGGGCAATGTGCTGTCGATGATCTGCTGCCGATGAGACGTTCGATTGAGCTGTGGCTTCAAAGGGCCCGGGGCTGCGCCACCTTGATTGATCGAGGACTCGAGGTGCGCCGTGCGACGCGCGTCGTAATGACTGCCGAGGTCACGCTGCTGGGCAAGCGGGCAAGCACGTGTAAGGCGAGCGTGCACGCCATAGGGCCCAGTATTCGGCATTTGGAGCAACTCTCCGACGCGCAACTCCGGCCCTCTCGGAGCCCCTCGAGCGACTATAGTCTCACTTTCCTTAGACTCTCATCACTGACCCAAAAACCCATGACTCGTCCTTCTCTGACCACCACTCACTACGGTTCGACATCCCCTCGATCGCCCGCTCGCTGGCTCGGTTCGCTCACGTGACTCCGCGCGCAGATGACGCCGGACCAGCAACTTGTGATTGACTCATTCGTCGATCAACGACGCCAGCTCTCGATCGATCCTTCCCCCAACGCCCAATCTATACTCAGTAACAGTCATTCTTCGATACCATTACCGCCTACTACTTTTAACCCCTGCACCACGGCCTGCTCCTCCGCTTCAACCAGTCGTGCACTCTCGACTGCAGAAATTGCCGGCACCGCGACGACCAGCTCGGAGATTTTTGATCTTACTCGAGCGAAATTGGAGCGAGCCGCACAGGGCCACCTTACAGGTCGTCGAGGACCCAATGGACTTCGCGAACTCGTGCTACTCTCGAACGTGTTTGGTCGAACAATACCTACCCAGCGACCACCAGAGGTCGATGCGGAGCAGCAACGGCTCCAACTCGAGCTCACGCGCAAGCAAGAGGAGGAGCGCTGGCTCAACTCGGTGCTAGACGAGATGCTTGAGGATCCCGACGACGAGGACGACGATTTCGTGGCCATATACGTCGCCGATCCCAACGTCAGCGACTCGGGTTTCCTGGAGCAGGACCCGCATGCCTTCGTCGCCGATCAGGGCGGAGGTCGTGACGAGGTTACTTTCGATCTCGATCGCGAGAAGCAAAAACAGCCTCTGCTCAAGCCCCACACCGCCAAGAGACCTGCTGCCGCGAATGACGACGAGCCGACTCTTTCCCTCGAAGGTCTCTCTTTATCGCCTCCTCGCTCCCCCCTATAGACCTGCCTCTCATCGCTAGCTCGCGGCCGTTGACGCTCGAAGAAGACTATTCGTCCTCACCACCTTTCGATCCACCGCCGTTAACGCCAGACTCGACGCCTCCAGGTCCCGGTGCTGCGTCGGACCTCCTCGCCACCAGTACCGAGTCTTTCGCTGAGATCGACTCTTTCCAATGGGTATCGGATCGATCCAGCGCAAGAGGTCTGCTAGCTCTCGATCTTTCGAGACTGACCGTCGCAGCGCCGAAACCCCCCTTGTCGCCGAAACCTCACAAGCCCTTCCCCGAGAAGCTCTTCTCCCTTCATCCTCGGAGCGAATTTTCTTCGATCCATGTACCTCCGCTTTCGGGTCCCTCATTGTGGGGTGATTCTGATGCGGCCTCTCGACCACCTCGATCGTCGTCGGTCCCGGCTCGCTTGCCGCCTTCGCCACCATCGTTCACGTCGTACAGGACGACCGGGATTGTCAAGTCGTTTTATGACTGCATCGAGTAAGTAGCCATCCCTGTTAAACCCCCCCTTCCCTTCGCGCTGACATCTTATATCTTGTGTCTCGACCAGTTTTGGCATCTCGGGCTACCCTCTACCACCGTCGTTCCCTGCCGCGGAGGAGCCGATGCCAACCCGGGAGTAGTGGAAGATCGCTCGGCACGGATACTCAGCTTCGCTTGGGACCATGCCCAGATTGGATACGATTGGGGCAACCAAAAAGCTTGATCTCTTTCCAACATTGCAAAACACCGCCTGCGCACTCAGCTCATCGCCACCACCACTCTAGGTTCGCTTTACGACACTCCGACGTTGCTCGTCCTCGGCAGTGGAGACTGAGTTTGATTATTCTCCCATACTCACTTCCCTCTCATTTTGATTTGATTTTCTGATTTTGTTTTGCGATGTCTTGACGTTTCCTGGATTTGGTCTCTGTCTCTCTCCATCAGAGCTTTTCGTAACATCAATGCATTCTCGCTTGCTCGCCGTTTCGGGGTTTGTTCAGGTTGGCGTTGTTTTGATTACCCCTCTCCTCTGTACTACCTGTACTGCATTGTGCTCTCTCGCTCATTTTGTAACAGTTGTAACACTTGTTGGTCGGATGTCATTGGCTCCGACTGTAACATGAAGAAAATTTTGTTCGAGATACGATTAATTGCAAATCACTCACTCTCCAAAGGCTCGTCCTTCATCCGGCTCAGGGATTCAAAATCCTCCAATAGACTGCACTGCCCCCATCCCCGGCCACAATCGCTTCCTCGACGACCTTCTTGCCCACTCTAATCTCAGGCGCAAGTTGCATCCTCGAATGAGGCATCGGGCTCAACGTCCCACTCCCCATTGTCCTTTCCGTCTCCGGCTGTTGTTCCGTTGCCGTCGCTCCTTCGACGCTGGCGATGGTCCGCGTAGGAGGAGCGATCAACCCCGCGTAAGGCAAGGGAGGTAAATGTTGCGGGGTAGAGAGGTTGGACCTCTTGCCGGTCCCCAACTGATGATACATATTGTGGCCCCACACAAAGACGTCGCTCCCGAACTTGACGCCTCCTTGATCGACCGCATTATCCAACACCAACGCGATATGGGCATTGCCCACTGAGATGTCCTTGATAGCGATAGGAGCGACTTTACCCGTTTCTTCGCTCCATTCCAACAAGCCAGAGATAGTTTTGACTTTGACGGGCGAAGCTTGGTGGGCCCAACTGCCGTTCCCGATCCCTCCGAATTGCCCGTTGCCCGTCGCCAAGAGGTCGATCGTTTGCCTCATCGTAGGGATGTCCACGGCATCGACGATGAAGTAGGAAAGGTTGCCTCCCGCGGCGATGCGGTTGCATGATACTCGAACGGCTTTGGGGTAACACCTCGTCAGAGGGATCTCGGTCGGTGCAGGGATCGAAGGGTACGAAAGGGACGACCCAAGACCGAGTTGTCCGTAGCCATTCGCTCCCCAACCAAGAACACGACCATCGGATAAGCGAGCGAGGGAATGCCTAGCACCGGCAACGAGTTCGGCGATCTCAATCTCGCGCAGAGCTGGGAGTTCGTGCAAGACGGTCGAAAAACGGATGTCTTTTTCCATCGCTTGCTGAGTGGATTCATCATCATGCAAGCGTACGTCTGACTCGGTTCGTCGGGGACGTGAAACGGGTGCGATAGGTTGGGAGGCGATGACGGGCAGCTCAGTCGCACCAGGCGGCAAGAGCAGCGGGTCGATTCGAGTGGGCGGTGCGGGTAGCTCGCGACGGACTTCGTTCAATGTCGGGTCGGGGTTGAGCTTGACGCGCACCGCTCCTGAAGAGACCGATGTAGAGTGGAGCGAGAGGAGCTGGACGTTGCGCACACCGAGTTGACCAAACACGTTCGCCGAGAGATCGAGCGGGAGACCAAACGATCGGCCGGTGGAAGTTAAAGCGAGCAGATGGGACTCGCCGGCCGAGAGCGAGACGAATCTGGAGAGCAAGAATGTCCAGGGTTAGGTCGTGAAGGAAGTGTCTGGAGGCCGGTTTCCGTGCGCACTTTTCTCCCTTCGCCAGCGCTTGCTCGGGCATAATCTTCTCGTGATCGGTGCCGTGGTCCGTGGACCCCCACACTTTCCACCAACTCGAATTGCTCCTCCTCTGCTCCTCGTTGATCTGTTGACGCTCACTCGAGCTAGGGAAGACGATCACCTCGCCCTTACGAGTCAATGCGAATATCTTGTGTGGTGTGGCGGTGAGTTTGAGGACGTCGTAGCCGCGTAGTGTCGGTCGAGGAGTCGCCGTCGCCACTGGGGAAGAGTCGAACCCGGAGCCCCACTGTAGAACGTCACCCTTTTCATCGACAGCGGCTGCGTGCACGAGAGCGAAGAGGAAGAGGATAAATTTGCATATCATGGCACCGAATTGTGTTATTTGCGACGCACCTCCATAGGTCTCTGCAAGGACCAGGTCGCGCAGGACGGCTCCTTTGAACTGGGCAGCCAGCTTAGGTCGCTTGACCATGTCGGACTCGGGTGTCTGAGGTGATGCGACGTTGTGTTCGTTGCGACCCCATCTATGTGGACGCGGTCGAAGTTAGCCGGAGCTCGACCGCAATCAACTCCGGAAACCGCGCAGGGTCAGACTGACAAGAAGACACTCGGGGAGATATTGCCGAGCTTTCCCCGATGCAACTGCGACTGCGACTCGTACCCTCGTTCTGGCCCACTCGAGCGAGCATAAAGCGGCTCATCCGTCGATTGCTGGAGAGCATAGCCGATTGCAAGGGTCGAGGCCGTTGCGGTGAGGGCGATGAAGGTGCGGATCGGCCGTCGTTGTCGTGGGGCGCGAAGGAGCGGGGCTGCACCTGGAGATCGGGCAGCCGCACGAGCTGAACCCAGGCACGAACTCGCACCAAAACGCAGCGTACTCGTTGGTCGAATCATGGCTCAGTGTGAGTTCGCTCTGGTGACCTCGGGTCGCGGGCGGAGGGGAGGAGGGGAGCAGGTTCACAGGGAACAAGCGCGCAAGCGACAAGTGGGGGGGGTGTCTAGGCGCGTCTCGGTGCCCCAGCCTGCCAGTGGGGGGTGGGGGGGGGGGGTGTGTGCCCGCGGATGCGCCAATTTGACCAGTCATCTCGGGCGCGCGTTGACTCGTTGGCCCCTGACTCTCACCCTCCTCTCACCCTCCTCTCACCCTCCTCTCACCGCCCCCACGCTCCCATCACCATGTCATCCGAAGCGCCCGCACCCAAGAAGGATGCCTTTGCCATGATGCGTGCCGCCTCGCTCAACAAGACCAAACCCGCCCCCACTTCTTCTTCAGCCGAAGCAGCCCCCGCCCCCGCCCCCGCCCCCGCAGCGGCGTCAACTTCTACTTCATCTACCACCACCACGGCACCGCCTTTTCCTTCCAAACCCGCCAAAGCAAAGACCAGCACGGCTTCCATCTTCTCGGGCGGTGGTATGGGAGGTGGTCCCAAGCATGTCGTCGATCCCAAAGATCAGCCCTGGGTCGAAAAGTAGTCCGTCGCTCCGTCCCACTCACTCCTCACTGCTCCAATAGCAAGAGCTCATACCTTATCCTTGACCAAACAGTCGGCCCAAGAACCTGTCCGAGGTATCAGCTCAAGACCACACCGTCGCTGTACTCAAAAAGGCGCTCGGTTCTTCCAACGTGCGTCGGGGAAAAGGGCCTCGCTCTCGCACTCGGGTCGTGCCGCTCACTCCCCATCTACACAGCTCCCACATATGCTCTTCTACGGTCCCCCAGGCACAGGCAAGACCTCGACCATCCTCGCCCTGTGTCGACAATTGTTTGGTCCCGAACTGTTCCGTTCGCGCGTGTTGGAATTGAACGCTTCGGACGAACGAGGCATTTCCGTCGTCAGGGACAAGATCAAGGCGTTTGCCAAGACGACCGTGACGACCAACCATGATCCGTGAGTGGGAAACTACTCTCACGACTGTCTACTTGCATCTCACTCCTGACACGGAGCAACTCTGCGCGCTTCTTTAGCAACTACCCCGCGCCCCCGTTCAAAATCATCATCCTCGACGAAGCCGATTCGATGACCCAAGATGCGCAATCGGCCCTGCGCCGCATCATGGAAGCCCACTCCAAAATTACCCGTTTCTGCCTGATCTGCAACTACGTGACCCGTATCATCGAACCGATCACGTCGAGGTGTTCAAAGTTCCGGTTCAAGCCTTTGGATACGTCCTCCACCGAAATGAGGTTGAGGTCGATTTGCGTTGCGGAAGGGATCGAATGTCCGGATGAGGCGCTGGGCGCGTTGATCAAGACGAGTGATGGCGATTTGAGGAGGGCGATCACCTATTTACAATCCGCTTCGAGGTTGCATGGCGCGAGTGGGACCGAGTTGGATAGTTTGTCCGTGCAGGAGATTGGAGGGGTCGTTCCGGACCGAGTTATGAGGGACCTGGGCAAGGCGTTGGGGGTTACTTTTGAGGATGAGGATGAGGCGATGCAAGTCGAGGACAACTATGGGACGAAGGGCCAGAGTGCGTTCGGGGTCGTGCGCAAGGCGGTGGAGAAGGTGACGAGGGAAGGGTATTCCGCTACGCAGGTGCTTTCTCAGGTAGGTGCTTCCTTCATCCCAGACTCGGCACCGAGAACGTAGCATTAATCCCGTGCATTCTCTCAGCTTCACGATCTCGTGATTCTTAACCCTTTGGTCGACCCCAAAGCCAAAGCCAAGATCGCAATCGTGCTAGGAGAAACGGACAAGTGTCTGACCGATGGCGCGGATGAGGAGTTGCAGTTGCTGAGTTGCGCGGCGAGGATCAGGAATGCGATTGTAGCATAAACGGGTGTGCGTGGGTAGGTTGGATGAGGTGTAATGATCAGAACTGGGCGCTGTAGAGAGTTTGGCTGGTGCGGGAAAAGTCTGGAAAAGTTTGGTGAGCTTCAGTGCTATCGGACCTGCCCGAGCGCGCGCCGGCTTCGCTTCGTCACCTCCACTTTCGGGTGCCGGCGCGACGTTGCCCTTCACTCTCAAGCGTCCCAAGATGTTGCAACTCTACGTCTGGCCCGGATCGACCAAACACGACCTGCCTTCCCTGGATGCTCAGTGCTTTGGCAAGTCATTAGCCATGTACTCCAGAGTCGAGCCTTCCGAGGAGGCTCATCTCGCTCCCGGCAACCCCCACTTTTTCTGATGTGGCGATCGGTCGCTGTGCTCCGCTACAGTGGCTGCGTCTTATCTACAGTTGCTCAGACCAGGGGAATGGGAAATGATCAAGACGACTGATCCGGGGGTGTCGCCTACTCGTACGTCCAACTCGCTCAGCTCATCGTCATCGATCGTCATCGCCATCGCCATCGCCGTCGCCTCGAGTGACGTCGTACCAGAACTGACCCTTCCTCCGTCCCCGCGATACTACCCAGGCCAGCTCCCGCTCCTCAAAGACCACCACCAAACCTTCGTCTCGAGCTCGATCCTGCGCCACCTCTTACAAAGCTCGTCCTCGCTCGTCGATTCGACCGAGGCCGTCCAACGCAGTGAAGGCAAAGCCTTTGAAGCCTACCTCGACACCACCGTCTTACCTCTGGTGTTGCATTCCCTCTATTCGGTTCGTCGTTGCAGCGGCGCATAGAGGTTGCTGGTTCAAACCCACTGATCGATGATCGCACTCGTCGCTCACGCACGCAGCTCCCCAAGAACTGGCACGCCTTTTCCCGCGTGTTGGCCCCGTCGTTCTCTTACCCGTTGCGCTTGATCCGACCCGCTCAATTGAGGGAACAGGCCCATGATCTGGTCGACGCGACTCAACCTACGTGGTGGAATCTGGGAGGGCAAGCGGAGAAGGAGGAAGAGAAGGAGAGGAGAGCCAAGAAGGTTCTGCTGGCTTCGGGTACGGAAGGCGTTAGGGAACGCAAGGAGGAGCAGAGAAAAGAGGGGAAAGAGAGGATCAAGAAGAAGTTTGGAGAGAGCAAGGTGCGCAAGGTGCACGGGGTGGCTTATCAGATAAGGACATTGACGGGTCGCCGTTCGTAACAGATCATCGCCGCGGCTCAAAAAGTCTTTGGCTCGCTCGAGCACACTTTGGCGAGTAGTTCGACGCCCTATTTCTTCTCTTCCACGACGTGAGTTCTCGACACGCTTCCCAACCTATCCCACCTGTACTAAAGCCTACGTCGACGATTCCCCGCCCAGGCCCTCCCCCCTCGACGCCCAACTCTGTTCCCTGCTCTCCCTGATCCTCTACCTCCCCCTCCCGAGCCCGATCCTAGCGGACCTGATCAACTCGTCCTTCCCGCGCCTATGGGCCCACACGGCCCTGCTCCGACGCACGCTCTGGTCCGAACGTCCGGCACCGATCCTCGCCCCCACTTCGGCGACGACTCCCCTGAGCGTACTTTCGAACCTGGGCGGTCTGTTGATCCCGACCCATTTGCCGTGGTCTTCTCCACGAGTGTTTCATGGCGCATCCGAGGGAGGAGGGAAGAAGAAGACGAAGAACGAAGTGGAGTTCGAGAGGAAACGATGGATCTTTTTGGGCGTCGTCGCGGTCGCGGTGGTCGGCTGGGGATTGGGGACGGGTAAAGTGCCGTTGCCTTGGGGGTGGGGGTGGAGTGGGGAGGAGGAGGAGGAGGAGGAAGAGGGGGAGTACGAGTGGGTCGTAGTGGAGGAGGTTGAGGGGGTTGGAGAGGTCGAATGAAGTGTGTGCGGCGATGCGGGAGGGCGGCGGTGGTGAGGTCGAATGAAGTGTCTGCGGCGAGGAGCAGGAGGTGACGGTTTCCCAGGGGAATGGAAAGAGTCTTGATTTTCTCGGAATGGCTCGGTGGCCTGCTGGTTTAGGAAAGGGAAAATGACGTGAAGGGTGGATATACGCAATGCAAAATACAAATATGTTTTGATGATCACTTGTTCTACCCGGACCGGATAGGTTCAGAGAGGTGGGTAATTCGGGCAACAGAAAGTGGCCGTGCTCAAATGTTCGGACAGGACCCGAGCAGGCGGGAGGGCTCGACATGACGTGCCCCCAGGTGCCCCCCGTCCTGCGCTCTGCTTTGCTCCCGCGTCCATTCTCGTCACTCTCGGGACGGTGCGCTACCCAAGATGGCACCCAAACGACCCGCCGAATCGTTGGCTAGACCCAAGTAAGTACACAAACACCCGAACTGATCCCAGAACCCTCACATCGCTGGGTGTAAGGACGGACGCCAAGCCCCGCCAAAGCTTGCTCAACCGATCCAACTCCCTCGCCCCACCCCCTTCATCGCAGTGCGTCCTCCTCCTCCTCTTCGGCCACGACCCAGCCCTCCTCTTCAACCGGAGGCAAGCGAGTCAAGTTCGACGCTGCGACCCTGCACGCTACCAACTCGGGTGGTGCGACCGCGTGCGCGACCGAAGCCGAATTGGAAGAGGATGACCTCCTCAACCCGTCTACAGCGCGCAAGAAGGTCGTCACGGACGGGTACGATTCCGATTCGAGCGCGGATGGCTCCGAGGATGGGTTTGGTGGGGTCGGGGGCGGAAGGAAAGGGAGGAAAGGAACGGGCGCGGAGAAGGAGGGGCAGGGCCAGGGGGAAGAGGAGGATGATGATATGTTCGACGGTGGACCCGACGAGGGGGAGGGCGTAGCCAAGCGAAACGTCGCGGAGAAGAGCAAGAAGAAAGAGTTCCTGGAGATGGGCGATATCGAAGGGCAGGAATTTGGCAAGGGGGAAGATGAGGAGGAGGGGCAGGACGGCGGAGGGGACGCTCTGGCGGAGGAGGACGAAGAGGAGGAGTATGCGCTCGAAGACGATCTGGCGAATGATGATGATGCGCCGAGGAGTAGGAGGAGTAAGAAAGGGATGGGCTACCAGCTGAGGTAGGGTTCCTCGTTGAGGGGCTTTTGGACACGGGGAACGAAGCTGATCTGATCCTTATCTGTCGCCCGCCCTTCCCCCCCACTCAGCTCGTTCAACATGGCCGACGAACTCAACGAAGGCCGCTTCTCCGCCGACGGGACCTACGTACGCAACAACGACGACCCCCTAGCAACCCACGACAAGTGGCTCGACGGGGTGAGCAAAGCCTCCATCCGCGCTGCACGCGAATCCAAGAAACGGATGGACGAGCAAGCGCGGAAGAAGGAGGAAGAGGAAGCGAGAGGCGCCGAGGCGATGGCTCAACAGAGGGATGACTGTTTGATTGGCTTGCTGGGCTTGGTCAGGCCTGGGGAGAGTATTACGATGGCGCTGAATCGATGGGGCAAGAGGAGGAGAAAGGTCGCGAAGAAGGTGGTGCGACCCAAGGTCAGGGACGGGGATGAGGCGATGGATCTGGACGAACAACCTACGACGTCGTCGGAAGTGTCGAAGGGGAAACAAAGGGAGGAAGAAGAAGCAGAGGACGTTGATCCGGCAGTGAAGATGATTGATCGCATCACCTACCTCGCTTCGACCTTACTCGCCCAAGGCGAATTGGAGATCTACGATACCTCGTACGAAGCGATCATTCAAACGCTCAAGGAGGAGGGCGCGGTCAGGAGAGATTGGGTCCCACCCGTGGATCCTGATATCGCCAAGGAGGAAGAGGAAGAACGATTGGCGTTATTGGCTCAACCGAGAAGAGGGTTGATTGCGAGACCCAACGTCGTTACGGCAAGACCCTCTACTTCGACACCACAAGCGGTTGCGACGACCGTGAATCCGAACGGGAAAAAGTTTTTCTATAAATGGAAGGTCCCCCAGGCGGGTCAAGTGCCGAGTCAGGAGTATGGACCTTTCGGCACGGAGGAGATTGAGACGTGGATTCAGGGAGGATTTTTGGGACCCCAGGGAGCGAACATTGTGGTGAGGGTCGAGGGACAGGGCGGGCAGGCTTGGACGAGTTGGCAGGAGGCCAAAGTGTAGAGAACTGGAGAGAGGTGGTGTGGGGAGTTTGTTGTCGAATTGAACGAATTTTGCTGAGGCCCGAGCGGGGATGTGGTGGCGCAGATTCGAGAGAGATGCTGGACCTCATAGGAGTATCGGAGGCGCACACAAGTAAGCCACGGGCAACTTCTTCCCATATGGAACGCCGAAGAATGAATGAGCGAGAATTGTGATGGCACTTGCGTGCGACACGCACGTCACGTCTCGTCACGTCTCGTCACGTCTCGTCACGTCGTCCGAAGCTGAGAGCGCTGACCCATGCAGTGTCGCGCAGGCTGTTGGCCTTCGTCCCCTCACCGGCCTCACCCACCACGCCCAAAAGCGGACTCTAGCCCAATCGAACGACCGCACCTCATCCCTTTGACTGCGCATCAACACTCCCCTACGCTCACCACTGGCCTCGTTCCCCATCGCCCACGACCGCGTGTCGTAGCCCGACGACCCACATGCCTCCCAAAGCCGATCTCAACAAGGCCGGCGTCGAGACCTCTGACTTTCCTATCCTCTGTCAGTTCGAGCCTGGCTACGATTCAGGTAGACGATTGTCGAGTATGCTGACCTTTCCAATGTGCTTACTCGACAGGCGAGACATGCTTGGGGCCTAATCCGTACGTCGAGTGACCACCCTACCCCCTACCCCCTACCCCATACCCCCCCATACGCCTCGCCTCGCCACCGGCACAGCTCTCCTGCAACATCCGCGTCACCGTATGACTCAAGCTCACCCTTCTACCCTACATGCTTCATCCCACAGCTACGTGCGCATGTCGAAGCAACCGCTCGGAGCAGAATGCAAGATCTGTACTCGCCCCTTCACCATCTTCCGCTGGCTGCCCGGCGTCGGCATGCGCTACAAGAAGACCGAGATCTGTCAAACCTGCGCCAAGGCCAAGAACGTCTGTCAGACCTGCTTGCTCGATCTGCAGTTCGGTCTGCCGACGCAGGTCAGGGACACGGCCTTGAGGATGAAGAACCAGGCGCCGACGAGTGCGATCAATCGAGAGTATCATGCTCAGAATCGTGAGTCTCCGCAGCGCCAGCTTGTGTGCAGAGCGCACACGTACTGATAACAAACGCGGTGTCCTTTCCAACACCACAGTCGAAAGCGCAATGGAAGGTGGTGCAGCAGGGGGAGCGATCAACTTTGGCAAAGCCGATAGCGCCGGCAAGGAGCTGCTCAAACGTCTCGCCCGCAAGGACCCCGAATACAAACGCAATCGACCGCACATCTGTTCGTTCTACGCCAAAGGGGCTTGCAACCGCGGCGACGAGTGCCCGTATCGCCATGAGCTGCCGGTCGAGAATGAGCTCAGTCATCAGAATATCAAGGATCGATGTGAGTTTTCGTGATGGTGGGGACCGGCCACGGCGGACGGGGCATCAACTCTCAGGAGTTCTTATGCGGCATGGTTCTGACTCCTACCTACCTTCTGACATCACAGACCACGGTACGAACGATCCCGTCGCGCGCAAGATCATGGCCAGGAACGCCGTCGACGCGGGCCTCGCCCCACCCGCCGACGAATCCATCACATCCCTCTTCCTGACCCAACTTCCCCCAACCGCAACCGAAGAACACATCCGCGCTTACTACGCAGGCGAAGGTGCGGCCCTCAAGTCCGTTGTGCTGGTCCCGGCGAGTAAAGTCGCTTTCGTGAATTTTAAAGACCGGAAAGGGGCCGAGGCCGCGGCGGCAAAGAGTAGTATGAAGGTTGTTATTGACGGCAAGGAGGTCAAGGTCTCGTGGGGGAGGGCGAGGCCGAAGAAGGATGTGAACGCTTGAGACTACGACCGAGGGAAGGTGAGGGCTTGTTCTTGAGAAGGAGGATGGAAAGTGGGGGTGCGAGTTGTAGTATCCCGGAAAATACCACAGTGATGCACTTGTACGAACGATCGGGCGCACTTGGTTCTGTGACTTTCCAATACAGAGAGACGTGGGAAGTACACCAGGGTTTACCATTTGAAGGAGGGTGCAGATGCTGAGTGCTCCAGAGTTTCCAGAGTCTCCCCATGTCTCCCCATGTCTCCCCACCCCACACTTCACCGGCTTCACCTCACCGACGAACGCGCGCGAGCTCACGTGCTCTCTCTGTCTCTCTCTCTCTCTCTTCCTCCTTCGCACCAACTCGCACCCTACTACAAATGATTGACAGGGCTCAACCTCTAACTAATTCTCCGGTGACCGAAGAAGCAGTCATAGCCGGTCCGTGTTCTTCACATCTCGTCTCGGAGGTTGGCACTCAACGTCCCCACGCAGAGGCGGCTGTGCAATTGAATCCGTCTCCTCTGCCTAGCATGAAACAGGCTCCTGAACCTGCATCTCTGCGTTGACAGGGTTTCATTCCATCATGAAGGATTCTTTGGCTCAAGCGAAGGGCGAGGGTCTGTTGGATGATAGGGAGTTGTCCAGTGGTGGTGAGTTCCGGGCGATGACGATAAGGTGTGAGCGCGCAAGTGGGGGCCGCACGTGACCTTCAAGCTGGAAGCTGGCTTGGAGGTGGATACGTGGCCCTCTGTGTCTGGACGTACTGACTGATGATTGGTTTGTCTGGGTCCACACTTCGCTTCAGATGTCGACATCCGAATCGCCGGTCCAGGACTGGCCTTGTTCTTCTCCGCTTTAGGAGCCACCCCCGGACCGAGCATCTCGGCTCCTGATGGTTCGTTCACGCTCACTAATGAAAATTGTCCTCGTAAGTGAGCCTCACACCGTCGAATTTTCACTCGGGATTAAGCTCAAGTCTTAACTTCCTGTACTATCAGCCTTCTTCCTCTCCTTCTTCCGTCTCTGGCAAGCTTCCGTCCCTTCGATCCGCCGACTACCATTGGAAGCACGCCATGATTTGGCACTCTTACTTTGCTCCAAGGAGCCGCTTCAGTCTGTACTGAGAAGGGACGTCGTCAAGTTGGCGGGGGATTTGAAGGCTGTCGCGTTGGAGATCGCTCAGGTTCGTCCATTGCAGTGGGGGGTGTGAAAACCCTTTTCACGGGGCTCAGAGTTCTGAGTGGTGTGACTAACTTATTGGCAGAGGCTTGGCCCGCGTGCAGAGAGGCACCTTCCAGCAACGGTGGGTGTGTCTGAGAGATATGAGAACAATCCATTATACCCCCTATCTCACCTGAAGTCTCTCCCCTCTTAGTTTCCAAGCCGACATTCAATTCGCCCTCGAAGCGCGCGTGCGCAGCCATCCCAACGACGTCAAGATTCCTTCGGGACCATCTGAGTCTACTGCCTCAGAAGAGGAAGCTCCGCCACCTCGATATGAAGCTATGGCCTCGAACCAGTCTGGGCCGCTGCTTGGAGTTGCGGATACGGCACGGAGAGGGAGTGATGCGGATCGTCGAGGCTCGAGCTCCGGAGGGATGGTGGGACACGAGACCTCGGATGCTGCGATGATGGAGAATTTGAAAGTTATACGAGAAACACTGTATTCAGGTACATCCATATCTACCGTAGGAACAGGGTTCTTCAAGAGCTTCCCGCCACTGACTGGATTTCCTCCCCCCGCCTTTCTTATGCCACTCCAGCTCTCGCCGACGTCCTTGTATCCTCCACCTCACTCCGTGCGCTTGCCTCGCGAGGTCCGGAATGGCAATCCAGGCTTTTCTTCGCTTCGAGCTGTCTTGCCATCCTAGAAGTCGCTTTGACTCGCGTCGATGATGAGGGTGTTCGGACCGTCAATTTAGGGAGTGGGAGACGCTCGGTTATTGGGGCGAGCGATACGCCTCGTGAGTTGAGAGTCGACCTGCACGTGCTGTACAAGCTCATCTGACTCTATCGACGCATTGTTGTTTGGGGCGTTGGAATCCCGAAGCCCATCTCCGACCCCTCTTCACCAAACTCCTTCAAGTCTCCCAAGCCGCCCGCTCAACGATACAACAAGACGACGTCCGAGCGATCCAAGAAGCCACCGACGACGTACCACCTTCGACGTCGCGGATCGATCGATTGAGGTATAGGCTCGAGAATGGTGTTGAACATGAGACTGAAACTCGAGAAGGTGCGCGAGGGCAGGGTGCTGATGAGGAGGATGGTGCCGAGGGTTCTACAGTGGTGAAGCTCGCGAATGGAATCAATGAACTGGCTTTGGGTGGGTCGAGGCTCATTCTGCATGGCAAGGACACTCGTCTTTATTCGCATCCTGTGCTGAACTTCTGACCCATCTCGGGTTTGGTCCCGTAGCCATGGCCCGCTTACCCGAGTTCTCCGAACGGCAGGCCGAGGTGTTCAAGATCGTTAGTGCGGTTCAGACGTTCTGAGTGAAGGGAATGTGGTATTTGTAGGGAGGTAAAGCGCTTGGGGATGAGATGGAAGGCTGTGAGAGTAAACGTCCCGGCAAGGGTAATCAGATTCCGTCGTGACCGAGAGAAGGCTCGAAAAGTCGCGCGCGATACTAGGCGGAAAAACACAGGGGTATCTCTTGCTGCGAAGAGTGACGTCACTCGGGCAAATTTGCTGCTACTGCACTACAATGACGGTCATGTGTTTCGGTATGATATAGCTCTACGGTCTCATTAATACCGTTGGCAAAGGAGCCTCATTCTTGCCACGAAAGAAGAAGATCCGTTGCGCCGCCGAGATACCTCGCGACTCTAGCCGTTTTCGCCGAGCCTCCTCTTCTTCCTTCATCACTGCGGCGACCGCAAGCTGGACAATGCATCGGAGTGTTTGTCGGAGTCTTAGAAGGGAAATGGGTTGATGGGAGGTGGTCTTTTCCTTCGGCCTCCGCAGCTACGCTCGCTTGATCCCGGCCCTTTCCGGCGTGAAACCCGCCTGAGTTTGCAAATTCGTCCCGTCTAGTTAAGGTGGTCCAGCGCCCGATAAGGGTCGTCTCTTTTTGTAGAATAGCTGGAATTCAAATTCTCATTATCATTCGGGATTCAACGGCCAAAGTGTAAGACAGACCACAAGTGCGTGAAAGTGAGCGCAATGTCTTTTCTTTTCCCTGCTTGATCGCCAAAAAGTCCACGTCTAATTCCTGCAGGCTGACAGGTCATCGTCGGATATGAAAGGTGACGACGTCATCACGCTCGCAGCCGAAGTGATCGCCGCGGGATATCATCAACGTCGCTTCGGCTTCGCTCAAGGGTGATTGAGACAAGGATCATCGCGCCGTTCGGATTTAATGAAAGGACCATGGTCCACCGACGGGTCCACCGCGCAGTTCGTAGTCTCTGGGACAAGCCACAGGCGAGTAATTTTTCACAGCGGTCGCGGGGCTCTCCCAGGTACAGCAAGCCTGTCATTTTATTTTATTTTTAGCTAGGTCCGGCTTTATACTTACGTGGGAGAGACGGAAATTCAACAACCTCGACAGACTTTTGGAGGACCAGGACTCCGCGCGCGAACCGCAGGAACGTGCGCCGTGGTGCGCAAGGTGCGACAAGTCGGGCAGCACCTACACCATTTTTCGTCTCAGACTTCGGGATCACCCATCCTCATCAACAATGAAACCACTGGAGAGCTTGGGAATTGCAATCGCTGAGCTCAAACTCACTACTGAGCTCACCAACGGCCGACCTGTGCGACGGTGGACGGTGCGACTGGATGGGAGAATTCCTGTAGCGGGGCCGACCCAAGGTTTAGGCCTGATCGGCAAGGTGCGGACTCGGATGAGCTCATCGAAACCGACGTTTGCCGTATGCCCTGTCATGACAGCACCTGGATCACGGCGATCCGACTTGCAGGCCTCTGAAAAGTCTCCGAACTGGTCATGATTGCACATTTTGCTCGCACCAACATGTGGTGGCGACCGGCCTGAATCGGCGTTGACGTTGACGCGGACTCCGCACTGGTAGTAGCGACAGCCTCCGACAGGTAGTAACCCCACGTTGTGGCCCGCGGACTCTGTTGGTAGGTCTTGGGTGGAACAACTTTGACATGGGACCAGATTGATCAGCGTCAGATTCCGCATGCTGTTCCGCTGAAGCTGCCGCTTAAATACAGAGAGTGGTTCAACGGTGCCAGAATGATTTCGGCGATAGGCAGCCAATGGTCTGATCCAACTCCCGCGGAGACGCAGTGCCGCGGATTTGAGGGATTGAGAGTTTGCTAGACAGCTCGGCGTGTACGCGGCGGTGTACCCGTCACCGCGGTCACGTGAGTCTGCTCGGGCGGGGATAGGCTAGTGGTCTGTCAGGTTCGGGCAAGACTCAGGATTTCAGGAGTCAGGCATCACCACCTCTGAATTGAAACTGACCATGGTGTCGTGTCGCCGCTCTGCAGCATGAAACACCTTCGCCGATTGTTCTCTCTTGCGCCTCCCGAGCGCCGGCCAATTTCTAGCTGACCAGGTTACCTATCCATCTGAGGACTTCGTGCACAAGCGGAGGCATCCGATCCCAGGGATGACGATAAAAACCGACGAGCTAATCATAGGGGGTGTTTAAGCACCCCCTGATCGCGGAGGCGCGCCATCCCGGAGTTGTATTCGAGCTGGCTTGAGAAACTATCGGATCCTGTCTCGCATCGAAGACTCGCAGCCTGCAGGCCGGTCCTCGCGAGCGTATAAAGCTTCTTTTTTGTGGGGTCGCAAGTGTTTGGCCTGACCTTGTTGATTTTGCTTGCTCACCGCTTGACCAAAATGCAACGAAGGAAATACTTCTTTACGCACTTCACTTTGTGCAAAGAAAAAATTGCTCAGGGCTGCCAGTATGTGCCGGTAGCCATGGCCGCACTAGTACTGGCGATGGAGTCTTCAAAAGTGCTGGAGCACATCGTAGCCGCGTCCGCAGATAAATCCGAGTCTGGATATAGCTCCTCGGACCTCTTGCTCTGCCGAGAGCGCGAAATTCGAACACCCGGGCTCGCTTCCTTTTGACACCTGCCTTTCTCTCCTCCGCGTCGTTGCGTCCCATTCGGACACTAGCAATCACGCACCGCTCGGCTTCGCTCCACCTCAAGGGGGCACTCCAACCTGACCTGCGTTCGACTGCGAGTGCTGCCGCCATGTCGAGAACGATGTCGGGCTCGACGGCGGCGCCTGAGCTCTCGGCGCGCAACGGCGGTGGAAATGGCGGAGGCGTTGGCGGGGCTGCCGGGGGAAACGCGGCGATAGCTGCCACCGGCAACAGGCCAGCTGCACCAAGCACCAGCAACAGCGTTGGGAGCACGAGCAGCAACAAACCCAACGACGCGAGCCAGCCCGAAGGCGCGGGAGAATGGTTCAATGACGCATCTGAGGAAGGCGCTGCATCGCCTGAATACACTGCCGATGATAAACCTCGGCGCAAGCGAAGGGTCAGTTCCAGTTTCCTCGATGCTCGAGTCTTGGTGGCGGCTCTCAATTCAGGCTCTCGCTAGCGAGGGGCGCGCGCCGGTCGGCTGTCGTGTGTGTGTCTGTTTCGTGTGGCAAATGGCTAACGGGCGGCTTTTTCCTATGATCCCTGCTTGGCGGTGCCTTGCTCGTCTTGGGCGATCTTGATTCGGCAAATTCCAATGTCTTGACATGCTCAGCCCGTCACCTGTGCCCGTGAGTCGGGTCGTTCTAAGCTTCTGCGCGGACTGGGCCCGATTAGTGGCGCCCGAAGCTAATCACTGCTATCGAGGATCACTATATAGAATGTCGTAAACGGCAAGTTGGAACTCACCTTGACTTTAGGACTGCGCTGCATCTCTAGCCGGAAGGCATGCTTGACGGGGAGTAAAGCTAATCTCCGATATTTCTGACCGGAGTCGACAGCAAGCTCAAATGCGATCGCGGCTCACCATGTGGTGTAAGTCGAACCTCTCCCATCTAGACTTGGGCTCTCGAGCTCCTTTATACCTCGCGCGCGGGGAGCTCGCGTATGCGCGTGCTCAGTCTTGCTCGATCATGCTCGGGTCATGCTACTCGCATGATACAACAACTTTCTGGCCAGACCAGGTGCCTCCTATCCCGAGCTCCACTGACCTCTGTTCTGTGGCTCCCCCCCCGGTTCCCTGACATGCTTGCCCGCACGTATCTCGTTGATTCTGCGCCGCGCCACCCTCCGCACCGCTCTCGTCAACGCACGCTCTTCTTCGCGTTCCCATGTTACCCCGCATGGCCGTCACAATAGGCTTGCCGAGATCGGCAGGAAGGTCACCTGTGCGAATGGGAGGGAGCTGTTCGATTGCCGTGAGTTGACGGCTTTGCTGTGTGCGGAAGCTGAGCCGCTGGGCTCCGCTGACACGCTATTGTCATCATGGTTTGCAGCAATCCGGCTTTTACTCGAGATCAGGAAGCACAGGATTTGAGGCATCAATTGGATAGGCTTGAGGGGCTGCTCAACATTCTGAGCGGGAGCGAGGGAGAGAAGCCGCGGGCCAATGCCGAAGTCGCCGCTGCGCGTGCTCTCGGGATGCTGTCCGTACGTGTAACCCAGACCGCTTTTGAGCGTCGATCGGCGGTGACTCTTGTTTTTTGGAGTTGCTGATTTGATCCTGTTTGTTTGCATGCTTCACAGGGTACATCTAATGGCGGGAGTGCGGACAGTCGTGGGTCTGTGAACGGGGGTGTGGGGGCCGACGCGGTCGATCGGATCGCGCAGCTGTTGCCTGACCAGCACGAGGTACGCCCGCCTTCGGAAACGTCGCGCAAATCGGGTGGCATCGTATGCAGGATCACTGACAACATCAAATTACATTATTTGTAGCTCGATCTGGCCATCGAGCAGTTCCTCTCCGACGTTGTACCCTTTCTGCCCATCTGCCACGCCCCTTCCTTCAGCGCGCGCTTGCGTCAGTTCGACGATAAGAATGCACTTGAGGATCCTGCGCTCCTCGCTATCGTGCTGGGTATTCTTGGCTTATACTCTAATAGCCAATCTATCGAAGATGTACCACGGTCGAGGTTGTCCTCTGGTCGCGCTTTGCTGAACGGTGCGAAGACCGCCCTGAAGCTTGCAAAGTAAGCACTTCGCTCGCGATGGGCGAACCTGTCTAGCTTTCGCAGCTGCTGATACTACGGCCGTCCGTACTGTCAGCTACGCTGTCTCTCCATCACTCGACTCGCTACGAGCACAGCTGATCATTCATTATCACGAAACGTCGCAAGACTTGCCCGAGGCACCGTTCTCGCTCGATGCGATCATTAGGTCAGCGCAGGTGAGTCGATCGCTCTTTATTACTGTCATCATATCAGACGTTGAGTGCCCGTTCCGCTATGAAAATACCAGAACCTTGGTCTGGTAAGCCTCTTGCTCGAAAATTCGCAATCGACGCCGAACGACTCAACCCCCGGCGAAACCCTTGTTTGCCCCACAGCATTGCGATTCAAACTCCTACCGTCTGTTCAACTGCATCGAGCTGGAGGAGAGACGGCGCATCTGGCACTACATCATCTCCGTCGACTGGTTGTGAGTCACGCGGGGTTACCTGACAAGTCATCAGCCCGGCTGACCCGTCCATCCTGTTTCGCAGAAGCAATGGCGGGCGAACCTATACATGCAGTTCCTACCAATACGACACCCGATTTCCAGCCAATGCATTTGACGTCGACATCACCCACGATGCCGTAGGGCAACGCCCTTTCGGAGCCGCGACTCCGACGCTGTACATTTCTCATCTCGCCCAGATCGCCTCCGCTTCGCGAACCATCACCGAACGGATCTTTGCCGTTCACACGCCGTTGCCTGTGACGTGGCATGCGATCCTGCAGCTCAGCGAAGAGTTGAACCGGATTGAAGCGACATTTCCAGGATCGTTCCTGCTCGACTGGAAGGGGGAGGTGGTTCGACCTTTGGACCCGCAGAGCGCGTCGCTCGATATGATTCGCATCAAGGTGCGCTTACAATTGCTCAGGCAGCACCTACGTCTCAACAGGTCATTGTGAGTCCGGTCTGCACTAGCGTGGGATCGCTGCGAAATCTGTGGTGCTAAGCCATTGCTCTCTTGCGGGCGTATCAGTTTGGTCCGGGGGTGCTCGGACCCTCGCTTCAAGGAAGGAAGCGCAAAATGTTGCTGGGCTGCGTGAGTGTCATGTCACACGCTTCATTCATGCAATGCTTTGGACTGACCAGTGGAAACCGCTCTTTCGTCTAGACACCAAATTTTGTCCATCTTCAGAGGCTACGAGCAGCACCCGAAGCTCTCTTCTTCCGCCGAAGTCACCCATCACGCCTTGAACGCCATCCTCGTACTTGCCGTTGATCTATTGCGTACGTCACAATACTTCCACGTCGCGAATGCACAATTGATTTAGTTCATCTGCACTTTTCGTTACATCCCCACGTTATCCAGAGGACCCCGAGGGACCTGGCAACGATTTCACGAGGCGGCAGCTGACGGCCTCGATCGCGATCCTCGAAGGTCGACAAACGCACCCCGTACCCTTCGAGCTTCAACGTGAATGCATACGCGTCGCCTCCTACCTGATCCGCCAATCCTCTGGAGGACCCGAACGATCACGCAAGCGCACGACACCAGGAGGATTCCCCCGTACCACTGGTTCCGAACACCCTTCAACGACTTTGGCTCCCATCCTCTCCGGTCCTACTTCAATGCGAGGGATCGAAATGCCTTTCACGGTTCCGATGCCGTTGACGATCGCGTTGGATCCATTTGGGAGTCGAAGGGCGGCTCTAATGTCCCCTTCGAACCAGAATGAGATGGCTGCGCTTTGGAATGGTTTAAGGCGCTGGAAGGGGATGTATGGACTTCCTGATCTCAGGGAGGTCGATGAATTGGTCAAGATCTCCATGGGAGGTCGGGCCTTTAGCGAAGGGATCGATTTATTACAACCCTAAACGACGAACATCCTCAACCATGGATGGCACGTTCCTCTTCACGGAGTCTCTCCATCAAGCCAATAGTACAAAACAGCATACCCTCTGCTACGCAACCGCAACACCTCTCCCACCTTGTTTCGCTCGTTTCAGCACACTCCTCATCCAATATCACTTCAATTTGTAATATCTATAGCATTCTTCACCTACATATAAGATATACGGGAACATGATTCCCCTGACCCATGCTGCAAGATCCGAGATCCTTGCCAAAAGAGACGGAGGGAGGGATCGGACACCCCGGTCTCCGGGAGAAGGCGATCTATAAATAGCCCCAGCTCGACTCTCAATAGCCCAACACCCCTTTCCTCAACGCCCTCCCTCCCACCCTCAAATCCCTCATCGCTGCAGGAGTCTTGCACCAAAATGCATCATCAGGGAGGTTCGCCCCTTTCCCCATTTCGAGGAGCCATTGATCATGACGATCGAATTGTTTGGGATGGCCGTAGACAAGGAGTTTGCGATCTTCGGGTTCGGATTCAGGAACGCCGGGAAGTATTTGGAGTGGGGGATGAGAGGAGGACCAGTGGTGGGCTGTAAGGAGAGATTGAATTTGCGCGAGGGAGAAGGGCAGGACCTGGAAATGTGAATCGGATGATAGGTTATCACGGGAGCTCAAGGGGCCAACATCTTGTGATGTATAGACGATCAGGGTCTCAAACTCACCAGATACGGGAGACCCACTAAAGTGAGCGTGGGATCGGGCAGATAGAACAGATCTCGATCGTCGAGATGGTGTACTCTCAGACCTCCTTCCGGCGCCTTGGTCAGAGGGTGAGAAGCGAAGGGCTCGTGGGTAGGGGAGCAGAAGGGGAATGCGAGGTAATAACCTGTTGCGAAGATACTGTGGGAATGTGATAGAATTGCAATGGCTTCAGATTCATGTCAATTGTCCTTTGAGAAGGCGCGACTGCTTCACTCACATAACATCGACGTCCTCGAGAATCGACTCATCCTCGAGCTCGATCCGGCTGCCCTCGATCTTCCTGATCGCAGGCACTTGAGCGATCTCATTCCACCAGCCAGGTGCAGCATCAGCATCGACAGTACCATAGACAGGTGATATCGATCTCGACGATTGATAAAGCCGTGGCAGAGCTGCTGAGGGATCCGCTGTCCGTCGTTCCGAGAGGGACTCGGCAAGTTCACGAGCGACATCGAAGCCCGATGCTCCGTTGCCAACCACCAAGACCGTCTATACGAGGATTGAAAGGGAGCTGGGTTATGATTCAAGTTGCCCCAAAACTTGAAAGCGCGTTGTAGCTTACCTGATTGGCAAACTCTTCAGCCTTTCGCCACCATTTTGAGTGCCACAGATCGCCTGTGAAGGTGTGCAGTCCTTCGATCGAGGGTACGTACGGTTTCGAGTAGTGTCCATTCGCTATTGCGACGAAATCATACTGTTCAGTCTGAAAAGAGAGATGTGAACATTTGGGAGAATGCATCAGCATCGGCTTTCACCTTTCGCTTCGGACCCTCTCAGACATCGCCTCGGGATTTACCGAATGAACGTTCTGGGTCGAGACTTGGACGAGCCATCGCAGCTGTTCACCGCCATCTTCGGGGGTCGTGTATCTCAGAGAGGCGACCCGGTGTGATAATTTGATGTATTGAGAATATCCCGAGGCGACGTCGTGGAGATAGTCGGCGACATGGGACGCCGCGGGGAACAGGGGCTGTGTGGGTCGGGAACGAAGAGAGAGAGGGAGAAAGTCGTTTCCGGACGTCAGCTATGCCGGAAGCTCAGTTTGTGGTGAGGAAGACTGCTCACCACATGATTTTTGAATGGCTGACCTCTGTATTGCATTAATGACTGGATGTAATGAATGCAAGGGTCAGTCCTGAGCTCGTGACGAAAGGACGGAAGCCTGGCTGGAGCGGTCGAGCTTACTACGGGTACGTTGGCGCGTAATCCAGGATACATGGGTGTGAAGTCGTCCCCTTTGCTGCCTACGATCCTATCGAGTGAACCTTCCGAGTCGAAATGGAAGTGAGGTCGTCCCGGTTCGGGATCGAGGACCCAAGCACCGCCCGTCGAGTCTTTGGCCTCGTAGAGCGTCGGTACGAGGTCTTGCTCCAATGCGAGTGGGAGTAAGGAGAGACCCGAAGCTCCTCCACCGATGATGCACACTTTCTTGCGGTTGGACGGTGAGACGACTGGGACCGAAGATGTTGAAGGCGGGTGGGGTAAGGCGGTGAAGGTCATCGCGGCGATAGCGAGTCTGTGCTGGATTCCGGTAGCTGTAGAGCGTAGGTGGAACGGCGATAGATGAAGCCTAGTGCTGCAAAGATCAAAAGCGCAATTCACTCGAGCTCTTGCGATCGGTGCGTGTCCTGGGTGAGGCGGAGGAGGGGTGCGATGGTGTGTGTCGAAAGCCAACCCTGTTCGGGAAGCGATGGGTCCGATTCGGACACGCTCTCGCTCGAGCCGAACAGAGCCGAATCTGAGCCAATCTCCGCGCCGGTCGAGCAGCGCGCGCGGGATCGCACAAAGGCATTACACAGATTGAGATCGAGCTAAGCGGCGCAAGCAACGATCGCTAGTGCCCGCCGATCGCGCCTCCCGAGTCCCCTGGCAGGCACCCTAGCTCCAGCAGTGCTGTGCTCCAGCTGTTGTTGGCTCTGCTCTACTGCCTCGATCAAGTCCAAACCCCACTCTCACTCTTTCACTCCCTCATCCCACCGATTCGTCCAAAGCCATGGATGAAGCAGGTAAGATACGCGGCTCAGCTCCCCTATCCTTTCCCGTGTCCTGTTGCGCTCGGCGAGCTCGGTCAAGGCTACGTCAAGCGGTGTCATTGCCAAGCCTAACAAGTGCTCGCGCCCGCGCTGCGCTCCCCGGCCGATTCCCACCACCGGCGGGACCCCTGGCTGGCAGTCCACGAGCCCACTTGGAGTCGATGCGTTGCAACCCCCACTGACACTGTCCATCTCACTATCATCGTTCAGGATTCCATGCCCGTCGCAAAGGTCAGTTGTTCCTTTCAACTTGGTCCCACTGGCTGCACGCGACCGGTCGCCCTGGGAGGCTGGGTCCCTTGCGCCTCGGCCTGATTGGCGCGAGCCTCGGCAGCACCGGCCACAAACTTCCCAGAGTGATCTCATCGTGCTGATCCCGCATTCCTCTCCTAAATCTTGCTATCCTACCTCTTCAGCCGACCGCGAGGCCAAAGCTGCCTTTCTCCGCGGCAAGTTGGGTGGCATCAATGCCGTACAGCCGATGCAGGACGGTCAACAGAACGAGCAATCGGCCCTACCCGCGCACGATGAGGAGCTGCACGATCAGCACCCGGAGGCCTCCAACGCCTATGCGATGCCGGGCTACAAACCCCCTCCTGCACACGCCACCGCTGCTGAACTTCCCGGGCCAGGCACACTCGCCCAACCGGCTCCGTTGCCCCAGTCCAACGCGAAGCGACAAATGTTGCCTCATTTGCAGATGATGTCAGTCGAGCAACCTGATCGCTCGCCGAGAGAAGTTCCTGACTCGCCCGGTCTATCTCTCCAACAACAGGACCGGACCAATGCTTCGTTACGATACCGTCAAGGATGGTATCTATCACGCCTTCTTGATGATTGTCGTCGCAGCTTCGAATAGCGATACAGCGCCGTGAGTAGCGCCTCGTGTCGATCTGTAGAGGCGGCTCCGAGCTAAGCCCAGAATTGCGGTGATTACCACAGGATTCCGCCCTGCCTTTTGCTCGAATGGGATGCTTCAGCTCAACACATCGGCTTCGAGCATCAGTTCGAGCACCTCACCCTCTCGGAGCAGGAGAAGGAAGAGAAAGTGAACCGTCGCGCCGTCGCGGGTCTCAAAATCTTCACCTACTACGGCCTCAATGGCGCGAATGACTTTTGGAGGTTCAAGATCGAGGTCCCTTTGAGTGAGCGGGAGGAGGAAGTCTTTTACTCGATCAACGTAAGCTTTTCGGCTTTTTTCGTGATCACGAAGAGGCTTTCCTGACCTCATACTCTGTCCATGTCGCGAATGCAGAAAGGGCCCGAGAACTCGTTCTTTGTCCCGGCAAAGAATCAAAATATGCGATGGGTCGGACATTCGTGCAACGGCTTCAGTGGTGGAGTCGACACGGCGGCGTTCAACGGACCGGATCCTCTGTGGCGCGATGTCCTCCGCAAGCACGAGGAGAAGTCCCTTCACGTGCTCATCGGTGGCGGTGACCAGCTTTACTGCGACCCTTTGACGATGGAGCCCGAGATCGCACCTTGGATCAACGAGCCTGATCCGGAGAAGAAGCGCAAGGCCCCCTTGACCGACGACATCCGCCTCGCCTTGGACAGGTTCTTCTTCAACAAGTACTGCAGCTGGTTCCGCTCCGGCGCGTTCGGGCAAGCGATTGCCCGCATCCCCATGCTCAACATCTGCGACGATCACGACATCATCGATGGCTTTGGCTCGTACGACGACGCGACGCAAGCGTGCCCCATCTTCAGCACGATTGGTGCGCGAGGCATGTTTTGGTTCTTGCTCTTCCAGCAGTTCATCGTCGACGAGATTGATGGGCTGCCGACGACGTTTGGCCAGCACCCTTCGAAGAGCACCATCATTGGAGGTCCGGGAGCTTGGATCCCTACCCCTTCGCACTCGTTCTTGAGCTACTTGGGTCCCCAGGTCTACATCTGCTTGCTCGACTGTCGCTCCGAGAGGAAGAAGGACCAAATATGTTCGAGGTTGACGTACGATCGCGTGTTTGCCGAATTGAGGGCGCTGCCGGATGAGGTGGATCATCTGGTCATGCTGCTTGGTTAGTCGATTCACACGCATTCTTTTGCGCCGTTTGTCCGAGGCTGACCGCGACTCTGCCTTTGTATCCTCAAACAGGTGTGCCAATTCTCTACCCGCGTATGGGCTTGATCGAAAAGACGCTCGAGTCCAAATGGAACCCGATGACCCTGGCCGCCAAGACGGGCCTGATGCCGAGCGCGGTCAACAAGTTCAACAAGGACGCCGAGTTGCTTGACGACTTGAACGATCATTGGTGCGCGTCGCTGCACAAGACCGAACGCAACTGGTTCATTGAGGTGAGCGCTCATTCATTCCGAATAAGTCTCCCCGCGAGAGAAACTGACCATTTCGCGAATGTTTCGGCGTTGCACAGGAACTGCAAAAAATCCAACTCGACCGTCGAATGCGAGTGACGTTCCTCTCCGGTGACGTGCACGCGACGTGCGTGTCCAAGCTCTTCACGCACAGCAAGAAGATCGAACCCCGTGTCGATCCACGCTACATGCTTCAGATCGTCTCCTCGGCGATCGTCAACACCCCTCCTCCTCCACCCGTCATTACGATGGTCAGCACCTTCGGGAAGAAGAAGCACAAGACCCTGCATCACGCCGACACAGACGAGGAATTGATCCCGATCTTTGAGACCGATACGGACGATTCCAAGTTGAAGCAGAACACGGTGATGGGGAGACGTAATTACGTTTTGGTCGACCATCATCACGAGAGCGGGGAGTTGGGGTGGTTGATCCAGGTGGAGGTTAAGCAGGGGTCCGGTACGACCAAGGCTTATGGGATTCAGGCACCGCCGCCGGGTTGGTGATCGGATTCAAAGGGAGTGGGAAAAGCGTAACTTTGTCACTTTGGGGAGAGGTGTTACCCGGGACGTATTCTGTTGTCACTCCTGCGGGAGCTGGAAGTCTGTTTCTTGTCGTGCTCGGCCTTTCACCTGGACCTTGGTTACGTAATCATGTTCTGTTATTACCTGTTTTCACATCTTGAACCAGGGCATCCTCTCCCCTCAACCCTAAAGATAGGGGCTCGCTCCTCGATGTGCTCCGAGTCGCTCGGACCTGCAACCCAAAGTGGACAATCGAAAATGCGACATGTTATTCCAATCCCAAAAACTCCTAAGAACTTTTTGGCCAATTCGATGGATCGGGCTGGTCACGAGACTTTGTTCCACAATTCGTGAGCACCCAGGGTTTGCCGGAGCGAGCAAGTTGAGCCGGGAGGGATCGCGTTGGCGTGTGTGCCTCAGCAGCCTGAGGGAAAGCTCGACTTCGCAGCCGAGGGCGTCACGAGGCTCTGCCGGCTTCACTTGTGTCGTCACTTGCTCGCGGGAACGGTTCTCCCCTTCCCTCCTACACACTTACGAGGCTACCCAGGCCAAGGACAACCTTTGGGCCACAAGACGATCTTCGTGGACTCGGTGCATCGTAGCACATCTTTGACAGACCGCTTGTCCCACTCGCGAGGACCCTGTCACCGTTCGCAACCACCCGCACGAGCGCAGCTTCACCACTCGGGCCTTCCGGGACACTTGCTTCAATCCGCTCTTTTGGCTCACCTACCTCAATACCTCAACAAGTGGTCAAAGATGACCTCCCTCATCTCGGCGGTGAACTGGATCCCGCGCGGTGCCGCAGCGCAACACCCGTCGAAGTACGTCGTCGATGAAGCCGAATTGGCGAGGGTCGAGAAATTGGCGAGGGTGAGGTTGGACGAGGCGCAGATGGAGTTGGAATTGGCGAGGGCGACGGAGGAGGAGAATAAGGAGGATGGTGGGGGGGGTGAGGAGGAGGAGGAGGGGGGGGAAGGGGAGGGGGATGGATGGGAGGAGTGAGTTTCCTCGTGGAAGGCAAAAGCAGCGAAGCGGTGCGGTCGAGCTGACTCGTGTTGCGTTCAATCTCTCACAGTGAGAAGGCCGACGACGAAGAGATGAAGGTCGATGGCGAGGACGACGAGGACATGGAGGATGCGGCGACGGCGAATGCCTTGGCTATGGCCAAGTCCGTCAAGGAGTCCGCTCAGGCAGGGAACGATGATTTGACCGCTTACGATCTCGACAACTACGACGAGGAAGAGTCCAAGGGATCAGGTTTGTCGGGCGAGGTGTAAAAGGTCATTGTTAAGACGTAAGGCCTGACCAAAGGATCCGTTCGCACAGCAATGGGCGCTTTCAGCAACATCAAGGGGCTCAGCTTCTACGGCGACGACAAGGAGGACCCCTTTGTCACACTGGATGCGGTGAGCATAGCCAAACGTTATTTGATTACAGGGGACAACAGACTGAATGTGACAGCCTGTATGACTTACAGAAACAAGAGGACGAGGAATTGGAACGGGAAGAGCTCGAAATCTTCCCGACCGACAATCTTCTCGTCGTAGCCAAGACCGAAGACGATGTGTCCCAACTCGAGGTCTACGTCTATGACGAGAGCGAGGAGAACCTATACGTCCACCACGATCTGCTACTACCTGCGATGCCGCTGTGCCTCGAATGGCTCGACTTTTGCCCCGGAAGATCATCGGAAGACAAGGGCAACTTTATCGCTGTTGGCACACTCGACCCCGAAATTGAGATCTGGTCGCTCGACGTCGTCGATGGTCTTTACCCGGATGCGATCCTGGGCCCCCCTCCCAAGGATGCAACCGCCCTCCCCGCTTCCCTCGCCGAAGCCACACCCGTCGCGACTATCGGCGCAGGTGGGAAGAAGAAGAAGAAGAAGCCCAAAAAACCCAAGGTCGTTGCCAATGCCGAATACCATGTCGATTCAATCCTTTCCCTGACATGGAACCGTTCGCATCGCAACTTGCTCGCCTCGTCTTCGGCCGACAAGACGATCAAACTTTGGGACTTGTCCAGACCTACTTCGTCGCCGGCTTTGAGGTCATTCGATACGTTGCATGGGGACAAGATCCAGGCTGTTCAATGGAACCCCAAGGAACCGACCGTGCTTCTTTCCGGTGCATGGGACGGGACGGTCCGAGTATTTGATACCCGAGCACCTGATTCTTCCGTCGGGACAAAAGTAATGTCCGATGTCGAATGCCTCCGATGGGACCCCTGGGAACCCGCCGGATTCCTCGTCTCGATGGAAAATGGTCTCGTCCAAGCTTACGATTCCAGAATGTTGGGCACGAAGAAAGAACCCAAAGAGGGGAAGGCGTTGTGGACTCTATCGGCGCATGATTCGAGTGTATCGAGTTTGGACATCAATACCCATATCAAGGGGTGCATCGTCACCGGTGGGACGGATAACATGGTCAAGCTTTGGAATGTGGGGGAAGAGGATGGAGGAAAGAGGAATATCAGTTTGGTCACGGCGAGGGATTTGGGAGTGGTCAGTCGTGTTTCGAGAAAGAGGACCGTTTGTGCGGCTTTTGTGCTCACCCTCTCTCGCGACGCTTGTGACGATAGGGCAAAGTCTTTTCGGCGTCCTTCTGTCCCGACGACGCGACGACTCTCGCCGTCGCTGGATCGAAAGCCAACTTGCAGATCTGGGATACGTCGACGTGAGTTCCCTCGAGCTCACCTCGGGGACATCTCAAACCCCACTAACACTATCTTTGCCATACACTGTGCAGCAACCCCGGCGTGCGCACCGTTTTCGGAGAGCGCCTCAAGGCCCTCGGCAAATCGCTCGAAAAGAGCGGCCCCGGGATCGTCGCGTTGGCCGATGATGATGAGCAGAGTGAAGAGGAATGATCGAGGTGTTACTCTTCTTAGAGAAGGCAATGTCATAGATAATAATTTTGGACATGGGACACGCACCGGCGTGGTGCTACGAGCCGGCTTGAAAGGTTTGAGGGGCGGCCTCCGATGAGCGCTTGAAGTGATGCTTGTCACGTGGAAGAGGAGCCGCAGGCGCGGCTCGCAGGTGGTTTTCATTGTGAGAAGTGACTCGGAAGCGAGCCAAGCCGTCCGCTGGCGGCCAGAGCGGCCAGAAATGGCTCCGATGGCTCCGCGGGCTTTTGGGGTCTGTCAGTGTTTCACTGCAACTTGCAGTTGGTTGGCATACTCATACACTGCACTGGGAGTGGGATCCCCAGATTTTTCGTTTGTTCGTACATGCTTCGGGATTGGCATCGCACCAGGTTGTTGGATGAGCTTTCAAATTGTAAAGTCGCAGAACCTAATTTAAATTCGAACAGGCACGCCCAGACCTTGGGTGTGGAATAACGTTTTCGAGCGCGTTTGCAGGTTCAGCACCTCGGTTTTTTAAGTCTTTTTCTACAACAGGGGTGCGAAAATTATACCGATGCAGTCTTTTGTGTCATCGCAGGGCTCATGATGTCATTGAACTGCCGGGAACGCGGCGATGAACACGTTGTGAATTTCCGGCCGGGCCTGCAGCGGCGCCCGACGAATCGAGCCCAACTCGGCTCCCTTGATCAAATCCCATCAAGGTCGAATCGTCAAGTGCTTCTGTTGGTTATCCCCGCTCCTTGCTCGACGTCACGGCGTCAACGCCGACCTGGCTCCGACCTCGTTCTCCTCAACAGGACAACCTTTTCCTGCCAGCTGCTGCTGGACGTCGGATTGGTTCCCACGTCGTCGTCGTCACTTTCGGTGCCCGCCCCCGCCAGCAACTCCGAGTGCCCGCCCTCTTTCCAGCGGGACGCGTCGCGGCTGTGCGAAACGGGCGACCTCCTCGAGAAACGATGTTGCTCTACGATCAAGACTACGACCACGACAGTCTACCTGCTCCGAATACGAATACGTCTGCTTTCCCCGCCCGTGTGCCCTCACCTGCGTTGTCGACGGCGTCCTCGTCCGGCAAGAGTGGTCGTAGCACCAGAAGTGGAGCGCCGTCGAGGCCGCCGAGGTCGTTGCTCCGTTCGCCGGTGATCGGGGCCGCACAGTCCCCTTTGGCCACTTCGCCCGCCGTCTTCTCCTCCACCTCGAGTCTGGCCTCTTCACCTTACCTCCAGTCTCCGGCTTCGTTTGGTGCGACCGCGTCCCCTGCACCTCCAACGGCAGCCGCGAGTCCCACTGCCAGCCTGCTCCAACCGGGTGGTCGCCGCGGCGGCGACTTGTTCTCCTCCCAATCGAGCCTCGGCGCCGGCGTCAACCGCCAGCCGCCCGTTTCGGCGCCATTTTCATCGGCGGTCTCGCTGCAAGCCTCGACGTCGCATCACCCCATCAATCCGGACGATTCCTACGATCGGCTGGCAACCGAAGTCTACTCGGACGCGTCAATCCCGCCCAGCTCCGCGTACGAGGTAGAGCGGTATCATCGCACGACCGAACCTCTCAGACTAGACCCGTCTCGTCAGTCGAGCCACACTTCGCCGAATCTACACGACGGCGAAGGGCGCGACGGAGCGAGTTCGGCGACGACCATAAAAGGGAATATGTTTCCAACACCAAGGCATACTCAGCCTTCGTCGCCTCCCCCCGATATGTCTTCCTCGAGTTCGCAACGAGCGATCGGGCCCAGTACTTCGACCATTCCCGATTTCCCATCTAAACCCATCTCGGCGTCGTCCTCGCCGCGGTTGTCACAGGAAGGAGGGCCGAGTTCGATGTCGAGGAAGAATGCAGCCGCTCAGAGCAGGGGCAGGGATTCGCCGTCGTTGATGCGCATCTCCAACTCGACACAGCGTGAGTCTATGATCCCGTGATTTGTTCGGGGAGATTGCACTCGCGTAGACAGGACTAATCTCGTTCACCGCTGTAGACATGCGCGATCTGGCCAAAGGGAAACGAACACGGAGAGACGGAAGTCAGACTTCGCAATCGATCGGGAGTAGGACTAGGAATAGCTTAGCCAGTCTGGCGAGTGTAATGTCCAGCACCGGTGATTCGATATATGAGGACGCTATCGAGGGGGAATGGTCATCGGTCGACGACGAGGAGAGATCGGGAGAAGAAGACAACAGCGAGGATCAGGCGGGGGATGAAACAGCGCAGGCGATTCCAGAAGGTGGGGGAAGGCGATGCGAAAACGTAGACGCCTGTAGTCAGGTCGATGGCGCTAACGTGTAGGTGTTGCCGCCTTTCCACAGACGCCAACTTGGGCATCGGACAGGCATCTTCCTCGTCGATGCCTACGACCGCCGCCTCGACGGATCACCCCGCGAGTCTGAAACTGTTCTCACCCGTTTCGAGCGCGAACTTTGACATCGCTTCAATCAACCCCAACTCTCTGCAACGACGCATCTCGATCGACTCTGCACGGTCCATGACTGAGCGTCGGGCGAGTCTCCATGCGGGTTATGGCTCCTCGCTCACCTCGAGCCAGTCCAAACGAGTTTCCCTCACCCAACCGGGTCCGACCGTCATCCCGCTTCGCCGGTATTCGGGTGCTTTCAACCCACGGTTGTCGACGCCGGATTTCGGCTCTTCGAAAGGCTCCAATGCATCCGATCATGATCACTCGAACACCCTCGAACCGACCCTCAGCCCTCGACGCGCCTCTTTCGTCCCCAAGCCGCTCGTTTTGACCCCTGCTCGAACGCTTGTGGCGCCATTGACGACGACGAGCAGCGCGAACGTCGCGAGAAGAGGCTCAATCTCTCCTACCCTCGGGTCTTCGACCGATTGGAGACGATCGACCGATCTCTACAACCTCAATGGGGCAGTGTCACATTCTCGTCGCTCGAGCTCCGATGTCGACGGCCCAGTTCTATTAACTAGTCGACGCCAGTCTACGATCGGCTACGTCGGACCGCAACGAGACAGCATCGTCTCGGCCGGTGGCAGCAGTCAGCAAACTCACCTGAGTCGGACAGGCAGCTCGGGCGGTGGCAATGGCGGTGCGTACGGCCAAAAGTGGACGGAGCGACGGAAACGTAGCGTCAGTGAGGACACGGGTCAAACTCGCACGAGCGAGAGCTTCGGTATCGGGGAACGACAAACCAACTCGGGCGAAAGTCCAGATTCAAGCGTCAGTGGGTGGAGTGAGGAGCGTGCGACTGGACCTGATGCTACACCTAGTGAACTGGCGGGGGCGAAGAGTGGCTCGAGCGATCGCGACAGTCCTTCGTCGACCGACAAGGAGTGGGAGCATGAGCTCGTACGACGAGGGACTACACCTTTGGATGTCGTTACTGAGAGTCCGGATATCAGCATGGTCAAGAACAAGCAGAGATCCCGCGATGCTCAGCACATCATTCCGGTGATGCCTTCGATTGAGCTGTCGCAGCCCTCGCCTGTCCGAGGCGAGTCGGGACTGGGCATCACTCGCTATTTGAAAGAGAACGGCAATGAGGAGGTCAACCTCTTGTCGTTGCCGAACAACCGGGACATTGAGACCGAGTCTCCGACACCACCACCGACCATCCCTTTGCCTGGTTTGCCTCGCAGTGCTTCCCAAATCGCGATGGAAGAAGCCGTGCCCAGACCATCTCGCAAGGACAGCCATAATGCTGGATATCGTGGGCTGAGTATTTATGACGAGAACTGGGACGGTTCGATGGTCATTCCCTCAAGCCCAAGCACCGTCGGGGCCGGCACAGCCTCACCGGCCAACTCGCCTCTGATCGCTCTGTCGCCGCAAAGCCAATGGAACGGCTTCTTCACCCGAGGTCGTGAGGTCACCACAGCCGTCGGTATGAGCCCGACTGCAGCTGCAGCGGTGAACCGCGCGAGTCATCATAGCGGCCACTCGACCATCAAGAACTCCGCGGCTCCCGAGATCCAGCAGTCTCTGACGTTGGGTGCTAGGATGCGCAAACCCATCTCGATCGGGTCCACGAAGCCTGGAGAGCAGACCGTGGCAAAGCGCTTGTCGATGTCGTTCACGCGGAAAGGAAAGGATGCGGTAACGGCGGCGTCGGAGTTGACAAAAGACGGCACTTTGGCTGCTCAGGACAGACTCGCGCGCCAACATTCGGCGAATACCCTGAAGCAGCAGAGCTCGCGCGGCAGCTTCGACCCATCCCCAACGCCGCGCAAGTCGTCCGATGCAGGATTGGCGATCTGGCCACCTCCCAATGATGGCCACACTCGCATGATTCATGCCGGACCTCGCATGATTCATTCGTCGGATTCGTCGGAAGAGTACAGTCCTGTGCTGAGTGATGGAGAAATTGCCTCGTCCCGACCGAACAACTGGGGTACGCGCGCATCGAGGCGACCTTCCGTATCAACGACGACGACGTACGAATCCTCAAATGCAACGGGCTCGTCTCGACGTCGTTCGATCATGCTCGAACCTCGCGATCCTCGTACTCGCAATCCCTCGGGCCCAGAGGATTTCTTCGAGGTCTTGATGTCGTCCGAGCCGAGTGCCCCTCGCGGTTCGGGTGACTCTCAGGCAGGGTTTCTGGCCGCGTCAGCGCGAGAACGACGGAGCCCTGGCGAGCTGGGAGGTCGGTGGAGCTACTATTCGAACGGGACAGTTGGATCGTCGGGTACGCCTGGCTCTTCGGCAGGTCATGTCTTCCCGACTGGCCCTTCCAGCAGCCACACTTCACCAGTTCTGCAGCAGCAACCACTTCCAACGCCGGTCGAGGCGAAGAAGAAGCGCCCCATCTCTCGTTTCCTTACCGGCTTTACTCGCAAGGGCTCGAAAACACCGCGGTCGGATGCGCAGTCCTCTGGCGACTCTACGCGAGCTCGTAGTCCCATGTCGATCCCTCCAACGAACGGGTTCTCGCAACCCCCACGCCCGAGTTCGGCGGTCAAAAAGCCGATTCTCATTGCTCCTCGAGCGTCGAGGAGCGCTCGCGATCATTCGGCCCTGCCAAGGATCTACACCGAAGCTCCTCCGAGTCCTCCGATGCGTTCTCTTCCCATGCCAAACCCCGACTACAACCCCCCGCCGATCGCCCCTTCGGCACTGGATGCGCGTCGACCACTGAGCACGATCGATTCTCGTCCTGAATCGCTCGCATCTGGTGCACCTACGCCTTCACTTTCGGCGCAGCATATTCCTGCGTTCCGGTCGGTCTCGCCGTTGTTCAAGGATGCCGAATTTGCTTCGACAGCTTCGAAGAGAAATGAACTTCCTCCCCTACCGAGAAAAGCGTCGGATCGTGCGGCGCAGCCGTACGATCCTGAGCCCTATGCTGAAGAGATCCGCCTATCACCCGCGACCCCCTCTGCCAAAAGCTCCATGGACGACCTCCGAGGTACGCCGCGCAACTTTGTCTTACCTCCTGGGCTAGCCCCACCTCTCCCAGCGGGAGCGGTCGCCGGCGCAGCTTCGTTCAGCGGTCAGCAAGGCAAGGGTGGCTCTTCTCCAGGATCCCCTCCCGCTCCTCTGGACATCGAATCGAGCCTCTCTATCAGCCCGACCTCGTCCCGTCTTTCGCCCAACTCCACAAACCCTTCAGACCCCTCCCGATCACCCGTGATGACCTCTCTAACAGTGCACGACAATCGCTCCCGCGGGTCTTCTGTCGGCGCGTCAAGTTCTTATTCGAGGACTTCGAACGCGACGACGAATCAGGCTCGTGCGAGTCGGAGAGGTCAACAGGGGATCAATCCAGGGAGGGAGGATCATGATGAGTACGAGGGGTATCACGAGGTGCGACAGGGGCCTATTGGGGTAAGGGATGTGTTCAGGACACAGTTGTTGGAACGATGAGGTGAGTTCGTCATGGGGATGCGCGCATTCGTGCAGGGGCTCATTAGCGGCTGATTTGCTGGTCTCTGTTCTTCATCAGCCCCATTTCGTCTTTCGACAAGCGCTTCGGTTCTTGGCACGTGTTTGTCATATTGTTTTTAGAGACACCTTCGTCCTTATCTTGGTGATAGGAAGTTCGCATATGCTTGTACAATTCTCTAGGAAGGAGTAATAGGAAAGGACGACGTCCCTAATCGGAAACCAAGACTCTTTACCGCGCCACGAAACGGGGACCGAGAGCAGTACTGCGAAAGTTTTGTAGCATTCCCAATCTTACGAGAGTCCGAAGAGAAAACATGACTGACAGAGAGAGAGACAAAAGAAAAGAAACATAAAGGGATCGAGTCACTTTCCGAGAATCGCCAAGCTAGAGGGCATAATTTTGAAGCATCGTCGCACTACCATCTGAGCCCGCTCCTCAAATCCCACCATACCGTTCCCCAACGACGATGTTCTCGATCTCCTTGATCCTCTCCTCGGCCGAAACACTGGCGTTACTAGCGGCAGACAAGACGGCCTTGAGGGACGCAGCCGTGACATCGACGTCGATCCCGACACCCCAGCAGGCCCTGCCCCTTCCATCGATCAACTCAACGTAGGCAGCAGCCTTGGTATCTTGACCTATACCGATGGCATGTTCCGAGTATTCCTTGAGGTTCAGCTTGAGGTCCGTCGAAGAGTTGAGCGCATCCATCAAGCTCGACACCGGACCGTTCCCCGATCCTCGAACGGTTTGATCCTTGCCATCGTAATTGAGCACTCCTTCGAACGTCTTCTTGTCCTTCTCTCCCGCGAAATTGTAATCCACGAGGGTGAATCGACCGTTGTATTCCGGTCCGAGGTAGTAAGCGGAACGGAACGATTTCTCAATATCCTCGGGTGTGATCTCCTTGGACGTTCGTTCGGAAAGGGCTTGGATGACTTGGTAGAAAGCGGGTTGCATGCGTTTGGGGAGGTCGAGTTGGAGACTTCGTTGGACGAGGTAAGCGACACCACCTTTACCGGATTGAGAGTTGACGCGGATGACGGCTTCGTACGTCATGCCGATGTCGGCGGGGTCGACGGGCAGGTAAGGGATCGCCCAGGGTTTGGCGCCTTGTTCCTTCTTGCGGATTCCGAACCCCTTCTTGATGGCGTCTTGGTGCGATCCGGAGAAGGCGGTAAAGACGAGCTCACCTGCCCAAGGAGCACGAGGGTGAACGGGGATGTCGTTGCATTTGGTAACGGTGTCGATCACGCGTTCGAGGTCGGAAAAGTTGAGTTCGGGGTTGATCCCTTGGGTGTAGAGGTTCATCGCCATCGTGACGAGATCAACGTTACCGGTACGTTCACCATTCCCGAATAAGCAACCCTCGACCCGATCCGCACCGGCCATCAAACCGAGTTCAGATGCGGCGACACCCGTTCCACGATCGTTGTGAGTATGGAGCGAGATGATGCAGCAGTCGCGGTCCTTGACGTGGGTGCAAAAGTACTCGATCTGATCGGCGTAATGGTTCGGCGTCGCGACCTCGACCGTCGCGGGCAAGTTGAAGATGATGGGCAATTCGGACTTCTTGTCCTTGCCGGCGAACCAAGCGTCTTGAACGGCGTTGCACAGCTCGACCGCGAATTCAGGTTCGGTCTGCGAGAAGGCTTCGGGCGAGTACTCGAATTGCCATTCGGTACGATCACCACGGGCAATGGCCTCGTCGACGAGTTGGCGTACGAGCTTGACGTGCTTGACCGCGAGCACGACGGTCTGCTCTTTGGTGTTTTGGAAGACTTGGTCGCGGAACATGGGCGCGGCGGCGTTGTACATGTGCAGAATCGCCTTTTTGGCGTCGCGCAGGGATTCGACCGTGCGCCGGATCAGCTCTTCACGAGCTGGTGTGAGCACCTGGGGAGGGAGGAGGCGCGGAGAGGCGCGGAGAGGCGCGGAGGTATCGGGCGCAAGTGGGAGAAGACGAAGGCGTAGGGCCCAGCACGTCAGAGAGTGGACAAAAGACGAGGCCAGGGCTGGGACAAAGTACGGTGAGCGATTGATAAAGAGACGTACCTGGAGCCAAACATCATCGGGCAATTCATCCTTCTCGATCAAGCCTCGGATGAACTGGAACTCGGTCTCGGACGCGGAAGGGAAGCCTGCCTCGATCTCCTTGAAACCGCACTCGAGCAAGAGCTTGAAGAAGCGGTTCTTTTGGTCGATCGTCATCGGGTTGACCAGGGCCTGTTTAGGGGACGGGGGAAAGGTCGGATCAGTGGGTGGAACTCGACGGTGTTTTGAGTCGTACGCTTGCTGCCTGCCCGAAGCGGACACACTGACCTGGTTCCCATCACGGAGATCGGACGAGGCCCATCGCGGTGCCTTGGTGATGCGCTTGCTGGGCCATGTTCGGTTCGGCAAGTCGACGGATTTGAAGGGCCTGTTTTGGCGGGGGGGGGGGGGGGGGGGGGGGTGGCACGTGGCGAAGTGGGGTCAGCTCTGGGTCGAGTCTTTTTTTTTTTGAGCGGAAGGAACACGTTGGTGTGGCCGCCGGGGATTTCAGCCGGGGATGCGGAAGAGCGCCGTGCACGATACAATCACAGGGCGCTGTCCGAAACGTGCCGAGTGGAAAACACTTGCAAGTATTTGGTCGAAGGGTCGTTGAGCCAAGTGGCCTGGCTCATCGGAGCGACCGAGGTCGAAAGGGGTCGAGTCGCCAGCACGGCCGCGGATGAAAGAATCGACCGGGACACGATCCTCGACGACTGAGTCGCAACAGTTCGGGACAACATGGTGTGTGGGGGGTGACGGAGTGGGGCGTGGTGGTGCGCGCTGTGGGTGGTGGACCAGAAGGGAGAAGCGGGAGGTGAGATAAAGTTGCGTTGCCGGCCGGTCGGTCGGGGTGCGTGTGGGGTAAAAAACGGCAGAGGACAGTCAGAGGACCCGGGAAGAAAAAGAAAAAAGAGAGAAAAGGGCGAGGTCGAGCGCATTAGCGTGGAGACGTAAAGCGGGGCTAATTACCGACCAGCTGTCCATTTTTTCCTTTTGACTCATGCCAGGCGATTTGCAAGCGCTGTCGGTATAGCCACGGCGGTAAGACGCGCATACGATCGAGGCTCTACCGCCGGTTCCCCTCTCGAGCCCTCCGACGGTCCGGGGTTGACTCTTTTTCTCCGGCCGCGCTGGAGCGATTGATCGGATCAGCGTCATCGTCGAGTCGTCATTGGCCGAGAGAGTGTGGGCACCACTTGCCTCGACCGACTCCACGCTCCCGCTTCAGAACGGGGTCGAGCTATGGAACACGCTTCCGGGTCGACAGCTTTGACGTTGAAGGAACGCATCAAGGCATTGCAAGATGCAGCCAATGCCGAAACATCGACTGCAGCAAGTTCCACCCTTGGAGCGGCGCCCCCCCCCCCCCCCCCCCCCCCCCCGGGCCCAGGCCAAACTACTCGGCACCACGTCATCGCCCGCGACCACCCACACGGACCTCGCACCGAGTTCCCTCGCTCCACCTGCCCCTAGTGATGGCAGTACATCAACTCCGAAGCCTACCCGATCTCGCGCCGTCTCGCTCGTCCAATCCGATCCGTTGGATGCGATCTCGTCAGGCTCGGCCCCGACTCGATCACCATCAAGACCGTTGAAGAGGGGTGTCGACACCTCAACTCGCACAAGAGCCGAGACTATTCCGACGACTCCATCTGCGCCACCGCCACGCCCTTTAATGTCTTCGAGAGAGCGGTCGTCGTCTACAATTCCGTCAAGTACATCGACGATGGCCTCCCAGCCTGAACCAGTACGACCAGCTCAGTCCGCACCGGGGATCCCACCACGACCTTCTCAATCCCAAACCCCACATCTTCGTCCGACCATCACCGATCCCCTCACCTCATCGGCCTCATCGCCGACACCGAGACCACACCCAACCGACTCACTCGAGCAGCTCTCCACCGCCACCTTCCCTGGCACTTCATCTCAGACACCTATTTCCCCAGGGGCCCCTCGACTCCCACCGCGTCGAACCACCACCACTTCTTCTTCAACTTCAACCTTAGAGAACCGCCCAGTACCGGCCTTACCACCTCGACCTCGCTCGGTCGATCCGGTTCCCTCGGTCCCTGCGCGAAGAGAGGCTCCTCCACCACCTCCCACAACCACAAGAAGCGCTATCAGCGTACGTTCTCGGTCCGAGACTTCACTGGCAAGGCAGCGCTACACAGCTTTATTCGACCTCTTGATCGAACGTTTCGGCACCGTCGACTCCCCTACCGCGGCGGCTCCGGGTAAAGGACCGAGATGGATCCCCAAGCAAAACAATGGCGTACTCGATCAAGGGGAAGGACTGGATGGGAGGGTCGTAAGAAGTGTTTGGCTCAAGAGTCGGTTGGAGGATAAAGTGATGGAGAGCATTTGGTGAGTTTATCTTTCTCCGAGTCAGGCGGTCGAGTTTTCGGTGATCGCGGGCTGGGCAAAGGGGCGGCAACTGATTCATTGGATGGATCTGTTTCTGATTAGGACTCGATGTGATCCGTCTTCTTCCGGGTCTTTGAGCAAGGAGGAGTTCATCCAAGGCATGTTTGCGATCGATGAGGAATTAAGAGTCCGAGCGAGAGGGAGTAGATAGGTCAAAACGTCGGTAGTCCCTGTAGCGGGTCGCATTGTTGTTGTTTCATACATTCAATAATAGCTGTTGTACCATCTTTGATGAAGAGAAGTTGTCGTTCGTGACTTGGTCCGTCTAGCAGCATCCGATTTGTTTCGAGATTACCGAAATTCGTAACATCGGTCAACTTGCGCTCGGGCGACGTTCGCCCTGCTTCCCTTCATGACCCAACATCCCCCCGCCCGACCCGACCCCCTGATTCCCGCTTACCCACGCGTTGGCGCCGCGCTTCCCTCGGCGTGTACACGACCATCACCATCAAGATCAAGACCGACTATGCCGCCTACTCGAGCTCGATCCCAACCCTTAAGGGGAACGACTGCTGCTACTGCATCAGCAGTGATTGCACCGGACACCCAACCCGCCTCCACTTCGGCCATGTTTCAGAGCTCTCGACCAGCTCGAGGACGCAGGGTGGGGCAAGTGGAGGAGGTGACTGAGACGACTGCTGGTTTGAGGGCCACGAGTGGAAGAGGTAGAAAGAGAGCGAGGACGGTAGAGAGAGATGCCGAAGTGGTGGAAGAGGAGGTCGGCGTCCCGAAGCGCATGACCCGAGCCATGAGCGCCTCTCTCGGCCTCAAAGCCACCGCCCGAGAACCCACAACCCTCCAACCCAAACCCAAGGCCTCGAAATCCACTACCCCACCCAACGCTGTCCAAATAGTCGAACAACATCCTTCCGACCAACCGCCCGAATTCGAAGGGGAGGCAAGCGAGTCCCTCAATTCGGATGACGACCTCGAATCACCTGAAACTATTATCAGTCGACTGTCCCCCATCAAGCAGGTGATGAGGAACGTATCGCCTCGGAGAAAGAGGGAGAACAAGGAGGAGGTGGAAGTGGAGGTCGAGGTGAGCAGGTTTATGGGACCTGCTTCGAGGAAGAGGAAGATTGAGGAGATGCAGAAGAAGAAGAGGGAGAGGAATAAGGGTATGGGAAAGGAGAGGGAGGAGGAACCGAGTCCTACCCCTCCCCCTCCCCCTGTTGCTCCTGCTCCTGTGGAGAGCAAAGGCAAGAGGAACAGGTCCAAAGAGAAACTTCCCGAACCCGTCATGGAAGAGCCGGAGGAACAGGCCGCGTCCGAGGCAGAAGAAGAGGTCTCACCCCAACCCCAAGAAGGGGAACGTCCGCATCAAGAACAAGACAACGCCGACGAAGAGGAGGAGATCGATCAACTCCAAAGCTCCGACTCGGATGGGGAGGGGCTCGTTATGCAACTCGAGTCGCCTAGGAAGAGGAAGCCCAGGACCAAGACTTATGGCAAGAAGAGAACGAGGGGCGTGGACAAGGCGCAGGAGAAGACGGTGGCGAAGAAAAGGATTCCGATGAAGGCCAAGACACCGACGCAGACCAAGTCCCCGGCGAAGACCCAGACACCGACCAAGGCGAAAAGCCCGTCGAAGGCAAAGAGTCCTGCCAAAGCCACGACGTCGACCCAGGCCAGCTCCTCGACCCAAACGAAAGTGCCTCGTGCCAGCGCGCGAAAACAACCCGCTCGATCCAGCCAGGCCAGACCCGTCGTGAAAGAAGCCGTACCCTCCGACAACACCGACGATGACGATGACGATGACGACATCGAATATGACGAATCCGAATCCCTCGAGATCGACCGACCCGACGACCCTAAACGACCTTACTCTTTCATGCATGTCGTCCCTCAAACTCGAAGACGTAAGGAACCTGATTGGGAACCGGATTGTATTTGGTTGTATCCCAAGAAATGGGAACAAGGGAGGTTGGAGAGGATGAAGCAAAAGATTGAGGTGGGTCCTTGATTCGCATGCCTAGTTCGGTTTTGGCTTCGCTAAAAGGCGTTTGACTGGCACTGGGTCCGGGAACTTTAATCCCACAGGAGAATGGAGGCAAAGTCGTCGACGATCTGGGGGAAGCAACGATCGCGCTCTTCCCTCCTGTCGAACCCCTTAGGTATAACAAAGCCGTACTTGAGGCTCTTGGGAAACGTACGTGCAATAATCTCAGCACTTTGCAGGCACGTCACCTGGGAGCTTACCGGACCCCTTCCCCTCTGTCCTCAGACGTGATCCCCCTCCGTTCCTGCTGGGTGACCGACAGTCTCAAACTATCCCGTCGCCACGACGTAGCCTACCGCTGTTCCCTCGCCGACAAACAAGGCTGGTTAATACGTCCCCTCCCTCCACAAAAAGCGCGTACGATCCTCCAAAAAATCGATTCGAATTCTCCGCTGAGGAGGAGGACAGAATTTACAAGAGAAGAGGTGGAGGCTTTTGCGAGGTTTAAGAGTCGGTTCGGCAAGCTGGAGAGGTATAAGAAGGAGGCGAGTGACTCGGTCATGATCAGGAGCTTTATGGACAAGGTTAGTAGTGGGTCCGGGGAGGGTGGGCTTCCTAAAGGAAGAAGTGGAAACCGATTAATCTTCTTCTGTTCTGGCGTGTCGCAGCATCGGACACCTCACACTTTCGAATCATGGAAGAACTTTTACAAGGCTGTCAACAATCGAGAACGAGTTGATCGGCTGGCTGCGCAGTTTCAAGAGGAAGAGAGGGAAGGGAGGAGAGCGGGGAAGGGGAAGGGGAGGGGGAGAGGTGAAAGGAGGGGGACTTTGACGGGATGGCTTGAAGCTGAGAAGGGGGAGACGGAGGAGGGCGAGCAAGAAGAGGAGGAGGAAGAGAATGAGATCGTAAGAGACGATGAAGAGGAGGTGGTGGTGGATCAGTCTGTGAAGGGGTATCTCGTACAGCAAGAGAGGGGGGAGGAATCGGATCCTGAACCTTCGCCGAAGAAGAGAAGGATGACGAACGAACCTACCACGCCTAAGGCAACCCCGTCGAAAGATCGATCGCCGACTAAGAACGCAAAGTTGCGATCGTCTCCGAGGAAGGGTCTGCAGACGACCCCGCTAAGGAATACGGCAAGGGACAAAGGACAAACGCAGGCGAGTCAAGGACGCAAGTTCCAAGCTGCTCCGCCTTCGAGCAAACGATCACGAGAGCCCGTGCGTACTCGCATCGTGGATTACACCAGCTCGGAGGAAGAAATGGAGGAGGAGCTCCCCGTTGCCAATTCATCCAAGAAGCCCACATCGTCGAACCCCGAGCGACCACCTCCTCCCCTGAGCTCCCAGTTCGTCCCCGAAGCGTTCGCCTCCCGCGCGAAGAAATTCCACGTGCCCCCCTCCACCGTCGAAGCCTTCTGGTTCTCCTGCACTTCCGACTGGTACCTCGTAGATCGCTTAATCGCCCGCTACGCCGGTCGTTCTCCCAGCCATACCGAATTCAACCCCGATTCAAGCGGGTTCGAAAGTAATCTCTGGAGGAGAAGCCAGGACGAGGCGTTGGAAAAAGGGCTGTCCTTAGTAACCGATAAGACGAAGGAGGAGTGTATGACGAGGAGACAATTTTTGAAGGATTTGGAGAGGTATAGAGGTTTGTTCAAGTACTTTGATGAGATTTGACGGCTTTGTTCTGTTTTGGGACGTGTGCGCTTTTTAGGCAATTTTTGTAGGAATCATCAGGATCTTGGTTGAGCGCATTTTTTTGGGGTATGCATGTTTTGATAATTGCAGATAAAGTGACTATGCCAGCAGTGAAGAGAATGGGAGAGTTGAGCGCCCAAAGGATGGAAGGAGGGAGGGAGGGAGGTGAGCTAAAATCTTTTTCAGCACTTGAATCAATTCTAGGGAGAAGAGAGACGCTCGATGGGAGGTGTTGGTACAGCTTTTGTGTGGAGGGGGAAACAACATGGTTGAGAGATGAGGGTTCCCTTTTCAGGTTTGAGAAAAGTCTAAGGTAGCCGAGACAGAACTGGGAGGGTGGGTGGACAAGCGGCTTTACGAAAGACCGATGATCTCGCCATCGTCCAAGAGTTGATGGTCGAAGAAGCCCGGTCGAGTCGACAACCCAGGCATGGTCTGCATCGTTCCGACGAGGGGGTAGATGAAGCCCGCACCAGCGGACATCTTGACGTGCGAGATGGGTAACGTGAAGCCCGTTGGTGCACCCTTCATCTTGGGGTCGTGCGAAAGGGACAAGTGCGTCTTGGCCATGCAGATCGGCAAGTCGGAGAACCCTTGCTTGGTGTAAGAAGCGATTTGCGCCTCGGCTTCTTCGGTGTAGGAAACGTCGGCGGCGCCGTACATCTCTTTGGCGATCGTGGCGATCTTATCCTTGATCGAAATGTCGAGAGGGTACAAGAACTTGAACGGGTTGGGCTCCTCGCACGCCTTGATGACGGCTTGACCCAACTCCAAAGCACCCTTTCCGCCTTCAGCCCACAAAGTGCAAGGCACGGCGGCATCCGCGCCGGCTTGAAGCGCCATCTTGGCGACCAAAGCCGTCTCGGCATCGGTATCGTTCGTGAAGCGGTTGACGGCGACGATGACCTTGACGCCCATCTTGCGAGCGTTCTCAATATGTTTGGCCAAGTTGGTGCAGCCCTTCTCGAGGATCTCGAGATTCTCGTTGAGGTAGACTTCGGGCAAGGGCTTGCCGGGGGTGACGTCGGGTCCTCCACCGTGCATCTTGAGCGCTCGAATCGTCGCGACGAGCACAACGGCGTTGGGGGTCAAACCGGAGATGCGGCACTTGATGTTGCAGAACTTTTCCATACCGATATCCGCACCAAAACCGGCCTCGGTGATGACGTAACCGTTCTTGTCCTCGGTCTCGCCCTCCTCCGTACCGGCGAGCTTCAGCGCGATCTTGTCAGCCAGGATCGACGAGTTGCCGTGGGCGATGTTGGCGAACGGTCCAGCGTGGACAAAGACCGGCGTGCCTTCGAGCGTTTGCATCAAGTTGGGCTTGATCGCATCCTTCATCAAGATGGCGAGCGAACCGGTCGCACCAATGTCGTCGCACGTGATAGGATCGCCCTTCCTTGATTCACCAATGACCATCTTGCCCAACCGATCGCGCATGTCAGGCAAGTCGTTCGAGAGAGCCAACACGGCCATGCACTCGGAAGCGACGGCGATGTCGAAGCCGGTGTCGAGCGTCTTGCCGCTCTCGGTCGCGGCCAAACCGGTCGTGATCTTGCGCAAGTAACGGTCGTTGGTGTCGACGACGCGGTGCCATGTGATCTTCTCGGGGTCAATATCGAGACGAGCGAAGCGCGAGACCTCCTCCTCGGTCAAGTCATCGGGGTTGGTCTTGTCGATGCCTAGCTTTTGCAAGCGCTTGAACATGATGGGCGCAAAAGTCCTGACACCCTTCTTGGGGGGGCATAAGCGGTTGAACAAGGCCTTGTCGGTCTGGGTCGACTCGTGGAAGTAGCGCGCCGAGATAGCCGCGGCGAGCAAATTGTTCGCCGCCGTGGTCGCGTGGATGTCACCCGTCAAGTGCAAGTTAAACTCGTCCATGGGGATGACCTGCGAGTATCCACCACCGGCGGCACCACCCTTGATACCGAACGTCGGGCCCTGCGAGGGCTGACGGACGCAAGCGAAAGCCGTCTTGCCGAGGTGGGCGCCGAGGGCCTGCGCAAGACCGATCGTCGTCGTCGACTTGCCCTCCCCGAGAGGGGTTGGCGTGATACCGGCGACGACGATGTATTTGCCGTTGCGGCGGTGCTTGAGCGACTCAAGAATCTCGAGCTTGACCTTGGCCTTGTACTTGCCGTACATCTCGAGGTCGTGGTTGGGGATACCGATCTCGCTGGCGAGCACATCAATGGGCTTGGGGGTCTGGGCCTTGGCGATGGCGATGTCGGAGGGGACGTCCTTCTTGAGCACGAGCTTCAAGGGCTTGACGACGCGCTTTTGCGATTTCTCGAGGAAGCGTTGCGCCGCAATGAGCGTGTTCTCCATCAGCTTGGCGACGGTCAGGGGACCGACTCCTCCGGGGACGGGGGTGATGTGCGAAGCGACACCGACGGCCGAGTCGTAATCGACGTCACCGACGAGGCGGGAACCGGATTTTTTGGTCGAGTCAGGGATGAAGTTGGTGCCGACATCGATGACGACGGCACCGGACTTGAGCCAGTCACCCTTGACGAACTGGGGTTGACCGATCGCAGCGACGACAATGTCGGCTTGCTTTATCTGTGCATCGGCCCAGGTAGGCGAGATCAACAACCGGCAAGGTCTCGTTCCCGTCCCGACGACTACGGGCCGGGACATTCTCCCCCGCAGTGCAATGACTCACGATCTGCTCCAAGTTCTTGGTACGAGAGTGGCATTGGGTGACGGTCGCATCCTGACGACGCAAGAGAGCGCAGACGGGGGAACCGACAATGTCACTGCGGCCGAGGACGACGGCGTGCTTGCCGCTGATTTCGACGCCGGCTTCCTTGAGCAGGTGCATCACACCACTCGGGGTGCACGGCGAGAAGAGCGGGTCCGACGCACGGGACGAGAGCAAGCCGATGTTGTAGGCGTGGAAGCTGAGTGCGTGAAATGTGGCACGTGTGAGCTCTACAGAGCTAACGCAGAGGGTTTTGCTTCGAGCACCACGTGGTGGACTGACCCATCGACGTCCTTCTCGGGGCTAACGGCCTCGGTAATCCTCCTCTCTCCGTCCCTGCCGACCTGATCACTGAGAGGAAGTTGAACCAAAAGACCGTGGACCGAGTCGTCGTCGTTGAGACGCTGCACCTCGGCCATGACCTCATCCTCGGAAGCGGCCTGGTCGACGAGCACGAGCGTGCACTTGATGCCGGCCTGTTCGGCAGCCTTGAGCTTCATCTTGACATAGGTCGACGAGTCGGAGCGCGACCCTTGTTGGATGATGGCGAGGTGGGGGGCGAAGCGAGGGAACTGCCGCTGGATCGACAAGATGCGTTGCGAGATGTCGGCACGGAGCGAGCTGCGACAGAAAAAGGAGTTGACGCTCAGCTGGGCGGTAAGAAGGATGCGGGACGAAGCGGGAGTGCGATCAAGCCAGCGGCTGTCCTGAAGGCGGAGTGACGGTGCAGGAGGCTTGGGGAGGATGGGGAGGAACTCACGTGGCTACGGCTGTGCCATCGATGACTTGGGCCTGCGACGACATGGTGCTGCGACTCGTGGAAAAGGAGCGGGCAGAAGTGGAAGAGGCGCGAACGGAGGCGCGAGCGGAGGCGCGGCGGTGGTCGGGCGCGTCGACGGGCGAGATCGCCGTGGTCAGAGCACGGGCACGGTTACGATTACGGTTAGGGCTAGTTGCGAAAGGCGACGGCGCCGAGCTCGCGACGAGAGCGGGGGTGAAGGCGGGGTGGGGTACAGATCGGGGCACTCGAACGTAGGACGATAACGAGCTGGTGGATCGACGACCGAGTCGGAGCATACCAAACAGGGCCGGGGAGAGGGGAGTGAGCGAGCGAGCGAGGAAGAGCCGGAGGGAGCGAGTTGGTGAGCGGCTGCTCAAAGTCACGACTAAAGTCTGCTTATTAGTTACTTTGTCGATCACGCCAAGCTTCAACTCGCCCGGAACTGAGCGCGCGCGACGACTTCGCAAATTCGCAATCGAAAATCGAATCGATCGGCGCTCTCCTCTCCTCTCCTCTCCTCTCGAGCGCGCTCAGCGGCACGGAGCGACGTCCTACCCTTTGCGCAACTTGGGCCAACATCATTGCATGAGCTTCGGTCAGGGTCGAATAACTCGGCATCTTGGACACTGGACCCCTCTGACTCGCCGCATCACCACTTTGAGCACCCCCGGCATGGCCTCATCCGTTGTCGCGAGCTCATCCAGCTCGATCGCCTCGTCCTCCGCGAGCAAGAAGGAGCAACCACCGCGAGTCCGGCGCATAGGACCGCAACTCCTGGCCGATGAACTGGTCGCAGAAGAACTTATCGCCGGAGCCCCGACCGTCAAAGGAGGCAGGGAACTCACAACCGACCGGTCAGCTACGAATCAGCGACGTTCAGGAGTGAGACCGAGATGCTGACCAATGCTTTCACCTACTACATCTTGTAGAGACCCCTGGACACACAATGCTTGGTTCGTCCCGAATCGATCAAATATCCCTAACTGCTCGTCCCAGCTCAACCCATTCCTTCTCCCCACTTCCCCTTCATCAGGGACAAGATCCCATGGGACCGGGAACAGCAAGAACAGGCACAAGCAGCGATAGAACGACAAAAACTCGATGCCGTACCCGCTGAACTTCAGGAGCAGTACAATGCCGACCCGGCGGCTTACTGGGACAGCTTTTACAAGAACGTCAAAGGTGGGGGGGGGGCTCCACGAGCAATTCGGGACGATCAAAGAACTGACTCTGATCACTTTGCGGGCGCCTCGCAGACAACTTCTTCAGTGACCGTGCTTGGTTGAGAAATGAGTTTCCCGAATTGTCTGACGCCATCAGAGCCGATGTGAGCTTGACTCCTCTTGGGCTCAGTTCACGGCGACCGACGAACTGACGATCCGAGGCAATTCTCAGGCCGGACCTAAAACGATCGTCGAGATTGGGTGTGGACCCGGCAATACCTTGTTCCCGCTTTACTCGTTCAACGAGAACCCGCAGCTGAGTCTACACGGCTACGACTTTTCCAAGCAAGCCGTCGATCTGGTCCTGGTACGTTCAGTCGATGCCCCTTCTCACTTTATCTGCAGACCCCATCCTAATCTTCTTCCTCGAACTTCCCAGGCGAATCCATCCTTCAACCCTCAACACCTAACCTCGGCCGTATGGGATCTCGCATCCCCCCTGGGTCTGCCCCCGACCCTAACCGCCGGAAGCGTCGACATCGCGCTCCTGATCTTCTGTTTCTCCGCTCTCCAACCCCTCGAATGGGCCCAAGCGTTCTCGAACCTATCCACGATGCTCAAACCCGGTGGGTTGATCTTGTTTCGCGATTATGGCAGGAATGATATGGCGCAGTTGAGGTTCAAGAAGGGGAGATTGATGGATGATTTTGGAGGGTTGTATGTCCGGGGTGATGGGACTAGGGTTTATTTCTTTGAGAGGGATGAGTTGTTGGCTATCTTTGGGGGGTTGAAGGGAGGGGAGATGGCATCGACGACGACTGAGGTGAAGGCGGCGGAGGAAGGAGAAGCGAATGGAAGCGAGGCAAAGGAGGAGGAGCCAGAATCAAATGGAAGCGAGGCGATGCCTTCGGATGCAACGACCTCGAACCCGAAACCCATCATGGCACCTGAAGCGATCGCGATGCGCACCATGGACAAGCGCTTCGAACTGTTGCAGTTGGGCGTCGATCGAAGGCTGTTGTTGAACAGGAAGAAGATGATCAAGATGTATAGGGTCTGGCTACAAGGGAGGTGGAGGAAACCTTTGGAGAATGAGGAATGAAGGCGAAGGGGTTTATGAGTTTGGACGGGTATGTTGTATGAATAAAATTTCATGGGAACGATAGCGACGATGTTGCCGATATATCCCGAGAGAGTAGGTACGAGTACGGAGGAGAGGAAGGTGTTATCAGAGAGAAGAGCAGGGACCCGCTTGAACGTGTTTTTCCGACTTGGCATTCCGCGGAGACAAACGGACGTAAAGCGAGGACCTCGTCGATTGAACCGGCCCCCGCTGCAGCAGCACGAACGGTGTTTGCGGAGGATCCGAATGACTCGGGGTGCGTGCTCCTTTCATGTCTATTAGCAGTGGAAAAGGCGGCAAGAAATTTGTGGTGCAATAGGCTACGTTGTAGATGTCATATAGGTATTACGGACTACAACAGCTACTACGTAATCGTGATAAAGAGGGGGGATGCAACATGAAAGGCCCCGCCACTGGGTATGGTCGTTAAAGCTAAGTCAATTAGGGGCGTTCCGTCGTAACGAAACTCGTCGTTAAAGCTAGGAGATTAGGGGCATTCCGTCCCAACGAAACTCTTCAAACGCCGAGGCGCAGGCTCGAGGGGTGAAGCTATGGAACTTCTCACTTGGATGGAGGATCTGTGGCGCAATCAATCGCGGGGCTCAATCTTAGCTTATATTGCCGGACCAAGCTGGGTCCCGGACGTAAAAACGCCCACCTTGTCCCTTCCCGATCATGACCCGCTTTCCCTTCGAAGGAACATCGTCGGCGAGAATCCAGAGCCAAGCATAGCCTACAGGTAGACCCAGGCGCATCAACAGTTGCCTCTACAGGGGTACAGAGTGGGGTTGAAGGCTTACCAGGAGGATAATACGTCGGTCCTTGAGGACCTTGAATCGTGATCTTTCCATCATCGGTCGAAATTACCTTCAATTCAACCCAGCGTTGGTTCATGTGCACGCCATGGGTCGAGTAACCGATATCAATGATGACCGCGCGAATCTTCTTGGTTCCACTTGGGACCTTGTAGGAGAAAGTGTATTTGGACTTGTATTGGATCTTCTTGGGTTGACCGGAGAACGTGGGACGAGACCTGGACATGTAAGGCGGTCGAAGAAACTCGGTGTTGTATCTGTGGGCGTGCCTCACATGGACAGCGCTTAGTTACGATCCCCGGTTTGAAAGGTCTGTGACAGAACACCCACCTCGTTCCGTAGGTCCTCGTCTCGACCTGCCGAGAGAAGAAGATGGAACATTGATGAGATTGGCAGGGGAACGCGAATGACCCTCGTATGCTACGTACCTTGCCGTTGGGATTGGAACCCGCGATAAAAATCGAGCCATCCGGAACCAGAGTCGCCGACGAATGGTAGAGTCGTTCGGTCTTGGAAGAAGGAAAGTTGGTGCTGAAGCGAGAGCCCGACGCAGCAACAGGGTCGTACAAGGTTGGTCGTAACCTTGGGTTCCCGGCGTTGCTCAGTCCTGTCATGTTCGCGACATTGCCGTAACCTGCAACTCCCGTCCCCGCGCCGTTCACCAGCAAGACTGCGCAGTCAAATTGAAGGTCAGCGCTCACTCAATGACGGTCAAACTCGCAGCTTTGGGTGGTCGAGGCTTACCTTTACCATCAGGAGTAAGAATAGCATCCCCCATGAGGCGTGATTCGGGCATCTGCTCAACCTGCCACCCGCCTACAGCCTTTGTCCCACTAATCTTGAGTCGCGCGCACTGTGTCGAGGTCGGGCTCTGAGCGCTGAGCAACCAAGGCGAGTCGAGGTTCTGGGTCGACCCTCCACAGATCAAGATCTCGGTCGCATACCCGTTCGCGATCGTCAGGGGAAGAAGCGCTGATGCACCTGAGCTCGGGTAGTTTGCGACGACTCCATTGGGGAACTGCAAGGAAGAGCAGAATATTCGGTCAAGGGCCGGTCGATGTGATTAAGGATCTAAGCCAAAGCCGGAGACGTACAGCCGGAAGTCTATATTCTTGATTGTTTACCCAGTCGTATATAGTGTTGATCTTGTTGGCAGCCACGAAGATGTAACCACTGCAGTCGTTATTTTGTGTCAGCGTCCATGGGGTGGCGCACCCACATGCCCATGACGACTCACGTCTTTGGAAGGGAGAACGAGATGGGAAACAGATTCGAGTTGAGCGCATCTAAGATGAAAAGGAATGGTCGGTGTCAATGAAAGTGTAGCGCTCTAATTTCAATCTCGTAAGCGTACCTTGCAAGAACTTGAAGAAGATCTGCTTTCCATTTCCCTTGGGAGGGAAGAACTCGATCGTCGGATTATCAATGTCGGGAGCATTGTTGTAACCGCCTCTGATACATCCTCCAATGATGATGACGGATCCATCATGCAAGCGCACGGTCGAAGGGTACCACCTCTTGGACGTCAAGCGGACCGTTTTGGGGAACTCCTGGACCTGACATTTGCCCCCGTCACAAGGGGTGAACATCCGAAGCGCAGCGATACCGTTGGCAGTCGCGTTGCTCGCAGCGTGCTCGATGGGGTTGCCGCCGACGCTGATCAACGTGCCGTTGCTGAGCCAACCGCCCCCGGCACTGGGTGATCCAAAGCAGATGGGTCAGATCCCGGTCGACAATTAAGTGGAAGCCACGAGGGAGCGCTGGAGAATGTCTGCCTTGTCACAGCACGAAGCTTACCAGAATGAGTTCGTGAGAAGGTTGAGCGCTCGAGATTTTCCGGTGCTGATCGTGTAGATTTGACCCCACGCACTGTGGCCGTTGACTTGAAGCGGGTTGTTCTCGGCCTTGTCGAAGCTATGGGGGTAACTCTGTTCAGCAAGCAGGAGAGGGCCTGGGGAAGAGCTTGCCAGTCCTTAGCAGCAGCGTCTGCTTACACTACGAGAGCAAAATATCAACATCAGCTGGGGCGCTGACGACACCCGTTTGCGATGCTTTGACTTACTCTGATGATGGTTCGATCCGATGTGCCGCATGTGCAGACAGGGGGGAGCCAATTGGTCAGAGTTTTCGCGGGAGCGTGGTGGGTAGGGGTTTACTCACAAGTAGCTCGTCGTCACTGACGACACTGACTTGCACTGTGAAGACGAACAATTTGGGATATTTCAGGTCAGTTCCTGGGCACGAGCCTCAGCACATTCCATGGTCCGCCACGATGCTTGAGGCTTGAGGCCGGGTCTCGGCGAAAACGTCTCCCACAGGAGCCAACCGCACTCACTACCGCCGATACCAAGTTTCTTCCCATTCTTGAAAGACGAAGACCCGGACCAAGCCTTGCCAAGAGCACGCTTGTGGCGCACAAACCTCCTGCGGTGGCTGCGGAGCTGGAGCCTTGTCGATTCGGGCTTGACGTCGCGCTCGATCGTCAACGAGTGGCGCTCCACGCTCGCGTGAGAGTCGTGCGACAGAGCAAGCACTCTACCGCCAAGGGGAGCCAATGCATCCGAGTGAGTGAACGCAAGGACATCACCACCGAGTGTAGACGTAAGGAGAAGCAATGTAGCCAGGGTCTGAAGGAGGAGGCGATGCACTGGGCGGCACGGACGCCGAGACTGGACCGAGGTGAGCATGAAAGGGAGCGTGCGAGCAGCGCCGAGTGGCAGATGGAGGAACGAGTGTGGGGGCGCAAAAGACGAGTGCGGGTTGGGATCTCAACGGAGAGGAAAGTATGAGAAGGAGCGACGAAGGTGGGAGAGAAGGAAACAGGATGAAGACAAGGTATATAAGGAAATGAAGGAACAAATTTGTCGGCTTATGCCGCAGGTGCAGTGTCTCACCCGGATCGCGAACACAACGACTCGCTCAAGGGGCCTGAGCACCTTCGCCGCGGCTGCGCAATCGCGCTTCGAGCGGCGGCCCGAGCGCACTCGCACGATCGCGAAGTCAACTGAACCAAAGTCAAGTCCTTCTTCTCGGTCGCACCACCCCACCTTCGCCGCCTACCGCTGGGCTCGTCGATCGACGTTCCAAACATGGCGACAGTGAGTCCACTCTAGGCTGAACAAAGTACGTCATATCGTCCTCACTGAATCCACTGATCTCCCACTGCACTTGGAATGTCGTTCCGAAGCGGGTGCGACCGACTGCCGCAACCACTGCGAACAGAGCACCAGTAGTCGGAACAGCCCAGCAAGTCGACGAGAACCTCGCCACCACGACCTACACCTCTAGTTTGACCCACATCTCTCAACTCTTACGCACTGGCATCAGTTGCGTTACCTTTCTTCGAGGCATCTTCGAAGACGTCAGTCACATTTCTCGTCGCACACCGAGCCTCACGCTCCTCCCGTCCGAAGATGACGCTGAACAGGAGCTCAGTCTCCTTTTTGGTCTCGGCTCGCAGGACAACTTTGTCAATGCAGCGATCAGAACTCCCAGTGTTCCTGTCTCTGATACGAACCCTGCTGCCACGTCCAAGGCGTTGGAGGAGAAAAAGTCTCAACCTTCGACCGTCAAGGTCAAGTCACTCATCAGGGGCGCCAGTCGTGAAGCCGACTTGCTCCTCGACTACCTGGTGCGTATCCTCAATATCAGAGTGCTCCACTTGCATTTCCTTACCGAAGATTCAAGCGTTCATACGCACAGGATTCGGTCGATGTCGCTTTCAAGCTCGGTTACGTCGAACGTCTCGGTGGGTGACAAAGCTTTTCGGCAGGCTAGGCAAGACCATGTCTCCTCAGTGTGCAGCTGTCCTTCACAGTGCTCGCCATTTTCCACGATCCCGAAGAACCTGATAACATCGTTGAAGCTTACACCTTCAGCTTCGACTACGAGGCAGACGCTGACGGGAAACAGGTGCTGTCTTTTGAACCTCAGGGGTTCCATGAAATTCAGCTGCGATACTAACGTCTTGCCCTGCCGCGCCGCAGCGTATCGCTATGACCCTGCCGGACCAGTGGACCGGTGCAGGCAAAGGTGGTCAATCCTCAAGCTTGAGTGAAGGAGATGTCAAGCGTCAAATTCAAAAGTTGATCAAGAAGTGAGCCACCCTATAAAATGTCATCAATAAGCGCGTGGAGAAAGCTCACCTTCGGTCGTGAGCAGTTTGCTTATGAGCACCCAAGCGTTGGATGAACTGCCCCGACGTCGGTACATCGATTTGCGGCTCTACTTCACTGAAAACGCACCAGACGACTACGAGCCAGCGCTCTTCCAGCCGATACCTCCCGAGGAAGGGCAACTCCGCATAACCACTCCCAGGCTCGAAGACCGGCCCGACGTTGCCGAGCTGGGGAATATATCGACTGGGTTTCACAACCTTTCCTGTCACTACATCTCGATCGCCCACCTACTTAATACAGTGTTTGACGACAAGATAAGCCACGAAGAGGCCCTCGCTAGGAACCGTCGCGATGCGCAAAGCAGGAACGTCGAGTGGGATGGCGAGAGCCTAGCGCAGTCCATCACATCGGCAGACTCGAATCTCAAACCGATGGATCCAGTCGGTGTTCGGGACAAAGATGGCAACTTCTTGACCGTCGAAGAAGTTTGTGCTCGTCAAGATCCTCAGACCAAACAGCTCAGACTTAAGATCGGGCTCGAAGGCACAGGAACGACCATCATTCCGGCCGAGGACCACTTCGAGCCGTCGATCCAGGATTCGAACACTTCGGATTCGGCAGCGCTGCAGAAAGAGGTCGGTTCCGAGTTCCACAAATCGATCAACTAACCTTCATCAGCTAACTCTGATAATGCTAAAGATTGATCGTATTAGGAACCGAGGCGGCGACACTCAACTGCTGGAGATTACCCAGTCTCAACCCGATCATCCACCAGCCTCGATAGAAGAACTTCACGGCTTTCAGGATCTACAGATGACGCTCAGCCAGGGTGGGTCCCAGCTGTACCAAGTGAAGGAAAATGTGATGATGGAAGATACTGGTGGCGCTCAATCAGCTGGTGCGCAAGCAGAATCCCATCACGGAGGTGCGGAAACGAGCGTCGGAGAACCGAGGTAAGAGTGCGGGCCCCAAATAGCCTCGAGAGGATGAAGCTGAGTGCTAGTTGTTTGGTGGCTTTCATAGAAGCGATGTACGTCAAGACGCATTACAAGCCGGTTTCCCCCTTCCATCGGAGCAAGCGCCCCGGGCCGTGGCCTTCGAGAACGGAACGAGTTCAGCGCATCACAAAGCTCCAGCTCGTGGTCGCGCTTCGCAGACGAACTCTGCACTTGCGGAGATGATGAACAGATGCGACTGTGGTATGCCTTGGGCCTATGGATCTATCAGTCTTAGTTCTGGTCTGATGAGCTCGACGCTCGACGTTGCAGGTTTCTCGCTGAATACCGCAGAAGGCGCTTTCCGCTGCTCCGGTACGTGACGAAACGTTCTTGCATGGAACAGCTCCCTGATGGCGAAGTTGAGGTTTCACCGCTGCAGTCTGTCAAATCAGCAAGCACTTCTCGTGTCATGGGTGAAAATATAATTCTGCTTTAGGATGAAGGTTCACTTGACTTCTGATCACTTATCGCTTATCGTTCAAACAGGTTCGCGACTCGTCCCCATGCCGCGGTGCTCAAGAAGCTCATTTGCTACGCATGCCGAACGGCCGATGTCACGGGACATCGATCTCATGAACCCATGCTCAATTTTCATGAACTGGCCAAATTTCGACGAGGTACGTGATTTTCAGCAAGACAGGTGCCTTGGGCTTTGAAACTAATTTAGGACGAACGCCGTACAGCCATCGAGGTCCTCTGGAATGACGGAGTGCCTCTGGTCAGCGAACTTGCCGCACGCCTGGGGACCGATCGCCAAGATGCAGCAGCCATCATCCAACGATTGCGATGCGAGAATTTCATCGTTGAAGAAAAACCTCAGCCAAAAGAGGAACCAGTTGCAAAAGGTCGTGCGCGAGGTCGAGGGCGTCCGCGAGGCCGAGGGGCTCCCCGCGGTCGTGGGGCTGCAAGCAACGGGAGTGGGTCGACGCAGAAAGTCGATGTTGTCAATCGGTAAGCCAGAGCGGGTGTTCGTGCATTACGGTTGACCGAGCTGAGATGATCTGAATCTCTTCAACAGATCTCCGGAACAAAGTCGGTACAAGAAGGTGAAGTACTTCACCCCCGGTCAAGGGGCTGAGCTACCGATTCTCGAGTTGCTGTCTCGTGAAGCGAAGCTGGTGGTCGTCAACGAGACGCGTGCACCGGTAAGCTAACCTGCACCCGCGGCTGATATCCAATAGCCGATCAGCCCCGATTTAGTCCTAAGATCCCTATGTTGCCCAGGAGAACGAAATACGACCCCCACCCCACAATGGCCACGCCTCCCCCGCATCGACCGATCCCATCATCCAAACCCAATCCCAATCCGCTGCGCAAGCGGTCGTCTCTAAAGTCGCCAACGCTCCAGCTCCTGCTCAAGCATCCGCATCGACCATCGTCCCCAACACACCTGAGACCTCTCAAGTTCTACCCAAACCTTCGAGGACGGGTCAATTCGCAGACGAGATCCAGTCATCGGAGCTGGAGATTACGGATTCGCTCGGATTCGCCCCTTCTACCTTCGAGGAAACGTCTGCGTTCCTGAATCGAGCGGCACCGATTGCGCAGGAAGCCCTTTCAGAGAAGGCCAAGGGGAAACGTAAAGCCGAAGAGGATGTACCACAAGGAGTCGGGAATGGTGGTGCCATGGAAGTACCGGTACAGAGGAAGGTCAAGAGGAGTCGAGCGATCGAGGCGCTGGAAGTTTGAGGGTTTCAACAGGAAGGGCAAGTTTTGCATGTGCACAGGAAGAGGCCAATGGATCGACATGTATCTACTTCTCCATTCTCCAAATGTATATCTACTTTTCCGCATCATTCAGTTGATAGACTTGTAGTAATATTTCAATCACACGATACGCAGTATCTCATCCTCGTTACACATGATTTCGTCGCACACGAATCGTGCGTCCTACGCAGTATCTCATCCTCGTTACACATGATTTCGTCGCACACGAATCGTGCGTCCTACGCAATCCCTTCCCACCCCAACGCTGTCCCCCACCTCCACATCCTCTCAACCATCTTAGCCCTCTTTTCCGGTTTGGCCCTAGCTCCTTCATCTTCAATCGCCCTCACATCCTCCAAGAACGCCTGCCTCAACTGCGTATCCCGACTAGGGAAGATACCCCTCTTGGCGTAATTCCTCAGATTCGCCAAACACAACAAGACCAAACCCTGCGTCAACTTTTCCTTCTCACCGGTTCGATCCCCCTTCGACGTCTTCGTCGACGCCTCGATATCCCTAGGAGGCGCCAACAACAAATCCAACTGCCTCGTACTCAACCAACACCTCTTACCCCACTCCTTTCTCCTCTTCTTACTACTCCCATCCCTCCTCGTAAAACCTTTGACCCAATTACCGAACGCAAAGAGGACAAGGATCGAGGGTGCAACACCTACGAATCCAAAGGTGAGTTGTTGGGAGCGAAGCATTTTTTCGATACCGTCCATGGCGAGGGCGACGTCGACTTTGACTTTTTGCACTTGGATTAGGAGGGTGCGGATTAGGGAGCCGGAGATAGCGGATCGGAGGGGGGACTTTGTGGGGTTGGGGAATAGAGTGGAGGTGTCGGAATCAGCTTGGGGTCAGCATCTAAGGCTGTAAAGGTATGGCTCACTTTGAGATCATGTTCGAACGCTTTCAAAACGGGTGTTAAATCCCCCGCTCGAACCTTCTCCTTTAGATCACCCAGTTGTGCCTCCGAGAGCTTGTATTCGTCCCTCCCGAAATCAATCACCATCCTCTCCAAACTCTGAGCGCTCGACGCAAATGAACCGGGACTAATCAGCCTCATCGATCAACACCCCCAAAACGACGAGACGCCTTGCCTCCTCAGCTAGAACTCACATCCAAATCACTCTTCAACGTCTCCTTGCCCGTCAAGCTCATACCTCCTTCACCCCGCACGGTCTCAAAGATGCCTCTGACAGGTTCCAAAACCCAATCCATAACGAACCTCTTGACCGTATCAACCGCATCCCTAGCGTAGTGCAGCAAATCATGACGCGAATTGTAGATCGTCCGGCCGATACCGTAAGAGACGAGAGGGACGGCGAGGAGGTAGGGCCAGGCGCGGGTGAGGAAGGGGGGTCGCGAGACTTGCTCGAGTTGGGTTTCGAGCGTCTTGGCTTGGGCGACCATCGTTCTCGTGAGGAGGGTGTGTAACGCTCGAGCACATTCTTGCGCTGACGATGGCTTGCTCGCTTCGGGAGGGGATGGCACGTTCGAGGAAGAATTGGGCGAGGTCGCGAGTGCTGACGTGAGATGAACCAAGGTTGTCCAACATGCATCCTTGAGCGCGTCTAGTGTCGCAGGTTCTTGATCGGTCGTCGTCAACACAGCCGGTAGAGTCCTCTCAGTACGATTCTTGCCGTCATCATTGTTCGCTCTTTGTTGTTCTTGGTGATCCCCATCAATCGAAGGCTGAGGCGCCAACGTCAATTCGCCAATGCTGATGGCCAGACTCTGCCTCGTCTGACGAATCGTCTTGCGCCGATGAAAGATCTCTTGCCTCGTCAACGCCAAAGGGGAGAGCGTGAGGAAGAACAAGGATCGGGTCGTCTTTTTGGCCAGTCGAGTGGCATGGGAGAAGGAGACGCCCCCACTTGAGGAGGTGACGGCCAGAGTCGAGTCGTCGGTTCCAAACGGATCGAGAGCGTCCGTTGGGGAAGCTACGCCCGTCGAGGTGGCAAGGTGGGGAAAGATGGCGGTGACGAGGAGCGAGGGGGGAAGAGCGGTTCGGTAGGTAGACCAGGAGAGATAGGACGGCGCAGGTCGACTCGAGTGCAGGGCGGCGGTGGTAAGATCGCGTAGTCGGGTGACCAACGTCGCGGAGAGCGAGACCAGCCTCGATGGGGTAGCTGTTGGTGGAGAGCGTGTGTAAGTCGGGAGTGCTTTGCAAGTTGCTCTGTGCGAGAGCTCACTCTGCAACAAGTACAATCCCTGATTCCAAGCATCGGTTTCTCTGTCGGCCCACCACTCGTCCTCTTGCGCAAGGTCGCTCGCCTGCTGCATCAGTTGCTTGAGCACCAGACCATAGGCCGAGATGGTCATATGCGCGAGAGTAACGTATTCGATCGACTGTAGCTGGTTCGATGATTGTGCCTGAGCTTGAACGGAGGACCGATCATTCGAGGAGGTTGATAACGATAACGATAACGATGACGATGACGATGACGATGACGATGGGAAGGCCTGATCGAGCAACGAGGCGAGCTCGAACGACGAAGCGGGGTGGGAAGGATGCAGCTTGGATAGGATCGACCGCAAGGAGGAGGCACGATCATGGATCACCTGGGCACGGGTTGGGGTCCCATGCTGGGTTGTGGTGGGCTGGGAAGCTACAGGTGGTGTGGGCGAGGACGAGTCGAGGTCGGACTCATCGGCCGCTTCAAGAAGAAGAGGGGTCAGACTTGACAGGGAAGAGCCGAGTGAAGCGGCCAAGTCACTGGCGTAGGTCATGATGACCGTTTAGGGGCCCTTCGAGCCGCGAGCGAAGGGAAGCCGAGCTACTGCCGAGCTGGAAGGCAGCCGAACTGAACGAATCCGGGGCTAACCCCCACATTCAAGTTCGACTCCATCGTAAGAGCGCAATGCGAACCGAAATAGCTGGGATGGAGTCGGATTTGCAGCATAAGAACCAGGCATCCCGTAACAAACGGGATGGGTTGAAAATCTACCCACGAGAGACCATAGATAAGAAAGTAAAGGAAAGAACACAAGGCTGTTTTTGTATTTATTTATTTTGTAGGGTGGGTGGGAGGAGACGAAGATAGAACGACTATGCTTGTAAAGCGCGATTCTATTAGTACTCGGAATACTGCAAAGACTCTGAGGACTATGGCATACCTATGCTTGTAAAGCGTGTCGCTTGGAGACAAGAAGACAGCAAAGGAAACAGACCTCAGACGCTGGCACGTCGAGGGTGGGTCTGTGTAGCAAGGTAGCCAAGTCAGTCAACGTGTCCAACAAGGACAGTCGAAAGCAGGAGTACCCTAAGGTAGAGCCTGAAGGGGGGTGATGTACCTCGGCTCTTTGAGCGAGACGCAGGCGAACGGGAGAGAGGCGCAGCACTGGCAGGTGCAGGCGGACGGCTGCATACAAAGTATGGAGCGTCAGTCAACCATCCAACAAGGAGTGTTGAAAAAAAAGAGAGGCGTACACAGTGGCAGCTGTTCGTCGTCAACTGGTAAGGCAGAAGACTGGAAGGCGGAAGCTGTACGGTATCGCTGGGGGGGTCCTGTGAGAAGCTCTGAACCTGTCAGCCAAATGGCGGCAGGAAGAGTTCAAGGAAGGCCACTGACCTTGGCAGGAGGTGGCAGAGGTACACAGCGTACTGGTACGGCAACGGCAAGCAGTGGGAACTGAAAGGTGCGGCAGGAGCGGGCTTGGTAAACTCTTGCGCAAGTGCGGCTTACAGACCAAGGCTCGAGGCAGGCGTGCGGGGCGCGGCTTACTGCAGGAAGGGCAGGCGTGCGGGGCACGGCTTATTGCAAGAGGGGCAGGCGTGCGGGCACGGCTTACTGCAAGGAGGGTAGAGGTCGCGCGCGCTTGAGTCCTCGGCGTCAAACTCTTGCAGCAAAAGCAGAAAAGACCATCGACTCCATCGTAAGAGCGCAATGCGAACCGAAATAGCTGGGATGGAGTCGGATTTGCAGCATAAGAACCAGGCATCCCGTATTGTGTAATTGTGGTGATGATCGGCAGATGTAAGATGTGGGTTCATGCTGAGTTGAGGAGGGCTTGCTGCAGTTGAGGGGAAACCCTGACGTACTCCTCCCAAGCGGACGAGCGCCAACGCCCGAGCCGCTTGATGATATCCGCCGAGAGACCTTGCAGAGCGTAGTGAGTCGCGCCTCCGGCTCGTAGAGAGTGTCCACTGTAAGCTGATCCGAAGGTGCGACGGAGGCGGCCGATGAACCAGGTGCGGGTGGGTGGGAGACCTCCCCTTGTCAAGAACAGCAGGTCGGAGGACTTGTTCCGACTATCCCGGGCCTGCAGGTAGCGATGCAGGATGCGTAGGAAGGCTGGATCCGTCGTGCCGGGTGTGAAGTACAGGAACGACCCTTGCCAACGGCGGTCTGCCTTGTGGTACGGAAGATGGACTGAGAAGCCATTGGAGTCCATCTTCACTGTGCTGCGTCGCGGGAGTTTGGCTGGATCCCGAAAACGGATTGTTGAGGGAACAGTGAGCTCTGCACTCCGTGCACACGACACGAAACCTAGAGACACCATCGCAAGGAACAGGAGCGAGTCGTAGTCCAGATCCCGGAGTGCCACCGCCGTGCGAAGTACGAAGGCCACGGAGCGGAAGCCTAGCGGTTTAGCTTGCTTCCGAGCTCGACGCTTAAGCTTGATACCGCCAATGATTGTGTTTCTGACTAGTTGTGAGGAGCGCACTATTGTCCATGTACTCCCCATGATCGGTAGGAAGTGGAACGCGAGGCCAGAGAGTGTCTGGTACACCGAGGAGACCGTACGGAAGCGATGTCGGATGAACGCCGACAGCATGTCTTCGGTGGGGTGATACATGATGTCATGGCCCTGAGCGCGGTAGTAGCTGATGAAAGCGATCCATTGCCGCAAAGCTCGAGCGTAGTCTGATCGAGTTTTGGGTTCGAGCGCAAAAATGGCGGCTTCGTCGCGTAGTTGACGAAGATCATCCAGCGGGAGCATCGGCTGAGCTCGAGTAGCCGGCTCCAAGAGAGGACGGGGCGCAAAGGAGACATGCCTTCCGTCCTCTCGTCTGATGTTCGTCATAACGACACCCCCTCCAGCCCGGGGATGAAGGGGTCGAAATGGGTGAGAGGGCTGAAGCGCCGGTGAAGCTGGACCTCGTGTTGCCTCGAAAGGTCGTCAGCGAGGGTGTTGTCTTTGCCATGGACGTGTATGACCTTGAGGTCAAACTTCCGGTGTTGGGCCATGACATATGATCGAAGGGTGAGGGTGCGCAGCGGCATGAAGTCGCCGTCTTTTGCTGCACCCGAGTCGACTGCGTACACCGCCGGAGCCGAGTCCGTACGTACGAGAACTCGCGAGAGCGGTTTGAATGGACTGGAAGGGTGTGTAACGATCCCTAATGCTAGAACAACCGTCAAGGTTTCTGCGAATTGGATACATTCGTACGTTCGTTGCGGCCGACAGTAGTAGTGGTGAACCATGCCTTTCCACTCAAACCAGAAGCCGAGACCTGCGCCCGTCCCCGTAGCGTTTTGGAGGCACGCATCGGTGTAGATAACAACGTCCGCATCTTTGAGGCTCCAGCGAGTGAGACTTGGGCTATCTAGGCGGAGCGAGGGAGATTCGACGAGCAGCGTTGCCATAGCTGCGAGTGCGGTCGCAACCGAGGTGTTGATCGGCACCCCCGCGTCGGAACGTTTCTTGCCGGCAAGCTTCTCGTAAAGCGGGGTAAGATACGGGCGAGCCTGCGGAGCCACGTTGAGGGACCAACTCAGCCAGCCAGTCATTTGTCTCCACTTGCGGAGCGTGGGGTGCCGGCTCGGTTCCAGGAGGAACGCGTCGATTTCCCTGACGAGGTCCTCAATCACCTTTTGGGGAAGGGACACGGAGAACGAGTCCAGGTCACAGTCGATGCCTGTGATTGTGATGCGCCGCCCATGTGGTGCCTTGTCCGGTCCACAGCGCTGCCATCGCTGCTTGTTGGGCCGGAATTGTGTGCGTAGTGCCGTTGTGGTTGTAAGCGACCATCGATCCTGCCAGATCGATGCCGAAAGCATTGTCCATGTACGCAAGGGGGTGTTCGATTCCGTAGGCGTTGTGAGCCACCCACATCAGTAGTGACATGAACCTAGTCCACAGGAAGGGCATCGCGCGACAGCCGAACACGCCCCTCCATTCAATGTGGTACCAGGTGCGTAGTGTACCATCCGAAAGTCTGCATTTGATTGCTATGCCTTGACGCGCCTGCCAGCGCTTGGACATGATGAGGATTTTGAACACCGAAGAGACATCGAGCTTCCCGAGAACTGATGTGTCTGTAAGAAGTCCCGATGCAAACCGATGCCAGCAAAGGAGACGGATAAAGTCGATGATGGTATCATAGATCGTCGGGCAATCGGTTCGTTGGATGCCGTCGTTGAGACCGGAGGAGGTGTGGTCTGCCACCACACGCATCCTATGGTTGGTCGACTCGACTACGAAAATCGAGTTGTAGGTGACTCCCGGGAGAGGAAATGCGCTGCCGGGAGAGACCCATTGTTTCTTGACTTCCTCGTCCACAGTCGTTTGGATGAACTCGCGATGATGCTCGTTCTTAGGAAATTGTACAGACGTGGGGTCGTCGCCACGCGCGTTGCTGCCATCGTGCGGTGGTTCGAATCCTTCCGAGCGAAAAGCGGAGAGGAAGGAGTTGACTAAGGTCGTGTTTGGGTGCTCTGCCAGAAGCTTGCCCAGGTAGTGATCGTTAATCGTCCGAGTGAAGTTGAATTGGGAAGGGTACAACCGTTGAGTGTCCCCGATAATCGCCAGACGCTCTGGAGTGAAGTGGGCTCGAGGTAGCGGTCCGGGGAGCCTGCCCACGGACGTCGTCGAGGAAAGGAGTGGGGTAGTAGGATAATCCTTCGAGGGTGGATCGAAGTGGAATGACCTTTGGTACTTGGGTGCCAGCCCTAAGCCCGACAGGTGAGATAGAGAAGGGTGGCCCGGAGGTCCAGTGTCGTCTGAGATGACGACCGCAAGCGACGATTCGTCCGGGGCTATTGAATCGTCGCTGTCCTCGAGGTATCTAGCGCCGAGCGGCAGCATCAGCTGCTGCTCCCGTGGCTGCCACTGCGAGGCGAGCTCCCGATTTGAGCTGTCGATGCGTGCAGAGAGTACTCGAAGCTGCATGGTTTCCCTTGCAAGCCGAGCAGACATGTCGATAATCGCATGCCTCTTCATCATGGAAGTCGCCTCGGTTAAACCTCTTGCAGGGGTTACGCTTTTTCTTGCCCGGTAGCGAGCGTGGGTGCGAAGCATTTGAGGAGCCGTGGTTCGCCGTGGACGACCCCTCGCTTCGAAAGAACCGGTTGCCGGCGAGCCACTTGTTGATCAAGAGCGCGTAGACGCTGTCACCGAGTTTTGCGTCGAGGAGGGAATGGACCGACTTTCCTCTATCGGCCAGATCCCGACGGTACTTGTTATCGTACAGGACTACGAAGTCGAATCCGAGATCTGGATCTTGGGCCAATTCCCTCAAGAAGCGAGTGTAGTGCTGCCAGTCGCGACCTTGATGAGAGTTGAACACGACGCCTTCGAGTTTCTCGAGCTCCATCAAGGCTTCCGTGTGACCTGCTTGCGTGAGCGTTCTCTTTTTGATGCTAGCCTTGGATTGAACCATTGCTTCAATTCCGTAGAACTTGTTGCCAGAATGCTGGAACATGTAGAACAAGTCGGAAGGCGCTGGGTTATCGGCATCGACCGCGCTGACGAATTGACCGGTAAGGACCTTCATGATCTCTATGACGTCCAGTTTCAACCCGTGGTTCTTCTTGAGTATGGCGGCTTGTCTGTCTAGGCGGTAGACGTGCGCTCGAGGGAGTAGTAAGGCTTCTTTGTACATATCCTCTTTGTCGCGGCGAAGTGTCACGTAGCCGGGGAGTTCGGAGTAAGCAGTGCTAGGGACTGCCAGAGTCTCCTCGTACATCCTCGCCGCTTTCTCTTGAGCAATGGATGTAGCGGTCGGAGTCTCCTGGTCCTCATTGTCCTCATCGAGGAGTACACGACCACCTTGCGATAGCGTAGAAGGACGGTACGACACGACAGCGCGCTGGGCTGGAGGGGGTGCCGGGTTCTTGGACTTCTTCTTAGTCGGTCGCTGAGCGAGGCGATCGGCCGAGCCCTCGAGCTGACGGAGTTGGGTCCCCGCCGGATTCTCAGTCGGTTCGTCGCTTTCTTCCTCGTCAGAAGTCGCCCACGGATCGGCGTTGCGAGCGGGGCGCTTGCCTTGCATCGAGACCGCCGGCGCCGGTGGCGCGTGAGCTGCCCGCGAGGGTGCCGGGGTAGCTGCCCGCGAGGGTGCCGGAGTAGCAGCCACCGTTATGATCCAACCGAGCGGTAAGGAGCAACGCTTGTATAGCACATCGTCCCCCTCGGGCAAGGCATCGAGGGGTACTTCACCTTCGATGAAGAGGTTGAAGCGTACGATGAGACGGCCGTCCTGATCCGAATCGAGCTCGTCGACCGTAAAGACTGGCAAGTCACCTAGGCCGCGGATTGACGTAACGCGTCGTTCTAGATCACCATCTTGTCCGGACCGCTCGTCGCGTCCGGTGTCACTTCGGCCGTCTTGAGCCGCCTGGGAGGATAAGGCGCCTGTCGACGTCTGACGCCGGAGGCGGTAGGATTGAAGACCCTTCGTCCAATAGCGCGCTCCGTATGCAGCGATGTAGTCGGCAGGGCGAGCGGAACCTAGAGCGTGCGAAATGATCGGATGCATTTGCGAGTCGTTCTATCCACGCTTTACAAGCATAGTCGTTCTATCTTCGTCTATATTAGGTCGTACCTCCGCTGCGCTTCGCCTCGACCCATCATAATCATGTCGGTCGACCCCTTTGCCGATCCTTACGAGCCTCCCGCCTGGGACTCCTCGTATCCGATCCCCACCTCGGGAAACTTCACCGAGAAGGCGCTCGTGAAGATCGCGGAGGCATGGGCGGAGGCGGATGGCGGGCTCCTGACGGACGCCGATATATTGATCCTCAAAACCGGGCTAGAACGCATGGCGCTCGATCCTGCCGCCCTTAACTTCTGGGAGTCGCAAGTCGAGAAACTTCCTCGACGTACCCCGATCAGTATCGAAGCACTCGAGGAAGCGCAAATGCATCCGATCATTTCGCACGCTCTAGGTTCCGCTCGCCCTGCCGACTACATCGCTGCATACGGAGCGCGCTATTGGACGAAGGGTCTTCAATCCTACCGCCTCCGGCGTCAGACGTCGACAGGCGCCTTATCCTCCCAGGCGGCTCAAGACGGCCGAAGTGACACCGGACGCGACGAGCGGTCCGGACAAGATGGTGATCTAGAACGACGCGTTACGTCGTCAATCCGCGGCCTAGGTGACTTGCCAGTCTTCAAGTTCGGCGCTAATCGCTAATCGTTGTGCAGTGAGTGATCCACTGCAGTGGGCATCGTCTCCGAGGGCGCGGGTGGGCGAGTAAACGCTCCGAGTGTGACACCAAGTGTGTGGCTGATGACGATATATGTTTGGATCTTGCTTGGTCATTTATAATCATGTTGCGGTCGACCACTGCACCTCGCCCGAGCTGCAGCTGGTGTGCGCTTACTAATAGCGCGAGGTCCGACCAGCGCTGACAAATGCAGTCGCTCGCCATCGATGACGGCAGATGGCATTCTCTCCTCTCTTTGCTCTCCGTCCTGCCTTTCTCCGACGCGGTCATCCCACCCTGGCGACCCTACTCCTGCGCCCATTCAAGCGGACACTGCTCCTTTGTCCGACCAAGACATCCAGCCCCTCCTTCTTCTCCACCAGCGCCGCCATCATGGCCCCGATCCCCTTCAAGTCGACCGCGGCGGAGAAGGGCGACTCGCACTACGACCTCCTCGTCATCGGCGGTGGATCAGGTGGTCTAGGAGCAGCGAGGAGGGCCGCCCAGTACGGCGCCAAGGTCGCAATCGTTGAAGAGACGTGGAGGTTGGGTGGGACTTGCGTCAATGTCGGATGTGAGTCGTGCCAGTGTGCAAACACGCCAGAGGCCGTTCAGTCACTGACCCTAGCCATCGGTGGCCGTCGATCGCTCGCAGGCGTTCCCAAAAAGATCATGTGGCATGCCGCGGATTTGAGGCAAGTCTGCGCAATACTCTCTTTCTCCGCCTCTCAACTAAGTCCTCCCCCCGTTTCCCCACCTACCCCACCGCCACAGGGAAAAATTGCACCAAGCCAACTCGTACGGCTACACCGTGCCCGAACCAGACACCGCGTTCGACTGGCCCACGCTCAAGGCCAAGCGAGACAAGTACATTGAGCGACTCAACGGCATCTACGAGCGAAGTGCGTACTTCTTTCTCTCTCCGTCATCTTCCTCCTCGAACCATCCTCGAACCTGACCTCTCTGAACTGCTTCACAGACGTCGAAAAGGACAAGGTCGCCTACATCACCGGCCACGCCCGCTTCGTCGACGCCCACACCCTCTCCGTCTCCCCTACGTACCCCAAGGCCACCGGAGGCATCGACAAGGAGCAGCGCTACACCGCCGACCGCATCGTCATCGCCGTCGGAGGCGCGCCGACCAAGCCGACCTTTGTCAAGGGCTACGAGCTGGGCTTTGACAGTGATGGCTTTTTTGACCTGAAGGAGTTGCCCAAGAGGGTCGTCGTGGCCGGGGGTGGATACATCGCCATTGAGATTGCCGGCATCTTCAACGCTCTTGGTCAGTACTGCCTGCCTCTAGTACTCCAAATTCTGGGTAGCAGACAGACTGATCCCCATGGCGATTGTTCTGAACAGGCGCCGAAACGCACGTCGTGATCCGCTCGGACAAGATCCTCAAAGCGTTCGACCCCATGCTACAAGACAGCTTGTTCAAGCACATGCAACACACGGGCATCAAGTTCCACACGAACGTCAACTTCAAATCCGTCGAAACCTCGGTCGAGAACCCCGACATCACCCAACCCTTTGCCAAGACCATCACCTTCGACAATGGCGAGACGTTGGAAACGGATGCTATCCTCTGGGCTATGGGTAGGCATTCGTTGACCAAAGATTTGGGGATCGAGAACGTCGGCATCAAGCTGGAGAAGAATGGTGACGTGATCGTCGACGAATACCAAAAGACGAACATCGACAACATCTTCGCCATTGGCGATGTGGGAGGCAAGGAGCTGTTGACTCCCGTTGCGATCGCTGCTGGTCGACGTCTTTCGAACCGTCTGTACGGTGGGGTTGAAGGTGACAAGCTCAGTTACGACCTCGTCCCCACTGTCGTTTTCTCCCACCCTACGATCGGAACCGTCGGTTTGACCGAACCTCAAGCGAGGGAAAAGTACGGCGATGACCAAATCAAAACCTACACCGCGTCCTTCACCTCCCTCTACTACTCCATGATGGACCCCGAGGACAAAGAGCCGACTTCGTACAAGTTGATCGTTCAAGGAAAGGAGGAGAAGGTCGTCGGTTTGCACCTTTTAGGAATGGGCAGCGATGAGATGTTGCAGGGTTTTGCGGTGGCGATCAAGATGGGAGCGACGAAGAAGGACTTTGACGATACGGTCGCGATTCATCCTACCTCTGCCGAAGGTGAGTTGCCGCCTGCGGGGTCTGGGTGAGGGAGTGGAGACTGATGAGGTTCCCCATGTCTTTCTTGATCTACAGAGGTCGTTACGATGCGTTGAAAAGACTACAACTAACCAAACATAGACTCTGCTTTGGACCTGAATTGTTGGCGCTCTTTTTTAATGTAATCCAAATTTCGATGCAAGAACTATTCACGACGTTCGCCGAGCCTAGAACAAGATGTCGAGTGTGATGATCACTGCACCCTGCCCTCTCAAAGCTCGCCTTCAAAGTCGAGAATGATGGGGACATGATCCGAAGGTCCATAAGCCTCGAGTCGGATCTCGCATGCCTTGACCTTGTCCAAGATTCTTTCCGAGACCTGCATATGGAAAAGGGATGCTTCCTCAGTGCCGCTGCTCTGAAGCCGAACAGAAAACAGGAAAGAACGCACCACGAAATGATCCAACCTCCACCCAATCCCCTTGGTCCTACAATCGAATCTCAACGAGAAATACGTGTACCACCCCACTCTGTCCGGGTACTTTTCCCTCCAAACATCGACCAACCTCCCCCCTTTACCCCCTTCCCCACCTCTCAACTGGCTTTCAAAAGCATGAATTTCCTCATCTGTACACCCCGCCGATTTGTTATGGTTCGTTTTCCAATTCCTTATATCCTCAGGCGCAGGAACGACGTTGAGGTCCCCACACCAGATGATGGGTTTAAGAGCGTCGAGTTGGTGGAGGTAGAGGGAAAAGTCGTGATTCCATTGCGATTTGCGAGGAAGGGTCTTGAGGTCCTGCCCGGCGTTGGGGACGTAGGTCCCTATGAGGAAGTGGGAGTTGAATTCGAGGGTGATGCAGCCTGGATGGAGAAGGAAAAAGATGGGATGCATGAGATTGGGTGCCATGAAGCGAAAGAAGGGACCTCTTTGGACGACTGACGACCCGCTTCGGCAGCTTGATCGGAACTGGTCGGCAACCCGAACGTAATGGACTTGGGTTCAATCTTGGACAAGATCGCCGTGCCCGAATATCCCTTCTTATTAGGATCGACTCCCCAATATCGGTACTGGTAGTAGAACGAGATCAGAGGCGCAAAGAACGGTTAGTCCCAAGGTCGGGGTGAGAATTCGAGGAGAACTTGCGGGATAGTTGTCATTGAGGAAAGCAAAGTTCGGGTCGGCCATCTTCGTCTCGGTCAAGACGAGGATGTCTGCTGCTTCGGCTTGGATATACCTCTCCATACCCTTTGGTGAAGCGCGATGTGGACCCCCAAAAAAAGGTAAAAAGGTCAGTCCAAAACACGGTCAAGACCGAATATGAGGGGTCGACAGCCGAAACTCACCTTGTTCTCCGCCGCTCTTATGCCACAGACATTCCAAGCGCTGATCCTGACCTGCCCTTCAGGTCGTTGGGGGTACGGTGGCATCGGGTCGGGCAAGGTCTTGTTCGTAGGCAACGTCGGATCAAGTGGTTGGACAGGTGCAGGTTTGGGCTTGGGTGCTTTCGGTTCTTTGGGCGCCTTCGGTTCCTTGGACGCTTTCAGTTCTTTGACCGTCTTTTGGGTCTTTTTCTTGGAAGGTGCTGCCACTTGTTCTTCAGCAGCGGAGGAAGGCGAATCGACGGTGGCCTCGCCCAGGGCTGAGAGAGGGGAGTCCTCTGGTACGACTGGCTTTTCTGGTCGGGTTGGCGACGCGTCGGCCACGGGCGACGACTTTCGTTTGCGCGGCGCCATGGTTGTGTATTTGGGGTGCAACGACGACGGAAGACTGAGAGCGGCCACGCTCCTTGGTCCCAGGAACAGCGACGATCGGAGGAGGTGAAGGCGTTGAATCGTGGTCGGATGGTGGTCGTTGAATGACGTGGAGGGGGAGTTGAGTGCGGTGAGCATCGCGCGGGCGCACGAGATCAATTGCCCCGCGCGTGGCGTTACGAACGCGTTCCTCGTTAATTGATTCATTAGCGATCGGTCGAGTCGCGTGCTGGCGTGCGCCCCGCTTCGGCACGCCCTCCTCCTCCCCCCATGAATGCGCTACATCATCTTTGACGAGCCACCAACTGCGACCCAAGTGATCGAGCGCGGTGAGAGACAGACCACCAGCAGCGATCCAGTATGGTATCCACACCAGATCGAGCTCGTCTTCCCTCCTCCTAGGCCTGCTGCCTCACCCGCGGATACACCCCGTACGAGCGTGCTTCCCCGTGATCCCGATGTCACAGCCGATTCGACTCAACTTGTGGCTGGTCTGAGATGGGTCGACCGAGATGAGTCGTTCTCGAGAATGATGATGCCTTGGGGTGCTCCTGCCGCGACGGCGGGGACGGCCATGGCTGAGGAGGACGAGACACGGTTTGGATCGACGATCCTCGAGGAGGAATCAAAGGAAGAATTCAGCTTGGCGTCAGGTGAGAGTTTTTCCTGGCGAACAATGTCGTACCAGAGCTGACCTCGAACGCGTGTGAGCGCAATCACCAGCCGTGTTCCCACCTCCATCCCAACTGCCCCCGGGACGAGCCTCCCACGAAACCCAAGCTTCCGACCCGACAACCCACGAACAAGCGCAGCACATCTCCGCCTCCTTCCTCAGCTCGGCCTCCACCGCAACGCCGACGACGCGCCCCGCCTCGCAAATCGACGTCGGTCTGCCGCCCACACTGCACTTGACCCTCGCCTCCCTCACTCCCTTTGACCGCTTCCACTCCCTCCTCCAACACACAACGAACGCCATCCATCGTCTCTCGATCCTCTGCGTCGCCATCGACATCTCCGGACCTCGAACCGTTGGACCAGGAGGGGATCTGCAGCTTTGGGAATGGACCGCTTTGGACCCGCTCAGTGCGCCGAGTATGCCGGTCAAGATCTCATTGTGGGAGGGCGTGGGCAGGACGTTGAGTCAGGCGACGAGGAGAGGGGACGTCGTTCTATTGACGAGTTGAGTTCCGACAAGCCGCGGTACAGTCGAAATCGTCGCGATACGTGTAGCTGACTGCTTCTTCATCCCGAACCCCCTCGCACAGAAATGACCCTCAAACTCTACCGAACCAATTTGCAACTCTCGACCTCTCGAGAAACGCAACTCCAAATCTGTTGGAGGACCCAGGTCGTACAAGAGTATGACTTGTTGTTTCGATTCCACGAGTATTGGGCTCAACAAACCAACGAGGCCAAGACGGTGTTGGCGATGAAGGATGCCTATAGTAGGTGGTTGGGAAGATAGATGCGGATGATGGCAATCTAGTCGCAATAGTCGGTCATCAGTCATTCGTAATAGCAGTACCGGGAACCTTGTATGGCTTTTGAAGAAGGCTGTATTTTGCAAGAATGGATTCGGGTATTACGTATGATCCCCACCGAACTCCTGCTGCATGCTGCGCACTGCTACACTGCTACTTTTTGAACTCGCTGCGAAATGACACCCCTCGAAAGAAAAAGATACCCCCAAGTTCCCTCGTGCATACCCGCCACCTCCACTCATCCCTTGATCGTCAAGTTACTCTCCCCCGCCTCGGTTACGACGCCCAACGAACTCGTCCGATCATCACTCGTCGTACGACTCCTCGTCCGACTCGTCGACCTTGATCGACTAGGCAGACCCGAACCAATTTGCGGATGCTCCTTCCTCGATCGGTTGGGCGAAGGACCTCGTGAAGATGTATTGGATCGTGTAGGGTCGAATTCGAAATCGAGGTCGTCCAGAACTCCTCGTTCGGCTCTCGAAAGTCTCGGTCCCGCGGACTCGGCCAGTATCGTTGTAGGCGCTCCTTCGGCGCCACCGTCGGTCGTGAATGTCCGTACGGAAGGTGCCCTAGATGCCCTATGCGATGATACCGATCGGGACATCTTGAACGCCGGATCATGACGATCCAACGAGCGCGAGGTCCCACCCCAACCACGTTTGGAGCTCGTCGATCGTTTCCTACCGATCCTCCGACTGGACGATCGTCTCCTCCCACTTTCAACACCCTCTTCCTCATCAGTGGTCGTCCCTAATAAACTCTCCTCCTCTCCCCTCCCTCTCGCACCCGTCGAGTCCCCTCTACTCAAACCCCTCCTCATCATCGCCGTATTCCGCTTCCTCTTTTCCGAATAAAGCCAACTCTGGAAAACGATCGTGATATCGAAACATAACGTGCCCCCACTTCCCAAGAGGTAAGGCGTCGATTCGAGGAGATAGCCGACGGATTCGGTCGCCAAGGGGTTGAGGAGGATGGAGATGACGTAGAGCGAATTGCCGACGAAGGCCATGATGAAGAGGATCATGGAGAGGCCGGCGACGGAACGACGGCGGAACTGAGAGAGAAAGAGACGACTTTTTGAGTTCGATCCAACTGAATATCAGGCACCAAGGATGGTGAACTCACATTCTGCCAAATCTGGGGTAGCCTCGAGGTGAGGTACAGAGTCGTGCATGTCCATGCGCTCATACGCCCGATGAATCGCTCCCAATTCCGCCCAATTGTCACTTTCGGATCCACGAGATAGAAAGCATCACTCATCACCACGTCGTTGTCCCTCTTCTCTCCAATCGAGGCCGTCAACGGTGAGGTAATGACCACCTCCCTCTTGCTGAGCCTGACCGTCGACTCCTGCACCCAATTCAGTTTGGGCAACCCCACCTCCCAAGCTCGCGCCCTCCCCCCCGCAAATGACCCTACCCTCTTCTCCGCTCTTCTCCCCAACGTCGTGAACGTGAAAAATAACCCCACCGAAAGGAACAACATCGAGCTCGTCCTCCTCGCCGATGGCGGTGGTCTCGACCTCGAACTACTCCTTCCCGATCCAGATTGCTGATGGTGATGATGATGCGACGAAGAATGATGATGCCTCGACGTCGTCTCCCTTACGTATTGAGGTAATACGTTGGAAGGGAGATCGTTGACTCGATGAGCGGATCGTCCTCGTTCGGTTTCGTCGTCTTCCTCGTCGTATTCTCCTCCTCCTCCTTCGTGACCCATCTCGAGAGCCCGATCTCTCGCCTGTTGCTCCAGCTGCACCAAACTCCTCATCAAAGGTGCTGGAGATCCCGAGGCCGGCGATCCCGAGATCGTCTCCAGATTCGAGGGGTGGTGATAATGGTGCAAGTAATGATGATGCGGGTTAAGGTTCCTCGTCATCGTTCGATCTCTCGCTTCCGAAGTCGAAGCGATCGATCCTAAGGAAGATGTCATCGCCGTCGGGATTTCGAATGAGGGTGAACTAGGACCACTGGACGGTGTGCTTGTTGAAGGAGCCGACAAGACTTGCGATGTAGAGACGGAAATTGTCTGAGGTGTTGTCGGGTTCGTCAAAATCGAATGGGTCGTACTCGTTCGACTTGCCCTCGGGGCCATCACTTCCGAAGTGCTCGTCGACGTTCGGCCGTTCTTCAATGATCGAGCAGGCGTCGTCGCGTTCGAAGATTGGGACATCCAACTCGTCGTCATGGGATCCTCCCCCTCAGTCTCTCCAAGTTCCGGGCCATCTTCTGCAGCCAAAGCCTTGACTCGCCGCCTCGAAGGCGTCGCCGAATGTTGCTGCGACGACGAGCGATGGAAACTCTTGCTCCTCCTTACGCTCGACTGGGACTCGCGATGATGGTGGTGTGGGTGAGAATGATGGTGATGATGTGTATGGGGTGTTTGAGCGTAAGGGTAGTCGATGGAAAGAGGCGGGATCGACGTTGACGGGTTCGCTCGCGAGTAGTGGTAGAATTGTGCCATGAGCATCGCGTCGATCATGACGAAGTAGGTCGCGAGGTACGTTTGGAACGGCAGTTGGTGCGTGAGGATGCAGCTACAAGGATCGAAAGATAACGTATGAGCTTGGCCTCTGTCGGACAATGCAGACTGCCACAAGACTGACCCGATCAGATTGGTAAAATCGCCGAAGAACCAGCTCACGAGAAACGGCAGTGCGATCGCCTCGCTGTGGTAGTCCACCCGCAAGATACATCACGTCGTGTCAGTCCTTTGTTACATCATCTCAGCTCGAGAAGTTCGTCTTTTGACTTACACCGACTTGTTCCGGTGATTCTCGAGCACCTGAGGTGCCTGAGCGCACAGCCAAGCCAGGATCGAGGCGTAGCCGAACCAGGTCGACAGCTGCTCCTGCCCTTCCCACGTCATCCCCGGTAGCAGAGGCCACATGTTGAATCCTACCCTCGTCCCAGTCGAGCTAGTATCGGGGCTTGAAGAGGGGTCCTTGATGGGCTTCTTTGGTGTTGAAGTAGGCTTAGCTTGCGAAGGATCGTCGGCTTGAAGGAGTGTGGTGGGCTAAGTTCCCGTCTTTGACGTAGATGTCGACCTCCCCAGTCTCCCTAATGAGGTAATGTCTCCCCAGCTGGATCGATAGACGAGGTTCACGCCGTTCAGGATGATCTTCGCCGAACGTCGAGGCCCAAGACACACGAACCCCGAGGCGACCAGATACGCTTCGCCAAGATCGGGTCTTCGATAAGGGATAGGGGAGCACGTCGGGCAGTAGATATGGGAGATCAAACGAGTGACGGGCAAGAAAAGCCGAAGGACCGGATAGAGAAGGGCCGGTCCGAGGGCTGGCTCAGGAGACACCGCGGCAGATGGCACGAGATCAAGCGCGCCGATAGTCTTTTCGGCCTTTGCTGCAAGATTTTGACGCGGACAGCTCAAGCGCGCTGGTCTCGGCCTAACGGGGCCCGCTCGCGCTCCACTCTTCGAACACGCATTCTTTGGACCCTGTGCCAGCACGCACTCTTCTCGGCCCCCTTGGGCCTCCCGCCTTGCTCACCCGCTGGCGCGCGCGGGCCCTTCCTCTCCCTCTCCCTCGTCGTCCCGCACGCCTTAGCGTTTCGTGTTGTGGTTCCGGCACCCCCCCTGCCAGTCTCTACTCACTCAAAGTGGGTAACATCCCTCGTAAGCCCTCTGCCCTTGTTGGACAGTTGGACTGATGAGCTAGCCTGCCACTACGTTGTAAGCAGCCGCCGTACCCGCTGCTTTGCAAGGTCGTATCGCACCCACTGCTTAGAGCAAGGGCGAACTTTTCGAGACTCGCACTATCGCGGCTCGCTGTTTCTAGCTAAGGTTCGCATTCCGGATCACGACTGTCCTTGTTGGGCATGTTGCCAAATTCCTTGTCCTTGTTGGGCAAGTTGACTCATGGGGCTACCTTGTATACAGACCTCGTTTGGCCGCGTCTACCTACCGCGTCGCCTTCCTCCCCTGCCATCGCCCTGCGCTTTTCGAGCAAAGGTATGCCCTATCCCCCAAGTCAGTTGCAGTGTTTTAGTTACTAATCGGACCTGCGCTCTTTGAGCAAAGCCGATCGACCATTTTTTTGAGCTCCTCCCTCCCACCCTACTTGTTCATAACTCCTGTTTAGAAAACCCTCCGTTTGTTACGGAGTGCGGGTTTTTCTCTTATCACTGCAACTCGACTCTTCCATCCTAAAACAAACGCCACAAACAGCGCGCACTATGGAGGAGTCGAACGGCCGCGGCTGAGCTGAGCTGTCTGCGCTGCTCTGCGGAGTCGGAGCGCTCCGCGTCGGACTTACTGAAGTCGATCTCGGTACCCCCGCGGCCCGCCGCGGGCCGGTAAAGCTCGGCTACTACGTAAAAGCGAGTCTTTGAGGGATGCTGTAGCTCGTTCGGGACTTAAGACTCAGATATAAAAAAATGAAAAGCAATCACCGAGACGGTCTAATCCATAAGCGAGGTATGGAACGTTCGAGCCATCGATTCACCAACGACGATTCCGCCCGAGTAAACGCCGAGGGTCGCAGGCCGTCGGAGCCGAACCTTGTCCCTCGGCTGATCCTTTCCCCAGTCCAGGAGTACTGCTCGAAGTTTTGCGGACGAAGCTCCCTGACAAGCATGTCAATACTCGTTTCTAAAGCTGTACTTGGGAACCAAGAAAGCCCCCCGGAGCTCGTCAACATGAGCTCCGATTTGCTCGCGACATCCGATAGTCTGGCAGTCGGCACACATCCGATCAGCGATCGGGTCGCGCTTGCTCCTCATTTCCCTTCGCTCGGTTCGCTTTTCATCCGTCTTGCTGTCCTGAATCCTGATCGACACAGAGTGCCGGGTTGGAACAGCCTTCCTCATTCCGATCGCGGCGATCCATCGCATGATCAAGCACAAACAGCTTGGGGCTGAGATCGTGCTCCCGTCCAAGATGCACACGCCCCAATTAAGACTCGTACTTGGGGTCCTCCCTCACGTTGGTGAAGTTGTACAAGAAGGCGAAAATGGCCAGGATCTATCGATACACTGCAGTCGCGCACCCTCCGCTTGAAGCACTGCCAACTGAACTCGAGCTCCATTCGGGACGGATCCGCCCTCAGCATCTGCTGAATGCGTCGCCGGCGGTTGGGGATGGACCTCAAGGCTACGCTTAAGCTTAGTTGCTCCATAGTTAGTTAGTTAACTATGTGTAAAATCCCACCTTTCAGCCATAACTATCTAACTATCAACTATGACCCAATAGTTAGTTAACTAACTATAGTTGGGATAGTTAACTATGCAAAACTATCAAAATGGCCCCTAATAATGGCGCACGCCGAGCGTCGTTGAGGGCTTACCCAGCGCAATTACCCCATACGGCTCAGCAGTATACAACAATTGTTTGGTTGTATTGAGCCTATTGAACCTCTGGTTCTGCCACCGACTTATGAGAGCCGCTCGATGCCATGCTCTCAAACTACCCTCTTATGATAGTGTAATAGTAGAGTATATATGAACTCGAGCGGTATACATTACTCTTGAAACAACCGTTGACAACAGTAATCTGATTCTACATGACAGACCTACACCTCATCATCATCATCGAGGTAAATTGTTTCTCTGGCGCGAAAGACTCGGGTGACCAGGCCTCGCCCGCGGGCGGAGTAATAGTGTGGCATGAGCGCTGCAGCAGTTTTTACTAATTATAATTTGGTACCTGGCGGATACTTCCTGGCTCATCAGGCTCGGGTATCGGAGCTGCACTGGAGCTGTTTGATCGAACACTAGTGCCTAGGAAATTTGGTGTTGCACTTCCAGCACTTCGACTGGGGGCTATAGTTGCCATAGTTACAATAGTTAACTATGATATCCTCCGAGCCAGAACTAACTAACTATCAACTATGCCTCAATAGTTGGGATAGTTAGTTAACTATTTGCGGTGGCGTAGTTAGTTAACTAACTAAGCTTAAGCGTAGCCTTGGGGATGGTGGTGGTGGTGGACTCCGATATGGTTGCGGTGTACTAGCGACAGCGGCGGGCTAATCTTTGGGCCGCTCGTCGGCGCTGCGACGCGTTGATCTCGAGTGCCTTCAACTTGACGGCGGTATCCACTTGAGCTCCGATTGCTCAGCGTGTGGCGGAGCTGAAGAGGACTCGGGAGCCGGCAAACACGCCAGCCCTGCGACGTCGTCACGTGATGAACACGTGATTTGGACTGTCGAGCACGGGCGTGGGCCTGTTCACGGAGGAATCCGCTCGGGGGAAGGCGTCGGCGACTCGGCGAAGTATGCACCCAATATCTACAACTGCAAGGTCTGACTTTGCTCTGGACATCATTTGTCCCTCAAATCTGAAACTCGGTTCCGATTCGTCGGCCCGAGGTGACTTTTAAATTGAGCGATCGAGTTGAAGCACTTTAATTTCACGCTGCGCTAGCGGACGCGAGGAAAAAGGCTCTGCATCACCTCAGGCAGACTAAAAAGTAACCAGTCTTAGTAGCGCCGCCGCGCGGCCAGAAAACCCTATGCAAATAGGCGACCTGGGCCCGGTAGCAACACTGCTACCGACGGTAGCAACTCGGCGCCGGGACAGGCCCGTACACCTCTTCCAAGTCCGTTAAGACCACTACATTGATCATGTGACGACATGAGAGATAATAAGAAGCAAAGATTGATCTCGAGTTGAATCAGTAACCACACGTAATTTTTTAAATGTTAAGACTCTAAGCGCCTGAGGCCGGGGCTCATGCTCATGGGCGGGTGTCCAGTCACGTGCTTGACGCGTTGTAAGATGAGGAACACGTCAAATTGGCACGCAAGGAATCTGTCGCGCGTGCATGCAGGCGGCCGCCGCTGCTTCCTGCAGGACGTACTACCTGGATCGTCGCAGACTTAACCCACCCGGAGCTCATTGCTGCTGAGCTACTACACTTGTGTTCTCGTATTCATTCCGCTCAGTCACCATGGGCCGCCCCTCGCGACTCAAACCACGCTTTCCGCGGATCAAGCCTTCGGACTACCTCGACCATCCCGATTGCCCGAATCAATACGCCACGATGCCGCTGTGCCTTGTCACTTTCGGAGGTACGATCGTCGATAAAGGAGGACGTAAGAGGCCGAGGAAGGCCAAGACAGATGTAGATGCCACTCCCACCACATCTGCAACGTCAAACGTCGAAACGAGCACGAACCAACGCGTCCCTGTCGCCTCGACCTCAGTCTTCGCCAATGACCTGAACTTCTCCCACGATGATTTCAACGAGGATTATCTCAGGGACTTCCCTCTTGCTCAGCAGGCCGAGTACGAAGACCTAGGGGGAATGGATCTTTCCATGGAGCGCTGGGACCCACCCGACCCCGACTTACAACGCCCAACTCACCAGGAACTCGCACAGGAGGTTTTACCAACTCCCCGCGTCTCCGATCCGCCGGTTGCCGCTAAGCAAGAAGGTTACTTCAAGTTTATCACACTCGAGCACGAGCAGCGCGAGAGTCAGCGCGCTGCCCTTTTGGGTCTCTATCTTGATTTACGCATAAGCACCAATGGGCAGTTTCTGCCGCTCGTTTCGAACAGCGACAAGGACGACTTGAACGTTCCTTCACCATGCCACTGTCAGCACGTGTATGCTCGCGAGGTGGTCCTGTACGACGGACTGACCGGTATGTGTCATGCCAGCTCCGTTCACCGATTTGCGCGATGCATCTTTTCTCGCCGTTGTCCTGGTATCACTGACACGTGAAACCCCCTCTGCGCCTTGCCTTTCAGTCTATTCCAAGCAAGTCACGTTCTGCGCTTCCAATCCGCCCTGTATTGCGGAAGCTGTACGCCTGGCTCAACTTGGGTTTATAGCATCGACCGCTGTCAACCCAGGATCAGCGTTCTCCTTCCGCATGATCCGCCTAGAAAACTCGCGTTGGCGTAACGCCCCTTACGCCCTCACTGGCC